GGTCGGGAGGAAGCAGGGAACTTGAACGTCGTATATGTAGGAGAGAGGGCATGACAAAAAGTCTCAATCTAGCCTCATGACCCTTGTCACAATATACAGTACTAGTAGTTCAATTCCCTCCAATAGTCACCTCCCGTGTCCTGTTTTCACTAGTAGTCGACACCTCCGTTAGAAACGGACAATGACATGAGATCAAGCTCTTAGATCCGGGCACCAGCAAAGACACATCAACAATGGCCGCACTGCCTCCCACATGGAACCTCCGAACGCTCGAGATCGAGTCAGGTTTGAGCTGGCGGGCTGTCAACATCGCAATCGCCGTCGCGAGATGGATTCCCCGCCCCAGGTTCGAAGGCATATGTTAGACGCACCGAATGTTGACGTTCGCTTCCGGAGGGTTCAAGCAAGTAACGTGTTGGTCTCATGCAAGCCGGACATCCTTCAAGCCTCTAGGATCTTTCGCCGACACGACCCAAGTCACAACAGGGGGTTCGCAGTCCGGTTCGCGCGAGCCAGGGGGTTGAACACTAGGGCGGCGTCACTCTTCTTCCCGATTAGTCTCTAGATCTCTAGTATCTCATTGCTTGGCACGGAGAATTTTTGCAGGGATCCGCGAAGTTGGAGTCTTTCACCGCAGTTTGTATGACTGACTAGCAATTACTTCTAGGTTCTTACTTATTCACTACTACTTTTATATTCATCTACAAGGTCGTCCTCAGTCCGTGTTTTTGTGTCGAGACCGATCTATTCTTTTTCTCTATCTTATTTCTCATACAACATTTGTACTCTAACTTGATTAGACCCTGTCTTGTCCCCTCCGAGTCCCTCGTTTCGGCCACGCTACCGAATCTAGATTTGATCGAAGCCTCCCCAGTCTGCCTCTCCCCGCCATTTCACTTCAAGTCACACAATGTCGGCCACGCCTGCTAAGAGGAAGCGTTCCAGTATGTTGAGTATTGCTTTAATTCAACCCCTTCCAAGGTCCTACCACATGGATAGTCCTCTTTCTCGCCTACCCACATTGCAGCAGGCCATCCCCGTCTACTTAACTAACAACCCGCAGGAGCGCAGTCTCTTCCTCCTCCCGAACTCCCCCGCCTCGTTGCCGAACAACACGTCCCAATTCCTGCCAGTGATAAAGACACGAAACGGCTGATTGTGGTCCTGTCAAATGCCAGTCTGGAGACATACCGAGCTGCCTACGGTGGTGGAAAACCCGGCGGCAAGGAAGAAAAGTATTCCCTGCTAAACAGTGATGAACACATCGGCGTCATGCGCAAAATGGGCCGCGATATCAGCGATGCCCGACCCGACATCACACATCAGGTGGCTAGATCTCTTACTGTCATGGTAGTGGCGAGCTGACTTCAACGTCTAGTGTCTCCTGACCCTCCTCGACTCCCCCATCAACAAGGCCGGAAGGCTGCAGATCTTCATCCACACCGCCAAAGGCGTCTTGATCGAAGTCAGCCCCACCGTTCGGATTCCGAGAACATTCAAGCGGTTTGCCGGGCTCATGGTCCAATTGCTGCACCGATTGTCCATCCGATCTGTCAACTCGCAGGAAAAGTTGCTCAAAGTGATCAAAAACCCCATTACCGACCACCTTCCCCCGAACTGCCGAAAAGTCACCTTAAGCTTCGACGCTGATGTCGTCCGAGTCCGGGATTATGTCGACACCCTCTCATCCAATGAGAGCATCTGCGTCTTTGTCGGTGCTATGGCCAAAGGGAAAGACGACTTTGCCGACGCCTTTAAGGACGAAGCCATCAGTATCAGCAATTATAGCCTCAGTGCCAGTGTGACTTGCAGCAAATTCTGTCACGCTTGCGAAGACGCCTGGAACATCATATGATCTGCGGGCGTGGGATCACCGACAACAGTGCTGGACTCGAGGTGGAACACGAACTTGCCCGTTTCAATTCCGAATACCCTATGCACCACTGGCTCTCATTCGTGGACCACCTCCGGTATCGGTACCAAGGTATGCAAAATTGACTTTTCTTTTCTGCTGCTGCTGTTACTCCAGTGACGCTTCTGCAATGGCTCGATCATAACATCGAAGTCATCTTGTATGAACGCGGTCAAGTGAGCATTGGGGGAGTTGGATCTGGCGTTTGTTTTCACAACAAGACATAACATGGTTCAACATACCTCAAGGCGATTTCTTTTTCGTCTGAGTCTGTAGGTGCATGTCAACCTGCCCTACATCAACCATCTTTGGATTTGGCCGTCACGGACTATGATGGTATTTTCACTTGCGAGTGAATGTTACGAATGAGCATGAATGGAGTTGGGCAATTCAGGTTAATTTCCGGCGGCAAAAAGTTTGTGTCAGGGGGCATTAGGATCTCGAAATAATCACGATGGATGGTCAGAAGTCTGTCTTCCAGGGTCGGACAGCTATCCAATCTACCAAAACACACCGCATCAGCCTTGCAATGGAGTGGCATGGCACGGTAGCCCTACAGTTGCATCAACACGATAGAGCGCATCACTTTCAAAAAATGACAAAGATATCGCGGCCCTTGTGGAGTACTTCAATGTCAAATCTTGTCAACACACCAACAGACCACTTCCTTTGAATTCGTGCCAAACTGACGTGTCCACGAGTTTGAAGAATCAGGACTGCAAGCCGTCGAGCTGGGGGCAATCCTTGATGCATTCGCGCCCAACCGGCACCAAGATGGTTCTGCTGACAGCCAACCAGGAACGAGTTGCTATTTTCCACCTCCACTGCTGACCTTAGGATCCAATTCTCCGAATCCAATCATCCTCGATGACAACGGCATTGTTTCTGCACTCCCTGACCGACTGTTTCTGCGACCTATCCACCTCCCAACGTGGCATTGTGCTATTCAGCTGTTATCGCTGATTCCCCTGTCTATCTGTGGCGACCAACGACATCTGAAGGATCTTCACGCCTCACCGAACGCTTTCCTTGTGATTGTCTGGCCCGTCGTTGTTGTCTCCTGCTGTACCCATTCAGTCTACATTACTGCAATGAGGCGACTGCACCCTCCTGCCTCCCCATGCCCCTATCTTTCCGATGTACACGGCTACTCCGGCACCGTTGTCAGGTACCATCTTCAGGACCAATGTCGCTTGACCCAGGTTTGATGTCTCATCTACTTGTCGCCTGACTGTCGCCCGGCCTTCTGCCGATCTGCTGCCAAACCACTGCCTACGCTTGTCACCAGGTCATGTTGGAGGCGAACAAAGGTCGGATTTCGCCTGCTGGTCTTTGCTGCCATCGTGGTTCCCTTTGCTGTCGTTCCTGAAGTTGCCCGATCTTGCTCCCATATACGCGCGGCTGGTGGTTGTCTTTGTGCCGGTCTATGGCTCAGGCTGCAGTGAGCGCCTGATTCTAGGTCTCGCTTTGGCTGACCCAATATCTGATCTCGATTCGATCTTACAGTCGCCCAGCTGACCCTTCCTGCCCTTCCTGCCCTTCCTGCACAGAACTTATCGACAGTGCCTGGTCCATTTCACAGATTTCAGAGCATCTCATCGTGTGGCTGCAAGCGAAGAGTCTGGCTCGGGTCTGCCTAGCACTAACAAACTCAGAGACATCCGAACTACAGGCTTCACGGGAACTCATTGGTGAGAGCCGATCCCCGGGTGACATTAGTGCTGGTCGTTGTAGTCATTGAACGGTCTATCTTATACATCAACACCACTGGACCTAAGGGACGTTCAACTGTGTCCCTATATACCCTGGACTCACGGTATCATACCCACCCCGACGACTGCTTCTTGGACTACCCTTCAGTACATATACTCTCGGTGCATCGCACTATACAGCAGCTTTGCTTAATCTTCGACTCCTGGGATTCGAACCATTAAGCACTACGGCTGCTGCCAGCACTGCATTTCAGTCAAGCGCCTGCCTGTACCATATCACAACGCCGCTTCTGAGAGTCTTAGACAAGGATTCTGATACCAGGGATCTTGAACACCCCAAATCCTTCCGACGAAACTCCAGTGCCTCTACCGCAGGCTCCCGAAAGACGGCTTCTGAAAGACGAGAAGACAAAGACATAACCCTCCATCATCCTTTCGACATCGACAGCTTCTTCGAGATACATACTTCTAACTCGTGCTTTGCTCCTATCAACCAAACTCAATGCCATCCTCAATAACCCTCACAGTCAGCCACCTCCCGACCTCCACTTCCTTCTTCCTCTCCTGTCTCCAGCCCCTCGACTACGTCTTCCGCGGCCGACAAGACCAAACCATCGGGTTCGGCCCCGCCTCGCCGGCCACCACACCGCCCGATTTCTGGATCACCCAAGAAATCCCGGGCGTACCCGCTGGCGCAGCACATGTCGCTTTCCCAGCCTCGTCGCGCGCACAAGTCGAGGCTTTCTTCGTCGCGGCGCTGAAAGCCGGCGGGAAAATTCACGGCGAGCCCTCGCAGCGCGATGCATCGGGATACTTTTCCGCCGCGGTGATTGATTTCGATGGCAATTCTATCGAGGCGGTGTATAGGCCTGTCATTGAGAAAGGAGATGGGCATGAGACTGGAAGCGGGAGTGAAGTAGGCAAGAACAGCAACAAAGTTATCGCCGGTACAGTCGTCTCACAGGCCAAAAGTAAGGCATCTGCAGCTCCCTCGGCTGCCAGGAGTGTCGTGACTGGCGTGTCTGGTGCGAAACCTCAGGCTCCTTCGTCGATCGGAGCGAAGAGTGTGGTCACCGTTGCGAAAGCTCCTTCTACTGTCGTGTCTCAGGCGAAGACCAGACCTGCTTCGACGGTTGTCTCGCGAGCAGCACCAAGCAGAGCAACGACAGCACCGCCACCGCCGCCGTCAGCACTGTCTCAAGTCCGCAGCGTGACTGCTCCGTCTTATGTCGGCAGTCTAGCAGGGCAGACGCAGATCCAAAGACCGGTACAGACACAGATACCGCAGCAGGTCGAGCATCAACAACAACCAGCACAAGCAAAGTCATCATCCGACATGCTGAACACATTGATCAACGACGCCCGAACAGCTGCCAGCGTTGCAAGGGATCTGGTGAACAGCGTCAAACCGAATCTGAATGCCAATACCAACCCGGCCTTGCCAGCAGCAGCAGATGGACAGTCCAACGGTGCGTCTACTACCGCCAGTGGTGGCGCGGGAGCAGGAGAAGCCATCGTCGGAACTCTCCTCGGCGTGGCAGCGGGAGCGGCGTTACATTATGCATTCAGCAGCCACAGTCGGTCGAAAGAAAAACTCGAGACAACCCGACAACAACAACAACTGCAACTGCAAGACGGTTATGGTATTGTTGGTCCTCCAATGGTGACCCGTCCATCCGTGGTCGGTCGCAACATCACAGATCCGACTCCTCTGCCTTTGAGAACGGAGTATGCTTATGGCTACGAATACGGTCAACAATCGACAGTCGGGTCGGGCGTGTATCCTGGGTATTACAGTGAAACAGGAGGAAAGGGAAAAGGAACAGTATATTATCGCGCCATTGAACCTGGACCAGCCATGTCTGGCTATACCGCGGGTCGAAGTGGGAGCCACTGCTCCTGTAACGATGGTGATGGACCCCATCTGATCGCGATGCAGGACAACGACATCGAGAACAATAGCAGTGTCCATCATTCATCTCATTCCACTCACTCAGTGTCGACCATTCGTCCATCAGCATCGCATGCGAAATCTAGCTCTACCTTGAGCTTGAATGCTGGATCTCAAGCGTCTGCGTCTGCGTCTGCGTCACAGGTTTCGCGACAATCGAGCGGATCAAAGAAAAGCAACGTGACCGTGACCAGGAGCGGGAGTGTCAAGATGAAATTCATGAATGCTCCGCCCACAAGTTATCGTGCCCCGACGGTTCTTACCGCTGCAGAAACACAACTGGTGGCAGGGTCTTCCGCGGCAAAATCGTCTCACTCGACTTCTGCGGGAGGCGGTTCTAGACGGTCGTCGTCCCGCTCGCGCAGCTTGTCTCGCGTCATGGGATTGAGGGGTGGTGATGGTGGGTCGGAGGCGGGCGATAAAGCGTCCAAAGCGTCTCATCGGTCGCATTCCCAATCAAGGATGAATGGTAGCATTCACAGTCACAGCCACAGTCACGCGTCGTCGAGGAGAAGTCGAAGGGATCGATTCGATGATGGAGACGACAACGGTAACGGCAATGCCAACGACAGAAACGATGAGAATGCAGACGATGAGGTCAAAACGGTGGTCCATCGTTCTTCTGTCGCCTCTTCCTCCTTGTCCAAAAAGCTCCATGGCCACGATGGGGGCAGTGGTACTGGCAAGGAAGCGCACGAGTATCCACTCCCTCCATCTCGAGCGGCGACTTGGGCCGGGTCAGACGCTAGTCGGGGCAAGGGGATTGGGGTTGGCGTTGGGATTGGGAGTCTCGTCTCGGCGGCATCCGGACGTTTGATGCCGGGGAAACATATCTCTGCGCCACGGACTGTTATTGGGAAATTGAATCCTTTGCGCAACAGTGGTGGTGGTGTTGGTGTGGGTGGTGATACGATATCCGTGGTGTCCAAACAGAAAGATCTCGCCGATCTCGATGTCCCGGATCGTGAAGTCAGGCCTGAGGACAGTGTGAGTCAGGTGTCGGTGGAGAGTCGAAGGAGTAAGAGGAGTAGTAGTGGGCGGTGAAGGATGGATTGATGGAAATGTGAGTGGGAGGGCATCAAGGGGAGTGTGAAAGTAGGGCAGTGCAGGGCAGGGCAATCTTGACAAGTGGAATGGAATCAAGACTAGGTAGATGAGGCACCCTGGGTAGGGAGGTAAGGGGTAGGGTTAGGGGTAGGGGGAGGGGGATGTGAGCAAGGGTGGCCACAAGACAAGGACAAGGGCATGGTAACATTAGTCAATCATAATCGGGGGTAGATATTGACAATAGTCTTATATTGATGATGATGAGACGTGAACGATGGAGGTGTCCTTTTGTTTTTGTTTCTACTCTGTAGTTAATTGTACCCCTGGAGTCTTTAGCCTCGTTGCTCTGGATATGACCAATCAGCGTTGCGTTCGACTTCAGCATATTGCTACTAATGACAGAGTAGATGCCTGACCGGTCGACCGAGTCACTTACTCACTTATTGACTTACCTACTTGTTAACCTACCTATTTACCTACCTACCTATCTACCTACCTACTTACTTACATTCTCTTGCTATTCATGACCCTCTCAACTTCTACAAGCATGAAAGCGAGTGAAGCGAACGTTGTTTTGGCCATCTAGACTACTATCCTTCTATCATCACCACCGTCTAGCCACGATCACCCACCCAACTTCGAACCTTCAGAGTCATCCTCCCTTCTTTTGCGAAGTTGATACATTTGATTCAGATGACGGCGGCGGTGATAACAAGAATCGCAACTCATCGACATAGACATAACAACTAGCCATGCTGGCCTCAGTCCCTGGTCTCACGGCGTCTGTTTCCTGTGATTATCGATATCTATGTATAGACCCGTATCTGGAGAACGGAAGCGGAAACGGAAACAGAAACGGAGACGGGCTGTTCATGTTTGATCGTGATCAGACGGTCCCGACGATACCGGCTGATTCTGATTTCTGGTGCGGCGACATCACTTCTCTGCTTGAGCTCGACGACGACGAGTTGAACCCAATGGACTATGTTCCTGCCGCTGCAATGTCGTTTCATGCTTCATTACCGATCAGTCTTGCTTCTACCTCGACTACGTCTACTGCTACGCCTACTGCTACCGCTACTGCTCCTACGCCTACTGCTACTACTCCTACTCCTGTGACAGACACAGCTATAGCCACAAGTACATCTACAGCACCAGCGTTGTTACAATCACTACCACTACCACAAATACAACTACATTCACAATCCACAGGATCTACATCATACATCACTCCCTCTTCACGCTGGAAAGCCCTAATGACCCGCGACGGTCTTGCCACCAGTGCATTCGTCTACGCCGTCCTGACGACCAAGATATACTGTCGACCGGACTGCAAGGCCCGGCTGGCGCGCCGGGCGAATGTCGTCTTCTACGCCACTGCCGCGCAAGCTGAGAAGGCGGGGTTTCGGGCGTGTAAGCGGTGCAAACCGCGCAGAAGCCGCTCTCAGGGCTTTCGGCTTGGGTGTGTGACTGTTAATGCAGGACAACTACAACCATCATCATTCGGTGAACAATCCGACCATTCATCAAGGTCTACTGTCGCCAAAACCCATCTCGAGGCTGAACCCACTCTATCGACGACGTGGGCGAGAGACAATGGTGATACGATATCGGATCGTGCAGTCTCTTCAAGGGCAGAAACTGATCATGATACATCACGTCATGTTCATGCCGTCGCATCGACTGTTGACAACGGTACCGGTACCACCATATCATCATCACCTCGGACCGTCGCGTCAAGGGGTCATGACCACATCGATAGTGCAGAGGCAAGTACGGAGTCTACAGACGCAGGGCAGTGTTCCATTTCGACGGAGACGCAACAGCCGAATTCGACTCCCGTTACAGAAGCAACTCCGGACTGTAGGCAAAAGTCGACGACGAGAGACTCGGATATAAACCCAAACCCAGACACCGAAACAGACGCAGAAACAGATCCAGACCCAGATGACGTCCGCACCAAGATCCATCGAGCTGTCCATCTCGTCCGCGACGCAGCTTCTGCAGGAACCACGCTCAGTCTGTCCCAGCTCTCCAAACAAGTCGGTCTGAGTAAATGGCATCTACAGCGCGTGTTCAAACAGCTTCAGGGCGTCACGCCGCGCGAGTTCGCAGAGCAGATTCTCGCGAATACTGAGGTGAGCGGTACTATGGCCACTCCTAGGACTGTTGGAAGCCTCACTATGGCCACTCTGAGAACTGTTGGCTACCGGAAAGACCGTGTCAGCGAGAATGCGTGCCCCGATACTAGTACCTCGAAGGATGACGAATGTTGGGAGTCTCAAATGGAAATGGGCGTTCTTTCAGGTGAGGAACGATCCGCAACCAGCTCTGCGACCTTTGCACCGTCGATTTTAGTATCTGGAAACGAAAGAGAGGAGCTCACCTCTAGTCGACCCGGGCATTGGGAAACCTTGGTACCGGACGGCAGTCTAGATATGACTCTGGCTGTGGACAGAGACATGGACATGAATACGGATCCGAACCTGGCTGCGGATTCGAATTTGAATGTGCATATGGACCAGGATGTTGAGGATCTCCTTGGTGATCTGTTTCCAGAGCTCTACGATTATCCCTGACACCCATCCGATCAACACTGGCAGGGTCTGGTCTTTAAGGGCAGATGACGGTATCAACGTCTTCTCTGTATGTGGTCATGCATTCCTTTGCTTCACGAGTGCAATGTCAGGATGATAGGATGTGCATGTCATATAAGAGAGAGATGATAGACTGTCCCAAGGAACCAAGTGTCTTGATCTTGATGATATTGATGATCTCGTAGGGTGTGCGAATCGTGATCCATGAATCGAGAACTCATTCTCTGGTCTCTTCGTCTCTTCGTCGCTTCTTCGTATACATGACTGAACTGACATCTCACACCTTACGGCAATGCTCTCTTCCAGGCAGCCGTACTGTACAAGTTTGCCTCCCATCCATTCTCACCCACGTCAAATCCCTCAAGTCATCGCATCATGCCATCATAAAAGTCTCCCATTGTAAACAGTCATAAGCGGCTCAAAGAATCCAAAATCCCAATATCGCATTCAAATGTCCCAATCCCAAGGCAGACCCAGACTGTCATGGTCGTGGCCAAGTAACTGATAGAAACTAATCAGGCCAAGGCCCTGTTCAGTCTATACCCGCCCACGCCCAATTTCAACAGAAACAAAATCACAACAGCCGTGCTCAGAAAACTCAATATAGCCACCAGGATCAGGTGTCCGACCGTAAACGCCTGCCGTGGCCTCCGCGGTCCTTTCACCGGCGCAGTCGGTCCGACCATCTTCTTAATTGGCGTGACTTTCTCGGTGATACCGGTCTTGACGCCTCGTTGGAGACCAGGAAGGCCGTCCATACTGCAAGCGTTTTTATGGGCCCAATATCTGGGAAATAGTTAGTATACAGATTGATAGGTAGGCAGGTAGGTATGTGTATCGCCTCTTCGAACAACTAGCACAAGTATGGGTAGGTATGTATGTGTATGGCCAGAGCCAAACAATCAGCACACATATAGGTAGACACATGTGTGGATGGCCCAGGGCCAGGCCACATGTTCGAAAACAAAGGAGATGGTAACAGGCAACAGGCAACAGACAACAACGTACACTTCAATACCAGTTTTCCTCTTCCCGGCCTTCTCGTCGGCGACTTTCTTCTCGAAAAAGTCGTTCAGCGTCGACCGGAAGCCGACAAAGTCGTAGCACGGCATGGAGAAGCCGCACGACGTGCCGACCTGGTCGATGTCGACTAGGATGATGGACCGCGTGCCGGGGATGATGTTTATGTTTTGGGATGAGACGATATCGTTGAACTCGCGCGTGCCGTATTCCAGAACATTGCCTAGAGAGAAAGGGGATCAAGGTATCAGCAGCTTGACCGATCGGAGAGTACAGAGTATAAATCAAATGTCCAGCCCATAGCAGTAACGACGTTCTTCCGTTCTTCTTGGACAAACTGACAGATAAGATAAGGTAATCAATATGGGTAGGGGATGCTCATAAAGTCATATCATGCATGTTCCATCTTCCTGCTGGCAAGCCTACCTACCTTTTCCAAATATTCTCAGAATCCTGGGTGGTCCATGAAACGCGTTGAACATGACAGTGATTCTGCCATTGCCCGGCTCGTGCAGGTGGCTTGTCGTCTCGATCCCGGAACCCGTGAGATCCATGTACCAGAACTTGCGGATGACGATATCTTTGTCTTTGTCTTTATCGTTGTCATTACCATTCTCTGTGTCCGTGTCTGCGGTGCCGTTGGAATGTCCATTCTGTATCGTCGGTTTGCCGGTCACGGTCGCGGTCGACGATGGTCGTCGTTCTTTGATCACGCCGAAAAAGGGTCCGCCCTTGTCGGACACGCCTTTGGGTGAGACGTTGATGTGGCCGTCGCCTGCGAGCGGGGCGGAGCCGATCCAGAACACTTTCTGCTCGAGGAGCCAGGTGACGAGGGATGGTGGGAGGGTTTCGTAGAAGACGCCCATAACTTTACTGTCTTGTGTCTGGTCTTGTCTGCGGTCCAATGTAAGGTCTGGCCGAGTGGTATATTATAATCTCTTTGTTTACAGAGTACGCTTCGCTTCCAATCGGCCCCCGCGGTGGTTCGTTTGGACTCTTTCGGAAGTTGAAATCTTGTGGCTGAATCGATCTCCGACGGACGGCCTGCGCTCTCGAAAGGATGGACTTGGGTCTCGTAAGGCGCAGCTTGTTAGGTACAATATGCACTTCAGGAGTACGTTGTGCAGAAGGTACAAAGGGAGGGGCCGGCCTCTCTGCTTCGATAGATCACCATATTCACTAGACAAACGCCTGGTGAGTCAATGGCCGCCGCAGTTGAGCGCAAATCCGGGGAGAAGGGGGGAAGCCCGATGTCGCCGGTGGGTCGATGGATGTTGTTTGCTATCAGTTGGTGAATATGTCGAGATAGGAGACTGTCGACAGTAGATAGCCTCACGATAGCATGTACATGCCTACCAAGTCCCAACCCCTCGCTGGTGTCGACCAGAAGATACACACTTGGACTTGTCGAATCGATTCACTTATCATCTTCTTCTCATGCTAGAAATATATACTAACGCCGCATGCTAACAACCACACAACGATGAAGATACGCCCAATGTCCCACAGCCGCCACACCCGGTGAACCCTCTGGGTCTGATTGACTGTTGACGCTCCCCTTCCAGCCACTTGATCAATCAAATCCAACCATGACCTAGGTTTTGGCTCGTTTCACTCCCGCTGCATCCATCAACACATCGTCTTCACGCTTGCGCTTGCAAAACTCCTCAAAACTGTTGCCCTCTTTGATCCAGACGTCTTTGACTTCCCACGTCCGTCGGTCCCACTCCGCTGCCTTGACAGACCATTCCTTCAACGCCCGCTCATTCTCCTCTCTGTTCTTGTTGATCCGGTCTGTATACGGTTTCTTCTCTTCTTCGGAGAGTCCTGCCCACATTTTCCCCAACTCGACCCGGACTTGATCGCGCTCGGATTGTTTACCCTTCTTACCCGCCTTTTTGCGTTCCTCTCCCAGCCGGTTCTTGACCTCCTCCCAATGCTCGCCGGAATAGAGAAGGAAAGCGTTGACGGTTGACTTTTGAGGTTTCACCGGCGGCGGCCCAAGGTCGTTGTAGATTCGCACCCACATTGCAGCGTCCCACGCTTCTTGAAGGGAATTGTCTTTTTCTTTGATGGGTCTGGTAAAGGTGCCCGCAGGTAGTAGCTCGTCGCCTTTCCTCTTGCCGCCTATCACCATGTGAGTATCCATCTGTGTCAGGTCAATGGGCGCAGAAGACGCCTTTTTAGGGGCGGCAGGCGGCACCAGAGTCGACGGGATGGCGATGGGTCCGACCATCGATTCAAAGACTTCATGAGCCGCCCGCAGTCCAGAGAGATAGGCGCCATGCACAGTGGCGGGATGTGTCGCGATGGTGGCTTCACCGGCAAAGAAAAGATTCTGGATCGGCGCCGCAATCAAATCGTAGTCGCCGGGGCGCGCTTCAGCAGCAACGTATGAATAAGTGCCTCGTGCAAATCGATCCGAGCCCCATCGAGTGACAATGGATTCCAAGGGTGACGGGACGTTGGGCGCGCCGAACACGTTTCGCAATTGACCCAGACATTGTCCGACCAAGTCTTCGTCACTGACTCTCTCAGCCTCATGTGCCGCCTCTCCGGCCACAAGCGCAATCAGCACAGGAAGCCCACTTGTCTGGATACAATTCCAGAACAAGTAGAATTGGCCCCGACCTTCTTTGTAATCACTCTGGTGAAGACCTGGTCCGTTGCGGGCGCCACGAAGAAGCCCGAACATGTCTCGGTCAACGTCCCAGAAGGGCCTCTCGAAAACGAGGATGACTTTGTTGAGGAGACCAAAGCCCATTCTTCTGATGGCATCCCGCTTCCATTGCGGCAAAGGAGGGTCGAACTGTATGGATTGTTCTTTCAGCACGCCCAGAGGCGCAGTGAAAACCACCTTGTCGGCTTCGATCGATTGTCCGTCTTCACAAGTGACAGTGGCCTTGCTCTGCGAGCCGGCAGCACTGTACTTGATACTCTTGACCACTTTACGCGTTCTCACATCAAGCGGCTCGGGATGACGCCACAAGGCACGCGGTACCTGTTGGTAGCCACCGACAACTTGAGAATGTTCGCCTTCAAACTCATTTCCAATGTCCTGATCCCAGCCGCGAAGGCTCAGCTTGTCGACATTGGCGGCATTGGCATATTCGAGGTTCGCAAAGTGCCAGTTAATCAAGCGAAGAGCATATGGCTTTAGGTCGAGAAATTTCTGGTACTGGTCAATCCCAGTATCCATCACCGTCCCGAGCGACTGATTGAGCTCCTTGGCGAGGTTATCAAGCTCAAGTGTTTCATGCATCTGGGTGGTCTTCCTAAGCAAGAAGCCGAACTCTTTCGCTGCTTGTGCCGCAGGCAACTGCATTTTGGTTTCCATGTTTGTATCAACTTCTTCCGATGACTTGTCACCCTTGGCGGCTCGGTGGCCTGCGCCCCGTCGTCTCGTCTTTTTGCTCGGTAACAGTTGATCAATTGTACCCAAAGCGGCGGCTTCTTCGTATTGTCTGATTGTCAGCGACTCTTCATCGGGAGGGTCCCGCCCGGCATCGACCAACTCCTTGTCACCCTGGGCCGTTTTCTTCACGGTATTCTTTAGTCGGTAATGCCCGGTTCGATCGAGGACATCATTGTACAGTCGTTCAATCATCGCATCGTTGGCACCATTGACCGGGGTACCGTCGATGTCGTAGAGGGTAGAAAGGTCTCGAAGGTGGTGACAGTCTAGGGCCAATTGACCTCGCACAATGGCGTCTAGAGGATTTCCGCGCTCGAATCCGACGATGATGTGAGCACCCATCTCTGCCGTTGGTCTTTGACCAGGGGCCAACTTTGATGACCGCAGGCTACTAAGTGGATGTGAGTAGATACGCCCACCTATGCGATGGCGACCTTCAAGGACAATGATCTTGGGAGGAGCTCGATCGGGATAGTGGTGGAAGAGATTCGTCAGTTGCCGTGCGGTACTCAAGCCTGCCATGCCACCTCCGATCACGACGATGGTCTCTCGAGGGACTTCCTTTTTGCGACCCCGGCCCACAGCTTTGGGAATTGTAGGAGGCTCAACGCAGCCAAAGTTAATATAGCCTCGTCTGAGAAGCCATTCGTATGCAAAACAGGCCAGGCGAGTCCATCGTTCGTCTCTTGTACAGCCGATGGCTTCTTCCAGGGTAACACTGACACTGGGATTCCGGACCCACAATCTGAGAATGCCATTCCGTATATTCAGGTACACAGTTACATGGGAGTAACATAACTTATCCTGTAGAAGCTTGTGTTCGTCTTCGTGCAAGGCATACGGGTTCAGCCGGGATGCTTCGGCGGCAGCTACACATTGGCTGGCATATTCGGACGGAGATAGACGAGAAGGGATGGATGATTTCGCTCGACAGGTTGCAGGTGCCTTCATGAACATAAATGGGCTTACCCTGTCCGATGTTTCGGCTTTGGTCTCCACTTTGAGTGTGATATTGGCCTTTTGTTCTGCAATCGATGAGGCGACCGACCCGGAGGTCATGGAGCTGTTGGGCGAGTCACGATTGTCGCTTTCATGCTGCAGACTTCTGAGGATCGAGCCCGGCCCGTTAGAAGTAGAGTAGTCATCGTCATCATCCTCTTCCATTTTCACAACGGAGTCATCCGAATCGTCGGGTAAGGCTTGGTCATGACTGGAATTGATCAGAATCATAGGATCCATAAGAACATCTGGCCTTGCTCGGATTACAAGTTCACTCATACCTTGCATGATCCGACTTCACCGTACTCATCATCACAGTGCCAGACATCGTTATTGACATGCTTTCTGAGGGGGTGGAAAGTGTTATTGCAGCCGCCATGGAGACATCTATTGAGGTAATGAATGAATGACTTGATATTGGCAGGTTCCCGTGGGCAAGATGGTAAGATTGGGCCGGGGAGTAAATTGAACAATCGAAAGGAACCTCGCGAGGAAGGACCTGGAACTTATTAGCATCGCTTTTGGAATGGTGGTAGTAGTGATCTTGTCGAATTCCTGGTACCTTTTGTGTGTACCTTACAGGTATATGCTCCACTGATATCTAGATGTCGCAAGAAATCCGTGTCACGGTTGCCATGTAGACGTCGCTCCGGTAGGTATATGAATCCTTGTCGATCGGAAAGAAGGTGTAGGCAGACGACGAAGCATTATCAGGCCACTGAATGGAGAGAGCGAGGATGAGTAGAAGTGAGGTCGACAGAGATGGATCTCAGCCGTCTTCGCCGCCACTAAAACGGAACCCTCGACGTCTCTTCCGACCTCAACCCATCAACAACCATACCTCTTGTGCACATATATCATCATGATAAGTCTATCGAAGGTTCCTTTTATGGCTGTAACACTTCACCCGCCCTCTTGAAGCTCCGAGACCGATTCCTGATGCATTTGACCTCGAAGTCATCCAACTGCTCCCCCTGCAACCCCTCATTGCTACACCTCAGGAGCTTCTCCTGCGCTGGCCTTGATATGCCGTCCACGGCCTTGAAAATGAAGGAAATGCATGAGAAAACATTCTACACATTTATATACTGGCCTTCTTAACCTCTCGGCCTCATTCGAATTCTTGACCAACGACTTGGGTGCACGTCGTTGTCTGGTGAAAATTTTGCACAAGCTGCCACGCCAGCCTTACACTTTCCATATCTGCCTCATCTGCCTCACCGACTCTAGTAACAAGATCAAATCTCCTGAAAACATGGACACTTCCTGCATGCTATGTACGGAGGCAGATATTACGATGGTTTGATGGTTTGTGAGTCTAGTTGGTAAACATACTCGTCAGTGCATGATGAAGATTGCCATCTCTTCTTGATGTCGTCGTTCACAATGTCTATCAAGTTGCTCAAGCCTGAAGGTAAAGCTTGACGCTTGCTCTCCATCATGTTGATGTTTCACATTGCCAATGTACGATTTTCCGTGTCGGTGCTGATGTGAATAGACAAGTCTATCCAAAGTACTTAGCAGCACCCACCTTCCCACGACCTCACCACGCCATGTCCTTGGGATACTTCCTGACTGTCAGCCTAGCCAGCCCTTAAATCAACCTCGGTGCCTTTCATGTTGGTCGAGAAGAGTCTTGAATATCTTGCAGAAGAGGTTGGCCCTAGGCAGGAGCTCGGGTGCTCAATTGGCAATATTCATCGCCTCGTATCGGTCGGTGCCTTGGTGCGGGTGGGTACCTACCTGGCAGATGAATCTAATAGCAAAGACAGAGGGAACAATAAGAAGAGTCGATTGTGAGGTTCTGTGGCAGCGGTGTATGCCTGTGAGGCTGTGAGAATCGAAGTCGCACTATTGTGTTCTATGCAAAGTGTGTAAGCGCAGGTAGATTAGCAGCTTCTGCGCACCTGCATCGCCTATACCAATCATGCGTGATGCTCAAGGAGAGGACTAGGAGAACATCAGGTACATATGTTACTCTAGCCGAGTTAGGCACTTCTGGTTCCTTTGAGTGGCCCTTCGTGAACACCGTCCTATCCATGTGCTTGGTGGGGTGTTGTATACCGCAGCCAAGCATCATAGAGTTTATCAATTGACTTTCGAGATCTGTCGCTCCCACCATCCAGGAATGGAGGCTACTTATTGCCCAAAAGTGCGAACAGTCATGAGGTGTGTGTACACCGCTACCAGAATTTCTCCGTTCTTGACCATGAAACAATGAAGACATTGGCCCTCTGTCGAACCTACATCTCTCACAGCGTTTCGACTCATCCACACCTCTCCATCCAACGTATCCCGAAACTCCGCCTGTCATCCAGGAACTCCAGAAAGATGGCAACCTTAATAGACTCGATCCCACATATCATCAGGACTGCTGAGGATCCTAGACAGGAAGGTGTCTGGACTGCTCGGCTGAGTAGGATAGACCAGGTGAATTCAAAGATACGTGTATTGAGACTGAGTCTCCCGAAAGATGGGGTATGTATTATTTCTTACTACTCATGAATGGGTTTAAGTCGATGTTTGGACTTCACGAGAGTCTTTCAGGAGGTCAACAAACCAGCCTGCCGCCAGAAGGGGTTTCCTTGGTCTTTATCGGGGTCCTTGTCTGCCTCTCTAGCAAGCTTCTTTCACGAACCTCCCAGCCTCGCGGAGAGCAAGACCTGCCTGCTTACTCGCGAGACATTGCCCATTACGAATGAACCATTGATCTTTGGTCGCCAGTTCTTGGAGAGTCATCCATACTTCTTGTACCATTGTGGCTCACTCGCAGACAAATCTAGTAGCGGCCCTTACGCCACCTCCCAGGTCAATATGTAGACCTGTATATCCCCAACATTGATGTCGTCGGCGGCTTTACAATAACCTCGCCGCCCCAAGCTTCTTCGCAGTCGCAAGAAGATCCTCATATTGAGCTAGCCATCCAGTCTTCTCCCACGAACCCGCCGGCGGCGTACCTCTGGCGGTCGCCACGAGAAATACTCGATTCCGCGGTCTCCTTCAAGGTCGGTGGGAATTTCGTCTACCCGCCTCAGACTTTGGGAAGGGAGCAGCATGGCCGACTGGACAGGCTAGTCTTGATTGCGGGAGGAGTGGGCATCAACCCGATCATGAGCATGGTTTCTGCCATGCATGATACGGGCGTGACAAATACACCTGATGGAATGCCTCGGACTGTGAGGGTGTTGTACTCTTCCAGACGGGAGAAGAACAAACAGGGTGGTACAGAAGAGGTGTTGTTTGAACGAAGACTGAAGGATATTGCGCAGCATTGGAGCGGCAATCAAGATGTGAACTACAAGTACACTTTCTTTGAGACGGGTGAGGGCCACGCAAAAGAGGACGAGCATGGAGGGAATATGGCCACCTGCTACAGGAGGATCAATCATGATGACTTGTTTGATGCCATCGGCCCAGAGAACGGGCGAGGGAAAAGCTTCGTCTACGTGTGTGGGTTGCCGACGATGACGGACGAGTTTGTCGCGTTGTTGAAACAGACACCAGGAATGGATGGGAACAAGGTCCTCTGCGAGAAATGGTGGTGATTGGGCACCAACCACAATACTTTAGACAATGGAAGCAAAGTCCCATGCAATGACTTGACCAAGGCTGATGTATACATGGTTGGTTACAATTGGGAGGAATGGGTATCATTGCCCAGTTCAGCCGTCTACCCGTACGTGTTTTCTTCTCTGCCTCGTACTATATCGCGTACGTCGCACCATCCAAAGAACGGGAGTTACACCAGGACCGTGTTCAGCCCAACCGACGCCGAACGCCATGCGAAGGGACCTCATGTATGCTATCGTAGAGCCCGTAGCCAGGTCACTTGAAAAGAACAGCGCCAGCGCCACGTTACACGTCAACAACAACCTTCCCTCCATCGACGATGATGTGTTCATCGATCCGCTTCTCAGTGTCACCCCACTCGAGCCGTTTCCATGTCGCGATGCGGCCTTCGTTCATGTCAAAGTCGAAAAACCGCACCCGCCGATGATAGCCGTAGTAGCCACCGTATCCGCCGAAGCCGGCGCCGCCGCCATAGCACATCCACAGTGCCGGCTGCTTCTTCTCTTTGTCCAGCGCGGGGAGACAGTAATCGTTGACGTGATCGTGACCACAAGAAACTGCGACGACGCCTTCCTCGACGAGCGCATCTTTGAAGTTCGAATTGTAAGCTGGAGCTGTTGGCGGTTCGGTCCAGTTGCCCACCCACGGTAGCTGGTCGGGATTGCGGTATTCCGGAAGCGGAATGTGGATGAACGCCAGATCCATATGGATATGGGTGTATTCTTTGTGCTTGCGCTTCAGCGACTGTGAGGTGGATTTGAACCAGTCGATCTGGGATTGCTTCAGCCAGTCGTAGCCGTGGTATTGGCGTTCGTCGGGCGAGTACGAGTGTGTGTCGAGCATGTATAGAGTCAGGGCGGAGTGGGCGGTCGAGCCACGACCGAGAATCTCCACGACATAGTTGCCGACTCCTTCGACATCTTCAGGTCCAGCCGTGGAAAGGGAATAGGGGAGGCCGTCCATAATAGCCATCGATCCCGCGCGGTCAAGGTTGCCTTCGTCGTCGTGGTTGCCGAATATCCCTGCGTAAGGTATCTTGTGTCGGGCAAACATCTCCGAGTATTTGAAGATGGCCGTCTGCGCATCCGGTGCCGTCTCGCCATTGACTTGGTCCCCCGTCAGCACGATAAAGTCCGGGCTCTCTTCATCAATCATCCTCTCGATGAACTCGAGCGTGCGGGGATCGGCTTCGCACTTTCGTCCTTCGGGCAAAGCGTCTCGACATTTGCCCAGACCCGTCGAAAGGTGCAGATCCGCTGCTTGCATAATCTTGAATTTACCATCTTTTCGGATTCGAGGCACCGGCTTCTCAAATTTCTGTAGTGCCGGTCCTTTCCTAACGGTGAGCCGTGGCTCGGGTGTATCTGCCTCCGCGTCGATGAAGAGGCCGAGATCCTGCACTCTCCAGTTCGACCGTGGATCAACCGCGTCTGCCCCGAACAGGACGTCGACTCCGGTCACCACTTTACTCGGGTCGTTGCTCTTTGGCGACTTTTTAATCCAGAGTCCCGCCGGCCGCGACTCCCATCTCTCGTTTTTTGACAAAGGATCGATAGTAGGTGGTTGTAGGCGGCCGATCTTGATGTCGTGGACTACCTCTTCATGCGGCTTCAGATCATCTTCCCGTTTTCTCTCGACATGGAGGTACGCTTTCGATACATAACCACTCCCAAGATACAGATCTTTATCGATCCGGTGCCAATGTTCCGAGTCGATCGCGCAACGACTGAAAGGGTTGATCGACGAGCAGGTCACGACAGTCACATCCGTGACCATAAACCCGGGATGATGCGCAGGCAGATGATTGTGAATGGCGCTGGGAAGGACTCGATATCGATTGTCAAGGAAGAAAACGACGAATAGCACTATTGATAGTAATACACCAAGCTGAATACCAGTGCGCACCTAGGAGTATGGGTTAGCAATATGAGACGGGTGAAGAGGGCGGCCTTCTCATACAAGTCTTCGGGTCATGCTAGCATGTGGATGAGACCACGCCCTGGGCGTGGACTCTGTAAAAGGCGCACGCCTGTCAACAGCAACGATGTACTAGTATCGAAGAGTCATCCGAGCAGAGCTTCTGGAAGCGGTGTCGGATGTGTGCAGTCACAAAGAGTGTGTTACACGACTCTACCACCTTTCGATTCTGTCTCTACCGTGATCTTCAAGATGTTGCCGCAACCCTGTTCAAGAAATCTGGGGTTTCGGCTGACTTTCCGTATTCTGCCAGCGCGCCTAAAAATGTTCGGGATCGTGGTTCAGGAACCATGAACCATGCTTATGATGGACACCAGGTAGTCTCTTCAGCAGCGGAAGAACAGAGGCCTGTGAGTGCTTGGGTGCGGTTGTGGGATGTCCGGAGTTCTTCAGTATCTGAGAAGGACTTTCGGTTTCTCGAAAGGTCGATATACCAAGGATGTTCTGACTCAAGTTGCTGCGAAGGACTTGACGCGGTTTGCGGGTATGTCTCCCTCTCCTTTCGTTTTGGTAGTTGGGGTTCCCTCTGACTTTCCCAAGAGGGCGATAGAGTGCTTGTGGACGGGTTGCGATTGACGGCTCCTCTACAACGGAACACGAAATCCGAATTCCAACATGGAGCACTCCCGCACAACGACGTTATCGGCAATCCAACTTCGCCCTCTTATGTCCGCTCAGCGAAGGGCGGCCTGTACAAGGTCGAATATCCGTCCCTGGAACAATACGTCTCACTTACTCCGAGACTCGTGACGCCGGTGAGCTCGAAGCTGGACGCTGTTTAGGCGGGCAACGGCTTACTGAACCAAGGTTTATTCGAACTACGCCTCTACAATCGTGTCTCAACTGGACATACATCCGATCCCTTTTGAGAGGGATGCTTCCTCGCAGCGGCTGGAGATCCTAGAAGCAGGTACAGGGCATGGGAGCCTCACACTCCACGTTGCACGAGCGATAGCGGCAGCAAATCCTCCTCCCCCAAACATCGAAATGCCCCAGCTTCGACCAGTTGATCCTGAGCGTGCGGAACTGGCCGACAAACGAGACATACAAAACACCCTTGTTGAAGCCTGGAATCAATGGAAAGAGAAGCGGCGCGCCGTCCTGCATACGGTGGAGAAGGTCGTCGCGAACAGATATCATGCGGAAAAGATCGTGCGAGGTTTCCGCCAGGCGCTATATTGGCCTCACATTGATTTCTACGCCGGAGACGTGAAAGAATGGATCGAAGAGCAGTTGAAGTTGAGGCGCACTCGTGACTGGAACCCCTTGGCGAGAACCGAAGACAGGTTCCTTGACTATGTCTTGCTTGACATGCCTGGCGTGCATAAGCAGCTCCAACATGTCCATCCTGCCATGCGCGAAGGGGCGAAACTGGTGGTCTTCGTGCCATCTGTCACCCAGATTGGGGACTGTGCTCGAGTGATCGAGGAAGGATCGCTTCCGTTGACCATGGAGAAGGTCCTGGAATTGGGAGAAGGTATTAGCAGCGGCCGCCGGTGGGATGTGAGGATGGTTATGCCACGACGGCCTAAAAGTGCTCCCAAATCCATGGTGCCTTCGTCCAACATCGATTCCGAGTTAGGCACCGAGAAGCCTCCCGCTGCTGAAGTGGGAGACGGTGACATTACGCTTGCGCAAGACTCGGTCGACAACACCACGATCCCCTTATCAGATGAACAGCAGGACGAGCCAGTCATGGTATGCCGTCCCCTAGTGGGCGAGCGCACGTTTGGTGGCGGCTTTATCGCCCTTTTCCGGAAGACCTCGCCCGAGTCTGCGGCGTTGGCGGTCGAATGGCGGCGTGGCCAGACTGGTATGCGGCCCCCCTCTACTCATGGATCTGGTCCCAGGCGAATGATTCGATGCTAATTATGTGCAGGGTGGTCCAGGAAGCGCAATCGATGAACGTCGAGGCCCTTCCCAATGGCTTGGAGATGTAGAGACTTGAATGATACATCGCTGTACTGTCTACTCTACGTTGGGCATCACTCTGCCGCAAATGTCGCAATCGACGGAACGCGAGCGTGCCAACGGGATAGACCAGGAGGATATAAAGCTATATTCCACCAGGCGAAACTAAAATGCACCCTGTGTCCTGAATAAATCGAGTGAGCCATGATAGGCTCCCTTACGCCTGAGATGATGCTGATAGATTCCTGCCCGTAGCAGCTACTCTCTGCTACACAACGTCAGCCAAACCCCAATCCTTCGACACAGCCCATCTGATGTTAGCTCTGCTTCATGAAAAACGGCACCTGGTAGCTCGTCTCGTCCCCACGGAGGACAATAGGTGTTTTGAGAAGCCCGCCACTCATTTCACACTGGCGGGAATGGCAGCTTTGGCCTTTTCCAGCACGTTCTCTGCGACGGGCATGGCCCTGCTCTTCAGGCCGTCGGCCAACGGCGCCGTGTTTGCTTTCACTTTCTCCGCAACAGCCTTCAATTTCTTCTCCTTGACCGTCCGCATATAAGCGAAAAGGAGTATGAAAAGAATCTCGACTCTTTCCTTGGTCATCATGAGAAAACCTTGTACCAACAAGCCCTTGACTAGTTGAGGCCCTATCCCCTTGAACAGAGCAAGTGGCCCTTCATGCTCGATGATGTAGGCCATAACCTCCCCAAAGCTTTTGAAGGGTTTCCCTTCGCGAGCTGGCGGAGGCCGTGATTGAAGACCAACCTTTGCGACAATTAAGGGTTGGGTAGTCATGGTGGCTATGGACTTGGAGAGGGCTCCGAGAACTGATGGATTGTTAGTGAAGGTTTGGAACCAAAGTCATTGCCAGAGATAAACTCACGGAAAGCCTCCCAAGGACGTAATCTTTCCCTTCCTGGATACAAAATGTCTTTCAAGCGCTGGTAAGCGCCATAAGTAATTGCTGGGTTGACACACAGCACAAGCGAGGCCTTCAGTCCTCTCCACAGTCCGCTCAAGCCGTCATCGCTATGAACCACCTCTTTTCCTGTTTCCCAGAAGCCCTTCTTGTGGCCTTTTGGCTGTGTTTGCTGTCGTGTGGTGATGACTGCGACGGGGATGGTGAATATCTGTGCAACGGCTCCAGCCACAGCTCCCAACCCTAGCTCGACTGCCGTGCCCGGGTGCTGGCCGGCGATCGTTTCGTATTTGGTGTACAGGCCTCGCACCACCGAATACCAGTAGAAGTATGCAAAGTTCGTCGAGGCCACGCCGAGAAGTGCCCCGTGGAAACCCGAATACAGACCCTGAATACCCTCGTGTTCTACTATCTTTTTAATGGCGTCCAAGGTTGATTCGTAGTGATGCTGTTCGGCGGTGTGCTGCACGGGTTGGTCCCGCTTCTTGATCTGGACTTGTAATCTCGTCTTAACACTGTAATCAAATCAGTCAAGAGACCTTCTTCCCACAACTTTCAGATGTTCGTACATGTCGAGTGGATATACTAAGGCATTGGCCAGCACGGCACCTGCGGCACCTGCGACGGCACTCTCCCATGGCGCCAGATCTGAAGGCTTCGACATGTTCACCGGCGATCGAGTCTCACAGCTGCGCTGAGGCAGACGCCACGATATCGTCCTCTGAAACAAGCTCTAAGTGCTTTTGGTGTACAGGAGAAGTAGTGACGTAGCGAGACACCGGCCTGTGTGAAACCGGCAGCAAGCACTGCGATAGTCGACTGCGGAGAAAGATGGCGGAGGAATTAGGGAGACGGGCAATGTGGTCGGCAGGTCTGAAGGCTTAGGCGAGGGTAGATTGGTAGTGTAGTGAGAGGAAATGGATAGCTACCTATGTAGGTACGTGAGAGCAGGTATAAGGCTAGGAGAAGATACTCATGATGGAGGGATCATTGACGAGATTGATTCTCATGTCCCCCAATGCTGCAGAGGCCGGGGAGTTGCGCACGGGGAGGATCTCATTAGCGAATGGCTCCCGTGTGCAGTTGGACACGCAGATGCCGAGGTTGTGGCCATTCCATCCCTCTTGGTCCGGGCCAACCTCCAAGTTTGGGGGAGGCTGAACCCTGGCGGTGGCGGTGGAACCCCGGCTGGTTGCCGACACCGACATTTGGCCCGCGGGAAAGATTACCGCGGAGCATGCGCTGCGGGATGCAGACGGCGGATCATACGGCCAATATAGAGTGATTTCTCTCGTATACTACGTACCCTTGTACTTCGGTCGACAACCATTACTAGAGGTGCTTTGCTCCATCGCTGCGCGTCCACTGCAATGGAGCAGAAGCGGTCGAGGTTGGAGATCCAGGCACTTTCGGTCGAGCAGACAATACCTCGCAATTCCACCAGCAATGCCGCCCTCGAAGCCACCATCAAAAGTGCCGAGCTGTACCTTCAAGCCCTCCGCCTCGCCGACAAGCCTGCCGATCGAAAGAGAATCGATGCAAAGTGTAAGCAACTCTTAGCACAGGCGGAGCGGCTCAAATCAAGTCAAGATGCCATTACTTCCCCAGAACGAAAAGAACGGTCGATCGGGACCCTCAAAGCTCCCGCGCCATCTCGCAAACTCACAACAAGAGAGAATATCATTCTCCTAGAAGGCGCCAAACTACACGGCTTCGTCTTCAAGCCATGGACTAGCGCCCCTTCTCTTGATGAATTCCAGCTGGAAGATGGCGGACAGCCTTTCGTTGATTCCACTCCTCTTCCTCTGTCTTCGACGCAACTAGGGTCGTTCGACGGCTGGAAGCGGCCACATGAAGCCCTGTCTCATCTTACAGTCAATGGAAAAGAGCAAATGTCATCTAGCAAAGCCATAATGCACTTGACCGAGGCGATGGATCTTGTCCAGGACATGACATCGGACTGTTCAGTGGTTGCAAGCTTATGCGCAGCCACGTCCAGAGTAGAACGTGGTCACCCAAAGGTAGGCTCAACTTTGACTAACGTGTGTCTTATTGACACGTGCTCAGATTCTTCGTTCAATCGTGCATCCGTATGACTACGAAAACGACCGCATCTCCCTCTCACCCAATGGAAAGTACGTTCTCAAGCTGTATTTCAATGGCTGCTGGAGACGGGTCGAGATCGACGATTATCTCCCTACATCCAAGACTTCGAGAGTGCTTCACGTCATCGACCGCCGTCACCCAGGGCTACTTTGGCCGGCGTTGGTTGAAAAGGCCTATTTGAAAGTGCGAGGCGGTTACGACTTTCCCGGAAGCAATTCTGGTACGGACCTTGCAGTACTGACCGGATGGATACCGCAGCAAATCTTTCTCCACGATGAGGGCGTCGAAGCGGACCATCTTTGGGAAGAAATCGTCACGAATTTTCGGAATGGCGATGTCTTAATCACAATTGGAACCGGGAAAGTACCCCGGCGTGAGCAGAAGCATTTGGGACTTGCAGCAGAACACGACTATGCGATTCTTGACTTGACTTCAGAAGGTGCCACAAGGGAAATGCTGGTCAAGAACCCGTGGGCTGATGGTGATGTGTGGCGAGGCGCAGCGAGAAGGAGGCCGAATCGAGATGGCGATGATGCTGACGATACCACAACTGGAAGCAACGGAATGATGCCAGGTACCTTCTGGATGGATTTTAACAATGTGTTGCAGTACTTCGAAAACATGTACATCAATTGGAACCCTGGTCTGTTCTCGCACCGGGAAGACCTTCACTTTTCGTGGCAACAAGCCCGTCAGTCCGGATCGATGGACAGTATCCTGGTCGACAACCCACAATTCGCCGTCACGACCTCTGCTGACGGCGAGCTGTGGTTACTAGTGAATCGCCACTTTCGGACGGGAGATTATAGCCAAGCAACTGCCGGAAAGAACGGGTATATAAGTCTATACTTGTATTCTCGCGACGGGCACAGGGTGGTCTCCAGCGAAGGTGCGAAGCTGCGTGGACCATTTGTGGATTCCCCAAATACGTTACTGAGGTTCAAGGCCACTGCCCGGGCCATCTACACCGCAGTGGTTGTCGCTCAAGATCTGCCGGCTGGAAAGCTAAACTTCACCATCTCAGCCTTCTCCAAGAGCCCCGTCGTGTTGTCTGACGCTCAGCTCAGATACTCGCAAAAGCACAGCCTACAGTCAGCCTGGACGAGGACAAACGCTGGAGGCAATTCAGATTCGCCAGACTATCTCTCTAATCCTCAGTTCCGATTCTCTCTCAACGCACCACAAAAGATCGCGTTAGTCCTTCGTGTTGCCGAGCAAGTCGGAGACAAGTCCGCTGAGGCTGATATCCATGTCAAAATCTTGGTTGTCTACAGCGATGGTTCCAGGATCACCCGTCTACGGCCCCGAGACGTGCTTGCACATTCAGGCGACTACCGTCGAGTAAGCGCTGTGGTCGAGACAGAACTCGAGCGTGGCACCTACACGGTGATATGCTCGACATTCGACCGTCACCAGTACGCCAATTTCAGCCTTGGTCTGTACTCATCCTCATCGTCAGACTCGCGGGCTTCATTCACCCAGCTTCCCGCGGACGGAAGCGGGCGGCTGAGCGTGAAAAGCTCTCCAGCTGTCTTCAGCAATGGCGCGAATCGACTTCTAGCGCCTTTGATGGTGTCGAGGATGAGCCGGATGACTTTTGTCGCGCGCCATAACACTGGTAGCCGCGGTGGCAGTGCTGCGGCAGCGCACAACTCTTTATTCAAGATGACCTTGGAACAAGGTCAAGGCCCGTACAAAAACATCATTGCGAGCAGTGAGGGCGACCACGACGAGTTCGCCACTGTGGCCTCAGGTTTGAGAGTGGAGGATGTCGATTTGCAGCCTTCCATGGGCGGGCCTGGGACTGGTGGGTTGTGGCTGGTCCTGGAGCGACTGCCGCAAGGGGGGCACGACCCGGAAGAGTGCTCTAGAGATGAAGTTCTGGCGGTGGAGATCTTTACCGACGAGAGAGTCGAGCTTGGTCCCTGGGGACTGGGAGATGGCTGACATACATGACATGACTTGGATCGACTCGCACCCTAACTTGACGGATGAAGACGACGAGGGATATGAACAACATCTTCTGGCTACCAGATCAAGCACCAGCTCCCAGATATGTATCAGACCCGGTGTTGGACAGTTGTTTAGTTAAATGCCCTGGACGACCGAGCATAACCGACCGACTCTTCTCCAGACGACGAAAAAGCAATCAATGACCGTTACCTCACATTATATTGACGTTGTTCATTCCAGGCGAGAGAGGAAGCGGCAGCACCTAGTAGATATACACAGTTTCAGGCGTCAGAAGATTACTACGCCGGTCAAGGTTTCAGCTTCCCGTTTAGAAAGCACCCTCCTTTACCCCTGTTGACACAGATTCCTTCCGTTTTCCGTTTTGCTTTCTCTGTAGTTTTCCTCTTTCATTACCATCCTCCAATCTAGGCATCAACCTGCCTGTTTCATAATCAACCCCTTCAACCCCGGCACCAACCCAGAATCGACAAACTGCATGCCCAACCCCCTAGCCCGACCCAGAAGACTAGACAAGATCCCGTCCCCACCACCACCGATCTGATACAACGAATTCAGCGCATCGACCCCACCAGCCATCAAAAGCCCCTTCCCAAACCGATCGGCAGCATACCTCTCCAAAGCCAACGGATCGCCCAGATCCATCCCATGCTCCACAGCATACGCGACCATCGCCGCGAGAGCCCGCGCATCAGCCAATCCCAGATTCAACCCCTGTCCGGCAAGCGGGTGGACGGTGTGCGCGGCATCCCCGACCAGCGCGACCCGCGGACTCACCAGACTCGCGGCGTGGCGGAAGCGCAGTGGGAACGAGGCCAACGAGCCCTCCTGCACGCTCGTGACGATCGGCGGCTGTCGTGCAACGGGTGGCGCGGAAGTATGTTGCAGACGCCAGCGGAGTTCTGCATCGTGTTCTTCAGGAGCTGTCGGTGGCAGGGTGAATAAGTAGCTTATATCAGGCTGCGAGAGACGCAGAGCTGCATTGATCATCGACACCTGGCCTAGTGGAGAGAGGGATTTGAGGTATGTCGCGTGCCGCGGCGTCGTGGACCACACGAGTGAGGCGCGGTTGTTGGGCAGTGGAAGAATCGCGATCGGACCGCCCAACTGTGGCAGGAACCGTTGGTACGCTGTTGCGCGGTTGGGGAGGGGGTCGTCGGAGAATAGGTCGAAAGAGGCGTCGATGTTGCTGTTGCTGTTACTGTCGGAGTTGTTGCTACCGTCGACAGGTTGGACCGATAGAGTCGCTACGACGCCGTGGCGCTGGTAGTCCCATCCGTGCGACTCGATTCCTGCGAAAGCGCGGACGGGCGAGTTGAATCCATCGGCGCCGACAAGGAGCCGTGCTGCGATCGTGGTGGCCGAAAAAGTCCCTTTCCCCTGCGAGCTGGCGGATTCGGATTCGGATTTGGATTTCGATTCGAGATGGAGAACAGGCCACATCGATAGGTTGAGGCCCTCAGGATCGTCTTCGCCCAAGGTGATGCGCGCCACGTTCGTGCTGGAGAACAGAGCCGTTTCGGCGCCGAGCTCGGCGATCAGCTCAAGCAGACCTTTGGTCAAATTGGCGTTCTCGGTCATGGTCGCCACGGTCTGCGGCGGAGCGTTGTAGCGCTGCGCGTCGGCGCGCCAGTCGAATTGCAGCGTCGCGTCGTTGGACGCGTCCCAGACTTGCATCTCGTCGTACGCTTGCACGCGCGTCTGGTCGACGTGTCGCCACCCCCCGGTCTCCTCGAGGAACGAGACCGACGACGGCGTCAGGCTGCTGGCGCGGTTCGAATATTGATCGTCAGGCAGGCTCCAGTGGCGAGTTCTGGACAGATCCTGCGTCTCGATCAATGCTGTTTTCAAGTGAGATGTGATTGGTGATGATTCTGTGAGGTGTGGTCAGCTCATATGCCCGTTGATGGATCAATCGCTCGGGCGGGGGAGAATAAGCTGCAAACGACGAACGTACTCAGAGCAGCGAGGAGCGCCAGCCCAGCTGGTCCGCCACCGACTGTTACGACATCGTAGATCTCGGGCGTGGACGAGATGCCGGTTGCGAATCGCCTTCGTTTCGACGGGTTCAACAGGGCTTTTCGACACTGTGCGCAAATCAAGAGGCGGCTGGTCGTTCGGGGTAGACTGGCAGGCATTGCCGGGACCGGGTAGTAATAGTTGACTCGTTGCAGCTGTGAGGGAGCGTCAGCTGCTTGCGTGGAATGTTGAATTGGGTAGTGGAAGCGGATGTTGTTGTCAATATAAGAACAGCAATACATGAAGCTCGAGGTGGAACAGCACTTTTATATCCTGCCTAATTGGGTTTAGTGCCGTTGGTCACCTACAGGTTGTTGTAGTACAGAATACAGAGTAACTTCGATCAGGCTCGACCATTCGAGGTCATGTAGCGGAGAGCATGTCTTCCGAGGCTGGGCAGGGAGCAGAAATGTTGAAAGCTTTGAGTCTGTTGTTGTAGAGGAGTTATGCAAGAGGATATCCAGATTCTTGTACATTGGTGGAAGTTATATACAATGGGCCTAATCTCGAGGTGGTGTCACCCTTAACCACCAGGGCATAGTGAAAGCGTCCCTGCGCCAATCTCGCTGCTTGCCACAAAATCCTCAAGTTCGAGACATCTTGGATTTCACAGCGACCCGACAGTAAGAGCCGTCGACATACACCAGACAAGAAATCGGCGTGTCGGAAGACTGATCATAGAATGCGCCGACATCGTGGAAAACATGATCCACTTCGCCGAACAAGACGACATGGTCTCCTATCTCGACCAGCTTGTCCTGCAGGAACCGGCAATGCAGTCGAAACGGGACCACCAGATCGCCGGATTCCTTCTCGAAATGGAGGATAGGGGGCATCCTCTTCAGATCCGGCCGGACGTCGCTGACGAGCGCGAAGCTCTCCAGCTCGCCGCTGTCATCATGGAATGGGTAGCTGGCGTTTCCCTTGGTGAATTTGGAGGCTATCTTGTGTGCCTCGTCGGCGTCTTCGGAGAGGAGGTGGACATAGAAGTGGCCGGAGCTGCGGATGGCGTCGAAGGTGGAGGAGATCTTTTTGATATTGAACGAGACTACCGGTCGAGGAAGCAAAGCGACAGTGTTGAAAGATGATACCGTTGCTCCACGCCATCCTTCAGGACCCCCCTCGGGACTGTGACTTAGGTCGGTTGCAGTGATGACGGCCACTGGATAGGGCACGTGGCGCATCAGCCGTCTGACCGCATCAGACAGGTCTCCTGGTTGAGAAGTGCTCGATTCAAGTTCGGAATCGAGTTCGGCGGTCCTCTTAGCTGTTCCTGACTGCTGTGGTGGAGAGGTGCCGTAGGATCTTCTCCCACCAACGGTTGACGCGGGCGTCTTCAGACAGGGATACGAAGAGTGGTGTCCTGTGCTGACTATATGTGGCTCTGCTCTGCGCAGACCGTCGTCAACACCGCTGGATCGGCGGCAGCGTCTTTGGAACTCTTGTGCTTCATGATGTCAGCTATTTTTCGTTCAATCATAAGGCATTCTCGGAGTCGTACGAGGCAAAGAAAGTCGCCGCAGCCCAAAATAGACGCGGGAGATGTTGGCAGAACTGCCACGGCCGACAGTTGGTGTCATGTTGGGCTGGCAATGGCTACCGCCTCACCAATGCCATGGTGGGTGGATAGAAACCTTGGCCGTCCGGACGCTGAGGTAGACAAGAGGGATGGACAACTCAAGGAGGTCAAAGGCTTTGTCTTGCAGCAGCACCACCAACAGAACTTCTACACAACTACGTACAATAATGAAGTTGGGTTGTTGGATCGATTCCAGGCGTGAGCTTCGAAAATCTGGCTCGCATCACGTGGAGATAAGCTTATCGCCTCGACATATGATCATGTATATTGCCGCCGCTTTTAGAATGTTAAATATACCTAGGTTGATTTGTTTGGTTGCTGGTCTATGCAGGGAAGTCGGGGTTCAACCCGTTTTCATTCTTGTATCTCCAGCGACAAGCTGCAACTGTTCCTTCAAATGGAAACGTTCAAATTATGCGGAGCTGGCCCTCCATTTCCTAGAAATCCCACGAGGTTGCGACCGTCGTGGTTCGATCGCATATGAGATGAAAGGCTTTGGAAAGTGCAAAAAGAAGCAGATTCGAGTGAGTTTGCTCCAGTCAGGAGCGCAAAGACCTTCTTGAGGATGTCAGTCTTCTCTCGTTTCGCCCCAGATGCTGCGAGACGGGAAGCCACTCACCGCAGATGGCGGCTCATGAGACCAACTGCTTCTTCTCCTTCTCCTTCTCATCATCACCCTTTTTCGGAACTTATGCATCGTCCTTGTCTTTACTGCCCTGCGTGGGCTCCTGATCAGATGCTTCATCATCCGACTTGGGCAGTGTAAGTCCGGCGAAATAGCCCCGCCAGAGGAACATGCCATAGCCGACCAGGATCGCAAGGAGAAGGATGTTCAACAACCATTTGGCTATCCTGCCATAGGACAAGACCCAACTGGCCAGCCATTGCATGGCGGGCGTGACTAGCTGCTGCCGTTCCTTCGCCAGGTCCGGGTTCACGCTCAGGAGGACGCCGAGTATGGCCAAGAGGATCAAAAACAGTAAAGCAACGGTCAGGACTTGGATGCATGCCAACAAAATCGCAATGTCCTTGGTGGTTGTCAGGACTTCAAAGCCCGCGGCCACGAGCGGCGTTACCTGTTCGAATGCTGCATTGATTTCTCGTGAGTATGGAATGCCCATGATGAATAGACGTGTATAGAGTAGGTAGCGGACTGCTGCTCTGCCCCGAGAGCACGACAGATCAACAGATCAACAGATGAACAGATCAGTCACGTCACCAAACCGTACTCCCAGGGTCAGCTCCCCTGTCGCATGCTTCTTTTCGGCCTAGTACCTGCCCCTTCCGGCTGGCCGCTTGTGTAAAGGCACTAAGACCTAAGAATATAAATAGGGCACGCTTTCCTATGTATTCGATGAAGTCTGGACTAATCCGTCCACCATTCTCTATGGCCGGATATAACTTGGAACATTTCAACTGTAGTAGTTGTGCAGATATTCTCACTGGATGACGTCCTAACATACCTAGCCGTCGCACATGATCTCAGGCAGCAGCGCTAAATTCCTTGGAAATCATTCTTCCAACTTGCGAACTAACAATGCACTGATTTTCCTTCTCCTCAAGTCTCTGCTTTCATCCAAAATGGCTCGGATCACAACTCTGTCTCAGCTCCTTCGTGCTTGAGATCCAGAAAAGCTGATTACGTTGGATGAAGCCGAATCTGAAGTTAGCATTGTCCGTAAGCTATTGCCCCCTCTTTTTGAGCACGCCGATGGCTCGCTCTTACGGAATTCGGTATCTAGCCGACCATAGGTGAAGGACTTCCACTCCAGTAACGGCTTTATCGACAGTCTTCGCTCCTTCAATGAAGACGCGAATGGGACGACAATTACATTAATGGAACATCTCGAGATATTTGCGAGCACGGAACTGTACATACACTTCCAGAAGAATCTCAGCGAGCACAAGAAATCCTGGGAGAAGACTCTAGATCTTGAGCCGTCGTGGATCGCGATGATCTCTTCGCAATGGCTCGCGCTTTCATAGCAGCTCTCGCAGAGTTGAAGGATGATCTTCCGTGGCATCATGTTTGCGAAAGAGTTGGGAAGTTTTCTCTACTTGCTGGCTGTCCGAAGACATTTCCAAACCCTTTTGAGACCATTGACGCGCTGCGCGCCATGAAAGTTAGCACCTTTTCCGACAGCCGCGAAGTCAGGCTATCAGCGGAGATTGAACAACTTCGAAGGCAGATGAAAGAATACGAGGAGAGGCACCGCAGCCAGAGCCGCATTATTGCAAATTTGAGCTACCGATATCTCCTAGAACATCTCCCAGGTCCAGCTCCAAAGAACGTGTCAAACACAGCCCATTGGCAGGCATTTTGGAGCCAGGCCTTGCAGAACGCAAGTCGATCAACAAATCATCCGCTCTCAGTACTTGGGCAACGGTTCGGCAATGACAAAAGGATGATGTTCCAGATTCAGGAGGTTGGGAAAGGAATGTATGGAACATTAAGTACGAATATTCACCACTTTCGGGGGGTTTACAACGTAGAGCCAAGTCAATGGGATGAATTGCCCGGTGCAATTCTACAGGCCTTGTCTCCAACCAACTTCAATGCCGATGGTAGCGTTGATTGGAGTTCAGAACAAGCTCGCTACTACTAGATGATCTTTCTTTGACAATATGAGGCAGGATCAGGAACATCTTCCCCTCCTTAGTAGAGATCTAGTCCCTTAGATCTTTTTCTATTCAAAATTATACTATTTTTTCTAATAAGTTAAAGTTCCTTATTAAGATTTAATATAGTTTTTATAGCTTAGTATCTAAAATCTATACACGGATTACCTAGCTGCTATCTATACCTTTATACTAAAGACAAGCTGGCAGAGTATAGACTTACAGAAGGCGCGAGGACGGACTGCCCCCTACCAAACTCAAGTTGACTATCTATGCCTCTGCTGGTGCTTTCCAATGATACGCCGCAGCGGGATGGTCTGCTGGTGGATGAGTGAGGCCAGCTTTTCCATAAAGGTTCTCGCGATATGTGCCACCCGGAACGGCATAATCATCCCAGAACAATCCCCGCTTGCGCAGCACTGGAAGTAGATGATCAATAACATCCTCAAACGTCTGGGGGAACAAGGCATAAGAGATGTTGAAGCCGTCGACGTCTGCTTCTCTCACCCATCGCTCCATCTCATCTGCGACATGTTCTGGGGTACCGATGACCGTCGCTCCTGATCCGCCAATCTTGATGTCGTCGGCGAGGGCTTTCTTGGTCCACTTGGGTACTCCTGGGTGCGCCTTCGCCCAGCCTTCGACAGCAGAACGGGCGGCGTTAGACTCGACGTATCGTAGTTCTTCATCGTCATCGTACTGCGCCAGATCTATACCGGTCCAGCCGCCAAAAAGGGCCAGAGCACCTTCCTCGGAGCCATAAGAGAGGAGTTCCTCATACTTTGCTTGAGCTTCTTCCTGGGTCTTGCCAATGATCGGACAGAACATGGCAATGAACTTGATGGACTGGGGATCACGTCCGAACTCCTCCTTGGCCATGGCTCTGATATCTGCAATGTTCTTTGCCACGACCACGGGGCTATAGGCACCGACGAAGACAGCCTCTGCATGCTTCGCGGCAAACGCTTTGCCTGCCCTGGAGGTACCGGCCTGCATGATGACTGGTGTCCGCTGGGGTGATGGCTGGCACATATGGGGACCGGGAACCTTGAAGTATTTACCGACGTGATCAATCGTGCGAACAAGAGAGGGATCTGTGTAGATGCCTGTCTTCTTGTCTAACTTGACTGCATCATCACGCCAGGACGATTGCCTGACAAACTTAGCTACAGGTAACAGCAGTAAGACCAGAGAAACAGAGGCTTACCAGAGCTTGTACACCACCTCAGTGTATTCCTCGGCGACATTGTAGCGTTCGTCGTGTTCAGCCTGCTTCTCGAAGCCCATGTTTCGGGCGGCCGTATCCAGATAGCCAGTAACAACCTGTCATGTCGTGAGCCGAACTGAATCCCGAAACTGTGGATTTACCAACTTGGTCCTTAGACCCTGGCAGGGAAGGTAGAGGTCACGGGAAGAGGAAGTAGATGAGCGTCGCAAGGAATAGAGATTTCTTACATTCCAACCAACTCTCCCACCGGTCAGGTGATCCACTGTACTCAGTCTGCGTGCCAGATGATACGGCTGTTCGTAAGTGACAGAAACTGTCACAGCGAATCCAATACTCTCCGTCGCGGCTGCCATGGCTGGAAGGACCGCAACAGGCTCATGGACGGGCCATTGGGCTCCTGTAGCGATCGACGGGGCTGGATTGCGTGGTCCTTTGTATACATCTTTCGAGCCCTATGATGAGCGAGTCAGCCGAGTCGACAACCAGTGGATGTGTGTAACTTACGAGCGAATCGGCAATGAACAAGCCGTGAAATTTGCCTTTCTCGAGCAACTTTGCCAGATTCACCCAGTGCTTCAGGGTGTGGAACTCTGACGAGTGGTCGTCGGGGTGTTGCCAAAGACCGGGCGATTGGTGGCCACTACATGAGCCAACAAAGGCGTTGATGATAAGCTGCTTTTTGGCACCACCTGTCATGCCGTTGGCATCTGTTTGACCTTCGGCCATGACGTTGAACTGTGGAAAAGGAATTTCCAAGTCAAGTGTCGAGGTGAACAAAGGGAGGGCTTTGGTATGAAAGCCAAGCTGGATGATGCAGGAACCGAGAGACTACGGTCCCAAGAAGTCTATGGTGTAATGATGAGTGGTTGAAAAACAAACCTTCCTGAGACGTAAGGCCGGACTACTAGTTTTGTGTAAAGGTACCCTCGCGCAAAAATCCATAGCGTTGTCGGATTCTGATGCAAGAACAGCCTCCAAGCACGCAATGGGCTACCGTCTAGTGCCCCAGCCTGTCGTGGAGATTCTGCCGCAACATTCAGAAACGGCCATTCACATCGGGCTTAGTACCTATCGGAAGGGCAGAGTGTGGGCTTTGGCTAGTACAGTAACTCGTATCTCCAGACACGGTATCTTCATGTCCCCACATCGCTCCAAGGGGGTGGGTCAGCCTCACGAATATACCTGGTATCCGCGTGGTGACCAAAGGACCTTGGAGCCAGCCGTTACCCGAACCCTGGGTCCTGGGATATACACAGTGAGATGGATAGGAAGCTCTCCCCCCTTTTTCAACACTGCTGTTCCAGGATGACTTTCTTCCTCTGAACGCTGCGTCAAGCCGCTCAACAAATCTGCCCAAGAAAGCAATTACAAGTATGGTTCGGACAAGCACCATCTGGTTTTGGGTATATCAGAACCTAAAAGTCGGGCCTAGGTATAACCAGCCTCAAGAGTCATCAACATCTTCCTTGTAGTTCGCCCATTTGAATTTACTAGCCGGATGGTCATTCCTTAGTTTCGATTGTCCTGCCCCGTAGACTCTCTCTCTCATTGTTCCCGACTCGCCCAAAGGTGCATATCTCCCCCTCTTCCTCAGTTCCGGGACCAGAAGGTTCACAATGTCTTCAAAGCTCTCGGGAGTTATGATGTAGCCAAGATTGAATCCGTCCACATCAGCCACGTCGATCCATTCTTCAAGCTTATCGGCAACCTGCTCCGGCGTCCCTACTGGCACGTGTCCATTGTGTCCAAGTGAGATCATCTTCCCGATATTTCGTGGGGTCCAGGAAGGGATCTCAGTGCCAGTGTATTTAAACGTGTCGATTATCGATTGAATCCTGGCGTCGATGCCGTCGTCCGTAGGTTTGATCTCGGTGTCAAGGTCATATTGACTGAGATCAATGCCTGAGTTGCCTGAAAAGAAAGCCAATCCTGCTTCGGGGCTCGCATACTTGAGCGCGTCTTGATACTTCTCGTTTGCCTCTTCAGCGGTTGCTCCAATGATAGGGGTCAAACTGGCAAAAATCTTGATCGATTTCGGATCCCGCCCGGCCGCTGCTGCCTTGGCTCTAATCTCCTTCACACGCGGTGCAAGCATAGCTGGCGAATATGCAGAAACAAAAACCCCTTCGGCGTGACGAGCAGCAAAGTCCATCCCGGCAGAAGAAGCTCCAGCTTGGAACAAGAACGGCGTACGTTGCGGAGACGGATCCAGGATATGTGGCGCATCCACCTTGAAGTGTTTCCCGTGATGGTGAATGGTGCGGATCTTATCAAAGTCGGCGTAGTTTTCGTTCTCCCTGTCTTCCACTAATGCGTCGTCTGCCCAGGACGATTCCCACAGTTTGTACAAGACTTGTAGATACTCGTCTGCAATCTCATACCGCAAATCGTGCGGGATCTGGTCGATCCCAACAGCTTTGAATGCCGATGCTTGGAACGAAGTGACCACATTCCATCCGATACGGCCCTTGGTGAGGTGGTCCAGCGTACTAAGTCGCTTTGCAAGGACATACGGCTTCTCAAAAGATGTTGAGCTAGTAATGGCAAATCCAAGTCTTTCCGTCACGGCAGCCATTGCAGTGATTGGCTATACTCAGTCAGTCAACGACCTGGAGACCACGAGCACAGATATACTCACGACCGCTGGATCGCCCATAGGCCAATGGATGCCACTTCTCATAGCCGTCTCGGCGCTGCCTTTGTAGACATCGATACGCCCGTACGAATCGGCAAGGAAAAGCGCATTGATGTCACCCTTCTCAAGCAGCTTCGCAAGATTAGTCCAGTAGGTTAGGTCTCGTCTCTTGGTCGACGCTTTATCTTTTGGGTTTCTCCATTGCCCATGCGACATATGCCCAACGGTGAACATATCAAATGCATTCAGTAAGATGCGCTTTTTGGGGGCGGCGGTGGGCACCTGCTCAGGCACGATGCGGGTTCCATTGAGTGTGCTCTGAGAAGCCTTGCCGGGCTCAAGAATTTCTGTCATATTGAAAAGATGATCAGAGGCAGATGTTAGATTAACCTTTTGGTCGAGACATGATGGTATGTGTTATATGGAGCAAACCACAGTACACAACAGGGTGCTGTACTTGGCTCTTGTCACGCTTGGAACCAGTTGCATGCTTCCCTGGCTAATGGGTACCAACCCTGATTAGAAGCTCACAAACCATTGCACCTAGTGGAACTACATATGTACCTAACATACAAGTACACAGGGGTAATGAATGTATCGCAAGCCTGAGATTGCAGTTCGTGGGCTGCGATCAAATATCAATTTCGGAGACCGGGACTTCTGGTCCCCAATCATTGCCAGGACTTCTGGCCCCCGATCATTGCTGGTGGCCTAGAAAGTTGGCATGTTGCTCTCGCAGATCAACGTCCAACTCTCGGTGAAGGTCACTTAGCTCTCTCCATAGCAAAGTTCCAGGTCGAATGGATAGGATCATTGATCCACATTGACCCGCTATAGTGTTCATATCTAAGCTAAGATAGCCCCGATATGGTCAGAGCTCCACCCTGTTAGATGTTGTGATATGGCGTCAGATAGCGCTAAATGCTACCCTCGCTGTCGTCGGTTGGTGTGATATGGTGTGATATGGTGCGATATGGTGTCAGAAGGCACCGTCGCTGTCGCCAAACTATCAAATGTTTTGACTCACCTACTCCTAGTACTAAGGAAAAACACATCTGGGTCGCACGGACGGGTCGACAAGAATGGCCGAGTCGTCTTCCGGGGCTCTCTATTATTCAGCTACCTCCAACCCCCTGGAAGCAATAGAAAGGATGCATTTTCAATGGTTTGAACACCAGGCACAGCGCCCGTAAGCACCGAAACCTGACCTGCGTCGGTCTGATCATTTGGATTTTGTATGTGTAACTAGTTACCTTAGGATTAGGCGTAGGACAGACGTTCTATCATCTGGATCTAGAACTTGAAGCCTCGGACAAGGGCGAATTTTCCGTCAAGCTTACTTTTCCGCAAGCTTGATCACGCCTTGTCCATCGTCGAAGGCTAAGTACCATGGAGAAGGATAAACTAGTAATCAGAATTGGTGAAAGCCCCCACAGATGCCTACACTTGTACGTGACCGGTTCATGGCAGCGTGCAAGTGGAGCTTTCTACGAGCAGCTTCCTAATACCAGGTGTTCGGTCCCTCTACCTCGCTGACCGTGCCTTTTTACCCGATTGCTACTCCGGATTTTGCTTTTCGGATGGTGCTACAAGTATAAATACAGCGGCAAGTATAGGCCCTTCCTTTGAGTCTTCTCAGATTTACCCACACCGAGATCCTGGGACGACATTTAAAAGTCAATCACCATGGCTTACTCAGACGAAGACCCTAACCCGAAAACCTTCTGGCAAATTATCAAGTTCGTCTTCGACTGGTATCCTGCAGCCTATCCTGCCGAGGAGAAAAGGTAAGTGTAGTCACTTGTATCGAGAAACTATTGAGTCTGATGAGATTAGGTTTTTGAGAAAGCTTGATTGTTCGATTCTCATATATGCATGTCTTACCTGTAAGAGAACTCCAGCCCTACAGGACGTGCCGTACTAATCAATGCAGTGTTTGTGAATAACATTGGTGTGTAAACGCGCCCAGTCGCTGCCAGCCACATCAACTCACTTTGGTTCAGATTCGAGCAATATCAGTAATGCCTACGTCAGTGGCATGAAAGAAGATCTTGGATTGTACGGCAACGAGCTAAATTACTTCAATATCTGCTACTACACGACAATGGTGGTCTTCCAGATCCCGCTGGTCTTTCTCCTGTCGAGACCCCTCGGGTGGGTGGCCCTAGACTATCCGGTGTTTTGCGGAGCTGACTTTTCTCCAGGGCACGATACGGTTTTGCAATCCTCTCCGTCCTCTGGGGAGTCGTGACCTTCTGTCAATCTGCAGTGACGAACGTCGACCAACTCTACGCGCTCCGAGCTTTGGTCGGCCTCTTCGAAGCACCCACCTTTGCTGCGACACATGTCGTCCTTGGTCTGAACCCTCTCTGCATCAGTCATCTCTAAATCCTAACACCTAGCAGGATCCTGGTATCGGAAACCGGAATTATTCAAGAGAGCGGGTGTCTGGTTTATCAGCCAGTCTCTCGGACAAATGTTCAGCGGATACCTTCAGGCAGCTGCCTACACAAACTTGGATGGGGTTCATGGCATGGCTGGATGGCGGTGGCTTTTTATCATCGACGGAGTCATCACCATCCCTATTGCCGTGCTGGGTTTCTTGGTCTGGCCGGGAATTCCCCAAAGCCGAAAGGTCTTCTATTTCAAGGATGCAGAGATCGAGCTTGGCAAAAGACGAATGCTTGAGTACAAGGCAAAAGCTCCTGGCAAGGTTGACTGGGCCATGCTCAAGAGAGTCATCTCAAGCTGGCATTGGTGGGTCTTTGTGCCTTGCTTCATGTGAGTATTACTACAGTCAATGTGGGTTTCAACGCTGACAGAAACAGATTCACCGTAGAAGCTCTGTATCCTACTCTATACATGAACCTTTGGCTCAAGGTACGTTGTGTACCCAAGGTACTACTATTGGCGGTACTAATGACTTTAGGCGGATGGTTACAGCGTCGAGCAAGTCAACAATTACCCTACAATCGCCTCTGCTGTTGGTATTGTGGCCTCTTGGCTGGGAACTACACTTGCAGGCGGCGTCATCGAGCCTTGGATCATGTTCGCTATAGGATGCACTTCTTCCATCTTTGGAGCAATTGTCATGACGGTTTGGAACGTCCCTAAAGCATTCAAGTCTGTTTCCCTCGGCCATCTTCTTAACATCCGGTGCTGACTCTTTAGGTTCTTCTCATGGTGCATCATGGGCGTTTTCACAATGCTGAGTCCGATTATCTGGTCTACTGTCAATGTCGTGCTCAAAGGCGACGCGGAAAAACGCTCGATCGTTATTGTAAGATGGTCTTTCCTCTTGCACGCTTTTGACCTACTAACAGATCAGGCATCAATGATGACCTTCGGCTATGCATTCTACATCTGGGTGCCTCTTCTTCTCTACGCCACTGTTGATGCACCACAGTGGAAGAAGGGCTGGCCTGCATGCATTGCATTCAGTGTCGTGATGTTTCTGCTCTTTGTAGTGGCAACACTTCTACATCGCAGAGAGTGAGTAGACCCATTCTAAAGGTCTCGAACAGTGCTAATAAGAGGACAGTCTCCGCCGAGAAGCCTCGGACGCAAAGAGTGACCACAGCGCGGAGGGATATATTACTGAAGAAAAGGGCGTAAACACTAGACTCAACGTGATCGACGGGGCATAGGATGCCGGAACGGAAAAGTGGGAATATTTTGAAGTAGAGGTTGGAAAAAGACTATAGACTATAGACGAGACGTGAAATACACGTTACTTTGTTGCAGGGAACTGCTTTGCACAACTTAGGAGGCGAAATCAACGAGACATTTATTCGGCCATTCCTCTGCCTGGAGATTCGCCAACAGCTGTGCTGGACCTGTGCAACTGTATAGGATCTCGCCTTGAGTTTTATTATCCATCCGTTGACCTTTGTGTGTTTTCTGACTCTCTATCCATCTCGGATTTTAGGCACCGAATAAAGTATGCTGTCCTATCTTAGTTAGGTGATGTTCCCCACTCTACTCTCTGCCAGCCTCATATAATACCTCAGCGGATGTATATATAGAGATTCCGAGGCCTGACCATCGGTCATGTTCTTGGTCTGCGGAAAAGTCTCTGTAAACGAGATTTTGTCCCAGCCGTTCTAGTCTTAGTAGGCGTATATTGAGTCTCGGTCTCAGATAGCCTAAGTGACAATGCCTGAAGCCGACCTTCGATTTCGCTACACCATTTCGAGGAAGTTCCTTGGACGGCTGTATATCCAGATAATGCTCGAGTTGTACATTATGTTTGCCATCTTCTTCCGATCTGTTTGTGAGTAGAGATCACCAAAGGCGACCATGGTGTTCAACGCAGGCAGATATGACGGCACAAGGTGGACGCCAAGTGCCTCCTCGTAGCCTTGCACTGGCGCTCGAAGATACATCTCTTCCGCTTCGGCTAGCTTGCCTTGGCCGGCGTAAAGGAGCCTAGGTTGTTGACCGTGTCGAGTGTCGATGTGTGGTCCGGTCCAAGTACCTTCTCCTTGCCTTGCAGCGCTCGAAGGTTATAGCTTTGGAGTAGTAAGGGTATCAATAACCTCCCTCGCTCCCCTTTTGCCTGACCGGATGGCTCCATCCATATAACCCTTCCACTCGTACGCCGTTTCTGTACCGACAAAATGCACCTTACCATGACTCGACCTCAAGGCGTGCTCATGTTTTGTCATGGTGCCAGGCGGTGGAGCAGGACAAGGGCATCCCTGAGCCCATAGATCGTGAGCCCATTGATGCTCTTCAATACCTAGGGGCGTCGGCACTTCAACACCAGCAGCGACGCCCATCGTGGCCTTGATATGCTCGGTAACACTCTTGAAACGGTCCTCTTGGGAGAGCTTCGATAGTTCTCGACCAGGATCACCAGCGCAAAAACAGGTGAGTGAGTATGATCCGACCTCGTCGACACTCGAGTCACGCGAAACAGCCACGGGCCCTATAAAAGACTGAAGCATACCGCATAGGCCAGACTTTCGCCACCATGGGTATGGATAACGAACTAGGACCTTGTTGATATATCCAAGCTTGTTCGCTTTGCTCAGCTCAAGCTTATCCTCAGGAAGAGGCGGGTTGAAGATGATATCCTTGTACAGCGGCGTAGGAACTGACACGACCACTCTTTTGCAGTGAAAGGTACCATTGGCCAAGTAGACGGCAACGCCAGACGAGGTCTGCTCGATGTACCTGACGGGGCTCTGCAGGTACAGTGAATCTGGTTTGAGCAGACCAGATAAACCGATGGAGAGACTTTGAGTTCCTGGTACGCGTCAATGTCTGTTCATGGTCCTCCTGAATGTAATAACAACGCACCATTGACTAGACGAAGGTACTGGCCACCGTCTTTTCCGTCTGATCGCATCTGAAGAAGCCCGCCACCACTCTTACAGTAGTTGAGGAAGTAAAGAGCGCTCAATTCTTTTGGCTCCATACCCAGCATAGCCCGGGTCCAGACTGTTGCCGAGGCAAGACCGGTCTTACCGCCTCCGTTGGCCAAAACCCATTCCTCGAAATTCATCTTGTCTAGGTGAGCGCCAGTGCGGACAGGATCTTTAATTTGGAGGCTCTGGCAGGTTTCCTCAGTCTTGTCGCGGATATGAAGCATTTTCTGAACACCATCTGGCTCAATGAATGTCTACAACTTGTCAGTTACATTTCCATCCTCGTCTTAGGAAAGCCAACCTTTGGAACATCGCCGTAAGGAAACGTTGAAAGCCTGCCATCAATATCCTGCTGAACGACGCTTCCTGTGGTGTTCTGCACTACAGTCTGCAGCCCCAGTGCTCTCGCCAAGGCAATAACCTCAGACTGATTCGTGTCGTTGATCCAGGCAGCACCCAAGTCGACGAACTTGCCCTTGTCTGCACCGTCCACAGACCATGTTTTGCCGCCTACCCTATCCCGCGCCTCGAGGACGGCACAAGAGAAGCCAGCCTTCTGCACCTGGTACGCAGCGCTCAGACCACTCAGCCCGGCGCCCACAACCACGACATCGACCTTTTGTGCAGGATGCTGGGGAATGGCCAAGTATGCCTCAATCTCAAACTTAACCTGGGGATTCACCAGCTTCGGGACAGGAACCAGAGATGTCGCTGGTCGGTGACCGTTAAGGAACTCTTTCAGAGGCAGAAAGTGGTGGCGTTTAGTGTGATCGTAGTCCACAATGTAGTAGACCAGCTTCTGGATATTCTGGACCGTGGCGCCAGCAGCTTCAATACAGCGCTTCAGGTTCGCTATGGCAAGGCGGACTTGATCTGAGGGGTCGACAGGGATATTACCATGTGCATCCGAGCCAATCTGGCCCGCGGTGAAGACGATACGGACATTGTCCCCTAGAGAAGTGACCACGTGGGAGAAAGACGGGCGGCTGTCCATCAGACCTATAGGATCGATGCTCAGAGTGGAGGGTGCCATGTTGATGGACAGTCACGTCGGTCCTGAAGATACAAGACTTGAAGAAGAATGTGACGGTTTGCCGAGAGGTTGTAGTTGAGACATAGTCCTATCCAGCATATTTATGTTGGATATGGTAAATTATGTAGAGATGGCGGCTTCAGTATAACTTGATCAAATTCACATTGTCTGCTGATTTCTTTCATCCAGTTGTTGTAAGCCTTGTGACTTAAGGTATCATGGCTGAAAGGACACCGGAGATGGTATTGGCAATGTCGGTCGGAACTCGATTCCAGATCCGGAATGATATGTGGGGTTAGAATACTTTATCTCGGGCCAAATGACCAATCATAATCATACCGGATTTCCTAGTTATCCTGCTTTCTGCTTATCGCAGTCTCGGCAGTCGGAACTCGAAACTCATATCAAGGGGACTGTCCTTGGATCCGAAGAATCGGAAGTCATCACTTGCATGACTGTTTGATCAGACGTCCAAAGCTGACTTGTTCCGATATCTGAGATTCTGACGAGGAGATGCCCACTATGCAGCGTCCCCGCCGGCTGCAGATGCACTCGTGCGATGCCTGCCGCCGCCGCAAGATTCGCTGTGACTCGGTCAGCAAGGAGCCATGCAGTGCCTGTGTCAAGGCCGGGGTCGCGTGCAGGTGAGGATTAACGACTCGTTGGTATCGACACCAGCTTATGACTGAATGTTTCAAGGTTCGCAGTAGGCTGGCGAAGACGAAAGCGCCAACAGACGCCACCCCCATTCGCAGATACCCCGAGTATTACCTCACACGACATCAATGACGATAACCTTGCACCTCGCAGTGGAAGGAATCAACGCGTCAACGATACTAGCAAGACTGCACTCTCACCTTCCCTAGAGCATCATCAGCAGCAGAGACTACATTACATTCACGAGAGTCCATTGACATTGTCAGACCAGGCTCATGCCGCGCCCTCATCTGCTGCATCATCTGCTCCAGCCCAGGCAGAAAACCTTGCCTCTATACCCAATCCCAGCTTTCCGGCCACCGAAGTTACAACATCCCTGGCATTGGCCCAAACCTCTTTGTTTCGCTTCTTCAGAGAAGGCATCTCCTCTTCATCCTACCATTGGGAAGTCTTCGACCAAACCGACCGTGTTCGTGTCGTCTATGTTGGCACACACATATCCAACATGACACATCTCATCAAGCTCGACCGTCCCGCATCACCGACGTTCCTGATATACCCCTATCCACAGATCCATGCTCCTCTGGCCTGGAAGCCGGAATCCGAGGGTACAAGCACCAGCGGCAACATCCTCTGCGACGTCATGTCATTTCCAGCCAAGGACATTCGTGATGACTTTATTGAGGCCTTCTTCACAAAGATACATCCTTATTTCCCGGTCATGGACGAGGCCGAGTTTCGGACGAGATATGCTGACCCGAACAATCAGCCTCCGCTCCTCCTATTCCACGCCGTGCTACTCGCTGGGGCTCACGTCTCAGAGCATCCGCGCGTGATACAGGCAAGGCATGTTGTCAAAGCCGTGCTTTTTAGCCGCGCAAAGCAGGTGTTTGATATGCGCCATGAGAATGACCGCCTCCACCTAGTTCAGGCCGCACTGCTTTTCACCCTGCACCTGCAAAACGGTGACACTGCCAGTGCCAACAGCTGGTTCTGGCTTGGCGTCGCCTGTCGTATTGCTATAGGCCTCGGTATGCATCGCAACATACTTCATGACCCTCCAAACCCTGATCGTATGCCACTGGCTGACCGACGACTATGGCGGCGGACGTGGTGGACCTTATTTCAAGCCGAAACCATGTCCGCATTAGAGCATGGAAGACCGCCAATGATCCGCCTGGAGGATTTTGACCAGGACCGATTGACCATGGAAGACTTGATCGAGTCAGACGGTGCCATCAACACAAAGATTGACTTGGAGTATTGCGTGCGCAACATCGAGTTATGCTACATTGCCCTCGAAGTCATGAGCTTGAGCGCACCTCGTTCAGCCGCGCGACAACATAATTTTGATGTCAGTACGTCCAACTTGACCTCACGGCTTGCATCGTGGATGCTTAAAGAGTCCAATGCCAGTGATGGCAAATCCTTGAACGACAGCTTTTGTGGACTGAACTTACGGTTGCACTACAATATGGTTGTCATCCATCTCTATCGTGTCATCACAGATCGACCCATGCTTTCTGGTGGTCGTCAATTTGAGGAAGCCATGAAGATTAGCACTAGCGCAGCGACAACCATAATCTCGACCTTGGAGACGATTCACGCGAAGAAAATGATGGCACAGTGCCACTTTCCGGCCGTCACCGCCCTCACTGCCGCGGCTATCCAGGCCGCGAAAGAGCTACAGCGGGCTGTAGATGACGGGAATCCTATGTTGGCCATCAGTGAGTGGCATCTTCTTGATAGAGTCTGTACCGTAGCTCAACACCTGTCTGAGTTTTGGCCAAATGCAGAGGGGGTGGGAAAGGTATTCCGCAGTTTGTTTGACAAGTTCACTGGGGTGCTGAATGCTGGCATGCAATGGAACAACAACAACCACGTGGACCCTGTGAATGGTACTGAACTTGCCGGAACAGACATGAATTGGGCAGATATCTTGGGTTCCTCACTATGGATGCACTCTGGCCAGGGCGTGCAAGAAGGCGATGAAGAATGGGAGGCTTCGCTGTTTGCTCTCGCGAAATGACCTCGCAAACTTTTGCCTGGTCGACATATTCAACGTATCCTAATCTGTGCTTACTGCTTGACTAATAACTACCCAACCCTCCTCCATGGTGCCCTTCAAGCGTTGACCACCTTATCCAACACCTCCGTTACTGTAAGTAGCTCTTCGTCCCTAAATTGTTGTTGGACTATCTGTATGCAGACTGGCAAATTACTCCACAGCTCAGGATCATCTTGCCTACTGTAAGCGTCATCCAAGCCAGATCTAAAGGAAGATTGGACTCACAAATTTCATAATTCATTCTGTCAAATGGGTTGTCGGTAGGCTTGTAGGTCGTGTCTTTCGGGTCCTTTTCGGGGCTGATTCTGAAATCTTTGAGCGGAATGATGGTACTCGGGTAGTCGAGGAGATTCCAGATCGAAAAGTAACCCCACCAAATTGGAAAGTCGTGGGGGACGCTGGCTGATGGGGCACAGGGGCATATCAAGGCATCAATGGGACGGCCAGTGCCAGTCGAGTCCTTTGTTGAGGCCCAGAGCTGGGCAAATTGGCGCTTGATAGCCGCTTGCTTGAGGTTCGTCTGAGCACCCACCGTCAGCTGGTATTGCACTAGGGATGGTTCAATGATACCACTTGCCTCGAAAAGCTCCGGTACGGTAAGTTCCTTGATGCCAAATGTTTTGAGATACCACTCAAAGGTCTTCTCCAAAGGTTCTCCGGTAGATCCCACGAGAGCCTTGATTTCTTTCCCTCCAGTCTGGAAGTATAGTTTCCACTAGTCAAATACAATTAGCCAAGCATGGTGAAGTGATTGAATGATAAAGCGTACTGTAACTTGTGCGGCCTCCCAAAGATCCAATGGCGGCTCAATCTCCATGACTATCCGTCGTAAGCTCGGTTTCTTTCACGTCAGTAAGGTTGACCAGGGACTCTCACCTTCATGGCCTGCCGCTTTGAGCTTCTCCACGGTCTCATCAATAGCACGCAATATAATTGGCTGGGGTTTCACTACGCCGTCTGTTCTCATCACGCCAAACACTAACTTGCTCTTTGGCTGCTGCACCTCCCTCCATGGAATGGGAACGGCAGAAGACTCAAACCCGATATACTCCTCATAATCAAACAGAAGCTTTGTGACAAGCTTCAAGTCGCTGACACTGTGACAAGTTGGACCACAAGAAACTTTGATAGAGGTCTGCCCTGGTGCGGCACTGAGCATGCCGGTTTTTAGAATTCGATCTGCCGTGGGTCGAATGCCGTAAAGTCCATTGAAGGCCGCTGGTGCGCGGATGCTCCCTCCAATATCAGTCGAAGGACAAAATGGGGAACCATGCATGGCCACAAGGCTACCATCACCGCCCGAAGAGCCGCCAGCAGCGAAGGATCGGTTGAAGGGATTCAAGGTGCGTCCCCATAGCGGACTGACGGTCTGGAGCATCATACCGGTCTGAGGCATGGTTGTGCTTGCGAAATGGATTGCTGCGTTCATTATGTTGATCAGATGCGCTCTTGGAATAGAAAAGTGCAACACCTGGAGCAAGTACACTTACCACCCGCAGTTTTGAGCAATGCTACGATGGGCGCGTCGAACCCCCAGTCCTTCCCACGCCAGGCTACCACGGCCATGGTACTCGGTCTTCCTTTGACGGCAAAGATGTCCTGTCGAATCAGCATGGCCAGCGACATGTGCTGTGGACAGAATGTCGTACCTTGATCGCAACGGGGATGCCATGGAGAGGACCGACTGGTTTCCCAGTCTCTGCGAAGATGGCATCTAGTTCAGCCGCTCTCTTCAGAGCTTCCTCGCAGTAAAAGGCTGTGAGGCAATTGACCTTCTAACATGTAAGCCACTGGGCGTCTTCGGTGTTAGTCTGGCAGCTTTGGTTCTCGGCTTACACACTGGTGCGCAATGGCTGCCCTGGCACAAAAGGCCTCGGTTACTTGGACCGATGTCAACTTTCCAGTTGCCAACTGGGTCACGAGCTCATCGGTCGTCTGGTCGGTTATGGCCAGTTGTTGGGGTGTTATCAAGCCACAGGTCCGGGGAATGTCACGGACATCTGTGACTGAGGCATCTGGCTTGCTTGGTAGACGCCATTTCTCAGGAATAGACTGTAGAACAGCGCTCTGACAGGCTGAAGCGACCTCTTGCCATGTAGCCATGGCGTCTGACCTGCCTGGCGTTTCGTGTTCGGAATGAGTCGAAGATGGTTGCAGCTGTAGGGGATGTTGCTGTACGGCAGTTATCAGCCTCGCTTTAACTGATCTGAGGTTGTCGTCGGCAACGGCACTGGGCAGTCCTGGCGCCGAAGACCCACACGTAGAATACACACTAAGTTGATAACGGGGTTGCGTTACCAGATACGGATCTCGGTACTCGGTTCTCACCACCTATCAGCCCGTCAATCAACCATCCAGACGGAGACAAGCTGACAGCTGCTGAATGTGCGAATATGCCCAAAGATGAAGATGAACTTTTTTGATATAATGTTTCAGGCAAGCAGACGGGCTGGGCTAGGCCGCCAGTCACATTCACTTGTTGCTTGCTACGACCCGACTTGGGCGGCGCCATGCAACAACCCCCGGAACAGCGCCCATGGGACCCTGATAACACTGTCTTCCCACGTCTACAAGATCTGCCTCAAATACCAAACGCCCCTAAACACTGTGCCTGGGTTTGGGGACCGGAGGACAACCTTGGCCGCCTGAACCTGCTTACACCTAGGCGCGTCCAGGCTGCAGCATCAGAAATCAAGACCGGAGAGACAGCCAGGGTGGATTTGCCTCTGAACGTGCCAAAGCAACCCGCGTGGTCCCGTGAAGCGTTCACACTTACGATCAAGGTTGTTGATGAGGGTATCGGCAATGACGACCTCTACCACTTGAACACGCAGTCTGGCACGCAGTGGGATGGCTTCCGGCATATGTCTCATGCACCAACAAAGACCTTTTACAACAATACTAAGCAAGAAGATATTTCTGGGCCAGAGGCAAACCACAAGTGCAGCATTCATCACTGGTCAACTCGGGGGATGGTCGGGCGCGGTATTCTGATTGATTACAGAGCATACGCCGAGAGCCAAGGGATAGTCTACGACTCTGCGTCTTACTATTCCATCACCTATGCCAACCTCGTTGCTTGCGGAAAGCATCAAGGCCTCGATATCCGTCCGGCATCAGAAGGTGGAGACATCCATGTGGGAGATTTCTTGTTTGTCCGGTCTGGCTTCGTTCAGGACTACTACGCCAAGTCGGACGAAGAAAACACGTTCCTAGGACTGCGAGACGAGCCAGTGTGGGCAGGACTGAGCCAGGAGGATGCCGTCCGGAACTGGCTACACGACTGTTACTTCGCGGCAGTAGCAGGAGATGCCCCAGCCTTTGAAGTGTGGCCCCCTCCCCGGGGGTACAAGCTGCATGAGTACTTACTCGCATTATGGGGGGTTCCAATTGGGGAGATGGTCGATCTCGAAGGTGTAAGTGCGTTGGCAAGGAAGCACAAGCGATGGACCTTTTTCTTTTGCTCTGCACCAGCAAATTGTCCTGGGGGAGTTGCCAGCCATGTGAACGGGACAGTGATGTTCTAGTTCGACTACCGAGACCATTGGTGGAATTGTCCTAGAGACCTGGTTTCCATATTGTAGAAGGTGTCCTAGGCCTCGCTACCTCGACCATCGGCTTAGGAGAGAGACGCAGTATGCCTTCGGATCTGGCTATAATGAGACTTGCTGTTTCTGCAGATAAGGCCACGGCCCACAAGGACCTTTATCCCTCTTCCATACTTCCGAGGCAATGCTGTACATGCCAGAGTGCCTGATCAAAGTGTTCCAGGCTATCTCCAACTCACGATGAACTCTGTTGAACTATTTCGAGGCTGACAACGTCTCATTCACGTGGGTCCCGTTATCAGTGAGCGACTCCGTGAGCATGGAACTCATGAGTGCCGAGTTGCGCTGACCCCTATCTCGACACCCCACTAAGGCTAAAGGTTCCCATCCTCCATTGTCAGGGCAATATTCCTCGGTGGTGTTTGTCGATGAATGCCACTGGCCTCCTATCTATCTCCGGCGGGGACCCTGCTTTGAACATGCATCAAGGCTATCTAATTGACATTGACCACTCGAGTATCTTGATATGATCCCAGGCGATTGCAGGCTAGCCGACAGTCGTATCATGCCGACTCCTATCATACATGTATAAGTCTCCTTCTCTTGAGATCATCTGCTGCTGGTATTCCAACAACCCCAGCTCTTGAGTTCGACCTGACGATATCATGTCGGAAACTGTCCCAAAGCTGCCGGTTCTACGGCTGAACAAGTAAGAACTGCCACACCCTACACATATGGGAAGCATTGGTTTGTGCTGACCGTCGGCAGCCCGTTCATTCAGAACCTCATCGCGTCGGGATGTCTCTTCTGTAACCCGGGGTTGTACCTCGCCATTTCGGTAAGACTTCTCTGGGATAGATCCATCATTGAAAGAACGGGGAGATTGACGCAGACATGAGCACAGCTCCTCGGAGCCGGTGGCGGCCGCGCCTCGTCAATCAGCATGGCCAATATCAGCAATGGCGTCCTCTACGGGGTATTTGTCTTTTCGGCGCTGGGGGCCAGTACGATCCTCAACCTCTTTGGTCCACGGTACACGATGATGTTCGGCGTCACTGGCTACCCGGTCTACATTGGGGCCATGTGGTACTTTGATGAGTATGGCCATCTCTGGTTCCCGGTCTTTGCAGGCGCCTATCTGGGCCTCACTGCGGGCTGTCTCTGGACCACGGCCGCATACACTTCTAACGCGTATGCCGAGGAGAAACAGAAGGGCTCCTGGCGTGCAATCCAGTGGACGATGAACGTCTCGGGCGCGGCAACAGGTGCCTGCGTGGCCCTGGGTGTAAGCTGGAACTCCAACTCTCTGAGCGTGCCGCACGCCGTGTACATCGTCTTTATCGTTCTTCAGTGCTTGTCCCTGGGTCTCGCCATGCTGCTGCTGCCCCCTGACCGGATCCGCCGCAGTGACGGAACCGCTTTGGCTGCCTTTGAGGCCATCTCGCTCTGGGACTCGCTCAAGATGACCGCCTTGCTGTTTAAGGATTGGCGGGCCATGGCCATGATCATCCCATCTTTCACGGGCGAGATGTTCTTCCCCTTCCAGGCTTCGATGAACGCCTACGCCTTCAATCTGCGCACTCGAACCCTCAACAGCCTCTTGAATAACCTCATTCAGATTCCCGTCACTATTGGCATGGGCATGCTGCTTGATTCGGAACGCATTGGCAGCCGCAAGAAGCGGGCGCTGATTGGTGTCACCTTCGATGCCGTCTGGATCACTGGCACCTACATTGCGCAGACCGCCTGGCTGGCAAGCTGGAAGTTTGACCGTAGTGTTCCAGGCCCGATGATCGACTGCACGGATGACGCCTATGCGGGTGCCATTGTCATCTATATGATGTATGCCTCGCAATATGGCATCTTTCAGAATCTGGTGCTATATATCATGACATCCCTGACCAATGAACCTCGCAAGACGGCTGCATTGTCTGGCTTCTTCGTTGCATGTGAGTGTGATCCAAGCTACAGGTTAGTGGTATCTACTATCTCAATACTGACGATGGAGTAGGGCTTAGTGCGGGTACAGCTGTATCCTTTGGGGTCGACGCGACCTCTCAACCCTATGAGAACGAGAACGCGGCTTATTTTGCCTTGGCTACTACATGCTGGCCCATTATGTTCTTCATTGCATGGAAGTGTACCACTGCCACTAACTATCCGCTCGAGAAGGATGTCGTTGTACCAGTACACGTCCGGAAGGAGTTGGGTATTGATGACATCGACGGAATAGAGATAGAGGTCCCAAGTGGTATCGATGATAAGAAGACTCCAGGCGATGTATCAGAGAAGGCCTAAGATCTTAGAGAGGTTTCATTGCTGACTTCAAGAAGTCGGGTATCATAGTGGCTGTTGGTGACTTGTGGGAGGATAAAGCAAGGGAGGTGTACTAGAAGTGGAAGACTGATATACAGGACAAACAGAGTGGACGTTCCTAATATCTGGGGAATGTTTCTTCCCCCATCGCCAGCCTGAACAGAACTTCCTACTCCCCAAATTCACGGAAACAGTGGAGGTGCATCCACCTTTGAAACGTACGCGCCGGGGAATCCCGCCCAGACCCTCAGGTCTGAAATCACGCCTAACCAGTTCGCAGACAACCACATCGAGTGGCTCCCTCCAAACGACCACTCAAGTCAGAACAACTTCCATGATCCCTTTCAGATATGGTTGTTCCCGGCGTGGTGCGACGGTGCCATATCTGGAATCATCAAATGCAGAAGACCTGGCCTACACAGTCAACAAAACGATATTTCACAACACGGAACACTAGAAAAACTCATATCCGATAGAGATAAGCCCTTCAAATCACGATTCTAGTAATCGTTTATTAACTAACTCGGAATTAAATATAAACTATAGAAATACCCTAAAATTAACAGAGACTCGAAGGGAATTAAACTAATAGTAGAAAAAGTATAGATTTTAGTTACTAGTACACGGCGGTATACACAGCAAAAACACGGATGCCCGGGATGGGTCTTAGGGGCAAATTCCAGGGTCATCAGCCAGTAAATCAGTCTAAATGACCTAACATCTTAGAACTTCTTAGCCCCCTAGGCGCGAGGCGTCCCCTATATCAATGGACCGAGCCGCCCGAGGACGCCCAGAGTCAACCCCAGTCATCCTTCCCCCCCTTCCAACAGACTCCGAGACCCCTTGAATGCCAACTCTTCTGCCTCAAACCCGTACACTTCTCGCAGTCAGGTTGGGGAGGATAGCAGTCAGCTTTGACTTGACTGCACTCACTTCAAGATGCACGACATTGAAGAAGCAACCGTGACCTTCCGCAAGTCAAACTTGACGGTCAAGTGGTTAGCAAAAGATCGACTATCGTTGCTTCAGTTGGCGGAAAAGTCTGGGTTGACTCCCGACTTTGGTTGTCGCTCGGGAGCTTGCGGCACCTGCGAAGTGAAGCTGTTGAAAGGTCTGATTGAAGGCTGCCTCGAAGGCGATGATGGCGTTTTGATATGCTGTTCCAAGCCCGCCAGCCTGGAGATCGAACTCGAGTTATGATTCCACGCTGACAGATCACTTTCTGCCACCCTTGCTCTTGACCAGCCGATGAAGACATGATTGCGCATCCTTCCATCCGTTCCGCGGAACGATTCTCACGATGAGGGTTGAACGGGATGAGAACGAGTGGTCGGGGGGGAGGTGACTTGAAGGTGCGTCGAAAGAGTAAACGCCTGAATATGGAACGAGGTGCGTCTGTTAGAACATCTCTCAGCTCGTGTGAGCGACTTCCCTGCGCAGTCGGTACCTCTGTGCTGTAAATGCCACTACATGCATTCACTTCACCAAGTTGCTCTTTCCTCGTTTGCAGTCTCGCCGTTTTTCTTGCCTCCAACGAATCTAATGCACCTCCTTGTACAGCATCAGCATCTTCAACTCATCATCCCACCGCTTCGACCTTGACTGCTGTCAACTTTGGCTACCTTCGCTTCATCGTTGCTATTACGCATGCTTATTATCGGCCTTCACTATGCCCTTTGCAAGTCTTCGGCGGCGGACTGCCGCCGATGGGGAACGAACCAACCTGCAGGACAAACAGACGACTCCATCTGCGTCGGTCAGGGGACGTTCCATCACTCTTCCTACCATTTCTCCTCGCAAGAGCTTCTCGTCCATGTTGGGCTCGGCTAAACGAGGACGGTCCGGAACGTCGGTATTGACCTTGGAGCTGTCTGATCGTGGCTAACAGGTTTTGTAGACCTTCTCCGGAGAAGTCGGACCTGGACGTCCTCGAGCAAGATCTATACCCCGAATATGATTCTTCCAACCCTGATCACAACCCTCCAACAGCTCCTCGAACTCCTCCAGTCGACAAGCCGAGGCGCTTTCGACGAGCCCCAAGTCCGCACCCCCTCAAGGGATCGATGAGCTCGATGACTTCAAGGTTGTCCAGGATGAATCGTGGTGCACTGCATAAGACACGTTCACAATCTTGCTTGACCCAGACGTCGCCGCCGAAATCCTTCTTTGAAACGTTGGCGGACGCCATCAGGGCTCCAGCAACATTCTTCTACAAGGAAAACAAACCCAGCCCCGAATCTGAGGGAGCGAACCTCTGCGCCAGCGAGCCAACACAAAGCCGTAGTGCCAGCCCGAAGAAATCAGTCCGATTCAGACCGGGAAAATCTTTCATCGAGCCGGAACCGAGATCCTCCCCAATAGATATTCCCAAGCCGACTCCGTCTTTGCCCCCAGTCCAACTGGCGTCTACTCCTATACAACAATGCTTTGAAAAGGTCCCATCAGATCCCGTACCTACTGCGAGACCTCCAGAGCCGCAGATATTGAAATCCCCTGCCACGTTCCGTCAGGCCATCGCAGCAACAGACCCCTCTGCCATTCTGAAGGATTTTGAAAAGAGCGAAGGAGGTCGAGCCCCGCTGTCTGGTCTTTCTGCTCCACTCCACGAGTCGAGCTCTGCCATTCAGAATCCTTTCGAAGATCCTGTCGGCGCAGCAGACCATCAAGCCACAAACGACATGCTCGAAGAGGATGCTGGCAGCTACATGCCGCCACAGGCCTCCCGCATTCGGGGAGCCGTTGCTGAACAGCGCCTCAACGTAAGTGAAGCGAGCAGTCGACGACTGATCAACTCGGACACAACCTCAGCAGTGGCCTGGATTCGGGCGCACGACGATTTCGAGCGAGCAACGAGCGCAGCTCATGATAACTTCGCATCGCACAGTATCTCTCCGAGTGGGAGCGAAATGCCATCGTTCTCTCATGTCGAATATGCACGAGACAACCACTCTGCTCTGCCCTTGACTGCCATTGACCCAGATCGCTTGTCCTCGGGTCCTGAAACCCCCTCGTTACGCAGTCCTCCTGATATCGGAAGCTCGACAAATATCCCGGACTCCAATAACCCACTTTTTCAAGTGTCAACTCAGACGACTGACGAAGCGCAAGGGTCGTTGTCGATGCACCCAAATGACAGCAGCAACGACTGGAGCCAGGAGCCAAGCCGTGCAGACATACCGGAAGGCTTCAAACAATCCATGTTGATATTGTCGTCACCCCTTGACCAGGCAGCCTTGATGCATGACTCAGAGTCTCAGTCGATGCATACAAACTTCCCCGAAGTAGCCCCCGGTGGTTTGCCTTTGTCAACAATGGAACGTCAACAATCAAACATCACATGTACACCTTCGCCTGAAAGCGAATCGCGGCCGGCGGCACGGGCTACCCAGAGCAAGAAGGCTTTGTGGCAAGGAAATGAACCGGCAGTGACAACGGAGCCCGAATGTGTGGACATGCCATCGAAAGCACCTCGGGGTTTGGTACCAGCTACATCTGTACACCCAGGGAGCTCTTGGACCGCCGAGCTTGCCTTGAGAGGCAGTAAACCCTACACAACTCCACTTCAGAGTCCGCAGCCTTCTCAGCCACAGACAGTCGTTGCTGATATTGCAAGGCAAGATTCAAAGGAATCAGTGACTGGAAACCCCTCATTAAGTCGTGAGAAGGTTGTTGATCCGTATCCTCAAGGCCACTAAACTCGACCGCTAATTGATGCAGCTTTACAACTCGCATATGGGCTATCTTGTTCCTACACATACACCACAGCCTTCCACAAGATCGAAGTCTTTTCTTTCAAAATGTCCAGGCCATGACAATATGCAACAGACTCCCTCACCTGCGTTCATCCCGCTACCTCCGTCCGTCCCACCAGCGACCCGAACCGGTGAAGCCTCATACTACGATCAACATGGGTGGTCGCCCTTCGATGAATATGAATTTACCTTTGCTGCTTTGGCGTTTATTGAGAGTTCCGAGAATGAGTTCCGAGAACTCATCCGCCAACCTGGTGGATTTTGGCAATTCTGGTATTGGTGTGATCTGCCTCAAGAGACTAGCCCTTTCAAGGACACCAGAGCTCTGGCACTCTGGGAGGTGGATGGACTGCTGAACACTATCCTCCAGCGGAATCATGTACCAAGGTCGGTGCTTCGTCGAATGATAGATGAGTTCAAGTCAAGGATTCGGCTCGCCTTTGTACGCAAACACAAGCCGCTAGGCGAGTCGACCAGTCTCTTTGCCCCAATCTCGCCGCACCGTCCATCGGAGAAGGAAGAGACAGGTGATGACAGTCTATCGGTAGAGGGGCCGTCAATGGTCGATGATGACGACCGCTTATTCTGCATCAGTACGGATGACGTTTCCGAACCTGCACACGACGAGGATTCCATGTCTGCAGGAGAATATATCGCTGGCTTAGCTAGGCCTTCACCAAGCATCAACGTACTGCTTGAAGAAGAGAGGATCGCCAAGGCATGCAAAGTACCAGAGAACTTCAAACGCAGGGGCAAGGCCGGCCTAAACAAGGAAACCATTGATGAGCAACTGAATAGGGCCACAGCCGAGGGGGAGACGGCCACTTTTGGATTCACCCACGCTACACGCTTCACATCCTACCAAGCAGAATCTGGAGTCATGATTTATTCACCGATCTGGTCCGCAGACTTTGAGGCTGTCGATGATCGGAATGCCCGTACCAGCACGACTACCACTGGAAGCAAGTGGTCGTCTACAAGTCCCCCTGCCACCGGAGACGGCTCCGAAGAGACTGTCCCAACGTCGTGCTCCACGATCTCAACTGAAGCCACGGACGAGGATGAAATGCAATGCCATGGAATTGTTTGAGACATGGCAGTGTCAGCAATGATTGATTCCGGGGATCTTGGAGCCGATTACAGCGTATACGATAGATGGCAGCATTCATTGGCCACAAAGGCTTATCGACGCTGGTAGAGTTATAACAGGTGCAGCGAGACAGCAGTACTCTCCTTGATGCAGTGAAGAAGGCAAGGACACAGATTAGACATCAGATGTATAGTCCATAACCGGTGTATGGGTTCTTCAAGAAGACGTAGGTTCATCCACATCAGTAGTCTTCTCCACGGGATCTCTATGTTTGCTGTGCATCTTAACGTCGCCGGCCAATCCAAACAGCGTAGTAGTGACTCTTGGAACGATCATATCAAACGTGTCCCTCACGACAGCATACTCGTAGTAGCCACATCTCGCGATGGGCTGGGTCTTGCTGACATCGATCTTGCCGTCCGTCAAGACGCTCTCGTCGACATGAATGCCCACCACCTTCCCGATCACGACGTCGACACTTCCCGTGGGCGGATTCCCCGGCAACTTGAGGGTGGAGTGATACTCACACTCGAAGCGGACGGGACTCTCGGCGACCATGGGCACCTGCGTCTTCAAGACTTTCGAATAGGTCTTTGTCAAGCCCGCACGCTCGAACTCGTCCACGCCGTAGGGGACCGGTTGGGCGGTGACGCTGACAGCGTGCCGGAGCGGGTAGGTGGCCAGTTGCCAGCAGAAGACACCTGTGGCCTCGGCGTTGCGGACGCTGTCTTTGCGGCTGTCCATGTCCATGTCTAGATCTGTATCTGTGTTGGGATTGGAATTGGCATTGGGTTTAGGCACGAGTAGTTTCTGATCAGCACTGAACATGACATAGGGAGGGTCGAATGTCAGATTATTGAAACAGGAGTAAGGGGCCAGGTTTGCTGTTCGTGCTTGTGTTTGAGTCTGACTCTGGGTGCCATCATCATTGCTAGGCCCTGTTGCTGGATGGGTCGGAGGTGACACCGTACTTATCCAGCCGATGGGCCGGGGGACGACGCATGCCTGTGCGTGGCAATGAATGGGATGGTCAGAAAAGAGCTTTGTAGGATGGATGGAGCTTATGCGCAGAGATGCAATGGATTCGATTCGACAGATGGACAGACGGGGGAGTTGTATATCAAGACAAGACAAGACATCATGGCTCTTTGCGAGGGGAAGAGGGAGGAGGGAGGAGGGAGGAGGGAGGAGGGAGATAGTCGTAGAAGACAGAAACAGAGACAGAGACAGACCTTGCATGGATTATGGGGCAGATTATGGTCAGTTCGGCCTGGTTCATAGAACATGATGCAGTACCGGGATGATGGTTCTGTCTTAGGTAGGTAGGTAAGGTCTTGGATTAGGAGTCGGAAGAAGGTTTCGCGATGACGACGACGATGGTGATGATTGTGATGGTGATGGAGACAGTCCTGCCGGGTCAGGATCTCTTGCTTGAAAAGCAGTATTCAGGATGGCAATGGTGGGAGACAGGGAGATATAGCAGAGATAGAAAGGTTGACAGCCTCGTTGTTCTCTGCAGTGGAGGAGTAAGACTTGTGATAGGTGATACGTATATAAGGTAGGTTTACCGTGTATAAGGTATGTACCCATTTAAAAAACCGAGGCTATAAGACACGCGGAGCTGAGTGAGTCATAACTTTTGTTCTGTATCCAATTTTTTCCCTTTTCGACGACATTGACACTGCTTAGTGCCCTCCCTGGTTATTATCTAGTACTAGTGGTAGCCACGCGTTCCACCTTTTAAGGAATTAAAGCTGAAGCTGACGTTAACCAAGGGTCCTTCTTGTTGAGTCATTGGTTGCGTCCTCATACTCATACATCGGACAGTGTATTACAGAGTAAGCCGGCAATTGGGACTTGCATCGAGGTGATCAGGGTCTCTGCATGGCCGAGAGACAAATCAAGGCGTGGTATCACAGTATTAGTATAGCTACAGGCTACAGACTACAGCATGGGTGGTCAAAAAGGAAATCGAATTCTGGTTGGGATCCTGCCGGGAGTGATTCCCAGTCCTGTCCTGTTCTGTCGCTCCACGCGTTCAATCTTGGGAGTGGGACACAATTCCAATGCAGGTGGACTTTCTGCTCCACGTTGGTGATTTCGGTCTCGGTTCCTCTACAGATATTCTTCCTATCAAAGATGGTTGTGAAGCATAAACAGCCGGAGGCCGACAGAGCCGGTGGGAGCGCAACACAAGGAACTGCTCGAGAAGGAACGTCGCTGGAGTGTCGATATCGCCGCCGCCCAGTCAGTCAAACTGTAAGACCTGCGGTTGACGTCCTCGCTGTTGGTCTCAATGGATGTCCTTTCTGCGTGCGCTGGATCGGAGCTCGGCATTCGTGGGCAGTCAGTCAGATATGGCGTATTGCAGCAACATCGTCAGCTGAGCAGTCACATAACATAATGCCCGCGCTGCCAGCAGTGTTTGTATATACTCAGATCACGTAGCCATACGGACAACTAATAATTAAGTTGATGAAGTTAAATCAAAGAAGCTGCCCCAGCACTTGAGTCAGATATCTTAGCTCCCTGAAACTCAGTTGACTCGCGCTCTGGTCATGTGATCACGTCATGTGACCAGCTTAGGGATTGATGCTGACATATTCTTACCAAATCATTCGTGACGGAACGTCTTCCGTGGGGCCGTGCAATGAGTGGCCACCCGCGTTTATTCATTTTCTGCTAAGCAGAACTCCCGAAAACAGCCACCAACCTGCGCCCGCAAAAAGACATGCCCAGTAATGATTCTGGAATGCAGTCATGGGAGAAAGCCATCGACGAGGCCTTCCTTCATAAGCTGTCCAGTGCCCTCCCTCATGCAAGACCAATGCTGAATACTGACCGACCTATCCCATAACTTACCTGATTCCTTCTAGCGTGTTCGACAAACCCTCGTCGTTCGTTCTTCGTGCCAGGCATAAGTACTTTCTTTGACTTCAACATTTCTATGAACCGCCTCACCTCCATCTTGATCACCATCATCGCAGCACTTCTCCTCGCCTACTACCCGATCAACCTGGCTTCTACGAAGAACAGTCTTCTTCAAAAAGCACAACCGCTCTACAAAGGGCTATTGAACCGCACGCAACCAAGCACTCGAACAACAACACCCTTCCTCGGACTTCCTCTGATCCCTTCATCTCGACTTTTCTCCTCGACGACCGCCAACATGCCGACCCCGACGCCGCGAGCAATCAAGTTCGCCTTCCTGGCGCGCGAGCAGTCTGAAGGCGTAGGCGCCAAGGTGCGCCGGTCAGTCGGGACGGCGAAACTGCGCAACTTCACGCCCTTCCTGATGCTGGACCACTTCAACGTCGACCCGAGCGCGGGCTTCCCGGACCACCCGCACCGCGGGCAAGAGACGATCACATACATGCTCCAGGGGGCCAGCGACCACGAAGACTTCGCGGGCAACAAGGGCACGATCTACGCGGGCGACCTGCAGTTCATGACGGCCGGGCGAGGCATCATGCACGCCGAAATGCCCGTCCAGGACGGAAAGAACATCGTCGGCCTGCAGCTCTGGGTCGATCTCCCGGAGGATCTGAAGGACTGTGAGCCGCGGTACCGCGACCTGCGGGCGGCCGAGATCCCCACCGCCACGACCGACGACGGCAAAGTCACCGTCAAGGTCATCTCCGGCCGCAGCCTGGGCGTCGATTCGCTCAAGGACCTCGCCTACACCCCCGTCTGGATCCTCGAGTTCGTCATCCAACCGGGCGGCTCCGTCACCCAGGAACTGCCCCAGGGATGGAACGCGTTTGCGTATACCCTGGAAGGAGTGGTTTCCTTCACCAACGGCACCGACAAACCCGCCCAGGCCGTTCCGCCCTACCACAATGTCGTCTTTGAGCAGGAGGGCGACCTCGTCTGCGCCTCCGTCGAAGAAGACGCCAAGGAACCCGCCAGGTTCTTCGTCATTGCCGGCCAGCCGTTGGACCAGGAAGTCGTCCAGTACGGTCCCTTTGTCACCACCAGTCGCGAGAAGGTCTACCAGGCTTTGGTCGACTTCCAGACCGCCAGTAATGGCTTTGAAAGGGCCAAGAACTGGGAGAGTACGATTGGGAAAAGGATTGGGCGGGTCAACTGATTATGTTAAACAAGAAAACTCCCAATGCTGGCATAGCGTTGGGGGTTGGACCCGGCTAGCCGATGTTTCTGCTGTTTTGTCTCTACGATTCGAGCATGACCGAGCGGGCCTTGAAAGATATTGTCGTCTTGTGTCACTTTGGGACACAAAAGATCTCATAGCACTGGCGTTTCTGGTGGAGCAGGACGGATTGCAAGTCCTCAAGAATGATGGGACGTGGCTTTTCGTTTGAATAGAGAATTTGAATCATACATATACACGTATACTTCTTTTTCCCCGTGTGACCATGATTTGACCTTTGCATTCGCTGCTTTCTGCAGATCGTTGACCCATTATTGGCAACAATGTGAGCGCAGAGTCGCGTGTACAGTACGTAGTAATAGACAACAGGCCATGACCCATATGAATCAATGAGTCGTGATCATACATCTAACTCGCATTTCATGTTCTCTAAACCCTATCAATTCATGCCCCAGCATATCGACGTGCAGAAGAGACTTTTTGCCGGTCCTACCTCCCGAAGTCTTCTAGGAGGCACGACCAGCGGCAATACCATGCCAGGTTGCCTATGTAGACCAATGCTAATGCTGCAGCATTTGCTGACCCATCAGAATCAAAAATGGTTCTACCGGCCTAACCAGTCTAAAGCAGCTTATTCCTCGTCAGCGGCATCCTTGCCATCCGCAACTCCACCATCCGACAAGCCATCCTCATCATCCTCAAACGTGCTCAGAGGGACCTCATACAGACGAATCAGAGGCTTGTTTGGATCTTTGACCAGCACGAACTTCTTGTCGCCGTCGTCGCCCTCGGTCAGGCCCTTGATCAAGTCGACAATGGTGCGCACAATACCCCAACCGTTGCTGAGGCCCAGGTTCATCTGCGTAGCGAACTCTCGAGGCTTGTAGCCGACAACGCCGAGAATGACATGGTTCGCGGCGGACTTGGGGTTGGCGCGGGACACGAAGCCCAGCTTGATCTGGTCGGCTTTGGCAAGGATGGCCTGCGTCGTCCATCGGGCGAGCTTGCACGAGTTGTTCTTCATTTCGGTCGCCACCACGGCACCGCGTTGCGAGTTCAGTTTGGTGCGCCAGTCCAGCGCGCCGCCGGCGCCTTGGGCCTTGTGGTCGAACTCGTTGAGAGCCTTGACCACCAACATCTGGTTGTCGCCGGAGATGTTGTTCTTGGTCGCGGCGTCCAGTTCCGTGCGGACAATCAGGTGCAGAGGCTCGTCGTCGCGTTCGAGCGAGAGATCGAACCGGCGGTATCGGTAGGCCTTGGAGGCCAGGGGTTCGGTCTCGTCGCTGGCGCTGTAGAAGGGGTTCGGGTGGGGGAATTCAATCTTGTTGTTGGGATCTTCGATCACCACTTGGAGGGCGAAGTTGTGGTTGATCATGGTCGCTTCCACGGCCAGGTTGCTGGGCGTGTTGATGCTGTCTGCTTTGACGCCCGTCTGCTGTTGGGACGGAGTGTTGGCCGAGTCCGCTTCGAGAGGGGCATCGGCCGCGTTCTCGTTGACCGTCACCAGGTCGATGCTGCTGTCCGGTCGCTTGTCCAGAAAGATCTTGTTGCCTTGCTTGAGGATCACAATGTCCCAACTGTACACGGATCGCGGCGCGCACATCAACATGGACAAGATGTCGGACGTGGCGAAGATCGTGGCTTCATCCTTTTCGGCCAGTTCTTGGATCACCGGGTCGGCAGACGTGGTGACGTTGTAAGCAGCGCGATCCAGCGATTGGAGTTTGCGCTCCGTGTTCTTGACCGGTGCCTTGTCGTAGGTGCGGTCGTAGTAGTACAAAAATCCGTAACTGTCGAGATCCTCGCCCTCGGACGTCTCAAGATTGAGCTTGTGGAGGCGGTTGAAGTCGATTTCCTCCTTCATCGCCCATTCGGGCCGGATGTTCACCGAGGAATCCCGATTCCGTTGTGGCTTGTCGTAGTCTCGCCAGCCGAATCGCCGGCCGCCTCGTCCACCTCGACCGCCTCTGCTATCATAATACTGGCCCTGTTGTTGACCGGCATTGCGGCCCTGCCCGACTCTTTGGAATGTCCCTCTTCCGCCGCGCTGGGCGCCGCCTCGTTGCCCTCGACCTCGGAAAACGGCCACACCACCTCGGCCAAAGACACGAGTCTTCGTAGTTGCGCGGGTATTGTCGACAACCGAGAAAGATGATTCGTCTTCTGCGACTTGGACGGCGAAAAGTGAGGATGTTCCGGCACCGTAAATTTGTTGGTCTGGCCATGAAAACTGCGTCAGCGTTGACTGAGGCAGAAATAGAGGAAGAGCAAAACTCACCTCGGTAGTTTCGACCATACTGTCTACCGCCTCGATCTCTTCCTTCCTTGCCTTCTTGCGTCCAGTCGGCCATGCGACCTAGTTTGTCACCCTTGGAGAATGGGGCGTAGGGCACTCCATCGAGGGTGGTGGAGGGAGTGAGTTCCGGACCCCATCCATCGTTCACGCTCAACTGATTGATCGTGTCTGCGAGACTGATTCCGGGCATGATGGGCAACTGATCAAAGAGGGACGTCAAGGGGGTTAATGGTTAATGTCGTGAGGTGCAGCAGGAGGCGAGACCTGCGATGCCACTTGAAGTTGCGGGTTGCAGTTCAACTTGAAGTTCCCAGAGTGGGTGGAATTGCGTTCAACTCTTGGCATGGTATTTTTTTGCGCCGGCCGCCAATTTCTTATTTCTTATTATCCCTTCCAACACCTCAATACAGTGAGATAGATGTAGGGACACGTTGTATGTTGGATAGAGGAGCAGTCCAGGTGGTGTGCCTGTACATATGCATGTTTCCTCAACGCCATACCAAACATGTGCAGTCAAATTCAGAGCCTGCCAATACATTGTTCCCTGCTGATCTTACTCATCGCTGTCATGTACTATAACCCGTGATACTACGTACTAATATGGCACATCGACCGTCGACCGTCCGAAACACCATTTCATTTGAAGCACCCCCCGGTCCCGCCAGGCAGCGGCATATCTCCCTATGAATACATTTCATCAATCTCCGCCGTGTAGTCCGTCTCCAGTTGATCGTATGTCTCGGGTTTTGTTGCAAAAATGCCGGACAGAGCGTCGCGCAGTTCAAAGTCCTCCATCACGGCGCCAAAGCCATAGCATCTGACCTTACTCTTAATGGCCTCAACCATTCCCAGCACATCCTCTCTTGTGAGGGTGCCATAATTACGGTGGCCTTTGAGTGATTGCAACGCCATAATGGGGGTGACTTGTCCACTTGGTATTGCGCTCCCAGTTAAAGACTTACTCAGATTGAGTAGGTTGTTCAATATCTGTACTGACTCGGCATCGGGTACTTTGTGGTCATACGTGGGAACCAAGCCGCCATTTTGAGCTGGAACACGCTCAATGTGGCTGGGTGGGGGACACGATGCCATCAACGCATGACCGGAGAACTGTGCTCCGTCGTCATCTGGTGAGTCAAATGACCTTCGAACAAGATATTCTTCGTGATCGCGACAAATATGCTCAAGTCTGTCGAGGATCAGTCTCACAATATTTTCCCTGTGGCAACCAACGATAATCTCACCTTAAAATGAAATCAACGCCCAGTTGTGGCTCTCGTTCGAAGATTCCAGCGCCGGGCCGGGGCATATCCGATATGCCTTCAGATTCCTGTTTGATGGGCGCCATCTCTTGTATTTCAGGTCCTTGAGGGGAATGGCTATGGTGTGTTGTACCAGGAGAGAGTCCGGAGACACTCAGAGGACCACCGTTGATGTAGGTTTGGGGGGAATAGCCTGTACTGGTCGAAGGCGGTCCGGGCATCACTTGTTGATACCCATGAGGCCTGCCACCCATCGATGTTGGACTCAGAGTAGTCATTGAGGGCGGGCTTAAGGAAAGCTCTTCTCTTTTTGGTCTCATGGCTATTACAGCCTTGCGATTTTTCAGTTCGTTCTCGAATGTTATTCCTCGGCTGGCTAGGATCTCTCTCAAGGCCAGAATTTCTCGTTGTTGGTCCTCAATAATCAACTTCTGTTGTTGAATGGTCGCATACCGTGCGTTTTGGTCGAGGACAAACGTTTCCTTCAACCGCGCAAGTTCCAGCTCAAGTGCCTTGATGTAATTTTCCTTCCTCTCGCGATGGGTTCTGCGAATGGCAGCCGGTTAGTGAATGCGTAAGATCTTTGGGGGAAACGCTCTATTCAACCTTTGTGCTTGTCGGTTCAGTTCTTGCCTCCGGGTCTGGGCAGGTTTACTGTCTGGTTTGGGACCTCGCCGCTTGGCCGGTTGCCCGTCTGCTACGGTTGAGCTTCCCAGAATGGAATGCCGAGGGAAGACAATTGCATACCTCTAGTCATCTTTTTCTGAATTCCTTGAAATCCCTTTAAAAACCCCATACCCATCGTGTGCGGGCTTCTCTCCTCAACTGAGGTCCCATTGTCTACGATGATGTTCGTTAGCGACCATCTTTCCATTGTGCGACTTGAACTTGGGCGGATCAGTACGAAACCGGGGCCTTCCCAGCCCCCAGGCGGTGTTATCACGGATCCCACAAGGGATAGGCGCACCATGACACTGGATCAATGGTAGAAAGGCAGCAAGGGCGGGACAGAGGGACTTACGATAAGTGGCGTCGGTCGCATAGTCTTGTCCTGTCCAGGAGGGATCCATATCGGGGCGAGGTTGTTGCATATTGGAATGGAAATGAGGCGACGTTCAGATGCCAAATAATGCACAAGTCCTGACAGCAAACAGCTCTGGGCCCAACCCTGAACGTCGTGAGTCAAGATTGTAACTGTATAGGTTACGAGTAAGGATTCCCCGCCACCTCCACTAGGGGCGATCCGTTACCAAACAGGACTCGGCAAGGTATGATCCGGGCAGATCGGTTAAGGGGTGGTGTCAGATGAAAAGAACATGCGCAATCGCCTATGCCGGACGTGAGAAGCGTAGAGGTTGGATTGGGGAGAGTGGCAGTTGGCCTGCAATACTGAGACTGGCCACGAGACAGATTGGTGGTGTTGGAATCGAGGTTGGTACAGCAAGACCTCTGGAGGTTTGTCAATGAGGGACGTGCGCAACGCAATATTTGAGAGCGGGACAAAATTGCTGATCGCTGTAGAGAAGTTTGTGCAACAGGGAACGTCGCAGAAGCGTCGGGCAGACCTGTGAGGCAAGCCGAAGAAGGGCCGGGTGCTGGAGTGTCTTGAAGATGGTCGACGGGACGTGTTCGAAAAGAAGCTGGAGACGACGATGGCCTGAGGTGGGTGCGGGCGGGATTGCGGGGGATGTCCAGGAAGCCTTTGGTCTGCAATTCAGGTGTTTTCTTCTTTTCCTGTTGCTCCTACTTGCTGCTGCTCTGGAGATCGTGCCAACTTCGTTGGGCCGGCGTGGATGCAGTGGGAGGTGATTGTAGGTAAGCAGCTTCGAAAGTCTCGGCGGGTTTGGGTGATGCTGATTGACGGACGCGCCAATAGGAAGAGGAATTCTGCGAGGCAGCGGGCGACAAGGGTAGACGCTCCGCGGAAGGTGAGTAAGGACAAAGCTAGATGCTCTGTGCACCGTACTAGTACTGTGTGTTCAATTGAATGCTTCCCGCTGCCGTTCGTAGGCTGCAAAGCGGTCACTGAAGCAGCCAGCCGGGGGTTTCTCAAGCTGGTGATGGGGAACGATTGGCGGGGATTGCGCCCGAGCGCTGAGTGGATGATAAGGAGGTAAAGGTAGAGAGGTAAGGTACCTAGATCAGGATAGGTAGTGTTATAACTGGAATACAAAGATGTCGCTGTGCTTGTGCAACAGTGGAAGATTCATAATGAAATAAACCATCCACGAAACATGAGTCACGAATGCCACACAGTTTTTGCTCAGCAGAGGAACGGACGGGTCATCCGAGCTGGTTATAACAGTAGGTACAACTGTTGGATGGGAAGGAAAACATACGCACCCTGCTAGGATACCTGGTAAATAGGTAACGTGTTAAACCCAAGCCTTAAGTAAAAGCAGACACCATATAGGGAGCAAATGATATTGTTGGGCCAAATCACAGGCACACAACACGCATTGACTTGCCTAGAAGAACTGCGTGCCGCCTGGAAATCCAGCGTTGGCTCCTGTTGCAGATCCCCGTTTGCTTAGCGGTCGATCGAACACGGGAGCGTCATCGTTATAATAACCTTTGATGTGTGCAGTGATTGACAGGAGTGATTGACTTACCAGCACGCTCCTTCCTCATCCATACCTAATAAATCGTTCTTCTGTGGCTGAGGCAGGTCGGTTTGCTGTTAGTTAGGTACCTACACACCTAAGGTATGCATAGAGACTCTCCACAGTAAGCGCTGTAGTAGTAGTGTGCAGTGGTTGTGTAGTGGCGTTGAGGCACCTAGAGCACTGCCTACCTCCAGGTAAGCAGCACGGTTAGAGTAGTTCCAACGGTCCACTGCGGAACGGAAAGGAAAGGAAAGGTGCGAGCACCATCCCCGCGATCCATCCCTGGTAAACCTTTGCCAATTAGTAACATGACATTTATCTTGCCGCTCGGTCACACCAACAAACCGCTTGTCTTCATCCATTTACCTTTGTCTTCAAGTTTGTCGACCCGTTGAATTTCAGGCACTTTCCCTGACGGGAATCCCGTGCAAACCTAAAGAGTGGTTTGGGATGCCGCCAATCACACCTTGAACCCTGCTCGAGCTCTTGCGCGGGCGACGCTCTCACCGACCCTGCATGCTCTTTTCATTGTTCGGATCCCCCCTATTAGTTGCTGTAATGATTGGTTCCCATTCTCGTGCCCTTGTCCTTTTGCCGCACTGGCGCGCTCGAGTGCACCTTCCTCTGCGGTGGGAAAGAATGGGCACAGTTGTCGTCACCGGGTGGCCCAACGTAGCCTTGAGCACCAGATCGACGTCGGAGCCTCCATGCTGGGATGATGTTCGTTACTCGCAGCCCAGCATGGAAATGAGGGTGGTCGTTGTGGGCATCGACCCGGAGGCTATCAACATGTTTGCGCTCGGGGATTCGAGAAGAGGAGTAGATGATGGCGGTCTCGGTTTTTCGTTGTCTATAGCATAGCATGTTAATATGGCCGACTTCGTCATGGTCCTGGTCAGCACCACCCGAACAGGAGTCTCTCCTGGCCGTTACCTCTCCAGGCTTCGACTACGGATCTGGCGTTGTTCAGTGGTGAAGGGCCATGTGACCCATCCTGATTTGGGGGAGACGATCACTAGGCACCCAGATGCCATGCCCGGGGTGGCAGTGCTCGAAAAGTCGGGGATTTTTAGCAGCCTCCAAAGTTCTGCTCAGGGTCCGATCGTAGTCTCCCTGGGTCGGTAGGGGATGCATGCGGAACGTAACATATCAACCCGACGAAGGTGAATGAGGCATGTCTTTTCTAAATCGTGCTGAGAGACTCCACGATGCATTCCGCAGTCTAGACACGTACTACCAGGGTACGGACCAGGCGATCATTCAAAAAGGTACAGTTGCCGAAAAAGATCTCTTGTACAAAGTCAAAAGAAGAGTTAAGAGACTGCTCAAGAATGGCCTAGAGGCATGGATCGTGGGAAGAGCGGTGGAATGGATGGACATATCTATCCTTCCCAACTCTTCCTCTGGAACGGTATCGAGCGAATGTTATAGTATCCCCGGGCATCCGATCGGGAGAAGAACGAGGTAGATACCTAGGTAGACATGCGGCGATGAAAGCCACTTACAGCGACACTGATCGAGCAGCTGCACCTGCTGTTCGCTGTCGCATGTCAATGGCATCAAATGGCCCAGTTATCACGGCGACCAAAGACGTTATTGGCCACGCAATGAAGCCGTGGCAGGCAGCCATCAGGTCGTCAATCTCGATTGGGATCAGGATTTGGAATGGTGGATATATTTGCAACGGATGACACTCTTACTACCTTATTAGATTATGTTCCACGATCGTGCTGGTGGGCTTGGGATAGGGGGTTAAGGAGCCTCCCATGGGGGTTGAGCGCCTAATAAGGCACCTAGACAAATAGGTAGGTAGGTAAGTTACTAATAAACGGCGCACTTCATACAGTGCCAATGGCTGCTTGGGTCCAAGGCAAACTACCAGCGGCTACATAGAAGCTTGTCATGGATAGTATTTGGGGACATATTATGATAAAGCAGTGCAGTACTAGTACCTTAGTGAAGACAAGGTAGACCTCTTAACTGGAAACAGTTCATTGTTCAAGGTAGCTACCATATTGTTAATAAAAGGCAGCTGGCCCGTGTGATAGAGTCGGATACCCCGCGGTGGTCGACCTCAGCCTGACTCGCGTATTGTCGACCACTGTCATCTCCTTACTACCGCCGAAGATGCAGAGGGATCGATACATTCGGAACCATTGACTGTAATGGACGCGCCTCCTCAATGCGAGCTCTTGGTTCACATTACTGCGCGCAGCACCACTAAAGATGACAAGCGTTATACCGCGATCGCACAATCCATCTTGGATTTCCAGCCAGCAACAGTAATCAGGGTGTCAGAAGCAGCGTGCGAATCTCCCGCTGTTGTTGGCACCTTAGATGAGGACAGTTCAGGTGCAACTCACGCCCTTTTGGCCAATAGGTTGGTTCCCATTGTTTAGGCATGCGATTGTCGGCGGTTTGCTTCCATTTCTCATTCAGTTCCTGCTTACTCGGCCTAAATCACGTTTGATCGCAAATTCTGATTCTCTGGACTTACCATTCACAGAACATTGTCGCCGCCTGAAGCAGACCTCCCTCGTCCAAGGACCGCTCCTGCAAGCTGCCCTCCTGATGTACGAACAAATGGTCTTGTCACGGCGAGTGATAGGCGCCGCTCCTACTCTCAAGACTCAGCTTTGAGCGACTCGCTTGCTACTTCTTCACGTTCCTATGGCGCCGCTCGATCTCGACACGGTGCCCCTGGCCAACCTACAGATCCATGTCCAGCCGTTCCAGACAGCAACTGCAGGGCTAAAAGGCGGCGGTTGAATGGAGAGCAGGCTGATGACAACGACAGACCTTCAGCTGACGCACAAAGGAGCATTCAATCGTCTAAGCAACCTCCAAGGCATCCCGATCTGAGGTCATTCCCGCTCATGTCCCCTGTGAGACGGGACTCCAATTCCCCTTCTTCGACTGTGTCTCCATCCCAGCCCTTGCAACAAGGCCACATTCAACTATTGTCGCAGCCGCATGAGTCTTCGAGCGCGCGCAGTTGCGCTTTAGTGGACTTGACCACGCCTGAACAGCCTGTTTACGGTTCTGACCGATCCCAGGTCTACAAGGCGCCACGATCGGATCACCAACGGCGTATCCGCTTTCAAGTCGAGGAGGGGAGATTCATACCTGCTTCTCAGTCTGGTCTTGTCGTCAGACGACTTCCGGACGATGTGAGGGGCCCGCATCCTAGGGGAGGACGGTCGAAATTCTCTACGCATATTACCAAGACTTTAGAGAGAGTTTCCACCCGCGTCCCGCTCCCCAAGTACTTCCGACCGGCATACGTCGCCCGTGACGTGGGAGTGCTAGAACGAGGCTACTGGCAGTTCTTCATTACAATCAACGATAGGCGTGCCGGAAAGTCGAGACGGTCTTCCGGCGAACAGACGAAGCCGCATTGGACTGAGAAAGAATTCAGCCACTTTTGGCAAGCCATCAGTCTTTTCATCCAGCAAGGCAAGGCTGGATGGGGAACACGGCTCTTGAAGGAATCAAGAGATAGCCTTGAATGGAGAATCCGGCTCTTTACCTGGGGAGAGCTCCTCGGGCATATCTGGGTGATCCTTTGGATCTTGTCGGATAAACTGACACAGAGTGTCCCTATGCAGTGGTTCGCAGGCGACGGTTCAGTGGTTGTCCAGATGTCAGGTGCGAAACCCCGACGGCGCAAGTCAAGCCTGTGGATGAGAAAGGGGCCAGAGGGAGAAGGCGGAGCTTGGGGAATGGGCCGGCTGGAAGCGCCCGATCTAAAGCCAGGAGACCTGGAGCAGGACTAACTGTTTGCATATAGATGTAACATGTCACGAAAGATCTAACGTTGGCAACTTGTAAGAGACAACATCACGTTGAGTGCACTGGTGGTCATCAAAGACCGAGGCTTTCGGGTTGTTGATGAGAAGGGTGGTCGATTCCCTGTTCCCTATGACAGACAGATACTTTTGTCCTAGTCCTGTATGTACCTGCCGCAGGTACCGAGTAGTAGTATTTACTAGGGCAGTGGTACTTTCTCAATTCAGACCAGCCTTGTCGGTCCAAGGACAGCTGAGGTTCGAAGACCAGGGCAGAAGTGACATCGGGAAGACGACGAATGACACCTTCAAAGTCCTGACTATTAGTAGTTAGTTGGTCGTTGGCCTCGGGCCTTGCGCATCGATAAGTTTTGTTGCTCTTCCCAATTCCACATTTCCACCCAAATCCAAGATTCACATGTGAAAGCCTCTCACTCAACTACCACCAACTTTCTGCCTCCAAGTCTATCATCACCCCTCTACTCTGTATACTGTCCAGGTCCAACATGGTTGATTGAACACGGCCACTCAACTATCTTCTATTCACTCTCTTCGTCCGCCACCACTCGTCCAAGCCCTTCGTTTCCGGCCCTGACTGTGCAGTCACAGCTCAGCCGCTTCTCCAGACACCCGTCCCAACAGATCTGCATCCCCGAGATCGCAGTCAGATCAACCTCACTTCACCTTGACCAACTTCGGCGCGCATCTCTATATGGCCTTCACTACCTGAACACCTCGCCTCGATCTATTCTCTGCCGACGAGTTACCAACTTCACCAAGATTCCTCCCCGAACCCACCGCCTCCGCCAACTCACTGTTGAGCCTTCTTCGAGCTCCCGATCCAACCACGAACATCCACCGTTGAACACAGTCTCTTGTCGACTGGCTATACCCCAAGGTCAAGGCTGTCTTAGAGCAGCCCCGGAGAGGCGGGTGTGGAGTGCGTTTGATGTTGGCAACGCAAAGAATGTCGTCCCATGGCGGACAGCAGAACTTTCCATTCGGCTGTATGTCGCAAACATCTGTCCCCTTCGTCGCAGAGCTATTGACTCATGGCTATCATACAGACCAACCGGAAAACATCCACGGACTTGGATTACCCGAGTTCATCAATCCAGGTCCTCCCCCGGGCCAGCCTCTACTCAACGCGCATGAGAACCAAGACCTGGACAACTTCTTCCACGACTTCGACCAAAATGCCGCCGCCAATAAACACATGGCTCAGTCTCAATTCAATATGGTCGCTGGGACTGGCCAATACTATGCTATGCCACCGATGTTCGTTGGCTCTGATACTGGCATGGGCAACCGATATGTCATGGATCCGGTTCAGCTCCAGGGAGCTGGACTGTCCTATGGTCCTGGAATGGTGGGACAACATATGAACACTGTCAAGCACCCGAATACAGTTGCTGGCGGCATGCCAGGAGTGGGCTACAATGACACAGCCTATGCCGACCCTCTCATCACCCAACTACAGACCGCTGCCTCGATGCAGCCGGCTTTTGGTCCTGCCTGGCAACATTCGTACCCCTCCCAAAACAGCATTGCAATGCCGCAGCTGCAAGGTCGACAAGCCGTGAGTTTCGGCACCGACTCTCGTTTTCAGCCTACCGGGTACGCCGCTCCCAACAATCCTCTAGACCCTGATATTCCCCAGGCGATGCAGACACATCCTATGGACTGGTTCGAGCCCACCAGTGCAAGCACCACACAGCCCAACACACGGCCGAACACACAACCTTCAAGTCCAAATTGGTCCAAGAAGAGAACATTTGAGGATTTCCAAGGAGATCAGAACGTGCGGAATGGCTTTGTTCAAAGCAGCAACATCCAACAAGCCGCACTTGTCCAGCCCTCTCCGCCACAGCCCAAACCGAGAAGGAAACGGAGTTCTGTTGTCAAGAAGGAGCAAGCATCGGCACCACCACAGCCACCGACAGCTATCACGAGCAACAAAACCCCGGCACCGCTCCATACCGAGGTCCGGACCATGGGGAAACATGGACTAGGTCAAGAACAAAACGCCGAGGCAGAAGAAGAAGAGGAGGAGGAGGAGGATGACGACGATGAAGGAGAAGAAGAACAAGAAGACGATGCCACCACAGAGGCGGCCAAATCTCCGTCACCTGCGCCCTGGCCTGCCAACAAAGCCCGCCCACAACGCAACGCCAACCCTCCTCCTCCGAAAGGATCTCGCAGGAAAAAGACCAGTGCGACGCCGTCGACGCCCGGCAAAGGCAAATCAAAAGGGCAGCGGGCGTCCAGCGGGTCGCAGGTGACCCCTTCCAGCAGAGTCCCTCTCACGCTGGAGCAGAAGAAGGCCAATCACACGAGTTCGGAACAACGTCGTCGGGACGCCACCGCGCGTGCATATGCCGAACTGTATGACCTGGTCCCCGAACTGGAGGCCGGCGGCAAGCAGAGTACGATGAAGAAGCTTGAAGTCGTCGTGGCCAAGGTCTCGCGAGTCAAGCAGCGAGTGGAAGAGCTGAGGGCGAGGATGGGCCTCGATCCCGTCTCTGGCAGACCGATCGGGCCCAGTGGGACTGCTTCGCTGCTTCATAGTGACGTCCAAGGCTGGCGATAATGACTCCGATCGTTGAACCATTCCAACCACGACAGTCTCTTGTGTTTGGCCATCCTCACTTAGTGGACAACAGGACATCTCGACAATTTGAATCTCTTGAATCTTTGGCCCGCGCTGTTCGAGATCACATATCACATCAGCTGAATCTGATTCGAAGTTGAGCTTGGGCCTGGCCTGGGCTTGGTGGCAGCAAATGACCGCCTGGAGACCATCGCTGCCTGCCTTGGAGCCGAGGTGGATCGTTGTCTCTACTTTGACGTGCAACCAGAGAGCGTATTGACAAGAGATGAAGACAAATGACGATGCAGCCATGCAGCCATGCAATGCTTGCTCCTCCCCTCTCTCTCACACAGTCAGAGACACACTTACACACACCTGCCTTTTTTCCTTCCACTCCTTGCCTCTTTGTCAGAGATACCCATATTTTCACTTTCCTTTTCCTTTTCCTTATGAGTTTGCCGATTCGACACACGGAGGTATTCTGTTTTCCATCGATAATGGCTATTGGACAAAGGGGCTTTAGTACATTGGGGCGAGACGTGACGCTGGACCGAGTGGGGCGGAGCTCGAATGGACTGTTCTGTTCTATTGGGCTTGGAATTGGCTTTCGTTGCGCTTCGCTTCAATTGTATTTTTTGGCGGGCATAAGAAAAAAGAAAGTGCAAAAGGAATGGACATAGTACGCAACAACGCCGGGGTGGTGGTGGACAAGCTGGGTGCTTTGAGAGGATCGAGGTCAGGGTCAGGGGTGAGAGGTCAGGCAAAAAGACACTTTTTTGGTTCCCAAGTGAAAGCCGTTCCCTTCTCTCGCATTGGACTTGAACTTCCCGTGGGCCAGGACGAGGACAAGGACGAGGACAGGCGTCAACGACGATGAAGAGATGAAGTGACATGAACTGGTATGAAGTAAAGCGAAGGGAAGCCAAAGAATCAAGCCCTCCTTTCCGGACAAAGACCAGACCAGATCCGATCTTGGTATCTTGGTGTGTGCTTTTTGTATTTCACTTATTGCTGCCAGTGTAGCATTGTCTCTGCTGTTCCTGTTCCTGTTCCTGTTCATCACAGCCTTGTCCTCGTCCTCCAGGCTGGATGGTCATAGTAGGTGTGCATGCATGACCTACAGGTACTCTGTACTCTGAACTATCAGGTCGGTATTGCACTGGAAATGAGCAGATGGAAAGTGCTTCGTTTGCTTTTGGCCTGCGACTTCTACTTCTACTAGAGCACGCGAAGTGTATGTGGTCCCCAGTTTGATAGTTGTCCTGATATGTCCGCCGCGATGCTGTTGCTCTAGCCCTGTTTTGTTTCAACGCGGTGGCGGTTCAAGTCGTACTGCCACTGCCACTGCCACTGCCACTGCCACTGCCGTACGTGGTCAGTTCGATACATCCCTACGGGATTCAGCAAATATCGTATCAGGTACATTCAGTGCTTTACAAGCCGCTTCCATACCCCCTTCCATACTGCCTCCACCACACGTCTTGATCCTCTCATCTCACATCCTGTAAAGCCAGCCCTCCTTAGTGAGATAATCCCTAGCATTTCTCTAATATCGCATGCTGATCAATTTGTGTGGGAAGAAAGGAGATCAGACAGATCCTGTCTGAGACGATGAGACAGGGCTCCATGGTCAGATTTCCCCCCACCCCCCAGTTCTACAACTCCCATCCCAGACTTCGGGACCGCTCTCTCAACATGTCGGCAAGAAGACCATTGTCTCCGGCATTGGTGGCGGTGTGTTCGCCCTTTGACCGCGATCCCATTTCACCCATGAGATCTGCGATCTCAACAGCTTTTCCTGCCCAGAATTGTGGCTGTAGGAGAATGTTCCTCGCATCATTGGGAGGATACTGTTCGTCGCTGATCACTATCTCAACTTGACAAGGAGATGATTTTAAAGAGGAAGAGGAAGAGGAAGAGGACGAGGACGAGGACGAGGAAGACACGAAAATGTCGATACAAAGATTGAATAGCATCGTCGCGAGCCATTCCAGCTCCTCCGCTGGATAACTGCTATGTTGACGAGAGCTTTGTACACGTGCGCTAGAACCTCCTTGACTTGTTGGGGATGTTGTGCTTGAGCGTGCCAATGCCAAAGCTTGCTCGGTGATCATTTTCAATGTTTCCAAGTTATTCGCATCTTCGATGGCCGAGTCTGGTTCGGAGACAGTCTGAGTCGCGCCACGCTGGTCGAGAATGACATGGACGACGCAGCGGACCCAGCGTGAAGCCTGTGGAATATCGTAGTCTGGATGATTTCGGAGGCCTTGAATGAGTTTCGCTAGAAGATTGGTTGCAGTTGAAACGGGAAGTCGAATCCTTGTCAGAGACGCAACACCCTCTTCCTGATCCCTCGACGAAGCGGTCGTGGAAGCAGCTGATAAGATCAAGTCTGCCAAGAGAGAATAGGTCTTGTAAGGCGGTTGTAGCTGCATGGCTCGGTCGACAATCTGACTGAGTGACAACTCATCCACAGGCCGACCGGCTTCTCTGTCGGCAGAAGTCGTAAACAACAGAGCTTCGAAGGCCAGAGGGGCCAGAACAACCAGTTTCTCGCTCATCTGGGCGACATCGTTCGTAGTAGAGCCAGATATAGAAGGAGAACGCAATGCAGCTAGACGTTTGTCGATTTGGGTATAACTCTCGAATACGTTCTGATACAATGTCCTCTTGATCTCGGCTGGTGAGGGTTGAGACTTGCTGGAATAAGATGACCGTGGGAGATCTTCGACTGTCCATGACGAAGTGGAAGAACGTGCCTCGGCAGTGTACAGAACTGCTTGGACGTATATCGTGTTTGTCTCATGGATGATCTTGGCCTTCTGGACGTCTTCCGGCAATTGAGGTGGGTATTGGATCTGGTCAAGTCAATACATGGGACAGTCGAGACACTCCGACGCTTACCTGGCAAGAGTAGTGTAAGAGGTCGATCACGTATCTTGCTGGCCACGCGTTGACATGTTTCAATGCAACAGCATAGCTGGTTTTCTCGAACCATTGGTACTCATTCAACGCAAGTGGCCGGTCATCTTGGTTCATCGGCTTCTGGAACAGCAATAAGGCTGCACAGTTAGATAAAGACGACAATACGACAACATTTGACATACCGTACTTGAAGACTCCACATAGCCTTGACAAGCATTCTTCTGAGAAGCAGCCCTCCTCGGAGATAGCAGAGAGAAGGAGCCGAGCAGTACACCTACGAACGTTAACTTGAGTTGACGATCGAGAGAGTTCATATTGACCTGAGTAGTGTGCAGCTGTCCACTTCCGGAGGCAGTCCGTCTCTATATTTGTCGAGAAGTCGTTGTAGATGCTGAGCTGCTTGAGCTTTGCTGTCGTACTGCATGGCTTCAGAAACAGCAGCGAACAGAAGTCGGTTGTGCTCGTCATGGACGAGTGCGAGCGAGTTCAACGCGGACCGCACTAGGGAACCATCATTTCAGGGGTCCGAACATCTGAGAGACTCGCTTCCCTTACCCGCTGCATCATCCTGGCAACGAAGCGCCAGACTATATCGGAGATATCGACTCAACGGATGTTGTAACCTGCCGGGTGTCATGGTGTCGAAAGCGTCTGAGGCAGCTTGTAGGTTGGAGAGCTCAATATAGCACTTGATCATCTTCCTACCATTCGTTAGCAGATATGTTCAAGGAGGATGAATGTCCGCTGATACCGCTCGATCTTTCCAATGTTTTGATCTCCGCCATTTTCGAAGATGCTGTGTAGCGCGGCTCGACACCATTGTACCGCGTCTTCTTTACTTTGACTCTCATAACACTTTTCGATCTGCTTCCAGAAGATCTGGGCCCATCAGCGAGTTTGGTCAGGACCCATATGACCGAGACCTACAATGAGGGCGGCGCGTGCTACCTCCTGGCTAAGGGTTTTGTCCCACGCTTGCCGTATTCTGTCCAGTGCAGCACAGGTATGGGATGGAGATATGGAGGCATCGTCAGAAGAAATGGTGCTCAGCGAAATCAGCGTAAGCACGGCACTCTCAATCCATTGGTCATTTTCGTTCGGAATGAGTCTTGTGATAATATATGCTTCCAGGACTTGGATGGCACGCGAGATGCTACCACTGGTGTTAACTTAAGGATGACGACCATGAGCAGACCGTACCTGAGAGGCTTCAAGCTGTGGATGTAATGCAGGATCCTGTCAACAGGTTAGATGCGCCCAAGACCTTCACTGGCTAAGCAAAACTCACATCTTGTGGTTCGATGGGGTTAGGTGAGCAACCCGCACCGTCTTCATCAATTCTGCATCGCTTAAGACACAATTTGAGGTTGCATTGTCCCAGTAGACAGCTTACCTGTATGGTATGTATCGACATCAGGGGCAGGGTCATGCGAGAGTACTTCCAGCTGAAGCAAGATGACTGAAAGCTTCTGCCCGAATTCCTGGTTTTGTGAGAACATTGACAAGGAAATCTATCTTCCAATTGACAATTCACCTCACGCATTAATTGAAACCTCTTCCGTACTTCGTTGCCGGCTTCGGGCTCTTTTTCCAAAAGTAGTGCTCTGACTACCTGGAGCATGAGATGTCGGCTCGACCGGAGGGACATGTTGTGCTTACCATAGGTGTGCAGCAAGGTGAGCCGCAGTTCCTGTGTATCGACGTCTGCAGCTTCTGCATTTCTGCTGGTGGAGAGCGTACAAGCCCTCTTGAGCCATTCCACAGCCCGACTGCTATGTTGCTTCACAAGCTGGTCGTTCCCAATCTCGTAACAGAGGTCGATGAGTTGTCCGGTATGATCTGAGCTCAACTTGGGCTGCAGTGGTTCAAGTAGCGCATAGAAATGCTCGGCCAGGTCGAGGCAATCTTGCTTCCAGGCCTGTCCGCGGTCAATGCCATACCACTTGCGGTGTACATGATACGTTTACGGACCAACGCCACACGCAGGAGCAGATATTGCTCTTTTAGATCGTCATGGACGTGGCTGCTGTTGGGGACATCGTCGTGGATCGACCGAGACAAGCTCTCCTGTTTTGAGGCAAGTTGTTCAACAATCTTTACCCCGGTCTCGAGTCGGCAACTGTCTGCAGGACAATCAGCCAAAAGCAATGAAGTATCGTCAAGGGCTTTCACCCAAACAGGATCTTGCCGCTTTCAGAGCGCATTTGAAGATCCGGGGTTCGCCTGCAACAGATAAGCCAAAGCAGAAGCAGTTGGCTCGATGCACCCTAGACCTTTACGCCTGGAGTTTGCTGCACTTTCAAGCAGGAGATAAGAAAATGCTCGAACTACAGCATGGTTGTTAGACACGGGTGTCAACCTTCCTCTTAGCATTAGGTACCGTCAGCCAGATCTCCAAGGTGCTGCGCAGTCCCTCTCTTTGTGACCAGTTTGCAACAACTATTCCAGATTGCGACGCCTTCGCGGTCGAACTCCAACCTCTGACTAGGCGAGATCTCCTTTCGTGGGAGAGGCAGGGCTCGAATGTAGAAGAGGACATCAGGAAAACCTTGAAAGGCTGTCTCTGCATCTTTGCTCAGACACTCTTTCAAATGTGCCGCAAAGTCTGTTCTTCATTAGCGGCTCATCTAGGATGGCGGCAATGTCAGCATACCTAGCACAGACTGCGCCTTGCCTGCAACTGATTCTGGCAACATGGGAGCTGGGCCAATATCACAGAGAAGCAGGCGGATGGAGATTTTGCCAGAATATGTAGCCTGCAGTGTAGAGGTGGACAGGCAGCCACGTCAACGAGAATCCACGCCTGCTGAGAAGCACTGGCAGACGACCAGAGCGCCAGCCCTCCATCATCCACGCAATCAACCAACACGATTAGAAGAAAACAGACGAATACTTAGTTTGAAGAACGTTTCATTCGTGGATTTCTTTATACAAATGTCATTTTATCCCGCAGTTACTCAGTCACTGCTTCATAGGGTTCATGGGCAGAAAATTCCCCACGATCAACGATGGTCTGCAACGGTTAGGCTGGTAGCATCGAAGCCGGGGCAAGACTCACATATTGTGGTTGTCTCTGCGGATGGTAAATGAGAAGCAACATGGAATATCCGCGTCTGAGCCTCCCTTAGGACTCCGCAGCGTACAGCTAGTCAGCATTGCCTTCTGTTGCTGGTCGAAGCAGATGGCGCAGAACTTCTCCCAGTAGCTGACCAGTTGATCCTCGACAATGATCTCGTGTATTGCAAGTTTACCCTTCAGTAGAGGTTAGTCAGGCCTGCAGCCGAGCAGATTCTGATGACACTTACATCACGAAGTGATTCAATGGGCACCTGTATCAGCTCTGCCATTTCTTTATTGCCCCGAAAAATCTCGCCGGTTCTTCTCCAGCAGCACGCTGGTATAGCCATGCTGGCAAAGATCCGGTCATACTCCATCAAACTCCTTTCAAACCACATCTCAACTAGCACAAGCTCGATGTCTGTCAAGCTTTGCATGCGCTCTCGAAACTTGGGCCTGAATTGATCCAATTGCATAAGTATCTTATGCCGTGATGATTGTTTCATATTCTTTTCCATGTATTTATTCAGCCGTGCATAACCATTGACGTAGTTGAATGGCCTCAGCATGCCGGCATCGTACTTGGCCTTGAGCAGCTTGTTCATGCGCTCTTCTGGCGGTTCGGCGCCGGTGGGATCGGCAGCCATCATGTAATACTTCTCTCGCGCCTTGTCCGAGGTGGGCTTGACACTTGATGGCCTGGAAATCATTGCGGCTTGAGCGGCGTTATTGTGGTTTGTCGTTTGTCCATTGTTGCCGTGTTCCTGAGTGATCATGGGCTCAATCCCTGGTACAGGCAGAGCCGACACAGCCATCGAGTTCATGAAGGAGGGATCATTGTAATGCCCCTGGAGATCCTCCGTTGCGTACATGCCCGTCTCTTCGAAAAGGCTGGTACTCAGAAAGTCGGTCAATAGGTTGAATTCGTCTGTGACCTCGTTGGCGTTGAACATGTAGCTAGGATGGAAAGCGTGCATATCATTAAAGCGATTCTGCACGCCGATCCAAGGGTCATTATATCCAAATTCTGCACACTGTCAGGGTGAATCACTTGCGGACATTGATGCGCACCTACGGCTCTGACTGTTGCCATTAATCCCTGCGGTTTGAGGCGCGGTGCCTTGGTTAGAGACAGACATGGTGTCATTCGCGGGCGGTCTTAGTCCCATATTGTCCTCTTGCAGGAGAGCGTGGCTAGAGTTGTTCACCATCGCAGTCGCAGCTCCTTGCACATCCGGTGCCGAGGAATATTCATCTTTGGGCGGAGATTGTTCCTCTCCTGCCGTGGCGTCCGAGTCGGCTTTTCCCTTCTTGTGATATCCGTGCCCTTCTTTGGGTTCGTCATGACACAGGTGTCCGATGTTTCTCTTGATGCAGCGCTGACAAGGGCGATCCTGAGACATGGCCCCACGAGGAGGGTCGCATTAGCCAACGTATTTCTGAAAGGGTGACGGGAGGCTCGTCATGGAGATGAGAGGAGTCGTACCGAATCGCAGGTCATATGCTGTGTATCCCAAAGAACCACATGTTAGCCTATCAACTTCCTCTTTGCCAACTCGAATCTCGGGTGCCTCTGGTCACCAAAATGAAACTGACTCACCGAACGACGGCAGTAGACGCATGCTAATGGAGGTCGTCAGTTAGGGCTGCAGCTATGCGATGGTCACTTGAGAAGGAGAACGAACCATGATTCACCTTGCGCTTCTTCTTGGGTTGCTCTGTCGGCGAAGCCTGACCTGGTTTGCGCGGAGCAGAGGGAGAGATGGCTTCACTTGACACCGAAGTCCGGTTGCCCGTGTCCCTGTTCGCACCAGTGCCTGCATGATCAGGCCCATCTTGGAGATCTGACATTGGCCGCCGGATTGCGAATCAGACCTAGCTTCGCAGCTGCGGGAGGAGACTCTGCGCGGTGTCGCCCTCAGTAGGATCGCATGGACGCATTGCCTGGGAAGACAGTGTCGCAGAGGTAAGAGACTGGAGGTTCACGGGAATGCGCGCTGTAGCATGGAATCGCAGTGGTGACGAACAGGGGCTTTGGTTGTTCAGAGACACTGATGTCCCACTGCGCCGCGTGCTATAGATCTGACTTCCTTGGATATGACTCCGTCCGCTTCCACCTCGGCGCCGCCTGCAGTAAAAGGACGTGTGCAAAGGCTGGGGTCGCTGAAGCGCAAGGGCTAAGGCCCCCGCACTGGCAGTGCACGAGAGAAATTGGGTTTATTACTGTTCGGCCAACCACTAGTGCTCTGCTGCTACATACTCCTAGTACGTCCTATGGAACTGCCCTCATCACTCATCAGCCTCGTCCCTTTGAACAGCTCCGAGGGTCTGCCGACATCTACTCAATCGCTAACCCAGGCACGCGAATGTCACTTGGTCCACCAAGGCACCTCACGCAGTACGTTCCGTGTACAAACTTGTAGGCTGCGCTGCTCTTATGGATTTACTCCTCCCTCCCACTGCGGCACTTGTCTCCATGTGTGACATCCCCGCCAACCGATTCGCGAATCCCACAAACGGCTACGTTGGCTTTTCACAGTTTCCAATTGCAGGGAGTCTTCCTGCGAATGTTTGCGCGTGGGACTAATGAGCGTTGGAGGTGACAGAACTCAACCGGGAAGCCTATGCCCCCTGTGAAGATCATGTATGGACTGGGGGTAACCATGAAATACTATGGTTTCATTACTTTCGTAGCAATTACAACACTTCCCAGCTACCATTGCAGTTGCGATTGATTGGTACATCCTTTTCGTCCCGTTTATCCCTCCATGTGCCCGGTATAATACAACCATGAGATGGACACCGACGAGGACGCTGTTACTGAGATATCTTTGCCGACCACGGTCGAAAAGCCTCCGAGACAGCAAATCCCAGTGGAAACGTTCTACAGTGAATGGAGATGATCCGCTTGTCGCACTTCAGACATTGATACTCGGTCGCATTCGCTTCCTGCCTCGGGGGCCGCCGGGCGTGCCGTGATCCTCACGCTCTCTCGCCCTCTTTTCCCGTTGATCCAACACAAGACTAAGGACATCGAAGCCAAACTGTGGATACTCCAGACACATGGCCTTGAACTCTGCCTCGGCCTCGTGGCGCAGAACATGCGAACGAGTCGCCCAGAACGCTGCGACAGGTTTGCGGATGATAACATCGTCCGGAGGGGTGTTGCCATAGACGAATCTCGCATATGCAATCTCACCGACGGCGGTAGAGTTGATCAGGTGGATCTTGGAATGAGCCAGAGTCTTCAGTGCTGGTAAGCCGAGTTTTCCTGCCAAAGTGTACACGCGGGCATGTCTCAGCAGCTGGTCACCGGTGTTGTCAATGGCGGGGACAGAGGGATCGGATTCGAGGGTGTCATTCCCGAGGCGCCGTGGGAAGTATTCGCCTGTGTATTGATATTGCAGAAAGCAAACCATTGCGTCCAGATACTCGTCGTAGAGATCTACGCGGAGATCTTCTTCGTCGAGGCCTGACAACTTTTCTTTAAAGTAGGGCGACTCGTCCAGTAGGGCCTTGTGCGCCGTCAATGTCGTCTCCTCCTCGCCCCTGCCGACAATGAGCTGCACAATCGGCGACTTCAGATATTCGAGGAATATGGTCTGCGGGTTTCTGGTCGGAGCTGAGATAGTGTCGTTGCCCTCGCCCTCACCTTCTCCTTCCGGGTTGTCTTAGCTCTCTTCCTCCCCCTCGTGCTCTTCTCCAGCCGTGCCCATCTCAACATCTCCCTCGCCGGAGTCGGCAATCTGTATGCTCTCTTCGGTATCGGCCATGTTTGTTGCAGCTCAATGTGATAGTGGAATGGATTGCGACAAAGGGAGTGGTGGTCCGCGGTATTTTGGCAACGAAATTAGCAATACAGCAACGTCGACATTGACCGCAAAGCGAAAAAGAATGGACGGATGGACACTGTGCAAACGAGTGTATGCGAAACGACGCCCGGTTATGTTTTGGTAAGACTTTGCCCAAACTGCGATGGAGGAGGCTGGGAAAGCTGCATGGTCTACACGATCCAAGGCCCTCGGCGGTCACGTGGAGCGCCAGCGGGTTCGAACCTCAGCTGCAAGTTGTTGTCTTTCCACTGGACCTACCTTGCTACCACCAAGTCCCTCACCACCACGGCTCGAATGAGTGCCTAGGATCGCATCAAGGCCCTGCCAGTGCTGAGGCGTATGGGTAGAGGAGCAGTTCTTCTCCATGTCTGCAGCGACTCGGGTGCCTGAAGGTGGTCTCCCGTGTTGTTGACCTGTTGTCACCCTCAAAGCCTCTCGCAGATACCACCTGCTTCGCAGTCCCAGCAGCGGTAAGAATGAGCCAAGTAAGATGGTGGATGGACTCTATAACTGGAATAGGCAGGGCAATGAAGCAATGCAACTCTCGCACAGTACAGCACGTTGAGCTGGGCAGCAACTACAGGTACTGCACACGGGCCCTATTTTGGATCAACAGCGCACCAAGACATCAGACATGAGTCGGAGTCGTTGTGTGAGTGGCGGGACTCCTGTAGGCTGGAGGATTCATCTTGTGCTACCATGAGGGTATTTCTGGAAAAGGTCATCATGCTGTGCCAGCCAGGAAGAAGAAGATGATAATATTCAGAGACGCTACAAGGGAAAAGCGAGCACAGCCTTGTCCCTCCACCTCCAACACATTCTTTCAATATCGTCACACCAGGCAGGAATGTTCGGGTTGAAGTTTACAGTAACCGAACCAATGGCGGAACCTGTCGTGAAATCAGATGCAGGTTGAATGGCAAGACAGAACAACAAACGCAGTGATTGGGTAGCCTTCTTCTCCTCGTTTTCCATGCCTCGCAGCCCTGCAGGAGAGGAGAAGAGTGTTTGAGGCTGATAGGCTGGCGGGATATAGACGACAGCCAGGGGCTAAGGAGGCTAAGGGGCTGTTCCCAATCGTCGATGGAGGGATCTAAGGAACCCGGGGGTCGGGTGCAGTGACAGGGGCCCAAATAAGCGTGATCCCAGGCTCCTAGTATGTATTACACACAATTATTAGCATCTCCCTCCGCCACTTCCACCTCTCCCGGGCCTTCTGGGTCTCCTGGATCTTCCTCGCTCACCGCCTACGCTTTTCGACTTGTCCGTTTGTGGCAAATAATGGCGTGCTTCCGCCAGAAAATGTTGCAATAAGACGCAAGACCGCGATTTCCCTCAAATCCGCCGAATGGAAACAATGCCATGAGGTGGTATCTGCTCCTACGGCTCCTCTTCCTCCTACTCGTGATCCCTTCGTGATCCCTTCGATCTCAGCGGTGGCCCCCTTTCAATCAAAGCCTTCACCGTGATTACGACCGCTGTCATCTCTCCACATTATTGTGCCCGCAGTCATGACAGGAAACAGACGAGTAGATCGAAACCAGGCCCGATGTTACAGCCGCCGGGGTCCGTTGACCGCCCGCCAGAGTGACACTGCTCATTCGCAGCGCAGCGCAGCGCAGCGTGATCCGGGCTTGTAAATGTCCCCCACATACGCCATACCAGGAGTAGTAAACTTTCTGCTTCTGCTGCTTCGTTTTCTGCCTGCTCTTAATCCGTCGCCTCTCTTCTTCGTCTCCTTCTTCCTCGTACTGCCGGTCCTGTTGCTGCTGCTCCTCCTCCCTTCGAGTCGTCGGCCTCTCACATTCACTAGTCAACGCGTCCACATAACCACGGTAGCGCACCGCACATCTTCTGGAGAAATTGTCATCTCCTCCACAAAAAGACAAGCTCGAACTCCGTGGCTTGCCTTGTTCTGGTCTTATATCTTCCTCTTGCCTCCCACCGCTGGCTCCTTTGTCTCTCTCTTTTTGCTTTGAAGCTGCCAGCATCTCCCACAGAATATCTCCATCGGCCTGCTCGACGCGCATATACATACCAGCACCAGTGTCTCATACAATATAAGCATCGATTACTCTTTCACCGCAAAGATGGGCTCCTACGACCCAATGCCCGCCTCTCCCCCAGTCTCCCCTCCTAATGGCTACCATGGTGCCAACGGTTTCTCGACTCCTCTCTTTCCATCAAAGCCCAACATTCTTTTCATCATGGCCGACCAACTGGCCGCTCCTCTGTTGAAGATGCACAATCCCAAGTCGCAGATCAAGACCCCAAACCTCGACAAGCTGGCGGAACGCTCGGTCGTTTTCGACTCGGCCTACTGCAACTCACCACTGTGCGCCCCCTCCCGCATGTGCCTCATCAGCGGTCAACTCCCCTCCAAGATAGGCTCCTACGACAATGCCTGTTCCATTCCCTCGGAGACTCCTACATATGCGCATTACCTGCGAGCGGCGGGTTACGAGACCACGTTGGCGGGCAAGATGCACTTTATCGGAGACCAGTTGCATGGGTATGAAAACAGGTTGACTGCGGACATCTATCCAGGCGACTTTGGCTGGGCGGTGAACTGGGATGACCCTGATCGCAGACTAGAATGGTACCACAACAGTAGCTCGATCCTGCAAGCAGGGCCCTGTGTGCGCACCAACCAGCTCGACTATGATGAGGAGGTTCTGTACAAGTCCAAGCAGTATCTGTATGACTATGCCCGGGAGGCGCCTGGAAAGAGGCCATTTGCCTTGACGGTATCTTTCACCCATCCTCATGACCCCTACGCCATCGAGGACAAGTATTGGGATCTGTACGAAGGTGTTGACATCGAGCTCCCCGATGTCAAAATCAACCCGGCAGACCAAGATCCCCATAGCCGGCGTCTAATGCACGTCTGCGAGCTGGAAGGTCACGACTTCACCGACGAGCAAATCAAGCGTGCCAGACGCGCATACTACGGTGCGGTGAGTTATGTGGATGATTGTATCGGCCAATTACTTGATGTGATCAAGAAGTGTGGATTGGACAATGACACCAGTAAGTTTGCACACCCCTGCCAACTCCCCCGCGTTTGGCGTTCACTGACGGACCTTTAGTCGTCATGTTCTCTGGTGACCACGGAGACATGTTGGGTGAGAGGGGGTTGTGGTACAAGATGTCCTATTTCGAGAACTCGGTCCGAGTGCCTATGCTCATCAGCCACCCAACACAATTCACTCCTCACCGCGTGTCGCAGAATGTATCGACGCTAGATCTGATGCCGACTCTCGTGGATCTCATCGGATCTAAACTAGTCCCCGGGTTACCGATGGACGGCCTATCATTGATGCCTCATCTGTATGGCGGCAGCGGTGGCCATGACACTGTGTTTGCCGAGTACATGGGTGAAGGAACCGTGGCACCGCTGATGATGATCCGACGTGGCGACTGGAAATACATCACATGTCCGATCGATCCTCCCCAGTTGTTCAACTTGCGCAAGGATCCGCGCGAACTGGTCAACCTTGCAACAAGCGAAGATGCCGAAACTCAAGCCGTTTTCAAGGCGTTCGAGGCGGAGGCCAACAAGAAGTGGGACTTCAAGAAGATCACCGAAGACGTTTTGATCTGTCAGCGTCAACGCCGCTTGGTGTGGTCGGCTCTGACCCAGGGTCGCTTCGAGAGCTGGGATTGGAAAGGTCACGAGGACGGCCGAACCAAGTATATCCGTTCCCAAACCCCTCTGGACGAACTCGAGCGACGAGCCCGGTACCCGATGCACAGCAATGTTCCTGCTCACATCACGGTCAACAACAAGGCCGAGGTGGTCTGTCTTCAACCGAAAAGACTGACTGAAATTGCGAGTGACGCCGTCCATTACAGGTGAATGACCAACGAATCTTTTTGTCTCTTTCATGGCTCGTCTCGGTTACCTACGGATGTCCCTTCTGCTCGGGTGGTGGCAATGCTTACTTACGTTTGCTGAGCGTGGCGTTGGGAGGATTGTGAGATTGGCTTTTTTCTCGCCGGAAGTCTTCTCCATGGGATGTTGCCCGCATTTGGCGCACATGTAAATTGTCTAGTTGTTTGGAATCAATCGCATCAAAAGGAGTTACTGGTTGTTGTCAAGATTCTGGTCGATCTTCGCTGCGTATTGTATGGTGATATTGACGAGTTGTCTTAAGGTATTGAGGGTTGAATGGTATGAGCCTTGTCACTCTCTCCCTCTTGTCTCCATGTCTGGCAGGTCACGGGCTGAAAGTTTCGTTGTCGTGTCCGAGTCTGCGAGGTCGAAGAAAACAGGTTTCTCCTTGCTATCTCGATGTCAGTTGTTTTGGGCACATGTTCAGGCAGGTGGGCAGAACCGTGCAGTTGCAGTGACCAACGTGCATGCATCCATCGTTCATGTATGTACCTATGTAATCTATCCATGTAATATATAAAACAAACACAACCACAACTTTGCATAGTATTTCGTTCTTATACCTTTAATGTGCCATCTACCTAGGTTGCCATAAGCTGCAACAAGCCTTCTTTGCAAGCCAAGGTGCAAGATGCCACCCTGCCCCCACCTATGCATGATACGAATGACATGAACATGGACGCTTACATCCATCCACCCATCATCAATCACTGTATCCCTCATCCATCATCCGGCTCTCGGCGACGGGGGAGTTCGCTGGGGTGGGGTGTTTGGGCCCTGGGGAAGGAAAATGAGGGAGAGAATCCCGACTACCGACGCACCGATTACCGACTTGACTTCCAAGTTATCACTTATCACTTATCACATACCCTAACTAGGGGACCTTACTGTACTCACCCTGCACTCTCCTTGTACTACTACCATCATACCAGCCACTGGCAGGCTATATCCATCCTAGTCGACTCACAATGCACTGCAGTAAAACTTGACACGGCGTTTATGAGTTGAGGTGGGTAACCCAGTAGAATGGAATCCCGACTCCCGTTACCACTTTCTTATCGATGCCACCGACTTCCGACTTCCGACTTCATGACTGACATTGTTCCCTAAGGTATCTTAATACCTTACTACCTAGGTACATAAAACCTGATAAACAACGATGATGAGATCGGATTCGGAGTTACTCAGGGTAGATAGTACTAGATACCTTACCTAAGGTAAGATACCTAAGATATGCTCTGACATTCAGGTTCTTGGTAGTGTACATAGAAAAGGCATGGAGGACATCTTCCCTTACCTTAAGGGCCTTACCAGTAGATCTCTGTGATATATCCTAGGTACTACCACATATCAAGATAACTTCAACCTAGCTCCTTGCCTCACCTCGCCTACCTACCTTACCTACTCATCAACCCTCACCGAACGATTGTTCCCCGTGTCTTTTCTCACTTCCCACAATCAAGTTATCCTGACTGTTATCAACAGATACAACTTACAGAGTTACTACTACTGCCTACTCAAGGTTGCAGAGCATGTTCCAGTACTAGTAGTAGGTAGGTACCCTGGGTAGATAGGTAGGTAGACACCCCAACGTAAACCAAGTTCCAACGTACTACTACTACTACTAGCGGATACAGGTAGACAACAATCTTGAAACAAACGGAACGGACTGGAAGAGATCCAAAGTACCTAAAATCATGTAAAGTCTTGATTGCCCATGCGCTACTAGCACTAGACTCGAACCGGTCATGGAATCCATTGTGATCAAGGGACGCCGGTCTGGTTTGATTTGATTTGGTTTGGTTTGCTTCGGTTGTGGTAGTTCCGGGTGTTTATCACCAGCGATCTATCTCTCTCCCTCCCTCGCGCTATCAATGTGCCTCCATGCCTCTCCCTCCATCTCTGTGTGTGTGGCGACGTCTGGGGGTTTGTATTTGATCACCCAGACCAGAAGATCACCCTTGCCTTTCATCACACTGGTAGGCAGCAATAATGTAGTGTAGTAAGGGTAGTAGGCAGAGCCGAGACCAACACAAAGATGAATGACGAGTACACACACGAAAGGACGTGACTATCTGTACTCGACAGTCGGGCTCCAGCCTAGCCCAGCCAAGTCCAGTCCAGTCCAGTCCAGCCATGACAGAGCCTGGAGAAGTTGGAACATGAACGTCAAATGACCACTGCAGTCCGTCTCTCTCCCACTCGGTTCTCTTTTCCTTTGGCACCGTTTTGCGGCGTCCGTATCTTCCGTCGGCTGTATCACTTAGTGACGGCTCATTCCCCTCCAATAGCCGTGTCTTTTTCTGCCCGGCAGAATCGCTGTTCATGTCTCCCAGTGTCTGTTGACCTCTTTGGGAAATTGCCTCCATGTCCCGCTCGATCATCCCCACCCCTGCGCTTTGGTCTGTACGGTAGTCGGAGTAGTATAACTTGACACATGTATCACACGCCATGGCTTGTTTCGCTTCGCAAAGGTCGATCCGCATCGTTCGCATGTGGCCATTTATTTGGCAAAGTGCAAATCATACCCTAGCCATTTCCTGGCATTGACTTCGGCCGGAGTCAAGCCTGGCCAGCCGTAGGTGAGTGGGAAGAAGAAGATGAAGCCGCCAATTACCGCGGCCAGGACAACAAACGTGGCTGCCCAAGTGGTAATCATGCTGTGTCCCTTGAGACGGTCCGATGCCGTTTGGAACGTTCGTTTCGTCTTGTCCGAGAGCTTGCCAGTGACCTTGTCCTTCTTGGAAGCGATTGTGGAAGCTGTCTCCTGGTCCAACACTGGGTCGACGTTGAAGATGAATTCTACCAGAGCTCCAGTGACCAGGCACGAAGCCAGGTGCGCAGGCAGATAATGATGCAAGAAGAGTTGACGGCCCATTAGGTAAAAAGGGAAATAGTGTGCCGCCCAGCAGAGGAAGAAGAAGCCGGTACTATTGTACAGACGAGATCGAGTCCCTGGTGAAGAGAAGTCAGCAAAACCACCCTCATGTCATCGTCCCGGCTCAACAACTTACGTTTATCAAGAGCATCCACTCCACGTCTCAATCCCAGTTGATCTGCGGCAATAATGCCTGCAAAGACAGCGAGCAAAGACGAAGCAATCCAATATCCGATGGGATTGCCCAGGAAATATATCTGCTGCCTGGTACTCTCCTGAGTCCAGAAACTCACTCCTCGCAACAAGAACGGCCACTGGAATGGTTGAGTTGCATAAGGGTGGCTTGCCGTCAATGCGTTATTGTGGTAAAACATGGCTCGCTGAAGTTCAATGTATTTGACCAGGAAAGGTAGATGTTTCGGCTTTCTGACCTCCTTGATACGTCTCGGAGAATCTTCGGGGAGACTGGGAATGTCCTCCACATACCAAATGTTGCTTGACTGCTGCACATTCTTGTTGCCATTGATCTCGGCTTGTTTGTACGCCCATTCTGGCAGAGGGGATGTGTGAGTCCACATGGCAACCTTGGTCGGGTAATGGATAAGCTTGAATTGCCCAGACATGGATTTGAACGGCACTCCTTTCTTTCCTTGCTCCATTCGAATCTCAAACAAGGTGTCGTTGTGGCGCTCTCCAGCTGCAAGTTCCAGGGGAACTGTTGTGAATTCCTGGTTGGTGGGGTAGGAGGGGGATGCCACATCATGAGTCAACAGTATTGTATCGGTGACGACGTGTCGAAGCTTGACAAGATCACCGTTGAGAACGGGCTCATCGGCACGGGCTCCATCCAAAATTGGATCGTTGGGCAAGATCTGCCAGTGGTTGTTGGTATCGTTGAAAGGGTAGCCAGTGACCTGTTGCCCCTGGCTGGAGATACGTCCGTCATCATATCGCAGAGGATATTTGTCGGGATGGCTGTGCAAGTACACCTTAGTGTCCTTGTGCCGCAAAGTAATGACATCGTAATAATGAACGTCCAGCGAGGCCTGATGCAGCAGATTGTCGCTGAGCGTTTCCTGGAATTCCGGTGACATGAAATCGTCTCCAGGGCCAGACCGATTGAGAATTGCGAAATGAACCTGGAACCAGAACAGATAGAAGAAGAAAGGGATGACGATCAATCCCACAGCTCGGGCGACGAAATGCTTGCCAAACGTGAAGAGATCCAATGCTCCTCCCTTGCGGTTGATGTCCAAAAGATCCCAGAGGTCGATGCAGACAGCACATCCAATGGTGACAAAGGTGAAGGTGCCCACATACTTGGTGGAGATGACACAGCTCATGCAAAAGCCGGTAAGCAGAAGCCACTTCCACCATTTCCGGCCAAAAGGCTCGTGGCGTTGCTTGTAGAACCGGACGTAACAGAAGATGCTCAGCGACATGAAGAAGACCAATGTGGCATCAAGCAGAATCAGGCGGGTTTGCCCAACGTGCGAATTGTCGAAAAGAACCAATCCAGATGCCAAAACGCACGCCGGGAGTGAATAGCCTGATTCCCACATGATCAAGAAGACAACCACGACGGTAAGGGCGCCCAGCAACGCAGGAAGTGCCCGAAACGCCACATATGGGACATTGTTGGCGATGTAGGATTCACCGATATTGTCAAAGAGGAAATGTCCATCGTAGCCAACCAGCCAGCCGACAAGGGCGAAGAGAAGCTTTCCGAAGGGAGGATGCACATCGAAGAAATAGGTCCGTTGCAAATAGTAAGAGGCAAACTGCGGTTGTTGTTAGTTGGATTCGTCCCGGAATAAACTGGATATCAAGCTCCAACGTACTTTGCCAAAATGCACCTCGTCGAAAACCACTTCATCTGGATGGCTGATGCCAAAGAATCGAGTTGCAAACGCAAGGACGGTGATGATGGCCAGGGCCGCCTTATAGTCCCATTCTCTCGATGTTTTCTTCTGCACGTCTTGATATATGTTGGCGATCACATCTTCAACTTTATCTCCATTGACCACAGCCTTGTTCTTTTCCTTTCCACTCCTTTGGCGGAGGGTGGAATTGGGGGCAGACATGGTAGGAAGGGCGAGTAGGACAAGGAGAGGCTCAAGCCGCGGAGCAGGAGGAGAGCTGCAATAAGGCAAAGTTTGCCAGGTTCAATGAATCGAAGAACAAAGAAGAAGTATGAAGAAGGAAAGGACCATAAAATCAAACAGCCCAATTGAGTAGCTGCATTTCTGGAGATACGAGGAGGAAGAGGGAGACGTCGAGTTTCGAACGTGTCCTGAACTTTTGGGAGGTGTCGGTTGACGGTGACGCGACAGCCTTCACGTCTCCCTACTGGTGGGTCCGGTGCCTGTCGAGCCTCGTGTAAAGGGGCTTGAATGTAGGGCCCGCCCCTGACACTGGCGGGAACAATTGTCCTTGTAGACGGTCGATGTGCGACAAGATACTAAAATATAGCTATTGAGGTTCCGCTACTCGTTCCTATCCAATATGCTCAATGTTTCCAGTTCACGCTGCACGATACGCTCAAATTCTTCACGGTCCATGCCCGCACTCTGCGCCAGTCGATACATGCTTTTCATACTCGTACTAATATGTTGCCGAATTCCCATCTCAGATGCTGTGTACCGCTCTGCATGTTGTTCCAGTCGAGCCACCGTGTCTGATGCTTTCGATGAAGGTGACGAAGGCACAGGATGGTTGACTTGTACCGCCTTCTCCAACCCCACGTCGTCGAAGCTGCCCTGGTACGGCGGAGGACCCCGATCCTGGGGAGAGTCGATCTCTCGAGAAAGTAACTGTTGCAGAGTATCACCATTCAAGGTGGAGTCCCCTGCTTCTTCCATCTCCTCATCGGGATCGTGACTGTCCAGCGCAGGCTGCACACTGCCATATTGCGCATAATAGTCGTCTTCCGCCGATCGGTCGTGATGAGGTTCAACTGAAGCTTTCCGGGCGGGTGTTCTGGCAGGAGTCTTGTCGTACATGGCCCAGTAGTTATCTTCGTCCGGCTCAGGGGCTGCTAGTTCTCTTTGAGCACGTGAGCTGGCCGTATCAGCCTCTTGCAAAGCTTCAGTAACCATTCTCTCTTGTGCGTGTTCATTCGCCTCTCCAATGGTTGCCGACCATGAGGGATCATCCCGCAGCTCTTCATCGAAGGGTAATAATTCTGCTAGCTTCCAGGATCTGACGTTTCCCTGATCTTTGTCGGGGCACCACAAGTACAAGGCGGTGAATGGCCAGTCGAGCAGAGGAATCTGCGCATGGAGCGTCTCTTCGTCTAATCGCTTGTAGGTTATGGGTTCTGTGTCGCCCACTTCGATCTCCCCAGACGCAGGGTGTGGTTCGAACACTGTCTCTTCGATTTTGGCTTTCAGAATGTCTCCTTTCTCGGCATTCCAACACAATAGCCCCGCCCAGTTGTCGCGGGAGTCCCCGGAGGTGTGTACATCCAAGCGCTGCCGTAGGATAGGAGACAGTAGGTCTAGGAGTGCTGGAGCTGGCCTATGGGAGGCGAAAGATGTAGGTAAACAAGCGAGCAGAGGAGGGAGGAGAGTGTGAGGATCAGGGGGAGGTATCAGTTCGACCATGGTGAGATCTGAACGAACAGCGCCGAGGTGATGGAGGCTGGAGACGGCTACTACGCACCATCAATTAGGGCTATGAGGATAGTACGACCATTTGGACAGAAGACGGAGGAGGTAAGGAGATGAGTCGCTCTGCCTAGGTGAGTTAGTAGCAGTAGGAGGAGTAGTGGTCGTGATAATGAAGGCCCTGGTCGGGAGGAAATACGCAAGAAACGCCAGAGATGGGGATTCTTATACACATGATCAGTCCCGGAGAAGCATGAACACTAATGATCGGCTTGCCCAGATGCTGCTGTGTGGGTTGTGGTCGAGATTACCATCGACAGGAACCCGAGAGGCGCAGGGAAAACATGGCCGTGTCGCCGAACTTCGTATCATGTGCACTAGGTACCGCTGAAGGTGTTGCAATTTGACATTATTTCCATTCGCCCGGCCGAGTTTCGCACTAACACGTGATTGGCGGAACCGGCGAACGTACTCGTACCACAGTACTAGTACGAATAGGCCAACAACCGTGATCGTACTACGCAGGTATGCACCCTGCTGTGTCCCAATAACGACACACACACATTGCTTACTATGGCACACTTGCAAGGGGCGGGGGTTATATACCGCCTCTCGCCCATCCGGACCCATGTATCGTCTACACATTTGTACTCGTCTCCGTCCTTAGAGTCAGAGTCTACATCGAGAAATTGGCTCTCAAAAGCCACAAAGTCGCCTCAAGTCTTCGTCGTCGAATGTCGTAACAGCAAACCGGTCCAGTGTGGTCTTCGCGTCGTCGATGGCAGCCATGACTGGCTGCAACCTCGATGTGTTGTTCTGCATGCTGAGGAGATGGCTCCGTAGTTGCCTGAGCAGGGTGTCTAACTCAGGATCCGCTCGCGCACTCGAATCCAGAGACGGATACAGGGCAGAGGATGCCGGCAGTATGGATGTGAACCAGCCAGCAGCGTGGCGGTCAGCAGGGGCAGGTTGAGAAACAGCAATGCCAGCGAGGGAGTTGAGCTTTTCAATATCCTCCTGGGGAATCTCGTCTTCATGCTGAGAATCGTCAACTCCCGCCCTTGCGAGCGGATGTAGCCCCTTCTCCCTCTTTCGACGTAGTGTCTGGCTGCTCTTCAGTGCGGTCTCGAGCCCAGCTAGTTCGTCGCGGTCGCGGCGCAGCTCTGCCTTTTCGCGTCGGATCTGCATTCGTAGTAGGTGCGTCGATTGCATATTCATCGTCAACTGGGCCTGTAGGGTCGCGATGCGGTGAAGTGTGGCGGACAGGTCGAAGGACGCGTCATCCGCGGCGGCTTTGCTGGTCTTGCTTCCGTTGGTGGGAGGAAATGGCATGCGTGGGAGACTTGAAAGGAGCCTGGGAAGAAGAGGAAACATGTTAGCAAGATTGAAAAGAGAAGTAGGACGATAGAGGAGATAGTCGTGGAAACGCTCGTAAGACTTTATGCTGGATCGGAGAGGGCAACGATATCGAGCTTGAATGGAGTAGGGACAATAAGCAGAAACGTACTTGTCTGCCACTTCCTCCACGGCCTTCTCGTATTCCTCCTCCTGGACCCGCGCTCTTGCGTTTGGTCTCGTTCCACTCCCGCCTCCCCGCGACTTGCTGACCACAGCCGGTATCCTCCCAGAACCGCCAGCGCCAGATCTCTTTTTCTTGAGATCAAAGAAAATCTGTTGCACCTTTTCCTGTGACGAAGCAGGGAGGGGTTTCCATTTCTTCCGAATGGTGGACTGCGAGATGTTCTTGATGCGGGGCGCAAGGGTCGCGAACCCAGTGTCCACTGCTGATGTCGATGATGAGTTCTTTGACGCGCCCATATTTGGTATTCGAATGTTCAATAGAGCGATCGACTTTCATTGACGCGTAGATATGCGTGTGAACTGGCACAAAAGACACAGATCGACGGTCAATGGTGAAGATGGTGGAAGAACAGTCAAAACGGTACTAGTATAGTGTTTATCCAGCCCAATTTGGTCTAGCGCAGCCTTTCTGTTCAGCCTCGTGAAAGACTAACTCTCCATCCTGACCTAGAAATCATACAAGCTTGCATGTGCAAAAAAATAAGGCGCTTGTTGCATCATTTGTCATACGCGGCCGGAGTGTACTGGAATGATCACTGTCAATCGAGTCACCTTAGTCGCCCTGGGTATCAGGTGGTTGTGCCTGGCCTCGTATAGGTATAGCCTTGTCCGGAGGTATGCACAGATAGAGCCTTGTCGCAGCCGCCAGATGATTGCGATGCTAGAGGCATGATGGCCCAACCTGACCTGCTCTGCATTTCTTTGTGTCAGGCGGCCTCTGTATGGCTGTGAGCGTTGTACATCATTGTTGCCCTCCTTGTCGGCCGCCCTGTGACTGAATCCCAACACCAGCGATTCCGCCGCGCCCGGCGTGCCAGCTCATCCACCCACAAACCACACGCCTCAAATTCTGCCAGAACCCCACACACCCCAGAATCTCTGCCTAGGGAACGACCCACGACTCGAACCCACGAAAAGAGCAAAAAACTTTGCCTACAAACTCCCTGGCCGGGGGAGGTTGTAGGGAGCGAAACCCATTTTTTACTAGGGTTTTTCCGATTGATTGTCGAAACCCATTTTTACTAGGGTTCCGACTGATTGTCGAAGCGTCCACCTGTTGAACATGAGACTCTTTCTAAACGCCTAAGCGTACCACCGGGTGTTGTCTCTTTTTACCACTGCGCCACCGCAACCTTTTGGAGGGGAGGACGGGGGCCGGTCGATTGTGGGAGAATCCCGCAATCATGATATATGAGGTAACGGTGAGGCCGTGTGTTAGGGGGGCAGGCCACATGGCCTGGCGAATGGACAAGTGTTTGGAATGGCGGCAGGATATGCGCAACAAGGAACAAACGTCTGTCTCACCGTAAATTGAGCGCTGTGGCAGCAGCAATGACTCGAACAAGTTTATGTGATTCAGATATCAGATATGCCATTGGACTGTTCTTCAATACGTATATCGAAAATTCGGTACTCCTTCAATGACATGGTCTCCCTTCTTGGCCTTGCGGTTCATCATCCAGAACCAGAGCGTGCAGGCCGCGACCAGAACGATCATCAAAATGTGGCTTCCAATGCTCACCCAGATGGCCGTCATGTAGCGAGGAGCTTCTGTTTGACGCACGATGTAACTGCCAGCTATCCCGCCCAGACCGTTGCAGCCCGAAACAGCTGCTGCCACTGTCGCCCGCTTCCATTGTCCAACTACATTGTTTGCCTGATATGCGTTGAGAGCCGACCAGTTGGAGACATAGGCCCCAGTCGCCAGAAAGGTACCGATGTATCGCACCGTCACCTGACTAGGAAAGCCGAGCATGCAAAAACCAGCAATCAGGCTGACAGCGTTGAAAATGATAGTCGGCGCCCGCATCCGATATCTGTCCCCGATGAAAGAAGTCAGGAGAGCTGGGATGACGGCATAGTAGTAGGGAGGGGATGAAAGCAGGATAGAGTCATTGGAATCGAAGCCCATCCCGTTCTGCAGTATAATCGGCAGGAAGTACGATAGTGCGGTCGACACCAGATTGAGGAGGAAGAACAGAACGCAGAACACGTAGAGCTTCGGGTCGAGAAAATGAACCAAGATCGCCGACAGCCTGAACGGTTCGGGCTTCCCCGCGTCCCGGCGATCGTCATTGATCCGGGACATTGCGAGATCCTGTTCTTCTTCAGAGAGGAACAAAAAGGAGTTTTCGCTGCGATCTGGAAAGTCAACCATCCAGAAATAGGTGACGATGCCGATACAGATGGTGACGGCGCCTTGGACGAGATACATGTATTGCCAGCCTCTCAATCCATGTCGGTGGTCGAGATGATTCAACCCGTAGTTGACGATTGAGCCGGTGGCGAGAATCACCACTTCGCCGGACTGCAGCAGAGCGAACCGTAGCTGCTGCTCGCGTCGGGTGTACCATGTTGATATCAGATAGGTCAAGCCAGGATAGATGCCGGCCATGGAGATGCCGAGAAGAACTCTCAAGGCAATCATCTGTCGCCAGCTGCTGATGGCGGCAGTGCACATGGTGATGAGACCAAAGGTACAGGTGGTGGCTGAAAAGAAAACCCTGGGCCCGATGAGCCGCATGAGTATGGTTGCAGGTAGTTGAAAGCACACCGATGCCACCGTAAAGATGAATATTGAGACCGAGTATCGATCGCCTGTGAGATGCAAGTCTGATAACATGCTAGTCACCGAGGCAGAAGAGATGATACCACTGTCCAGAAGATTCAGGCTACATAATATTCCGGCGATGGTACACAAGCGCAAGTCGACTTTGCGACGGAGGTGCCATTCTGCTTCAGCCCGAGCCCGCGTTGGACCATTCTCGCGAGAACTGCGAGTGTTTTGAACGGACACTGCAGTATCAGCGTCTTCCGCTGAGTGCGTGCTCTCCTCGATGCCTCCCATCTGGTTAGGCTCTGAAACGACGGACTGGCTTGTGTGAAGGACATCGCTCTTTGGGGGCGAGGCGGCCATTTTTAGGCCAAGTTGCCGGGGTTCAACAGCAGGACATTATTCCCCCCACTGTCAAATCATTAAGTTCGCACGTACTGTGAAAGATTGATTGCATGGGCAGCAATATCACAAAGTGACGGAATCTGGAAGAAGCAGACGGTCGAGTCACGGCGGAGAACAAAATATATCTTTCAATCATTCCGCTCTGAATGGGCCAATTGGAGACTCGCATCGTGTGGAGACAAAAATATCCTCAGCCTCGTCGACGATGGCATGATCAAGGGAGCCATATTTGTGTCTGCTTGCTCTGGCGGCCAGATGCATCAGGCACAGGCAGTAGCTGAAATCAGAGACATAGCCAGTGGTCATATCAGTGCCCTTCGCAAGACTCAGGCTCATCATATACAACCTTTCAAGTCCCAACGACGATTGTGATGGAAATGCCGCTTGTCGTGGATAACTACGTACCACAGACCATCAACGCCAGGGGCACTGGAAAGCATACTGTGAGCCAAGGAATGGATACAAGAAAAGGGAAAGCACTGTCTGTTCTGTCATGTCCTTTTGCACTATTCCGTTCTGCTGAAGTTGGGTAACTGTAGGGCAAATGCCATCTGCCGACCCTTTTGCTCCCAACCCAAACGGTCTTACCACACTTGCCCAGAAGAAGAAAAGAGAACAGAGCCAGCCTGCGTCCATAGGCAGCGTGGACCATTGTTTCCCGCACGCGAAATGCTGGCACGTCTATCAGATCTCCAATTACCTCAGCCAGAAGATGGTTGTAATGAGCTCCGTCGCCAATGGAATTCGTCGCCCTAAGCCCAACTCCAGCTTCATATGCTCATAGAAGCGGCTCTAGCTCCCAACAGGCATCCTCATCACCATTTGATCGGCCTATCCGATATCAGCTCCGCGTCATCCCAGTCTCCCTCTTTCGGGATGCTCGGCTGAATTGGCGAATTGGAGAAGTCCAAGGTAGATGGAGGCGGGACGGGGTTTTGGGCCTGCTCACCACCATAGCCCACGTTCTCCACCATTTCGATGTCTCCATCCCGCTGAAACTGGTTGGACGCTAGTTCACTGATCTGATTGCGTGCCGGGACCGGTGGAGGCTGATCTGGCGGCGGGAAGACAACATCCCTTCTCACTGTGTCAACCAGTTCGTTGATTCGATCTGCCTGAATGTAAATGAGCAGGTACGGGTTAGGTGGAGGTCCCCAGTTGTCTGCGGTCGGTTTGCCAAAGATCTCGTTGAGGTTCTGTACCACTGTGACGCGATCATCGTTGTACTTCCTCCAGACTTCGTGCTTATGGTCAAATATGTAAACCCAGTAGTGGCCTCCCCCAGCACCGCCGCGGTGGAAGAAAGCCGCGTGCAAACGGTATGGATGTTTCCGCATATCCACGAATGCCTCTTTGACTTGTTGCGACAGCTGGTCCATCTGGATTCTCAGTTCTGGACCACAGTTAGCAGATTTCACCATGCGCCGAAGTCAACCCACCTTCAAGTTCAGCCCGGGAATTTTCAGCCAAGCTACTAAGCATGGCGATGGCGTCTCGGTTGACTTGGAGAGGTTCCGAAAAAGGATCATCAGGTAGTTCTGCAAGGTATTCCAAAGCGGTCTTCGCGTCGTCCAGGACCGCCGGCACGTCCGTGGATTGTCCCTACAAGGGCGTCAGTTGGCCCTCCAGAACATACTGGAGAGGCTTCATCACTTACATGCTTCTCTTCCAAGATTACCCTCCGTGCAGACAGACTCGCCAATTCTTTCTTAGTCTCCCAAGTCTGGCGGCGTCTCTGCATAAGTTCGGAATCGTCGGCGCTCTCTACGTATCTGTCCATGTATATTGTCTCGGGGATTTCAACATGATGGTTGAGTTTCTCCTGGCGCTTCAACTGCTGGTTCCAGGCCACTCGGTCAAGGGCAATACTCAGGACGGGAGGCAGGCGAGAGATAGAAGTGTATGACCGTGTGCCGTCTTGGGCATCCTGAAGGTCATATTCGTTATCAATCGCGGCATAAACATCTGTTGGCTGGTGATACACTCGTGTGATAATATTGAGAAATGGGACGTCTTGTGGCAATCCCTTCTCCGGCTGTGAATGCATGACGGCATGGCCGAAAAACAGATCGTGCACTTCGTCTTCTTGCTCGCCTGACTTGTCGAAGCCTGTCGGTCGCATCGCACAGGAAAGCTGTATAATACAATGATTCATCACTTCTGTGACATCCTGCTGGCGGGCGTATTCTTCGAGAGTCGAAGTGCTGGTCTCAACAGGTTTCCTAGGAGGAACAGGAGGTGGTTTCCCAGGAGGAGGTTGGTATTTCATGGGCTCGCTTTCGGCCTGATCTTCCACAGCGGCATCTGAGACATCTTGGGGTAACACTCCGGCCTGGGCGTTCAACCTGGATGGCGATGTTGGGACAAGAGGTTCGGACGTCGAGACAGGAGCGGGATTGGGAGAAGTCGTGACCTTGTTCGGGGATAAATTCTCCTTGTCATCCGACTGGGATAGCTCCTCCTCTGCGGCTGGCTCGTCCAGCATGACGTGGTCGCTACCAGGTTTCGACACAAGCGTTGCTTCACTGGAGTTGTCGTCCATCGTGTTGTCTGATTCCTCTTGCTCGCCCTTTGTTGGGCTGTTAACAATCTCTCCTCTCGATACACCATCAAGGTCAACGAACGGATCTCTGACGGTGTCGCCGCCCACGGGTGATTGTACAATGGCATTAGTGCCAAAGCCAATCCTGTCATACTCAGCCAGGGTCAGAGGGCCCAACATGAGTCGATGGTTAACGTCGCCTAAGCTCGGTCGATCTGACGACTTTAATGTTGATCTTCGGCGCATCTTTTCCTTCACGCTTTCAGTCTCTAAGGTTAATCGTGCAAGCTCTTGGTCTGGTTTGATCGAGGTCTGTGGTGTCTGAATCATGCCACGAAAAAGTTCGGCAAGGCTCGCCACAACTGCGTCAATGTCAGCAAAAGTAAATAGGTCAGTGATTCACGGGAACTAACATCTCTGAGCTGTCTGAACCTCTTTGAGGCTGACCTTCCGCTGCCCAACCCGCTTTTGCTCCATGCTCCTCGCATCCAGAGGCATTCTGTAGTTGTCGAAATTGAGAACGATATGCCTCGGCTGAATCATGGTGAAAAGGAACTGCAGAAGACTGTTGAGGTAGCAAGTGTTGCCGATGTTTTCCAGCCCCACCGGCTCTTCCAACGCACCCTCGGGGACTTGTGGGACTCTGCTATGCAGATGATCCAGCAAGGTCGAACTCCCCCTACCAGTGGCAATCGCAGCAAGCGCTTTGTTGTAGAACTCGACACTGCCGGGGTTTTCCTCAACGGCCATATTGTATTGGAGCATTATCATCTCGTCATCAATTTCGCGGTTCGAAATCTGCAGAGCCTGGTATCCTTCGGCAGGGTCCATCGTGGTCTCGTTCGAGAAGCCCGAGTCGATCCAAGTAGAGAGGAAGCGACTTTTGCGATGTTGTGCAATGAGACGGACGGCCTTGACAGCCTGCTCTTCCAATGCTTTGTTGTCGTTTGTCTGAGCAGCTGTTAGTGACACCACGGAAAAGGCAAAGGGGATGCGAACCTTGACAGTGAACAAAGCCTGGATATGCTCGTCCTCCGTCGTGGGGTCGGCGTCCAGGAACGCAAGCGCTTGCTCATAGCTATCAATGACTACAGAAGCATGGTTAGTGACTGGGACCTGGGGCAGTGTTACCTGCTCACCATTTTGGGCAGTATCAGTAATCAGTTTGCTGTTTCGATGTGCGCCGATGATTCGAAGATACTCTCTCAGTTCATGCTCATGGCCAGGAGAGTCTGTCAACGTGGCTGTGAAGGTGCCAATGATATCCTCATCACTGACGGCATCCTCGCGACCGCCGAGCTGGAAGGCTCTGTAGGCCTTATTCAGTGTCTCAGCATCAAATCGGCCTTTGGATGTTTCCATCACGACCTCAGTCTCTAGGATTTCACTTCCACGATGTGTCGCGATGGCTTGGAGGTTGCCGAGGTAGGTTGGTGCGTTTCGAGGGTCTGTTTCCACTTGCCAGTGATATGCTTTTGCGACTAGCTGGTCCGAAAAGTCCATTACACAGCCAAGTGCTATAAAAGGCCTGCACAACGTTAGCTGACCCTTGCTAATCGAAAGAGAGTCCTTACGTCGTCCTCATCTCCGGTAGAAACTTGGTATTTCTACTTGTTGTATCGGCATCATCTACTGTCGTTAGAAAAACGTTCAGCTTAGCATGAGAGCACTCACAATCCTGACAGCCCAAGAGACGAGCAAGCTCTCGTTCCGCCGGTACTGGAGGTGAGGTATCTTGAAGATGCTGCCTGTCCTCAGAGGGCTGTGACAGGATCAGGGCCACCAACTCGTGTTCGGCGTTGTCCAACCAGATATTTATAGGACTTGAGAATGGCTGGTCGTCATTGAGATCCGGCTCTGGGACCTTCCAGGAGTCACCCGGCTGACACTCACGTTAGATTGCACGTAACATGACATTCACGTCAACTGTGCTTACCACGAGATGGAAACCCAGACGCTCTAGGACGTCCTTGCAGGCGTTGCCCTCTGGCCCAAAGCGGACAACGAATCTTCGGTTAGAGACTTTGATCGCTCGATATTTTGGATCATCCCGCGCTTTCCATGAATTTCTGATGTATGCTCGAAGATCGGTCAACACATCAAGGGGCACCGGGTGCTTCATTCCGTCTGTATTCCCTTCCCTCGTTCGAAATGCATCCTCCGTTCTCTGTCGAAGAAGTTGAGGATCGACCAATGTGTGAACATCATCCGGGCGGAGGACAGGCGGACTCAAGCGCACCGTAACGGTGGCCGAACAGGTTTTCGACGAGCACTTGTAGGTGTAGATTTCATCTTGCGAGTTGGGATTTTGACGTTTCCACGCATTCCTCTCCAACGGCTCTTGAAACTCTGACCTTACCAGGTGGTGCAACGGATGCTCGACGGTCGGGCATGGTGCATCCTCGAATCTCATGGTGTAGTCGACTTTGACGTGGACATGTAGGCGACAAACTTGACAGAAAGCTGCCACTGTCCATAACGTCTCCGGGCCGGGTCTCTCATCTAACGCTGGAGGATCGGACTGTCTCGGCTTCAAACCAAACTTGTGCCTGCAGCTCTGTAGCGGAATCAGGTCCCCAAGGTATCGCGCATGGGTGAGCCTTATGGGAGAGTCAGCCAGTAGGTTGGGAGCGTCTTTCAGATCCTGCCATGGCTCGTATAGCGTCAGGTCCTCAAGGAGTGCCGGCGCAGTTCGACCTGTGAAGACACCACTGTTATCATCCTCTTCAACCGACACATGTGTCTGGGTATACGCACCAGATCCTTTGATCGGCGCAATAAAGGACCGTATGTTGCCTTGCACGCCGGCCATGCAAGACGACTTCTGGAGTGAACTGCCTACTCCGTCCACGGGACAGAGGTACGGCAACAAGGTTATCGCAGTGAAAGATCGGGAGGACGCCTAACGTTCTAGGATTATGCCAGTGGTAGTGGTAGAGATGGAAGCGACAGTTCTACTGAGAGTGTTCTCGAATAAAACCAACCAAAGCAGAAGAAGTTTGGGTCGTCTCTGAGGCTATGACCAGCGCAGCTTACTGTTGAGAAGGAAGGGGATGGCATTCGGTAGGCAGAGACAGAATACAGACAGAGCCTCAGGGTCAACAAAGTCTGGAAGCGTTTGGCATCATCCTTAACCGGATTGCAATGTCCACTGAACAAAAGATGGTGGCCTGCAACTTTCCCAAGACGCAGTTGCTTCTCCAGGTGTTTGATTCGCATGCGGGCGCGTAGATCCCCGTACTCTGTCCCACTAGTCTGTATTGGGCGTTAGCGCATGGCACCACGCACTGCATTCTGAGTGGAGGAATGACTTATGTAATCATGATTGCCAAGGGATTCCTTCCTGCGCATTGAAGTTGGAGCTTCCTCCGACGGAGCCTGCGATGCCGTGGAACTGAAGCAAGAAGTGCTACGGTCCTACTGGGTGCACCTCCAAACATCAACCTCAATCACCCGCGAACTCCCTTCTACACAGCTACATCTCCTGAAACCACCTCCTGTCCTACAACGAACCCACCCGTTCAGAGTCCAGCTTCTGATGACGTGAGGGGGAACATCAGTCGTGTCAAAGGCCTGAAGAGCAGCAGCAGCAGCCGGAATGGCCGACCATTCTGAACCCAAGCAAACTTACGACGTCGACGCGGCCGTCTATCATCCCAAAGATGCGCTAGGGCTTTCTTTGCGAGGAGGCACACTGGCAGGTGCGGCTGGTCTTTTCTTGGCCTCGGTACAAAACACAGTCACAAAGGAGAATGTCGGGTTTTTTAGTGTCTTCTCACGGTTTGGGAGCACCATAGGCTTGTTCGGTACGAATTGGACATATCCAGATGTCGTGGGCACACCATTTGACTGACCATCCTACAGCGGCTGTGGGAGGGACATTCGCCTTTACAAGTGCGGCATCGGCCAATTTGCGGGAAAAGGATGACTTTTGGAACCACGGAATCGGGGGTGCGCTTGCTGGTACTCTCCCTGGTCTGACAAGTACGTACCAACATGCAGAGTATAGGTGCAGATTCAGTATACTGATCAGGTGCAGAGAGATCAATGCCAGCGGCTATGGGAGGCGCTTTCGCGTTGGGCGTCTCCTTGGCCGCCGTCAGCTATACAGGACACTCCATCTTTCAGTCTGCTTCGGAAGAATCACTGTCTGACCGGGCAACGTACAAGGAAGATTCCAAAGCCAGGTACCGGAGACCGATCAACGAGACGATCAACGAACTTGGAGAAGGCAGAGGTAAGATGATAGCCACACCCCATGAGTCAGGGGTTTAAACTAATGGCTGTGTCAGGTATTTACGGACCAGGGTACGAGGAGAGACGGAGGCAGAGAATCAAAGAAAGATATGGAATCGATGTAAACAACCAGCCATACTACGCGGGAACTTCGGCAGTAGTAGCGGATTGAAGCCATGCTCGTACCAAAGCCATGCACGACTCAGCTTTGCATTGACAGACGAGCTTGAAGCTGCCTGGATGCCGACCCAACTGTGATCGCAATCCAGTCACACAAATCGGGAGAACAAATAAGCACACTTTCAATGAATTTTCGTTTTCAAGAGGCACGGCTCTCGGTAACACTCCGCTTGCAAGAATATTGCGCTGTTCTTTGACCAGATAACATACTAGAGATAGATGGCCCTTCAACTCTTGACTGCCCACAGGACCTTGACTCTAATCAGCCTGCTTTCACCAACAAATACTCCTATCTCGCAGAGAGCCTATGGCACACGCGCCCAGGTAGCCTCATACCCATGGTAAATGACCCCATTTCCGAGGAGCGGCAGCAGTACCATCCATGGCCGACATTGTCCTGCTCTGGCTCTTCGACTGAACAAAGTCACATTCTAGATCTTCCCATGACACGGCAACGTCTGGTAGCCTCAGATGCTCAGGAGGACAAAGTTGAGTAGATTGCGAATTCTGGCTTGTCTTGTCCCATCAACCAAAAGGCGTCTGAGCTCCGTGTTCAGTCAGGCTCGTCTTCACATCAACATTGGGTCTGAGGAATTGCTTTGAACCTCGACCGACTCCATCCGGCCTCGAGATCCCTATGCAAGGGCCATGAGAAGGTGATATTGGGGAATTCCAGGTATGCATATCATCGTCAGATGGGCGACCCAGGAAGGGTAGCCGGTGGTGGGAAGCTCGTCCTGCGGGTCTGACTCGCATCGAAGTCTTCGGACTCATAGTGTCCGATAGATCGAGTGAGCATGGTACTAGTAGTAGGGCCGACAGGGGAGTATACTACGGATCGTCTCCTAACTTGCTCTGTACCAAAGTCTCGGTACCTGCTGGCTCTCCTGTAAAGAGTGAGTGATTGCGACTCCACTTGTACCATTGACATGATGGAATCCCAAAGTGGCGAGGCCGAGTGTCTACGCGAACATCTTTGAGAACAGAAACCTGTCGTTCTCCTTGTCAACCCAGATATCACTGGCATGGTTGGAAAAGATAACCTCGAGGAAGGATGTGCTTCAGAAAGGAATTCGCTCTACAAGCCGTAAGCCCCCGCCTAAAGCAGGGCTTAACAACTTCAGAATTTCCAACATCATCATTAGTATGAGCCCTCTGACCCTCTTGCATGTATCGGCTGCGTAATTGTCACCCCTTCGATAATGCGTTGATGGAGAGGAAAAGAGAAGAAGCGTGGAGGTGACGCCGTTATATATAGTAGGTACCTACCTTAGGTAGGTAGATTGAAGTATACGTTCGGTACCACAGAAGTTGTAAAGTGTATTCCGCCGCCAAGGCTTCGACGTCAAATGGAACTGGGGAGCCGGAGCCTTCGTTGGAACAGACTCACCATGGTGGTTGGACTGGTACTGATCAGATACTGGTAGGAACGGAGTAAACAATAACGCAGCGGCAGTGCGGAGAGCAACTTGAATCGGTTCCGCGGCACGCGCCTGGGGCTCGAGTCCGAAAGGGGGATTTGAGTAATAAGTGAGCATGCCAATACAATGGCGGCGCAAGGCTGAATGAGGATTTGTTCGACTCTTGTACGCCCTTTCACCATTACCTTAGGTACCTATTTATTGCACACGTACATGTCAGTTCACTCGTGCGGCAAGATGGCCGTCTTTTCATGGTCTTGACGGCTCTAGGCCACAGCGGGAAGGTTGTCCCCGATACGCAGAGGATAGACATCGTTCTTCGACCAGGAGGCATTCTTAAGTTAGGTATGACCTAATGTAATGACCCTTCGACCGATCATGGAAAAGGTGGTTGAAAGAGCCGCCGTAGCTTGATTGGTGCCTTTATAGTGGTTCGGCACCTGGGCAGCCAGGGTGCCGGGGTGATTGACGGGCCTGCCTAGTACCAGTCGGTAGTATAGGACGAGAGAGTTCGAGTCAGACCATTCTTGCAGGTCGTTTCGACCAGAGCGACTCTGTGCCATCACATCTCCTAGGGACTTGTGGATGTGGATGTTGTATATTTATTTGCTTCCGTAGGCTTTGTGCTGCTCCGTACGAAGCTGGAAACTTGCATGTCACGTGAGGGCTGAGCAGGCCCAACTTTCGTAAGCTGATCGCTAGGCAAGTGATGACGCCCATGGCTTTTGCTGTCCGGGGAATGCCTGTTGAAGCTGGTGCCACGGCGCAACTACTACTACCTACGATACTACTACGTAGTACTACTAGTAGTAAGTCAGGTACCTTAGACAGAACCTCCTCCTTCATACCTAACCTTATGAAGTCTCGGCACATGTACGTATTATTGTACACTAGTAGTATGAGGGGTTGCTCATAAGAGGTAGCTAAGGGTAACCGATAATGCACAATATTTGGCAATTTCAGTTATTATTGATCTGCTGAGTGTCATTCTGACATGCAGTGGCAGTGGCTAGTATGGATGATGAATCACGGTCGATCGGTGGGGAATGAGGCGCACAGATAGTCGAGATACTAAGATAGTTGCTCCATCTTACGTATGCATGTGGACTGGCAGCGCAGGAAAATCAGCAAGAACTTAACAGCATGAACTCTGCCTAAGGTACCTACTAGTTATAGTACAGAGTATCTTGCAGGCCAATGATGGAAGCGCAGACCGCTTGCGTTAATATGGTGTGTAGTGATCGAGGCGAGATAAGGTAAGTACATGTATGTACACAGTACAGTACATACCACGCCGGTTCACTGCTTCTTCAGCTTGAATGAAGTGGTTTCCAGAGCTGACTACTGGGTCCAGCGCTCAGAAGCCGAAGCGCAATGCTAGTAGTAAGCCAGCGCCAGTCAGTGTCAATCAGTGCCAGCTGAGGCTCGAGTTTGTCTACTTGAACAGTGCTTCCTGGGGCTCCTCAGCTTGGCCGACAAGCGAAGGTTCTTGTCTGACACTGCACATTGCCAGTTCATGCAGTCTCTGCGGCGCTGACAATGCCGAAGCCTGCGTGCCAGACCGCTTTCAGCTACGTTCTCTTCCAAGCATGCCATCGTCACCCCACCACGGCGCCACACCCTAGTACTTTGGCACTATCTTACCCACTAGACGCCTATTAGGTCTCTACTAGGTGCCCAAAGATGCCTAAACGATGCCTACTAGCACCTAGCAGCTCGGTACTAATCGGGCGGGCCTCCCCAACCACCCCCTCAACTCTCTCCCGTACTCTTTTCCAACTCTCTGATTCGAGCATCTTCCCGTCCTGTTGGTCGCACCGAACAACCGTGGGTGACGGCGTCTTCGTAAACCTGGATCTGGATACCGCAGTGGACACCCGCTCTACACTCTGGACTCTGGAGACCTCGACTCTTCAACTCTTCTTCGGCGTCAACCACCGCAACCTCGAGATCTGCCTCTGGAGTCCTTCTTGGATCCGACGTCATCCATTCCCAGGCCTGCTCCTCTCCGTCGCAATTCAACTTCTTTCCTTGGGTGCTTCCATCGCGAGTCTTCTCTGTTCACCTCCAGCACAGCTCTACCTGCGACTTCGTCACATCATCCCAGACATTCAGCGGTCTGCTCTGTTATCCAGCACAGTCGTTATCTCCCTCCACATCGAGATCATGTCTGCAACCTTGACTATCTAGCTCCGAATCTCGCCTTGAACGATCCTCTGTGAATCAGAAAACCTCCTTCCCCTCCGGTTCGGTCTTCATCAACATGTCACGACCCGTCACTCCCAGCTCGCCCGTCCACATCACCATACCGGGCGGCCAACACGAACCTTCGTCGCACTCCGTGCAACCCTCGGGCGCGAGGCCGTCGTCTCGTCCTGTTTCCTACATTGGCTCGCACCAGCCGGACGCTGCGTCGCAATACGAACACCATCGGGGGGCTTCACAGGAGCCTTCGGTACTGTCGCATGGCGGCGAGTATCACGACAATGTCTCTGTTGGCCATGAAGAAGCTGGAGATCTCCATCGGACCGGCTCGCACGTGTCGGGGTCGCAGACGCCTCTTCCCTCACGGGGTGGGACCTTGAAGAAGAAGTCTTCCTTGCATAAAAATGCCAGTTTGAAGAGGACACCGAGCAAGAGAAGCAGCTATGCTGGCTCGGTACGCAGCGTCAAATTGGGCGAGAAGGAAAAGTATGGCGAAAGCGAAGAATACAACAGTGTCTTCTATTGCCCCGTTCCCACATCCGGAAATCCGACTGAGCTTCTGGCAGCTCGTTTCCAAGGTAAGCACCAACTTGTGAGTTATCGTCTACGGTTCTGATGTTCTGTGGTAGCATGGCGCAAAGTACTGAAGGACTTGATCACCTACTTCCGCGATCTTCATAAAATGTATGATGTCCGGGCAAAGACACTCTCCTCGACTTCCACTGTCATCAACAACACCACCATGCCGTCCAATTTTCTTCCTTCCGGTGGAATAGGAGATGCACTCGACATACTACGGGACTTCCACAAGCAGGCTCTCAGTGACGCTAACAAAGCCCGGGATCTTGAAAATGAAGTCATCGTACAGTTGACCGGCCTTCGTAGCGATTTGCAACAAAAGATCAAGGAAATCAAGAGCCTGTCTGGAGATTTCAAGAACTCGGTGGACAAGGAACAGGAAACCACAAAAAAGATTGTTCGCCAACTCCAGGAAGCACTCGGCATGGTCGATCACGATGCTACTTCCACAAACGGGAAAAATGATCCGTTCCTCGTCAAACTGGCAGTCGACAGGCAGGTAGAGCGGCAGATCGATGAAGAGAACTATTTGCACCGTGTAAGTTGCTTCCAACACGCTGTACCAGGACGGCGAGACTGACCGTTCAGGCATACTTGAACCTTGAAGCTTCTGGCCGCGAACTCGAGTCCATCGTGGTGGGGGAGATCCAAAAAGCTTACAACGTCGTTGCCGGAATCATGCGACGCGAGGCTGACTCCTCGTACGACACGGCCGAAAAGCTTAAGGAGGGGCCACTGGCCATGTCCAAGGACCACGAGTGGAATGAGTTCACCACCAACAACAGCCAAATGGTTGACCCGAGACAGCCTGTCAGACAAGTTGCCCATATCGTGTACCCTGGGAAGGACCATCCGGCAGCAGTGGACGTCCGGAGTGGCATGTTGGAGCGAAAGAGTAAATATTTGAAGAACTATACACCTGGATGGTAAGTTTTGTCTCTTCCCCATCAAGGAGCCGCAATTTACTGACCTGTCCCTCAGGTATGTTCTGTCTCCGACGCATCTGCACGAATTCAAGTCGGCCGATCGCATCGCTTTTCAGACTCCAGTCATGTCGCTCTACCTACCCGAGCAAAAGCTGGGCTCTCACTCCGAGCCCGGTTCCTCGTCCCACAAATTCATGCTCAAGGGTAGACAAACCGGCTCGATGCACCGTGGGCATTCTTGGGTTTTCCGTGCCGAATCTCATGAAACCATGATGGCTTGGTACAACGACATCAAGGAGCTCACGGAAAAGAGGGGCGAAGAGCGGAACGATTTTGTCCGGCGTCAGCACGCCAGGTCAGTGTCTGGAAATAGTCTCAAACCTGCGAGCATCATCAGCTCCGAAGGCGCAATGGAAGAAGATGAGGCCGATCGCGTCGCCTTTTCCGGCGAACAATCTGTCCGTGGCCATTCTGTCGCCGAAGGCGGTGGCCTTGCTGCAGCTGGCGGACTAGGTGTTGCGGGCGTGCACGATCTCGATGACACCAGATCTGAAGCCGGCTGGCGTCCTCCACTACGACCAGCACCAGGTGGGCGATTTCCATCAGATGTCAACGTACAGCGAGGCTTACAAGCTCCGCTTTCCCCCTCTAGTGGAGAGAGTTCTGACCCAGAGCGCGATGTCATAGCAGCCGCAGGTGCTTTACCAGGCAGCGGTGTCCCGTTCTCACAGAACACTGAGAGACATACAGAGTTGCAATCCCCCCAAGCCTATCATCAGCCGGTGGACGGCATCAGCGACGCCCACCGTCCCCGCCAGTACCCCCCTGGTCAACATCCCAACATCTTCCCCATACAGTCTGTTTCATCGCCACACGAAACCGCAAGTCAATATGGAGAATGGATGGCACCGATTGGGGCCGGGGCAGGAGGTGCTGCAGTAGGAGCTGGGGCGATGCATTATCACAATCAACATCAGCAGCAGCCAATGCCGGAACGGGTCACGCGCCAAATGAATGCCGGATCAGCGATACCAGACTACGGCCAGTCATCAGCACCAATCCCTGTCGCGACCGCTGCTCCTGCAGATGCACCCACCGGCCCACGTGCCATGAGTGAAAGTACGACAGCTCCGAGTTCGGCAGCTGCCAACACCATCTCGTCGGGGACAGAAAACGGCACCCTGTCGACCGTCCCGACCAGCGTAGGTCAACCCGGCGGTCACCACGACAGCATGTTTGACGCCAATGGCGTCTACATTGGACCCCGAACCGCTCCGACCGCACCGACTGAATACGTCCTGAAACACCCTGACCAGAGCAAGAGCGTCAGTGACCTGCACGTCCCGGGCGAGTACCCGCAAACACCTGGTCTGATTGACGAATCCAGATTGTACCAGGAGGTCGTCAAGCAATAAGATTCAGTATCATCCACACCTTCAATACACATACACAAAACCAAACCAAATGAGCTTGCGCGCGTCTCCCCTAAGTGGAATGTGGCAACTCTGAGACCGGCCTTGTGCACACAGAGGGGAAATATGGGTATACTACCGGCGATCAACAGGCCGAGAAGCAATTATCGGGACGGCAATGATCTCTGCGGGACGGACACGGACCTGGTGGGTTGGTTGTTCGCTGATTATCCACCCAGGTACCAAGCCTTCATGGATCTTGATTGGCACGGTCATCGTTTGTTTCATTGGTTGTGTTTATTTGCTCGGTCTGAAGGAGGCTTTTTCTGAAGTGATACCAACGATCGTTTCTCGTTCTCTGTTCTCTGTTCTCTCTTTTCTGGCTTTCGTCGTCCTCCTCGTGTGAGAGCAACAACGGGTGAGGGAGTGTGGGTTGGACATTACTGGTCGGCGGGTGCGACGCGCAAGAAGGGAGGCTCATGTGTCGCGATGCTCGTCGAGACTCTGCTTCCTGAATCCAGGGTGACAGACTCCTCGGAAGCATTCGAGGTCCAACGCGGCCGAGTAAGGATCCCATCCCCGCGGTATTGGAAATAGACGCGTTTGTACCGAGTCGTTTGTCAATCCATATATCAATCGCTCAACAGCTTGACCCTACGAAGATAAATGACACCGGGCTGCTTGCGGCCTAAGGAGAACAACTCTTGACGCGTGTCTGTTATGTGACTCTAGACAAGGATCATGACATCTAACAAGTACAGCCCTCTCGGAAGTCGGATTGCTCGGTGCTAGCTCTTGCCTAAGACACACATCTACACACGTGAGCCATCTGTCACATGGCCAGAATCTGCCATGATAGACAGAGCACACGCTTTAGAGCTAGCTTCAATGAAAGACCCTCCGAGGCAGACTGAATATGTTGTAAGGCCAGAGCGGCAGCCTTGAAAGAGCGGAGGGTTAAGGAGCCTGATCATCATCGTCGTCGCCGTCGTCCTCCCATCTCATGTCCTCCCACTGCTCTCCAGGAGACATCCCCTCTGGACCATCAGGACGGTGGAGAGCGATGTCGTAAATGTCTGCCTCGATACTTGTACCTAAGTTGTGCTTGAATAACCTGATTGCTGGGTTGATATTCTGTGCTGCCCTGAACTTACGCTGGGAGCGAATCTTCCTCGCAGCCGGCGCAAGCGCACACCACTTCCATATGACAGCAATCTCTCGAGGACAGACTGCCTTCGTCCGGCTCGATTTCAAGACGTCGACGAATGCGGGACTGTTGCCGAAGTCAGATGCGCTTCACCACTTCTTTCGTAAGATATAGGTTAAACATACCCCATTGAACCATACTCAAGAGTGAGCTTGGATAGACCTGCACTTTCGCGTGTCATTTTGACTGCTTGGAGGTATTTCACTACAATGGATCTAGGCGGGATGTCGAAATACCTTGGGACGTCGTCATGAGTAGCTTCGTATGCTGTGCTGAAAGCCACCACCTTCTCAAGGGGCGTAAGGAGTGGCGGACAGGGAACTGGAGCTGTACTCGCATCGCCGTCTTTGTAAATCTGGCTCTTGTCTGGCCGTTTTGCAGATGAAATCAAATCCCACCATTCCCAGATGGCATTTTTCTGTTCTTCGTCAACGCGAATAGCTCCCTCACCGCCCGGTTTTGCGTGGTCGTGCAGGAAGGTACTGTACAACTGTAAGAACTTGGCTTCCTTCAGGCTATAGTTCACCTACACTCCACCAGGTGAATAGACCAGCTCAATCCGGGGTCGGCCTGTCTTCTTGCGTTCTAAGTTAATGGCCGAAGCATAGGCCTTGATGATATCATCCTCCATAGCGCATGTGTGTTCGTTGTGATTGCTAACGAGGTCTCGTCAGCCCTGCTGGTGTCAAGTAGCGCCTGGAAAGAGTCCAGACTCACGCTTCTTCTGCTTCCTAAGCGTTTACCTTCCCCTTCTTCGACTTCTTCTTCTTCGGGAAGTTCGCTCTTTCCTTACCCGAGGTCGGTTGTGCCGGCCCAGAGTTTTCAGAGGCACGTGGGAATGGGCGTTGATTCAATAAGTTGTTCGATCCTCTGCGCACTGGCAGCTGGATGGCCACGCCGGGCCTTGGCTGGCTGGATGGACCACCACGGAAGCCAACAGGGTGATCAGATGCCTTCGCGGACTCGGTTTGAGTGCCACCACGATATCGTGGAGAAGGGGATCGCCTTTGCCGAGCTCTGTACCCATCAAATCCACGTGGTGATCGGGAGCGTCTCCTCAGGTCAGCCCCACGACTCCACTGGTCATCATTTCGACCACCTGTAGAAGGCGGAGATCGAGGGGTTGGGTGACCAAAAGAGTCCGTCGAATACCAGTTGTTTGGCGGCCGATTGTGGAAGCCTCGATGATCAGGGGCTTGTTGAAACCGGTCATACTGGTTATCCCGACGTTCACGAGATGGTGGGCCAGGTAGCCGTTGAGAATGGCGAAACGTGAAATCGTTTCGACTCGAGTTGTTCCGGTTGGGAACTCTTGGGTGCAGGAATTGCTCGTCGCTATCATCATCGGATGGCTGACCAGAGCCTGAGAGACCGGCAGTATGGAAACCAGCACGACCTCTGATCCGAAGGCCGTCAGGACGCAACCCTCGATTGGACGCCTGTATCTCCCTTTGCTTGGTGCCAGGTTCCAGACTCAGGTTCACGATCTGCGACGGTGCGAACGATTTTAAAGACCATCTAGTTGTAGTAGCTCGATCCGCCTCTGGACAGTCACCAACCAGATGTGATTTGCTGGCACAAATGCAACAAGACACCCAGAGCTCGAGAGAGCCAGTGCTGTTGGTGGTTTCGAAAGGAAAGAATCGTTGTGGGCAGGCTTCTTCATGGTGCCCCAGCGCACCACAAAGGTCGCATGGGATAGTAGTCACTTTGAGGCCAGCGGGACATGACTGAGAGATGTGTCCTCGTTCCCTGCACTTTGAGCACCGGCGGACCTGTGGGCAAAGTCGGCTCGAATGCTCACCGGTGGCTGCACAGTACACACATGTCTTCTCGGGGCAGCTTTCTTCGGTGTGGCCCTCTTGCAAGCAACCAAGACAAACTGCCGGACGATCAAGGTCGATGTGATCATGATCAAGATCGAAAAGAGCATATTTCAATTGACGTTCCAGCTCTTCTGGTGTCAGATCTGCTAGGGTTCGGAAGCGACGGGGATGCGCCGGCTCAGGGGGCGTAGGATAGCTGGTCGGAAATGCACTGGCGACTTGCTCCAGCTCGGCCTGCAGCTGTTGGTGAGCGGCTTGACCTGGTGAGGACAAGGGTCTGGAGGCATCTCCTTTATGTGGGTGTGACTCAACAGCTTCATCTTCAGAAATCTCCCCTTCTTCACCTTCGTCCTCGTCCTCCTCCTCCTCCTCATCATCAATGACCATTGTGTCAGAGTGTATGCCGCTGTCGAGATTGATGACCATTCCGCCGCCATCAGAGGACTCATCCTCGTCTGAAGAGATCTCAACGACATCGCCCAGAGATTCGGCAGAACTCAGCACACCTTCCGAAGGACTGTCCCGCGCACTTTGTGCGGAAGCACTGTCACCAGAAAGGGTAGGGCGAGGTTTACGAAAGCCAGTGGCAAGGCGATTATTGCCTAGACCTTGTGATGTAGAATTCATGTCGGCTTCAATCTCATGGTGATCTGAAGAAGTAGAAGGCTCTGGTTCCTGCCAGGTGGCCTGTTCAACAGGATGCGAAAGAATGGTACCCATCACGGCGTGGTCACTGGAGGACTCGGACGCAGAGGCAGACTCGACGGCAGAATGAGGTAAGGAGGAATTCACTTGACCTTGACGGCGAGAGTGGCTACGTTTTGCACCGACGGAAGCGGTTCGAGACTCACTTTCCTCATCATGGTGTGCCGAGCGAGGCATCTGCGGTCGCAAGAGGATATTGAGGAGGAGACCGTAGAACAAGTCTTTCCAACAAGCAGTGAGTGAATGCAAGGAAGGTGCGAATGCCTTCGCCGCGCAATTTCTTCGAGTCGTGCAGCCGCAGTTTAGCCAAGCCTTGTCAAGCCTCGTCGGTACGTGATAGTACTCTGTACTCTGTAGTAGCGACACCCCCAGACTCAATGGTCCTCCGTACCTTAGGTACCTAAGCGTGCATACCAAGGATTTGGAACGGTGCAGTTACCGTTAGACTCACCGCGACAGTGCCGCTTCTATAACGACAACACTCGCACTCACCTTCGCACTCGCCTCGCTCACCTTCACACTCAATCTTCGCCTTGTTTTAGCGGTCTATGCTGCAGTGGTCAATGTCATCTACCAAACACAAAGCCCCTTGTGCTCTAACTTCAATCTAACAAACAGCCAGGCGCACAGTCCCAGCCTAGTCTCTTTCTACAGCGCGTTTACTCTTGCTCAATCCCACCTCTAGTTTCGGCCTGCTTCCCTCTATCCGTCGTAGGGCCAATTCACCTGGCACCTTCCTAGATGAGCCCACGACCAATGTCAAGGAGTATCCGCAACCCTGGCGACGATTTTGACCCCGCTGACGCCTCCATTCTGCGCGAGCGACACGCCTTCATCCAACATTCCCTTCAAGCCCGCGGGCACGAGTCTGACGGGATGCGACTGCAGCTTCGCCTGGGCGACCAAGGTCTCAGTCAAGCTGCTGAACATCTTTGCGAACTCGAACTCGTCCTGGCTCGCGGGATAGTGCTGGCCGAACTTGTCGAAGGCCTCGCCTGCAAACCGGTGGAGCACGCTGAAGCTGTGCTTCACGTCTGAGCGCGGGAAGTCGTTGAACAGAATGGTGCCGTAGCGCTTGTCAGTCCCGGGCTCGGTGGACATGGCGTCCACGCAGATCCGCACGCCGTCGTCGGAGCCGATCGTGTCCCAGATCAGTTTCAGTTGGCCGTGCGTGTACGAGTGGATCTTCTTGCCGCAGTCGGGGTCCCGGTAGTCGAAGACGGCCTCGGCGCCACGGGACTTGCAAAGTTCAAAGTTGCGAGGCGAGCACGTCGCCACGACAGTGTACCCGGCTCTGGGGAGTGGAGATGGGGTTAGTGCAAGTTCTAAGGCATGGGACTCCGAGGGAGAGAGAAAGAGAAAGACTTACAGCGTCAGATACTGGATTGCCAGAGTCCCCGCCGAGGAACTCCCGCCATAGACCAAGATATACTCCTTTGCTGGCTCGGTGTCGGCGGCAGCGACAGTCAACCCCATCGGATCCGGCAACCTCAGCTTCATGTGTAGAAACAAGCCCTGCCCGCTTGTGAAGACACTTGCCCCTGCAGTGGCCGCACCTTCAAACCCCCAGTCCCCGTCGACCCTACCATTGCCGTTGCTGCCACTGTCGGGCATCTTCATCAGACAATCACCTTTTGCAGCAATGACCTCAGCCCACGCCCCGTCCTCAGCCTCGTTGGAATTGGCGCCATGCGCGAACCCGAAAACGCGATCCCCCTTCTTGAACGGCTTGGTGACCTGCGCGCCGACCTCGAGCACCACCCCGGAAAAGTCGCTCCCGCACAGCCCGTCCTTTGCGGCGCGGCCTTGCGAGATCGCCTTGGTGTCAGTCGGGTTCAGCGCCACGGCGACCGTGGATATCAAGACGTAGTCGGGCCGGAGGCGCGGCGGCCGTTTGTCTGTGACTAGTTCGGCTGCGGTGCCGTTCCAAATTACGGCTTTCATGGTAGTGATAAGACAGATGAGTTGGTTAGGTCGTCGTCGCCTTCGGACTCAGACACACGTACACCGCTCCAACAACAGCCCGTCCGTCGACCATGTCTAATATAACGGTCGTGCCCGTTGCACTTATCGCCGTCTTTACCCCGGGACCGGGCTGATGGCTGACAAATTCGGGGCGATCGGCCCGGCGGGTTAAAATAAGGCTGTGGACCGGGGTGACGCACTGCAGGGGCGGCGCCGCGTCGCATCATCTGCGCCAAGGCGCGAAGCAATCCGGCCCCCACTGCACTGGCACGAGGGGTGAGTACAGGGCGGCATCACCCTCGTCCGCAAACGGGGTGAGGCGTTGGAAAAGCTGGCTTTTGCAACTGCTCGATGAGTTTCACGGCATAGACCAGCCCTTCGTTACGTGCAGTGATAGCTCTGTATCGGGCAAACGTGCTCGAGAGATGGTGTCCAAACATCCGTTTCGTTTCCTTCAGCAGGCCACCCAACTCCTGGGAGACAGACGAGTATGACCGCCCTTTTCAACCACGTCCCTGCCCACACCATTTCAAGCGAGCTGCTGGACCTTTACACGCTGCCAATGTCAGTCTCGCGACTTTGTATTCAATCCGCTTTTCCTTGTGTTCCTCATCCAAGGATATTGATGGTAGAAACCAGTGCAAGATTGACCGAAAGGATTCATGCATGCCCGGAAACCCTTCCTTTCCACCGTCAGGGATTGCTTTGCTCATGCAATGCTCGCGGGTAACTTGTGGGGCCGTTCCTCCTCAATCCATGCGTGTTTGGCCTCCCTATGCACATGGAGTCTGCGTACTTGTCGATGTGTTTCTCCACTAAGGAAATTCGAGAATCGTAGTCTTCTGATCCTGATGTGGCTGCGACAATGGCCGTTCGTCACCCGCGTCCGAGTACACATCCAAAGACAAGAAGGCCCTCCAATCATAAGTTGTGACTCAATATCTCGTCTTGCAATGGAGCCAAGGCACCGCCAGGCAATCACCCGGTTCCATCTCTTGCCGAATAGAGGGCGCAGCATTCTGGCTGGGAGTCCTCACATTGCCTTCTGTCTGCGAGACATTGTGCCGGTATGGCACCGCCGTCGATCCATGACAGCTTCCGGACGTAGTGAAGAGGTCGAGCCACTTCTGTCGTGGTCGCACTTCAAACCCCCTAACCGCAATGGTGCGAATTCCCTAGCCTGAGTATCTTGCACACTCGATCGGCTCATCAAAGAGGCATCCTTCCGGAACGCAGCAGCAGCACTATGGTGCCGGGAGACATCTATTGTTGCGCGGCTCACACAGGACCAACCCTTCCTGTAGGCGCCGTGCTCTCAAGCATGCCCATATAGGCATTTGATATGGGTTTTCCGCATGGCCTGCCTGCCATTTTTTGTTCTCTCTTATCTGTCTCTGTAGCCTCAACCATAAGACACCCGCATCTTCGGTGCAGTGATGCCCCTGATCACACCTTCTCTTTTTCTTTCGAGCCTTGATCCTCTTCCGCCGGCAAATCCTCCACCTCGAAGATAACCCGGATCATCAAACTGCAACTCGGACACACCGCCACGTCCTCGCCCTGTCTGAGATCCGCGATCGCAATCTCGAACCGGTCGCCACACGGGCACGGATAATGGTAGATCTGCAGGGTGGAGTCGTAGGTCATGTCTTCAATCTCGATTTCATCGTAGATGTCAAGATCCTCGGCGGCAGCGGAGGTTGACGACGAGGCTGATACGCCGGTCAGTTTCACGGTGTTTGCCGTAGCAGCGGCGGTGAGAGTCGTAGACGGCATGATTGCGTTTCCTGCGAGACCTTGTTGCGGTGATACCAACTACTGTTTCCACTCTGGGAGAGCCGTTTAGAATGCAGTCTGGAATGAGAGCACCGGGTCTGACGTCGAACGTCCAGCCGTTGACCTGATGATACGTTGAGGATAAGAGCAGATGGAGGATGGGTTTATTGTTATTAGTCCAGAAAATCAACCTAAAGAATTTGTTTGGATGCGTCGACGGCAAAAATTTAGGCGGGGATACGGCAAATAGTGTGGGGAAATTTCGACAGATGCTGAGACAGGCGTGGGCATCGCGATCGAATCAAGGCACCTTTGACTCAAGCGCAATACGACAGTTATTACAAAAAAATCAAAACGAAAGATCAGACAAGTTCTTCTTGAAGTTCTTCTTGAAACATCCTGCTTTGATGCAGGACCAGGTCGCATGCTTGCATTTCAATTTTTGGTATCATCCCATATCTCTGCGGCCGATCAGAACAACCGAATGGCGCGCAAGAGAAAGTGCGCCAATTCTCCGACCACGTCTTCCCACGTTGTCTTCGATATTGTTTTCGACCAGACGATGGATATCGCACGCTCGCTCCATTTTCGCATGCTATGACTACGAGTGTCTTCCATCCATAAGTCAGAAAAGACGTCTGCCTCCATCGCGTCAGGCTCAGCGGTATCTCCACAGCGACAAGGTGTTGTGCCTCTTCCAGGTCTTTCTCCGACCAGCGGTAGTCTTGTTGAATTTGTGACCCTTGCCCAAGCCACGGGACTTCTTGCCGGTAGAGGTGAGGCCACGAGCTTCGCGGTGCTAGACGTGACAAGATAAGTTAGCCCCTGTATCGGATTTGTAGGATGGGTGCGCGCCGCATGTATATCGCTTACCTTGTGGACAGCCTTGACGATCCAGTTGATGCGAGGGTCACGACGGATGGCCTTGTGTTGAGGGTCGACCAGGATGACTTCGTAGTACTTGTAGGTCGAGTCTTGGTTGATCCAGTATGAGTTGAGAACTCGCAAGTTGGCGCAGCGGCGACCGACACGTTCTTCAGCGGTGGAGCGAAGGGATCGTTGGTACTTCAGTTGGTTGACACCCTGGTTGGTGGGTTTACCTGCAAACCGGCATAAGTAATTGTCCAAAACGACATTCTTTCGCGGCTTGCTCACCATAAGTGGCACCCTTTGGCACAGGTCGCTTGCGACCACCACGTCGGACACGAACGCGATAGATCACATAGCCTTGCTTGGCCTTGTATCCCAGGCGGCGGGCCTTGTCTGGGCGAGATGGGCGGGAAGCGCGATGGATGACATTCAATTGTCGCAGCTATATTGATGCACTCTCAGCAAAGTTCAACGAGTGTATAGCAAGACACAGCCAACTGTGCCACATATGAAAGAAGAGGACCACGCCTGTAAGGTCGTCGTCCTTTCTTCCTTTTGCATCAGGTCTCGGGGAAGCTCACCTCCCAGCAACGAACTCGGAGAAGGAATCGAAGGACATCGGATTGCTTCTTCTTTTGAAGTTCTTCCACGTATTTGAGGGCACCCATCTTTAGAAGTGTTAGCTGAATATGTTGAAAGCAAGGCTGGAGGAAAATACCTTGACTTTTGTGCCTCACGAAGAACTTATGTTGGCGTTGAAAGAACTTGAGGTCGATCGGATGGATTGAAGCCAAAGCCAAAGCCGCACGATCAGATCAATTTTCCAAGGTCGAAGTGTGCGCAGGCTTGGCGAGGCAGTGAATCTTGGCACGAAATGTCGCTGCAGTGGGGTGCCAGTGCGCTAGTATTGTACTAGAACCAGTATGGTATAGGCCGATTCTTACACTGTTGGTTGTGTGCGCAGCAGTACGTACTAGTACTAGATGTGCATCTGGAGCATGGGGACTTGATCACTTCAAGTTCTCCGTGATGGCCTCTAGACATTCTCCAGGTCATTGTCATCCCTCACATGCGCCACAGATCACACTCTGTGCAGGATCGAGACTGTCCACTAGTTTCGAGCGTGCCCTTGACCTGCATAACAGAGTCTTTCAATCGCCCTGTCCGCATCCCGAGCAACATTTCCCCAGCCCAACGGCTGCTTGGAAGAGGCATTGTCGTCTGCAGCTCTCGACAGCAGCAATCTGCCTTTCTGTATCTCATCCGGTATAAGCTCATGCGGTGTTCGAACCTCGTGGAATTTGTCCGCGAGGAGTCTTTCTATGTCCATCTTTGCTACTTGTTTGCCAGCGTCGAGCGTGGCCACGGCGACCTGCTTATCCTTCTCGAAAGATGCCCTGATATCTTGGAGACGGGACACCTGTGCCTCTCGTCCGGAAAGCTGGTCGTAGGCAAATATCAGGGCGTCTGATTGTTGCATGAGTTTGACAAGCCCGTCACAGTACGGTTGTCCCTCTGCCCCGAGGTACTGGACATGAAAGAGTGTAGTTAGGGATGCAGGCGGTTCTTCAAGATCTTCGACCAGGCCGCTCAACGCCGTGCTTATGAGAGGAGAAAATTCTGCTTCGAATGTCTGCTTCTCTGTGACACTGCCCCTTTGTCAGCGGTGGTCGACCGGGCTGGCGTTCCAGAGCTCACCTCTTGAGCGTGATCTCTTTCAACTTCTTCGTAATACTCTCTTGCCTCTGCTTGACGGATCCAGCAAACCGTCGTGGCCATGGATCGGGCTCCTTGAGCTTCTGGCAAATCTTGCCCATCCGTTCCGGGTCGATGCTGTGTCCAGATGAGTCGGAGAAATGCAGTGGTTGTGGACAGATTCTTACGTTAGACTATCCTCCTCGGCCTTGCCAGTTCTTCTTAGCTCTCCTTGCGGGGGTTCATCGGACGAAGAGACCACAGACTCTTCGACGAAATTGACTCTTCTTGTTGCCTTGGATGTCGTCTTGCTCGCGGTCGAGGACGGACCACCTATGCTGCATCAGAGTCCGGGCAGAAGAATAGACGGCGAGGCTCCCTACTCATCTGTCCTGCATGGGCTGGCATCACGGATGGATACGACCAAGCACCTGCAAGATTGATGATCACAAGTGAATAGGAGTGGCGAAGAGCGTTGCCATACTAGGAGGTTGAGGTTCCTCGTGTGTTGTAGGCAACAGACACTGGCAGGCGCAAGAGATCAAGGGCGATCGTTGTCAAACTGCGCAGACGCAGCCTGCCAACTTTGGTCAACGCGTAGCGTGTATTGCATGAACTCATGAGCTTGGATGAGCATCAGTGTCTTCATCATAAATTATATTACTAGGACTGTTTGAAGCCTCCGTCACACTCTTGCCTGCTATCTCGGGGCCTGTCTCCGTCGACAGCCAACCCCTCCCTCCATCGCCATCTCTCTTGCGTGGACACCCTGTGGAGGTCCTTTCCAACTCCGCTGATAGTATCAGCTTTGCAAATTCTTCATGTCGGTTTTCAAGAAAACGAATGTCTGCCAGTATGCCGTCCACATCATCAGCCAGGTTCGGCATTGAAATCTTCCCTCTTTCTTTCCTTGCCTTTTTGACACAATCTAGTTAAAGTCTCGGCGTGCTATGCATGAAGTCATGCTGGACACAGCTCTACATTTTGTTGTCTGTCCACCATATGTATTTGTTGTTGAACAAAAAGCCTCTTGGAGAATTGCCTTGCCTGCTGCCGGATGTGCTGAGTGTTGAGAGATCGAAAATCATTCAAGAACCGAGAGACAACCCTTGGAACCGTCCCATCCAGTTCAAATCGCCGGGCTGATTATGACCCCTTGCTCGGAGGTCAGGTCGGTTGTTGGCAAAATTAGGGGCGCCAGGGTTGACAGGCGGGTATTGTGGTCCGTAGAAAGACATGAAAGGATCCATTGAGCCTGTCATGTTGGGCGAAAATGGCGAAGCACCGCGTTGTAGTTGTTGAGGGCCGGCCCCAACGTCCTGGAATTGATTGTAGTAAGAATTGCGCATTCCCTGACTTTGGTTTTTGAACGTCCGATCGGCGTCAAAAGAATCTCCAAAGGGAGTGGTGACAGGTTGGGCACCGAGGCCATGGGTTTGCTGTGACTGTTGTTGGAGGGGCTGTTGCCGTCTCCGGTGCCGCTCCTCTCCAGGAGCAGCACTATAAACAGGGGTGATAGCAAGAGAAGCGGTTGGAGTCTGAAAAGAAGCAGGATTGATGGCTGACATCCAGATCCGAGTCTTGTAGATCTTGAAAAGATCTGTCACAAGGTGGTTGAAGTTGATGTAATTGTCGGCAAAGTAATAGAATGTGAGCTTTTTGCTGTCCCTGCGGATTGTGAGTACCCAGCTTTAGGAGATTCTGGTGGACTTTCTTACATTTGAAATTCGGCGTCAAGGATTTCCATGTTCAGTCGATGCTCGACGACCTTTTGTTGACAGACACGTTTAGCCCTAGCCTCGTTACCCTCTTTGTCCTTGAGCGACTGAATCTCGTGATTCTGGGCCAATCGTTTGATCATCTTAGGTTTCAAGTCGGAATGCGGGGCGTCGTGCGACCCATGATGACCTTGAGGGCCCATTCCACCGACTGCGCTCCCCGGTCGTCCAGGGATCCCATTTGGGTTGACAACATTGGGACCTCCGTTGCGACTCTGCATAGAGAACATCATCAACCACTTGTAATGCTCCTCGGCGTAGTAATCTTTGTATCGTCGGGCATCTTCCCATGAAATGTTGGTATGCTGAACCGTGCCAAGGTCTGTGCCTCGATCAGCCTCTACGATGACGAGGTCGCCCACATTGACATGGAGACCAGTCCCATCTTGAATGTAGAAGACATCGGACCGACAACACTTGAAATTCACAATGTAAAGGGGTTGACTCGCAGGTTCGAGGAAGGCACCAATGCCCAGGGGACCGTAATGCTGAGGATCATGGTGTGACTGGTGAACTCGGGCGTCCGCGGCGCGACGGGTAGATTCCGTGGCATTGAAGTAGGCTGCTGCAAAACGGCGGCTTCGTAAGTAAATGATATTCATCTGGGTTTCACTGGGTTGAAACAGGGCTAGGGCCAACTCACGATCATCTCCTTGGGATAAAGTTTGGGAGCCACTCTCATATGCTGTCATATGGTCTTCACGTTCTAGCAAATCAGTTCCTAGAGTCGGCCAAGGAATTCTTTCCACGTCCTTACCATTGGAGCTGAACGAACCGTGTCGGGTTGGCACGTCGGCAAATGAATGTCGCCGGCTTTGTGGGGCCTCTGGGATGGGCCCGAATCCGAGAGAAGTCTGCCATTGGGCTTTTCTGACACTGTCGAGGTTGCGGTTCTCAACAGAGGACAGCGATTGCCTTTCAGGATACCCGACTGCTTGTTCACTCATACGACGAGCACCATTCTCCCAACCAGCGATGCCGCCGGGAACCATCAGATCCTCCCTGTCATCGATGGCAGTTTCGGCATCTCCAGGAACGGCAGGGCGAAGACGAGCGTTGCGAAATCCGGGCGGAGGTTGCGTGGCTGCGGATGCACCTGAGAGCGTCCTGTCGCGTGTCTGAGCGGCCTGACGGAGCTGCGCGTTTTCCTTTTCCAATCTTTCAATCGTGCGTGCCTGTTCGGTAGCACTTAGCCCTGATGTCTGACTATCACCCAAGTCCTCTTCATCGTCCTCTATCTCTCGCAGTCGGCCGAGGCCTCCAGTTTCAATGGTGGCAAGGCCGCTCGCCCTTGAGGTTCGCCTCTGCAAGGACGGGTATTGTCCCCCTAATCGGTTTCGTGTGGCCTCGACCGAAGTCGACACCGGATTGGGTGCACTGGACGCCGAGGTGGTATCAAGCTGGCCGACGGAATATGACTGTGAACGATACGTCTTGGGGGTGGGTTGTAAGGGGATCGAGAAGGGGATACCACCTTCACCGTTGATCGGGAGGACTTCCTGAAGCCTGGTTGGTGGGTCTTTGCGGCCGTCTTGACCCCAGATCGTCCATGGATACGAGGTTTGTTGGCTTGGCCATCCTGCAGCACCGGAATTGTTAATATTGATCCACGGAGATTGCTCGGACCCTGGAGTTCCTGGATGTGAAGTAGAAGGACTGTACGGACCGGTGATGGAAGGCTTCCGGTTGATGTTGGATGCGGTGACATCGTTCAGCCAGGACGTCCGTCGAGCATTCCGGTTAGCTTTTGCATTGCTGGTTACCATGGCCTTGGCATGCTCGACTTCGTCGTCAGATGAGGCCAGAGCTTCTGAATCGGGAGTCGTCCTGCGAAGACCAGGATTGGACTTTTCGAGTAAGATCGAGGCCGAAGCTTGGTGTGCGCCGAATGTACCAAAGGCCGGCATGGGCCCGCGAGCGGCCTGGCCACTTTGTCTGTTCGGGCCGTTACTCATAGCTGGGATACGGCGATGTCACAGCAATAGTCTGGTACCCCTGGCTCTGCTATCAGACAGTCAGCATAAGAGTCGCAGGCGAATTGCACCGATAAACGGCTGTAACACCAAGTGTGCGAATCTGACAAGATGGAGGGTTGCGGAGTGATGGTGGGAGCGCTGACATTGCAAACGACTCGCACAGCCCGCAGCCGGCCGCATCAACCCCTCCAATGAGGCCCACCAACTTTTAATGATCAAGGAAAGGTGATCGAGGGTATGAAGGGATGCGACTTACCTTCAGGATGAGAAATCAAGGCTTGGCTGCTCCGACATGTCTTGGGTTGAGCAAAGGCAGCACAATGGCAGTACAAAGGAGAGGTTCACAATGGCACCCACACCTTCAAGCAGGTTCGAGGATCTTTGGGTAAAGGCGAATGTGTTCGAGGCGACCAAAACAGAGGTGCCCTTCTATAGCGCCCCCGATTAGACAAGGCACGGGCAGCCAAGATACAGTGAGCGCTTGTTCTGTTGTGAGCCGAGCGCGAGGGCGACGGCGAGGACTGTGGTAAGTGAACTGCCGGCCAAATATAATAGAAACAGCAGTTAGGAACCCGATTTCGAAAGACGAAACTCGATTATTGCGTGCGTGTTGATGGGACAGGTAATGGCAGAACCATGGACCTGGAATGTCGTGAGGAGTAATGAAGCCAAGAGTGGCGTGCCTGGCCGTGAGCTGGTAGAGAGGACGGATGTGGCAGATGGCGTAGAGGGAGATGGAAGCGAGCAGCGAGGTTTAGATGCGGCGGGATCCGAGGATGGACGACGGATGATTGAGCGATGAGCGAGGAGCGAGGAGTGAGGAGCCACGGACGATTGACAATTGACAATTGACAAAATGACAAGTTGGGCGGTTTATGAAGAAGAATACGTGAGAGCCCGTGTTGGGACTCCAGCTTCCAGCTCCAGGTCTACTAGTAGGAGAGCCACAAGTGTTGTGCCGCCTTCCCCGGATTCTTCTTGTTCTTGTGGCCAGACGGTGCCACTGCGGACAGAGTTTTACTGTTGACCCTTCTTTAGCTCTCACGCGACCAGTCGGTGGGCGGCCCTGTACGGCTAGCCGTGTTGTATTATTGCTCCAACAAAGAACCCAGCGCGAGAGCTCGAGGGGGCTAATCCTCGCTGAGCAGAGGTCGAGATTGGCAGGGTCCGGGGGTAGGGGCCCCGAGGGTGCGAGCGTCGATGGTAGAGCACAGAGGTGGCCCGGGCGGCAGGCGGGGTGTGGGTGGTGTGTGTGTCGTTCAAGGTGATGATGGTGGTGGTGGTGGTGGATCGTTCAGCCAGGGTGGCACCGCGGCTTCTCTTTGGTTCGGTTTTGGCTGTGGCTAACCTGGGGTTTCCCAACAGTGGACAGATACGAGAAGGTTTGAAGGGTAATGCCAGTCTGAACGAGGAGCTCAGTGACTCGCAGAATCAGGCCACAACAAGACCGAGAAGATAAGGTAGGCAAGAAAGTAAGGATAGAGTAAAGACGCGGGGAAAGGCAGTGGAGTGAGAGAGTTGGATTTCATGCCGAGTACTGTGTTAGGTAGAAATGCCAGGTGCATGCAGTGGCAGACAGAAGTGACGCAGCAGAAAGAAAACGAAGAAGGACCAGTAAACCAGTAGTACGTAGTGGTACAGCACTGCAACACGACAGCATAAAAGCAGAGACGCACCAACCTGGAACTGGTGACCAGAATGCCTCGAGTGTCGCAATAGTAATACCTACCTGTACGTACTGATGCAGCAAAGCATGAGTAATTGATTAAAGTATACTACCCCCAAGATATCCTTCAACTGACCAGGACTCATGCTAATCACTTACAATGTTGAGTGGCGAGCGACAATGGTCCGGGGTTTGCCAACCGTCGTGAAGGAGCGGGGGCTATCTGCGATGGGCAAGAACGAGAACAACACAATGCCTTCCGGACAAATAGACTTGAGCGTTCAGATCTTATTACCGGCACCCTGTCAGATATCTTACACAGTAGTGGATGGGCGGCAAGCAAAAAGGTCGGACCAGGATGAATCCTACCTAAGGTACTGCTCACTACCTATAGGTACTACCAGTACCTTAAGTTATATTGACAACCACAATTGTGGGGGAACAGGGCCAGGACAGCATCCGGCAACAAAAGCCAACCAGATGCAAGCTGGAGGGACATCAAGTGACAGACGAAAGAGGAGGCGCTGTTTGCTAGTACTACTAGTAGTAGTGGGTTGAAGAGGATGACACGATCTACACTCCCTTGCAATTCGCGGGGAAAGAGGAAGAAGACAAGGACCGGCACCGAAGGCAAACTGACTGGGCCGCAAGTGGCGGCGATGGCAGCAGCTCCAAGATCTACCTTGTGGAGGATATTGTCTGCAACAGTGGTAGTATGGTATACTGGGGATACGTAGTAGGATGGCAGCCAGGTACGAATGGGCGCGGATGGACAGTTGCAACATGTGGACTAATCGAGTCTGGTTGATAGTCGCTTCTGTCCTATATATCTTGCCTGAGAGAGAGTATAGTAAACGAGCAGCAAAGGTGGTCTTCTCCACACCAACAAGTACCGGAATTCACCGCCTCCCTGATGTACTCTGTAATCCCTCTAGACCCTCCAGACTCCTAATATGATGGTGCTCCGACGATCACAACCTGTACCCTCGTACTCCCTCAACTTGGCACCATCCTCGCCGAATCAATCCAGCTCCATCCTGTCAATTTGCCATCCGTGCTGATCCGGGTCCAGCGCCATGGTACAAAGTTCAGAAAGCCTCGTTTCGCATCCACGACAACTTTGACAGCCTCGGCCATGGCTCGGGCAGTAACCATTCTGCACATGCCCGAGGGGATGGCGTGCAAGGAACTTCCTCTTGATCAATCAATCACAGGTCTGGCTCCGAACTTGCTGGCCGACCCGGATATTTGGCATCGGTGTCATTTTCCCCTCCCTCAAAAGTGTATGCTCCTCCACCAAGCCGCCATTCCGCATGCAGACTTCTTGCATAATGCCATATCCCCGCTGCTGCCCACTCTGGAGACCAGAATCGGCTGGTCGGGCGCTTCTTATTTGCTGGAACCTCAGGTGTCGCGGCATTGATGCACATCCGTAGGGGGCCAGCCTGAAATACCAAACCCAAATTGCCGGTAGAGTCATGCCATCCATGAACGGCCCTTATTTGTGCGGTGATCACATGGCGCAGGTGAGTTCATGTAGTCGGGAATTCTAGCCCGGGCGCATCATTCAACAAAATCCAAACTGGTCTTGCCCACGGTGGTTGGCGCCGCATCAGGCCCTTTTTGTTGTCGAAGTTTCTCCTCAAACTTGGCGAACTCCTTCAAAGCGATCTCTTCCTCTTGGTCCAACACCTGGGTCACCCCTTTGACCTCCTCAATATAGTGCATCAACATCGACTCAATACCATTCTTCAGGGTCACCGTGCTGGAATCACAGGTTCGGCATGCACCACGAAGCTTCAGCAATACCTGCCCATTGTCAAAGCCCCGGAACTCAATATCGCCCCCGTCCTCTTGTATGGCCGGTCGAATCCGTGTTTCCAACAACTCTTTGATCATTGCCACAACCTCGTCGTCGTCGTCATTGGCTGCCAAGCTGTCTTGCCCTCCCCCTTCCTGACCCTCGCTCGCGGTAGCCTTGTCCACTGTATTGACGATCGACTCACCAGAAGTGATTGCCTCGGTAATGAGACTGAAGACTTCCGGCTTGATGTGTACCCAGCTAGCATCCTCTGCCTTGCTTACGGTGATGAAATCAGGGCCGTAGAACACCGATTTCACCCCATCCACATCCAGTAGCTTCGCCGCTAGCGGGGAGGGATGAGGACCGCCCAGTGTCGACCGAGGAGAGGAGTATTCTAAGAATGTGGAGGGAAAGTCTTTGGGGAGGACCGGATGGTTGGGAATGAACTTCAGCGCATCCGGGTTCGGCGTAGACTGGGTCTGAATGTAGATGGTCCGCCTTGACAACTTGGGAAAAGACGAGCTTTGGTGATCGGACTGCAACTGAGGTCTGCGGCGAGCTTGGGAGGCGGACATTGTGGGAATCCGGGCGGACTGATGAGCATTGCGGGTGGTGATAGCTCGACACACATGGCTTAGTGGTTGCGTCTTGCCTGTGTTGGGACGGCATAGTGCCCTCAGTGAGCGTGCTGGAATGAAGCCGCGCATACTGTACATGAGAAGGATGTAGTTGGATAAAGGACAACGCGGTTGGATGTATCCAGGTATTGTATGGTGAGAGGCGATGTTTTTCTCAAAATGTTTCCCTGCGGCGTTTGAACTTCAAGTTCAGCAACGAGCCGCGGATGACGCACGACTTCTGGGGCAATCACGTGGCCACAGCCAAAACCACGCTGCCTATTTGTCAGCGATCCGGCAGCAATTTTCCCTCCCACCAACTGGCACTGGCAGTAAACAGAATAGTGCAGTCGATATATGGAGATTTTATGCTGAATACTACAGTGTTCGAGGCTCGAGTCTGAATTTCTGACTCTGACATCGAGTGGTATTGTTGCCATAATTGCCTTACACAGCGGTCCCTGGTCCTTGATGTCCAGCCAGCTCTGCAGTGTCTGCCAGAGTCCTACTTTCAAGTACCGATGTCCCTCATGTAGGGCGACAAGGTCTGAACATTTCCTTTTGCATATCTGATCCCATTCGCTGACCATTTCTTTACAGTTGTTCTCTGCCATGCTTCAAAACACACCAAGCAGAATGCAATGTCGCGAGCTCACAAAAGTTGACCGAGCCTGTTGCGTCCCCAGACATCACGTCTAAATCACTCGAGACCCAAAGTCTTCCCACGATCGCATCATTGGTGCGCGATCCACGGTTACAGAAGCTCTTTGATCAGTACCCGAGCCTTCGTTCCAAGCTCAAGGCAATATTCGAAGCGGCAGTACCGACCGACTATGAGGATGTCCCTCAAGCACGCAACCCAGGAGCTTACAGGAACCTCAGGTCACCTGAGCAGCGGATTGCTCAGGCTATGCGTATACTGGAGTACTCCTTAAACTCGAAGTCGGCCGATGCAACTGGAATGACAGCGTTTGCTGCGTTAGTATCTGACCTATCTTCGACTGAACAATCTCAAATCCAAACATCGTGACGGCGCACACAATTAGCAACCTGTCATGCCTCCAACAAAGATCGCGGGAAGACATTGCGGGCGCAGAAGGTGACCCGATGTCTGCATCTACTGGAACGACAGTCCTGTCCAAGCCGTTATTCGCTTCGGTCGTCAAAACACACTTCGATCGACCGTCCCACCAAGGATATCCTCTATGATGCCGAGTATGCTTTTCCGGCACTGCTATCGATAGTCGGATAAAGCAAGTCAACTTTTCCATCCTGCAAGCTGAACAAGACATGCCTTTTGTCGTTCTGTCGTCACTTCCTTCAGCCACCTTTTCCATGTGCGGCAGCCTGTTCGCCGTTATTTTGCAGGACCGATGAATTCGGTCATGGTGCTCCTCTCAAATCACCCTACCTGCATTTCATTGAATCGTTTGTGCAATGCGAGAGCTTTCAGCTCTTTTGGCTGTGGTCATGCTCCACGGACACAGTCTGCAGACGCGAGACTCGTCTTTTCAACTTGACGAACACTTCGTCCTGGAGGGTTAAAGTCTCTCGATCTTGAGAAACTTTAGACCGATGATATTCGCCGCGAGGAGGGTTACTAACTCCACTGCACGATGTTGACCGAGCTTCTTGTTGCACTTGGATGTTGTGGTGAACGTGACAGCGCTTTTCTTCCCCTGACTCGGTGAACTAAAACCATCAAGAGAAGATCCGAGGAGCAAGCTGCGTCGTTCAGTGCATGCCCTCCCCTTCGCGTGGGCAATGTCAATCCGCCATATGCGTCTAGCAGAGGCACTTTAGGTACCTACAGGCCTATATGGTCTTGCTGCATATGCCACCCGGTACATGGCACCTTAGGCTGAGTCCCTAGGCCATCTAAGGTAATGAAATAGCCCCGCGTAGCTGTGACGAAATCTTGAATGTAGTGTGAAGGGTGACGATGTAGAACCATTAGCATCTCTGTGAACAGGGGCGAATATGTACGCCTGCAGGTGTCAATTGTCACTGCCATCTGGTGTGCATCAAGTACGTGCATATGTCATGTAGGCTCAGCTGCCACAAGCTGCGTTATCGTTTAGTTAAGAGGCTGTGGCTGCGGGCGACAGAGAATAGCTGTCAGGCACTCGCACCAGGCTCCCTAGGCTTGCAAAGCCTCGTCTAGCCAACCAATCCAACCGACAGTAGGCTGCGCTGGTGCCTGGTAGTGCATGTGGCGTCCCTGACTGCTGCCGGAAGGCAACAGCCCGCCAGCTGTTCACTGTTCGCTTACCTTTGACTGGCCCATGACCGCTCAACGTCCACCAACGCCCACAACCCCCTGGCAGCAGCCCGCGACCGGGCCTCTATCTTCAAACCGTCGTCTTTTGGAATGGATCTGGCACAGCCTACAGACTCGGAGTAGAGCTCCTGGATCTTCACATGGAGTCATGGTTTACAATCACCCACTGACAATCTACTGTCACACTGCTAACTACCGTCTTCAGATGCAGACACTGTTACCCTCCCAGTCGAACGAAACAGCCCTCCACGCTCTCTCCCTCCCTCTCTCTATTCCTCGTGCGTTCTTCTTCCGACCGTTCTTCAACCTTGAGACTAGGGACAACAGCTGAATAACTTATCACAACGACCAGGAGAGCTCCGGTCCCAAAGCTGAGGCTGAGGGTAGTCTTGTCCCGGACGGTCTCCATCCACCTCCACCAGCCCAACACCAACACCAACGCCGGCACCCACAGCGGCACCCACCAACGAACCCTAACTTGACGACCTCTTACCTCCATATTGCGGTGTTAAATCAGCCCCTTCTTCGTCTTCGATCGACACTCTTCATTGTTTCAATATTGTTTCTTTCTTTCCCCTGAAATGCTGGATTTGGTATAGGACTTCGAATCCTAACCTTGACATTCCCTTGGGAACAAATCCCACTCAATCAGGGCGGGACTTCTCATTATCGGCCACGAGCGCTGGTAGCTTCGAATCCACAAGCCGTCCTCCGCCTGTCTCAGAGACCCATTCAGTTGGTGTCTTGATGTCCCCAACACTCCATGACTGACTTCCACTGCCGCGTCATTTGGTCGCCAACCATAACCAGCACCCAACCCCAAAAGGATCTACCTAGACACCGTCAATCATCCGCCATGAGGCCTGGTACTTGTTCGTCTTAGTCTCGGCACGGCACTGGCAATTGAACCCTAGTCATGGATAGCCGATCCACGAAGTATCGCTCGCTTGATTCCAAGGGTGCTATATCACCCCCCCGGAGTCGGGACAGGCATAACTCAAGTGCATCAGTCGACAGCCGGTGGAGAGATCAGCATCCCCGGCGACCGTCGACCGCGTCCAGACCATCTGATGTGGGCCATCGCGCTTCCAAATCCGGTTCTCGTGATGTTGGCCGGACTTCGCCCGACCAAAGGACTACAACAAGACTCCCTGGCCCACACTCTGCCTCTGCACAATCCTCGGGGGCTAAGCCAGCGAACAAGGTATGTTCCACACCCCCAAACTAACATAATTCTCCCTGTGTCTCGTCGTCACTCTCTTTTGTCATAGACGATCCCAGCGAAGGTAACCATACTAATTCATGTCGCTCTTTTAGACAAGCTACACCGGTTTGAAGTCCTCCATCAACCTCTTGGTTGTAGGCTCCCCAAGCTGCGGCAAGACTTCTTTCATCAAGAGCGTGGTATCCGAACGTGGCTCGTCCTCTTCTACTCCAGTCATTGTCAAAGACCAACCCTACAGGGTACACTTCACCGAGTTGTCGCTCGAAGAAGTCGATTCCAGTAGCGGACGAAGGATAGAATGGCCTCGTTACGTCAATGGCATCCCATTTCCTGAAATTGATGGAGTATTTTGTCTATATGACGTATCCGACAAGGAAAGCGTCGCCGACGTCCCTACAGCGTTGGGTGAGTGCCTTCTTGACGAGCGCAGCATCCGACCCTGAATCCGTCCTCAGCGGCACGCAGCTGACAATGCCTTTCTAGTTTCCATGACTAACAGTGGGCTGCCTTGTATGCTGCTTGCTTCTAAATGCGACGTCATGCAAGAGTCTCGTCAGATCAACCCCAAGTTTCATGACCAAATTCGCCGTAATCTCGCCAACGTGGCTATAGCCGAAATATCCATCAAGTCTCCCGAGAGTGCCAGACTCTGTCTCCTGGCAATGCTCGATAGAGTTCTTGCCTCCCCCCGAGGTGAGTGTGAGCTATTTCTCAGCCCCATCAGTGCCCATGCCCTCTTGAGTCTGCTTCACATCCGCTAGCTATTTCCTTCCTGCCTGGCTCCTTTCATATGAAGTTGGCCGGGCTATGGGTCCACCATGATCGTTCTTTCCTGCGCCTGCACTCCAACCGAATCATCTTATTAATCAGTGTTCCAACATCAGTTCGGACGAGTGCATCATCTAATGCCTCATCCCAATCCGTGGGCAGCCAGCGTGTTGTTTCCAGGGATACGTCACCGAGGAACAGCAGAAGCCGGAGCAGATCCAACAGCCGCTTACAGAGTTCAAAGTCCAAGGAGCTGCTATTGAATCTTTCCGTCCGTCCAGCTGTCATTGAGTCAGCCAATGAACTGGAAGATGTAGTTTCCCCGGTTAGAAAGACCAAGCTTCGACTGGACACTTCAGCAGCTTCTAGGCCTCACCGTCAGCCCGCAGAGCCACATACACCAGTATCATCAGGCGATTATACCAACAAGCTGGTGTCACCGCCGGGGCCATCTACAACAGCTATCCCCGAAACCCCTGACTCTTACTATGTGAAGTCAATGCTTCGCCCATCTTCAGTCGAGACTCCCGACAATCGAGCCTATCAGACATTCCTCAATATGGACGAAGATCCAAACGAGTTCTCTCCGCGTACCGAAGGCAATAGTCCGGCCGCAGCTCGGACCAACTCTTTGATCAAGGTGACATTGGAAGACAACAAGCAAGAAGCTGGCATACCATTTCCCGAACTTGTAGAGAAGCTGCTGATATTGCCTGCAAACAAGACGGACTCAAAATTTGTCCCATCGTTCCTATGTCTGTACCGTGCGTTTGCTACTCCACGACAACTCCTCGTGGCCATCATCGACCAGTTCATGAAGATCGAGCAAAGCAAAATGGTGCATTTCACCAAAGTCGCCGAAATGCTGCGGTATCTTCAAGTATTGGGTCAATGGACCGCGAACTATCCAGGCGATTTCGCTCCCGGACCGGCTCGTGACATTGCTGTCCCTTTTGTGCAAAGCATTGAAAAGAGCAAAATCTTTGCCCCTGCTGCACGGGAGATTAGCAACAATCTGGACACGATTGTTGCCGATGAAGACACAGACTGGGCGTACGCGGACAGGGCAAGTGCCTCCGGTGGGCAAGGCAGAAAGGAATCATCCTCTTCAACCTCTCTATCCAAACTTGCCCAGAAGTCTCCACGGAATGGCAGCGACAGCGAGGATGATGGCGAATCTTCTGCACGCGGATCGAATGCTGTTTCGTCTTCATCAAGCCTGCCCAAATCCAACAACACATCCAGCCAGTCATACACGAACTACATGCAGTTGCAAAATGCAAGAATACAAGCCGAAAAGTATAAAGTCATGGCACAGATCCGCCTCAGCAAATTTCAATGGCACCAATTCATGGAGATCCCTGTCGAAGAGCTCGCACTGGAAATCACCCGCATTGACTGGACCATGTTTTCTGCAATCAGGCCTCGGGATTTTGTACGGCATGTCTGGCTCTCCACCAAAGAGAAGAGGCGTTCACGTTCTGGTGACAACATCAGCGCCATGGTCAAACATTTCAATCACCTGGCGTTGTTTGTTTCCGGCATGATACTATTGAGAGACAAACCGAAACATCGAGCAAGAGTTCTGGAGCGGTTTATGGCACTGGCGTGGAAAGTGCGGCAATTGAACAACTACAATTCTCTAGGTGCAATCGTGGCTGGGATCACCGGCCATGAAGTTGCTCGCCTCGGTGCCACACGTGAGCTGATATCTCCAGAGGTTCAGAAGCAATTCCTGCGATTGACCATTCTGATGGGGCTCTCGAAATCGCACGCCGCGTATCGAATGGCATGGGAAAATTCGGCTCATGAACGCATCCCTTTCCTCCCGCTGGTGCGACAAGATCTCACCATGGCCGCTTCTGCGAATCCAACGTTCATCGGCACTAACGTCAATTGGAGGAAGTTCGAGATCATGGGGGAGGTGATCGTAGGACTCCAGAAAACCCTGGAGGAACCATATGTCTTCCCACAACGAACCTCTCGCACTGAGGAAACGATCAAATTGGTGTTGGAAACCAAGATTGTGGAGGAACGTGAGGTGTGCGCCCCTATACCTTATCCCACGCTTTTCGTTCTAACCGTGCATCATAGGACTCTGCGGATCCTCGCAGTGAGTTGTACGATCGAAGTCTACAGGTTGAACCTCAGACGGGAGTTGACACTAAGAAAAAGTTTGATTGGCTCCGGCGTTGATGAGACAGCGAGATCGTGACTTGATGGATCAAAAGTAACGGCAATCTTGAAAAGTTAAGAACTCGGGATAAAATCCTCGCTCGGCGATAGACAGTCGATCCTCCAACACAAATGAAATGGAGTGACACAGGTCCCTTTCGAGGGGCTGAGCATGTTACGGGTTACGATCTTCACGACATGACGGATTACGGCGATATACAGTTGGACAAGGGTCGGCAATTATGGTGAGACTTGGGAGTATCGATCTTCTCGTGAGGTCAAGGGGGCGATCTGAACGATGACTTTGCTTCTTTATGCACAAAATTCGTGGTTCGTACTGGAGAGGAGCGTTTTGGTCAAAGGCTTTGGTTCGTTCCTTGACGACTCGTTGTGGCTCAGCAGTCAGCTATTCTGGTGAAAAGTTTACGAAGTCTTGTGCGATGAGAAGAGAAGAAGGGGCACCATTTGTACAGCATCCAGACAGGGAAGCAGGTGTAGCAACAGAAGATGGGATTTCGAATCTCCACCCAGCCTTGCGCTTTGCACATACCAGTCTCATCATCACTCTACCGGATAGGGGCAGGCGAAGCTCGTCGAAGCGCCGAATCTTGAGCGACCTAGTTGGCCTGATTGAAGATTAGGTGACTCACATACATGTCCCAATGAAAAGAATCTTGCCACAACCTGCCGATATCATACAACCTGCCAGTATCAACCTCGTGGTTGCTATCTATCGGTCCCAAGAACATGTCACCGTGGCCACGCGGGAAGTACCGAGACGACAGCAGACGAACATAGTATTGGCTTCAAACGATTGAGTAGGCCGGAAGTCCCGTGTGTCATGTCACCAAAAAGGTGCAATGCATTCCTACATGACTCCAAAAACACTTCGCATCGAGGCCATAATATGTACAATCAGAATGTGGTCATGGAGACGGATGTGGTCTTCGGCCTCGGCATAGAGACAGACAAGGGGGAATACAGCCAACTCTGACAATACTCCAAGAACATGGCCATAAATCAAACCCCAAACAAAATCAAGAAAATGATCTGTGCAGGCCATAACAGTTGACATCCCACCGCAGGACTGACTGACAGGACGGTAACGACCAGGAGGCAAAAAGACAAGCAATAGCGGTGCTTGAACCCAGACTTACTTCGCCACAGCGGCAAGCATCCTCTTCTTCTCCTCGACGGCGAGATTGCCATTGACCGTATGGCTGTCGTCTTTGGGCATGTGCAGCAGCCAGCTGGGCGGAGCGATACCGGTCTGTTCCTGAATGGTGGTGAGGAGAGGCGGGAGGGACTGCATGATGTTCTTGATCGGGGCGATGGCGCCGTCCGCAGCACCGCCGTTGCCGTTGCCGTCAGTATTCCAGACGGTGATCTTGGGCTGCAAGCCCTGGACGGCCTTTGCGTTGGCGAGGGCGAGCTTCTCGTACGTGTTCTCCTTGAGCATCATGAACGTCAGCAAGCCCTGGGGCCCGCCAAAGGCCTCGGCGAGCGCCTTGTACGCCTGGGCCTGGGCCTGGGTGGCCTCAGCCTCGCGCATTTTGGCGTGGAAGGTGGCGTCGGCCTCCTTGGTCTGGCGCTCGACACTGGCCTGGATCTGGCGCTGCTGCTTGAACAGCTGGGCATCGGCATCCTGCTTCTCCGCGTACGCTTTGGCGTCGGCACCCTTGGACTCGCGGTAGAAGGCGGCGTCGGCCTCCTGGAGCGCGGTCTCCTTGGAGATCTGGGCCCGCACCAGGTCTCGAGCACGCAGTCGCTCGAGCTCGGTCGCCGCCTTCTTCGTCTCGACTTCGCGCTGCAGCTCAGCGTCGCGCGCCTCGGCCGCCCGTCGCGCTTGGATCTGCGCCATCTTGATGCCCATGTCGAGCTCGGTCTGGCGGTTCGTCAACTCGGCGTCGGCCTGCGCCTTGTCGGCTTTGCGCTTCGTCTCCAGCACCGCCGTCTCCGCCTCGATCTTGGAGATTTCTTGCTTCGTGTGCCCTTTCTTCGACGCCTCGCCGATCTCGCCTCGCATGCGGGCCTCGGCCACGTCGATCCGCGCCTGGTTCGACGCGCCTTCGTGCGCCTTGCGTGACAGGAATGCAAAGTACTCGGACCCCGGTGTGTCTTGGAGTTCCTTGACGTTGGCATTGTAGATCCGCAGGCCGAATTGGTCCAGCTCCTTCTGCACGTTGCCAATGACCTGAGAAAGTTCGTTAGCCAGGGATGCTGAGATAAGGTCTGGTAGAGCAGAGGATGCTCAAGTACTAACCTTCTCCTTGAACATCTGACGCTCTTTGAAGATTTCCTCCATGGTCATACTCGAGACAATGACTCGCGTCTCACCCTCAATGATTCCCTTGACAATGTCCTGGACGTGGCTTCTCTGCGTCGGCACGATGGTCAAGCCATTTCTCTTGGGCGAGGGAGAGGACCCGTCAGGGTTCCCGCTCAGCAGGAGCGCGTATTTCTTCAGTGCGTCCGGCTCGTTGTCCGGACCGATGGTGAAGACGGCCGGCAAAGCGAATTGGAGTTTCTCGATCGTCATGGCTTGCAAGTTGAGCGAAAAGTCGAACGGGGAGACCGAGATGCGAGCGACGCGTTGCCATGGATAGACAAGCGCCTTCTTGACGATCCGGACATCGTCGACCCCGGCGCCGGTCACGACGAGGTACTCGTTGGCATTGGAGATGTGGTACCACATTCTGGGCACTTGACAACGGTTATCCCAAGACGACAAACTGTGAGGGAGAAGTACTTTGAGAGGACTTTGTCGCAAATTCCCAGGAGGGATTTGTATGTGAATGGAAAGAGTGGTTGCTGTACGCTGTTAAAGAGGTACACAGCAGTGGCACTGTGGAATGTCACTGCAGATGCTGGTATTGACGAAAAACTGGAAGACACAGAGCCCTTGGAACAAAAAGGGAGGGATAGATATACTCTTCAGTACTGCATTAATTTGAGGTGAGTTGCAACGCTTGGATTAGCATGACTGTTGTCTTTCACCCTACCAGACATGTGAGGTCTGTCCCGTGCATGGCTGTGAGGTACAAGACTCGACAGAATTCCGCCCTGTCTGTGGCCGTGTCGCCCACGCTGAACGAATACCTTACCCTTGATATCAGATGCGAACCGGATTAGCGGGAACAGAGCGAGCAGTGTGGACTGCAACAGGCATCTACCAAGCATGCTAGTTGAGAAGATCGATTCTATAGCCTCGACTGGCATACAAAGAGGAGACGCGACTCGCACAGAAAGCGAACAGTGTCTGTCGTCTCGGCATGTGGAGTCCGAGGAGGGAAGTGCAGTTGACGCAGGGCGTGATGCAGCAGCAATGTTCTCGAAGAAGTCTAATCATAGTCCATAGGAGGATCAATGGCGTCCGAAGTCACGAGGCCAATGATGAATGGAGACATGGAATGGAACCCGGATACGATGATCTGCTTGCTGCTCGGGGATCCCACGTTGTAGGACGCTGTCCATCACCACATAGGCGTGGGGTGACCGGTCTGACACCGATGTTACAGCATAGCAGTATTGGCGACGGCGTGGCTATGCCCGTTCGAAGGTCATCGGAAACAATCTCATGTCGACGCTAATATAATGCATTGGTGGATCGAAACAAGGCAACCTCTAAGTAAGGCTGTCTGCCTTGCGATGTCGGTAGTCTCCGAAGTCAAGCTTGGGCTGAGTTACCGGATCCGCACAGAAGGACTTGTGTGTTTGGGAGGCCCGAAAAAGAGGCTGGACAATAGCGGCAGAGCTATATCAGACAGGTCGTGGTCGTGGTCGTGGCCGTGGTCATTGTCTTTCTTTCTTCCTGTCTCGTTGCGCAGAGAGCCACTTCCTCGGTAGAGCTCCAGAGGCGCCGTATGCAGTATATCTCATGCCTGGCAGATCTGTATATGTATCTCTATATATATAGATATACATGTAATTATAACCTATACATATTGCTTGTATCTTATATCAACCATGCACAGTAGAAGAAGAAGCAGACAGTAGACAGCAGACAGATGGTTTCAAAGGGCGGGAAAACGATGTAGTGGTGGACATTGTCTGATGGTTCGCCTCGCTTAGACGCGGAAAAGGGGGAGGCTGTGACTGTTAAAGCGGCAACCAAAACAGCCCGGATGGAATAAGATAGACATCAGCTCGCTTCCTCCTTCTTCGTCCCAAGTTCATGACTGTTTGTGTCCTATACAGGACTGATGGCTGAGTGAGATATAGCGCATCGCCCTAGAAGCTCGTCCAGAGTCCGCGAGCCATCAATAGCTCGACACGCCACTGGGTCCCCATTCTGCTTCTGTCCCTCCGGGTTGCCTGTTCTACAATACTGACCTCAACCTTTTTGGACATCGCCTCGATTGTGGGCTCGAGCAAGTCAGTCGAACACTGCAGCTCGTCGCGGAAATGGCTCAAGCACTTACGGCCGTTCCTTGACCTCTCCGCTCCTTCTGATCCAAGCTGGAAGAAAGGCTAAGGCCCGCGTGGTTCGCTTACCAGCCTTGACCGGCGAAGGCGGGCTACCTCGGCTGAGAAGAGTCTAAGGATTGACAACGCTATAGTTGCTCATTGTTGACCACACTCCAAGGCGGTGAGTGCGATCACGCGGGACGGACGACGATTCATTCTCCGCTCGTCGATTAAGATTGAGATTGAGCTTGATGCCAGAGGCAAAAGAAGGTTTTCATCATTGATGTGAAAGCAGCGTGTCCTCGAATCAGCCTCGCCAGGGGGCCAAATGGCCGAGTCGACTCGCTGCCACTTCCGCATCCTCCTCCTGTATATCTTGTCTTTCTTGGGAATACTCCACCTTCTCGCCCCTCTATCTCGCCCCTCCATCTGCAGAAGGCTCCGCCTAAGGCCACTGACCTTGCGCCATGCCTGGTAGCGAGATCTTCAAGTTCGACACAAGAACACTTGTCAAAGGGGGGGAATAAGGATAACCCACTTCTCAATACTGTTCAGCCGGTGAATCGCCGGGTCCTCATCTTGGGCCTAGAAGATCGCTCCCTTCTAGGTGATCACTCCGCCAACGGTCTACCTTGCTGCGCTCATGCTACTTATGCGAGAACTCTAGGTCCTTCTTCGTTCTGATCATTGTGGCGAGTCCGTCTATTGTGCACCAGTACTACGTCGGAAGAGCCTCCCGATTGTGGTATTCTCCTCAGCTCACCGGTTTGCAAAAGGGCAAATCAAGGCGTCAAACTATCTGGTTTAGCCAACGTCACAGCGTTCTTCGATCTAGCGTCTCACTTGCAGAGGAGTGCACTCTCTTGCTCGAGCCTAGGTCTCAAGACCTTAAGGCGCGGTGTTCAAGGTCCGCTGCGAGGCTGCAACGACCCTGCCCCTGACATAGGTCGTCAGCCTTTTACTGCTCTTTGATGCCGAATTGAGCCTCCCATCCTACCAATAACAATTATCCGAAGTTGCTTATCAAAACTGGACTGCATTCGTTCGATTGTCTCGCTTCTACCAAACGGAAATTGACACCTCATTTCCATGTCCAAACCAACTGATTCTTGGGATCTCTCAGATCCCGTCCCTAGCTATGAAGAAACGATAGCAAATCCAGAAACTGTGGAAGACCCAATTTCTCGAGAGAAGTCAACGCTGCGGCCCTCCGTGATGCGGCAGGAACGCAGCCGGCGCATCACACGGGTGTTGAACGATTCAATTATCCCCTGTTTCACCCTGCACCTCTCGAACGCTTGCAACAAGCTTATCATCGCGGTCGTGCCTTCAGACGCCCTCCGAAACAGCGCTCCTGTGACCGAGCAGAACATCGTCGCGCCCACACTGTCGAACGAGACAACCGTGACTGTGGTCCTTCTGAGCGGTGACGAACACCGTTCTTCGTTTTGGACACAGCACGCCGTGGTACATGAGCTCGATCACATGTTGCGAAGAGCGCTCTGTGGTTCGGCGGTACCGGGCCAGATGCGGGTTGAGGCCACCAATCTGACATCGCAAGCCGTGTCGGCAGTCCCAAGCCAACCGAAAGCCATGCCGGACAATCCGGCACGAGCACGCCCGCCTAAGAATTCATGGCTGAAGAGGACATTCGTCCTGCCTGGCCCAGACCACGATCCGACGGGCGAAACCGGGAAGTGGAATCTCGGCTGGCGAGAAGCGGAATCGCCAATAACTAGCGACGGAGAGATCTGGAGTGATGGCGGAACAGGGGTGCCTTCGTCTAGACCCGGATCCAGAATAAGAACAAAAGCGCCAATGGCAGACGAGATCGATGTGCACACGAGATTACGAGATGTGAGCTTCCGGACGGAGAGCGAGCTGGGCCTGTTGGAAACGACAACGGTCAGATGTATCTGGGTGGAGATTGAGGTTGGTATATAGCCATGTAAGAAGCAACGGAATTGACATGACCGTAGCGTAGATAAATCAATGCGAATATCGTCCACAGTAATCTCTGTTCAGTTTCGTGGAGTTCACATGAGGGTTTCCCTCCTTCTCATCCCAGCCTTGGGTTTTCCCTCAGTGCCTTTTCGACAATCAATGAATGCGTGTCCTCCAGGACCACACAGGACCAGCTCCTACCGTACTTCAAACGAGAAATCAGGGGACAAAGACCGTTCTCTCCCTCTTTGCGGCCCACGCAGCATCAACCTCCTCGAGTTTCCGCACCTTGATATCCTGCGGTGGCAATTTCGCCACGGCGGTCAACAAAGCCGGCAGCTCCTGGGCGTAGTGAGCCATGGACCACGAGCCAAACCCGGCCCCGCGCAAAGTGAGGTTCTTGGACCGCAGCAGCTGGGCCGGAAGCGACACGTCCGCTCCAGCGAGGGAGCCGATCTGGCAATACTGGGTGGGGACTTTGGACGCGAGCGCCGTCAGCAGCGCCAGCGCCGGCGGGCCGTAGAGGTAGTCGAGAATGACATCGACGTCGCCGAGGGCCGAAAAGTCTGTGTCGGCAGCCCCCGCGCCCGATTCGGCGAGGACGATGCGCTGGTCGAGGTCGAGGGCGGCCATCTCAGCCGCATTGCGCGCCACGCCCACGACCTTGCCCGCGCCCAGCTGGCGCATGAAATGGACGGCGATTTTCCCCGACAGCGACGTGACGCCGACGATGACGACGCGGAACGCCGGCGGCAGTTGGGCGCGGTCGACGCGCGCCGCCAGCGCCATCCACGACGACATGCCCGGGTTGAGCAGCCCGGCGATCTTGACCGGGTCCACGTCCACATCCGCGCCGTCGAGCATACTAGACAGAGGCGTCACCACGCTCCTCGGGACGCGCACGTACTCGGCGAAGGCGCCGCCACTGTGAGTGCTGCTGAAATACACCATCTGTCCGTCCGGGAGGGTGCCCACGCCGTCGGCGCCCGGAATGTAGGGCAGCTTCGCGCCCTTGGTGCTGTAGTGTGTTCCCGCCGCCTGGGCCCGCACGAGCTGGTGCAGGCCCGCCGCGACCACCTTCACTGTCACGAAGTCCGCGTCGGACGACGACGGTTCAGGGTGGTTGGCTGTGAAGACGGGTGCCGCGCCCCAGGAGGTGACTGTGATTGCGCGCATGATTTTCAACAGAATCACCCGCAGAGAGTGAGAGAGTGGTGGTGGTGGTGGTGGTGCTGGACGCTGGATGGAACAAAAGTACTGAGGCGTTCAACGTAGCGTAGTACGTAGTCGGCTCACTGATGGTGAAGATAGAGCGACTACGTAGTAGCTAGTGTCGAAAGCTGAATGCGATGTCCGTGTCGGTAGATAGATGGATGGATGGGCAGCATAGCGACAGCTACCTACTTCCTTATTTTATATTCTTTCTCGCCGGGTGCGAGTACGTTGCCAGGCACCACAATGAATGAATGAGGTAAGCGCCTCATTGAGGTTGACTGGATATCTGTCATACAAACTTACTAAATAGCTATAGCTACTACGTACTACTACTACTACTAGTAATACCCATAGTAAAGCGACTTGCCGGTTTATTATCGTGCAGTAGCTATTTGGCCTTACACCTTCTGTAGTGTATATCTAGGTAGAGACATGTTTGGCCAGTTACAGTAACACTTCGACAGCGACTTCGCAGGCTGTCGTTACGGGTTTGGCCGAAGATTTGTTTTATACTCTGTAGATATAAATTCAGGCATTTAGGGCGATATCCCCCTATAGAAGTAGGTAGCGATATCGTGTTATTTAGGAATTGTTATAGAGGCACTGCACCTCGTTGTCTCTCTTATCCGGGCCCTTATCGGCCCCCTTATCGCTTATCTAAATATAATTAAATGTACTCCTGGCAGATAGATAATAACTTCGATTACCGTCGACGAGACTTCAACGCTCGTTCATCATCCCGTTAGATTCTACATAACGATGGTGTTTTGGTCGCTGTAGCCGAGTTTTACTGTATTACCTCTTTCATCAATGCTGATGGAACGCTTAATCAGCAGGGATCGCGATCCGCTGCGAGGCAAGTCCATGGCGGGAATCGTTTGCCCTGGTCAGCCGCAATAGGAATCTCTGTTGTATCGTCGCAATTGGCCCTCGGGTCTCTGGCTAGACATCTTTGTCATCATTCCCGGTGCGCTATCACCCGCAAGCTCCAGGGATAGACGATCGCTTCCCCGATCCATGTTCGGAGTGGTTGTAAGCCAGTCCGGAGAGGTGAGAGTGTAACCTGAACGGCGCTATTTGATCCAAGGATGTGGGGTCGATATTGAAAAGGAACATGAGGGCAATATCTCCTTCTGAACACGTGTAACGCGTGTCGTAAGGGCCATTTGCCGAGTGCTGGTTTGTGCAGAGCCACAAGTATCTCTGCGGCCGGAATTGGGAATGATCAAGAGAAAAATATCTCCTCGGCAATGTGCTTGTACTCCATCCCCAAGCCCTCGTGGTTGGACTGCTCCGCGCCCATCTTGCAAATGCGAATCCGGTCGATCTTGATATCCTTGGCCCAGATGAATTTGCCATCCATCTCCGATTCGGAACTTGTAGAAAAAACTATAGTCTCGCCCTTTGTGAGGAAGGAAACAAATGGTTGTGACGAGGCTGACGCTGACGCTGGCGATGCAGAGATTTGTTGCCTACTTTGCCAACTTCCTGCAGGACCATCATTGAAGTATCTCAGGATATCCCTCGCATCGACAGTTCCGGCTTGTGCACCTCTGCCTCGTCCCTTTCCCTTGGAACCCCTGGACCGGTCCTTGACGTAGATCATATTCGCAACAGTGGCGTGCAACACCAGCGGTCTTGTCTCCGTGATTAGGCTGGCCTCCTGGAAAATCCGCCGGACCGCGTTGCCAAATGGTAGGAGGCGAGAGGTGGGATCGTGAGGCTGGGCATAGAAGACCCGGCTGGTGCTTGGTCGAGGGAATGTGCCCAGGCCAAATAGTGTTATACTCAGAGGAGCGGGTTGGGAAGAGAGTGAAGTAGATAGACGCGCTGGGATTGGAATCTCGGGTATCAGGGTAGACGAGTCTGAAGCGGGCCTGGTTTCTAGAGAAGTCTCAGCTCGGAGTGGAGGAGGAGTGATTGCTCGAGCGAGCGAGTGGAGCAGAGTAGCTGGAGACTCTATTGCAGCCTGGGGCTTGTTTTGGCTTTGACCGGCGGCCTCTCCCTCTTCCGAGGCAGCAGGAGTCTCTGCTTCGACCTCCTCCTCTTCTGCAAGTGCATCGCGTGCCTTAGGGTCAACTTCAGCCTCTGCGCCGCCGTTGCCGTGCTCGACCTTACCCTCCCTTCGCCGATTCAAATGGTCAGACACTCCCCCTACCTCGGCTGCACGAAGTAAATCCACGTAATCAATCTGGTGAAGCAGCCGGGTTGCGAGGTTCAGGTCTTCTTCGTCCGACAGATCCATCGTCCCGAGCGTCAGATGGAATGTACCGGGTGGTCGATGGGCAGCGGGTGGCAGTATCCTTAGCGTTTCTTCGCGGAACCCTGCTTCCACGGCTGCAGATGTATTTGATTGACTGCCATGCTCTAATGGAGTAGTTATTGATCTGAAGTAGGCCAATGAGTCTGATAGTTGTGAGATTGATTCGTCCGTGACCAAAGGGAAACATAGAAAATGTGTAGGCCGTTTGTTCTTGGATTGCGGTTTGGGCGGCATTCTGTCGACTCCCGTCCAACTGCTCGACGAGTGTCGGTCCGACAGCCTGTATATATTGCCTTGGACTTTCGTACCGGTGTGGCACCTGAGTGTTGCGGATCGTCCAAACCAGCGCATCAGGCTGTGGAGGCTGGGCTACATCGGACAATCTTCCCGTAAGGCGATGGGCTCTCGATGCTCCCAGTGGCCTTATAGTGACTAGTCGGTACACGATCCCTCGAGTGCCGAAAGAATTGAGCTGTAGATTGGTTGTTGAATATCCGGATGTGCGAATGGTTCGCAGTTTCTAATGTTGTGCCAGCTTAAGGAAGATAAGCTTATTGTTAAGCATAACCTTAATAACCTTAATTCCTTGTTACGATCTTAGAACAAGGTATCTAATCTACATGTACCTTGGGTAGCCTTCCAGCAGATTCAAGCTCAAGAAGGCCGTGGCGTGAGATGGACGTTCATTGAATGCGAAGGTAAACAGACTATTCTCATAGCATTAGGATTAGAATATCAATACTTTACTTGCGTGCTTAAGAAGTAACCGCCGCGACCAGAAGCAATCATGTCCTCGGCCTTGTACCATTGCCACTGACAATGGGCCACGCCAAACACAAAGACAGACCTCCTCATTGCTACCAGGACCAGAAGAATATATCAATCCTTCCCTTTCATTGCTTGCTCAGGGGCTCAAGTGTTCGGCAACCAACACCTGAACTTTCATGCCCCATCCATCCTTCCCCCCGACCCAATGCTTTTTCTTGCCCACCTTGGCCACGCGCTTCGCGTACTTTTGCATGCGTCGCCTGCCAATCAGAGAGCCTTCGTCGTCTTCCGACGAATCCGCCGGTGTAGCATGTCTTTCCCCGTCTCCGGAGCGAGGCACGGAGATGGTAAGCTCGACGCCTTGTTTCTGGCCGCTTTTCCCGAGATTGTTGGCGAACCGCGCCGACAGCCACATTTTGGGTTCTGCGCCGACCCTGCCCGTCGGATAGAACTGGCCGATCAGCCACATCAGAACTCCGGCATAGTTGCCCCACCAGATCTCCTCAGGGGTGAGCAGATCGGACAGTCGGGACTTGAACAGTTCCTCTCGCGGAGGCAGTTCGCCATCATACCGGTTCTCGAGCATCAGGGCGATACGAGCGCGAGAGGTATGCGACAGACCATGAGCCGAAGCCAGAATTCCGGTAGTTGTGCAGTACAATGCGGCTACCGATGCCGTCTCCTTGCTCAAAGAAGCATGGTGAAAGGACAAGTTTGCCAGACTCTCAATGATGTGTTGGGTGATCGTTTCCGGCACAGCTTTGCCCATGGATGGAGATGCAGCAGGCAAGCCTTTCAGGAGCAGCGTCTTAAAGTGTGCCGCGGAAGGAGGTGCATATGGGGCTGAAGCTACGGCTATCGGGTCCAGTGCTCGAATCGACGGCGGCAAATCGCGGAATAGAAGGCCCTCTCGTACGCCGCCCTGGCAGAACCGAGCGACAGAGATGCCAATGGGCAATGTGTTGGCGAGAACGTTGATCAGAAATGCAACGGCGGGGACTTGATACCTCCGGCGATCAGAGACACGGAAGATCTTCTCGGCCTTGCGGGCCACCTCTTTCAGCTTTTCCGTGTTCGTGAGCTCGTCCTTGTATACCTTGAACCCGTTGATGATGGAGATGGGATAGTGAAGGCCGTGCTTTTGGGATTGATTCAGTAGCAAATATCCCCAGCCCCGAAACCCTCCGCCTGAAAGATAGAGATGCCAGCCGCCGTCCTTTTCCGCCTGGTCCTTGAGCTCCTGAGGGATCTCCAGGTCCTTGAAAGCTTGACGGAAGTTCTCTACGATCTCGATGCGGAACTCCTCCTTTGCCTTTTCCGGTTCATTGGAATTTGCACACTCCTCCAGTCGTTTCGTGATGGCCGCCGCACCGTAAGGGAACGAGATTGCGACTTTGGGACTGGTCCGCACGACGCCGTCGGTCGAGATGATCCAGGTGATTTGAGCACTGCCTCCTCCGAGATCCATGACCAGTCCACGAACCTCGGAAAAGCTGCTGACAATGCCCATGGCGCCGACATTACCTTCGTCCTCCTTGGACAGCATCTGGACCACCAGACCTGTCTTGGCCTTGATATGGTCCCTGAGCTCCTTCGAGTTGATCATGGTCCGCGTCGCTTCGGTGGCAATGACTCGGATCCGATGCTTTCGAACCCCAAACTCCTTACAGACCAGGGCGAAGTGTCGGAACTCCTCGGTTACGGCTCGGATGACATGTCGCGGGATGGGGATTTTCTTCCCTGTCTCCGGGTCATATTGAGCCTCGTACAGTGAGATGCCCGCTCGATCGAAGTATACCGTGGGCAGAATTCGCGTCGTGGGAGGAGAGAGATCGGATATGGAGAATCGGATACCATTGCTTCAACATGGGGAGTCCGGTCAGACTGATACAGATGTGGGAAAGTCCATGAAGAGGGTCAACAGCGCCGAGATCACAAACCTTCCCATATCCACGACCCCAACCAGATGGTCATTCTTCGTAGGGTGCTGGTGTTTCATCTTATCGAATTGCTCTGTCGGACTCTTCTTGTTGCTTCTTGGGGACTGGTTTAGGACGGCGGGATCGTACGGATGCCTGTAACTCGGGTTCCGTTCGTTTGATGAGCATCAAGTTGCATTCACCCTGCTACCGCCTGCCAACGCCGGCGACAAGTAGCTCGGGGGGTGGTAACAATAACTGTTGAGAGGTTGGAAGCCGGTGAAGAATGGCACTCTGTATTGCTAGTAGTACTATATATACTGCATGTATTCAGTCAACCAGCTTTGACGGACTTGGCATGAGTTGAATCCAAGCCTTGGATCCCTTATGTACGTACATACTACATACCTATGCAGCCCTGACGCCAACAACTGCGACCGTGCGCCTCACAGCTAGGTCTAAGAGATATACTCTTATAACAGAATGTTATTGATCTACATATGTACAGACATTGGGCCATAAAGTATGCTACATTCCACACTAACAGCCGAGGCGCCAATGGCAGAAATATTAGGCTTGTACCGTACAACCACCAGTAAGCGAGAAACATGATTTACACGAGCAATGGTGTTGGACATCATCAAATCCTCTCATTAGCCGAATCATTTGCTATCTATTGGGGTATCACTTTGCAAAGCTGATGAAGCTTCACAAGTCCGTCCGTTGAAGGACGTAAGATTCATCTCTGAATCCCATGCCATCTCTCTGTCTCTCTCTCTTTCTCTCGTCGAAACGACCTCGAACTTTTCTTTTTAAAACTCTCATAAAAGCCTTTGTTCTCGTCATCAATGTCGTTGAGCGTATGTCGTTCTTTTCCAACCAGAGAAAAGCATGTCGAGAAGCGAAATCCCCCAGTCTAATGCGTTGAGCATTAGAAAAGATCGCCCGAACAACCGAATCCATGACGCCGACTCCGAATGCAACTCGAAAAGTAAGCGGACGTAGCTACTGGAAAGCGATCTAGTAACGGTAAATGTCGGACTTGAAGGGCCCTTCGACATCCAAACCCAGATACTCGGCTTGGACAGGGGTCAACTTGGTTAACTTGGCGTTGACATGTGCCAAGTGCTGAAGAGCAACCTGTTCGTCCAAGATCTTGGGCAGGACGTAGACACCGACCTCCTTCTTGCCGCTCTTGCCGAACTCGATGTATTTCTTGCCGAAGGCCTCATCTTCGGCCTTGTACAACATGATCTGAGCGAGGACTTGGTTGGAGAAAGAGCACGACATGACAAACGAAGAGTGGCCGGTGGCGCAGCCCAAGTTGACAAGACGACCCTCAGCGAGGAGGATGATGGCGCGGCCACTGGGCATGGTGTAGCGATCCACCTGGGGCTTGATGTTTTGGACGCTCTTTGCGTTCTTCTTCAACCAGGCGACGTCGATCTCAATGTCGAAGTGACCGATGTTGCAAACGATGGCGTCGTGGCGCATCACTTCGAAATGGCGGCCGACGATGATGTCTCGGCAGCCAGTCGTCGTAACAAAGATCTGGCCCAGAGGAGCAGCGTCTTCCATGGTGAGAACTTGGTACCCAGACACGGCGGCTTGGAGAGCGTTGATGGGATCCACTTCGGTGACGAGAACACGAGCGCCCATGCTGTGAAGAGCCTGAGCACAACCCTTGCCCACATCACCGTAGCCAGCGACGACGGCAATCTTGCCAGCAATCATGACGTCGGTAGCACGCTTGATACCGTCCACGAGGGACTCTCTGCAGCCGTACAGGTTGTCGAACTTTGACTTTGTGACGCTGTCGTTGACGTTGACGGCAGGAATCAACAGCTTGTTGCCCTTCAGCATGCGGTAGAGATGGTGGACACCGGTTGTAGTCTCTTCAGAGACACCGTAGCAGCCCTTGAGCATCTCGGGGTATTTGTTGTGGACGAGAGCAGTCAAGTCACCGCCATCGTCCAAGATGAGGTTGAGGGTCTTGCCGGATGGGAAGGCCTTCAGTTGCTGCTCAAGACACCATTCGTACTCTTCCTCTGTCTCGCCCTTCCACGCGAAGACCGGAGTGCCGCCAGCAGCGATGGCAGCGGCGGCATGATCTTGGGTAGAGAAAATGTTGCAGCTGGACCAGGTAACTTCGGCGCCCAATGCTTTCAAGGTCTCAATGAGGACGGCAGTTTGGATGGTCATGTGCAGGCAGCCAGCAATTCGGGCACCGGCGAGAGGCTGGTCGGCGGCATACTTCGATCGGATGGCCATCAGACCAGGCATCTCGACCTCGGCGAGTTCAATCTCCCGGCGACCAAAGGCAGCCAACGAGATGTCGGCCACCTTGAACTTCTGGGCTGGAGCTCCGTTCATGATTGCGCCGGCAAGGGGGATTGAGTGATAGCAAAGGAGAGAGGGATTGATTGAGGCTGCTGAGCAGATGAGAGGTCGATGGAGGGGGTGGTACAGGAAGTGAGACAAGAGGATGGGAGGGATGAAGAGTAAAGAGTGAAGAGATGAAAGAGTTGTCAAGTGCAGTGCAGGATTGGAGACGGTGGCTGTTCAGTTTTTTTGCAGGTACTAAAAAAATATGCCGCCGCAGTCACCAGCCTCACTTCCCACCCCACCAATCAATAACCCTCCAGCCACCGTTGCTGGCCTGTCCAATGTGGGGTACTACTACAGAGAAGAAGAGAGGCAGAGACACATCGGAACCCAAGGAGAGAAGAGACTGCGGCTTGTTGAGTCTGTTCCTATTCTACCCAACGGGTTTTGTTGGCTATTTCAAGATCAAGATCAGGATCAGGACGACTGCGAATACCCTTCTCTTCCGACATCCGAACCTCTCATTTTTTATGCTTATCGCCCTTTCCATTGACGATACCTTGTCGTCGCTTTGGTGATAACGACCATTGGCGAAATGGGCCGGCGGGAGGCAGCATGTGTCGGTTATCGGCCTCTCGTCTCGAAGATCATTCTCTGCGGCTGCTGGCTGCTGGCTGCTGGCTGCGTGATATTTTGCCCGGATGCGGTAAAGTCGCTGTCAAGAGCAATTGTGTGGCCTGCTCGCTTCCTTGTCTTGCAGAGTCTCGCAGCCCGAGCATCCGCCCTTCTACGTCGTCCACTTATCTCGTTCCCCAAGATATGCCATACCAGCACAGATTGTGGGTGAAGGCGGTGCCTGTTGAAAGAGAATAATGATGGCCATATCGTGTACATACGTTGCAGGTCAACAGACGATCGCCACTGGCGTCTTAACACGCTTCAACTGTGAAGGACGATGCCCACATAAACAACCTTCGTTTCCGTGAGAGAGTGACTTCGATTTCTGTTGGGTTCATTCTGCTACATCGTTACTTTCATGTTGGCCTGGAGTTTCTTACTCTACACTTCCTCATCTCCGTGTTGCAGGACGGATGGTTGCACTTTCCAATGCCATAAGCTCCTCCAATTGCGTGATCAAATGCCCCTTTTACACAATTGTATCATTTTAACTTCACAGTCAACAAAACCTACAGACAGTCCCTTCAGCCCTCTTTGATCTCTCATCATCGACCTATTCAATACCGACAGAGCCATCACAGTACTGACCTTGACTACCGAGCGGTCGCCGTTTTTCTTCACTCGCTCACTGTCTGTCCACTCAACCTGGCAGCGAATTTGGTGAGGATCTGATCAGACAGAGCAAATGACAACGGTTCTACCTCCGGCAGGGTTCAGGGGAGAAAATGGCTATTCACTAGACGTCCAGAATGTGAGCGGTTCTCATGGACCACTGGAAGAAACGCTCTCAATTGATCGTCGCTCTCACCGTCTCACGGACGACGCAATCCAAGTACCAGGTCGCTGGCTCACGGTCTCGCCATATTTGGAGCGCGATCATCAACTGGATCTTGAGAGTATCGACACGCCCAACCGGTTGCTGGCTCTGGCCTTGAGACAGCTTCAACCAGCCACCACAGAGTACGCAAAAGTGAGATATGACGAAGCCTTGGACTGGAGGAATATCATGTCAACCCTGAGAATTTTGGTAGCCACCGAGGGCTATAGATGGACACGACACAGTTTCTATGTCGTCGAATTCAGATCCAAGTTGAAGCAGAATGTCGACGTGGACCTCTTGTTCAAGCTCGATAAAGAATCCCATGTTGAGGCTACCAAAAGTGGCGGCTTGCTGAAGTATTGGTATGGTACGCCTGATACAGAGAGAAGAAATCTTGCAACATGTGAGTGACTACAACTTGTCTTCTTCCAATTCCTCAATTTCTGATCGTGCGAAGGCCTTTGGCGAAGCAGGGACGATGCAATCAATGGCGGTCTGGGGCCATGGCACAAGCAGGCCCGTGCTGCAATTGTGCAGATGTACGAAGAAATTGATGTGAAGGGGCTCCGCCTCACTATTGACGACGACGTGAGTAGTTGGAGTTTCGGCCCCTACAGTGAATCTCGATCAGAGCATTCAGGGGGTGCTCAGTCGTGATGAATGGCGAGTTGCTGATATGGAGGACACGGAGCTGATACTGGGCTGAAAGGAGCCCAGGAGCAAAAGACCACCGCATAGACTAACAGGTAGATGGACTTTATTCACTAAGCCATTGAACGCCCATGAACAGTTCCATATATTTCATGAAGTGTTGTAGTGACCACATTGTCGAAGTTGATGGGCGGGTTGCATTTAAGACTCTAAAACATCTCTATTCCCTATCAGCTCCAAAAATCTCTAATATTATCACTAAGTCCAAATTCAGCCTAGCTCCACAGCCGGGAAGCCTCCAACCTTCAATGACCGTCTTTGGAGCTCGAACAGAAGGTCTGAAATCGAAACTTGAATCTCCTCTCTCGACCAAAAGTCGCCTGCTTCTTCCCTTTTCCGATCGTTCAGAAACAGCGCCTCTCCAAGATGATGTCCTCCAGGCTCATGCGGCCCGCCTTCGCCGCCGCGCGCCGAACAGCAGCTCCGAAAACTGCTATCCGAACCTACGCTGCAGCTCCCACCGTCGACCCGAAGCCTCCTGTGCCCCTGTTCGGAGTTGATGGAACCTATGCAAACGCTCTGGTATGCTAAAAACAAGCCATTCTGCCCGTGGAAGACATTGTCGCGGAGCCCCACTGGTGTACTGGCTTTGGGGTCTACCGGAGCCAGAGCCAGTCCCGACAACTTGACCCAAGGCTTGGTCTGGGCAACGGGGACTTCTGGCGACAGGAAACACTTCAATGATCAGGAAGCACACATAATGGTTGGCGAGGAAAATTACAAAAGTTACAAAAGCTAACTGCGATGGGATTTGTGTTTTATAGTACACGGCGGCCGCAAAGACCAACACGCTCGAGCCGACGTCGAAGGCGATCCTCAGCCTGAGCCAGATCCTGAAGGGCGACCCGAAGCTGCAGACGATCCTGACCGCCCCGATGCTGTCGGACTCGGACAAGGCCCAGATCGTGGCCGAGCTGGAGAAACACACCGGCGGCGTGGACAAGAGCGGCACGGTCAAGAACTTCCTGTCGGCTCTCGCGGAGCACAACCGGCTGGGCCTGCTCGAGGGCGCCTGCGAAAAGTTCGCCACCCTGATCGGTGCATCCAAGGGTGAAATGGAGGTGGTCGTGACGAGTGCTCAGGTAAGGAAAAGAAGAGAAAAGAAGCCCCTTAGCCTAAAAGTCGTCTTTTTGAGTCCGAGTTTCGTCTTCCATCGTGGACTATCAAGAAGATGAAAAACGGGCACTCGAGAGACTTGAAAGCAATTGTTCATGGGGTGGACTACGGTTTCTTTGTGCTGACATTTGGGACGAACCAGAAACTCGACGACAAACTGCTCAAACGCCTCGAACAAGCCATCTCCAAGTCCGAGTACAGCCAGGGCAAGAAGCTCAAGCTGACCACCAAAGTGAACCCGGACATCCTCGGCGGCTTGATCGTCGAGTTCGGCGAGCGCAGCATCGACCTCAGCGTGTCCAGCAAGATCTCCCGCTTGAACAAGATGTTGACCGACACCGTGTAAACCCGTTCCCCCTTCCTCACGCTCCCCGACTTGCCAAAGAATTGGTTGTATGTGAGTGTGTTTGTGGATCTAGCTTGATTGCTCGAAAGGCCATCACATGGATCCAAGCAACGAGGGACGGGCGAGTGGCGTTGAAGAAGAGTTGATAAGGGCGTTTTGTAGACTTTCACGGCGACATGGTAGCGCATGCAGAGGCTGCTGTCCTGCTACTACTGTGTCGGTTGTGGATTGAGTGGGCAAGACAGAGGAACTACGTGGACATTGGGGAAGCGCCAAAAGACAGTGTATATACCACTTTTCCCCATGCTCTGGGCTGGGCCAATGTGAAAGAAGAAGATTCCAAGTTCAATGCTGTGAATTGCCTACCTTTACTGCACGTGTCGTCCTTCCGACACGTCCGATACTGCTGGTGGAATCATTTCATTATATGTATGCGTTCGGCGCTTTTCTTTTTATCTCTCGCAGCATTCGCTCCGTCCACTGTCGACCTGTTTGCTTTCGCCTCCGAGGCCGTGTTGGCACAAACCATGGCGTGAAAGCCTACAGGACCTCTGACAAGAACCTCCCTACTCAATCGAAGAGCTGATAGCATACCAGTAGATGGCTCCGAGAGATGGGACACATTCTCGATGTAGGTCACTTTGTATCAATGCGGACTTCATTCTAACGATAATGGCCGCTCTATGCTTTCTTTTGCGAGTGCGATAATGGTCTTGTCCCCGTCTAGTCTCTTTGTTCCTTCACGAATCCCCCCTTCCCGAGTTCCTCCAGGTCTATCTGGGGTGGTAGCAGGCATCAGGTGTCTGACCACTCCATTCTATTATAATATCGTCCAACGTGCAAAACTCGCCTTTCTTCGACCTCCGTAATGACAGTGGAGCCTTCTTTACGCCCAAAGCCCTCCATTACCAGGACGACGCGTTTCATCCTTGCGGAAGCAAGAGGGCTGGCCATCCTGCGCAACGGCCTTTAATCCAGTTGAGCCTCAAACTCGTCTTCATAGACGGCGGTACTCTCATCGGTTTTCATTCGACTCAGTTGTTCGCTGACATACTTGTCGTAGTGGCTGTCGGCAACGCTCTTTCTACGCTCTTTCTCAAGGACGTCCTCCTCACCAAAAGCGTCCGACTCCGAAGCCTGCGACTGAGTTCGATCGCGGGTGAAATACGACCTCTCACCGTTGTCGCCCGCGTCGCTATCTGTGGCGGTGGATTTCTGGTCGCCGTTGATGCTCGACGCGATGCTGCTGCGGTTGCCAATCGAGCGTGAGGTCGAGGAGCGCCGCATGCGTGGGGATTTATGGCTATCAGGACCGGGAGTCCCGATATAAGTGTTCTTTCTCGTGACACCGCGAGTAAGGATGTCGTCAAAGTAATGCGCCGCAGCCGTGGAGGGTGTTCGAGGCGTCTGGGGTAGACGGCAGTTGATCCCTGTATCATGAATCATCTTCGCCATTAGCCCGGTCCAGCCACACTGGTGCGAGGCCCCCAGACCTCTACCGGTGTCGCCATCAAAGAATTCAAAGAACCACAGATAGTCTTTCCAGTGTGGGTCAAAGTCCAACGTATCGTTGCCAGCGTTGATGGCACGGCGGCCATCTTGGTCTCGAACCATAAGATGTTGCAAGCGATGCTGGATCTCCTCCGCTACGTGGCCTAGGTGCATGTATTCACCAGATCCTGTCGGACATTCAATCTGAAGACTGGTGCCATAGAACATGTAGAACCGAAGTAGAGATTCGACCAGGAGAAAATTCACAGCGATCCAGATCGGACCTCTCCAGTTGGAGTTGCCACCGAATAGTCCAGAGTCGGAGTCTCCCGGGACATAGCCAACCTTGAACTGTTGGCCATTGACATCCATGCTATAAGGGTGATCTTCGTGGTATTTGGACAAGCTCCGAATGCCATGCTCGGACAAAAACTCGGTCTCATCGAGCATTCTCTTCAGTATCTTTTCCAGTCGTTCCTTGCTGACCAATGACAAGAGAAGACGTTCGTCCTTGCCTCGCTTGCGCATGGACGCGATATTACGTTCCGCGACGTCATGCCGGTTTTCAATGAACCAATTCATCCGTCGCTTGAAGTTTGGGAACTTGTTGATGAGCTCGGGCTCGAGCGTCATCACTGCATAGAGTGGAATCAGTCCGACTAGGGAGCGGACGGGCAACTGCTGAGACCACGGCCCTCCCCAAGAAATCGCGTCATAATAGAAGCCGTCTTCGTCGTTCCACAAACTCTTCTCCGATCCACCAGCGCGGAATGTCATGGCATCCGAGATCAAGATAAAGTGCTCGAAAAATTTGGACGCAATGTCCTCGTAGGTTCTCCGGTGTTTAGCTAGTTCGAGGGAAATGTTGAGCATGCAAAGACAATAGAAGGCCATCCAACCGGTGCTGTCTGCTTGCTCCAACACGCCACCAGTGGGCAGCGGCTCGGATCGATTGAACAAGCCAATGTTGTCTAGGCCCAGAAAGCCACCTTCAAACACATTCTTGCCGTCGTTGTCCTTTCGGTTCACCCACCAGGTGAAGTTGAGCAGTAACTTCTGGAAGACTCTCTCGAGGAAGTCGAGGTCTTGCCGACCATACATCTTGCGCTCGATTTTGAACGTCCTGAAAACAGCCCAGGCATGCACGGGAGGATTGACATCACCAAAATTCCATTCGTATGCGGGTAGCTGTCCGTTGGGATGCATGTACCATTCTCTGGTGAACAGATCGAGCTGCTTCTTTGCAAACTCTGGATCGACCATTGCAAGTGGGATGCAGTGAAACGCCGAATCCCAGGCCGCGAAGAACGGATACTCCCATGAGTCTGGCATTGAGAGAATGTCATCCAAGTACATGTGCTTCCAATGACTGTTGCGGATATTCTTGCGGTTGGGCGGCGGTGGAGGCATGTTAGGGTCACCATTCGCCCATTGATCCCAGATAAAGTGATAATGCTGCTTGCACCACAACATGCCGGAGAGGGCCTGCCTTTGGATGTTTCGAAGATCATCGGCCATGGGGAGAGGGCTGATCCGGTAATAGAACTCGTCGGCTTCCTGACGCCTTTGTTCCATGATGTCGTCCAGAAGCTCCTCGTTGAGGTAGCCATCGTAGCGGCGGGAGAGACGAAATCTGACTACAGCGCATTCACCGGGAGGCACGCCCTCACCCTGCCCAAAGTCGTACCAAGCAGCACACTTTGTTCCTGAGCAGCGAGGGTTGATGGCGCCTTTCTCTTCATCCACGATCCATCTGTGAAAAGCATCCTTGACATATGGCTGCTTGTTCTTGACTCCATAGAGCTTCTCGTGATTGGTGTCGTTCTCCGTGAACATGAGTTGGGGATGAACATCCTCGGCCTCTGGACCGCAGCCGGGCGAAGGAGACAGTTGAAAGAAACGGGTTCCCAACTTATGGTGTTTTGACTGGGCAGTCATTGGCCCGACCATGCGAATGTTGGGTTTCAGCTTGTCTGATTCATGGCCCCAAGTCCATGTATTCCTGAACCACATATGGGGAATTATGTGCAGAGGCGCCGGCTCCGGGCCTCTGTTGTAGGCGGTCACCCGGAACAGCATCTCTTCAGGGTCATCCGTCTCCTTGGCCGTCTCAATGAAGATGTCGAAGTATCGGTCGTCCTTGAAGGCGTCTGAGTCGATGATATTGAACTCGCGCTCTTCTTTACCACGCTTCGCATTTTCCTCGATCAATTGTTCATAGGGGAAGCGTCGTTGCGGAAGCTTGTATAGGTATTTCATGTATGCTGTGGACAGATTAGCGGGATCTCAACGAGTGTGGGCAAGTATGCACGCTTACAATGAGTAGGCGTGTTGTCGAGGTGGAAGTGCGCTTCTTTAACACTTTCGCCATGATTCCCCTGCGGATTGCTGAGGCCAAACAGTCTTTCCTTCAGGAAGTCATCCTTCTCATTCCAGAAAGCAAAGGCCACGTTCTGCAGGCCATGGCTATCGCTGACACCTGCAATGCCGTCTTCGCCCCAGCGATAAGCCCTGGACCTTGCCTGGTCGTGGGAGAAATGACTCCAGGCATCACCATTGTCCGAGTAGTCCTCGCGGACAGTTGCCCACTGTCTCTCGGCCACATACGGGCCCCATTTCTTCCAGTATTTCTTGCGCTCGCGGTCATCCTTCAGACGCTTCTCTTCCTCACAGAGGTATTCATGGTGGTCGACGACAACCATCTCGACGGGGGATAAAGATGTCTGACACTTAGGAGGAGAAAGGATCGATCTGCTAGGACAGGCTAAAACATGTCGTCAGGAGAAACTAGTGAATGAAGCTCGGAAGGAAGATGGACGCAGCAGCAGCAGTAGAGCAGCGAATCTGCCACTGACACGGAAGCAAGAGCGGTCGCAGAGAGGAGAGTGTGCAAGAACAGAAAGAGGCAATCTGGTCGGCGTTTGAAAGCACAAATTTGTTCGACCAGGATGGTGTCCAAGTCCAAAACTCAATTGAAGCAACAGACGGGAGCCAGGTTCATGGGCAGAGAGGCCTAAGGCCTAGGGAGCCCGTTTGGCATCGGTGAAGGCCTAAAGTTGGTCTAAGGATCCCCGGCTTGTAGCCTGCAAGGAACGGCGTCAGTGGCGTTTGGGAGAGCGGGAGAGATGAGAGGACGGGGCCTAGGGAGCCTCCTTAGCCCTAGTAGGGAGCCCTTAGGCTACAGCTGGTCAATCCACTACGTTCCTTAGTAGATAAACCACCTATAGTAGATAGTACCGCAGGAAGATAGGCGTAGTAGTGGCTCGGAAGCTAGTTCCTAGATCTGAGGTAGATTGGTGCCAGTGTCTGAATCCCTCGACAATTCCCATCCTCTCACAACCCATAATGGCCCCAACGGATTGATTGCCATACTTTTACTAGGTACGTACTCACTCGGTACTTATCATTATTTGCCTGCGCCATCACGCCTTATGCTATCACATTACCATTCTACCCGCTGCTACTACGTACTACATTCTTCAACAGTCACTACTACACCGGTACAAATACGCCTTGCTTCAAAGTCGATCCAGTTCAAGTCCAATGCAATTGTAGTAGTATTGGTATCTCTGTGTCATTCTTAGCTGCCCTTTGAACGCCTAGCTAATGGTCCAATCCAGGCCCGTGAACTTCCCCAAACCGCATGCAGATATGAGCCTCCCAAGCCCGCAGATTCGTGAGTCAAGTTCGATGTCGAAGCTCGTCGTCCTCGATCGAAATCAATCCACGATCTAGCAACAGTGAGAAGAGAGAAGCCTCCTTCCCAAGATGCCACCGATATGCTCATTTGAATAACGCCAAAATCTCCTTCATATGTTGCTCACGCACTTCCTGCTTGCTCAGCTGCTTGTGGTTCTGGTTCATTGACACATCTGCTAGCTGCTGTTTTCGTTTCTGGAGCTCGACGATCTTGCCCTCGATGCTGTCCGCGATTTGATACCGCTTGACCACCACGGGTCTTTTCTGCCCAATTCGGTAAATGCGGTCGACGGCTTGCGCCTCGGCGGCTGGGTTCCACATCGGCTCCATGATAAAGGCTCGTGATGCGGCCGTGAGATTCAGTCCCTGTCCAGCTGCTTTGATGGATGCTAGCAGGATCGTTATACTGTTGTCCGAGGCGAGCGCATCCATGGCGAGCTTGCGATTGTTGAGAGACATGGTGCCGTCGATACGGACGAAAGAATACCCACGGTCAGTGAGCGCCTTTCCAATAAGGTCGAGGTGCGAAGTGAACTCGGAGAAGACCACGCATTTCAACGGTGGTTCTCCAGCAGCCTCCAATACCTTGCTCTCTTCTGTCATGACCGCAATATCCTGCAGCAGAGCTCGGGTTTTCGTATGAGGACCGCTGTACACCTGGGCGATTTTACCATTGCCATCGCCCTCGTCCGGCGCGATATCATCGTCCGGCGCAAGATATACTTCTCGTGCCGTAGATCCACTAAATCCAACGTACTGAGCAGCAATCCGTGCCGAACAAAACGGACACATGGTCGGATCCTTGTTCGACAAGCTATCGAACGCCGCTTTCTCCGGCTCGAAGCAATCCGCGCACACCAGGTCGAAACAGGGTAAGACGTAGCACCGGATCCCATGTTCTTCGTCTTCGGCCTCAGTCTGCGCACTTTCGCTGCCGATTCTCTTTTCACACTTTCGACAATTGTCCAGCTGGGCCTCAGCCATCAGGTTGAGAGATTCGTAGGCTGCCCGTCTCGATATAGTTGGGAGAGCGTCTTCTCCATCCACGTCGATGGCTTCCTGCGCACTCATACCCTTGAGTTTCTCCAGATCTTTTTCCTTGAGCAAGTCTCGGCCGTGGGCACAAATCAACCTGAGGGTCATGATTCCACGAAGCACATGGTGCTGAACCCCGCTGTTCTTTTCCTTGGTCTGCGCCAGTTCGCGGATTTGGACGTGTGCGATGTCTTTAAAGAAGTCGTGTAGTTGTCTTTCTTCTGGCGAGAACTCTAGTTTGGCCACAAAGTCTTCCCTCTTCGGTAAATCAATACGGTCCCGGAGACGACGGAGAGTGAATGAGTCGACAAAAACTCGCAGCGCCTTTAAAAAGCCCGGATCGCCGGCCTGTGCCGGACCCCTGATATATTGGTTGAACCGGCTAGCTGTGTCGTAAGGGAAAAGGCGTAGGAACCTAGTCAAGGACCCGAGGTCGTCCAAACGGTTCTGGATCGGGGTGCCGGTTAGACACCATCGACGCTGGGCCTCGAGGCTAAAGATCGCCTGCGATTGCATGGCCTTTTGCTCACGAATCGTATGTGCTTCATCAAGAATGATTCGGAACCACTTTAGTTGCTTTAAGGGGCTGGCCTGGCTTCTGCCAGAGAATTCAGACGCCACAACACCGTATGTTGCTATAACAATGTCGTACTTCGAGAGGATGTAGGGATTTCGTTCTCGACCGGGTCCATGGTAAACGTAGTATGCCATCGTTCCAGGTCGGATGTGTTGACCGATCTGGTCCTCCCAATTCTTGACGGTGCTGGTTGGACACACGATCAAGGTGGCATTACTGTTGGCCAGCAACATGTTTTGGTCGTCACGAACCACCTTCTCTTGAGCAAATGCCCTGGCTTCCTCTGCCGTGCTCGCAACCAGTGAGAGAGCCTGAAGGGTCTTTCCTAGACCCATGACGTCGGCTAGGAGGCCGCCCAGCACCTGCTCCGGCTCCTCTTTGACAGATATACCCGTCACGACTTCGTGGTACGTTGTGGCACCGGATCTGGATTGTTTGCGCCTCCACAGTGACGAGTTCTCCGACTCTTTCGAACCGAAGGTCCTTGGTCGTTCGTGCATCAGCATAAAGGTGAGCGCCTGTTTCTGATGACTGAGCAGAGGCGTGATAATCAACACCGAAGGAGGGTCTGTCTCGGCTAGAGGGGCAGCTGCATTGGCAAAGGAATCAAAGAGTTTCGAGACTGCCTCGGTCGCCTCTTCCAAAGTTCGTGTATCGGGAAGGAGTCGGCCTGGACCGGCGTTGCGGACCGGCGGAGTGAGAGCATATCGTTGAGCATGAGGATTGACAATAGGCACTCCAGGCTCGGGCGCCATTGGCGGTCTGAACCAGAAATTGTGCTGTCCAAAATGCTTTCCAACTTTATCAGCGTCCCCTCTTCGCCCATATAGATTCACCACCATTCTCAGCTGTTCCGAACAAGGTTGGTGAGCCCATTCATCTGGCTTCTTCCGGCGGTTTACCAGTCTGGCCTGCGTCCGAAAGCCCTTGAGACCATCCATAGCAGGTGCAAGGGCGGCGGCGAAATCATGATTGACCTTTGCGAACGTCGTCTTCCAGGGATCGACTACATCGATGACTGTGTCTTTCGACGGGATACGGACCAGGGTACATTTCATGACAGGCCATTCGTTCTCTCGATGAAGTAGAGAGTCGGCTTTAGGTCTGGGAATGAGATATGCCGACGCAGTGGTAGCAACGTGTCCGTAGCAGACCTCTTGATCATCAACAGTCCGTGAGGCGACAATCTCGATATCGTCGTCCCCGTCATCATCGTCATTCGTCAGATCGACAAGATTATTCCTGGTGGCTTCGGCGACCTTTTCAGCATCAGGCCGCATATACTCACCAATGATGCTGTTCGTCGGACGATGTGCAAACGTGCTGGCCTTCTTAAAGTCTTGCTGTTCAGGTTCAGCGCCCAGTTTGATCTTCTTGCGCGGGTTATCGACTCGAGACTCGACGCTGTGAACACTCTCAAGCATAGACTTCGGACCGCTGCTCTCATGATTGAGCGCTCGACCAGGAGACGAGCCAAGGCTCGACCGAGTTTCATCGATGGGTTGAGACATTGGATGCTGACCTTTTGAGGATGCGGAAGCCTTGTGCGCGGTGCGGGGACTCAGGAGAGATCGAGGATCGTAGATCGACGAGGCTCCCGCTGGACTCTGACTAAGCTGCGAGACGTGGACTATCCCATGAGGATGAGTGAGGTGAGAGTGGTGAGGAGTTGCGCCGTCAGAGTTGACCGCCTTCGACGGACTAGAGCTGCGTGCCTCAGATCTGTCTGAGGAAACAATGAAGTGTTAGCTGATGGCCGCCACCAAGAGGAAAAATTCCCAGGCGTATCAACAAGGCTAGCCGAGAGATCATGAAACACTTACTTTTTTTTGACTCACTCGTTCTCTTCAGAGACTTCGGGTCCAGGAGCAGACGGGCGTTGCTAGCCATGGTTGATCCAAATCCAAAACAACTCGCCCCGGATGCGCTCAAAAGTGAAAGAAGATCTAGAAGTGAAGCAGTGGCAAATCATGTCGAGGCATAGTCAAGGCCTGCCAGGTTGAAGTGGAGGATCAAGCAGAGTATGAAGGTAGTGAATGTATCTCGGATAACTAGGCGGGATGTCTATTCTAGGTGATGTCTGTGAGCCGCGCGTGTAGAAGCCAAATAGCGAGACGATGTTTTATCATCAATGATGGTTCAAGTTGGCGGCGAGGTCTGAGATCTATGTCGTAGGAGACACTTTAACCAATCAGCGTTCCAGCTCGACGGCAGCCTTGTGCCAAGGCCGATCCGAGTGCAAGGCTGAAGTGAAGCGGGAATGACATACAAGTACTAAGGTACCTATGTATGTAGATTGGAGATGTGAGATTCTGTCAATATACATCTGAGTTGCGTGCTATAGAACTACCAAGTAACTCCCAGTTGCGAAATGCCCGACGAAAGTGATTTCTTCAGGCTCCGAGATTAATGTGCCACCTCGCGATCGCTCGAAATTCAAATAAAGCCGTGTCGTGTTTCCAGGAGAGCCGCTGATGCACATTCTGTTCATGAACCATTTCCATAACCACCGTTGCTGCTTCCTGAATCGCATGTTCGCGCTTTTCGAATACACATTTCAATCCGGAGGCGCGCGGGGGCCGACCATCCAATCCTCCAGCGCAAGCCATTCGCTCCACGACCGCTCCGCCGCTTGAAGCTCACCGTCTGTAGGCTCATAAAGCGGTCGCATGAACGGGACTGTTTCCAAAGGGAGCATGTCGTAGTCACGTTTGACAGACGCCCACCCCCCGCTCTTGGCTGCGAACAGGTAGTTCCGCCTCTCCTGCTCTCGCTGTGGCCCAACACCTGCCTGCCAGTCGTCGCCGAAGAAGCCATGCAACACCTGTGGAACGTCCATCCCCGTGACCACCAGCCGGCGCAGAAACGGAATCAACGAGACGGCTGATGCTGCTGCGGCTGCCGATGCCTCTGAAGAGGAACCCCGAGTGGCGTCTTTGTCAAGCCTTGATTTGCCGCTTCGAGACCCTGTCGAGCTGAAGATGGGGTGGGGTTGTCTCTGGAAGGGCAGAAGGATATTGATGAAGGACGCAAACGCCTGCACCAGGGGTTCGTGCTGGGCATGGTCGATGAAGTAGCGTTGGCAGCTCTGGTATTTGGGAAACCAAGCAATGATATCGAACTGCGGGCCTGCGGGCCCTTTGCCCCGACTAGACGCCTCGGAAGGACTATTAATACCAGTGAAGCGGGCATCCCGGAAAGAGCGCGACATCCCAAAATTATCCTCCGACGAAGACGACGAAAACGCCATGGTGGCCACCAACTGTAAGCACTTTCTTATGATAGAGATGGAGCAATGTCTGAGCTATACAGCGCCTATCTGCCGCCGAGTGATAAAGGACAATGGAAGACCATTAGGACAAATTTCCGAGTATGCGATAAGGACATGATGAGAAGCAGAACATGGCGGGTGCAGTCCAGGATGCCTCAGTGCTCAGTAGATGCCCATCAGATACAGCGCCCTTGATGCTATGACCCGAGGGCAGCGACGCGGCGATGGAAGCGGTGAGTGAAGTGGAATCAATCGGGAACACAAGTCTGTGAGAGGTGATGGATCGCGGGATTCTCTTCGTCGTATCCTCCGTTTCTGCCTGCAGAGAGCTGTTTCACAATGAGAAGATATTTTGGTTCGAAGGCTTCACCGAAAGTAGCGATATACGAAAGGAAGAAAGATTGGAATCCTCAGCCTCGGCTTCAGATGTTCTCCCCGTGAGATAGTATCCTTCAAGAGGCTGGGATAGATGGTGGAGGGGAGGGCTTCGCTGTTTACTGTCAGTTGTAGTAGTAGTCGAAGCGAGAAGCGGTGTCAGTGGCTGGTTGACCTCAGGCTTTGTGGTGGGGGAGTAGTTGAGGCTGGTGCAGGGCCCGTTAGGCGCAGGCGCAGGCGCAGGGTAGTAACAGAGAACCGCCGGAAAACACGGAACGGTCAACCTTCACATAAGTGGCATTTCAGGTAATAAGCTACTGTACTGTGGCACATCATTTTTGAAGGCGAAGAAGATCTCTATATCTCGGGAGACGGTGAGCTCCCCGGTGTGGTGTTCAAGTTGTCCGTACGGAACTCGTCGACGTCATTCCCCATATTCTCTACTACTAACTCTGGGCATCTTCTGTGGTATATTGCCCGTCTGTGATTCAAACCGTGAATTCCGTCCTATTTGTCCACCCTCACCACGACTCAGGAACACACCACTGCACATACAACATAGGTACCTAGGTACACATCTACGAGTCTGGTTGATACGACAACGCCCTCCGCACCGTCTGAAACGCCCGATCCGTAATCGTCCGTCGATTATTCTGCCCGACACTACAACAAGATGGCCCCCAACAGCTTCTCCGTGTCCACACGCATCCCCCTCTCCAACGGTCTGTCTATCCCGCAAATTCATCTGGGAGTCTATCTTATGAGCGGCCGAGAGGCCAAATCGGCCGTGAAGTGGGCACTGGAGGCAGGGTATCGCGGCATCGACAGCGCTCAGATGTACCGGAACGAAAAGGACTGCGGTCAGGCTATTCTCTCCTTCCTGAACGACAAGGCAAGCAACACCGCAGGATTGACCCGCGAGGACATCTTCTTCACTTCGAAACTAGCTTCCAACGCTAGCTACGAGGTTGCTCGTCGGTCCATCAAGCAGTCGGTTCAAACATGTGGCCTGGGGTACATCGACCTCTTTCTGCTCCACAGCCCTTATGGGGGGAAGAGCGCACGACTGTCCAGTTGGCGGGCGGTCGAGGACGCCATCAAAGACGGCGAGGTCAGAATTGGTGGAGTTAGTAATTTTGGCGTCAAGCATTTGGACGAATTGATCGCCTCCAAACCGCGTATCATGCCAGCCGTCAATCAGATCGAAGTCCATCCATTCAATACCAGGACCAACATCACCGAAGCCTGTCGCAAGTACGGCATCCTTGTTGAAGCATACGCACCACTTGCCAGGGCACTCCGTATGAAGCATCCTACGATTGTCTCGCTCTCGAAAAAGTACAACTGTACGCCAGCCCAGTTAATGATCCGGTGGAGCCTTCAACATGGATACATCCCCTTACCCAAGAGTGTGTCCAAAGAGAGAATCAAGTCAAACGCGGACATCAGCCACTTCGAGATCTCTGGCGAGGACATAAAGGCAATGGATGGCCTGGACGAGTACTTAGTGACCGATTGGGACCCGGTCGACGCAGACTAGAAACTCCGTGCCCACCACAGAGCACCGCCATGGGCACGCAGAACGATTCTGCCCGCCATAAGTCACCCAGCTTGCTCTTTGAGGTCAAATGTCGATTGCCTGGTGATGGCGGCAAGCCGCATCATATTGTCGGCCAGGTAATCCAGGATTCGCCATTGACAGGAAGCAAGTGTCTTCCGTGGTCATATCGGGAGATATGAACATGGTGTCAACCCCTCGCCACAAAGATCAATTTGGAGGCGGAGAGGTACGTTGCAGCGACCGATGATGGCACTATGTCGATTTTGACATTGTTTGGTCACCGCAGATGGACTCCCGCGGCTGGCCAGCTTTAGGCCTCAGTGGGTCTCATGAAGAGGGGCGCGTTGGTAGCCCAGAGATTGGCCACAAGGATCGCGACTGCAGAAAGGGCTGCTGCGTTTGTGCTGTATGTGCGGTTTCTGCTTGGGTTGATGGCCACCGGCCAGAGGGCGGGATCCTCAACCGCTGGTCAGTGACGGATAGGTTTATGCGCAATGTCAGGCTGCTGAGTCAGTCGTCCAACAGCATCGCGTTGGATAGCTCTGGTGACGGTGTTTAGGGTCCCTTCTGTGCGACAGAGCGATGCAGGGTCGCAGGTGAGAGAAGACAAGGGTATGGTGCAGGTGTAACTATAACAGAATCTGGTTTCTGGCCTTGGTATAGGTTCGAGGACACCGAATACTACCTAGGTATCTAGGTAGTAATCTGTAGATACCCAATCCATATTGGAAACTACTAGTACCTAGGTACCTGTGGTGCAGGTGAACAATGCTACAGTACACAAACACGAGGACCCATGCTGGAGAGCCTTGACGAGAGCCGTGCTGGTGGTCAACTCATTTGTGTCGCAGATACTAATCGTAGGGGGGTGGTGGACGATGGAGTGTGCTCGCGTCTGTAGTACGAATACAGATCAGCTGCAACCATATTACCAGGTAGGGTACCGTACCTTACCTTGGGCGGCTTCCAGTTCCGCGGATCTAGCTCTTATGCATCGGTATTGGTACGAAACCTGTATCAGCCACGATTCATCACCCAGCTCGCACATCGGCCAACAGCTTGTCTTGCTCGTTCCCACTCAACGACATCTTCCAGTCCCCTTTGGAGTATCCCATCGGGGACGCCTTATTAGTAAGTAAGTACCTAGCCTGCTACTGCAAGTAGTAAGCTTTGGAGACCAAAGAACTCCATAGACAGGCCTAGCCTTAGAGCCTCGCTAGCCCGGAATCCCTCCGCGTTCACCTACTCACTGCCAGTACCAGACTACTACTCTCTACACACACTGCCGTAGTAATACAGTACTAAGTACATACTGCTGCTGTACATGCCACTGCCACTGCCACTGCCGCTGCCACTCCCACTGTCCTGGGACCAATCTGCCCTGCAGCAAAGCCCTCCGCCGATTGCTCCGCATGCTCTCCCACCCTCGCTGTCAACTTCGAAAACGTATAGTCGCTTCTGCTGGGCCTGAAACCCGGCCAGACCTCGCTGTCTAGAGGTTTCGTTGTTCACTCGCCTCTACCGCGCAATCTTCCAACTCCACTGGCAGAGAGATCTGTTCTACTAAATGATCAGCCGGTAGATCTACCTCCTGCATCTGTCTCTCCACCTCACAAATCGGTATATGCGACAAATAACAAAAAAGACTTTACCGGCTCTTTGACTACTATCTGAGGCTATCCGAGGCCGTATCGGGTGTGATATTACCTCTGTTGATGGTGACAGACTCTCCACACGAGACTGTCAGTGGGGGTGAAGACACGGCATCAAGGCTGGCGGCCGGTACAATAGATATTCGGGGCATCAAATACTTCGAAAATCAAGGACGCCCCTCCTGGGGACGTTTGCCGGACTTGGTATCGCAATCTCTCTTTTCGATTCGACGTTCACCATGGACTATTCATATTTCACGTCCGCACCTCAACCATATCAGTTTTTTCGGGCGCCGCAGTCATCTTCCACTGCCCACGAAACCCAGCTAGACGAGCTCCGGGCTGGTCCCTCAGCAGTGAGTCGTTGTCGAATGCTCTGGTTCTCTTCTAACAGCGTCCTAGGAACAATACGATGCCGCCTTTGCGGCGTTTCAACAAAGCTTCCATTACGATCCCACTACTTTCCTCGCGCAACCGCACCAGGTGCCCGCCCAACCGCCAGAGGACCCCTCCGTCGTTCCAAACGAGTCGATGACATCCATGTCTGATATGGATATGAACAACTTCAAGAGCAGCGATCTGACACCGGAGGATCCGGCTATGGGCAGGAGCAGCAGTGAAGAGAAAGACTCCACGATGACAACACAACAAAGCAGAAGAAAGGCGCAAAATAGAGCAGCGTAAGCAGACCATTAGCCTTGAAAAGCAGGACGCGCTAACCCATGACTCTAGCCAACGTGCATTTCGGGAACGGAAGGAGAGACACCTGAAAGAGCTGGAAGCCCAGATGACCAATCTACAGCACCACTCTGTTGCATTGAAAGGCGAAAACGAACGGCTTCGCCGTGAATTGGCAAAAATTGCGACTGAGAATGAGATTCTGCGAGCAACATCAGGATCGGCTTCCAATGGTCCGACGCCGTTCCTGGAGGAGCCTGATGAGCTGGTCGGCCCCCTAGGATTTGTTCCCACCGACCGCCGGCCCCCCAGGGACCACTCCCCAGCGAGCAGCGTGAATTCCGGGCTGAAGACTAATTCAAAATATGCCCAATTTGGGACTTTAAGAACCATCACGGTTGACAGCGAGACCGGCGAGCAATTGCTTGGTGTTGGAGCAACCTGGGATTATATTCAAGCACACGAGCTCTTCCGCGACGGCCTGGTCGATGTCGGCGATGTCTGCGAGCGTCTAAAGAAGATGGCACGATGCGATGGACAAGGACCCATTTTCTTGGAGAGCGACGTTCGAAAAGCGATTGCTGAGAGTGCTGTTGCTGGGGGGCGAGATGAGTTGATCTGATGTTCGGCCGCCTTGAAATGGCGCCCACCACCTATTTAAATTTTGCAGGGCAAGCGTTGGCGTTTTCAGGAGCTGGTAGCCGTCATGGCCTCACAGGTTCATGGATTTACTACAACAATTGGAGCAGGCTATTTTCTGAATCACTGGCATGCCGATTACTCTCGTGGGCTCTCTCAGCATGCGACCCGGGCGGAGACGGGCCGTTTAGGCTGACAGACTCAAGTATTCATATGCATGAAGTTTTTGGATACACAAGTATCGATTCTGTGTCAGATGAACCTCGTGGGCCAGTAGCCGACCCACCAACATGAGAACATCGACCTGTACCACTTGGAAGACGACTCGCCTTGAACTCTCGTTCGGCGTCATGCCAGCACACACTTCTCTTGCCAGCCGCGACGACAGAGACCCGACATGGTTTGACCTGATGGCCAGGACCACCCAGTCTCGCTTCTGATGAATTACCTCCATAGCTCGCCGGGGCACTTCCTTGTTCATGCGCTGTGTTGATCCCGCTACTGGCGGGGTGGACTTGTATATTTCTCACCTGCGCAGCCGCACACTTCTCGCCCTTGAGGCTGAATGGTGGCCAGCATCCGGACACCATGCCATGTATGGCCCATTGGCTTCTTGGAGTAGCCACCAGCATGCGTAAGGCAGTACCATAGTGGTATCAGGAGGAAGCCACAAGTCTCGCTGACAGCGCCCAGTATTGCAACTCATAATGCATTCGCACAAAAGCCGCAGTAGAGACTCGTTGAGGACTGTTCCGGCGAGATTAGGGATGCACTCCACTGTGGCCTCTTGCTTTCAGACTTCATCCGTAGAAGTGGCGGCCGCTTGACATTTGGGTCGTCCGCGAACAGATCAATCCCAGTCGTCGTCCTCATCATCATCAGCAGCGGGTTGGCGACTGTCGTTGAGTTCGTCATCGCTATTCTTCCGCCTGAGCCTCATATCATTCTCGGAGATGGCGCCAACCTCAACGAGAATCCCTTCAAGATCCCGCAGACTGGTTTTGGGGCCGTTCAGCTCTCGGAGGGTCACCAACTGCCGCTTGATGTCTCCGTCCTTGTAGACGAGAATGGTGGGCGTGTTCTTCTCGGGATAGCCCTCTATGCACAAATTGGCGCGGATCTCGCAGAACTTGACGTCGCCGAACTTGGCGGCAGCTTGTCTCCAGAGTTCGGACAGGACCCTCGACTCCACATTAGTGCCCAGGGAAGAAGTCAGGTTGACCAGAACAAAGGCCTTGCTGCTCTCCTCCGTCACGTCTCGTGCGTAATCGGGTTTCTGCAGGGGGAAGACTTGGCCATAGACGCTCTTCCTCTGGAGACTGGAGAGCTCCTGAAGACGCCGCTGGCGGTACTGTTCCAAAAACGCCTCGTCCTCTTCGTCCTCCAAATCATGGAGTTCGTCGAGGTCTTTGTCCTCCAGACGGTTTTCGTAGGCTCTCTGTTGGGCCTCCAAAATGGCCTCTTGGATCATGGGCTCGGGATCCTTCGGCTTTTCTGGGATGACCCCATGTTTCCGCAAAATGTCGTTCCTGTAGTTCGTTTGTTAGGGCTTTCACGTGGCTAAGGCATGTATGTACTCACCATTCAGTGTCGGCGTTTGGGTCGTCAACAGGGACATTGACTGGCATGTCCATTTTGAGCTTCTGACAATGAATACAGCGTAGAAGAAGGATAGCGAAAGTGTAAGTATAAGTGTTCAGTCGAGACGCAGAAAGGACACGATATATGAACCAGAGAAAGTCAGTGGTCTATCCGGCCGTCCGTCGTTCAGAGGAGTAGTAACTCGTATATGGTGTGAGGCACTTTGAGTGAGCCACAATGTGGCTGTTCCACCTAGAACTGTGGCTGGTGCGCTTCACACTTCAATCGCCCACCGTTCAATGCGCAGTGTGCAGTGTGCAGTCTGCAGTGCGCAGTCTGCGGTGGACGCCATAATTATTTGGCGAGGACACGTTCGACTCCCCGACTGACTTCAAGTTGCTTGGGACGATTGATCTGCCTTCCACGACTTGAACACTCTGCCTCTGCTCTGCTCTGACAATTGAACAGCGTGCCCTCACGCTGACTATCCGCTCATTCAACTCGACCTCCGCCTCCATGTCCTCCACGAGATGATCCTGCGGTAGTGCACTGCAAGACACGTCCAGTTCATTGCCGCCTCCTGGCCATCCTCATCACCCTCATTCGGACCCCCAGATCGACCGACTCATTGCGCGGGATCAACAGTCACAATGAGTTACGCAAAGAAAGACGAGGATGCCGACCACCCCGGCTTCAAGCTGGATCGCACTTCAGTCTTCCAAGATGGTAACATTGTCCTTCCCTGAACTGTTGTGTGCCCTCCCAAACTGACCGCGCTTCAGCTCGACTGTTCAACTCGTCTCCTATATCTCCACGGAAATGCCGAACCCTTCTCACCAAGATTGCCGTCCTTCTCTTCACGGGCGAGAAGTTCCCGACAAATGAAGCCACGACTCTTTTCTTCGGCATCTCCAAACTCTTCCAGAACAAGGATCCTTCCCTGCGTCAAATGGTGTATCTGGTTCTCAAGGAGCTGGCACATACTGCCGAGGATGTGATAATGTCCACCAGCATTATTATGAAGGACATGACGGTTGGAAGTGAGATCGTGTACAAGGCCAATGCTATTCGCGCTTTGTGTCGGGTCATCGACGCGACGACCGTTCAGGGGATCGAGCGATTGATTAAGACCGCAATCGTGGACAAGTCTCCCGCAGTTTCCTCGGCAGCCCTGGTCTCGTCATATCATCTGCTCCCGATCGCCAGAGACGTTGTCAGGAGATGGCAGAGCGAGACTCAAGAAGCGGCATCTTCATCCAAGTCTGGAGGTGGCTTTCTCAGCTTCTCTACCAATTCGTCCCACTCACTCGCAGCGGCCAACACGAATTATATGAACCAATATCATGCTATTGGTCTCCTCTTCCAGATGCGATCTCACGACAGGATGGCTTTAGTCAAGATGGTCCAGCAATACGGGGCTGCCGGAGTGGTCAAGAGTCCCGCAGGAGTCATGATGTTGGTCCGGCTTGCAGCTCGACTTGCGGAAGAGGATCCGGGTCTGAGAAAGCCCATGATGCAGATGCTTGATACCTGGTTGCGTCACAAGAGCGAGATGGTCAACTTCGAAGCTGCCAAGGCCATCTGCAACATGCCCGACGTGACTGACGCGGAGGCTGCACAGGCGATCCACGTTCTACAGTCTTTCTTGACCTCACCCAGAGCGGTCACCAAATTCGCGGCGATCCGCATTCTGCACGCTTTTGCTTCTTTCAAGCCGCAGGTTGTCCATTCTGCGAATCCGGACATTGAGGCTCTGATCTCGAACAGCAATAGATCTATCGCCACTTTTGCCATCACCACTCTTCTCAAGACCGGCAATGAGGCCAGCGTCGACCGTCTCATGAAGCAAATATCCAGTTTCATGGCCGAGATCACCGACGAGTTTAAGATTACAATTGTTGAAGCGATCCGCACTCTTTGCATGAAGTTTCCCAGCAAGCAAGCCGGCATGCTCACTTTCTTGAGTGGCATTCTTCGCGACGAGGGTGGCTACGAGTTCAAACGAGCCGTAGTAGAGAGTATGTTTGACCTCATCAAGTTTGTGCCCGGCAGCAAAGAGGAGACTCTGTCCCACTTGTGCGAGTTCATTGAGGACTGCGAGTTCACCAAGCTGGCTGTGCGGATTTTGCACCTGATCGGCGTGGAAGGACCAAAGACCCCTCAGCCCACCAAATACATCCGCTACATTTACAATCGGGTGGTTCTGGAAAATGCCCTGGTCCGAGCAGCAGCAGTGACCGCCCTTGCCAAGTTCGGTGTAGGACAGAAAGATCCCGAGGTCAAGAAGAGTGTGCGAGTTCTTCTGAAGAGGTGTCTGGATGACACCGATGATGAGGTTCGAGACAGGGCAGCTTTGAATTTGCGGTTGATGCAAGAGGACGATGAGATCGCCGAAAGATTCATCAAGAACGACTCTATGTTTTCCCTGTCTACCTTCGAGCATAAGCTTGTCATGTACGTGACAGCAGATGACAAGTCTATCTTCAGCAAGCCGTTCGACATCGACGCCGTTCCTGTTGTCTCACACGAGCAAGCCTTGGCCGAGGAACGAACGAAGAAGCTCACCACTGCCACCCCTACCCTGAAGGCACCCAGCACAGGACCCACGAAACCAAAGGCGAATGGGCTTTCAGAGACGCCCTCGGCCGCCGCAGCCGCTCAGAAATACACCCAAATTTTCTCGAGAATTCCAGAGCTTGCTGCCTATGGCCCTGTTCTCAAATCTAGTCCTGTGGTGGAGCTCACAGAGAGCGAGACCGAGTACGTTGTTTCGGCTGTCAAACATATATTCAAGGAGCATGTTGTCATACAATATGACATCAAGAACACGTTGGACCAGACGGTGCTAGAGAATGTCACGGTTCTGACATCTCCGTCGGAGGACGAGGAGCCGATCCTGGAAGAAGAGTTTATTATTCCTGCAACCGCTCTGAAGACCAACGAGCCCGGTGTGGTCTACGTCGCATTCAAGAAGCTGGGAGGCGAGCAGTCTTTCCCGACGACGACCTTCTCCAATGTCCTCAAGTTCACCAGCAAGGAAATCGACCCGACAACAGGCGAAGCCGAAGAAAGTGGTTACGACGACGAATACGAAGTTGAGAATCTGGAGCTGACTGGTGCGGACTTTGTCTTGCCCGCCTTTGCCGGAAGTTTCGACCACATCTGGGAGGGGACTGGCGCCAATGGCGAAGAAGCAAGTGAGACGTTACAACTCTCAGCTATCAAGAGCATAGCAGGTAAGTTCGATGTGAATGCCTTTATCTCACGGGCCCAGAAAACCCACTTACTGACCTCTCAATCACAGAAGCGACGGAACAGCTCGCCCAAAGTCTCGGCCTGCAGCCTTTGGAAGGCACGGACATGGCACTATCAAATACGACACATACACTCAAGCTGTACGGGAAGTCTGTCACGGGCGGACGAGTCGCGGCGCTCGTGAAGATGGCATACTCGGCCAAATCGGGCGTCACGGTCAAGGTTTCTGTTCGGACGGATGAAGAAGGGTTGGCGCCATCCGTCATCTCCGTTTTGTTGTAAATTGGAAGGTCGAATAGAGAGCCTCGTGAAGCGAGTGAGCATTGTATGTCATGCGGTGGCAGGAATGGCCAAAGGGCCCAGAGCTGATGGAGAGGAAGTGCCCAACCTTGACTGTCTTCACATGCCGCTTATGGCCAGGAAGATATGTCGTACAATCAAGGGAATAGCGAACGGGATGAATCTGAATTGAGCTAAAATGGTCTTGGACCGGATTGATTGATTTCAATGAATACACATTATCGGAGAAGGAGTGTAACAAAGCAGCAGTCTTCGAGTGATATCTTGCTACTAGTACAGGGTGTGCGGCGGTGGGACAGCGCAGAGACCAGTCAACTGATCTGACGAGCTAATAACTCTACATGGCCATGTCGTGTCTACCTTGGATGTCCTGGCTATATAGATTGAGTAAGGGACTGGCCATTGTGGCTCTCCCTGAGATCGTGTAACATCTCCGGTTTTCGTAGAGGGACATCCAGGGATCGATGGTACCATCTGCACGGATTACCGGAGGGCGATTTTGGTTCCTAGTCCAGGCCTCCCTTCCCATGGCAATGCTTTGGAGGGATTTTGAATCTTTCGTATGGAAAGGCCCAGTACGCTCAATTCATCCACCTGTCAAAGTGTAGAGTCTGCATCGACATTTGCCCTGGCCAGCCCATCGTAACGCAGGCTAGCATTTCCTCCTCACAAAGTCGAGCTGGGACAAGTATCGAAAGGGACCATCTGCAGCAGAACTGCAGCTTATGAAGGCCCAAATTCGCTGCCGAGATCCTTTCATCGTTACGGAAATATGCTCAGGCGTTCCGAACGTCCAGCTTTGATGGCATCGGTCAGCAGAGATCGTCGTCAACTTCTGGCCGTCAGCCCTTGCAGTGGTCAGCCCCGGTCCATCTTCGACTTTTGGATCTAAGTTTCAACATTGAGCATCGCAAGTTCTGGAGATGTGATCGAGCTTGCCGCTCCGGAAGAGCATTCAAGGCAGAGGAACAAGGGCCGGATGAGCCAGACGACGAGACCAGATGTCTTTTGTATTTGATCAACGTAAGGACGAGCTCACGCCCTGTTCTTCCCCCTCCCCTTTTTCGCACTGGTCGGTACGGCGGACGCTTCTGAGCCAGTCGCGAAAGAGGGAACTGCAGGAGTGGCTTCCGTGCCGTTCACAGTCAACGGTGTCGACGCGGCACGACTGCTGTTCTTCTTATCCAGGGACTCCTTCTCGGCCATGCCCAAAACCTCGATATTGTCAGCTAGCCAAGCCTGAAACTCTTTCTTCTGGAGATAGCCGTGCGTATTGAACCACTGCGTGAACGAGCCTTCGATCTCCTTGTCTTCCCATTTCTTGCCCGAGGGCGCCTCGTACGTGACTTTGAGTTTATATATCGGCTTGTATTTCTGCGTCGAGGATTTGAGGGTCAACTGTACGAAAACCCCGCGGTCAGCTATACAGAAACTTTCTTTCTTCCTTCCTCTTGGATCATATGAAGGTAGACGACATCCACCGACATCGATTCTCAGTGTCAAATTACGGGGAATGCTAACCTTCTGACCACCTTCTCTGGTCCCCACGAACACCGTGCCCGCTTCCACGGCCCAGATCCAGTACGTCAACGCGCCATTCAGGACGAAATATGCAATGCACGCCGGGCCCGTGTATGCTTTTGTCGCGTCCCAGCCGAGCTTGTAGTCCGCGTAGAACAAAACACCCGCGATGATGACGGCGGCGTACCCGAGTACCAGGCGCACGTTGGTAGCGTAGTGTTGTTGTTTGAAGGTATACGGTTTCGGCAGCGTCGTCAGGTAGGGGGTCAGGGCATCGTCGGTTGCATTTTTCAATTCTGCCAACAGCATTCGCACGATTAGTATGAGATTGAGATTGCCGTGGAAGTCTATCATTCATTGAAGGCCTTTGGGGGCGAGTGTTGCGTACCGTTGCTCGAATACAGCGAGACTTTCGGGGGAGGGGAGGACATTTCGCCAGCGTGTCGTATCTAGAGTGTTTGCACAGGAAGGCTGTGCTTGGAGAGAGGTCTAGATCACTGGCGTATCATGTCTCCGTGATGTCTGTGTTGTGTTTAAAGGTCAAGACGGCTGGACTTTTAGGTGAGCTTTATTGTAACTGCGCTGGTGGCAGTGGACAGTGGACAGTGGAAGGTGGACACGATGTTCGTGTTTCGGGTCGCCGCTTGAACTTCCAGTCCTGTAGAATCTGGGGTAATTTCTTGGCCTCGATGTACTATCACAACTTGAAGCGTTATGACAGGTTACAGCGACTAGTATCTACGACATATCTATTCCAATAATAAAACATTTGCTACGGCCTTGGAGCAGATCCCATAGATAACGGATCAAGGACTATGACTACCTGTATTCGAAGCATTCCAAGAAAAGGAGGCTCGACGATGAGGCTGAGGCCCATCACGTGACTCAAAAGCAGCGACATATGACTAAGCAGATCTCCCCCTCGGGGTCGAGGTCCATCTTGTGCATCGAGCCTTCTTCTATCAACGCCAGTCTTCCTAAATACACGGTCAACAACGCCTGTAAGAAAGGATGCAGGCTCTATCTACCTACCTAACGAGCTACCACGCTCTATGCTCATCTATACTCGTACCATGTGTGATCCGCAGACAGGTATGTGGCACTACTGAAGGAGGAGATGCAGGGCAGATCTGTGCTTTCAGCACAAGCATTTACCCATCCAATGCATACCGTACGCAGTGCGAGATGCCAATGGCTGAAATTCTTTTACCCTCTTGACAAAAGCTTATCCCAGCTTGGCTCGAGTACAGTTTGTCCGAACCTACCTAGGGATATGAGTGAGTTCACCTATGTACGATATATTCTGTATGAACTCACCATGCGCGCTGTCACCCCACGAGGAGTCCTTGAAGACAGAGGAAGCAAGCTATCCCTGCCAATAAACTACAAGCTTGATGATGCAAATTTAGCGTCCATGACTCTTTGCTCAAAACACACATTGTACCAATCATCACGAGGAGTTCTGGTATGACAATCTTGTTCGATGCTGAGTTTTAGATCTACGGCAATGTGGATGCAAGACCACACGGCACGGCAGCTCTTTCATCGCAAAGGAAAGGTCAAAATCAGGCAACCCAGCGAGAGCTAAGGTACGTCTCATTTGATCGCGAAGACATGCCCAAAGCCTTGTCCTTTTGCCGTGAGCCGTGGTCAGATAACTACGTCCGGACAGGACGATTTCTGATTGGAAGATGCGGGGGTCCTGGGTTGTCGCCATTGATGGCGTGCTCGGTCGAACCACGAGAAAAAAGACAGTTATGAGGACAATGATAAAGTCAACAGTCCCGTGGATACGGAACTCCCTGACTATTCCCTTCGGATGGACTTGACGAGATATCGAGTGAGCACTGCGACCACAACACCTCATCATGGGGAAGGAAGAAACCGAGGGATATGTCTCCCAAACTGTCGCGCCAGATGCTGGCCTAACACCGGCAGTCACATCGCCGGTCGAGGCGTCCATCACGGAGAAGGGTGATGCGGCGCTGGAAATCCTCCGTGCAAGCGGTGGATTGCAGCAACCTCTGGATCGCGAGCGCTCCAGACGCCTTCTCCGCCGAATCGACTATCATGTCATGCCCTTGATCTGCTTGGTTTACTTCCTACAGTACCTCGACAAGATCGCCATCTCCTATGCGAGCGTGACAGGTCTCAAGCAGAGTGCGCACCTGGAAGGCAATCAATTCAACTGGGTCGCCTCTATCTTCTTCTTTGGTCAGCTGGCGTTCGAATTCCCTACCATCAGGCTTCTCCAAGTCTTCCCTCTGGCCAAATATGTCAGCGTGAATGTGACCATCTGGGGAATCGTTCTCGCGTCATTCTCGGCTTGCAAAAGCTACGGCAGCCTCCTGGCATGTCGCTTCCTGTTGGGCATGGCAGAAGCCGCCATTGTACCAGCCTGGGTCGTGTTCACCAGTCAATGGTATCGCAAGGAGGAGCAAGCATTCCGAGTTGGCATCTGGTTCAGCTTCTGTGGTTGGGCGCAGCTGCTGGGCGGTTGTTTCGCATACGGCGTTGCTACCCACGTGGGTGGAGACGTGCATGCCTCCTTGAAGGGTTGGCAGGTCATCTTCTTGGTCCTCGGGCTTTTCACGGTCGTGGTCGGCATCTTATTCTGGTTTCTGTTGCCAGATTCCCCGGCAGCCGCCCGCTTTCTATCCCCGGAAGAAAAGATTGAACACATTGAGCGCCTTCGAAGCAACGAGCAAGGCATCGGCAGCCAAACATTCAAATGGGATCAGTTCAGAGAAGCCTTTACCGACATTAATACCTGGCTGTACGCGTTTTGGATTTTCGCGGCAAACATCCCCAACAGCATAGCAACCAGCTTCGGAAACGTCCTCGTCACAGGCCTAGGGTATACCGCCACGCAGTCTCTTCTGCTGGTGACGCCCCTGGGGGCATATGAGATTGTGGTGCTTGTGGGAGTGACCTACATTGCCATGAAGACTCAGCAACGTCTCTACTGCTGTATCGCCACCCACATTCCTTCTTTTGTCGGCGCGATCCTCATGGCTGCGACCAACAAGGCAGCGGCCCTAGTTGGGTATTATCTCAGTGGTGGCATTCCCATCGGCTGGACCACGATTCTCGGTCTGCAGGCCAGCAATGTGGCCGGGTCGACCAAGAAGATCACCGTGACTGCGATCGGGACCATTGCCTATACTGTCGGCAACATCATCTCGCCTCAGACTTTCCAAGCCCGCGATGCGCCTCGATATCTACCCGCCAAGATCTCCATCGTCATTCTCTACTTCTTGATCACGGTGGATCTGTGGCTGATCCGTCTCGTGTACGTCTATCGAAACAAGAAGCGGGATGCTGAGAAGGCCGAGAGAGGGCCGGATTTCGTGTTGGAGAAGAATCACGAATTCCTCGACTTGACTGACATCCAGAACACGGAATTCAGATATTCTGTATAGATGGGAGTGTTGACCACTGAGATTGGGTTGTCGCGGGAGAGTATTAGAAGTGAAGGGTAATACTAATACATACATACGTATATCAGGTGTCAAGTTTCATAATCTTTCCATCTTTCAGAGCCGGGAATAATCCATTCTTCAGCAGATGTTGTCATGCTCAAACACGGCGGACGAAATTCAGTGAGCATCTCTACATTCCATCAGGCAGAAGGACGATACTATAGGATAACTCTATGGCGATTAGGCTACCAATGTAGTACTCCTGCCTTTGACGCCTACATTGAATACCTTTTCAGAAGTGCTATCTACCTTGATAGATATCAGGTAGGTCCCTGTCTCACCAACAGGAACCCTCTGGCGCCCGTCTCTTCGAGCTGAGGAATGAGGACGAGGAGCTTCGATTTACCACACCTTGGCACTGTGGAGAGACAACCTATGATTGCGTGTAGCCATGAGATGATGTGCTTTGGAGCCAAAATGAGGTGCTCAGAGACTAAGACACCAGACGTCCATCCAAGAAACGACTAAGGGGATAAGGTGTGGATAGCCCCTGAAATGACCCCGTATTAATGGCCCAATACGGCATAATGTTGTGAAATATGGGGCCCCAAATCCTACCAAGGCACTAACAGATGAGAACCATGTCTACACGTTCTGGGCAGGGGGATGATAGGCATCGATTGGCCTGCACAGCCAGACTGACGGTTTTGAGTTGATGGATATGTAAGATGGACTGGAGAGTAGCCTGGTCGGGCGACAAGCCCTGGAGGAGGTCCCAAGAAACCAAGCAGGACCGCACATTGTCAGGCACTGGGACAATATCCCTGTAGCGCAAGGCTGTGCCTGAATGCCTTTTTTCATTTTATCTAGACAAAGTCTCATCTGAAGAGATATCCAGATCTCCAAGTGAAGTCAATAAGAGTATGGCGGACACGGAGACAGGGTCGTCGAGGCCGAAGCAATGGGTCTTCAATGCCTTTACGATGAACACGCCTGGACATTTGGCCCCAGGTAGGGCTAGAGGACCCCATCAACCACGAGAGCACGCGTATTGACATCCTCAGGCTTATGGAGGCATCCAAGGAATCGGACGTCTCAGCATAACGATATCGAGTACTGGACGGACTTTGCAAAGACCCTGGAGGCTGGGAAGTTTCATGGCCTTTTCATTGCCGACGTGCTTGGTCAATATGACGTGTACAAAGGACCGGGCAATGGCGAACCTGGACTTCCTGGAGCTGCTCAGTTTCCCATCTCTGACCCCTTGTGAGAACTCGGATCTGGTTAAAGGGCAATATTACAATCACTAACCGGGCGAGCCCAGTATGCCCATTTCAGCCATGGCAGCCGTGACCAAGCATCTGACATTCGGGGTGACCGCGTCGACCACCTATGAAGCTCCTTATCTTCTGGCCAGACGGTTTGCAACGCTAGACCATCTGACCAAAGGCCGCATTGCGTGGAACGTGGTCACCAGCCATCTGCAAGCGGCAGCGGAGAATCTCGGCCTCATAGACCAAATCCCCCATGATGAACGCTACCAGATGGCCGACGAGTACATGACCGTCGCGTACAAGCTCTGGGAATCCACCTGGCGAGACGACGCCGTGGTCAGAGACGTCAACACCAAGCAATACACCGTCCCAGGTCGTGTACGCAAGATCCATCATGAAGGGTATGTGAGCATGCATACACATGCATATTCAAAAAGCATTCCCCAACATCGCTGTCTCCTCTGCAACAAGAGGAGTTTGAGTCTAGCTGGAGAACATTACTGATCTAACCTTTTTGTTTCTAGAAAGTATTTCAGGTCCGCCGGGCCTCTCGGAGTCAACCCGTCGCCGCAGCGGACGCCGTATCTGTTTCAAGCCGGGACGAGTTCGGCGGGAAAAGCGTTTGCGACGAAACACGCCGAGTGTATGTTCCTGCCCGGGATGACGACGGACTCGGTGCGCAAGTCGGTGCAAGACATCCGCAAACAGGCGGTCGAGCAAGGCCGCGACCCGTCCACGATCAAGCTGATCGTCGGTGTGCTGATCATCGTGGACGAGACGGACGAGAAAGCCCAGGCCAAGTACGAAGAGTACTTGACGTACGCGGACATGGAGGGGTCGATGACGCTGTTCGGCGGCTGGACGGGGACCGATCTGTCCAAGTTCGACGACGACGAGGACTTCCAGTTCTCCGGGCCCGGCTCGATCCAGAGCATGGTGAGTTCCTGGTCGGCCACCATCCCCGGCACCAATGGCGTCAAGTGGACCAAGAAGCGAGTCGCGCAGGAGCTGGCCATTGGAGGCGCTCATCCTCGAGCCATCGGCTCGCCCAAGACCGTCGCCGACATTCTGCAGCGGTGGGTCGACGAAACGGGCATCGATGGCTTCAATGTCTCGTACGCCGTCAACCCGGGCGACTTTGAAGATATCATCCAATATCTCCTGCCTGAGTTGAGAGCCAGAGGTGTCTTCTGGGACGACTATGCCGCGTCGACGGCGAGGGAGAATTACCTGCAGGACGGTCGTGGGCCGAGATTGAGAGAGGACCACCCCGGTTCCGAGTACAAGTGGCCGGCAGAGTGAGGCTGTGTCTGGCTCTGGACATGACCTTGCCAGTATGCTATTGTATGCAATCGATTCGAGGGAAACGCTGCATGATCGTCCGTAGGCAGCAAACAGTCCAAGATGAAGTAGACATCAGCACACGAGTCCTGTTGCTAAATCATCGTATTGCTGGATGGGGTGAGAAGGGCCCAGGGCTCGATCCCAGACTCGCGCTCACAGAATGTAACCTCCGTTTGATACGCCGTCCGCATTTGAACCCTATAGGTGGGTAGACAGACACCCAGGCAGTCTGGAAGAGGTGTGGTTCGAGAAGCAGAGAGACCTCCTGTAAGCCTTGTTTGCTGTTCAATCAGTACCAAATGGTCAGTCACCGGGCACTGCAGGCGATCGATCATCTATCATGTCATCGAGACCTGTCGATCAGACCATGTCATTACTCGGTGTTGTGAAGCTATTATCGTCCTGTAATCATTACAGCCTCGCCGGCATGTTAAAGTGGCATGCGCCATCACAGCCCCTGACGCCACAGCCTTGCGGCATTTCTGTTGCCAATCAGCTGAGCCGAGCCTCGTCAACAATACGACAATTTCGATACGCGCAAAGTATGCATAATAAGACTAAGTACCTCGATGCCTCTTTGTGGCTATTCTATGCGCAAATGCGCATCGGAGCTGCCCATAAGATGCAGCTGACACAGTATACATACAGTGCTGGCATCTGTTGTCCTCGAGCACAATTCGCCGAAACGAGCGCGAACATGAGGGCGCAAAAGATGAGGCATTTATTAAGGCGTTACATTTTCCAATGAGCCACTGAGATCAACTAGCTTTCACAATCATGTTCGTACTTCCTTCCGTATTCTACGTCCCATAGTTCCACGTCTCATGTGTAGGTTTCAGGTCACATCGTGTATACCACCCATAGGCGTCTTCTCCTGGAAGCCGAGTTTTATTCTCCGAGCCTTGCCCGGGGAAAGCCCGCTCTCGCCGGCTCATTAACTGCCTCAAGAGCATTGGCATGTCCTCTGATCGCCGGGCTTCCTTCGGAAGACGTCATTTCATCCACGACGGTGATATCCAGCTCTATCATTGACGTTTTACAACAGAATATCACCGGCGGGTAGTAGAGGAAGACAATGGAATGAACCATCGAAGTGACTTATCTGCGGCGCTGCCGGCGTCACACTGGAGTACAGAGTACCGGGTACGAGGTAGTGAATACATGTTAGTTGTTCCAGATCTGACATTTATTCTGTCTGTCTTCATCGATGAAACCGTCGTTATATGTCTATTCCGGCCGTAAGTCGGTCGAAGTCCCTCTTCGTTCTAGATGCCGGCCTCCTCCACCGGCGACAGTCTAAAGTGATTTCTAGTTTTCTTTTATTTTTTTCTCGGCTCGTCCTGAACCGCGGTGGCTGTTCTAGATCGGGGGTTTCTCTTGGAAGAGATCCCCGGATCTCGGGCATCCATCTTACGATCAGGGTATCGATCTTATGATCACCACGAGGCCGTCCGTCCCGCCATCCTTGGACCCCGATCTCGAGTCCGAATCTTCAGGGATTTGTGTCGTGTGTGCTTCCTCCTGGGTACACGGCACACTACTCAGCCACTGAAAAAGTGGCAGATCCTGCTCCCGGCACGGCCGTCGCCAGGGCGACATTAGTTGCTCTCGGGTAAATGGACGAGTAGAGCATTGTCATGACTCGATTTGACATGTGTTCCTACTCAACATACACTGGCAAAAAGAGCTTCAGTAAAAGAGAGACGAGACGCATGTCTCCCGGTACAGGTTTTGTTCGTTGAATCTTGAATCAAGGGGAAAAAGCCGCTAGCGATCAGAGGTACACTTCCTGTGGTTGTGATTGTGGTTGGGACTGTGGTTGTGACTGTAGGGCGGGCTCCAGGGCTGTGTATCTCTCCCACATGTGCGCTTCGGCTTCTTTGAAGTCGATCGTTCTCGAAAGACGCCCGCAGTCGGCTATGTCTTGTTCCTGGTGCTTGGGGATACAGTCCTCGTCGTGATCGCCGCAGTAGGTCTCGCCATCGCTGCTCCAACCGCCGTCGTTGCGGTCATCTATGTCTCCATCGTCGCTACTTCCGTCGTAGGTAGAGTCCTCTTCGTCGTCGGAGAAGGGGTCAACCTCTTTGGCGTTATTGGCGTCAACGTCATCCAAATCTACTTCTGTGACCACCACCGCGCTCGGTTTCGTGGGTACTGGCTGCAGCACGCCATTTTCCTCCACGGCCGGGAGCGCCAGGGATTCATCAGAGTAGGTTTCTTCTCCGCTGAACAGTTGCTGCTGCTCCTGCTGCGGCTGGCCTTGCTCAATGGGAGCCTGAAGTGCATCCAGATCCATACAATCGTCTGTTTGTGATGCAAAAGTGTTGTCCGCCAACGCTGCCGTCGCCGAGCTCTGGTCGGTGGCGTCCACACAGTGACTTGCGTGAGTCCATACCGCGACGTCGCCAATAACTTTGCGCAGGTCGGGTTCGATCAGCTCATATTCTCGTTGTAGCTTCCATGACGCCAGCCAGGTCAGCCGATACGCCTCGTGTTCGAGCGACTCCGGTTCAATGTCGCTCTCCCACGGCTGGTGGGCAAATGCTGCGTCTTCAGGGATTGGTGTCTCTGAGCGTTCAATGGTATCGGGGTTGATGACAGATAGCATGAAGCAGTCTTAGGTCGATCAGGAAAAGGGAAGGGGAAAGCAATGTATGGTCAGTAGGTTTGACCGGAGAATCAGTGTTGACGTGATGTAAGATATACTAAGAAAGCAATCGTCCTAAGGTTCTTGTCGTTGATGGTTGTTTGAGTGTTTGTATGTTTTTTAGGGTTTCTTACCTCCGGAGGGGAACCGGCCGGGAGTAACAGAGGTAGACGGGGAGATGAAATACCTAGTGGAAAGCGGTCCATGTGCTTCTGGGCAGTTCACTGCAGCTCGAGGCCTCTCAGGCCAGGCTCATACGATGACCTCGCGAGGATGTGCGTGCCGAGTTTAGTGCTGGGAATGGTCAGGGCACCAGTACCACTGCCACTGCCACTGCACTGCCAGGTACTACCAGGTACTACCTCAGTCAGTAGGTACCGATAGTAGTAGGCAGTACTAGTAGTACTGGTTAGGAGTTAGGACTCTGTGCTGAGTGGTATGGTCTCCCTCGCCTAACGAGGCCGCCTTTTCCGTATCAGACAGTTGGTACCCTGCGTGTAACTCATGACCATCGACCAGGACCTACCTAGTACACTGTAGCCAGGCTCGAGCTCGAGCTCGATACGACCGCTTAGAATAGCAGCTAGATCCCTGTCGCTGAAGGTTAGTAAGGGATGTACCTAGTATGTAATGAACAGCCACATAACAAGGAGAAAAAGAAGCGAGAGCAGCTGTCAGAGATGAAGGTGGTGTGATGGCTGCCGGGTTTGGCCGAGCCACTTTCGTCCTCGACCTTTTATTGCCTGTGGTAGTGCCAGTGAACCTCGCTTGTCTCCTCGCGTCCAGATAAACAGGGGCTCTCAATCATTTAGTACGTACACCTCACCTAGTACATACTGTCCATATAATTGAGCGGGAATGTCCTCGAGCATCATATGCTGTGCTTTGGGGTCGAAGTCAGGACGACGCTGTGACAGTGGATATCAAAACCCCTGGCCTCGCATGTGCAAATAGGTGACAATAGTCGGCATAGCAAGCGAACATTCTCCATCAGTGGCTAAATACTGAGCCAATTGCTCTCGAGGACACAGCAGGGAATGTCCAATATACTTTGTAGAGAGTCATAATAGCCTCAGCCAGTATCCTTGTTAATTTGTGTAGGACATATTGAACTGGGCTTGATCTGGCGACGAAGCAGCGACGCAATGCCGGAGGTTGGTCTGAGGTGCCATGTCAACAGCCATCAGTCAGTCAATCATGCAGATTGCCGAATCCGAGATTCATGACTAATTAAAAAAACAGTCAGCCCGGGTCTATAGATCCAGCTTTCAGGCAAAACGAAGCGAGATGTGGGCAGGCCATCTATCAGTAATGTTGAGACTTGAAAGCTGGGGCTATCGCCTCGAGGAAATTATTGGAAACTAACAGACAATATAAGTCGAGACTATTAAACAATTAAACATTAATGGATTCAGCTGTATAGCGCTTGACATCTTCCTCCCAGCACTGTTGTAACTGCCAGCGCTTCCGATCGATATTGACACAATCCCTTTTTCCTTTCCAAAGGCAAAACAAACCCACGTATTATAGTGTACAGATGTTCTCCAGATCCCCCATCGGAGACCACATCAATTAAGGGGGGCCCGCTGCGGAGGGCGGAAGACTGTCAAAAGACTCAACCCCATGTGGTTTATAGGAAGGATCTCGTTTTAGAAGAGCCGAGCTTTATTAGACTTGCTCGTTTGCTGCCAACGTGCTAGACCCGGCGCTGGGCTTTCTGTGCACGAAGTGATGCGGCTCCCTGTTGACAGGAGTCCTGTAGGCCAGAAACGCGCTCACAAGCCACCAGACGCCGCTGAGGAAGGTGAAGGCCGAGACTGCTCTCCAGCATGGACGGTATGGTTCTCCATACTCGCTCCGCCAGCCGATCCAGTTCTCCTCAATGTCGAAATTCTCCATGGCACCGAAGCAGGAAAAGAAGGCGAACGAGAAGAATATGTTGAGGATGGCGCAGCACATCGGATAGAGGTCGAAGGTGAAGACAAGGGTGGCCGTGTACAGGAGTGCCAGGCTGGCGATGATTTCGGTCCAGATCAGACGCCCTCCTGGATACACCGGCGTGTCGTCGTAGTGTGAGAGGAGCCAGCTGACAATACCTAGAACAATCTGTGGAGAGACGAACTCGTCAGTATCATGGTCAGTCATTGCGAGAGCGCGGGGGGCCTCCATGCCCGTCATTGCCCAATCCGCCGGTGCTCTGCTCTCGCAGTCAACTGCAGAAGAGAATATCACAGTACTGAGCACGGGAGATGGAGAGGACAACTAGTACATGAGAGCTCCTCAGGTGGTGCTGCCTACCGCTGCAAACATGGCTTCAGATAGATAAAAGAATTTGGCGAGGTTGCGAACAACCTGGTCGCCAGGTCTGTGCCAGTTGTCAATCATTGTGGAGGTCGGCGCAGTAGACTGCAATGGCATGATTTGTTTTATTGAAGACGGTTGGTCTGTTTCGTTGATTTATTGGATGCTTGAGGTTGAAGCTCTCAGAGTCGATACTCATGGTGACTAGACAATAGGTCTTCTCGACCGAGCATGGAATTGTTGTTATATCTTTTCTCGTCTTAGAGATACCGTGACGGCCCCTACGAAGATGTTCCAGGAATTTCTGAATTTCTGAATTTCTGAATTTCTTCGTTCTGTTTCCATGGCACATGAAACCATCATATGTGGCACCAGGGTTGAGAATTGAGTTTCCATGACATGCCGGGGGCGCACGGTTCTTAGATACCAGGCCAGCGCCGAGGACATATCTCGGGCGCCTTGGATGACAATGCTAGCTCACGAATCGTTCTTTGCAATGACAATCTTTGTCATGCGATGATTGACAACGTTAATAGCGGCATGGTCTGGAGTTGGGCGGAGTTCTTCTTGACCCTCCTGACCTTCTTAGCCTCGCGCATCAGGAGATGTTTGCGTGATGCCAGGGCCTGGAAATCCATATCAGGTCTGGTCGGCGAGCTGTCCGGAACCGACAACCAATGGGTGCCCGACTCTGCAATCCATCAGGGAGACGACCCACCGCCTCCATGGTCTGGCTTTTCGAGGTACGTATGCGTCGAGAAATGACTAGGAATTGAAAGTCCGCATGTGCATTGTGCTGCAGTGCAGTGCAAGCTTTCGTCCCCAAATTGGCTTCTGTCATTTCATCGTCGACCTCGTCTACTAGCCAGCCGGGGGTCCGAGGGGTCCGAGAGAATTACCTAGTAACTAGGACCTGTGTAGTTGTTGTTGGACCCTGAAACGAGAGTCGCCTGAATCCACAGTCCCTTCTCAAGGTGGCTGGAAGGATCTGATTTGTTCAGTCTCCCTCATATCTTTTGTCTTTTTATGCTGGCCTGGCGTCATGCGTGCCGAGCTGGCCTACAAGGTACAAGGGCAGCGCGATGACCTCGAGTGGTTCTTTTGCTACATCGTCCTGAGATCTTGTTCATAGGATTTGTTACATCCTCTCGACTTACCCTGGATCCCCCATTGACACCTTGGTACCTTGACATGACTTGACATGCCATATAGGTATTGACATCAGCACATAAAGACGACACATGATCCCCGGTTTGAAGATCAATACAAGTCCCCCGACCTCGACGTTTCCTGTGATCAGCCCAAAATGCTATCAAGAGAAGGAAATCGTACCACGCGGAAGGTCGCCCACGGGCTTGACGAGGTTCTATCCCAAGCACCCGGCAAAGTATCTTCGTCAGGGATCAAGAGAAAAGGACAACGTACCCTCCGCGCATGTGATTTCTGCCGGCTGAAGAAAGCAAAGGTCGGTCTCTCTTCTTGACGGCTGATGTCGTTCGGTGTTGGGGGGGAGAACTCACATTAATATCAAACAGTGTGATGGGCAAAAGCCATGCAAAAAATGCCAGGGCTGCAAAACATCTTGTACTTACAGCCACCTTCGGAAAAGCTCCCGACCACAGTCTGTATTGGCGTAAGTTTATCACCTCTTCAACAGAGGTCGGTATTTAACTGTGTGCCCAGATATGCAGCAACGTTGGCACGGCAGCAAGCCACCTTGGTCGAATGCGTCGAGACTCTATACCGTCGCCTCAGGGTAGAAAATGAGTCTAGAGTCCTGGCATTGAGACCCGGGGGTGCTGAACCCAACGTGAACGATATAATGCTCTCCCTCGGCTTGGATCCTCTTGACTTGGCCGAATTCGATAGCGAAGATAGCATCAACAATTCCAAGTCGCAAGAATCGCCTTCTGCCTCCAGTTCGTCACCTACCATGACAGACACATCACCCGTGCAGGACCACGTGGAGCTGCAAGATACCCCAGGTTTCAGACAGGCTTCCATTTTTGCGTCTGACTCCAGTCGGCAGCAATCCGCTCAATCAGCCCGCACCATGGACCGAGGAGACGCTCCGTGGGCGAATGGGGCTCAGTATTGTGACACGCCGCTTCCCGATGATGACATGTTCGGGATGCCTTCATTCGCCGGCGACCTTACACCAAGGGCCCTGAACCCCTGGACATGCGCAACAACATACGACACAGCATCTTACCAGTACACCAATGACATGTTCGACAATCCTCTAGGCTGGAGCAATTGAAGGTTCATATTGCATCTTGGACAACATCATACTGCCACAATCATGGCTTTCGGGACGATTGTTTGAACCGCGACGGCTTGCTCAATCGAGTGAGCGGTGGATTGACTGCGCAGTCATCTAACCCTTACCGGCGAGAGTCTGCACTCTCTGCTCTCTGAAGCATTCTACTCTGCATCACCTTGAGAAACAAACCCGGCGAGTCGTCACGAAGCCGAGCACAGTCCGCGACTCGCGGCCCTGAGACGATGGAGCCAATATGAAGGCCCACGCAGATGGTCCAGGGCGAGCTGAACATATCTCTGGCGAGGTGTCCAACCGTGCCACTCCCGGATATCGTACGGATATCGTACGGATATCGTCCAGCAGATGGCTTTTCCGCGACTTCGGCCGACACTATGATACCAACAGCCCGAGATGGACGCTATCACCGGAACCCTGAAGGAAACAAAGGTACAAGAAGAGAAGAGAAGAGACACAGAGAGAAAGGGAGAGCAATAAGAAGGGAAACGAGGAAAAGAAGGAGCGAGAATGCTTCATATCGACACTAGTCCTCATTCATACTAGTGTGTGGAGTTATGTTCCAGTGGCCATCACGTGACTCTTTCATATCACGTGCGCCCTCTATTTATGCCAAAATCTATCTGCTGTAGTACCTAGGTATCTATCTACCTAGTATCACAGCTTCAAAGTCGAACACCTTCGTGCAACTTGATATTGCCGTAAGCACATTGACATATTGAGCAGAGCAGATCAGGCTCAGTTGATGAGCTGTTTTCGTGAGTTTCTCTACGAACCTTTCGTAGCATCATGATGCGCTCGTTGGCTCGTTCGCTCACTGCCTTGGTGTCGTCTGGATGAACTGAGCGATTGCATACGGTGTCATGACCTGACTCCGTAACCTTGTCTGGGTATCTGTTTCGTGAAGCTGGGTCGACTTTACAGTCTCCAAATCATGGGAAGAAACCCTCGGACGCTCACTTTGGTGTTTGCTTGCGCATCTCTTGTGGATATAAATCCCTTTGACTCATCGAGAAAGCAACTCCCAGGGATGATTGTGACTACTTCACATTATGACCTATCATCGCCTGCAGTCAGACGTTGATACAAGTGCTATGCGGTACACTTCGAGTGACAATGGACCCCAAGACCTGGGTGCAATCAGTGCTTGGAGATTGTGATATCTAGGTTTTCATATTTATATATACCCGCTGCCCATGCCATCCTCAAAGATTCTGATGAGACACACATCTGAAATAACTAACCTTCAAACACTCACACGCAAGGGACGCTGCTCAGGTATCTACACGGGCATCACGCAGGACATCCAACATCCTATCCACCTTCTCGAGTTAGAATCAGAATGGTGGAGATATACAGAATATACCCCTCTGCTTCGTCGTCTGAGGGGTATGATGACCATCTGGATCGCCGCGAGCGCCGCCGGCCCCGAGATCGACGAAGCAGACCACGCCTGGAAAGATACGAGCGGGCCCAACGACGCAGACGACCCTCAAGAAGTCCATCCGAATCTAGCTCCGGCCGTCATCCCCATGAAACACCTGCTTCAATCTCCCACGGCGTCTCCGGGTCAGAGCAAGACGGGCAAGACTCGGAACCACATGCCGAAGCGCTTGCCGGAGACCGCGCCGGAGATTCTACTTCGGACGTTCCTTCCGCCGCCGAACAGTCTGGAGAAGCCAGCGAAGAGCATGGGCGGCAGGATCCCCCAAGGACCAGAGACCATGATCGACTCCAAGCTTACCGTGATCGGCATCGCCGCCGTCGTCGACCGGTAAGATACCGGCCGAGAAGTGAAAGCTGCAGCACGTGCAGCTCCCAGAGTACATGTGATCGGGCGCGAGATCGACACGGGTTCCTGACACGCGGCGAATCGCCTTTTAGAATCCCGTCACGTCGTGGCGAGCCTTATGGAGACGTACTGCGCAGCGATAGAGAATCGGGGGAAAGTAGCCATGAAGACTACCATGAGGCACGACAAAGGGCTAGAGACAGACGCCGCGATGATAGGCTACGTCGACCCGGACGCCAAGTGGACCGCAGAATGCGACGCGACAGCTACAATACGTCCAGACGCTATGACGACCGTGACGGCTACGGGCAGAGATATGATCGCATTGACGTCTATGCACCGAGATACGGACACAGGTACGACGGTGGCGGGCCGGCAAGTGATTGGGGTCGGGGCTGGGAGGAGGGTCCTTGGGATTATCCCTTTCCCCGGAATGGGTATCAGGTTCGTCTCCCCTGATACAGGCAAGTAATACTGCAAGGTTGAGAATGCCGGGAGTCGATGAGGCACACTATGTCATACATGGGACGCGGTGATCCCTTGAAACAAGGTGACACAATTCCTATCTGAGATACTCAGCTTGAGGCAGGACAATATGTTTCAAGCTTACGAAGTCAAGCAAGGCTGTACGCGCAGGTTTCGACCGGAGGCGAGATAGCAGACATCGGCAGCACAACTTGAACAACGAATACAATATCAATATCATGACACGGACTTTGATAGCAATCAACTTACTTATGCGCCATCGACCTGCCATTGCTGGCCCATGCAAGTGGTAGCAAAAACAAAACTGCTCGAGCAATGTCCTCAATTTCGAATGTAGGAGTCTACCAGCCCTGTGCGATTGTTGAATGAGCTCCTTCTTGATGGTGATACCCAAGGACTCTATGACAGACCGACCAGCATGAACAGACTGAACACAACTTGGAAGAACCATCAATGCTTGCTTTGACTGCTGCCGCCCATAAAAAAAACCCCCCAGTCCACAACCTCTCCATCAAGCTGTATAAATCAATCGCCTTTGTGTCCTCCGCCGTCCCCATCTGTAAGTCCTCCAGAGGTCGATTCGCGGGTCATTCCACCCTTCGTCGAATCCCCTGTCACTGTCCCATTTACTGACAACCCATTGAATCTTCCTCCGCTGATGTCCTTCGTTGTATCCTTGATTCCATCCCTCGCATACCAGTCCTCCACTATCATCCATTGATGTCCTTCATTAACACCCCGTGGGTTCCTTCCCTCCAATATCCTCCGCGATGGTGCTAAGTATGCTTTCCTCCATCCGTTCCCTTTGGCATGAACAGTATCCATCAATGCAATAGACTCCATCTATCAGCTCCCACCCAATTGAAACCTAAGCAGGTAATCCGCCGAATGCATGCAGGTGAGATTCAGACACTTCTTTCCCTTGGTGCTGCAACCTTAGTCAGTGGCCCTGTCTTGCAGTTCTAAGCTTCACTGACGCCCTGAACAAGATGGTTCATGCAGGCTGGTTCAAGCGGTACTTCGCATATGCGATCCCACCGAATAACAAGGCAGATGCAAACAGAGGGTTGCGCACAGCAGCGACGACTGCACCGGCTGACAGACCCATGAAGCCGGCTGTCCAAGCCCAGTGTGGTTCCGGACTCGCTTCGGAGCTGGTGACGGTTGGTTTGATGTCGATGATCTCGACGTGCGCAGTGTGATTGGCGTCACTGACTTGGGCAGCGTCTTTGGTCTCCTCGTGCTCTTTGCCGCCAACGACTTCGATGTGTTTGGCAGCATCAACCTGTTCACCGTCTTTGGAGTCAAGAGTTCCACTCCCGTTAGTCTTCCCAACCTGCTTGCTCCCTGGAACTTGATCTTTCTCGACACTTGACAAGGGCTCGGAGTCAATCTCTTCGACATGAGCTTCAGTGTCACCCATATCTGACTCGATCTCTGGCATCGCATCCCACACGATTCCAAGGTCAAGCACCTTTGGAAGCTTCGGCGTGGTCTCGGAGATCAATGTTGATTCTTCCTCAGCAGCAGGCTCGACGACCATGGAGTCGAAGTCGAATAGCTCTCCGTCAGCCGTTTCTGGCATCAGATCGGAAGATTGTTCGTATGCAAAGTCGACTACTGAAACACCTGGTGCAGGTGCGTGCTGGTCATCGATATCTTCATGCGCCTCTGGCCCATCCTCTCTTGGGAAAAGGAATACATGGCCAAGATCATCATGTTCCTTGATATTGGCAGCGTGGAGTTCGGCGATCGAATTGTTTTCATCTCCTTCGGGGATGACTCCTGCCTCAACATTGGATGATTCAGTCAGTCTCTGGCAGCCAGCCTGCTTGTCTGAGTCGGGCACTTTGAAGTTTGGAGTCCCTTCGTTGCCATCCTCGCGAGGAAACAGGAAGACATGTGTGAGATCGGCGTGCTCCTTGACGTTTGCTGCGTGGATTTCGGTGGCGGTGTTGTTGCTTGACTCATGCTCCACTGGCTCACCCACTTTCTGATTTCTTGACTCGGTAGTTTCGATAGATGAAGTGCCTTTGGCGGCATCTGGTCCGTCCTCGCGAGGGAACAGGAAGACGTGTGTGAGATCGGCGTGCTCCTTAACGTTTGCTGCGTGAATTTCCATGGCGAGGTTGTTGCCTGGCTCTTCTGCGGTCGGTTTGACTTCAGGTTGATCCAAAGGATAGTCAAAGTCGAACTCAAACTCAAGCCCCTCGTCTGCAAAGTCCATCACATGTTGATGTGCGTCGACCATGTCAGGTTGCTCAATATTGTCGACACTGTCTTGGCCTGCACGACTGACACTGCGAGTGCTGTTGGTTCCAACATGCTCACACCCTTCAGCAGTAGAAAGCGCAGTCCAGTGTGCCACTGCAAGCTCGTCATTCTCAGAGATCTTGGACTCATTGTCATCGTCTGATTGTTCCTTTGTATTGGCTGTCATCTTGTCTGCATCAACTGCGATGATACAATCCTCAGTGCCCTGTGCCCTGTCGCCACCTCCAACGCTTGTGTTGGGGCTGCTGTGTAGTGTGGAAGCCTCTGAGATGGCTGAAAGCGATCGCGGGGATGAGGTTTCGGTGTCGGGTTTCTTGTGGAGGAATTCGAAATCTTCGTCGTCGTGCTTGAGGAGGATCTCTGCTGATGCTTCATCAAGGTCGTGAGAACGCTTGACCAGGGTACGCCATCTGGTGAGGACTTTGACCGCTTCGTCTGCTTGTTGGCGCTGGCAGGCCTTGCTGACGTGCTTCAGGTATCGTAGCAAGAGTCGCAAGTTGGTGATGTAGCATCGCTCTCCAGTCATGACCATGGGAGGCATTGCTGGCAGATTCTTCAGGTCACCGGGGAGATTGTGCACCGCGTCGACAATCTTGCCGCGCATGCTGTCAATGAAGGGGATTAGACATAGTTTGTCCAGTGCTGACATTGTCATAGGATCAGTGTAGGGTTCAAGTGGTCCTATCGCGTCAAAGACAGGGAAGGTCATGAGTTTCGCCATTGCTTTAGACGCCATAGATGGAATTGTTTCGTGGATGAGTTGATGATGATGGTGGAGGAGTTGAGGTGATCACGGTCTTTTATGATTGAGGGTAAAGGCTTTGTGTTTGAGAAGGATGAGACTTGGATAAGACTTGGATGAGACTTGTCTCAAAGGTGTGATGATGGGTGTGGATGTGAGTGGTATGGGTGATGGTAGGGGGGAAGGTTTAGCAGAACAACAAAGGGGTTTATGTAGGCAAATCGTCAACACTGCCTGCACAGAATCGCCAAGTATCGGTTGTGAATTCTGGACGCGTTTGATCGAGACGAAGGTAGTTGTATGTGAAGAGCGCAGGCTCCAACATTGGGATGAATGTAGTGAAGAGAAAGATCAGACAGAAAGCACATCTGCTGTGAATGGCTTGTATACTCACTGTCGCTGACGAACCAAATGAAGACGAGCTCAGGAGACGAAGGAAAACAGCTTAATGAATTGTGAACCAGGCACATCTGCTGGAAGACACCTTTCCGACCATCGAGACTCAAGCTGGTGGACCGTCCAGAGCTGATATTCCCCAAGTTTATCGGACATTGAGCGATATCACATACAGAGTGCGATGAGAACCCATGACCGTAAGAATCCATCAATACCACCGTAGTCTGCCGTATCCTCCACTGCAATTGTTGGCATCAGATGTGCCCATGCTGGCTCGATTGCGAACTCGTAGCTGAGAATCCGCGAGGCAGCCTGACTGAAGCCAGGGCCGTCTTTGTCTGAATCGCCATGCCTGTAGTAATTGTATCAGTGCTCATGTATAAAATGAAACCGGCACGGAGCAGATGAGACTTACCGTGCATGAGACTTCAAGAGAATGGCAGTACATAATCAGCCGCCACCCCTGTTGACCACTCCCCAAGCATACGACCAGTCAATGAAAGTTGTTGTGGCCAGCAGGCTAAGAAGCACAGCACTTTCGAGTTTCCCCTGTGTTGAGTCGTAGATGAGAAGCGGCAGGACAATGCACCACCTCGAGTGTCTGGCAAAATCCGGGTATGGCACAAATAGAAGCAGGCAAAGGACGGTGTCAGAGAAAAGCTGGGGCCGCACCGCCAGAAGGAGAGCGGCTGCAGCAATCACAGCAATAATAACAGGCTTTGTTGGCAGTCTTCTCAAGTCATCCTCCGTGTCGCTGTACCCAGATCTGGTTTGATATGTTGGTATGGCAATCAATTTTCTTTGCAGGACTGGCGGATCCAAACTGGCTTCGATCAGGTCAGGGTTCGAAAAGTCGGAAAAGTTGTCTGGGATCAACGTCTCTTCCGGTTCGGTTTCTAGTGCGGTCATGTTGGCATAAGACCATGATGGCGCGTAGACTGTCCCTTGCCGATGCTCTGGCTCCATCTTTTGAATATCCCTGGACCTAGGAGCTGATATGGAGGTGTCGCTGGACTCCAAGTTGTGATCAAGCAGCCGCGTTGAAACTAGTATCCTCCAGAAGCGACAGGCCATAGAATGGTTTCAAACAGACAGAATTGGATGTCCCCTTTCCAAAGCCAAGACGACAGACTTGTGGGATAAATAGAAATCTCGTCATTATCAGTCACTGACAATGCGACAAACAGTCAGGCGGCATAGTTTGAAGGAAAAAGGAGGCATCGAATAGGCTACCGCTCAAACAACTAAACATAGTAAGCAGAACACGGCAAGCAGTGAATGTTGGGCAGCGTCGGATAAACACGGAACTTCGGGGCTGAAATCAGTGAAGTCTGTTTGGCAATAAAGAGAATTGTTTGTTGCGCTTTATGTACAACTTCTTGAGACCGCCTACATCTCTTCCGAGGCAGTAGCACCAGTAATAATCTCCACCAATTCACCCGTAATGACGGACTGTCGGGTTCTGTTGTATAGGATGGTGAATTTACCGATCATATCACCGGCGTTCTTGGAGGCGTTCTGCGGCACAAAATCAGCATTGTGAGGGGCTGCACGCTCAAAACAGATACTTACATCCATGGCATTTCGTCGAGCAGATTGTTCGCAAGCATGGCCTTCAGCAAGAGCCCAGTACAGTGCGTTGGCCAGGGTGAACTCGCGAAGGTTGGGCAGAACCTCGTCATCAATCTCGAAGGCAGCGTAGTTGGGGGATTGAGTGATGGCCTCCTCGGAGTATGCCTCCACTGTGACCGGCTCGTAGCTCTGGGCATTGACGAACTTGTTGTACAAAATGTGGATGCTCGCGTAGTCCTCAGGCAGCATCACCAACTGGTCCGCAATAGCCTGTGCGTCGGCAAACGTGGGGACGTCTTTGCCAACGCCTTGGAAGCTCAAGACCACATTTTTGGGGTTGGAACGACCAATCTGGGCTTTGCACTTTTCACCGATAACAGCGATATCCAGGTTCTCGTTCTTCTCGAGCATTCGTCGAGTAGCACGCGACAGACCGGAGTGAATACCACCGCAAAGACCTTTGTCGGAGCTTGCAACCACCAGCAGTGTCTTCTTCTCATCCAACGGCTTTGTCTCGGCCTCCTCGAAGACTTGGTTGGAGGTCTGACCGTAGGTTCTCGAATCGGTCATGGCTCTCTGGGCACGCGTAAGCTTCGTCGAGGCGACGATTTTCATGGTCTTGGTGATTTTTTCGATGTTGCGAATCGACTTCAAACGACCTGGCCTCCAGTTAGTGTGGTGTCAAGTGTTCCGAGATGGTTTATCGTACTCTCGATTTCTCGCAAGGTGGCATATCCAGCGACCTGGGGCACAGCCGTTCTGGAAGACAAGTTAGTGAGGATGGTCCGCACAGTGATAACCCGCAGTCAAGCTATTGGAAGGGATCAGAGGGGAGTGAGCTTACCTGGCGATGGCAGCATTGCCGGCGCTGAGGGCCGGTCTCACAGCTCGGGACAGCATCATGGCGAGCTTGGCTGACCGTACAGCTGTGAAGATGTGACAATGAGGGTTTGGACGAAACTGGAGAGGAGAGGAGAGTCGCTGTGCTCGGTGAAGCTGTGGTGCAACTCCCAAACGAGGTTCCGACGAAGCTCTGCCATTTCTACCACACTAGTCCAGATTAGGCTCTAGCGCATACCTCGTTTGTAAAAGAGGCAAGACTTTGGTTCTCCAATGGGACAAGACGAGAGAAAACAGAAGAACCCGCGCACTGCTCGATCGAGACCGTGACCGTGACCGCAGGCACACTACTAACTACTGCGACTAACTGACAAACAGACACAGACGGCAGACCTTGCACCAGTGCTTCACCTTGACCTGACTTGACTGTGAGGCTGTTGGTGGGCCGGCACACTCCTCGTTTCCCCCCCTTCAAAACCAGTGGTGACTGTCAACGGCTTCAACTCTCTTTTCTTTCTCTTTTTCTTTATCACTCTATCCTTCCGCTGCATTATCCGGACCTTCACCCCCGCTGTTAATAATTGTCCGCCTCTCGCCTCCTTTCCCCTTCACCCTTCACCACCTATTCCGCCCTTGACAAGACAAGTCAATATTTCGACACTTCGACGCGCCTTCGGGAGGTCACTTCAATCCCTCACCTCTTGGACACGTCTTCCGACATCCCGATTGTTGGTCTTGCAACCTTCCTCGCTGAGACCCAGTCCACCCGTACGCGATATCTCCTTTGTTACGCGCACAATGGCATCTTCAGACGATGATATGCCCCTCGCCGGGTCGAGAAAGTCGAATGGCACGAACGGGGGTAGGTCATTGATTCTCTGTCCCGGAGCTCGGTCTTCATATGGACTGAGCGTCTCATTGTATATTTCGTTTTACTAATCTATCTTTTCCCAGTCACCAAGTCTCTCTCCGATTCGAGGATACCCGCATCTGTCGACGCTGCGATGGACAAACAAATTCCCACGAACGGAGAGATCATGCCTGGCATATCGATGGCGAATGGTGATGTGAAGGTGGAAGACACGCCCATGCAAGACGCCGACAACAATCATCTCACAAACGGTTCCGCGAATGCCAAACGCAAGGTTCGAGACAGTCTCAGTCGACCAGACTATGCGGATGCCCAGAGTAGCGACGACGATGTACCACTGGTATGCCCTACTCCTGTCTAGGATGAAGAATATACAGGCTGATTGAGACGCAGAGTAAAAAGAGAAAGACGACGACAGCTCCTCCGGGTTCCGATTCCGACGATGCTCCTCTGCTGGCTAAGGCTAAAGCAAATGGCAAGACGGTCACCAAGCCACCACGCGCCAATGCAGCGCAGATAGGAGAGTCATCAGATTCTGATGTTCCTTTGGGTAAAAAGTTGGCCAAGCAGAAACAACAGATTGAAAAGGCCGCAGAGAAAGAAGCAAAGCAGATTCGCCAGGATGAGAAGAAAGAGGCCGCAAAATCCACCAAGAAAGCTCCTCCAGTTAAGAAGGTCAAGAAGGAGGAGTCGACTGACGACGACAAACCTCTGGCCAAGCGGGCTTCAGCAGCGACCAGCAAAAAGGCCAAGGCCGATTCTTCCACACCGGCTAGGAAGACAAAGCCAAATTCCAAAGCCGCCAAGAAGGAGGAAACTGCCGATCCGGAGGACGAAGATGACGAGGAGGAAGACATTAAGTGGTGGGAGGATCCTACCAAAGGCGACGGAACCAACAAATGGGAGACCCTGCAGCACAACGGCGTTGTCTTCCCACCGCCTTACCAACCACTTCCGGAGAACGTCAAAATGAAATATGATGGCGTGCCTGTCTCACTTCATCCTGATGCTGAGGAGGTTGCCGGTTTCTTTGGATCTATGCTCAATTCCACACACAACGTGGAGAATCCCACGTTTCAGAAGAACTTCTTCGCCGATTTCAAGGACATCTTGAAGAGGACCGGCGGAGCAACCGACAGCAGGACAGGCAAGAAAATCGAAATCAAGGAATTCCAAAAGTGCGATTTCCGGCCAATCTTCGAGCACTATGAAGCTGAGAGGGCAGCTAAAAAGGCAATGCCGGCGGCCGAAAAGAAAGCTCTCAAGGCTGCGAAAGATGCCGCCGAAGCTCCGTACATGTACTGCATTTGGGACGGCAAGAAACAGAAGGTGGGCAACTTCCGTGTCGAACCTCCTGGTCTGTTCCGCGGTCGGGGTGAGCATCCCAAGACCGGCAAGGTCAAGACGCGGGTAATGCCAGAACAAGTCACGTTGAACATCGGCAAAGAAGCCACTGTGCCTCCACCGCCTGAAGGGCACAAGTGGAAGGAGATCAAGCATGACAAGCAAGGGACGTGGCTGGCAATGTGGCAGGAGAACATCAACGGCAACTACAAGTACGTGATGCTCGCGGCGAATTCCGACATCAAAGGCCAGAGCGATTACAAGAAGTTCGAAAAGGCTCGGGAGTTGAAGAAGCATATCGACCGGATCCGCAAAGACTATCGAAAAGATCTGAAGTCCGACCTGATGGCGGATCGACAGAAAGCCACTGCCATGTATCTGATTGATCAATTCGCCCTGCGTGCCGGCAACGAGAAAGGGGAAGATGAAGCCGACACGGTTGGTTGTTGTTCGCTGAAGTACGAACATATTACGTTACGTGCTCCAAACACGGTGATCTTCGACTTCCTGGGTAAAGACAGCATTCGATTCCACGAGGAATTCGAAGTCGACCCCCAGGTCTTCAAGAACCTGAAAATCTTCAAGAAGCCCCCCAAGAAAGAAGGGGACGACATCTTCGATCGTTTGACCACGACGCAACTCAACAATCATCTCAAGAACTACATGCCCGGCTTGACGGCCAAGGTGTTCCGTACGTACAACGCGTCGTTCACCATGGCCAAACTGTTGAGTGAGATGAAATCCGAGGGCTCGATCCCCGAGAAGATCAAGGACTACAACGACGCCAACCGGAAAGTGGCGATTCTGTGCAACCACAAGCGCACTGTGGCTGCCACCCACGTCAACCAGATGGAGAAATTGGGTGATCGTCTCAAAGGCCTCAAGTACCAGCAATGGCGGCTCAAACAGATGATGCTCGACGTTGACCCCAAGATCAAGAAGAAGAAGGGCGCCGAGTATTTCGCCTTGCCGGATGACTTGGACGAGGCCTGGATCCAGGAGCATCAGGCATATTTGGTGGAAGAACAAAAGAACAAGATCATCAAGAAATTCGAGAAAGACAACGAGAAGCTGCAAGCCGAAGGGCAGAAGCCGATGAAGCAGAAAGAACTCGACGAGCGTCTGGAGGTCGTCAAGGAGCTCGAAAAGAAGTTCAAGAAGGAAAACAAGACCAAAAAGGTCGAGGCCGAAGGCAAATCTCCCACGATCGAAAAGCTGGAGGAGAACGTCAAGAAGTTCGATGCCAGAATCGCCACCATGTCCATCCAAGCGGAGGACAGAGAGAACAATAAAGAGGTGGCACTGGGGACGTCCAAGATCGTAAGTCTTTTGGGTCCAGTCGTTGTCGTAACCCCCCGATCACTACTAACTCCTGTCTACAGAACTACATCGACCCGCGCCTGACCGTGGTGTTCTGCAAGAAGTTCAACGTCCCCATTGAGAAGCTGTTCTCCAAGACCCTGCGCGAGAAGTTCGAATGGGCCATCAAGTCGGTTGACGAGCACTGGGCTTTCTAGATCCAGCCAATGTGGATGATCGATGCAATGGGCTCTATTCTGCAACACTCTGAGCTTTTGCTTGTCCACTGCTCTTCGAATATACGACAAACACACACACACACAGCCAGCTAGCTTGGTGGTTTTGGGTATGGCGAGTTCAGGACAGCACGCTTGGGCTTGGGCTTGCGTTTGAGTTTGTTCTTGCTTCCGCCTTCTTTGGATCGGAGTCGCATCTCTTCACCGAATGGAAGCCACTCCTTCATCGAGGAACCACGCACGGCATGCAGAGGGTCATTGTTCAACGGACAACACGCTCGGGGCGGGCAGATCTCAGAAACCAGGTTCCCAAAGGCTACTCCAGATCGAAGATCCACAGTGCTGCCCATTGCAACCTGACTAGCAAGCATATTGGAAAGAGCATACAACATAACATATCCATTCCTTTTTTGCATGACCAGTTCCTCACACAGCACTCATCATGGCAGACCAGAGACGGCACTACATGGCATGGCATAGAAATAGCGCTAGCATCAAGATCAACATTTCACATGGCCATGAGTCGCAGCCAAGCAATCAATAAATAGCATGATGTCAATCTCAAGATGTTTAATTACCTACTTTCCCTCCTAGATGAAGATCAGACAACGAGTCGGACCGGTCCGACTATGGGAGACCTTTCCAGGCCAGCGTCGGAAGGTGGCGTTCCTCAGTGTCTCATACTCCTCCTTATGATAGAGATGATCGTGCACATATGTTCCAAGTATTGGGTACACAAACGGAATACATGTATTATCTGTCCGTTCCAGGAACTAGGTACCTAAGTTACCACCGACGAGCCGACTTATGATGAAGCGCAGGGAATAAAAGTGGAACCCAGCAGTCTCCATCTAGTGACCTCCAGCCACGAGGCCGAGTCAGAATCATCAAGGTCTAGCAACCGACGCTCCCATAGCTCCTCAGAAGTTGTAGATGCCTTGGACAGGCATACCGACCAACCTCTCCTGGTCGTTGTTGTGCAGGAAACGCGGGTCCTTGGTACGGGTCTCGGCGCCCTTTGCGGCGTTTTCGACCTCGCTGAACTCGAATTTCTTCTCCGGCAACAGGTCGTAAATGGCTTTGGCGTAGCTTGGCTTGATGCAGTACTGCTGGCCCAGGTACAGGACCTGAATCTTGGGGTCCGAGACGTGTCCGAGCATGACGGCGGTGTTGCTGTGCAGGTGCTGTCGCTGGGTTTCGGTCATGACTTTCTCATACAGCGTACGTGGCTGGTCATACTCGGACAGATTGCCTTCGTGGTAGAAGTGTGATTTGCGCGAGACCACGGGATCAGACACCTTGTATGGGGCTGCTGCTGTGTCTGAGCGGAATTTGGACATGGGCGTGTACGAGTTGGGCGCATAGTCTGGGTTGCCGCCATGGTTGGCGTCGGTGCGCATCACACCGTCGAAGTTCAGGCTTGACATGGAGCCCGCCATGAAGGGGCAGTTGACTGCACAGAAAGGCAATGAGTACGTAGCATTACACAGTGAAGCAGAGGAAAGGTCGCCTTACCTGGGACCTGATGATAGTTGGTGCCGAGACGATGGAACTGTGCATCGCGGTAAAAGAACATGCGGAACTGCAGCAGCGGATCCGGGCTATCCTCGATCCCCGGAACCATGGCCCCTGGCGAAAAGCAGGCTTGATCCACGTCACGGTGATAGTTCTCGGGGTTCTTGTTGACATGGAGCTTGCCGAACTCTTGCATCTGGAGAGGAATGTCAGTAACAAGGTCGACGCAGTGCTGTCGACTCGGACCAACTTACGGGGAATTGATCTCGAGGCCAGACTTTGGTCACATCGAATGGGTCGAACCCGAGCTTCAAGGGGTCGGCGTCTTCCGGCTCCATCACCTGGACACAGGCTGTATAGGAGATTGGATCTTCACGCTCGATTGCCTGCCAGAGTTCCTGTTTCGAGTAGTCCGGGTTGATGCCGGACATTTCGACCGCTTCTTGACGGGTGAACTGCTTCTGGCCTTTGTCGGCGAGGAAGTGGTACTTGATGTACACGAATTCGCCTTCCTTGTTGACCCTATAGACAAGACAGGGTCAGTGGGCTGAATCTGCCATGGTGGAGATGTGATGTCCAAACCATTTGAAAGTGTGGCAGCCATAACCGTGATTGGAGTGCCAGCCATTGGGCGTTCCGTGATCACTAAAGAACATCATACCAGCGTGGTTCCTACAATGAAATCATCAGCCCCGGTTCTGTCTCAGGTGACCGGTTGGTTCGTAACATACGCTTCCGGTGTGTGAGCTAGCAGGTCGAACGTGGCATTGTAGTCAAGGAGGAAGTTGTCAGGTCTCCTGCCTTGGCTGCGAATCACATCAGGTCCCTGGATAGGATCACGGCAGAAGAAAACCGGCTGTAAGCGGTCAGTGAGCGGACACCCAGCCACCGAGTGAGCGGTTGCTCCAATAGTCACTGACGAAGTTCAAGCCAACAATGTCATAGTTGCCTTCCCCGGTGTAGAACTTGACGGCAAAGCCGCGCGGGTTTCTAGCAAGGTCTGGGAACTCTCGGCCCAGGGTGACGGTAGAGTAGCGGATGAAGATGGGGGTACGGACGCCCGAGCTTCGAAGGAAATGGGCCTGGGTGGTCAGCGAAGGCATCCATCATGGCTGCAGTGGTCTCACCCTGGTCAAATGTGACATGTCCTTTGTGGTTTCAAAGTAACCAAACGCACCGCTTCCGCCTGGTATGTAATGTTAGGTCGTCTCGGCGGCGAGGACGCAGGCCACTCACAGGGATGGACCATCCTCTCCAGCAGCTTGTGTCTGTTGAATGCCTGCTGCTTTTGGAACAAGAAGATATCCGAGGCGACGGGGATGCCGCCGACGGTCTTGCTGTGGGTTGGAGTTGGCCATGGGATGCCGTCGTTGTTGGTGTGATAGGGAGCATCATCTTCCTTCTTCCCGCCCGAAGTGACTCCCGAAATCTTCGCAGCCAACGTGGCCGGCCCGTCGTTCAGGCCTTGGAAGACGGTGGCGCGTTGGAGGGGTCTTGGATCTGCGCCTGCCGCCCCAGCAAGTTCCTGCATTGCTTGGATGGGATGTGCCATGATGAACAGAGTTCAGGTTGTTTGGCGTTCCTTCTACCGACAGGTCAAGAGCAATAGGACTGGGTGTGAGGCTCGACAAGGCTGGTCGAAGAGGAGCAGCTGAAAGATGAATGAGACAGACTTGACCATCAAAGGGACAAAAGAGGGGGGAGTTGGGATGGTTATAGTTCAGCAACCGGGCGGCCAGGACCAGTGTAGTTAGATGAGTGGGAAAGGCAGAGAGATGACCGGATGCGAACGAGCAGGTATGATTGTGACAAGGAGCGAAACGTCAGGCATTCGGTCGGTGGAGGACGCTGAAGAATTCGTGGTGACCGCAGGGAGTTAGAGAAGGAGGAGGAGGAGGAGGAGAGTCGCATGCAGGAGGGACAGCATCCACACGTCAGGAACAGTACTCCCTTGTGCTTTCAGCCATTCACGAGGTCAAGGAAGCAAGAGAGCAAGAGAGAACTAGAATGGCAATGGCAATGGACAGATGAGAAATGGAGAGCTGTGAGACGTGGAAAGCGCATGCAGTGCAGTGCTTTGATGCAGCGTGCCAGTGGGATGTTGAGCCGAAGAAAGGAGGCAGACTGTGTGTGATGCCTCCATTCGATGCTCATCTCATCTCTTCATCCCATCCTACCAGACCTGCATCAGCACTCCTCGGACTACTAGCATGATATTCCCATCGTCATCGTCTCCCGTCCTGGAAAACACACTCCCGAAGCTCTTCGATCTAGACGAGGCCATTTGGATCCAGGACACAGCACGCCGGAGGTCCATCCCGAGAGAGGTTAGAGCGTAGATGTAAGAAGCGCGAGAAGAGGAGAACGGCGACGAGGGAAATGTGCATCTGATCCTCAGTGAGAGTATCACATTGAATTATAGGTAGGAATCAGCATCCTAGAAATTGCCTGTAGACAATTGCAGTGACGGTTGGCAGGTGGCATGAGGCAGAGATGGACGCGGAGAGATGAGGTCAGGATTCCCTCCGCACCAATGAGAGAAGAACCAATATCACTGACCATCAACATCACTGTTGACTCTCTACTCTCTACTACTCTCTACTACCACTACTTGCTGCAAAACGGAAGTGAAATCCACAGGCTCTGATATGACAAGGTCATGTACTAGCAAGCAGGTCCTGGGACTGAATTGCAATGTCAACTATCTCTACTCCCTTTGGTATTCTATCCTTCCCTAGAGAGCACTGACAAATTTCGAACTCGAACTTGAACACTAGGCATCAGAGTCCAGCTGTGATGGTTACCTCCAGACCCAGACCCAGACCCAGACCCAGATCGAAGCCTCTATCACAATCAAGGCGGACATACGAGCCGCAGACACGAATCGTCATGGTCTGATGAGACCAAGAGGGGCAGATGCAGACCTCGCTACTCCTGCTACACCGATATCCGTTGTAAGGATCTTCAAGCTGGTCAACTATCAATCGTTTCTTACCCACTAGGATGACATGTCCGGTTCCAAACAGGATGATCCTCCATGGGTGCCTGAAGCTACTATGTACCTCAGGTAGGGAAAAACAATCCATCTCTGGAATGAGAATGAGAACGAGAATGAGAATGAGAATGAGAACGAGAATGAGAATGAGAACGAGAATGAGAATGAGAATGAGAATGAGAACCTCACACTGCAAGACAAACAGTCATTACAGCCCACCTGCACCTGGCAGAGGCCCCGTCTCCTCTCATTCAGTTACCTACCTACTAGGCACCTTATTTACCTGCTACCTGCTATCTGCGATCTCCCTCCACCTACCACCCTTACCAACTCTAGCAAGAGAGAACATCAATGATAACTTGCAAAAGCACCAGTGTACTAGTACCTGCATGCGACCTCGACCTCGCCCAATGCATGCATCACTTTGTTCAAGTCCTTCACATTCACATCTGCTCCCACTGCCACCTGCATTTCCACACTTACACCCGAACAGATAATACAGTCAATGCGAAAGGAGATTCGTGAGGGATCGTCGTCGATAGAAGAGTGGACAATGAATAGCCGGTCGTATTGTTGTTCCAACCCACTGGCACTTCGATCAAATCAATTGTAAGAACTTCTTGTTATGTGCAAAGAGATAAGGCCGTGACTGTGCGCGGGCACTGTGGTTATGGCTTGTCGTGCCTTGCCCGCTTCCTCCATCGTGTTCCCGTTTCTTGTCCTTTTCCGTTTCCCTCCACCCTGAGGTGTGACCTTCTTCTAGAATCCCTCAGCCTCCACCCTGACTGCTTGCCGAACCCCAGCAGTCTGTCCATCTTTCATATGGTGAGGCACTCGTGGACGACCTCCGACCCACAATCAGTCCCTAACCATGGTATCAAACATAAACCCGCGTGAACAGTTGCAAAGAAGCCCAAAACATTCGCCACCGGAAATGTCAATTTGTACAGACACCGGCGGAGATAAGCCACGTGTCCCAAAAACAAGCCGGTTCGAATTCTGAACTCCGTTGTCTGATTGCCGCAACATCCCCACCTCAGAGAGATGAGGGCGGCAGGGAGGTACATTCGTCAGTGCGACCGTGTGTGGCATAAACTGGCGTGAGCCTGTATCTCTCTGTGCGCTGAGTTGAACAAAGGAAAAGTCATCAAGGATTATCCCGGAAAACCAGCAAGCTTAAGGGAAGAGAAGAAACCCCTCGCCGTAGCCAAGTAGACAATGAATCCAGCCACAGCGTTCAAAGTCACAAACGCTTGCTAAAGTGGCAGACCTCCGCGAGAATGCAGGACAAAGGAAAAAGGAAGGGAAAGAAGGTCCATGTGGGAAACCGCAGTATCCAGCTCAGCCCAGGTCCGCTTCACCGTCATCCTCATCCTCTTCCTCGGCGCTCTCGCTGGCCACCTTGGACTTCTTCGCTGGCGTGTCATTGTCGGCATCCGTCGCCTTTCGCTTGGTGCCCGAGGACGTGTTTTCCGTCTTCTTCGTGGCGGGAGTACCATTCTCGCCGAGCGGGTTTTCCCCTTTTTCCAGCGCCGCAACTTCATCCGCGGTCAAGAAGCGGCCTCCAGGACCGCGGGGGCGACGCATCGCATGATTGTGTCGGGACTCGTGCAAGTAAGGTTTCCGCCCTTTGGAGGTTAGTCGGAGTTGTTCCTCTAGTTTTTGTCGAGCAACGCGTCGTTTTAAGATGCGATGGAACTGCTTTGCGTTGACGTAGAGAGGCGATTCCTCGGCCCCGCCCGCGACCAGCTCTTCTTGTGGCGCCTGCACGGGTTGCTGAGGAGGCATAGCAGGAGGGACAGATACCCTCGGCATGCTGTGATTTAATGCAGGCTGGGACACCTGACCGTGAGGGCTGGTGAGGTGTTGGCTCATCCGTCGCTGTTGGCCCATCTGGTTGGCTTGAGGCATGCCTACGCCAGAAGGCAATGGAGGCATTTGTCCTGTCGGATCCATTAGCTCGTGGCGAGAATCCATCGAGTATATTGACTCACCCGATGCGGCGGCCGTGGCCATCGCCGCGGCCTGAGTAGGCGAGATTCCATAACCTGGAGCCATTCCTGCGCCCACCCCATATTGTGGATATCCCATCGAGGAATGGACACCCCCGGCCGGCTGAGGTTGATAGTGATTTTGAGTTTGAGATGGCAGGATGGGAGAGGCTTGGTTGGGATTGTGTTGCTGCATATGTGATTGAGGCCCGGAAGGAGACTGGAGAGAACCGGGGCCAGCACTCTGCGGCGACGTCTGATAAGCGCCCTGCAGGTGTGGATGCTGATTGTGCTGTTGATATTGTGGAGGGTATTCCATCTTGACGGCGGACTCGAATATTAGACTTGATTCGGGTCAGGCTTCAATTGACGCGAGGCTACAGAGGAGAGAAGTTGGCGGCGCGTCAATGACTTGCTCAAGGTGGCTTCAGTTGTCGCGCGCGGGGAGGACGCGGGACTCCGGAGCCTAAGCTGGGAGGCGAGAGGTGGCGGAGATGTAAGGTGATGGCCACAACCGCGCTCTTGGAGGAGTGTTGTGCCTGGTGAACTGGCAGAAAGGCGCCTGAACTCTCTGATAGGAGGGTCTAGAGTACGGTAGGTTGGAGGCTGGTCCCTTGCGCGAGCAGCTAGCGCAGCTTTCGCGGGTCACTGGATCAGCGTCGAAACACCAATACTGACTCCGACCGTGGTGGAAGGCAGATTATGCGATTCAGACGCTGGAAGGACTGGAATGATTGATCAACTGTGGACTATATCGATGAGCACAGGTCAACAAATAAGGCGGGATCGTGCACAGCCAGCTTCTGCCAGGTTGTGGAGGCTGATTGAAGTCGCCTCAGATTGGGCTCCTTTGCAGGAAAACAAGCTGGGATTCTGCGGGTAGCGTAGTTGTTTGATGAGTTGTCAACTCTCGGGTCGCAAACAGCGTCAAGTGCAAATGTGCGTGTGTGGCGCGGGATGACGATGCCTGATCGGACGTCGCCCTGTTATTGTCCAGCTCCTGCCACAGGCTCTCTGCGATCGAAGGCCTTGCCGGTGTTTCGGGTTGTTGCTGTGACTCTTTCGAGAAGCTTGATGTGCGCGCGGTGCTGGATTGGATTGTTTTTCTGGAGTTGCGGCGATAAAACAAGAATGATTCGAGCGCGGGAAGGAGAGTCGCGATTCGATTGCTCAACTACGTAAAGCAGGGTGAATCAGTATTGGCCATGAGCAACAATAAAGGCGGTTATTGGAGGGGAAGGTCGAGTGGGAATGATTAAGTAGAAATCATTGGAGGCGCATGTACTGATGCGCTGGCACGTCATGCAACTCACCTGTTAGTCCGTCCCACACTGAAGGAGAAGCCGAGCTGGGATCTATCTATTCTTGTAGAGTGTGTTCCCTGGAGTTCCCGACGTTTATGCCCAAGAGGTGAAGCAACACTGGGATTCTGTGAGCTGTCGGCGGGGGTCACAAGTCGGTTTCGTGGGGTCGTTTCAGGGCTCAAATTGCTGCGACGACGGCGGCGCGGAGGAGATACAACCGACACGTGCTGAGTGCGGAGGAAGTCAACGCGACAACCTGTGCAATCAGATAGAATATGCGACAGCACGCGAAACTGGTGGTGATGTGCGGTGGTTGGCGGTACGGGCAATGGAGGTAGTCGGGAGTGGGTGGTGGTGGTTGTGGTGGGAGAACTGCGGGAGATGATGGGGTTGCGGTCGGAATACTCGGTTGGCGGCTGTAGCAGTGAATGATTGAGAATTGAGGGCGAGTGACGAGGGCTGGCAGCGGTGAGAGAGTTGCAGCGGGCGGGATGTTTGCCGCGTCGGATAATGTGCTCAGTGCAGAGCCGGTAGGGATGCAACGTGCAGTGAGCAAGGAATCTTGCTTGGGTTTGTGCCCTGGCAGTGCTGCGTGTTGGATGTTGCAACGTTTGCGCTGTTGCAGTTGCAGTCGGTGATGATGATGAGTAACCGCAGGCTACCAGGATGTTATTGTGCGGTCACCGGAGCTGAAGCGTTGAGGCGCTCGGAGGTGATGACTGGCGACGCGCCGCACAGTTTTTCGAAGCTCGCTTAGAATTTTCCGTTCGGCGTCGACGTCGACGTCGTCTGTATTCTTTGAACGCGACGAGGCTCGACAACACTGATGCGCCGGTGTTGTGAGTGGTCACGGTTGCCGTGTCTCAAGGAGGACGGTGATAGGTGGTGGTTGTTTACCAGAAGCGTGGATCTTGAGACGAGGCAGTCGAATCAAGTTGCAATGGCTGGGGAGAAGAAGGGATCTCAGAGGTGATTCGGCGGTGCGCAGCTATAGCCTCACAGTTGTCACAGACCCACGTGAGCGAGAGACAGCGTGAACAGGCCGAAAAGGTCACCGTCGATGCCTTGTCTGAGTGGATGAACAGGCTGAAGAAGACTGATGCGAATGCGAGGTGATTGGGCCAGAGAAGAAAAAGACGAAACGATGGGCGATTGGGCGGAGAGAGGAGGGATGGGAAGAAAGAAGCCTGAGGGGAGGAAATAAGAGGAAGGGAATGAATGAGACTGGACGCGGGCGGGCGCAGTCTGTCCATAGATCAGGCAGAAATCAGGCTGTGGATCCGTCGGTGGTGGGGGGAGAGAAAAGATCAGACAGGCTAATGACGGTGGGTTGTGCTTACCTAAGCCTGTGACAATACAGACACACTACTACCACACTACTTTATATTTTCGATCACGAGGATTGAGCCAATAGAGTAACTAGGCATGCTCAGTACGATCGACCTGCCATATATAGCTAATGCTATTTAAATCAGTACAGAGCTACTGTCAATCTGATACCGCTAGAACACAACAATCCGTCGGCCGCCAATAATAATGACGCCACCTGCTACTACTACTAGTACTACAGAGTTACAGTCCGCTCCTCCTCGCTTCGCTCGCTTCTCTTTGCCCGCTTCAGCGACTCCAACCTCCCGTCGGCCATGTTATGTTTACTTGTCTGCCCCTCGTGACCTGTGCTCGTCGCTATGCCTTGTTTTCGGCCGACTTGTTCAAGTTCCTCAATCTTGTTGCTCGCCTGGCGTGCCCATAAACGGTTACGACAATTAAATCATGGTATTTCTTATTTTGAGTCAACATTGCACCACAGCAGCAGAGTGCGATGCTGTGCACTGCAGTGATCTGTGGGTATGTCACAGTGTTGCCCACCTTCTTTCAGCTGCACTGCAGTTGCTGCCTGTCAGGTGGGGTCATGTGATAACTCATGTGACCTGCCTGCGCCTCCAAAGCCACCGCACCCGAATAACGTACTCCGCACCTCCATAGTACGAACCTCACCTTGGTCCTTTACCTCCGACCTCTCGAGAACTCCATCAATGCAGGTGCAAAGGACAGGCCGGCAGACTACGAAACCCTTCCATCAACTTACCGCGTCGCCAAAAGCAGTATCTCACTTGCAATTCACACCACACTGCGGTACATCCATGGGTAGTATGCGCGCAGCACTGCAGCCGGCGCTAACAAAAGCCCCCTGACCGTCCTTCCCTTCTTCCACGCCCGCCACAATACAATCTCTGCATCACTGCCCATCAGGGACACACTCCGACGCGGCAAAGTGACGGCTCGACTCGTGTTGGAACTGCATTACCAAGAGATGCGGTCAGGCTCGAAGAAGAAGTTCCCATAGCCTTCCCAGTTCCAAGTGTGGACGCAGTAGTAGAGAGGGATCTCAAGGCCTTGGAAAACCCTTGTACAACACTGATCCTAGGTAGCTTGCTAGGTACCTAGGTAGGTAGTACGTACTTGCTAACGTCCCAGGTTGTTCAGCGCATGTTTTTGCCTGCATGTGTTCCAGAGTCAGCCACAAGAAATCCTACATGCAGTTCCCATCCTTCGTGATTCTCTCTGAACTCGCCTGCTGTAGACCCACGTAATATACTGTAGAACAAGTACAACAACCAACAACCCACACGGTGAGCCAGATACCTGAAGGCATCCATAAGTACCTCACATTACATGAGTGATGATCGAGCCAATAGTCTCCGCCATCAACAAGGCGACTCGCTCAAGAGGAACGTCGCACCCCCTTATTGATGAAGCCTCGCTCGCGTGTTGAATCCTCCCTCCTGAGTTCTTAGTAACTAGTATGAGTACGCGCTGCCAGTCTGTCCATTTTTCTTTCTTCTCTTGGATTGTCCAATGAACAACGTGCCTGGCCTGTGCCTAAACACCCTGGTGCAGTGCTTGTGTATATTTTTCGTGGCTTGGAGAAATGTGATTTGGCCCATGGCTGCCTGATCTTTTGTTGATTCGTCCTAAAACAATATTTGAATTCCTCGGTGACGGTGATTACCTTAGGGCGGGAGACCATCGAAACGACTCGGACCCTATCACCAAGGATGGGCACGGTATCTAGGTACGTAGGTATGCACTGTTACGAAGGGGCGGTTCAAGGGCCCTCCAGGAACAAGACCTTGGGCGGTACCAATGGGTGACTCCCACCGTCCACTCTACTCGTGGTCATGTTGTCTGCTGGAGAGAGCCAGTCTGAAGGGAAGGATTTTCTCGTAATATATTTCCTGGTACAGTAGAGTACCTCATAAGAGGGACGCTATAGAACAAAGAATAGGTCGTGACTTTCATCCTGTCACCTGTGATAGCCGTAGCAAGCCACAAGGTATTGAATTTTCGTGACGAGGAGGGTAATCCTCCTCTTCTAACGGTCGTCATTCTTCATTAGGTAGCTGGAGCTGGAATGACCACAATCCCATGCCCACTCACTGAATGCCCACTCACTGAATGCCCACTCAGCCTCGTAAGATTGTGTTCGCGCGTGCGCTTATTGTACCGTCCGTCTATCATTAGCATTGGTTCATCCATCCATAGGTTGACTCGTCGATTACGGCTCATTCTTGGCCCCCGGGGGACTTCATTCCCTCATGTGTAGGAGTTTCGACACTCGGAAGAACGAACCTCTCCAGAATCTCGACTCATTCACTCAAGACAGCTCGCAGCATGGCCAGGAAGGGTTCTCGCAACTTCAAAATCTCCTGGACTTCAGGCTTGACGGGTTCGCCGGCCGTGCGGCGGAGTCGATCTTGCGCCTTTTTCCTTCGTCGTCGTTCAGCTTGGATTGGGTCCAGGTCGTCTTCGGCTTCCTCCTCGTCCGTATCGTCCTCGTCTTCTTCATCTGAGATCTGGAGATCCATGAGATCCGTCTGCGTCAAGGGGCCGTTAGCCTCATCGATCGGACGTCTCTTGACACCGTGAAAGAAAGGGGAGAAAGAACTTACCTCGTGCAACCCGAAGTCACTGCTCTTGAACGACGACATCCCCGGCATCCCTTCCCCAGAGTTGGTCCCTTCGGCGGCCATCTTCTGCCTCGTTTTGTCATTGTGCCATTTCTTCCGAGCCTCTTGCCACTTGATCAATGCGTTGATCTCTCGAATGCCTTGTTGCTTGTCGATCACGCCCATGTCCAGCCCTCCCTGGAAGATGGCATTCATGTCCAGTTTCCCTCCCTTCGGACCTTTCCTCAAGAAGTCCAGGATGCCTTCAATCCACCCCATCAAGGCAGTAAAGAGGCCGTCGTCATGGTTGTGAACCTCGTGAACAAATTTGTACAAGTTGTGCTCATGCCGGGCACACAGATCGATGAAGATCTGGACCGTCTGGTTGGGATCGGCCGACACATCCTGTCGCTGCGCGACCTCTACCGTCTTGATCAGGTCGTCGGCAAATTGGGCAAAGTCGGTGATGCTGCTGTATACATTGGCAGACTTATAGACCCGAATCAGCGGCTCGTAGAAGATGGTGAAGAGATCTCGGAATAGACGCAACGTCGTAGGCTCTTCGATCATCTGGGCCATCATGGTTTTGTCGCGCTGTCGAGTCATCAACTTGAGGAGCTGCTTGAGGTAAGAGAACGTCTCGGCTCCATGCTTAAGCTCTTCGTCGGGACTTTCCACTGCACTATTCCATGCGACCCAAGCATTGTACACCCGCTGGATCTGCGACGAACTCAAATCAGGCGGGAACTTTTCTGATCGCAAGATAGCAACCACAATGTCCACGTCCTCACTTTGAGCTTCCTGTCGCACCTGAGTCTTGGTCTCTTCGGAACTGTCGACAAATGCCTTGATCTTGCTTGTCAGGACGGGATCGCCAATCTTGGATACCAAGTCGTCGATAGTTCGCTGGAACTGTCGGATTCCATCCGCCAGGGTCAAGGAAAAGATCCGCTGTAACAGCGATCGCGCACCAAATGGCTGAGCCAAGAACAGGTCCAATACCCCTGACATAACCGCGGCAGGATTTGCTATGCGGATGACATTCTTCAGCATTGTGTACGGCACCAGGGAATGGATACGCCTCGCCTGTGCGAAGAGTTCAGGGGAATTGTCCTCGGCGAGGAACAGGTGATAGATGGTGGCGGCCACTTCGATCCTCAACCATTCGGCAAACTTCCGGTATTCAGGGCTGAGATCTTCGAGCTTGTCCTTGTTCCGGATCTCAGCAAACAACTTGGTCAGGCCGTTGCTCTCGACAATATCTCTGCGGAATTGTTCCATGTAGATGTCAAGCTCAGCAGCCCGTTGCCGCGCAATCTCGTAGAACCTCTTCTGCTCCTCCAAGCGCCTGGCATCCATTTCTTTGCGGCGATCAATATCGTCTAGCTCTTCCTCGTTCAGAGTCACAGGCTGCGTGGTCAGGAACTCGGCCATGGCTCTGGACTCGGCGATTTGTGGATTTTGTAGGAGGGTCCGCAAGAAAGCTCGTAACGACACTCTCTGGTCTTCGCGATGGAGCCGAATGGGGTGAGGGCTAACGCTTCTGTCTCTGGATAAGCTAGACCCGGGTGAGGTCCGATTCTTTGGAGATCCAGCTCCGGGACTGGCGCTGAGAGAGTTGCTTGATTTGCCCCGTCGATGACCGGGGATCAGATTCCTCATGGAACTAGAGTCTTCAGTTACGCTGGTGACCGTAGACGCTGACGAGATGGAGGAAGCATCATCGTCTCCTGCTGGCATAAGTGAGGAGAGAGTGGTCGACTTATTCTTTCTTGGGAGTGGTGGAAGCACCTTACCGGGCATCTCAGTGCGGAGTCGCTTGTGAAACCTGGCGAACTGACCATATCTCCTTCCCAGATAGATCTCTGGTTTGTCGGGCCGCTTGACGCGGATCAGGAACTCTGCGTGTTTGTGGTAGCGGACGGTTCGCTTGACGGAGGTGAATCTGACACCTGCAACATTGACATCCCAACCATTGATGAAATTCCCCTCGGGTATGTTGGCCAGGAGACCTTGTTCATTGGCTCCTCGCTCGACCACTTCCAGCTCTGCAAAACGGATCCTCTCTTCATAGCCCGACGCCGTGGGAATCCCCGAGACCATCATCAGCTCGACCAATTTCTCACATTTCCTGGCCAACTTGCGCCTCTTCGTTTCCTCGAGGCGGTCCTCTGAGGAAGAAATATACTTGCTGGCGAACGACTCGAGGAACACTTGGACTTTGTCCTGCCAGAACTCCTTCTCTTTGGCCTTGTCCAAAAATGGAAAGTTTCGCACATGATTGACAAAGATGAAGCGGAGGATCGGCAGCTCGGAGTCCATGGGGGAGACTTCGCCATAGTCCGAACGGAAGGGCGCACCGAAACGCTGGAGGGCAGTAGGGTTGTTCAATTCCTGGATTTCGGCATGGACTTGAGTTGCGATGAGTTCTCGTTTGAGGTAATGTTCTTGCTTGCCCGTCAGCAATTGTCCCTGGGGAGGTATGGATTCGTGAGTGGAGGGCGCGGACGCGCGGTCAACCGTGATTTCGGGGACACTGTTCGCTCCATTGACCTGGGGCGCAGCGGCGACATTCTGGCCTGCTGTTGATGTCTCGCTCGACATCATGGAAGGTCACTTGAAAGAGACGAAAAGGAAAGGAACCGAGGGTCTGGTATACATTGCCAGCTATGGCAGTCGGGCGCCTATTGACCTGCAGAGTCGGAGAGCCCAGAAAGGGTCACTTGTTACGTGGCCTGGGGGATGAGTGACGAGGACCCAGGACGCAAGATCATGTCATGAGTCTTTGTGTCTGTGGCAGGGGTTGTTGCTATGAGTTGTTAGTGAAGGGATCATGGGTCTGCCATGCAGTGAGAACCCTTGCAAGTTCGTACAATGTAGTGCAAGTGCAAAAGTAGTCTCACCAAGAAATGCGTGGATCAATGTTGACTGTGCAGGATGCAGTCGGTGATGTTTGGTTGCCAGGAAATACTTCTTACTGCTACGTACTACTACTACTAGTAGCCGCCTGCCTGCTAATTAAAGGAAGTACGAGGCAAGGCAACTGCTGCGTCATACTAGTACGGCGCGGCGTTGAGCAACGATCCCCTGCCACCAACCACTGGCCTGGCACTGCATGGCAGAAGATCAAGTTCTTGGAATTCAGCTGCCTGCGCTACTAGTATACAGAGTCAACCTCTACTACTACTTCGCCAGTGTTGGGTCTGTAGTATATTGGCTTCAAGATTGCTTTCGTGGCTTTCTTGCTACTGGTATCTGATCTCAATATCTACGCCTCTGACCCCAGGCAGGAGTTGTCTTACAACACGTACACCAGCTTTTGGCCGCTGACTTTATCGTGCCTGAGCAGATCGAGTCCATCCAACACGTTCTCCAATCCCTTACCAACCTTGAGCGGATGAACCTTCAGCCGGCCTTGCTGCAATAAAGATTCCACCTCTGCAATCCATTTTTTCGCGAACTCGAAATCCGCTGCGTTGTCTGGCAGGTCGGCGAACGGCTTCTTGACAGGCTCGCCGACGGAGGTGTACCCGAGTGTCTGAGTACATTTGACGTCGTCACGCGGGAACTTGACGGGCAAGAGGCTGCCATATCTGCCTCCGGGCGATATGACTTCGGCGCAAAGCTGGGTTGTCGCAGGCAATGAGATGGTGTCCCACACGTACTTGAGGTTGTTGTGGGTGTATTCCTTGATCTTAGCCGCACAGTCCGGATCCTTGTAGTCAAATGCGGCCGCTGCGCCCAGAGCCTTGACCAGGTCAAAGTTACGCGACGAGCAGGTCGTGATAGGCGTGTACCCAGCGCTGCAATCTGGTCAGCAGAGACCACATGGCGAGTCTAGCGGAATGTTGTGCTTACAGTTTGGCAAATTGAATCCCCAGCATCCCGGTGGCTGAGCTCCCACCATAGATGAGGACAAAGTCTCCCTCTGTCGTGGGGTGACTGGGCATATTCAGGCCGAATTTTTGGAAGAGTCCTTGACCACAGGTGATGACGCCCACTCCCAAGGATGCGGCCTCTTCGAAGGACAGGCTGTCTGGAATGCGAATGCCCACATCGGCCTTGAAGGCGATCCTTTCAGCGAAAGCACCATCCTCGGGCTGCAACGAATTCCCTCCGTGCGCGAAGCCACAGATGCGGTCTCCCACTTTCCACTGCTTGGAATAGCCGGTGCCGGTCTCGGCCACGACCCCAGCAAAGTCACAGCCTACCAAGCAGTCCTTGGTGTTAATGTAGTCAATGTGTTTCCAATCTGTGGGGTTGAGGGCGACAGCCTTGACATCGACCAGAATATATCCTGGTCGAGGCTTGGGGTATGGCCGGTCGGTTACGAGGGATGCCTTTCCAGGCTCGCCTTGCATAACAATGGCTTTCATGGCTGCGGCGTTGAATTGGGTTTGGTGGAGAGACGAAATCGGATTAAGGGATGGTATCAATCGGTAGGAGATTAAGGTCGAATATAATATATCAGGTGCTTCAAATTCTCTGCATATGTGCGTAACCGAGAAATGCGATGATGTTGTATGGATACCTATATACCTCAGTGCATCCGAGGCAGGTCAAGCTTGTCTGATTACTACAAGCTCGGACGTTATGCCTATCTTGCCAATACTCCGGTCAATCTGAAGAGATGCCATGGGGGCCTTGGTGGGCACTGAATCAGACCCAAGCAAACCCATTGATTCATTGATTCTACGTGTGTCTACAAACATCTCTAGCACAGTCCCATACTATGGACCTAAGGTAGGAACTGCGGTTGAGAAGCACCGCAGGCTATCTATGACGTAGCTACTAGGATTTCATCTTATTACGTAGTAAGGTACTAATAGTAAGTAGTAGCTCAGACGAAGCTGCTTGATTGGCTGCTCGATTTACGCACTGCAGTTTATGATGTGCTGAAGAATGATCAAAAGCGGCGTCATGTCTCAACGCATTGGGTTTCCCCGCAAATTTCTCAGTCTGAATTCCACATTATTTTTTTCGACACAGGAACGTGAACTTGAACGAGAACTTGAAGTTGGACTCGAACCGGAAGACAAGAGACGCAACACAAACACAGTCACCGGCCACCGCCTCGAGGCATTCCTAACACCACTGCATATAACCACCACAACCATTCCTCCGCCCTCCATCAGTCTCAACCATGGTGCGGAAACTCAAGCATCATGAATCCCGCCTCCTGCGCAAGGTCGACCTGATCACCTACAAATCCGACGGCCCATCGCACCACGAAGCCGCCGTCCGCCGCCGCTACCACCTCACCCACCCGCTCGACTACAACAAGTATAACGCGCTTTGCGGCCGGCTACGCCAGCTCGCCCACATGCTGGCCAACCTGGACCCGACCGACCCCTACCGCGTCGAGATGGAGACGGTCATGCTCGAGAAGTTGTATCAGATCGGGATCCTAAAGCAGAGCCGGGGCCAGGGCGCCGGTCTGAGCGCCGTCGAGAACGATGTCACAGTGTCGGCCTTCTGCAGACGGAGACTCGGCGTGCTCATGGTGCGCATCGGCATGGTCGAGCATGTCAGCACGGCGCACAAGTTCGTGGAGCAGGGCCATGTGCGTGTCGGCACGGAGGTGGTGACGGACCCGGCCTTCCTCATCTCCAGAGGCATGGAGGACTTTGTCACCTGGGTCGATGGCAGTAAAGTCAAGAGACAGGTTCTGCAGTATCGCGAGAAGCTGGACGATTTCGATTTGTTGTGATTATCACATGTAAGAGATGGGCACAAAACTGATCATGATCGATGCAAATGGGTCGGTCCGAGATTTCAGAAAGCTTGTCATTTCACGCCCGCCGTGGTCAAGAGACACGAATGCTACGGTCGCGGATGGATGCGAATTTCGCCATTATCGATGGAGGGACGACTATGAAGCAAAGATGGGACTTTGGATGACTCGCAAGGCCGCAGCCACATCCAAAGTATCCTCCACGGTCCACCTGATAAAGCGGCAGCCCTTCGATGCCTCGATATGAAATGGAACGGAATGGAATCGAAATCAGGACCGTGCCGAAAGCTGCCAAAAGGAAGATCCCGTTCTCCAATCAGCTCAAGGCTTCCTCAAAGACAGCAGTGACCTCCATCATCTTCCAAGCCGGGCGGTGCGTTGGGTCCGGGACACACATTTTTCCATGCCGCCGTGAACCGCTCACACCTGTCGTATCAAGACCAGACGGCACAGCAAGCACCCTCTAGACCATGCTTATCAAGTCCGACCGTGGACTTGGCTTGTACGAAACAAACGGAAGGAGCTAGCAAAAAATAACAATACCAGATATGGCTCGTTCAAACCCTGGTTCAGTCAAGACCCAATCCGGACCGAGATTGAGAGGGCACAAGATACGGATACGGATACTGATTTGAAGTCGATTACGATTACGATTCGGCTCTTTCTTGGGTCTCTTGCGGAGTGGGAGTCAGAGCCGGATCGGCACCATTGAATGATGCTTCGAGTGTGCTTGAAGTTCAGGAGCCGACCGTTGCCTATTGACGCCGAAGAGAAACCCATCAGTGGCCCTCCCTCGCGAACCAACGTTCTATCGTTTCATCACTCACTGTCGCCGTTGACAATACAATATACAAACAATCACCCAAGCTCTCCTGGCACTACCATCCCAGACTGCACGCAGAAATGTCTAGGGCGAAGGGCAGTCCAAAGTGCCTCGCGTCATGAATCGGCCGGCTCAACATCCTGGTGGTGGTCATATCGTGGAACTCCCCCAGTGATTGTTATTCTGGTGACCAAGATGCGAAGGTAATAAGGAGTCAGGGTGGATTATGAAGGAGCCATGACGCCCACAACTTAGGAACGAATGTCACGGACATGACATATGATTCAGGATTCTGTACGTACCTACCTAATGAAGGAATCAAAGGACTCTATCTTAGTCTCGAGAGAGGAAGGCCCTCAAGCTTCGATCTCGCTTCAGTATACACCATAGTCAGGTCTCCTCACGATGTACAGTCGACTCCCTTCCCAATCATAGGTACTGTCTCGGACGTTTCCGCGTGTGATACGGGGAGGTTTAATGTGGTTCAAGTCTTATATTGTACTTCTCACACAACGCACCTTAGTTCATCATGTCAATGCTATACTAAGGTAGCTATGTACTTGTATTGGATCATCTGATTCCTGCGGTATCTTCACTCATGGGACTTCCTCGAGATGTTTTGGTCGTTCATCGTTCATCGTTCCTCGTTTATACCGTCGGCTCTGGGCTAACCTGGTGTGTCTGGGTCGGTGGTCGGTGGTTGGTGAATCCATCCATCCTTGACACTCGCCGCCTCTTGCGCTTTGCTTTGACTGTGATTTCATGGTGTTCGTCAGGCTCTTACCCACTCCCATTCGAGGAGCTGGCCTGGTGAAGCTTTCCACTTACCATTCATTCATGACACAATGTCGTGACCCCTCAGAAACATGTCCAGCGTGGCTTGACTACTTTCCAAGGGATCCTGCTGCTGCATGTTCTCCGGCTCTTCCATATCTACAATCATTGCCATCTTCGTCCCCGCGACAGGGTTGCTTGTATCTCCATTGCTTCGTTCGTGCTCAAATCGATCTTTTCAATATTCGAATCACCCACATCCCTCTTGACTAGGGTGGCAGATAGACCGATCATCGTCCTCAACCTCATCCGAAACACCAATCCGAAACCGCCTCACGCTGTCACCATCACAGTCGCCGGTGAAGAACCCTCTTCTGGCATTTCGGCAAAGGGACCTTGGAAGAAGTCGGCGGAAGAGGCCATGGAAGCCACTATGTGCGCGGTCGATCTTCGCATACTCGCTGCGCCGGGTCGCATCCGAGGTCCACGACATGACAACATCAAATTGAGGATCTTGTCGGGAATGTTGATGTGTGCTGGGTAGGGTGACGATGCCACTGCTGTTATTTTTATATCTCCAGTCCCTGATGCTGGTGCTGGAAATATCCTGCAAGGTATCTTGGGACATGGACATCCGCGGACTGACTTGTGACTGTGTCGTTAATCGAGACTCGTCGCGGCCGGCGAACGATGAAGAGGAGGAATGTATGGACGGAGCGGGGAGAAGTCGATGTTGAGCTTGCGCCAATTGGAGTTTAGCATCAATAGTCTCGCAGATTCGCTGTACCGTGTCTGCATTGGAGGACCCCGATGATGATTCAGCGATAATGGACGCTTGCCGGCTTGATGTCTGTGAGGTCGGTGCGCTCGGAAGAGGAGTACCATCTCGACTCAACGCCAGCACTCCGTCTAGCGAGGAGAAGAGCTGGCGATGCCGCATTGCCAATTCCGTCCGCGGGGGCTTCTTCTTCGCGATGCTGCTTTCCCGTCTCGATTTAGAAACCGAACTTCGTCTCGATCGACCCGAAGATGGTCTAGAACATGTGTTTTCCGTATCAATGGATCCCAGAGAGTTGGATCGAGGGTGTGTTGACTGTGTTCCGGATCGACTCTCTCTCATGTGGCTTTTGGACTTGGTTGGGCGTTCCTGTTTACTCCTGCATACAGGATCTCGTTCGGGGGCAGTTGAAATGGCCGAGTGGAAGGAGTCGGCATCCGAATCGTTCTTCTGAATCTCTTGGATGTGGAGATCCATGGTCTTTTCGTACTTCATGGATCGTGAACTTGTGGCGTTCTTCGTGATATGTGATTCTGGGCCATGGCTCGACACGATCATCGTTGGTGTTGTGGACGTAGTTTTTCCGGGATGCAGGGCCGTAAACCCTGGGCAGTCAATTGTCACAGGAAAAAGCCTCCACGAGAATGTGAGACCACCAGATAATGCGAACTCTTCGTCACCGTACCTCAACCATAGGTTGGTGGATAAAGATTACGGCGAACGCTTGAAGGGTCATGCTGACGATGTGTTGGAAAAGTCTCAAGTCATGCACCGGGCCTGGGAGTGTCTCAACAGCATGTTCACAGGTCGGAAAAGATAGGACGACAGGTCGATCAGATCTGAGACAACGGTCACAGATCACCGTGAAAGGGCGTCAACGATGTCCTAAGACTGGGGTCGCTTGTGGGTCTGTACCAGCTGCAACTGGGAGATATCATGCGCACTTTTCCATCGTGGGATTGGATGAGATGGATGCTCCCGATGTGTTATTTGGCGCTAGATGAAGTCGGTATCAAGGACCCGCCGAGTGGCCAGCCGGCACGAAGGTCCGATATTGCCCACTGACTGCCAGCACCGGACGGTGGAGGCCATGCTCTGAAGAGCGTAGCATCAAGTGTGAAGCAGTTGACGGCGGGGAGTCGATAGAGCAACAATGTTGGAGAGCGAGTGAGTCAATTGGTCATGGCTTTACAGCCAAGTTGGTGCTTGTGATATCGCGTGGGCAGAAGACGATTCTACACCTCGTAGACCGCCCGAACGAAACCAATCAGAGGCTTCGAGAGGGCGACGAAGCGAGCAGCGAGGAGCTAGAGGATGGTTGCTGTCCCACTGCAGGTGACCAGACGTGGTCTGGACAGAATTTGACGAATTCGGCATGGGGCCCATAGTGGCGTAGTCCCGCGCGTAGGATGATAGCCTCCCCATCATGTCGACATCTGATGCTGCCGTTCGAAGCCGTTCCAGACGCGCCGAAGTTTCGTATGAAGACCTCCTCTTTCCCAATTCCTCCCAAGACGATTGACTATTGGAGGAGATGGGTTGACATGGACGTTGCGACTGCGGAAGCATTCCCGCCGGTCACCTGTCCGATATTGACCCCTCGTCCGTAACCATCGTCTCCTTCTACGCAATCTGCACCTTGTCGAAGTTGAGTGTGCCACGATGAAGCTTCCACGCCCGCAGCATTACAAACAGCAACACGTCGAAAAAGCTGAAAACCAGGCTGCCTCCGAACACAAAGGAGTGATAAGTCCAGGCGTCGTCCGCAGTCAGATGACCGACCTGCCATACAATAGCCCAAAGTAGGACGTAGCAGAAGTTCGACACCACTGACTGGTAGAGGTACCACCGTGGCACAGTGGCCAAGAGAATGGTCGCCAGTGCGGTTGATAGAGCATAGAAGATATAACACCAGTCGATGGTGCGCCACATATGCGCTGTGATGCCACCGACGACATCTGAACCGGAGATATATCGTGCAAACGGCTCACATCCGAATAGGGATAGGAAGATACAGAGCGGAATTTCTACCAGGAGGGCGACCCCTGCCGCAAAAAGTGCCGGCGTTGCAATACCTGGGGTTGAGAGGTCAGGACAGTACCACGGATAGACTGTCCGGCTTACCACGGATTTGCTTTCTCCCTGCCGTTGCCATTCGACGTCCGCCGCCGACATCGCTCCGCCATTGACCCCATGCATGTCCGGTGAAGGCCAGCGCAGTCGCTTCGAGCGTCTGGACCGGCACCATGACGAGTCCCCACCGGATGGTGTTGAAAACACCCCATGCCGTGGCGTAGTCGGTACCCATGGAGACGATGTTGGCAACGAGCCATAGATATAGCGCGTTGCGTACGGCGGACTCGACGAACGGGGGGATACCAGGTCGGAGTAAAACCAGAAGCGCTTTGACAGTTGGACGTGGCACTTCTCCCAGTGCTTCCGCCCGCCGCAGCCTGAGGGTGATGATGAGAAAGGAGGCAAGGCCGACAAAAGCCGCAGCAAAGTCACAACCAAGTCGGATCCCGGCCTGTGTGTTGGCGGACGGCGTAAAGCTACCGACGTGAAAACGTGAAATGAGCAACATATCCAGGAGAATGTTGATAATGAACCGGACTATACTGATGGTGAATGGCACATCGGGATGGTCGAGAGCTCGTGTAGCAATTGTGACTGCAGTCTCAATGGCACCGCTAAAAACGGAAAAGGAGCTGAGACGAACATAGGTCAAACTGGCATGGCGAACCTCGACGGGGACGAACCCAGCAGCGAACTCTTTGGCCGCCCCGAGGATGACCAAGCTGATCAGTAGGCCGAGCAAACTCTGGACTATAATCAGTGTGTGCGAAAGCCCTGACCGCGAGGCAAGAGATCGAGACGATTTATCGCCAATGATGACCCAGGCAGCCCGAGGCAGTCCTTCATTAATCACCTCTGCCACGACCCCGATATAGGTGTAGGAGTCGACGGTGACGACCATGTTGGAGTCGATGTTGGCCACCCATAGTTTCGACAGTGTGCCATAGAGCGCTGGTAGACTGAATGCAAGAAAGTTGAGCAGGATGGCACCGCCGAATCTGTCCTCCGTCAGCGTGGTTTTGTATCCTTTCTGTCCTGATTACGGCTGACCTGTCACGACTCCATATCTTCCCGTGAACGATGTGCTCTTGGGTATTTTCGGTGTTGACGCTGGGCGCAGCGACCTCGACAGGATCCTTTGAAGGCAACATCGTGTATCTGTAGGAGGTAGACAGAAGGCTGCGCAACTTCCTGAACGGAGACATTTGCTCTCGACAGGATGGCCAATCCCTGGAATCACATGCTGAACAGTGTTCATGGTCGATAGTTGCAGTTCGAGGGGGGTAAAGAATCCGAAAGGTTACACAGCATTCGTGAAGGACGCGATCGGTGGCCTCGACTTCCTCATGAGGACAACGTCCGAGCCTGAGCGCCTGGTGAACGTCTTGGTTGACCTCTAAGCTCATCGTTGCCGACAGGGGCCTCGATGCTTCCAAGCCTCGACCCGGTGTTCGCTCACAGCCAAAGGGATGAGTGGCGAAGTGGTGCTGCGTGGAAGAAGAAGGTTGAGCAGCTCGAGGAAGTGATTGAGAAAGGAAAGGGATGCAGGTGCCGGGGGGTGGCTAGACATTCTCGCATGCCATTCAGTTCATCACGAATACAACGCCAGTCAACTGACAGCAGAAACAACAGAAACAGCAGAAATAGCAGAGTGACAGTCTCTGTATCGTCTTCATTGGACTCTGAGCACACCGTGTATGAAAACGCTATGATGCGAGATGTTCTGCCCAAACGCCGTCCCAGATTTGTTTGTATCGTGTCCCTCCTCGCTATGCATTCATGGTCAGTTCATATCTGCCTATGCCCCTGGTATTGTGCCCTGGTCTAAACTGCGCCGTGCATCTCGACATTCGCGAAGGACAATTTGGCCTCATTGAGGCATGTGCAGACCCCGAATGGACAGCGCCGCGCTCCAGTTCAAATTGTGCTGCAGTGGATAACCCTCCCTCCGCCAGCCTCGACCGGTCTTTCACCTCGCAAGCAAAGCCTCCAGTGGAGCGTTTGGCGGCTGGTTATTATGGTCATAGACGACCCGCGCAGCCGATGCTAGGCTTATCCCAAGTTTCGCCTGCGCTGTCGAACGTAATGCTGAACGAGAAATCCCCGTCAAAAGATTCCAAATTTCTTTTTCTTTTCGCCTTCTGTTTTTGTCATTGTCAGTGCTGTCGTATCGATGGAAAGCGTTGTCCAAGTTTGCTCACCCTGAGGTCCTTTGTTCCCCGAACTTGTGCTGGTCGTCAGCGTGCCTTTCTTCGAAGATGCCGCAGTGACCGGGTCAGCGCCAGCACCGGCCGCGCGGATGGCGGCAATGCGATGTTTGGCTCTTTCTTCACCCTGATCCGCGGCTCGAACGTACCAGACGTTGGCCTCGAGCGGGTCACGACGACAGCCAATGCCCATTTCCGTGAAGTAACCAACCGTGTATTGTGCTTTTGCCAATCCCTGCTCCGCAGCCTTCTTGGCCCACTCGTAGGCTTCACTCTCGTCCTTGTCCAATACCCCGGGGACGCCGACCATGTACCAGGCACACAGGGCCAGTTGTGACAGAGCATGGCCTCGTTCGGCAGCTCCGGTGTAAAAGTGGATGCTCAAGGCTGGATCTTTCGGACAGTTGAGCTCGCCGAACTCGTAAGCCCGGCCCATTCGGTAGTTGGCGTCGACATTTCCGAGATCAGCTGCTTTGGTGTACAGTTGAGCGGCGTAAATTTCGTCCTTGAACACGTCCGGACCATAGCCGGTCTCGTGGAGACAAGCCAGATCGTAGGGTGCTTGGTTGTACTGGAAGTCGGCCGACTCGGCCGCTCGCTTGAGCCATCGCACGCCCTCCCGGTACCGCTTCGTCAATCCCATATCGCCCGTCAAACAGGCTCGTCCTAGTCGAAGCATGGCGCCAGGATGATTTTTGCTGGCCGCGTGTTGGTAAAACTGCACCGCTTTCGCTGCATCTACCCGGCAACCCCAGCCAAACTCATAACACAGGGCGGTACGGTACCCCGCCTCGGCGTGACCGTGTTTGGACGCGGCCAGGAAAAGGGGGAATGCTCGATCCCAATCTTCCTTGCCTTTGCTGAACAAGCCCGACGCATATCCGTCTGCCAGATAATATTGGGCGAAGGGGTATGACCGGTCGGCCAGTTTCTGCAGAATATGCTTCGCCTCCTTCAGAAGTTCTTCCCTCACTGATGTATGCGACTTCCCAGATATTGCCGAGGCGGCGTCGCCCTCTTCCTCCAGTCCCTCCTCCTGAGCGGCACTGATCATGAAAATGGCAAACTCATACTGCACCGCTGGGTCGTTCGTCTTCTTGACATTGGCTCGGTACATGTCCAGCGTCTTGCGCGTCGACAGCAAAGCCGCATTGTTTCCGACCACGGTACGAAGGCCGGAGTTGACCAGATTCTCCGCCCCACTCGGAGCCGGTTGAGGATATGGAACGTTCAAGAGATCGACATATGACAGTGGTCGGGTGTCGGGCGACCGGGATCCTCGGGAGACTGGCCGGGCAGGCGACAGACTGGGAGAGTAAGGTCGCCCGCGGAAATCAGATGTGCTGGAAAAGCCGGAGTCGGGCCGCCGCAGGTTCTGTCCATAGGTGCTATTTCGCGAACCGTCTGCAGGCCCGGAGCCATCAGTCATAACCGTCAACCTTGACGCTCGCCTGTCCAGTGCTCTGATTTCCGGGTCTTCCAGCGCTTGATGATGGTATCGCAGTGGTTCAAAGTCCTCCGAAGGTGCGTCTACATCAAGGACAGAGGTCGAGACATGGCGGACGGATCGTTTTTGGAAAGGTGTCAGTTCAAGCCCATCCTTAGGAGTGAGGTTCTCTGAGGACACCCTCCGATGCTCGACGCTGTCCAGATTCTGTCCTTCTCCTACTTGTCGTCGACGCATGGCCTGAGGGGCCGGAGACAACCTACTGGGGACTTGCTGTAGAGATATCTGGGGGGTCAACGTTCGGGTCGGCTCGACAGGGTCGGACGATCTTGATAAGGCGGTTGCAGGTGGACTGATTTGAACTTCAGTGGTCGCGTACAACTCCTTCTCAGGCCCGCTGTCCGCTGGAGACATGGATATGGAAGGGTTGCTCGGTTGTCTTGAGGGAAGATTCCTCTGCTGATAAGCCGGCAGTTGTGTACTTCCTTTCTCTTCCATAGGCGCCATTATTCGCGGACTATTCGTTCGAAGAGGGGAGTAAATGGGCGGAGGGGGGGTAGGCGGGAGAGGAGGGCTTGCGACCTGAGCCATTTCGAAGAGTTCAAGGAGAACCAGGGCCCTTAGTCGGCAGACATTTGAAGCTCAAGCTAAGTGTCGCTGTAGCAAACTCGAAGGCGAGCTGAACGTCCGTGGAGAACCGTGCAGAGCGCTCGGCGGGATGGTTGGACAGCAGATCCAGGCGAATTTGATATTGGAATGTATTTAGTCGTCCGAGGCAAAGTCAATGAGCGGCGTTGGAAGCCCGGATACCGCTTGACTGAAAGGAATGCTGTAGCGTCCTGACCTGTCGTGTCGGTCGTTCAGACACAAAACGGCGGTGGGCACCAAAGATTCGTGGGCTTTAAGTTGGTTCAAAAGAAAGGCAGAGGTCGCTGAAACGAGAGGAAAATGGCTTCAATGCTAGCAGGCGGGATTGACAGGATGGCACCAGGCAGCACCGGTCAACCTGCGGATAGATTCAAAGATCGTATCACAAAAGAAAACAGTGGAAGGGACACGCGGACACGCGGTCAATAGTACTGGGCGGATTGGGATAGGAAAGGATAGGGAGGATGGAATGGATGGGTAAAGAAAGGGAGAAGAGGAGGGTCCCCACACTTGAAGGGTTGACGTCCTCGTTTCCTGCTGTCGTGCTGTCCTCCTTTTTGGGTGGTCTGGTCTGCACAAGTAGTAGTGCAGTACAGTGGTTCTTTGGGAGATGTGGTTAAAATAGATGTGCTTCTCTTCCTTTGACTCGTATACAAAGAAGATGTCTCTTGACAATTCAATGACAGTCGTTGTTGTAATTACTAGTAGGGCAATGGGTGCTGCACTGGCACTGTCACTGTGGGACAGATCGTGATGGAGTGACTGCAGGTGGCTTCCATGACTCCATGGTGTCACTGAACACGTCTGCAGTACGTATTCGTCCCATTCGAAATGTCACAATATAGAATAGTAGAGGCTTCATATGCAGTAGGCGAGGCTGTATACGGGTAAGCTGGGTGCCTAAAGAGCCCTAAGAGGTCACGGGGCAGTGAGAGGACGTTAATAGCGTGCGGGTGCCCCCGAGACCTGTTGGTCTAGGCATGATGAGCATCAATTGGTGTCAACACTAGTACCAGGAGGGCACCGAACCACCACCTAAGGAACCCCATTAATAGATTCTTAGGTGGTTTCCAGCAGTTTTTTCTGGTTAACTCCCCGGAAGCCTCCGGCAGCCAGACTCTGGATTAAGGCTGCGGACCGGAACAGGCTCGAACACATAGTACAGAGATGCCACCGATGAGGTTGAAATGAGGGAGCAGAGATCCGATAAATCAACACTGCTCACGGCAAGAGAAGTGCCAGCTCAAACATTCACATTGGCTCCTCTGCCTGCACCGCCGTATCAAAAGGTTCGTATAGGTAAGATACCTAGGCACATATAGCCACCTGCAGTAAGGTAAGCACACATCAGCAGTGACTCTGGTTGTATTGTTGTTCTAACCGCCCGTCCAGCAGACTCTAACTTCTATGTACCTGCTCTCTGTACAGCTGGAGGTCAGGTAAGACACGGGGCCAAATCCGTCGTCCAGGATCTCCATAGCCTGCCTCGCCTCCCTCGCCTCCTACCGTGGGCAATAAATCCAGAGCAATTTTCACCTACAGCTGCTATCGTCAGTGTTGGATACTAGTGTTCGGCAGAGTCAGCTACGGCAACAGCAACCCCCGTCCACTGCACTCTCGAAGCTATGGCCCTTGGGCGGCTGCTTTGATTGACGGACGACTCTTACAGATAGAACTACTGGCAGGGCAACCAAGTCTCTCGGGTTAAAAAAAAAGAATACACGCTACCATCACTGCAGCAGATCGCCGCCATATTCTTAGCCATCGAGCCATGTTCTTAGCCTCACGCGCCTAAAATAAATACTCACGCCTCATACGCAGCTCTCCTGGTGGCAACAAGGGACAAGCCGAGCGCTCAGCCACAAGCGAGTGTTTTTCTGCAGCATGCAGCATGCAGGAACTGGAAGATCGAACAATACTCTGTACAGACGGGAGGTAGATGGATACATCCATTAACCGTACGTAACTCGGAACTGCACAGTCCAATCCGTGGATGCTTCTGTGAGGCTCTACCGAGTATAGCCCCTGGCACTACTCGGTAGTAGGTACACAACCGACGACATCTGCAGTGAAAGCGTCCATGCCTTAGTAGAAACAACCCTCTACCAGGTACTACCAGGCTTCCAGTGCCATGCAAGCAAGATCTTGAGACTTGCGCAGGTGGCACTGGCACTGACACAATGCACTCCCGGCGCTCCCTCCACTGTGGCTCTGCCACTGAAGTCTGAGTCCAGTGCCTGTTCTCGCCGTCTCACTTTCTCCTGATCGATCCTCTCTCTCTCTCCACTCGACCGCAGGCGCCCAATCCGCAGCGGTTGGTCCCCAACAACCGAGAAACAACTGCGCCCGAATCCTGGCAACCAACCGCCAGTCCGATTCTCTCTACCTGGTACTCTGTACTCAGTGCTCACCATCACTTCGTTCAATCTGCCTTTGCCATCTTCCTTCCACGAGACGAGAGCACCCCATACATTCATTCGGTAAACCAGTCAAGACCTCACTCGCTCCTATTTTGTCTTCAAGCCAAGCCCACACACATCCTGCTCATAGATCTCGTCCTTCGTTCTCGCCCCGCAGACTTCGGGGCCACTTTTCTCCTGGACATAAACAAACCTGGACCGTTGATTTCAACCGTGCAAACAATTCCGTGGGAGAGCCTCGATCAAGTCCAATCGCCTCCACGCAACGACCGGTACATCGAGGCATCCTGTCAACTTCGAACTGCACCGCACGTACCTTGACAACCTCTATCCGACTAAGCCTGTCCGGAGTTTCAACCTCGGAGGCGGCGCAGGCGCTGGCCTCTCAATCCGCTCGTTAGCTGCAAGTTCCGAAGAGTTTCATGTCGACAAATCGTTACAACTAGGTTGATGTATGTGCTCTCGCCCTCGTGACAATGCCATTATTGTTGATGGTGAATGCAGCCCCCACTAACATTCCGTCTCCTGCAGCACCATGGAGGAACCGCGCAGGCCCCGGCCTGCCACTTCGCCAACGCGCGACAAGTCTTATTCACCGTATAGGTCCTCACCCTCTCGACGCTTTAGGGACGTCGAAACGGGCTACAATCCGGTCCGAGATACTGCCTATTCGGCCCAGCGAAGCGGCACCGATCCTTACCCCCCCTCCCCATCCTCCAGAGCGGCAGACTGGGAACCCATCATGTCGAATCCAATGACCCAGAGCGAACTCGGCCGCAAGAAATCCCTGATCCGTCCTGAACGGAACCGAATTGACCGAGACCATCCTAATTACTACTACCGCAAACATGCCCAGAACATGGAAGTCTTCCCTTCAACCACTGGTAATGATCCCGTGGTGGAAGATTTGGCCGAGGGACGAACGGTGAGCTCGGGAAGCACCCAACACGACACCGCCATCGACGACGAATTTGTTGGTGATCCGCAAAAGGCACAGGCGCCTCGAACATTGGAGCCGGTGGGCAAGAAGCGCCCGGGCCGGAGACTGGCCCGGAAAGACACTCAACCCCTGGGCGAAGAAGAAAAGAAACGACAGAAGGAACTGGACAGGATCAAACCTCCGAGTGTCTGGAACATCTACTGTGCCATCATCACCTTTTGGGTGCCAGACTGTATCCTACAGTGCTTCGGCATGCCTGCAAAGGCGCAAAGAAGAGCGTGGAGGGAGAAGATCGGGCTCATCAGTCTGATCCTTCTGGTTGCCGCCTTTGTCGGCTTTTTGACCTTCGGCTTCACGGCAGCAGTCTGTCCGGCGCCTGGGCTTCGTCTCAAAATCAACCATGTCGACCGGGGTTACATGATTTTCCATGGAGGCGCGTACAATCTGGATGGGTCCATGCATCCGGCAGCCCTGGGCGTTCCACTGGACACCAACGTTCTCTACGACTTACCTCACAAGTACGGCGGCCAAGATGGAAGCTTCATGTTTCAAAAGGTCAATGGTGCTTGCAAGGATCTCATCACGTTGGCGGAAGGATCAGACGTGCCCACCAACGCCGATGGGGACCTCGCCTGGTATTTCCCCTGCACGGCGTTCAATCAGGATGGCTCCTCGCCCGTCAACCTGACCACACCGTACTACCTGGGTTACGCTTGTCACACCACGGCCAAAGCGAGAACCAGCTTCTACGACCTTAGAAGGGCGGGAGACGTGTATTTCACTTGGGACGACGTCAAGAACACCAGCCGAAATCTCGTGGTGTACTCGGGCGCCGTGATTGACCTCAATCTCCTGAAGTGGTTCAATTCAAGTCAGGTCGCGTGGCCCCAGCAATTCGACGATTTACGAGAGAACGAGAAGATCCGTGGAATGGACATCACTCATGTTCTGCAGTCGTCCGCTGACAAGAAGGTTGGCCGATGTTTGACTCAGATCGCCAAGGTTGGCTCGATTGACACAGAAAGCGTTGGCTGCATCGCATCCAAGGTGGTCTTGTACGTGTCGCTGGTCTTCATCCTGGCCATCGTGTTGGCCAAGTTCTTCCTCGCCCTGGCCTTCCAGTGGTTTTTGTCTGGGAAATATGCGGCGGCCAAAACTTCGCAGACGTCGGACCCCAAGGAAAGAGCCAGACAGATTGAAGACTGGACGGACGACATCTACAAGCCTGCTCCAAAAATCACCGACCCCGCGACGACCGTCTCCGGGTCCGAAGGCCGAACCAGCAAGCGTGGCAGCATGATGTTCCCACAAACTTCTCGTTTCACCAGTCCTTATGCCGTCGATCGAAGAAGCAGTCGGCCTCCGCCAACCACCATGACGAGCCAGTCGTCGAACGTGAAGCTGATCCAACCCAACGTGTACAAGTCGGGGTACAGCAGCAGTCAGAATACCTTGGGCGTGGATTCCAGGATGAGCGTCGGTGCTAGCAGGTCCAGCCTCCTCCTTTCGGGCCACGAAACCCGGTATTCCGCTGTCATGGACAATCTGGAGCCTAATGGCCCCGTGGGGTTCATCCACGAGAATGTTGTTCCTCAACCACCGCCAGAATGGCAACCCTTCGGGTATCCGCTGGCTCATGTCATCTGCCTGGTCACCGCATATTCGGAAGGCGAAGACGGCATCCGAACCACGCTGGACTCGATCGCCACGACCGACTACCCCAACAGCCACAAGGCCATCCTGGTCATTTGTGATGGTCTGATCAAAGGAAAAGGGGAGACCCAAACCACACCGGACATTGTGCTCGGCATGATGGGGGACTTTGTCGTCCTTCCCGAAGATGTGCAAGCCTTTTCGTACGTTGCCGTGTCCAGCGGGTCCAAGCGACACAACATGGCCAAGGTGTATGCTGGGTTCTACGACTACGGTCCGAAGACGACGATTGATCCGACCAAGCAGCAACGAGTTCCGATGATGATGGTGGTCAAGTGTGGCACTCCGGACGAAGCGACCAAGAGCAAACCTGGAAACCGCGGCAAACGTGACAGTCAGATCATCCTCATGTCTTTCCTGCAGAAGGTCATGTTCGACGAGAGGATGACGGAACTGGAATACGAAATGTTCAACGGCTTGTGGAAAGTGACGGGCATGTCGCCCGACTTTTACGAGATGGTGCTCATGGTGGACGCCGACACGAAGGTCTTTCCCGACAGTTTGACGCACATGGTCTCGGCCATGGTCAAAGATCCGGAGGTCATGGGTCTTTGTGGTGAAACCAAGATTGCCAATAAGAATGCATCTTGGGTATCACGGATCCAGGTGTTTGAATATTTCATCTCTCACCATTTGTCCAAATCCTTCGAATCGGTCTTTGGTGGTGTCACCTGTCTTCCTGGATGCTTCAGCATGTACCGGATCAAGTCCCCCAAGGGCGGTCAGAACTATTGGGTGCCCATCTTGGCCAACCCGGACATTGTCGAACATTACTCGGAGAACGTGGTCGACACCCTCCACAAGAAGAATCTTTTGCTCCTGGGCGAGGACCGGTATCTCTCCACCCTCATGTTGAAGACCTTCCCCAAGCGGAAGCAAATCTTTGTGCCTCAAGCCGTTTGTAAGACGACGGTGCCTGACGAATTCAAAGTCTTACTTTCCCAACGACGACGATGGATCAACAGTACTGTCCACAACCTGATGGAATTGGTGCTGGTGCGGGATCTGTGCGGCACATTCTGCTTCAGCATGCAGTTTGTGGTCTTCATCGAACTCATCGGCACGCTTGTGCTCCCCGCCGCCATTGCATTCACGTTTTACTTGATCATCATCTCGATTGTCAGAAAGCCGGTGCCCGTCATCCCACTCGTCCTGTTGGCCCTCATTCTGGGCCTTCCCGCCGTTCTGATCGTCTTGACCGCCCACCGTTGGTCGTACATTCTGTGGATGCTCATCTACCTGGGCTCGCTACCCATCTGGAACTTTGTCCTTCCGACTTATTCATTCTGGAAGTTTGATGATTTTAGCTGGGGTGACACGCGAAAGACGGCGGGAGAGAAGACCAAGAAAGCCGGTCTTGAGTACGAAGGAGAATTCGACAGCAGCAAGATCACCATGAAACGATGGGGTGATTTTGAACGAGGTAAGCATTGGGACATGTACTGAAACTCGTATACGAGCAACATTGACTGATGATTGGCAGAACGTCGTGCACAGGCGAATGGAAATGTTTGGCAACAACCATCCACTCGTTCCCCAAGCGCTTATGATTCGCCACACGGCTTTGAGACCTATCAAGACTATTGAACGCGCCGAGTTGTCACGAAATGGCCAGAAATATATGACACCACTATTTTGACCTCGACAACATCCGGAAGGCATAAACAGCATTAGCGACTTGGGGACAAAAACAAAAAAGCATATTCGGACGGGGGGTGACGTGTGGGCACCTGGGGTGTATTTGTACCATTAGGCAGTGTCATGGCCTGTCACATTTGACGTGGAGCTGCCATTGCTACTGTGTTTGTACTTTTGGCGCATTTGAGAAAGGGTTTGCATCTGGAGCGATCGAGTCACGACGATGTAGGGTACGAGCTTCATGGGGTTACTTCTCTTTGCATCTTTCTCGGCGATAGAGGTGATCTACTAAACTATATCGATTGAGGTTGGTGTCTAGAACGAATGAAACTGATGTGAACATACATTCAATGGCGTTGATGCCGCGGTGCCCAAGACGTTTTGGTTGTTGCAGGACGACACCCCAAGGACAAGTCATTCATTGCCTAGCGGAGCATGTCGACGCAATCATACCGCAATAGGCCACGGTCCCTCTCGCTCGCCTTGAAGATTCTGCGTGAAAGAGCTGGAGAAAAGGGGTGACACAGCCTGACACGTGACCTTCTACAAATCCCAGAAATCCTTGATGAGCACTGCTAGCTTTGCCGAGCACAGCTGCAGAGGTTTCTTTGGCTTGACCCCGATATATCTGAGTATCATGTAAAGCAAGGCTGAGAGGCCCGAAGCCCTTGTCGGACCCTGAGGATGTGAACGAAGAGCCTGCTCGTTGGTTGCAAGAGGCGTCCAAGGGCGATCTGGAGAGCTAGGTTGCTGGTGGAATCAGTATACAGGTAAGAGTAGATTTCTCACCGATCGTGGTTACACAGAAGCTGTAGACTTCATGTCTCAAAGAGCGTTTCTGGCAACATTGAGAACAAATCGTGATGATAGTACCAAGATACCCTCCTTTGTGCGCGCTGTTACGGCGCCTGCCTGTTGAGGGGATCAATGACTGCGACCAACCCCTTTTCTGGCAGAAGCATGGAGGATTGGAACAGCAGTGAAACTGCGACCATGATGATATTCGTCTCGATGGAAAAGAGCAAGAGAAACAGCCTTCAAGTTTGACAGTGGGAAAATGATCCATTGTGACACGTGATTGTATTGGTATTCACGTGATATCATTATCGGTCACATGACGGGCTGCAATGCGGCCTTCTAACACGTGACGGGAAGAGTGGTGCCCCCGGCCTCAACCATCAGACCATCCTCGTCCTCTCTACTACTTTATATTCATATTATTACTGTGTCTTCACCCTCGCCAGCGCGCTCCTCACGGGCACGTTGTGCTCTGGGTTGGGCTCCGGGAATCCCTCGACCTCGACTCCCTTCCTGAACAGCAGACAATGGGTCGAGCCGCCGAAATGGAACATGCCGATTTCGTCGCCCTTGTCGACATGTTGTCCTTCCTTGACCGTCATCTCACAGGTCGACACCTCGCACATGCCGATGCCCAGAAAGGCCATCAGTCCAATGGCTGGGTTGTCGGCCTCGAAGAACATGATGGCTCGTGTCGCCGTGGCAGTCAGGTATCCTTGACTGGTGACCTGGCCCTCGGGGTCGGCGGCATGTTCGGCGGTGAAATCCTCGAACAGCGGTTCCGAGTAGTAGGTGCCGTCGACGACGTACGCCTTGACCAGCTTGCCCGACACAGGTGCGTGCCAGCGGTGGTAGCTGAGGGCACTGAGGAACGCTTGGTACACGGTGCCGCCCACAAACTGGTCGGCCAGAGCATCATGGCTTAACATGTCGCGGACCGAGTACGGCTGGCCCTTGAGCCAGAAGTGATCCCGGGCCTTGACATTGTGGGCGACCTTGAAGGTCTTGGACTCGCACGCGTTGGCGATGACCGAGTTGTCGGTGGGACTGGCCACGGGTCTAACGTTCTCCTTGAAGAGGCGGGTGAAGAAGTCGTCCCACGACTTGTATCCGTACCTCGAGTCCGAAGGGTCACAGATGAACATGTCTTCGAATTTGTAGTCGGTCTTGCCCACGTTGGCGGTGAAGCTGAGTTCCTCGTGTCCGTGGTCGCTGAACCAGCTGCCCTTGGCCTTCTTCTCCAGCACGCCGGCAGATTCGGGCGAGCGTAGGAAGTCGCCCCAGGCGTTAAGAACCTTTTTCAGCATCGCGTTGACTTCCGGGTCGAGAAACACGGCAAACCCACTCGCGGTGCCCATGGGCCAGTCGAAGAGCGCGTTGAACGGCAAGCCGACCAGGCCGACCCGCTCGGACTTGTCGTTCCACGATGGCGCCGTGGTCAAGATGTGGTTGATCACCTGCAGCATGTGCATGTAGTCCCGGACTTGGGGGTGGCCCCGGCCTTGAGGGTCGTTGTTGTACGGTGGCTTGTTGGGCACCTGCTGGAACATCGATTCGAATAACAACCATACTCTCGTGTTGTTATCGATCAGCGCCTTGAACTCCTGGAGCACCGGATGTAGGTCGGACGGGTTCTGGTCCACGTAGTCGATGACCCCCGCCAGCCATTCTCTATGGGCTCGGTGATCGTGAGGTAGCCATTCACCGATCCTGTCGTGGTAGAACCCCGTCAATACCCGGATAGACTGACAGGCGTTCAGGCCGGACCTGATCAAGTACTTACCTGTGGGTGTGATGTTCTGATGGGATGTTTTTCTCGTGCTTCATGTTTGCGATGGTAGCGGACCGCCGAGAATAAGAGTCAATCGTCAACAGAGAGGGAGTTTAGAGCGAGTAGCAGGACGTCTTGAAAGAAAAGAACAGACCACTTAAAGACCGAAAGGAAGAAAAGAATAAGAAAGAGTCCATGAATGATGTTTCTTGCAACTCCGAGTCTGCAATCTGCAACTTGCCGTCGTCACTCAACTGGCTCACTACGTCACCGCAGTTCAATTGCGGCGAAACTGCGCAACCACGGATTGAAGATTCATGAGGTTGAGAAGTCAGAGCATCACCATCTCACTGCTTCCAACTCCCTGTTTCCTAGTTTCGCAAGTCGAATTACAAGGCGAGCCTATATTTGTTGCCTGAGATTTCACCCCATCGTTGCGATCACCTATCAACGTCCTGGCGCCTCCCAGATTAATTCCAATTCTGCCACACGCATTCGCATCCCCCGGTTCCCCCATCAATCCCTCCGGCGTCTTGGTCAAACCCGTCGGTGCCCGCATCGATCGATCCATTTACCAATGGAGGCGCCGGGTTGATCAATGCCCCGCCAATTCCCCGGATCTCGGGGACAATGCTCTTCACATCGGTCTGGATGACCTGGAGATCATCCACCCTGTAACAATAGACTGCCTTCTTGTTGATGTTCCCGCCGTGTCGGTCCAGAGTGAGCGTGGTTGGGTATGGGAACGATCCAGGCCGTTCAAAGTTGGTCGCCGAATTAGCTGTGCCGTTGGTACTGTTGGTACCGCTGGTCGGACTGAGAAGCGTGGCCCCAAATGCCGGATTGGTCCACATTCTCACCAGGAACCGTGTTTGGCTGAACGTGCATCGAAGCCTCGACTGATCCCGCGTCGCTCCGCCATCCTCATCATCAGGATCAATTCCGGCATTGTTCGAGAACTCCGACACATTGATGGCCGCGGTCGACTTCAAGAAGATGGCCTTGTCGTAGTACATGTAGAACCCATAATGTTCATCGACCTGGCCTCGGTTGTAGAGCTTGATCGGTTGAGACGTGGGGTAGGGCGACGTGGGTAGAAGATTGGCCGGGGCCGCACTCCCATCGTCGAGGACGTCTGGAGCAGGGATCGCATCTGACGAGTTTGTTGTTTGTCGGGCTAGGAGCCGGGAGTCACTCGCATTAGAGCTGGTGACATTGGATGGGTCGACCGGAAAGACGGGAATGTAGGTGATGAAGAACGGCGTCCTTTCCCCTTCGAATGGTTGCGTAATGTTGTCGGTCGTGTTGCCCATGAAGATTTGGTCGGCCCGACTGGGTGGTGCCGGGTTTGGCTCGAACATATCGTTGGTAAAGGGGTCGGTTGCACGCTTCTGAACACCAGAAGACCCCCGCGACAAACTGTCCACGGGAATCGTCATATTCGCGGCGACCGTGCCATTGCGGAAGAGGATCTCAAACCGGAAGTTTGGTTGATCGGGATTGTTGGGGGCAATCTCTGCCTGGCTTTCCTTGGGCAAGGCACAGCTCCAGAGCGTAGTGGGTGCCACGCACTGGGACTGTTCCTTGACTGCGTCGGGTCTAGCTATGGTAGAGATACCTGTAGGGATAGGTGGGTAGCCAGTCAGGTTGAGCCATTGGCTTTGCACTGGCGTGCTGTCCCCTGTGCGGGTGAGTAAAACGGCCAACAAAAGGCAAGTAACGACAATCAAGAATAGAGGGACTGAGACGATCAGAGTCCATTGACGTTTCTTGCCCATCGTATTTCCTTCCCCTGTCGGCATTTTTCTCCTAAACAAGCCTGTCAGCTTCGACAGGATGCTTGGTTTTTGGGCCGTCTCTGGGGCGGGTCTCTTTCGACCCTCGTTTCCCCCTCGACCAGGCGAACTCGGCTGTCGAACAGAGCTGGGACGAGAGGTGGCACCGTCGCTTCGAGCTTCCATCGCTGCAGGAAAGGTCCTGAATGGAGACCTGTCAGTATGGTTTGTGTAGTTATGAACTGTTATTGCTGGTTGTGCTGGACTTGGGATCGAAGGCTCCTTTGATGTGTGTGTTTGCTGCCGAGAAGAAGCAGGGCCAGGATGCTGCAAGATTTCCGTCATTGGTACGGCACCCTGAGATGCCATATTCTGCTGCATTGCTGGTGAAATGGGACCTGGGGACATGACCACGGGCGGATCGACATGTGCTCGAACAATCGTAGCAATCTTATGGTACTGCATTCCGACGCTCTGAGGCGCCGAGTCAGCGGCTGGTGGCTGTATGCTCTCGGCATCCGCTTGTTCTGGCGAGGCTTTGGAAATCGACTCTTTCGGAACATCTTGCATATCGACAGGTACTGTCTTTGTTGGTGCTGGTGTGGCAGCCTGTTGAACATTCGGTGAGAGTTGTTTAGGTTCAGTCTGGATGGTCATGTCCCCCTTCACTTTGGCCTTCTGTACTGAAGGTACGCTATTGTCAGCAACCGACTGCTCAACCGACCGGTCTGCCGATTCTGTAGCTGTTGACGGATTTTGTACCGATTTGGCGTCAAAAACGGACTGCAACTCGGGCAGGCCTTCTGCGCAGGAATGGTTCTGGCAATAAAAGTAGTGGGCACCGGTCAACTGCTCTACAGCACAGGCATGATAGTATTCCGCGGCGAGACCTTCGCCATTGGGGACTGCAACAGGCGCCGACAGAACATGCTTTCCGTTTTCATACGACTCGTGTTGTCCGTCCTTCACGTCCCCGTTTGCCAGCCTTGTCCCACCTCTTTCCCTTTCCCACGAAGTCCACCGAGACCAAACGCTGGCTCTAGCGCTCGCCAGTCCGAGACGACGTGGGGTGTCCGGGGAACCAGAAGAACCAGGTGAAACGAATATGGTGTTGGGCGTTTCTGGCGCAATTAGCCCCGAAGGCAGAGGAGGGACTTCCACGGTTTTGGTGCCGCCTTTGTCCACTATAGTGCCTTTTCTTGAGAGCATCGGTGAGAGCATAAGATTCCACCATCCCTGCGATCTGGGACGTGCACTTCCCGGTTCCGGTGGCAGTATGGGATGCTGACTTTCAGATGAGCTGCGCGGTGCGTTGTCGGCAAGACTCGCTTCCTTCTCGTTCTCTGCCTCTGATTCCTGAGCATAGTGTTGATGGGGGCTCGACAAAGCTCCAGTGATGACCGCACCCGCAGTCACCGGGTCTGGGTTGCTCAGACTGGCCAGGGCTGGAGGTATCTTTGGCACAGGTGGAGTGCTATATTTCGATGGCTGCGCTTCGTGCCGTGGAAAGGCGGAATAAATACTAGAAGGAGGTCTGGATGCGCCTGCGAATTGAGATCTCCAAAATCCGGTCTCTTCAGCAGGGGTTACCACTATTGCAGGCGTGTCGGGTGTAGGGCCGGATAAAGCGCTGTCTCCCCCGTTTGTCGCCCGGTGCGCTTCAGCTTCATCTTCTGGGACGCTGAGCCCGATGACGATCGACCTCGCCTCGGGAGAGTATTCCATTACAGTCCTGCCCTTCGTATGGATAGATGCCGCATTCTCGATCGTGGGAGGAGCCATGGCGGCCGAGCGCATGGATTGTGTATCATCTGTGGTGCTGGCTGACTTCTTCTGAGGTGCTCGCAACTCTAGCCATCTTGACGAGGTTCCCATACCACTACTTGTCGCCGATCTATCCAGGGCCCGAGATCTGTTTTCATGGTGATGGTGTACTCCAACGTTGACCGAGATATCTTCCTGGTCTAGGACAATCCCGGTTGTAGCACCGCCAATGTGTTCCGCTTTGGCAGACACGATCGACGTGGCATATCGTGGACCCAGGCGCGGTCTTTGGGAATGCACCTTGTCGATAATCAGCCCATCGGTGTGTGACCTCGTTGCCTGTTGGGAAAAATTGGTGACAATGTTCAGTCCCGGCCGTGGCCGCCGACCTGGCTTGGAGATCGGTGAATTCTGTTGTCGTCGAACGGACCGTGTCCGGCGCGACTGCGGTATTTGCGCCCTATTCTTCGCATCCTGGCTATATCTCTCCAGGTGAAATTCATCCTGACCGCTAGAGCTGCCGCTATCTTCGTCTGAGGAGCTGGAGGTGAACGGATTGGACGGCAAGAAGGGATTGTTGGGTGCGAGTCTGTCAGGACCTGGCCTGGGTTTCAGAGCTGTCAAATCTTCGAGGGTGGGCGATGACAACGGAAAGCCGGGATGAGGGTTCAGGCGAGCCATTTGAGCATCTGCCCTTCTCTGCGGTCGGGCTTGACCCTTGGGTATCTCGAAATTGGCCACCATTCCGTTCTGAAGATAGGAAACCGAGAAGTCTGCTCAGAAAGGTCGTAGCGAGTGGCGAGAATGATAGGGTTACTTAAAAACACCGATTGAAGAGTGCGTTGATATCAGGAGAGAGGCATTGTTCTTCAGTGAGTGACGACCGTATTTCAAGGTGGCCTGCAGCTGCGCAACTGTTTCATTAGGATCTTTGCGGCATCCTGGCACCAAGAGCACACTGAATATCAGAACTTGTCACAGAAGATCAATAGGCACAGATTGAGGGCAGACAGCGTGGTAGACAAATGCGAGACACAGTGACAAAAAAACGGCAGAAACTTGAAGGAACAGCACCTTGGTGAAAGCAGTGGGCGCAGCTGGAAGACAGTGCGGCGGACACCTCAAGACAGGCAGCAATGGATCTTATTGAATACCATCGCACGGTACAAGCCCAGTGTCTTGTTCATCAGTCTTAGACATGGCCTCACTACCTCCTCTTGTGTTTCGACGGTGGCCGTTTGAAGCTCACCCGCGGCTGTCTACGGCCATCATCACAAGGGAACGCCATGCTGAGCATCGCAGCGGAAACAATAGAAATCCCCATTTTACCCGCCTCGGCGGCAAAGGCCGAGGTAGATTCAAGAAGTCGTCCGGTACAATGTAACACAGCTGTTGACTGGAGGATAAAAACACCCCAGAAATATACGCGCGCGTGGTGTTTTGACGTCCCTTGTTTCGGAGCCTGGCAGCCACTACTGGGCAAGTCACGTGGTCAGCCCAGACGAATGTTTCACAAGGCTGCAACAAGAAACCCAACTGAGGACAGTCAGTGACATGGAAGGTGGTGATGATGGTGATGGTGGTGATTATGGGAGCCACATCGGTGGCCAAATTCATGATTATTCCATCTACAAGTCCGAGAGTGCTTCTGGAGAGAGAACATGTTTCTCTCCCATCTCTCAGAAGCCAGCTCGTCGTCCAGCCATTCCTTCCGCCATCAGGGCCACCACCAGAGGTACCTCTACCTCGTCCCTACCCACGCCGGTGTCGTTGACTGTTGAACATATATTCCAGGGTCAATGGTATCATAAAACAAATCCCACCCCATTCAAGCTTGAACAGCGACATGCTACCCTGACACTCCAGTGACCGCGTTTTGCCGGTAGACGCAATAAAACTGTAACAGAAGCCGTCGAAGCTCAAAATCCAACGGGCAAAGAAGCCCCTCAGAGCAACCCCCGAAAATATTACCGAAATATGGAAGAAATCGAATCCGTCCTTTTTAGCGCCGTTCATCAGAGTATTGGATGCCCTGCATCGAAGAGCTGGTCATTATAGGTGGTAGAGTTCGGGCAGGTTCGTGTTGGCCTTCTGCATGGCCATTGTAATGTGGTGCGTATCCCAGGGGACTCTGTGGTAGCACGTTGGGTGGTGGAGGGAAAGAGCCGTGCGGCTGCTGCATCCCTCGTAGTTGTTGACTCATCTCATGCATCTTCGCCTCCAGCTCGGCAATCTTCAGGCGTTGGCTTTCATAGTCCGCGCGCTGCTGTTTGTTTTGATTCTCCAGTTGCGTGATGTAGTCGATCGCTTTGATAGTTTAGCAACATTCGACACACAGTCAAGCGACGGGACTCACCTCTCGATAACGTCTCCCACTTGCTTGATTTGTTGTTCTGGGCCGTGGGCAGCCGCGACCTGAGTTGCTCGAAACAGTCTTTCATCTCACTCCGTCTCTTACGCTCCGCGAGCTTGTGGGTCACTCGAAGTTCGGGCGTGCGACTGTACGGCGTGCTACCGTTTGGCGACTCGGGGTCGCCCCTGAGGCTGTCGAGTTGTTTGTGTTGAAGTGAGTGATGATGGGCATCGGGGAGTTCTAAAAACATTAGCCTTGCCATGCGCCGTGTGGGGTTCATCAAGTGCAGTAGGTACCTTGCTGGCCAAGCGGCAATCGGGATGACTCCACCGTGAGGACACTGCTTGTGAACGACTCGGCAAAACTGTTACGGCGGGAGAATGTCGAGGGTGGCCTCCCTGGCGGTCGAGGGGCGTCGGGGTCGGGAAAGGCGTAAGCTTGACCTCGCGTAGGGGCTTCGGCGCTATAGACTTCCTGCTTCGGATTCTCCAAGATGGGCGGCGCAACACGTCCGGCGGCAAAACTGCGTCCTCCGCCACGAGCGGAACTGAACGAGGACATGGACCCATTCATCGTCGAATATCGCCCTCCCGCATAACCGTTTGTTTGTATGCCTCGTTCCCGCTGCAAATCAGACACGAGTGAGGTCTGGGATGCATTGTTACTGGTGTACGGCGAGGTCGGGCCCAATCCCAGATTGTTCATGCCGTGATGGATGCTGTTCGTGACGCTGCCCCTTCTCGAATCGTCGAAGTCACCACTGCCCCTGTGTGCGTGGGGGTCGGAATTCGTCGGCGGCGGCAGTCCGTTCGACTGATGTTGCATAATTCCACCGAAGGCCGCCGACGGAGCAGCAGGGTTCTCAGGCGTGTACGGCGAGTGTCCCGGCCCGGTAGGGGAATTCAAGTAGGGCATGGAATTCGTCGAATGCGCAGACGAGCCTGAATCTAGGAAGAGCATGATTAGCACCAAGTTTGCCACAGTCGACCATGAAGAGGATTGAACCCACGGGTACCCGGCGTCATCCAACTCCCCGAGTCTCTCTGAGGCGGTTGAATCGAGAGATCTGGCGGTGCTCGATCGGCCAATGGAGCCGGTAATTTCGAGGTCAAAGAAGTTATGGAGGGAAGCGTCTGAGTGGTTTGCGGGAGACTATGGGGAAGCTTGGGCTCCCAAGGACGGCGGCTCGTCGTCTCCATTTTGCGATCTCGGTCGACTTGTCGCTCACCTGTCGAATATGACTAGCTGAAGAGGCGACTAAATTTGTCGCTTTGGCGCATATGGCGCTTCCAGCACAGTTTGCAAAGTCCCTGACTCGTCGCTCGACGAGTCCGTACTTTCGAAGACGATTGGCCCGTCCCGTGCGAGAAGTGAGATGTGAGAGGTATCGCCGCCACGGGTAATCCAGAGATGCCTCACACAGCAGCGAATAGTGGCACAGGCTCTTTGGAGGAATGGTATGCGCTGCTTCGACGCAGACTCCCGCTGTTGGTAGACGCGCGAGGCAACCTCAATGTGCCAGTACCGTCGACCACTCCGGGCTCCAGTCCTCCAGGCTCTGATGATCCAGCTTCAGCCAGTCTGATCGAATGCGCCCAGGAAGATGGCCAGTCCAACTCGGGAGCGCCCAAGCCGAACCCAATCGCGTCGCAAGAAATATAGAACGAGAATTGGTAGCCAGTTGTCGGCAATCTTTCTCCGTCAACCCTCCTACCAAGTTGAGACCTCGACACTTCCAAAAACGTGGCCGAGGAGATCTTGTGGAGCAAGATCGAGATGCTGCGGCTTGCCAGAGCGACGAGGAAATTCGAGGTGCTGGCGTTCGATGGTCGACGGTGACACAGACGACGGCGGGACGCAGGGGAAGGATTTGATCTAGGGACGGTAAGATGCGTCTGGAAGAGCAATGGAAATCCAGGGCGCAACAACCAGTCGAAGGACTATAGACGAGCCCAATGGCTGAGATCCGTTGGATGCCAGATGGGGTTGGTAGAAGGCCAGCCTGCCCAGGCGGCAAACTCGAGGGTATTGAGAGGCGCAAAGTCGATCTTCGTGTAGGGCGGGCTAGATAATGAGAGATGCTTGCACTAGCCAGGCCCGGCGTTCTGCATATGTGCGAAAGTGATGGAGGATGGTTGAGAAGAGGCCGAGTGTGTAGGTAGAGTAGGGACAAGAAGATGGATGGGCAGCTTCAGGTAGGTTGGGTATACAACTTGAAGAGACAGCAGCGCACATGGGACAGTGAGTTTCCTCCTCCCGTTTCAGCGACAGTGGCAGTCAACGGTAAGGTAGCCAGCAGAACCGATTGCGGGTGTTCATTCTCCAGTTTTGACGGTTCCTCTTCTACACAGTACCAGGGTAGCCTCATTTGTTAGTACTAGTAGCCTGAAGCAAGGCCCCTAGGCCCCGGCCGGGAGAGATAGTAGGTCGAGTTTAGTGGGCGCCATCAATATTATTGAGTGTCCATGGCCCCATCCACCAACCGCCCACGGCCCCGAAACGGTTTGTGCCAGGTGCAGGCCGCAGGGCAGTGGACACCTGGATAGGACCTTTCTGACCTACTAAGTATGGGGCTCCCTAGGCTCAGAGTGCCCGCTAGACAGACTGGCCTGCCCTGCCAGTGCCAGTGCCGGCCGTCAGTCCCCGTCTAGTAGTAGGCAGCAGAGCCACGAGCCTGAAGCCGCAGTTTCTCTTGCCCTTCCTCCACCACACCATCATCCCCAGCTGCGGTGCTTGTTACGTGCTTCATCCATGATCCATCACCTCCAACGAAATCTCCTTGTTCCTCACGACCTGAAGAGCATATGAGATCCTCGTATCATCTCGCAGCTCTGTGACTTGGTGCATATCATGGTGCATGCCGAGAGTCCAGCTACATTGAAGCAGATGCAGGGGACTACGGAGTGATGAACACACACAACAGCGGACCAGGCTCTATAACGACCATGGTCACTGCATGATCCTGTGGCAATCCATGTGTCCTCGATCCTCGATTGTCCTTCCTTCCACACTCGTGTGGCAAGTCCTTGTGCTCCCGGCGAGGCATCGATTGTGTGATTCAGTTGTCAAACGCCTGCGATCTCAGATCCCTCCTTCTGTCCTCTCCTCCTCGCCGCCCTCAGCATCCGAAGATGGGCTGCAGTACCGGACCACGCCACGTGCGCCAAAGCATCAGACTCCTCCCGAGTGCCTGGCCTAGCCCGGTTGACAAAAGCTAGTCCTCTGCAGTGACCACTACAACTGCTGCGGCCTCTAAACGGGCAGGGTAGGCTCCCTAGGCCAAGGGGCCACCCTTCCTAACGACCGCCCGCAGTCGACCTCGACTCGTGGCAAATCCTCGTCTAGCGTTTGGCTACAGCGGATCGCTTCGTCCTCAAGTGGTTTCACCGAGTGCGCTGCAGGTCATCATGCTGTTAACACATCACGCCTCCGATGAAACTCGCGTGGCCAGTGTACAGGGTTCAATTGAAGAAGAGTTGCCATCGGAAGCGACATACCAGAAGTTCGGAGCAATCTTTTTAACATATCATTTCATAATTGGGAAGACACACCAACCACCTCCCCCACCTCCCAAAACCCCCGGTCAGTAACTCGGTAGTGGCCACATTTACGCAGCTGTCTGACCCATCTCAGCTGGCCAACACCCCTGACCAACAGCAGCCACTGGGGGCCCTAGTGCCGTGTGACCGACACGTTACTAGCCGGGTCTTATAGCTGCTAGGCAGTGCCCGACCCCTGTGCCGCTGTGGACGCCGCTCGAGCTATTGAACGCTTCGTTGTCGTGGGCTGCAATCTGTAATTGTCGTCTCATCCCAGCTGGATGATCCTTTCCCAACGGGACTTGGTCCTCCTTACTTGTCACCAGCGTTCAGTCCACATCTCGGACACTCTGGAATTCGGGAAAGTGGACGATTCTAGTCCGGATCGCGGCAGTTGCTCCCTTCACCGAAAGGAGAATAAATCACATGTCGAGCGCTCAAGAGCGATTCGTTCAGAACAAAATCCTCTTCAAAAACATCTCCTCTGGCCGACCCTGACATGTTGCGACATTCATGACGTCGGAGAACACGAGCCCTAAGACATTCGACGCTCTCGTGCGGCGGCTGAGTCCTGGCTTGCTTGGAATAATCCTTCAACATCCAGGATCAGGGCGCATCGAAGAAGAGCTAGCCACCGCTTGCAGGGTCGTGAAAACGTGGCAACGACAGGTTGTCGTACTTGTTCAGGGCCCTATCCACACTACCTGCACGAATCATGTTTCTCGGGCTCGATCAACACGCAGCTGTGTTTGATCAAGAGGGCGAGTTGGAAACATGTCATGCCCTTCAACATGCTATCGCCGTTGCCCGCTGAGAGCGAATTGGAATGTGGCCATTCGGTTTTCAGCTCCGTGTTGGTTATATGTCACGGACATGCATGCATGGCTTTGACTTTGGCCGTAAAAGGGAGGGCCGTGAACCGTCCGTGCAAACAGAAGTCCAAATCCAGGTACCCTCCCAGCTCCATCGATCCATCGACAGCCAACTTCTTTGAGCCAAATTGCTACGCAGGTTTGCGCTCTCAACATTGACGACTTTGGACCGATCAACCAACCAATACGCTTGATTGACCTCATGGGACGAATATTACCACCAACATCCAATAGCTTCGGCGACGTTGGGACCGGATGGTCGGCCCATGTGTCTTGTGGATGAATTATTCATTCCTTCCGGTCTGCCTCGGGGTAGGTATGTCATGGCCGCGCTCCTTTGCTTACCTGGGACGCAGGCGCAGGACAACACTCTGCAGTGCTTTTTCCTGGAAGTGGTTGTCCCAAGGGCATCCAAAACGCCAGCGGTCGGTGGTTTGCGGATTTCAGCCTCATTCTCTTCATTCTCCTTGAGCTGGCGAGGCGAAATGATATGGAGTTGTGCGCAACTCCCAAGGACCCTTTGACCGCGTCGTGAAGGGTACTGGGAGGTAGCCATTTCGGGTACGAACCTCAACAACATCGGTCAATGTACCGATCACGAACTTCCTGGATCTCAGCCATGGACTGGTGACCTGTCCCTAAAACCATATGCATGCTGCGACAGCCCAGAAATGCAGCAATCAGGATAGTTGTTTTGATTATGGAGGCTAACCCATGATACCAATGTTCGATGAACCCAAAATATGCCAACAGTGACCAAATACGATCAGTTCCAGACAGGAGCTCAGTGTTTGTTGATTTCATGGATTGATACAAAATCGAAGATATTGGAGGTCTGAACCCCTGGCGAACTTAATTAGCTACACTGTGCAAGGGGAATTGTCGCACCTACTGCCGCGACCTGCGCCATCCTGGGAGAAAGGAAAGAAACGTGTTTCGCAGGGCATTGGCCACGGTCAGGAAGCTATTGTCCTCGGACCTTATTCGTGAGTCGGTACCGGATGGCGGTAGGCCTCACTGGTGTACCCCAGGACCACCACAGGAAGAAAGTCGCCTTCAGGCTGTCTGACAGTATAGAGTCTCTACACTCTTGTCCAGACTCTTAGTCGCCGTGGTCTGTACATGACGACGAGTTAGACGGCACCTACCCTCAACTTGTCGGTCCCCAGGTGAGTCTGCTAGCCGTCTAGCATGAGGGAGATTGCCTTGGGATGGTGCTATTCCTCCTGGTTGCTATGGCTGTGTTCAAAGCCCCCCTCATCTCAGTTGCACCGCCACCGTCAAGGTAGGATATCATTGGTGAGTGGTACATTTCAGCTGTGCAACAAAGCTCACCACCAGCCAAACCCAATGGGGCCTGTGGAACGACCGGTGAGTCAGAAACCGTTGTCCAGTTCGGCGGGATATCTGTTCGAGGGGAAATGCTAGGTAGGTCCAATGCTGACTCATGTTTGCTGGTTCATCCGCTTGTTCAATTCGACATGAAAGGGCGTTGTGCCCCCTACGGGCATTGGACACTGGGATTCTGCTGTCAACCGACGCCCGTAAAAACCTGCTGGCCATCGAGTCTGGGATGCGTGCTTGGATCGGCGCCTCCAAGGTATGACCCGACGGTGCAACGCCCCATATCGAAGAATATGGTGGATTTGTGAGTCAACCTGCCGCAGCAGGCAGACTCAATTCACTATCTGCTCCCGCGGACGTTGAAGTTGGGTGAGTCCTGCCTGATAAAGGTGAATGGCCAGGCAGCCCCAGATGCTTGAGCAATGAAGTTTCTTGATGCGGCGCGCTTTTCTACTCTTCCCGTCACGCATAGCTGCTTCTTTCTTGAGCCTCTTCCTCGTCATCTCAATCAACAAAGACAATACCAACCACTCTAAAGATCTAGACATCACAGAAACAGAAAAGCTTGCCAACTGGGTTTTACAAAGGCCAAGAGAGCAAACAATCTGGTGACAACGAGGACTTGCGTGGATTATCTCCTCTCTCCCTCCCTCCCTCCCTCCCTCCTCCTCATCATGAAAACACGATCTTCCACTCGACAAACTGACACCATGGATCGAGGCAAATCTCGCAACGATGAGTCTGCGGACGACTTCATCATGATCGACGATGATCATAACCTTCCCTTCCGACCGCGATCGGCCGCGCCTGAAGAGACCGTTGCCGTCGAACTGCATCCTTTAGACAACAGTGACGCCTTCATAGTATCTGTGCAGACCCCCAAGATACCAAAGGACGGTGGCAAACGCGCCTCGTGCGATGTTGTGCTTGTGATTGATGTGTCTGGAAGCATGAGGGGGGCGGCACCTGTGCCTGAGGCTGAAAATGAAGACGAGAAAGAAGCGGCAGGTCTCAGCATTCTCGATCTGACCAAGCACGCGGCGAGGACGGTTTTGGAGACGTTAGGCAAGGATGACAGACTCGCGATAGTGACCTTCTCGGATGATGCCAAGGTACGTTGACGTTAGGGGTTTCACGAGGCCTTACTGACACTGCCATGTCTAGATTGTACAGAAGCTCGTACAAATGACACCCCAAGGAAAACAAACCGCGTGGAAGCGGATCGATGGCCTCCAAACCGAGTCGTGCACCAACCTTTGGGCGGGAATCCGCTGTGGATTGGAGGTGTTTGAGCAGACGAAGAGTATGGGAAATATTCAAGGGTTGTTCGTTCTCACGGACGGTATGCCCAACCATATGTGTCCGCAACAAGGATATGTCGCCAAGTTGGAGCCCATGCTGTCGAAGTTGGCTGAAGAGAAAGCGTGTACGCCCACAATCCATACCTTCGGCTTTGGCTACAGCCTCAAGCCAGGGTTGATGCCATCGATTGCCGAGGTTGGGAACGGGGCATACTCCTTCATACCCGACGCAGGCATGATTGGCACCGTGTTTGTCCATTCGGTTGCCAACCTGTACACGACGTTGGGCACATCGGCCACTCTGAAACTGGAGGTTCCGAAGAGATTGACCCTACAACCCACGCCGGGGATTGCTTTTGAGCCGGGAAGAAAAGGCATCAAGCTGAACCTGGGCAACCTACAATATGGTCAGTCTCGAGATCTGGTTGTCGCTTGTTCTGGCATTGCTGCAGACGCCGTCATTCATGCCAATCTTGATTACAAACTGCCAAATGGCGACTCGCAGACCTACCAGAGCGTCGCATACTTTTCCGAGAAGACGCAACTGCGGCCCGCGATCGTCGACTACCACATGAGTCGAGCACAGATCTGTGGGTTTCTGTCTTCCCTCTTCCCGGTCAAGAAGAATGGTGAACACGGAACGCTTCAAGACAAGAAGGAGGTGACGCAGGCACGATCACGGTTAGACGCGGTCGTGTCTGCGATTCAGTCTTTGCAGACCAAGCACGATCCACTCGTCAAGGCTCTGCTTGAGGACCTGGTGGGAGACGACCCGGCGGGCCAAATCTCCAAAGCGTTGATGTGGTCGGATCAGAAGAACTACTGGATGAAATGGGGGCGACATTACCTGCCGAGTCTCCTGCATGCGCACCAGCGTCAGATATGCAACACCTTCAAGGATCCAGGTCCGTTGATGTATGGCAAAGACAGTCCTCTATTCATTCAATGCCGAGCCGAGCTTGACGCCGCATTCGATAATCTGCCACCGCCGAAACCCAGTCGCCCACTGAGAGTGGTTCCGGTATACGACCGAAATGGGACGATGACCGGGACCAGAACTCGAGCTCACCGTCAGGTCAGCATGGGCAGCTACAACTCCAATACTGCACCTTGCTTCGAGGGTGACTCTCGAGTCACAACCGCAGATGGATCCGCCATACCGATCAAGCATCTCACTGCAGGTATATCCGTCTGGACACCCATGGGAGCACGTCGGGTGGTCGCGGTCGTCAAAACACGAGTTCGTTATCAGGATGGTGGACAGCTGTGTCGGGTTGGCAAGTTGTTGGTGACCCCGTGGCATCCTCTCAAACACGATGGTCGTTGGGTGTTCCCTCAAGAAATTGCCGCAGACACCGAAGCTTTTCAAGGAGACGTCTACTCGATTTTGTTGACTCCGTCACGACATGCCGCTGCTCATGCCATTGAAGTTGGCGGCCAGATCTGTGTGACTATGGGACATGGCATCACTCGCCGCCTGCACGACGCTCGATCACATGCATTCTTTGGCAACTATCGACGGGTAATGATGAGTCTGTCTCGACTTCCCAAAGGCAAGTACGGACATTTGAAGTGTGGTGGATTGCAGAGAAATGTGGTCACTGGTCTTGCGTGCGGATTCATGCCACCACAGGCGAGCAAGACTGGATAGAGAGCATGGTTTGCACGGGTGAGGGTGACTGTCACGCATGACCTAGCAGGAAAGTCAACGATAGAGCCTGAGCAGACGAGCAGACGAGCAGACGAGCAGACGAGCAGACGAGCAGACGAGCAGCCTGGAAGGGGTGGCAGCCTTGTCTGTGGAGAGGCAGGCGGAGCTTGTTGATTGGCACCTAGCTCGAGACAGCCTACGACAACATGTAATGTATGAGTATGAGAACCATTGACAGATTGAATTGATGATGTGTGGGAGTACAATGAATTGCGATTCCTGTAGGATGGAGACGGTCCTCGCGTGCAGTGTAGTGGGTCGCGGTCCCTGACGCTCGGGAGGAGAGGATCTATAAATGGAAACAGAAAAAGGGGCCGTGAAGATGGTGTTGGATGGTGGGGAGTTTTGGTGTAAGGGCCGGACATGATGGCAAGATGCTACGGTGTGTGTCTCTCTCTGTATACACGGCTGCGGACTGAAGACACGCGCCCACCAGGCATCGGGCCCCGATTAGCGTCCGCATTTGGTCTCCTGGCCTCCTGGCCTCCTGGCCTCCTGAGCCCTGGCGTCGACGTGTAGATACTGGATACGTACGGTGTGGACTGTGGATTGGAACGGCCCCATGCTGATTTATCTTATTACCATCCATGACCGCGTTGGTTGGTCTCGACACGATTGTGGCCAGTTGTTCCTCCTCTGTTGATAAACTGCGCTGACCGCGATTCACTCCTCTCCCTCGCCTTTCTCCCTTCTGTAAACACCACAATCCTTTCAATTGACTCGTTACTTGTTATTTCGCCATCCTTTCCCTGCGTTGATCATTCACAATGGCGTCCAAGGACAAGTTGGTTTCGTACGAAGGTAAACAGAGACGCCGTTGACTCTCGAGAACACCACACCCTTTTTACAACTCTTCTCACATCTACCACGAACTAAGCTGACTTTCTTGTGATGAGATAGACTACCAGGGCTGTCTGACAGCGTACTTCGAATGGGCTGAGAGCTATGATTCCAAGGTAACTCACAGTCCCCTCCAACACCAAAGTACCATCTCGTCTAGCAACAGCTCCACTAACACTTTCTTTCGCCGTGTAGGACTGGGAACGTCTGCGCAAGATCGTCGCCCCGACCGTCCGCATCGACTACCGCTCCTTCCTGAACAAACTGTGGCCCGCCATGCCCGCGGACGAATACATTGCTATGGTGTCGGATGCGAAAGTGCTAGGCGACCCGCGGCTGATGACCCAGCACTTCTGCGGTGCGTCCAAGTGGGAGAAGGTCTCGGACGACGAGATCATCGGATACCACCAACTGCGGGTGCCGCATCAGAAATACACGGACGAGACCCGCACCAAGGTCCTGGTCAAGGGCCACGCCCACTCTTCCAACACCCACTGGTACAAGAAGATCGATGGCGTCTGGAAATTCGCCGGCTTGAACCCGGACATTCGTTGGGGCGAGTACGATTTCGACAAGGTCTTTGCCGATGGCCGCGAGGAGCTGGGCGATCAGGAGAAGGCCGAGGAGGCCGAGAAGGTCGCCAAAGAGGCCCAGGGCATTCCGGCCGAATAGTTTGCAAAAAGAAGAACAGACAGAATGCGGGAATGCGAGGTATTGGCCCTCCGGTCTGGATTGAATCCATGGCATGGGCATGGAAGGACATATATGCTGAGGCACGGATTCAGTCTAATGGCACACGGACAGCATGCAGTGTGAGATACCATGCATGATGCGAACAAGATGTGCAACCGGAAAGCATATCTATTGATCGACTCCAAATTCGGGTCTGACGAGGGAAAGGTTACAGAAATTGCCGGGCTCACGTTTGTCTCGTTATTTCAGAGCCATACTTGACATGCAGCGAATCCTAAGCACTGTTACATCCCAGCGTGTTGTACAACCTGTGTTCGTGCGTGTGGTTTTGTGTTTGAGAGCATGGACGGCTTCTCCGCTCAGCTTGCCTTGTGCTGCTCAGAGTCCTGAGGGATTTCTGGTAGATCTCAGTCCACCCAAAGGCCAGCTCTCCTCACGCTACCATCTTATGATCTCGAGGAGGTCCCAGTATGCAGTTGCCGCCATCGTCCCTGACCTCGTTCCGATTCTCACGGCCGGTGCCTGCTTGACAATACGACTCTGTCAAGTGACCGTAAGGATACCTCCACTCCGCGGTCGTTGATCAAGGGTCCCGCTCCCTGTCCAAACGGGGCTCAGACGCGGACCACCTGCAAGGTGAGTGCAAGTACTGTATCAGCGACCGGTGGGATGGACGACATTGCGTCCCCGGCCATTCCAAATATCAATCAGGCCATCATTCAACTCCTTTGCTCCCCTCCAGCAACATGTTCGCCACATCCTCCCAGTGAAAATCTTGCCAGGGCAGCGAAATGTTGAGGTCAAGATATGGCGCCTGCATATTTCGAGCCTGGGCGAACCCGATTGTGGCCGTGGACTCTGTGGCCATGTACTGGGCCTCTCCTGGCGATGCAGCTAAGTCCAAAGAAACAACGCAGGGATCGAATTGAGTGGTCCTTTGATGGTCCGGAATGTTAGACGGAGCCCATTGGGGAATGATCACATCACCGCTTTGGCCGGGGTCCGCGGCTGACATTGACACTTGGCCGCTCAAAGGAACGTTGGACGAGGTCCGGTGGTCTATCTTCCCGTGTTCATGACGTTGTGTTGTGTGGACAAACTCATTTGCCATGCCATCAAGGTCGGTGATGACGATTGCGTATCGATGATTCGTCCCTGGCATCATGGGGTTTTGGAGTTCTCCGGCCGCCAGCGCGGCACATTCTCGAAGCAGAACGGCCGATTCCAGTCGCGGCGGATCGGCTCCGAGACCAGGGCTTTGCCGAGTGCTGCAGATGATGTCCAACAGCAAAATGAAACAGGCCGAGTAGAGGTAGTAAAGATCAAACCAGGTGGCCCCGTTCAGGGCATCAAGCGCCTTGAGTTTGAGAAGCAATTGACAAGACGTCCGGCCAGATTCGATGCACACTTCAGCCATTACACGGGCGTCCTGGACTCGTTGGTCTGCGTGTGGCCCCTTCTCCGCGAGCCGACTGGCCCGATACAACAGAGCTGCACGAGTCAGAAGGCACACGATATAGTGATACCGGATGTGAAGTAGCAGCACGGTCCGTTGGTTCGGCGGGGGTAGCCCAGCAACGGCCTCGACCGAAAGATGAGGCGGCAGAGCCTGTTTCCAGCGCTCGAGGTCACGCAGAAGCGCCGCCGTGGGTGAAAGTGGTCCCCTCCAAGCATCCTCGGAGTTGACTGTGCTACTGGTCCGCACCGTTCGACATGCCAGACCCAGCAGCACGACGAGCCGATTGGAATGGAGCATGCTCTGGCCACTCATTCCCAGGATGGACTCTCGTGGACAGCCAGTCGAGCAGACGGCATCCTCGATGGCGCTGGGCCGATCCAGCGACGAAACTTGCATCTGTTCGAATTCATACAGCGTCCACCAAAGACACTTCCGCAGTTCTCTGGTGAGGGGCGTCTGCAAGGGCTTGCTGTTGTCGTCTTCGCGATGGAGGCCGATTGCGAAAGCAATCCTCACGGCCGCGCCCGTCAGCGTCCAGCACAGGTCTCGGTGATTGCTATTGTTGAGGTGGAGCGCCGTCAGCATCAGGGCCTGGATGGCGGAGACGCTCGACGTGAAGAGCACATTGGGCAGAAGAGTCTGGACCTGACACCACCAGTGATCGGCTTCCTCCTGGTCCGGCACCACGCCGCCCTTGGACAGGTGACGAGCCAGGATCATGACGCACAACAGACTGCAAAGCCACGTCCGGTCTGGCGGCGAAGAAGAAGAAGAAGGCGAACGCGACCAGCGCTCGTACTGCTCGCGAAACGACGCCTCATGCAGCACAGGGAAATCCGGGTGAACCGAGTCGAAAAAGACGGCAACCAAGCCATCGGCAACAGCCGGATCAACGCAGATCTCTTCCGGAGTCGTCGTCTCGGCCCGCGGGCGGATTGCTTGTGAGGTGGACTGTGAACCGCCAATTCTCGAATTACTCGCCCTCCTCGACGCCAACATCCCCTCGACCTGTTCGGTAGGGTTGGGCCCGAACAGAAAGAATTCCCGGCCCACATCCTGTCCGCCGCGGCCGATCAGGGTCCGAATGTTGATCTGAAACAGATAACTACTGGCCGGACCGATGTACTGCGCCTGGCCCTGCTGGTCTCGCAGCATGCGCGCGTCGTCCGCTTGTCGATGTGAAGAGGACTGCACCGTTCCCATTCCCGTCTCCATCCCCTCCCTCCCAGACCGAGCGGGCGCCGGCGCCGGAGGAAGGGGAATCCCCAGCGAATGACCCAGGTCGCGCATATTGGCGACATTGGACGTGTCGATCTCCGGCACCAGTCCTTTGACCAGCGACTCCAGCACCGCCATCCGCGTGCCCAGGCCCTCGACCGATCCGTAGATTCTCTTCTTGCGCTCCCGCGTGGTGACGCAGTCGAAGTGGTGGGCCTGGCAATAGCGACACGCTTCGGAGTCTAGCGGTCTGTGACATTTCTGTTTGCGTGACTTACATCGGTCGCAGCTGATTTCGGTCCGCTTCCGCAGATCCACGGGTACTCGACGACTGGGCATTTTTTGGGTTGTAGGGAAGGATGAGAGCAGAGGTTGAAGCAATGAAGAAGTGATGATTCGGTTGACCAGACTCTAGATGGCGAGGTTTGTCGGTCGCATGGCCCTCTAGAGAAAGATAGGGCTAGAGGGGAAATAAATACATGCTCATAGCGACCGAGTGTTGCGGCGATAGAGGGATCAAGGAGTGAATGTGGACGCTCAGGTACTTAGGTGGTACAGTACACTGGGAGAGATCATTGAAGAGTCAAGGTCAGGCGGCGCGGAGATCTTCTGGGCATGTTAATGATAAGGTTGATAACATCTGATGGGCAGCCTCATTATTAGAGAACGAGAGTGGGTCGTTATCCCATCTCAAGAGCGTTTACTATTGGGTGCTAGATATCTATTTAGTATGCGTCTAAGCCGCACGGGGCAGGTACTGACCTATAGTACGGCCTAGATTAGATATCTTACCCTATTAATACGGGATTTTACCAGAGCCTCGTCGTCAATACTACTACTAGGTAATGATAGGGGTAGGTAAGAAGCCACGGATGGAAAGAGATGTCTCGTTCTCCCCCCGTGTCCATCATCATGCTATGATAGATCTTGTGCTGCTATTACTGTAAGCGCATCAACGTATTAGGAAGAGTGCAAATGATCAACAACCCGAGACCATCAATGCTCCTCTAACAACGATCTTAACCTCTTCACCTTGTCCAGAATGCTTTTGGAGCAATTCACATGCTAGACAGTGGCAGTGTTGATGGAAATTACCATTTTTCCCAGTTCTGCCTCCATCTCTGCGGCCGCAATCGCAGCCGCGGGGTTGGTTCTCGCTTGAATGAGAGCATCGACATCTGGTCCGTCGACATCTTGCGAAAGGTTTCCTTGATCTGGGCGAGATTAACATGAACATTGTGACCGCCGTCTCACACTTGAGCCTGTGCATGTTCGCCCGTTTGAATTTGCCTCCACAACAGTGTTTGTTAACGGGATCAGGAGTCCAGATTGCAGCCGAGGAGCAGTCACCGACTGGTAGTGGACCATCCCTGGTGGCTATAAACGAGGGGGTTCTTGAGGGCACACGTGTGTCTGAGAGAACGATCCCCTGAGCAAAGCCTCGACCAGTTGGCGACAGAAATCTCGCTTAGGGTCATAGATCTGGCCAGGGAATACGACTGGCTGTGCTCTGCGACATTTATGAAGGTCCCATGATCATGATTGTTGTCTGGAACGCTTGTACATGTCCTTCGCTTCGACAACTGTCCTTGGACCTGTAGAGTTCCTGGCGGCGACTGAACTGCGGATGGTTGCAGAGCCGCAGGTGGAACAGTCCTGTAGGCTGTAGTACAGCCAGTCAATACAGTGGGCCGAAAGATAAGTGCCGGTCGGGTGCCAGATCGCCGCGTGCAAGGCAAGGTTGGAAGCGAACAGACTTGTACTTCAGACATGAGATGCTCGTAACATTGGTAGTACACTCCATAGGTACCAGAGTGAGTCCTAGAATACAGAGGGAAAGGGAGCATGTTTGAACCCTCGAGTCGAAGTTTGTTGGACCCTAATCTATAGCGTATTGGTGGGTCAAAAGAGCCAAAAATGTATACCTTAACTCTCTATTGCGGTGCATGTATATGATAGTGATAGTGGGTCCACGTCCTTATCAAGACCTCGTCGCAAGCAAGCAGCCGAACACTAACCGCAACGACGCCGCACTTCTCTCATTTGCAAGAGCCGACCAGACTAAAGCAAACCATTGGGAAGGGAAGCCATGGGCCCACCCAACCATTATACTCTACCAACCGCCCTCAGTCATTTCCAATCTGCCAGCCTTGCCGTGTCAGTGCCTTACTTAGATATGGCCAGTCCCGAGAGATTAAGTCCGCCATCGGAGAGGAGTTCGACCGTATCTCTGGAACTGTTGATAACGGGTTGTCCTCCAACGGATATATGATATCTCTCTGTCCGGCGCCAGCAGATCGACGACTCGAGGATCCCTGACGCCTCACCATCGACCGCCAAAAGACTTTCCCCTTGCAGAGTATCAGTCACGAGCAACTCACGCTGCCGATCATGGCCTCGTCTGAGAAAGCCGCCATTGCGGACACCACCAAGTCAGCATCGGTCAGCGACCAAGTCGACAAAGGCGACGTCGAACAAACCACAGCCGATGTCAATCTGAAGAGAACGAAGGATGGCATACTTCTCGTCCCTCAACCGACCGATGACCCTGAAGAGCCTCTTGTACGTGCGACCGTGGTTTTTCGTCCTTTTTGGTCTGAAACATCTCAGAACGGCTAACCCATGACCGCGTCTAGAATTGGAGTTTCGCCAAAAAGCATGGTGCTCTCGTGGTCCTGGCATTGGGCTCCTTCTTCGTCAAGTTCACCGCCACGATTCTGGTACGTTTTTCGGGTCCGTCTCTGTATTTTCACATCTCACCCTTTGACCTTCATAGGCTCCCGGGGCACATTCCCTCGCCAAACAATTCCACGTCACTGCCAAACGAGCGGTCTACATTGCCAGTGCGTCCTCGATCATGCCTGCCGTTGCGCCATTCTTCTGGATTCCTATGAGCCATCGATATGGACGACGTCCGATGCTGATGGCGGGATCCACCATGGCCATTGTGTTTGCCCTCATCATTGCGCGGGCCGACACTTATGCCCAGGCCCTTGTCTGTCGTCTCTTCATGGCCTTTGGGGCGTCTTCCGCCATCTGCATTGGCCCCGCCGCCATTAGTGACATGTTCTTTCTGCACGAGAAAGGAACGCGCATGGGCTTCAATACCATCCTCCTGATTACCGCCCCTTACCTGGGCGGCGTCGTGGGTGGTTCGATCATGTACAATCCCAACCTGGGCTGGAGATGGACAATGTACATTGCTGCCATTCTCCTCGCTGGGCTTCTCATCTGCCAGTTCCTGTTCGGTGAGTGACTCCCCTGTAGAAGTGATTACATCAGGAAATTTCAATTGACTTGTCTTCTGCAAGTTCCGGAAACTATTTTTGATCGAGCGCTGGCCAAGCCCGTCCATGAAAAGCCCCCGCCAACAATCGCTGCTCGACTTGGCTTTCGCAGGCCGACCGCCACCCGGAATGAGAACTGGGGGCACACTTTCACCCGGCCGTTCGCCATGTTTGCCTACCCCGCCGTTGTCCTACCGTCGTTCTGGTTCTCGGTGACGGCCATGACCGAGGTTGCCAATACCGCCGGCTTCCCTTTGAACTTTGGCCCAGGAAGCCGCTGGCATTTCAACACACAAGAAATCGGCTTCTGCTCTTTTTCCGGGTTCATCGGTGCCATAGTGGGCGAATTCTTCGCCGGCCCGCTGTGTGATCTGGTGGCGAAGCGACACTTGAACAAGGGAACTGCATGGAAGCCCGAATATTTGCTGCCCCTGACCATCAGCGGGCTCATTACCGTTCCCGTAAGTTGGCTTCCCTTTAATTGCAAAACCCTACTGATCATCTCAATGCGCAGGCTGGTCTATTACTCTATGGGTTCGAGCTGCAGTGGCCGACCGGCTGGGCTGCCGCCTTGACGGGAGTCGCCATTTTCACGGCAGGACAGGAGATCCTGATGACCGTCCTCATGACCTACATGACCGACTGTTACCCTGGCTCGGCCTCGGAGGTCTCGATTGTGTTTCAGTGTCTCCTCAATGCCATGGCCTATCACCCGCCCTTCTACGTTCCGCAGTGGATAGCGGAGCCAGGCGGAGCTAAAGTCCCCTACATTGTCTTTGCCGTGCTCCCGGTGGTGTTTTTCCCCTTAACCATTGGAGTTCTCATGTGGAAGGGACCCCAGCTCAGGGCTCGTGGTCCGTGGTTTACGATTTAGGGAAGGGTAGAGGCAGGAGAGAGATGTGTATGATTCTGCCATTGGGAGGTGTCGAGCAAGGCAATCGTTGTATAACTTGTATTCAACTTGTACAAGATGACTCAAGGTACCAATATAGGATGTTATATATTATTCTCAACTTGTTATACGCGATGTGCAATTTTCTCAATAACCTTATCTTGCGTGTATCCTTACGGCAGGAGAGTCTCCCGAGACCATGTTACTCATCATGGCAAAAACACCAGTAACAAGTAGAATGATACATGTCAATTCGGCCCATGTAGAGGACCCTACATGGCTGGACGACGGACAACACTAAACCAACGTGGACACGAGGACTTGAACAGACATGTCTCGTTATGGGCGTGCCTGTTGCGTTGTTGTTTGGCAACACCAGTCAAGATTGTCTTATGTGCTAATCTGACAAACGAGGAAATGAAATTGAAACTTTGGTGACCCTCCTATTATGCAGTCAAAGCCGTCTTTTCCACCACTGACGCAGAGACTCTCTTCATGTTCATCGTCTCGGGCTCCTTTCTGGTGAGGGCTTTGAACTCCTTCTCCGCCCTGTCCACATCGGCCATCAGATCGTGCTCCCAGATCCACAGAAAACGATGGTTCAGGTCTTTTACGATCGCGTCCAGGTCGTCACCAATCCCCGGTGCGCTCAGCGTGTACACCAGTCCAGCCTGTTTGCTCGTCTGCACGACCTTTTGAGCTCGGGGACGTCGGATCTCGTCGTACACCTTGAATGCCGCCTCCAACTGATCCCGATCCGGCGCCGAAACGAGGCCGAGGAGTCGCGACAGGATCAAGGCGTCTTCGAGACACTGGCCTGCGCCTGCTGCTTGATGTGGGGTTGTGGCATGGGCAGAGTCTCCCAAGAGGCAGATCAGGCCATTGTAGTAGACGGGGGTGGTCAAGTGATGGTGGATGGACCAGCGAAGTGGCTTTGCCCACTAAAAGCAGACAAAAACTGGTAGTCAGCCATCCGTATCATGAAAGACAAGAATCTCTGACGGAGTCTCTCCAAAGAATCGATGGGAGTAGAGGTTCACTTACATCAAGCATCTTAATCAGCCTCTTGTCCACCCCAAGCTCCTCAAAATCATTCACCATCTCCTCTCGAGTCACCGGCTGCGTCCACTCGGGATATGTCCATGGCTTGTCATCCAGTTTGAAGGCGACCATATTGCACTGCGTGCCCTTGGAGATGGGGAATGTCGTCACGTTGGCGCCCTTGCCGATGAACATCTTTGCATCGCCTGCGATCTCGTCGCCCAGGGCGTCCTTTCCGAGGATCTTGACGGCGTCCTCCATGGGCACGATCGAACGATAGACGTACTTGCCACTGTACGTCGCGCGCACTTGATCGGGGTATTTCTCTCCCAAGACCATCTGCCTCGTGGCGCCTTTTGCTCCATCACATCCGATGACGGCACTGGCTTCGACCACCTCTCCGTCTTCGAAAGTGATTGTGACTTTTGCGCCTCCTTCTGCTTTTTGGTCCACCGTCTTGACCCGCTTGTTGAACTTGACCGTGCTGATGGGGATCAAGCTGGTCATGACATTCAGCAGGTCCACTCTATGCGCGCTGGTTCGGTCGTAGCATGGTGCTCCGTAGGGGGCCGGCTTCCAGCCTCGTTTCTCCCCGAACCCGTCCTCGAGCAGCATCGCGTCCATCATGACATGGTCTTTGCCTGGCGTCACGTTGCCCGTCGAGATTTGGTTGTAAAGCGCGCGGAAACGTGCATCGATCGCGTCCATGGCCGCGAGAGCATTGGGACCGAGGCCGACGCCCGCTCCGACGGCGCTGTAGGCCCCTGCTGCCTCATAGAGTGTATAGGGAACCCCTTGACGAAGTAGTCCAATGGCCAGCGCGAGTCCTCCTATCCCGGCACCGACGATGGCGATATGAAGGGGTGGCGAAGGAGATATGGAGCCCATGGTAGTGAAGTTAGGTGGAGGAGGAATGAAATCTTGGTCTCTCAAAATTACCTTCAAGTCTTCAAGGTATCTTGGATGGATGCATATATCCTGACAATTTCGAGGAATGAGGAACAAGACATGTGCAAGGCGAGGGAGTCGAAGAATGGGCCCGGTTGAGAGCCGATCGCAGGATGGATCTAGAATGTCTCTGGCTCCGCGAGTTCCTCAACCGACATTGGAAAGAAGATTGAATCCGGCATGCCCCTCCAGCACCCAATGGTAAATAGTCCATGCCGCATTGGTTGAGATGTGTAAGACGGTAGGCGAACCCAGACTCGTCCGGATATCGGACGACCCACTGCTCGAGGAGACGACAATGCGTAGAATGATACTTCAGGCAAATGGATTCGTGCTTGAGATCTGCTCCGGCAGCCGGCATCGAGCCTGATCAGCCAGCACCCGACACGTTACGATATCATACTGCTTATCAGTCGCCACGTGTGAATCAACCGTATGAGAGATGAGCCTTACAAGACGGGCAGGAATGCGGTCCCGACAACCGCGGAACTCAACTCCACTCTCCGCGCTCCACTCAGATCTTTTCGGAAGCCGGCTTGCGACGACTCACTCACTCACTGTCATCAACGTGTCTGGCCGCAATCTGGAATACCGTCCTGAACGTCGTTTGATGCGTTTGTTATCTATGAAACAACAGACGCCGAGCCGACATCGCAACTACCATGTAGGTCATCGCTGTCTGCTTGGACTGCGCTCCTCAAGGCCTCAACCTGCTCCAACAGTCATTTTCGACCCCAAGACGGCCTGATCGCACCCCGACTAGTCTTCTGCCTCCATGCTCGAGTTTCTCCTCGGTCAGTAACAAGCCCAGCATGGCAGAGTCGTCCACGAAGACGACCGACAACTCGGGACACAAGAAGCCCGTCACTGTCGTCGACGTCCATTCTCATTTATATCCTTCGTTCTACCTCGACCTGCTCAGAAGTCGCACTGAAGCACCCTACATCAAGGACAACCGATTGGTGAACCGAGCATCGGCCGCGGGAGCTGGCAAGCCCGTCCAGCCCATCCTCTACGATGTCTCTACCAAGATCTCGTTCATGGACACGCATAACATCGACGTTTCCATCCTCTCCCTGGGAAATCCGTGGCTAGACTTCCTTCCTACCGAAACTGCCGGCGCCGTGGCCCAGGACATGAATGACCAGTTCAATGACCTCTGTGCCAGCGTTCCCGGACGACTGTACTTCTTCGCCGTGCTGCCGTTGAGTGCTCCCCCGTCCGTGATTCTGGCCGAGATTGCACGTCTCCCCAAACTCTCTCATGTCCGAGGGATCGTGATTGGATGTGCCGGACGCGGTGACGGTCTGGATGATCCGGAGCTGGTGCCCATCTTCCGGACCCTGGCGGACGCCAAACTGCCTATTTTCTTACATCCCAATTACGGCCTGCCCGAGACGGTCTGGGGTAAGAGGGCGAAAGAGTATGGACAGATTTTACCCATTTCGATGGGCTTCCCCCTCGAAACCACCATTGCCGTCACAAGGCTCATCTTGTCCGGCATCTTCGCGGAGATCCCACACCTCGAGTTCATCGTCTCGCACGCCGCAGGCACACTTCCGTTCCTCGCAGGACGGATTGAAAACGCCATCGACCACGATCGATTGTGGGAAGCGCAGGGCAAGAACAAGCCCGACCGGCAGACGGTCTGGGATGTCTTGCGCAAGAACATCTATATGGATGGCATCGTTTACGATCAGATCCCGCTCAAGATGGCCGTGGAGGCCGCGGGCGTCGATCGTGTCATGTTTGGAACAGATCACCCTTTCTTCCCACCTATCAAGGGAGGAGAAGACTGGCCCAGCATGTGGAGCAACGAGAAAGCAGTCAGTCAGGGGTTTGGGAAGGACAGCGAGCAATACCAACTCATCATGGGGGACAATGCAGTGAGAGTGTTAGGTGTTGGAGAAGGAGAAGCTGGTCATGCTGGAGGCTGCTGCTGTGATGGACACTGAGTATAAAGCATGATACCGAAAGACTAGGAGATGATACCAACCGTCTAGAACACAAGACCATCGAAATGACTTGCCTCACTGAGGAATACTTCAACAATGAGTCTAGTTGCTCAAAGTATGAAGTTACGAACGAGGAAGACCCGTTTGCAGGAACAATATTCTGTGCTTGGGCTAGTCTTTGTCTCTCCAACATTTGGTGATAGACATACTCATGTATCAAGTATACTTACTCAGAGTGTGGTGCACTGTTGAACTCGGCGCCCTTCATACTGGCATGTTCTGAAGAGGCATTCATGATAACATCGCTAGCATACGAATGTTGTCGCGCTGGATATGAATGTGGCGCCATGCGGTATAGTCGGTATATAGCATGTCGTTGAGCATCAGGGACGATTGATGAGATTGAAGGTCGAGGCTAGCTTGCACGCGCACCACCCCATACCAGTATGTGTTGTACAGAGTATTCAGGATTCAGGGCGACGGGAGGATCTAGCCGACGATGGCCGAACAGTGGCACTTCCATGTTGCGCAACTTTCCAAGTGTCTATGACCCCGCGAGGACCAGTAAAGTTGGCGTGATGGATACAAATATCATGACAACCGGGACGTTTTCTGCCATACTTGACGGGCGAACAAGGACCATCCGTGCTGCAAGCCCCAGTTGCCAGATCTGTATATACGGGTGGCAGGAGATGCTCGCAAGCTTCCATTGTTCCATCTTTGGAATGGTAGGTTGTCATAGAACTCGTTACAGTCAAAGTGTTGAGACCCAGGTAGGTAGGTAACCTGCTATGCTACGGGAAGATACCTAGTGAAGGCTCCTTAGGCTGTTTCGCCAAGACTTAGTAGACACGATAACGCCGAATGAGGTAAGGTGTTATGGCACTAGCGAGCTTACGGCTGGCACAACTAATTTGCCAATTATATTTTAAACTCTCAAATTTTGTCTCAACAACGGACCGGGTTTTCCGGACGTCTCAAACCCTCGATGGTGTAGTGAGTACCGACCATGAATGGCTCAAATTCTTCGGTTCACTAACATGCTCTCAGGTTGGCTATCACGTTCGGCTGTAATGGTTAATTGTTACCGAAAGGTCGCTGGCTCGGTAAATTTCCCGCCGCTTTAAAAACTATTCATCCAACTAATATGACTTTCAGATTCCGGCTCGAGGGAACCTCATCTTTTTTGTTGTTTGTTTCTCACTGTAGCAATCAGCCCTTTTTTTTGCGTTGAGGGTTATGGGGGGCCGTATATGCCAAGCCTTGGTGCGTCAGATGACGTCAAGACGCTGCCTCTTCTTGTAAGCTTGAAACTCTTTTACAACCTCCAATAATCTCTTATGGTTATATCTAGCTCTCCTACCTATCCAGTTTGTATATTTGCTCTATGCGAGGAATTTCCAACCACACGCTTGGTTGTCGCAGATCCAGAGATTTCAACGGGTAGGTGATGAACAAGGACATCTCAATCTGTGGCCTTAATGGCCTCCTTATGAGGCTGGTGCAGTTGTTTTCTTTAGGTGTCTTGTGGTGCCAAAGCCCTCTTCTGCAGTATACTAGTAGGTAAGTGGCCTACACGGTGGATTTCACGACCTCGACACATGGCAACGGCCAAGCAAGTGCTTGAACAGAGTGATGTTCTGCGAGATCAGGTGAAATTCCATTGCTGCAGTTCCCCTTTCGCACTATGTGACCATGCCTCATAATACACCAGGTGGCGAGAAACTGCTCTACGAATGTCGAGGCTCGCATGTTGCAGAACACATCATATAGTCGTGATATGCTAATTTCCTGAGGTTGTCGGTGGGTGGGGCCAAGCAGTCCCCGATCAGGCGAGCGGCGAATCCGGTATGACGGCGACGGCAATGCTTATTTGGAGCGCAGAGATACTGCCTGCAGACAGGTCTACGACTGACCTGCGGCTGCTAAACTCTTTCTCTTCTCTTCTCTTCTCTGCTTCTGGTTGGCGATGAATTGTGTGAGTCTACAGCATTCTTCCTTGCAATCCGGTCTCGCCGTGTTCTCCCTTTTCACGATTTGCAAAGGCCCTAGGGGAACCTAGTACGGGAACCTAGGTGTCCTTCGAGACCGTCCGACCTACTTCTTCCTCGTTGTTTTTACGGCGTCCTCCAACTTGTCACCCCGCGGCGCCTACGTACTTCAATACGGCGTACTCCTCAACTCCTTATAATACCTAGTCATAGCCAGACCGAAAATGGCCCCTCAAAAGAGAAAGGCGGACACCATAGAGGCAGAAACAATTTCCGATGACAAGCATAACGTCGCATAGCACGAAGAGGAAGACATTGACTTTGAAGATGACGACCCGGAACAATGATATACTCGCTTTCAATAATAATAACGACAACGACAAAAAAGATAGTATTCCTTCAAGCCGGAATCTGAAAGTCATATTAGTTGGATGAATAGCTTTTAAAGCAGCGGGAAATTTACGATTTTCCAGATGAGCAAGAAATACCGTTCAAGGCTGAAGACGCCGTTGGTGCCTGCCCTGGCCGTCTAGCTCCCGAAGAGTTTAGAGTGCCATCACCTCACCAAGGGGAACCTTAAGGAGTTTAGTAAGTTGTTACCGGCACCTGATATGGAGTCAAAACATACTATCAGCACACCTCTCTTCTCGTCCACCTCCCGAATCACAGCTCCTGGATGCTTTTAGGTATTAGAAGGACGTGATCGCTAACATTACCTTTACAGATAAGCGTCGCCAGCGGTATAGACACCGTGTAGAAGCGGTTGTTGATATGATGACCGCTGAAATCAAAAGATATACCGATCTCGTTTCTCGTGGAGAAGCCTCCAATAACGACTCGTTCAACTTTCGGTTCTGGGTGTACGTCCGTCTCCTACCACGCTCTCTACTCATTAAGCGGCTGATAGCTGCGAACGCCGCCTGTGGTGCAATGGCTTCTAGGCATGCCCCAGATTAACTCCTCTTTGATCCGGGAATACGCCCCAACTATAACTACCGATCTTCGGAAAAGACGAGGCTGTTATGGCGATTTTGCCAAACACATCGACGGCGAGGAAGCCGACTATATCGGCAGCTCGGCGACTTATGGACGCGTATAATAACGTATAATCGAGGAATTAAGAAAGAGTCCGTGGATAGCGGGTACTATCAAGTATATATTCTTATGGCAATATGGACGTATATCGAGGGTATCTTCCCTGATGATATATGATAATACGGCGAGCAAATTTGAAGTCTCTGCTAGTCGCAGACTCGTACGTGAGGAGTTCCATCTCCTTCAGGTAGGTCAATTATTGTCAAAGATGAAGACCTTCATTGATGATTCAAGCACTCTTGGTTGCTGTTTGGGAGTCCACCAGTCGTTATACCACTATTTGACGAGGCACGTCCAACCGAGATGTACAGATAGACATTACCACTGAATCAAAAGTGCACCATATTAGCAAAGCTTGCAATCTTGATACTGCTCTTGAAGTGCGACCAGAAGCCTCCCGGAGTCTATATAAATGCATGACGGCCAGATGGGAAAACAGCAGTTATCACAATATCATATATTGTATGGGACATGTCTAAGCTGCTACTCTCATCTCTTCACTCTCCACTCTCCAACTCGTTCCATCTCAATGAAGCGTCCAGTCCACATCTTCCCCTTCAACTCCAGCTCAACCCTTGATCTCTTCCATGCCACCGTGGCGGACATTCGGAGTGACGGAGCCGCTGTCCGAGTTTTCCGACGAGGCCTTCCCCCGAGGAGAGACACCAGCCAGAACGTTATTCTTCTTCTTCTTACCGGTCAAGACCTCGCGGAAGAACTCGCCCCAGAAAGTGCGGGTCTCCCAGATAGGCAGGACGCCACACAGGCCAAAGGCGCAAAAGACCCACAGGAAGCTGATGACGATGTAGAAGGTGAAAAAGCCCTTGGAGTAGATGTAGTGGCTGAGGAACAGGGGCAGCGGGATGATGACGTCCATGCTGAGCGACAGCACGGTGGACAGGATCAGGGCGAACATGAAGGTGCGCTGCAGGGACTGCGGGTTGTCCAGGACGGCGGCGTCCTCGGCCTCTTCCTTCTCCTCGTCGACCACGGTCGGCAGGGTCCGGTTGTGGTTGGGGTCTTTGGGTTCTTCTTCCTCGGCGCGCGTCTCGACGGGCGCGATCCCGTGAGACTCGGTGGCCGCGCCGTGCATGGCGGTGCTGGTAGTGTTGGGCTTCTCGGCCAGGGTGGAGGTCGCGTTGGGGCCCGGCACCACATCGCCGTACAGCGACGAGGGGGCGTTGATGTCGCGCGTGATGGTCCAGTCGAAGTTGTCCGGCTTGATCAAAGACACCGTCACCGTCACGATCAGTCCGGTCAGCACGCCCGCCATGTTGCCGGCCAGCGTCGGGTACGAGGCGCCCGTGGTCGCGATGCTGAATTCGCCGTAGTATACCTGCACCTCGACGAGCCAGGCGATCAGCCCGGCCGCCAGCCCGGAAATGGCTCCGGCGATGGCACCCGCTCGCGTTTGACCTTTCCACGTGACGGCAAAGGCGGCCGGGAACACGGCGCCACCGATCAATAGACCCATGACCAAAAAGAGCCAGCCTAGGTCGATGCCGATGGCGTTCCAGATGCAGGCGAAGGCGGCCATGACCAGAGCGAAGAAGCAGATCATGATGTGCGACACGAAGATCAAGTCCTTGGGGCTGGCGCTCGGCTTGATGTACACCTTGTACACGTCAAAGGTCAGGATGGACGACACGGCGATCAGCTCGGACGACGACGACGAGGTCACGGCCATGAACAGCGTGATCAGCAGCGCGATACAGCCGTGCTTGCCCAATAAGGCCTGCGCGCCAAAGGGGGCCGCGAGACCCGCCGAGATTTGCCCCGAGGTCATGTTGTTCGGGTACGTGGGATACGCCGGGTTGTCGGTGAGGGCGACGGCGGCCAGCCCGAGCGTGGTGGCGAACCCAAACGGAATGGCGTACCACGCGAACCCTCCCATGATGTAGCCTCGCACGGCCGTGGTCGGGCGACTGGCAATGGCGCGCTGCCAGTAGCCTTGGTCGAGGAAGACGGTGCCCATGCCGGAGCAGAGTTGGATGACGCCGAAGATCAGGCCGTAGTTGGACTTGAGTGTGACGTACGATCCCTCGTGGTTGCCATCGACTGGCCGCAGCTCGCCGGCGCGGACAAGGAGGTCATACATGCGGCCCGGCGAGCCGATGAGGTCGTTGGTGGTGTAGACCTGTGGTTTGTTTGTTAGTACAGACTCACCTCCCGTGTGAGGGCCACTTACCGAGAACATGAAATACAAAATGATGATCATGAGGACGATGGTGTGCGTGTAGTCACACAAGAAGGTCGCCCGCAGACCACCCAAGACGACGTAGACGGCGACACCCAGCGGAATCAAAAAGACGGCCGCATAGACGTTCATGCCGGTCAGCGTGGTGACGACGGCACTGCCACCGAGCAACAGCTGAGAAGCCACGAGGATGTTGGTCATCAAGGCGAAGAAGATGAAGACCCAATGGGCGAACGTGCCGTAACGGTAGTAGATGATTTCCAGGAAGGTGTGGCATCGCGGAGCGTTCTGCTTGACTTTGCACGCCAATACCGAGAACATGAAGATCTGCACCGTCGCTCCAGCCGCGTACCAGAAAGGTCCCGAGACCCCGTATTCGTAGGCCACGGTGCTGGCTTGGAGTAAGGTGGCTGCCCAGGTCCAGGCCGAGACAACGCCACTGGCGATGAGCCCCGGTTTGACGCTTCGACTGGCCGTGTTGAACTCTTCACTCATCTTGGTCGAGTATTTGGTGTAGCGATTCTGTTGCGGGTTGGTCAGTCAACCACTCGAGACAAGACCGGCTGGTCCAACATACCTGCAAATAGGAGACGCCAGCCATGACCAAGGCGAAGAAGAAGCCAATGCCAATGACGACGCCATAGCCGGTGCCTTGGGGCAGGATGGGTTTGACTGCGGTCGACATGATGAAAGACGAATTGCTCTGCTCTGGGACACACGGTTCAGTCCTCGAATGGAGAGGTACGTCTGGGATGAAGGATCTTGGGTGTCATGACGGTCGTGATGCAGGTACCTTATATCATGCCCGTCGAGCAGGTGTTTGGGGAGCCATGATGGAATCAAAAGGGTTGCATGCCACAGTGGAGCACGATCAAGATACAAAAGACGTTCAACAAACCGCATTGCTCACGACAACTCAACCTGGACATTCACGTCGAGGTTCGTTATCAGTCGTGGTCTGGTGAGACGCTGCCTCTTGTTCGCTATCTTGTTGTCATGGTGGAGATGGCCCGAGTTGCAGGGCACACAGAACGATAAGTTATCAGGCAGGTGTGATGCATGATGACTGGATTGATTCGGTCATGTAACCTCCTCCAGCATCACTTCCGGGTGGAAGAGGCAAGCAACGACGATCAGGGTCATGATGAGGGAAGGGCAGTCCACGACGACGGCCGACCGTGACGAATCTGATAGAGCTGGGGGAGGGTATATCCACCGCGATCTGCTAGTCCGGTAGAACGTTTTGTTTCATGCAGGACGACATGGAATTATGTATAGTATGATGATAAGACAAGTCGACAAAGAGAAAGAGTCTGTGTCTCTATCTCCATCTCTATCTGCTGGAGGAGGGAGGTTGAGGTCAGGCCTGCCGCTAACCGGATTAGGAAACTGGCTGATTGCGGCCAAATCCTTTTCGGCGACTGTCAGACCCACAAGTTAAACAGTGGTATCGAGGCTGAGGCCAAGCATCTGTTCTCATTGATCGTTGTTGTCCGGTACAACTGTCCAGTGTCCATACCCCCGGTCGGCTAGCAGCTGGTGAGACCCTAGATGGTGGTTCCGTGAGTCCTTGGGGAGAAACCTACCCCAATCTCGACCAATGATACAGGAAGTACCTTGATACCAACACTTATCAGGGTGGCCCCGTTTAACATTGTCCACGAGTCTTCCAAAGCGAGGTCGACGTCGATTGCCCTCCCGGAGTGCTGGTCTTTGATAATGCAGAAGATAAGCCACGTTGGAGTCGAAGCGAACGAGTCCCCAACGCAAGCGATCGAACTTACACGGGTCCACGATGTTGTCCAAGACGGGACGCGACGCAGCATTGGAGGGGTACTTAGGATCATGTAAACAGTGGCCTCCCTGACGAAAGACTTCTGCTCCTGTTCTTCACTCCTCTCTCTCACTCCTCTCCGAGATCAGTCCTTCTTTCAGTGTCCAACCAACCCATAGTCTACGATGTTCACTCGCTCGGTCACGCGTGCCGTCCTCGGCAAAGGCTCTGTCGGAGCCCGAAAGAACCAGTCTCTACGGTTGACCGGCTTTCGCGCGTACGCGACGGTGAAGAATGCGCCGTTGGCAGAAAAGCTCAGCATCAACGGGGACCGACTATGGTCAGACAGCACCTCCCAGCCCAAAAGGCGGTTCCTGACTGACATCGCTCAGGGATGACATCCACCACACTGCTCAATGGAGCGCTCCTTCGCCGGGCGGAGTGACCCGTCTCTGTGCCGACGAAAACGACAAGAAGGTTCGAGACTGGTTCCGAGACCAGCTGCTGGCTCTCGGCGCCGACTACAAGGTCAGTTTTCACCATGTCCACGTCAAACTCAACGGTGACCACTGACAAAGACAGGTCAACGCGACCGGAAGCCAGTTCGGTGTGTTTGAAGGAGAAGACAACAGCATCCCTCCCATTGCCATGGGTAGTCACTTGGACACGGTCGCCACGGGAGGCCGATTCGACGGTCCCCTCGGAGTGAGTGTCTTGGTCCGCACGGCGAGAAACCAACACTGACACGTCACAGGTTATCGGTGCGCTCGAAGTCATGCGAAGCTTGAAGGAACAGGGCATCAAGACACGAGCTCCCATCGTGCTGATCAACTGGACCAACGAGGAAGGTGCTCGATTCTTCCCGCTGCTCGGCTCGTCCGTAGTCTACGCCGGTCGGTCGACGGTGCAGCAAGCACACGCCGCCGCGTCCAACGACGCTTCCGGCTTGACCATGGGCGGCGAGTTGAAGAAGATCGGTTACGTCGGCGACGGCCCCAACACCTTCGAAGAGTTCCCCATCTCGGCCCATTTCGAGATCCATTGCGAGCAGTCGACCGACCTGGAGAAGGCCGGCAAGCCCGTGGGATGGGTCGAGGGCTGGCAAGGCATGACCTGGTACGATGTCATTTTCCACGGCGAGGACGGCCACGCCAACACCTACCCGATGTACGGCCGCCGGGACGCGTTGACCGGGGCGGCCAAGCTCATCTGCGAGCTGGAAAAGTTGGCCTACGAGAAGAACGGTGCCAGCACAGTAACCGGCATCCACAGCCGACCGTGGGGGGCCTGCAACATCCAGTCCAAGACCAAGATCACCTTCTGTCTGATGCACAAGGAGGCCGAGGGTCTTGAGGAGATGGGCAAGGCCATCATGGAGCGCGTCAAGAGCATTGCCTCTCTCCACGGTCTGGAAGCTGAGACCGACCGCACCGTTCACCTGCTGCCAGGTAACTTCTGGCCCGAGGCCATCGACTGTGTGCGACGCGCCTGCGGTGACAAGGGTATCGCGTCCCGAACCGGCACGGGTCACGACTCCACCATGACCACTCTCCTGTGCCCGACGGCCATGGTTTTCGCCCGCGCAAAGGACGGCATCAGTCACTCGCCCAAGGAATGGACGTCCAAGGAGGACTGTGCCGAGAGCGCCTTGGTGCTGGGCAAGGCCGTGTTGAACTTTGACGACTACATGAAGCAAAAGGCCCCTGGCTTGAAAATGTAGGCGAATTGGATAAGGGCATCTTCGAGCGGGTTTAGTTTGTGCGCCATTAGAGATTGCAAGTGTGTCATGAACGGCTATGCTTGGCCATTTGATATCATGCTGTAGAACGTTGAACCGGATGCGAATGCCCTGTAGAAGGTTGAACCGTATGCGGAACCGTATACGAAGGTCCTTCGTAAAGAATGTACCCACGTCAACTCACCTTGAATCGAAACGACAGGCATATGTTGCGAGCATAGCCCGCCTGCGGGTAGAGGATGGTGGCGTCGTCCCGACCGTGCGATAGACTGCACCTCCAGGGGCAGCTTGATTCGTACCCGCTACACCCTGGTAGCCAAAGGAGTAGACTCTGGCCACCCATGAGACATGTGCAACCCACAACGTGATACAAGATGCTTGCTGATAAGGAAACAAGGCCATGGGGGAGGATTCGGGAGGAGCGGGAGAGCGCAACTCGGGACCCATATTCTCCACGGTGAATGAGATAAGGACCTCATAGTTCTCCGACGGGGAGTAATGATAGATGGTTGCAATGCTTCCACCATGGTCAGACACCATCAATAGTTCTCAATAGTCCTCGGAGATGAAAACCGCGAGACGCCAGGCTGAGAAGGCTCAGGAGTGACCCGGAAGGCTCATCCAGCCTGGTAACACCTGGTCCAACGATTGCCATGCGGGTTGAATAGACGGTATTGCAGCGTAGAACACCGCTGACCTCGTTACCATTACGTTTCATCATCACCCATGTTGACTGTCTGGAGTCCCTCTCCGTGGATCAAATCCCCCGAGTATGGAGTTTATGTAAGATTCAGAGATTGTCACTCTGGAGTCGAAGGGGCAAGGTGGAGGCCTCCCTAGCCGTGTGCCGCTAATCCCACAAGGCTCCAAACTCAGGGAAAGCCTATCGTTGAGGATCGGTGCGTCTATTGGCTGACGGTGGGCGTCCAGGGGTCGTTGAATAATCATGTCCGGAAGGTACCCGAATAGCTCTGATTCAGGCAATGGTGTGTGGAAAAGGTACGCGACGAGACGCTGGTCGAAAAACAAGTCAATAATGCCGGCGGAAGCTCCATTGTAGCATAATAATATACACCCATAAACAGCGTGCACTATACCCTTTGCGTCAGTGTGACAGCGGGTATATACACCGTGGTTTGAGACAGCTGGCAAATGGTGCTTGGTCATGTATGCTCACCTCAATTCTCCGGTGCGATAAGGCTAACTGGCTCGCTTCCCCTCTAGGAGCACGATATATCCACAAAACGGAGCTGGTACATACCACAGTCTGTATCGCGCGTGGACGATTGGGCCTCTCGGTCTGACCATTGTCTCCTTTGTGCTCGGATGACGCATGTGCCTCTCTTCGATCCCAGACTGTTCAATAGGACCAGGCTATCGCCCAAGTCCGTCCGTCTGCGGCCCCGCGCGGCAACAATAGTAATTGCAGAGAATAATGACGGGGTCGACGGCGTTTGAAGAGGGCGAGATGGTGTGCCAGTGGCCGAATCTAGGCGTTTTTGTGGCCCCAAGGTCCGGACTTCTGGTCACTCCAGAACATGTCAACCTGAATGTCGCGGTAGCTGGCTGGCAACTGAATCTTTTGCGACTTGTCCTCGACCACGTCATGGCCAAAATTCAAGAATGAACTTCCATCTTCATTCAGATGCCAAGGTCGATCAAAGCCTCCAAACCAAAGCGGGCGACCAAGACCTTTTCCGGATGCTGGACGTGCCGTGAGCGCCATGTGAAGTGCGACGAGGCCCGTCCCAGCTGTGCGCGATGCTTAAAGGGTGGCTTTGCCTGCCAGGGATATGGCATCAGACTCGTCTGGATCGACCCGGAGACGCACGAGTGGGAGCAGAAGATCCGCCGCGTGGTCGGCGCTCCGGCATTGTACAATGACAAGTCCATGTTCATGCAAGTCGACGTCCAGGATGCGTTGGACCGACTTGACCAGGGCGAGGGATGCTCGATCGGGCCGTTTTCCGTCTTTCCTGCGCACGACAACCCACGACAGGGCACATCGGACAGTCCAGAACACGCCAGTGACCTTGTGCTGTCAAAGGTCGAAGAGATCGAGGAAGTTTCTGACTACACGGTGGGAGCTTTTGCCGACAGTGACGACCAGACCGACTACGAAATCGTCACGTCTCCGGCGGTGGCTGAAGCGAGGTCGCCTACAGATTCCTGGTCACCAGGCGTATATCGTCATCTCGATCTGTTGCCTCGTCCTGTGGAACAGCGTCAACTAATCCACCACTGGGTCACCTTTGTCTCCTGGCACCTGGTCCCGGTCGACCGTGGAGATAACCCCTTTCGAAGCGTCTTCACGCCGATGGCGCTCGCGGGTTTGAACAGTCTTTCACACGAATCCAACGGCCAGATCGCGTTGTTCCACTCGCTGTGTGCCACGTCGGCCTTTAGTCGAGGACAGTTTTGCAATGACGCCAAAGCATTGACGCTGGCGGGGAAGCACTACCATCTGGCGATCTTACACCTTCGACACAGTCTTGCGAACCTGACGGGCCACGATCTCGACGTTCAGCGCGACTCCATCATCGCCACCATCACCATGTTCTCGGTGATGGACATGATCACGGGCCGCTCGTCGGAATGGCGGACACACTTCCAAGGCGGGGCGTCATTGTTGGCCACGATCGAAGACAGAATCTGGCAAGGAGACAAGAGCTCGTCCATGATTTACCAGAGCTATCTGGCGGTCGCGGCGCTCTGCAACATCGATCTTCCTTCGACCATCTCCGTCGACTCGGACGACTGCAAGTACTATGTCCTGGACAGATTGTTTGGTTTGACGCGACCGATCCTGCAGCATATCGTCAAGGTTAATTCGCTGTTGCGCGAGGTCTCGGCGGTCAGCCTGCCGCCTGACTTGTTGGATGAATGGGAGGACCAACTGCGTGCACACACCCCAGAGCATCTCAATTTCGACGGCCTGGTCGACCCTTGCGCGCGAGAACTGGCCCGCCACCACGCCTTCGTCTTTTACTATGCAAGCATGATCCATTTCCAGCGGACGGTGCGACAGACGCCGTCGTCTGCACTGCAGGATCTCGTCACGCGCGCGGTCGAGCATCTGGAGGAGATCGAGCGACTCGGCGCAGATAGCGTCGGGTGTACGTTGATCTGGCCGCCCTTGGTCGTTGCGTGCGAATGCGAAAGCCCCGATTTGCAAGCCCGCATCCTGGCATGGTACAAGGTGAAGCGTCGACACGGCTTCATGAACCTGGAAATATCCAAAGACGTGGCACAAGAAGTCTGGCGGCGCAGGCAGTCTGCAACGAGCCAGCCTGATGTTCGCTGGCAGGACATACTGGACGATATGAAGCTGGACATTGTCCTCGCATGAGATAAGACTCACTGACCAAGGCTTGACTTTGTAAGGTACCTGCATCATTTAGTAGACTTGACCACATCGAATACGAATAACGATCATAGATGCCATTGAGAGGAGAATAGCTCAAGCCCCCCAGCGGGAGATTGCGACTGCGTTAACGTCCATTTCTTGTAGCGGCTCAACAAACAATCATCCGAAGCATCTCGCTCCTCAACTCGTAGTATATGAGGTACATTGAGTTCAACAGGTCAAGGTTCATCATGGACTCAAGTGCAGTGCAGTGCAATGCTGCCTGTGATAATTGGCGCCGGGCACAACTTGATGGTTGCACGTGACGCCAAGCGACTAAGTCAATGCTTTGTTTATTCGCATCCCAAGAGGGAACGACAGACACTCAAGAGGCAGGACGACAACGTTACTTCATACACGGTATTCGACTTGAAGTTCTAGCATCCCAATACACTTTCAGCACTTGAGCCCTTCCCAGTCGACACGAGCAATCAATTACACTTTTCAACCGCCATGGCACCTCCCGTGTCACGCAAGAGGAAGTCGGAGGAGATGGAAGAGTCTCCACGCGCAGTCACTCCCGAAGGCAGCCCTGCACGCAAGAAGATGAGAATCACGCAGACGCAGAAGCAGGCCTTGATCGAGAATCTGCAGCTAGAAAGTAAGCCAGACAGCCACTTGCACCGAAACTCACAACAAAAGAAACTCATTGACACGCGCCTCTTAGTAACGGAACGAGCTCGACAATTACGAGCAGGATACGCTCTCCAATGCGCCGACCTACGAGCCCGAATCGAACGACGCGTCAACCGTATTCCGATCGCCATCCGCAAAGTCACCATGGGCGAACTGATGGCACAACACGAGGCCGCGACGGCAGAATCGGTCCAGCCAAACAACAACAAATCCTCGCCGTCCAAGACACACGCCTTGATGTCCCAAGACAGACCTCTACCGGCGCTGCCACAACATCTACATCAGCAACAGCAACATACGTCCAAAGCGCCTTCGCCTGTCCGCGCACAGCTTCAAGGCGCAGCCACGCGAGGCAAGAAGCGCAAGAGCTCCGAGATCCAGATCGCGTCGGACAAGGAGAACGAGAACGAGACGATGGACCGACTCCCGGTGGCGAAGAACAGCAAGCGCGTCAAAGCCGCGACAACGGTGACACGCACAGCTTCGCGGACGGGAAAGGCCACATCTGTGCTGTCTCCCCGATCACACAACTCGAGGACGCTGCCACGTTCACCGCTCAAGGACTCTGCGATGGCCGCTCCATCATCTCCGACAAAGAGCATGATCGCCCGGCCCGTTTCACCACTCAAACCGGCCTCCCCTCTCAAGACGGCCGCCAGCGCGGCGACCTCGGCCATCTCAGCATCGGTCCAGGGCATGTTCGAGCACGCGAAGCGCGGCACCGCGTCGAGGCTGGCCCGCACTGCCTCCAAGGAGAAACAGGCGGCCACTGCAGCAAAGGGTCAAATGTTGCCTCCTCCGCGACCCATCGCCACGGCCAGCCCCTCGCGTCCCTCGCCTCAGCGCACATTCAGCCACACCAGCACCCACAGCGCCACGACAGACGTCTCCACCGCGTCGAGCAGCACCACCGTCGTCAAGCCCAAACGTGCAGGCCGCGGAGCTGCTGCGGCTGCGGCTTCCAAGACGGCCGAGAAGAAGAGTCCCGGCGCTGCCAAACGAGGCATGGCCAGGGCTGCCAGTGCGGCCAAGACTGCGATGAAGAGGAACAATACCACTGCCAACAAAAAGGTCGTCGCCGAGCCCGCCGCCACGCGCAGGGTCTTGAGGAAGAGGACTTGAGAGAGACACGGATGGACGATGGATGTGTGCCAAAGGGAAATAGGTTGTCTTTTCTGAGTGAGCAATGTTCCATGCCTGGTTGCCTTGCTTCTTTTCCCGGCCTGCCTATGTCCTCTATGTTTTGGGGACGTTGTCTACACGCGGTTGCTTTTGTTGGGCCGTTCATTGTCCAGTTCTTCCTTTGAATAATGTTGCAATGGACAAGGTAGCACGGGCGTCGTGCCATAAGGTGGCTATTTGTAAAAGTCCAATGTCCAATTGTGAGATTCTCTAGAGCCAGACCGGCAAGCAACAAGGTAGCCTCGCGATCCTCCTCGAACTGGGCCAAACGCTGTCCAGTCCTATTACTCCGGACTTGACATGTTTAATTTGATTTCGCATTTCTCGGCTTCTACAGATCATGTATCTCGTGTTCAGACAAGTGTTGGAAGGGCAAGCCAATGCCATATGTGAGCTCCATTCCAGCGTCAAAACTCCAGCCAGTATCGTCCCACCGGAAAGGCAGACGCGATGTCAAACAAGACAACCAGCGGCTACTGACTAGCCATCATGTTTCCATCCCAGCAACCCTACTGCGAACCGGGTGGAGCAGTCCATTCTTCGTTCGATTCTTTTTTTCCTTTCCGCGAAAACCATGAAGCGCTGCTGATGTTCTCGCCCATTACTGTGCGAGCAAGATCAATAGTCCAGCTCCGCACCGGCTCCTGCTTGCGCTGCAGCATGAGCGCCCGCTGCACCTCCACCGCCGTTGGGTTGCGCGTCAAGATCCTCGTAGCTCTTGATACTTCTGCCCTGGACAGCCTCTCTAGGTCCGACGGCGTTCATGCCACCGCCGGCCCCATCACCCCATTTCCCACCACCACCTCCGCCACCTTGAGCGATGAATCCCGGATTGAGCCCAGGCATCAGACTGCCCCGGACCATGGATCCAACATTGTTGTAGCCCCGTTGGTTGTTCCGTGGATTTCGATCATAAGGTCCGGACCGGTTGCCGTACCTTCCGCCACCACGGCGGACAGGGCCACCCGTATGGCTTCCGTTCATGCCGTCCCCGTTGAAATTGACGCCCGGCACGAACGGCGACTGCACGTTGGACATGCCGAGCATGGCATTCTGTCCAAAGTTCATCGCATTCATACCCATGTTGTGCAGGCTGAACCCGCGGGGAGTCCCGTTGTTGAGATGGTGGTTGTTTGGGAGAGGGAAGTGTCCGTTGGAATTGGCGTCCGAGCGGGAGGGTGCAATATGTGAGGGATCCAGGACGTATCGGTTGACGAGTTCGAGCTGCCACCAGTCAGTATCAGGTTACTTTCGCCATCAAATATACTCACATCATTCTTCAAAGCCGCCAGCCACTCCTCGTGCCGCTTTTCCACATGCTTCTTCCAGAAATGCTCAGCTTTGAACAGCTTGGTACATTCCGGCACTTTGCAACGAAACTTCGCTTCGTCCTCCTGTTTGACGAACTTGGCCAGTTCTTCATCCAAGGCCTCCTCGATGGGTCTGCCCCCGATCTTCTTCAAATCGACGTATTCAGGCTCGAGAATCTGCAACAGCTTCTCCTCAAAAGTCTTGACCCAGTTGAAGGCGCGGAGAAGCTGTTGGTCGTTCTTGTTAAACTTGGCCGGCCGTTTCTCCTGGACGGGACTGGCAGGCTCGTCGTCGTAGCCAGCGTCACCCTTTCCATCCTTCTTCCTGCCCGGGAATGGCTCGCCCAGGGCACTGGCGCGAGCCGCAGCTTTGGCGGCACTGCTCAAGCCGGCTCTTGGTCGTCGGAGGTGACCACCCGGACATTTCCGAACAAGCTCGTGAACCGAGTCGGACTCAAAGACACAGAAGAGGCAGAAGTTGAAGACGCGACGGAGATATTCGACCATCAGGTCAAGTTTCTTCTTGATCACCAACAACTCTTCGTCATCCTGCTCATCTTCATTCTCCTCTCCCTCCTCGCCTTCTTCGTCAAACTTGATTTCATCATCATTGTCCTCGAAAGTGGGCTTCTTCGGTTTTGGCGGAGGCTGTAGCAGACCTTGGTTCCGCATCTGTTCAACCCGGGCGTCGATCTGAGCCAGAGCGCCGGACATTTCGTCCTTGCCCAATTCAGCGTCGAGCTTGGACACCAGTCTCCGGGCCAGCTCGTAATCGCGTTCGACGCGCTCGGGAGCCGAGAACAGATCCCAGAGAGCCTTCTTTCGAGGCGCATTCGGCGCGTTGTGAACGCCCACGTGGCATGTGAAATCTCCTCGTTCAGCATCTGAGATGGTCTTGCCGTTGATCAGCTCCAGCGCCTTTTGGGCGACGGTCTTGGCCTCAGGTTTCGGCTTTTCTTCACCCTCTTCCTCGTCATCGTCGCGACCGTCTCCTCGCTCCACTTCCTGCATGGCATCCCCATCGTCGTCTTGACCGGGTTTGAGCATGATCCAGCCGATGCGATGGAATTTCTTGGCGGGGTTGGGGTCGCTCAACGACAGGCCCTTGAAGCCGCCTTCATCCTCGCCCAGGTGCTCCTTGCAGAAGTCTTCAATCCGCTCACGGCCAACGTTCGGTGCCAGTGTCTTGATGAGCAGGGCGGGTTCATACATCGACTCGTCCCTCAGATCGCCGCCTTTGGCCGGGACCAGGTCGAGAACACCCAGCACCTCGCCGCCACCGACGGCCTCACCCTCTTCTTTCTCCACCATGCCACCGGCGCCGTCGCTGTCATTCTTGTAGATACCCTCGAGGGTGAACTCATCAAAGACGCCGGTCTCCATGTCTTTGGTCCATCGATCGAAAGCATCATGACGAGACTCCATCAAGCGCTTTCGAATCGGATCTCGAACCTCTGGCAGGTAGCGCTCTTTGAACCATTCCTCATTCTTGTGCTGCATGACGAACTGCTTGGCCATCTTGATTTGGAATTCTTGCTTGTACTGGTCGTATGCTTCTTGGATCTGCGCTCGTTCTTTCTCACGGTCTTCTTTGGCCTCACGCTCACCCTTGACGCGATCTGAAGGTCTCCGTCCGCCATGCTTGGCGCGCTCTTTCTCTTCCTTAATCTGGTTCTCGCATCTCCACCAATCGGCAAAAAAGCTGAAGCCAGCTTGAGTTTCCAGCGAGAGAGGATTCGCCAGCGGGTTGACTCGGACAACAGGCTTGGTAGGCTCTTGACCGGGAACGTAACGGTCAATGTTGGCGGCAATTGGAGAGGGAGCTCTTCTTCGATCATCTCTTTCTCTCGGCGCAGTGCGAGGACCGTCATAGTAGTCGTCTCGCGGGGCACGTTCGCGGTCTGGCTGATAGCGATCGATGCCCGCGGGCGAACGTGAGCGGTTGCGCGGAGGCGGACGTCGTCGATCGTTCACTGGTCCCACGTCAGTGTTACAGAAACATTGCTTCGGAAGGCCTACTCACCGGGAGATCGTCTGCGGTATGAATCGGCCCGGTCATACGGCTCCTCATCTCGGGGCCGATATCTGGGCGGCGATCTGTCAGCGGGCGGAGAGCCATAGACCTCGGACGGATTCATGTTGGCAAAAAGATGTCCGACTCTTTATAAGCCTGAAGATTGATGGCTTGGAGGTCCCAGACAACCCTGGTTCACTGGTCGGGGATCGATGTCATCTGAGGCTCAAGAGCCTGTGCGAGCGCAGTGAGGGGTCAGCCTAGGTGAAGTCGTCTTCGAGTGCTCGGTGAAGGGCAGTTGGAGAGCTAGGAGTAAACATGGCAAAGGTTAGACTTGGGTCAAAGACAAAGTAATTTGGGGACAGCATTGTAGTAAAAGCGTAGTGGGAGTTCAATGAAGGAAAAGATCCGCAGGCATCGATGCCAGAGTATTGAGTGGAGTCTAAGGCAAAGCAAGAAGAAGCGTGAAGAGGTGCAACCAAAGAAGGCAGACTCTGGTCAGGGATCGGTCAAGCTATTGGGGTGAGAGAAGCCAAAGGTGAAATCGCCGCGGTTGCAGACGGCTCAACAAGGAGAGCAGGATTGACTCAAGGATATCGAGGTGGTGAACCTACAAGATAGGAAATGTAAGGGTGACAGGACAGCGGTCTGGCGATGCGAATCCTGCTGGTTGATGGTAGAGGAAGAGTGTTGATTGAGAAGCGCGGCGGCGCGCGGAGTAAGTTGTAAGAGAAGTGCGCCAGCACCAACCAAGAAGCCACGGGGACGGGGACGGCGACAGCGACAACTGGCAGGAACGGACGCGGAGGTGCAGGTGCGGCAAGCGCAGGCTGAGCAGTCTGGTGCCTCATTGGCCAATTCTGGTGGCTGGTGGCTGGGACTTCTGTACAGAGGAGTATATGATGTTGAAGCGCAAAAAAGACACGTGATATGGATCACTAGGGCGGACTGCAAACTCCATGATGCCGTCTGTGGTCTACAGCCTCAGGTACCTGTATCCTCTATGTTGATTGTTTGTGATATCAATTTCAACTTGACTGCATTTCCAAGCTCAAAATATCAATATTCATGTCCATACTCATCCGCAGACTCATCCCTCGTACTTTATATCCCATGCCTCATGTCCAGTCAAACGCAAAGTCATACTATTCCCAGTCCAAATCACATACCCAAACTACCAGTCATGCCTTATCCTCCGTATCCAAATCCATATCCATAGCCATATTCATACTTGCACGTATACCTCTCAATCATATCCTTCACCTCCACACGTTCATCTCTGAACATGTTCCCCAACCGGCATCCCCTTATCCATCCACTCCTTCAAAAGCTCCCAATCCCTCTGGTCCAAAGCAGGATCCCCCGTCCCGTACCGAGCAACCAACAACCCCGCCAGACTTCTATTCTGCTGCACAGCCTGCTGGCCGGGCCTGTCGCCAGGTCCGTCGATCCAGCCGTGTTCCGCAAGGACGTCGTTGCGGTTGGCCATGGACACGTCGTCGGTGAAGCGCTTGAGGAGATCCAAGCAGCTCTGATCGAACACTGCGTCCTCGGTGCCGTGCAGGTTGATGATTGAGCATGCGATCTTGTGGTCGCGGATTTGCTCGCCAGTGTTCCCTAGTGTCCCGTGAAGGAAAGGAAGTAGGTCAGCTTCACATTCAGAGCCAGCGCTCAGAAGGGCAAATTCCAGATTGATGGTTCGAGCCATCTTATGGCCAAACGTATGTTGCATGTCTGGCTTTTTGCGGGTTTTCTTTCTTCAAGCCTCGACGGGACTGTGACTGTGACTATCTCCAGCAATATATTTTTCTCGGTTCCTCTGAAGAGGAGGGTGATTCAAGTCCACGCTCATCCACCACTCGGGTCTGCCCATTTGTGAAAGGGGTGTCCTTCTTACATGTGCCTTTTGTATATGACATGCTGTCAAACCGGACAGTCTCGTAGCCACGGACCAGGATATATAGAAGCCACGGTTTGTTGGTGCACTATTATGGGTTTCAGAGATTGTAGAAGATGAGTCAAGCGATGGATGGGGAATGCTATATGGCAATTCAACAGGATTCCAATGTCTAACTTCAACGGATGTTGTTTGTTTTGTTCACCGCCTCTTTTAGGTATAGTATTATCTCATCAGGGTCCAAATATACAAGGTATCCGTGTCTAACTGCTTCGGGGTTACGTTAAATAGAAGCAACTGGCAGGGCGCCTCACCTCCAACTTCAAGTTCATGTCTTGCTTCAAGCTGGTTGCTACCGAGACAACCTGGATATCCGGCCAGGCTACGGCAAGTGTTGTCTTCGTCCAGCAGAGGACCTTGTAACGCAGGTGTCATGTCTCCATGGCAATGCATCCAGCCATTTACCTCCCAATCAGAAGTCCCCTCTTGTCGCCATCTGAACCTGGGAGTGAGGTTTGTGATGGGCTGGATGATACATGGAAGAATGGCCCGTCAGGCTCGGGAAACACTTCATGTCTGGGATATATGGACATCTTGATCTCGATCTCCTGTTTACACCGGCCAGCAAAGCCTTCATTTCCCTTGTAGAATCGTTGCGCATGGGAGCGTCGGTTCAGATCAAACTGTATGCCGACACAAGCTGTTTATCAAGATCAACATTGAGATACTAGTGGTGTGATAGTGGTATAGTCTTATGTGCGCTAAGAATGACAACATTCGAAGACTCAACATCATAGAACGAATAGAAAAGAAACAGCAATCATCATCAGTCATACTCATAACTTCGTCAAAGGCCACCAGATCAAACCAAGCAGGTGAACCCCGTCTCCAGAATCACTGATACAATCGATCTCTCCTGACCGGAGCAATGCGGCCCTCGGCATCTTCAACATCCAGACTAGTCAACGCGATATGTCCCACGGGGTCATGGGGCTTGACATCACAGAACTTGACCGGCATGTTCATGACCTTCTGGGAATACTCGTGGCCGTCCAACGCCGAGCCACCCTCCGGAACAGGCGTGTACGGGTTCTCCTTGACCAGCATGCTCACCGTGCCCAGGACATCGGGCACCAAGGTGCGCACTTGCAGGATCAAGGCCAATATACCCGCGACAAAGGCCACCACGCAACAGACCATGTAGACGGCGAGCCATGCGAAGTTGACGACAAAATGTTGTCCCGCGATCAGCATCTGGGCATCGGCGGACCGGAACATCACATTCGACGGGAACAGTGAGCCAAACCCCAATCCAATCTCCGACTGTGTCATGGCTTGCAAGTTGCAATACGCGTGCCAGTAGGTGTTGAAGAGGAGGGACAAGCGCTCGGTGAACGTGTCGAGGTCGAGGCTGGCCATGTTGACGTACGAGATACCGCCATCGTTGTCATGGTCCGACGTGTTGAACCCCAACCAGTCGGTGGCGACGAGGATGGAATTGGCACTGCCCGAGGCAGACTCCGAGTTGACGTCGTTGATGAACCGCTCGGTCGGGGACGATGTTCCTGCTGGGACGGTCCCGGTCGCCAAAGGCCACTGGCTGAACAGGCGCTGCGCAATCCGGTACGTCACGTCGAGTGGCGTGAGCGCCTCGTGGACGGGGTGTGCGGGATCTCTGCGCACCCGGTCGACGTAACATGCTCCGGCCGACGTGCGCCCTGATGCTGTTTTGTCGATGTTCCAGAGCGGCGCGGTGAAGTTGCAGTTCACTTCGGCTAGGACATACGACGTGGCGACCGTGCATATCGCCAGTGACGTGCCCGCCGTGGCTCGAGATCCGAAGATCAGTGTCCTGGGGGACAACTGCGTCCCATTCGAGCGGGCATCACCCTCTGCCGACCCCAGCCCGGCAAGAGGGGTCGTGGTGTCGACGAAAAAGGTGTTTGGTCGCTCACTGTTGCCACTATCCCAGATAGAAGAGATATTGTCGGTGTCATAATCCCCACGACCAGGGAGTGGCGAAGAAAACCGCTCCGATGGGTCGATGTATTCTAGGCTGGTGCAATTGAGAACCCAGTAGCTGGCGGAGAGGGTGAAGTTTTGGAATCCCACGCCGTATTCTCCCCCGACGACTGGCAGGCCACTCAGTGACGTCCACGTCCCTGCCTTGACGACAGATTGGTTCAGGCCACTTCGCTCTTTGACCAGGGCGCGGGAGCACCATCCCAGGTCATCACTGCCATTGTTTCTCTCAAGCCATTCAAGAGAAGGGATCTTGACATTGCTCCAGGGGTCTTGCGGTCCGGCCATGGCGCCTGGCGTAAGAATCAAGGTACTGTAAATGGCGTTTACGGCGTAGGTGTAGAACTGGATCTCATCGTTCTCCGTCTCCAGGCCGGTGGGTATGGCACTGCTGTTCATATAGTTGATGGTGGTGGTGTTGACGTAGGTGCCGTTGGCGCTGATGATCCTGAGGCCTGCCTGAGACCCCACAGGCGCCAGAGCCCACAAAGCCAAAAGCAGAAGTCCGATCCAATTGATGATGTGGAGGCCCCAAAGAGCCCCGATGGTTCCACCCAGGGACGCACTTCCCATAAGCTGTTCAATGAAGCCGAGATGAGTTCCACTCTGTGCTCGCCACAAAGCGAACGCTTGGATTAATCGTGCCACGGTGAGTCCAAAGGCCATGGGGAAGAATGTGGGAATGTAGTTCTGCACGATAAGCATCGCGGGTCCATACAGCTCGCCGGACCAGTTATAGCCGTCGTCGCCAAAATAAAAGGATGCGGTAGGACGGCCGTGAAGGCATGCGGCGAGAATGCCATAGACGATGAACACAAGCGGTATGGCCGACAGGACGATGTCGACCAAGAGATACCAGATATTTTCAGGCAGGTATGAGAGCTTGGATGGTTCGGCCGGGAATTGGTCCATTTTCTCAGTTCCCACCGAGGCCAAACCATCATCGTCGCTGGAAGGGCGGGCGGTCACTTCCACCACCGGCACCTTGCTGCTTCTGTACGACCCTGAGATAGGCCTAAACATGCTCTCGAACTTGTCGTCCAGCAGAGGCGATGAAGGGGAGTGGAGGCTGGACAGACCCGGGCTTCCCAAAGAGGTATGTCGGGATTGCGTGGTTGCCCAAGATGTCGGGCGGGGCCGGGGACTGGTAGAGGCATTGACCTTGGGCGCGGATGTTGATATGCGGTCTGGCTGAGAAGACTCCATCTCGCGCAGAGTGTGTTTGTTGAGATAGGAGGCCTCGCGGAGGCAAGACGGGTAACGTAAAGAATGTTACTGATGGCAGTGGGAGGAAGGGATAAAGGAAGAGGAACCGCAGACGGATGTTGACTTGAGCTGTTATATCTGAGGCTCGTTAGGTAGGCTCCCTCCGCAAGCTCACTTGACTCAATTCGCTCCGGCCACCATAGGGACTTTTGTCAGAGCAGACCCCTCCAGCGAGGCGCTGCTCGTCCGGAGCTAGTGCTCGCTATCCCATTCACAATGAAAATGGGATATACACCTTGCAGTCTAGACGCATGACCTGGCCGTCGCGTTGTGGAGAGGCAACGACATGCAGTCATATCTGGGGAAGAGTGTCCAATCATTGGCAGTCGAGCAAGCCTTCCGTGACGAGCATCGCCGTAATCTGGGACAACTTGGCCGGACGAAGTCTTTTACCAGCAATAGTATAGAGTTCAGCCGTTGCCCTACCTCAACATTAAGTGCACGATTTGGGCACCGGCTGCAGAGGCTGGCTGGATAAAGGTTGCTGTTGAGCCGAAAGAGGAAGGAATTCGCAGGGAATACGAGGTAACAGCACGGCAAGCTGGACGTTCTCATGGTCGAGAACGCAAAAGGCCCCGACGGTTGATGAGCCGACGAGCCTTATTCGTCCACGATTCAATGACCATGCAAGGTTGCCCGGTCATCGACCAATGGAACACGAACTGGATCTCAGCCGTCTCCCACGATTTGGACATTGCTCGTGCATCGTCCGGAGTTTCTCGCTGCTGTGTACAGTGGTTTGATGATGAGCCCTGCGTGTATCAAACGGTGAATAGGGTCATGAACATTGAATGATCCTCGAACAGGCAGGACCCGCGACAGGGCGGTGGAACAATGAAAGATGGGACGGTACAGTACAGCCTCAATAGCGCGAAATCCTTCGCGCGGCGGGCTGAGTTGACCACACCTGGTTGAAGATCTGCTGTTCTTGTAGGCGAAACGAGAGCCAGGATTTACCTCGATGCTTGCGAGGCATCAGGTCAGGGTGTTGAAATCGTTAGAAATTTGACAGGGAGAGTGATGTGAGACTCAGAAGCAGGTATGGAACGACATTGTTGGTCTATCCTTCTATTGAATGCGTCTGGCATCGGATTGCCGCCTCGGAGGGATTCGTGAGATCCAGCCATATCGAGCGCTCGTCAGTTTCCACCGTGCGAATGCGAACCGCTGGGACCACTCCAACGACGTGATGCACTGCTAACATTGCAAAGTGCTGGTCAAGAGGACCCAATGGAAGTTCATGAGTCTTTCCCCTCGATTTCTGCCTGAGTTTTTGCCGGAGTCTTCAAAGTCCAACCGTTCAGATGGCCAGTTCCAGCCGTCAAGTAGGTCGCAAACCCTAGCCAGGCGAGATATGGGACCATCAGATAGGCAGCTGTCTTGTCCACCTGATACCACACATATGTCAGGTAGCCCACGGTGCCCGTCAGGGTTGTGATGTCGAGCATGGCTTCGATGGGTCTCCCTAGGCCAAAGAACAGAGGCATCCAAATGATATTCAGGCCCAACTGCAGGGTGTATAAGGTGGCGCCTCTTCTCGTATGTTCCACGACTTGCGGGCTCATGCTAGCCATGCCGATTGTCCAGGCTCGGTGGGCAGCATAACCCATGGTCAAATACAAAGTACTCCATGCCGGCGCAAAGACCCAAGGCGGTGGCCTGAAGGGAGGCTGCTTGAGGGCCATGTAATGTTCTTCTGCACTTCGGAACTTTCCCAGCTCCTTTGCCGCTGGGTCCGACAACTTCTTGGGTGTGGCCTTTCCTGGTTGGGATACCAGGCCTGCTCCGAGGCCCAACCCCAAGGGAAGGAGGATCGCTGCCGGGGCATTCGAGAAGACGGCGGCCGGGAGGGTGAGACCTGGTACGTACGCCATAATGACGGCGGAGAAGAGGCAAGTTCGCGCTAAAGTCGAGTCTGCAGGGCAGGCAGATACGTGTGAGAGTTGAGGAGAAGAAATGCACAATGTACAGCGTTACAGAGTATGGGAATGCTGACGCTTCACGGGTGGAGAGAGGGACGAAGAGCAGCAGAGCGACGATGATAGATAGGTACGTACCACAACAGAACGGAGGGGCGCTGTCTGACTCATTTATTAGTCAGCCACAATACCAGGGTAAATCGCTGTTTCGCCTTCTCTGGGCGGCGCGCTATAGTAGAAACCACTTCAAACTCTCGTGCACGCCACTGCTATTATGCATTGTTCCAATAGGTACGGTAGGCGCCTGCGGACAGGTAGCCCTTTCATAGACCAGTACCAGTACCAGTAACTCCTTGCAAGCATGTGCTTGATCTATCATATCTATAGGGAAAGAGCGCTCGCTAAACGGACCCGAAGCCCTAACACCTAAGACAACAAGGACAACAGGATAGCTCTCAATGTTGGGTCGCTGCGACCCCGGTCGTGCCTTGCTCTTCATTCGCACCGTGGACCTGTTCGATGGGAATTGTCGCGGAGGAAGAGCCCGAATCGTCGGGCTGAACGGGCTTCTCGACCTCTTCGGCCTCTTCGACTGAACGCGTGACTGCAAACCGACTGTTTTTCCGAATGATATGGCCGTACTTGTAAAAGACATACGGAATGGGCGTCAGCAACAGGCTCAGACAGCCCAAGATGGTGAGGGTCCAATGATGCCCCATATTTCTGTAGAATGGAATTCCGACAATGGTCATTCCGCCAGCGCAGCAGTAACGGGCAAGTGTGACAAATGTCAAGGCACTCGCAGCCCAAGATTCATAGGTGTCAATCAGATACATGTATGAGCTGATGAAAATCAAGACAGTTCCGTACCCGAACAGAACCGATGCCATGATCGGGGACCAGATGGAGATGCTCGGGTACGAGGTCCAAGCCATCCAGAACAGGGATATGGGGATGGCCGGGGCTCCGCCGAGCATGGCGAACCACAGCCGGATTTCGGGGTCGAATTGCTTCAATCCATCTGCCTCGGCTCGGCGTTGTGCCTCGACCGTCTTCTTGTAGACCCAAGGCATCCATACCGAGGCAAGCCAGATGCCCACAAAGATGCCGACGAAGATGGTGTTTGTGAGACCCTGCGAGATGCCGTAGGTGCGGGTATAGATGTATTCGTACCCATCGAAGAAGGTGAAGAGGATGATGTACAGTACAGACATGTAGAGGGTGATGAGCAGGATGACGGGCTCGCGGAAGGCCATCTCGAACGGACGCGGAAGGGCGATCCTCAGGCGTGTCAACAGCGGGGTACGTTCCAGTTCGTGCGCTGCATAGTATCGCTTGTCACCCGTGATCTTTCGGAGGTGTGCCGCCTTCCAGCTGAGGATCACGGGATGGTAAGTCTCCGGCTGGAAGAGAAAGGTCAAGGACAAGATGAGACCACCCGACAACAGCGCCACCCATTCCGTCCAGCGCCAGGTATGGAGATAGGGTGACTGTGGAATCCACGCTCCCATGATCGGACCGGCGGCCGCACCGCCGAAGCCTCCGATGGAGAAGATGGGAAACATGTACGTCTTCTCCAAAGCCGTGAACATGTCTGAGACTGACCCTCCGGCGCAGACCAGAGGGGACGCGCCACAGAAGCCGGCAATGAATCGAAAAGCCAGTTGGGCGCCAATGTTGGGCGCCAGCGCCGATGCCATCAGGAAAATACACATGCAAGCCAGGCTGACCAGATAGGTCATACTCCTCCCGAGAACTTCGCTAAATGGGCCGCAAATCAAAGCACCCACGCCAAAGCCAATCAAGAAGAGACCGACCGCCATCGTTTCGACCACCTCGCTGACCCCGAAGTCTGCCGCGGCTTGAGGAAGGACCGCACTGTCGATGGGTGCGGCGAGTCCCACCATGAAGGAAATACCCGTGATGATGATTGTGGTGTTGAAGCGTCTCATAAACGGCCAGTTTCGCGGGTTGTGAGGGTCATCCGGTCCGTCCCAATCGACGACAAGAACTTGTCGGCCACCGACGACGCGGGTCTCCTGGCGTGAGAGACATGGCAGTTGCCGCACGTCTGCTGCGTCCGACTCGAGTTGTTTCCGAACGGTTTGCCCTATGCGGCGATATTGTAGGTATGTCTCCATTCGTGCGAAAGTATGGCTCCCGCCGTAGAAGGAAGGGCACTTACAGCGGCAGATAGAGAAGCCCAAACTCAACCAAACAGATCAGAGGCGATAGTAGATACGGTTTTGGAAAGATTTCGACAACAACTGAGAGTGAATCAACCCCCAGGAACCACCAACAATTACAGCACAAAAAATACAGAGTAAGAAAAGGATGGCAACGGGCATCTTTCTCGATATATCACCGATCGAGAGGGCGGCTAAGATTCTGAAGGCGGTCATCCGAGCGGGTCTCTCAATAACATGGATTGAAGGTTTTCATGCGACATTGCTGATAAAAGTGGATTATGGCCTGTATAGCGAGGGTTTCTATGGACGGGCGGGACGAAAATTGGACGGAGACTTCATGCCAATTGCGTGGACGGGCCCCTGATAGCCATGATAGCAAAGCCACAATGACGTTGGAATTGACTAAACAAGCATAATCGAATCAAAGCTGCGGGAGCCAAGCGAGCTAAAATGTTAACTTGACGGCGGTACACTGGAACGGGCTTGGCCGGACAACACGCCGTGGTTGCCGACATCCGTTTGATCTCCACCCCAAGGCTTGACGAGCAACAATATGGAGTGCCTCAGCTCTTGGTTGGAAGATCGTTGGTCAACAACAACCAGCTACTCTGTAGATGACAGTGGGATCCTCGCAGCCCGGCACCTTTCTGTTTTTGGTCGCGGAAGAGCACCGACCGGCGGCCTTGTTCACAGATAGAAATCTGCCCGCCGACACGAATATTCAGCCTTGTGTCCAATTCAGCCGGATCGCGCCACCGCGGAGCCCGCGGAGCCCGCGGACCCCGGACAGACATCAGCACGAGTCCTCCAAACGCTGGGACGACAACACCATCGCGAGCCTTGTCGACAGGTGCAGTGCAGATTGAGAGGATTCAACCCCTCGTCATGGCGCCGCCGACACTGACACGACCATCTACCTTCCACTCTCGACCTGCTGCACCACATCTCGAACCTCTGACACCAGCATCATTTGCTCCCTTCGGAACAGCGATATGCTCACCGCTGCCATCTTCTCTCAATGAAGTACCAGCGTCCATCCCACGACCGCTGCACGTACCGCAGCAGCCGGCGCCAGTGTTCGCCAACCAGAATTCCGCATTGAAAACTTCTCCCATCTCGCAGTTCACAGACGCGTACCCTTCCAAACCAGGCGATGCAGTCGCCAAACCGCAGATGAGCATGTTCTCATGTTTTCCCCGTAATATCAGCGGCGTCGGCGTCGAGAAATCCACCATGTCGGGGAAATGGACGTTCAACGTCTCCATTCTCGAGCGCCATCCCTACACTACCCAGACGTTCAGTCCTCTGGGCTTGTCGGCCGAAGATAAGGCCACGGTGTTTCTCGTCATCGTTGCTCCGTCTCTTTCATCATCATCGGCTGCCGCAGAGACGTCGTCCGGTGAATCGGTCCAGATCCCTGGCCCGCCTGACCTGACGCAACTCAAGGCGTTCGTGGCACGGGGGAATCAAGCTGTCACCTACGGACCGGGCACGTGGCACGCACCGATGGTGGTGATAGGACAGCGTCGGGTCGATTTCGTCGTGTCTCAATTTGCCAATGGAGTGCCCGAGGATGACTGCCAAGAAGTCCTGTTGGGCGAGAATGCCATTGATGTCGATCTGGACGTGCTTGGGCTAGATCTGGAGATGGCAAAACCGAGGCTGTGAATCGGAATTTTGAACATCACAGGGACCGGAAAGGAGAATATTATTATATCGGTAGACACGGGCAGAACTTTATCGGGACGACGGACAGGCCTCCAGCCGTCTGCGAATACAGCATCATCCTCCAGGATACACACAGCACAATCCACACTGTACGCTTGATTCTGAGTTCATAGTGACTAGTTCATGGCCAAGTCCAACGTGACGCCGGTACGACATGCTCATGGGGTATCATGCATAGACTGGAGCAAATTGCAAAACACCAGCTTTCCAAGAGAGACGACGAAAGAGAAAAGCGCTCTGGTCCACCTGACCGATCAAATCAATCTTATGACTTGCCGCCTTCCAGCTTGCTTACCAGTCTCTTCATCGTCACCCACTCCTCTGAACTCCATTCGCCGTTTCCACACTGTAGCCCTTTCCCGACGTCAAACACGGTCACCACGCCATCCAGTCCACCAACTGCCACGTGGCTGCCTCGCTTCTCTTCCCACGCCAGCTTGTTCAAACCGCGGAAAGGCGCGATTCCATTCTTGCCTCTTGTCGGAGCAGCCTTTACAATTGGGACTTCGAGGTCATAGGTAAGGTCAAACACCTCCAGATCGCCGGAACCGGTTACGCAGCCAAAGACCGATGGTTTGTGAGGCGCCCACTTCGCATCATACACCAGGTCTTCGCGGCCGAGGTCCAAGATTGGGCCTTGGGCCGCCGGGCCAGGAGTCGTGGCCGAAGCTGCAATGGCCGCAGCTGAAGTGGAAGCGGCAGCTGGCTTGACCCGCCACAGTTTCACAGACCAGTCGGAGCTGGAGCTGAGAAGAAGATCTCCTAGATCCACAGGACCCCGAGCCGGATGGAACTGTGTGCTCATTACGGGGGCTGTGTGTCCTCGGTACGCGACGCGAGTGTCCACGCCGGCTTGTGCACCTGCCCGGTCGTACCGATGGCATCCGTAGATGCTCCCTTCTTCTGTGCCAACGGCAAAGAAGGTGGGATCGGCTGCCGGGAAACTCATGCTGGTGGGCGCGAGATCGTCCGTTTTCGCGGGGGCGGGCGTATGAAGGACCAGGTACTCCTGCGCCTGGGCCAGCATGTCGACAGACCATGAGCAGACGACACCGTCCATGGAAGCAGTCACAATGTTATGGGCGTTGGGCGTGCCAACGACGCTGATGCTGTATACCGGGTGCGTGTGGCCGAGATGAGACCCCGATTGAGGAGTTTTCTGGACCGGTTGACCAGTTCGACCAGACGTTCTCGTGTCCCAGAGACATATCTGGCCCGAGTAGCAGCCACCGATGACCAGATTGGGGTGGAACGGCGAAAATCGAGCCGACAGAACATCCGACGAGGCGGTGAACGTGTACTCCGGCCTTGAGGGTGCGTGGGAATTCCAGAGGAGGACCAGACCAGCTGGTTCATGGGGAGCGGAGGGATTTTTGGTGTAAGAAGACAAGAGCAATTCATTGAAGTGTGGTGAGAATTGGATGTCCGAAACGATGCGTCGGCGGGTATGCCGGTCTGAGAACAGCTGCATTGTTTCACGTAGAGAATGTGACTTCTTGCCAGTGCGTGAGTAAGGACCATCGGTATCCTCGTCATCATCGTCCAACGTGGAGGTTCGAGTGTAGTCCGCTAGCACGTCGTACTCATCATCCAGGTCCAGTGCGCGCTCGATAACCTTGGAAGACCGCTCCACGAACGCCACAAAGTCGGGAGATGCAACGACGGCGTTAAGCTCGTTGTTGGTAAGATTCCGCAACGGGAAGCGCTGCCGGGACTGTATCGACGCAGAGGCGTCCGTTTCTCGATTGAAAGTCGCCTTGATCTCCTCTTCGATTTCCCGCCGAAGCGTCTCTCGGATCTCTTCGTCCTTCTCTTCACCGCGCCTGCTTGGTTGTTTGCGCGCGCGCGCGGGTGAGTCGACAACATCATCACCAGCACCGTCTTGGATGTCTATGTTATCCGTGTAGGGCTCGGTCTGCACGCCTTTCGAATACGTTATGTACTCCTTCTTGGGCGGGGCCCGTTCATGCGCAGCCGCATCTGCGTAGATAGGAAACGAAGCGTCCGTAGGCTCGGTCTGCGTCGACGTAGATTGCATTACCCGTCTGGGCGAGGATTCAAATCCATTTTGAGGGGTGGTCTGCCCTGTGTCTTGAACAGAACTGGGTCGGCTCTGCCTTCGGCTCGGAGTCGCGATCGAGTCTCTCCGGGAATCGATCAGACTTGAGACGAGGCTATCGATTTCAGATCTTCGCTCTTCCGCCGTTTTGCTGGGCGACGGAGCCTTTCGAAATCAGTAGGGCTTTTCTTGAGACCGGCTGATCTGGCATACCTCTCCAATACTTCGCCGACTGGATGCATATTGCTCCTGTCGCAGCTCCCTCTGCCGCTTCAATTCGGCCAAGCGGGCTTTTTTCGCGAGTAGCTCATCCTTCCGCGACGACATGGCTGAAACTTGCGGCAGGTTGTACAGGTTCAAGCGATTTGTGACGGCAATGCCCCGACTATAACATGGGGCCCGCTGCTTGAACGAGGGAAACTCGCGTCGATCGGGGGTCGGAGCGCGGTGTCACGTGATTGGACGGGCGCAGGGAAGAGCTCCGGAAAAGCACGAAATGTTCTCAGATTCACGTCCTCCAGCTTCACCACCACCATTTTCTCACAACAACACCGCAGCTCTCTAGCCGTGCGCATTGATACGGTCAGGACCAGACAGTGCGCAACTGACCAGCTTTGTGGACTATCGGCTACCGTGGTAGAACGTGGTGGACTTTCACAATGTCAACTTCACAAGGAGTCAATGTAAGCGGCTCGCGATCATTCAACTTCCAATCCCTCTCGCACCGCAATATGCTGGGGTCTGAAGCTGACGTCCCACAGGTACTGCGGTACTCGGCCCTCCTTGCGGGTATTGTCTACGGCTTTTCGCACCAACGAACGATCAGCTCCAAAACCGCAGCTGCACATGCGCAAGCGGAGTATCAACACAAGCTCGATTTAATAGAGAAAGCCAAGCTGGAATGGGCTAAGAAGACACTTCCTCCTCAAGCAAAGACGGCCAGTGGTGACGGTATATGCTGGCGCAGCGGTGGCACTCCCGTTGTGAACGCACGAGACTGACAACTTGGTTGATAGTAATTACGGATCCGAACGATAAAAATTTCGACCTTGAAGCCTATCTGACGAAGCTTGCGGCGGAGAGTTGAAAACGGACCACGAGAAGATGAAACTAATTCCGACGTCCGTGGGATTGTTCGCAGGGGAGGGGACCACGATAGATTCGGCGTTGATCTGAGTCGCTATCCCAGCTTTTTGGTCTCGATTATGGCACCATGACATTGCCGAGGGGAAAAGCAACGGAAAGCTATCAAATCCTGTACATATACACATGCGGCAGCTTTCTACCTGGAGTATCAGGATCAATCCGACAAGCATTGAAAAAGAAACGGTGATCTGTCGTTCTTTGCACTGGATCTGTGGTTTTGACCACTCAAGGGGCAAACAACGTGTGTATATATATATCAAAGGAAACCGTGCTGTTCAATTACACGGCTGTCCGGAGAAATGAAGGAGGAAGATTTTAAGCACCAACAACTGAGGCCCAGTGACAGCGCTGATACTTTCTAGGAGCAATTCCACAGACCGGACGTCGTCGGGGAAGCCTCGTGAGTATTGAAAGGGCCTGGAGGTCTGCAAGGCCCACGTCCAGATACAGCTGCAGCCCGACCGGTAAGTATATCAGCTCCTATATCGCCCTCGTGTGTGCTTTCTTGGGACTGGCGGATTTGATATACATGTCCCAAGATGTCCAAAGCATCGGGTTACGCATGACAGAGCATCCGCCTCAGGCACACCTTGACGTTGCTCACTGTGGCTCAGGACTGTACTTCCGAATAGAATCCGAGTCAGCCAAAACCACATAACATCACCAACAACATATGATACTTGGGTACTCAGATATTATCGCCGGCACAATGGAGACCAGAACGACATTAACAACAACAAAGGTCGGCAGGAAACAGGACGCGCTCTGTACATCATGTTGAGGTCGCCATTCGACAAGTCTATTAGACATCTTTAGCCTCCAATGGTCCAGGGCGCCCTTCAATTGAGCATGTTGACACGTGATCTGATAGATCTATTAGTGGCAGCAGCTTCAGGGGCCAATGCAGACGCTCGCCCCATCTGTCCAGCAATGTTATCCTAGCAGATAACCCGCGACCCTCTCATACTGACAACCTTCATGCTCAGCAGTGTCTGTACCAAAGATCGCGTTGATGGCTGTCGTGAGCCTGAACTCGATTGATGAGAGGTGCTGCAGCATGCGTTGAACATATAACGGTGCACCATCCTGCTCCCGACGGTTCCTGAGGACCCTTCCAATGGCATCCAACAAACCGGGGTTGGCAGAAAAGACAGGGTTCATTGTGCTAACGAACGGTCTAGTGTGTCACGCCGGTACTAGCACTCCACGATGACGGTGGCCCGGAAACGCAGAACAAGCAAGGCCGTGCGCTTGCATTCTTTCCCCCTTGGCTGCTGTCCTGTCGAGCATGCCCACCTCCGTTCATGCTTCGACACAGGCCTTCAGACGAGAGGCAGGGACGAGGTCTGGAGTCAATGCATCAGGTGCAATGACCGACGATAAAGCCCTCAATGGTGGGCCAGCTGATCAATAAGAGCTGGATAGGCGTTGTTCGCATGGAACCACTTCCTCTTGCGGTCCGGCAAACATGTCCTCCCAAGAGCGGTACGTAACCACCGAATTGGCAGTCGTCCAACGACAGCTGCGCGACGTAGAGACTCATGTCCCGAGATCGAGTCTATCGACTGGGATTGGCCCGACCCCGCAAACACAGCGTTTCCGAGAAATCGGCAACGACGAACTGGCTGGGTTCCTTACGTATATCGACCGTCCACAACACCATTGATCGAGCTACGCCCGGCGAGGAGTGGGCTGAAACCCAGGTCCGTGTTGTCACTGGACGACGACCTCTGACAAGCAATAATGACCCCGATGACTTCCAATACCCAACTTCTTACAACATGCGACAGCAGGATTGCCTCATTGAGAGCGGGCCAAAGAAAATGAAAAATCTGCTTGTCCATGCGCCCAGTCTTGGACGATCTGCATTGGCCGTTTGTGAAGGCGGCAGTGTCCTCTGCCTACCTAGGTACTCACACCTGTCAACCTTTCGAGCATCCTCATCTCTCCCACTTTTCCTACCCCAGCATTTCCCCGCAGCCCGGTTAGGAGACTTCTGCTTAGTTCGTTCGCTAGACCGGAGCTTGAGCCAATCTCGCGGTGGTCCATTGGCGGACTGGCACCTGCAGACGGCGTCCTTGGCCTTCATAACACCATCCTTTCGAGCATTGACTCTCAATCGAGAATCGAGGTGACCAGAGTCGACTGGACCTTGCCAACCTCCGGTACCAGGATGTCCGTCCGTCAAGCATTCGACCAATTTCTGGACTTTGCGCTATTGGTTTGCGACTAGTAGGGGATGTGGCCCGGCCTCCGCTCCAACAGGCTCTGTATTGTTTGGGCCCTCGGCTGAGCGGGTTTAAGGGGTCTCCCCTCTACCGAGAGGAGAAATCAGTCGATCTTGCCATTGTCCGTGACGCGAACATCAGGTGCTGGACAAGACTATATTATTCGGGGGGCCTCCCAGAGTTTGTCCTAGATGGTAAGTCGTGGTGCACCTTGTGCTGTGTTCCTTCCGTCACTGTCCCCAAGTCTCAGGTTCGCTCTTTACTGCCTCACCTCGTTTTCACTTGGCAGTCTTTCTTCTCTTCAAGTACAACTTGAGATCGAGTACCAATTGCACCGGTACTTCACCTCATCCACTACCACCGTATCTCTATCAGGCATAGATTAGCGTCACGATGGCGAACAACGCCGACGTCGAGAAAGACCACGCCGGTAGCGACTCTATCAACGGGCGATATGACCTCCACCACGACCATCACGACAGTGAGAGTGCTCTGAGGAGGATCCGGACGGCGGGAAGCATCTCGATCACCCCGGAGCTCTTTGAGAAGATCTATCTCTCACCCAAAAACCGAGTCTCTAATAACATCCGGTCGACCTTCGGCAATCCAACTCCTCTGTAAGACAACCCAGGACGACCGTTGATGCTGTGCTGACCCGCGACAGTGCTCTGGTCGGGTTTCTGTTGTCCCTGACACCGCTGTCCAACGTCCTGTTGGGTTGGCGAGGTGCTGGCGGGCTGGGTGCCGCTGAAGTGTAAGTTGCCGCGCTCTGTGAAGGTGTTTGGTCCCGGGCTGACCAGGTATTTAGCGGTGTCTACTACTTCTTCGGAGGCCTTCTCATGCTTCTCGGGGCACTACTCGAATTCATCCTGGGCAACACCTTTCCTTTCGTGGTGTTTGGCTCATTCGGCGCCTTCTGGTTGTCATTCGGGGCCACCCTGACTCCTTACTTCAACGCCTCTATCGCCTATGACCCTACCAACCCAGCCGCGTCGGCCACGAATCCTGTCTTCGCCGCTACGTTTGCCTACTTCCACGTCTACATGGGATTGCTTTGCTTTGTCTACATGATTGTGGCCATTCGAACCAACATTGTCTTCGTCCTGATCTTCCTCCTGCTCGTACCCGCCTTTGGCTGCCTGGCCGGGTTCTTCTTTGGCCTGGGTGAAGGGGTGGTCCACATGACACTTCAACATGCAGCGGGTGGATTGACCTTCGTCGTGTCCCTGTTGGGATGGTACCTCTTCTTCGTGCAACTGCTGGCCTCCGTCGACTTTCCTCTCAATCTTCCGGTCGGCGACTTGAGCACATTCGTCCGGGGCGCGAGCGAAAGAGCCAACAAGAGCGAATAGAGGTGCCGACGGAAGAAGGGCGACGTGAGAGCAAGTGAGATGATTGGGCTGGACTACAAGCTTGGGATGCTGTAAGACAGCGAGGCGAGCGCGCAGTGCGTGTCAGGAGACGACACGAGAAGAAGCAGAAAGGGTTGGCGTGCTACACGCCACATAGCATAGCTGTATTCAGGAACCAGCAGCATGCTGTGTTCGCATTCGTACATCATCAATTCGAGACAGTTGCATGCACGGTGATGGGTGGGGATCAGCTGGCTTGTTACGATAGCTTTTGGCCAACTTAGGGCTCATTGAATCGCTTTGAACCAATTTTGGGAGGTGCTTGTGACGATTGGCTTCTCCGCGGTGCGACCTCGGATGTGGATTCATGACTGGCTCTCGTCTTGCTCTCGAACAGTACCTTTCCAACCGTCACACCACCTCTCACTAGCAGACAAGGCTGTACCACTAACCCCCAATCTCGCTGTAATGACGGTGAGCGAAAATGGAGGAGGAAATCCCAGCCGTGATACCGAGGGTATGGCAGTTCTGCGTTAGCCTCATGCAGGTGTTTGTTCGTGGTACGACCGACATCCACAAACCAGCCAAGGCACCTGGAAAACATCGATTCTCGTCTTCTCTACTTGTGGTGTTGTTTTCGTTATTGTAATAATCTGCTTGACTCGCCACGAGTCCTGGCTGCTCCAAGTTCCCCCGAGATGGCCTATTGCGTATTGGGTGTTGCGTGTTGAAGGGGAAGAATCCTCTCTAGAGAAAGTTTTCTTTGAGGAGTCCTCCTTGACGCCGCTGTCCCATGGGTTCCGGGAAGAGCGAAGGTCAAGATTGTTGTGGGCGCTGGGCGCTGGGCGGTGAGCAGTACTAGCAAGGACCAGGACATAGGATGCTTTGGGTACGTTCCTACCTTGGGTGCGTGCGTGGGTAGATGGTTGAAGGTTGGTGGTAGGTGGTTGGTGGTTGGGGTATGTGTGGCTCCAGTTTCAAGGCTCTTGTCGTCCGAGAGGCCTGGGGGAAATCTCCTCGTTTCAGCTGCAGATTCGCAGGTGTCTCTTTTAAAAGCTGAACTGACCTCAGCCAGGGATCTGCATGGTACTAGGTGATAGAATTATCACTGGTAGTAGTCAGTTGTAGGTGGAATCAATCCTATGAACCTGAGGCAATGAATGTTGTAGCGGTCGGCGGAATATAATCCCAATTCCGGGGATGCGATGCCAAGGCCGCAACGGACCTTAAATGTACAGTACATCTTCCTATACTATCTACATACCTGGATAATGTATCTATGTACCTAGTATCCTCCGATTCAAGTTGTCTTGATATCTTGTCGGATCTTAGGCAGGAGTCTACACTCGCCCCAAGTCCTGGACGTTTGCGTTGCGTAAAGCTAAGCTGAGCTGACCCGGTTACGCGCAATCAGCGCCGACCATCTTCCAACCAAAGTGACCGAAGCGCATTCATTGATCACAGCGGCACAGCAAGGTCTGCAGTGGTTGCTGGCCTAGCGACGGATGCTCATAGCCCGAGCGTGGAACGTTGCGTCCATCACAAGAACCGCCTTCCAAACCGTCTCAACCTCTATTCGGGCCTCTCGACTGAACAACAGTTTCAATCTCATTGGCGGTCATCGCACCATGGCGACCACCATCATCAATCCCCCGCGGGACCCCAACACTTTGGCCAATTACAACAACTGGCGAACAGTGCACACCTCGACGGCACTCGACATCTTGTTTGATCAGCAGAAACTTCAGGGCAGCGTGACACACAGCCTTGAATCCATCACCGACGGAGAAAGTGACGAGATCCTCCTCGACTCCAGCCACATCCAGATCCACAGCGTCAAGGCCGACGGCAAGCAGGTGAAATGGGAGCTGATGGACCGGCTGGAGCCGTACGGTAGTCCGCTGAAAATCAAACTGGGCCGGACGGTCAAGTTGAACGAGAAGGTCGAGGTTCACATCGATCTCGAGACGACTGCTTTGTGTACCGCTCTGCAATGGCTGACGCCGGCACAAACGTCCAACAAGAAACATCCCTACATGTTCTCGCAATGCCAGGCCATCCATGCGCGCTCCATTTTCCCCTGTCAAGATACTCCTGACGTCAAAGCGACATACGATTTCACCATCAAATCTCCCTTGCCGGTCATTGCGTCGGGCATTGGTGCTGGAGAGAATCCCACCGCTCCCTCGCCGGACGGTAGCTCTCAGATTTATAAGTTTCACCAAGGCGTGCCGATTCCGTCGTACCTCTTCGCCCTAGCCAGTGGGGATATTGCAACGGCCAAGATCGGCCCGCGAAGTGTGGTGGCCACAGGTCCGGATGAGCTGCGCGCCTGCCAATGGGAACTGGAGGCAGATACGGAGAGATATCTGCAAGCCGCCGAGTCGTTGATCTTTCCGTACGCCTGGGGCCAGTACAACGTGCTGGTCCTGCCGCCCTCATTCCCTTACGGAGGCATGGAGAATCCCATCTTCACCTTTGCCACGCCGACCGTCATCTCCGGAGACAGACAGAACGTGGATGTGATTGCGCATGAGTTGTCGCATTCATGGTCGGGCAATCTGGTGTCGAACGCATCTTGGGAGCACTTCTGGCTCAATGAGGGCTGGACAACCTATCTCGAACGACGGATCCAGGCCGCCGTCCACGGCGGTGACCAGTGGCGTGACTTCAGCGCCATCATCGGATGGAAAGCGCTGAGCGACTCGATCGAGCAGTTCGGCGAACAGCACGAGTTCACCAAGCTGGTCATCGACCTGAAGGGCAAGGATCCGGACGACGCGTTCTCGAGCATCCCGTACGAAAAGGGGTTCAACTTCCTCTATTACATTGAAAAGCTCATCACCAAGCCCCAATTCGACAAATTTATTCCGCACTACTTCGAGACGTGGCGAGGCAAGTCACTCGACAGCTACGATTTCAAGACGACGCTGCTGGATTTTTTCAAGGACGACGCAGAGGTGTCGGCCAAGCTGGCCGAGATTGATTGGGACGTTTGGTTCTACAAACCTGGGTTCCCGCCCCGGCCCAACTTCGACACCAGCCTGGTCGACGTCGCGTACCGACTCGCCGACCGGTGGGAGAAACTGACCAGTGCAAACGGCAAGGAGGTCGGTTGGGTTTCGGACTTTAGTCCATCCCGGTCAGATATTGCCGGCTGGTCGGCTAACCAGGTCGTGGTGTTCCTCGAGCGCGTATTGGCGTTTGACAAGCCCTTGCCGGCCGAGCACGCGAGTCGGATGGGCGACGTCTATGATCTCAAGGATACGCACAACGTCGAGGTCTCGAGTCGGTATTACCAGATCGCCATGCGTAGTGGTGCCTCGGGCGTCAAGACCTTGGTGGCCAAGCTGCTGGGCGAGGTTGGACGCATGAAGTTCGTTCGTCCGTTGTACCGTGGCCTCATGAAGCTCGATTACGAGTTGGCGGTGCAGACGTTTGAGAAGAATAAGGATTTCTATCATCCGATCTGTCGGGGCTTGGTGGCTAAGGACTTGTTTGGGAGTAAAGAGGAGAGTAAGAAGGAATAGGTCAGTGACGGAATAGACAAGGACGGATTGGCGGCGGCGGCGGCAGGCTCGGTAAGAGGCTCGTTAGCATATTGCTGCCTGAAACGAATCGACTTGCAGGGACGAGGAGATTAGACTTCCAGAGCAAAAGGATGCTTATATGTCCTTACCTTTCCAACCATTTGCGGAGTGTATTCGCCAGTATACGATCAGCGGCAAGGAGCAGAGCAAGACGCAATGGTGAAGCAGTAGATCCAAAACAATCTGGAAGGAGGAAAGTGAGAGGATCACACCACCGAACAGGATCGTTGTACTCGGCATCCTGCTCCAATTCTATTGCATGCGAGGGGTGCCTCAAGAACCAATAATGATAAGATCTGAATCTGGATGTCCCTGGTTCCTCAGCCGTCTACACCGGCTGTGAACGGTTCGTCGGTCAACCATCTTTTAATCGCTCTCTCAGAATCCGCAGAATCTCGTCTTCATAGTCATTCAGCTGCAGCCAGTCCGGGGCGATGAGCTGGTCTCTCGTGATGATTATCCTAGTATTCTCGCCTGATCGATCTTTCAGTCTGTCTATCTGGCCAGTTTGAGACTCGACCTGATTTTTGCTCCGATTTCGGCTTTGACTTCGTTGTCCGGCCATTCGTCCATCGATAGCAGCAACAGCAGGTGATGTAGTTGCGCTCAACTGCCGATCCAACGTTTCAGCCGATTCAGAAAACGGTCGATGAAGGATTCGACCCGCGGAAGAACATGATGCGGTATGCGTTAGACGTGTGGACCGGGTTCCCGTCTTGCGTAGGTCTTCGTCATGCCCACCATCCCCAATCTCTTGTGAGCCAGCTTCAGTGTCCGCGTCCGAAATGCCGGATTCTTTGCGGCGACTGCTTGTTGTCGATGGCGATATGGACTGAGACTCCATGGCTTTCTCTGGGTCGGTATCCATGAACGCAGCCTGTGGTCGCCTCTCCAACCGCTCCTCTCGCAGTGCTTTCAAATCGATCGGCGTCCACCAATAGATGGGAAACCGGCGGCCTGCGACGTTGTTCAGTACCAGTGCACTGGCCAGCATGAGCGAGGCAGCCAGCAAGACTAACGGCAGCAGCCACCATCCAAGATGTTGGATCTCGACATTCGTCGCGGCCAACAACGCCGTTGCCCCCGCAGGCGGATGCACCGTTTTGGTAATGCTCATGACCACGCTGGCAGCTCCGACGGCTAGAGCGCCGGCGAGCCAGCGAAGCTCGTCGAACCGCGCCGAGGGCAAAAGAGCAAACAGTTTGGTGATCCCGACTGCCACGATGGCGGAGAGGAAATGGCCCAATACCAGATTTCGCGGCTGTGAAAGGGGCGATTCGATGGTGTTGTATTCGAGAATGGCGGCCGCGCCGAACGAGGCGATAATGATGGGCACCTCATGGCCTGACAGGGGAGGGAGAGCGAGGAAGACGTTTTCAATGATGGCAAGCCCGCAGAAGGCGCCGACGAAGACGGAGCACCATACTGTTATTGTCTGGAAGTAATGGTGGCGACAACGGCGATCTGAAGGTCCTCCTGCGTCCTTGAGAGGAGGACGGTAGCCGAACCAGTACGAAATCCAGGCTGGAAGGAGATATAGAGGATTGCGAGGGACATAAGGGTTTAGGTAGTTGTCGATGTCGAATGGAAGGGTGGGTTTGGAGGGTTGAGACTCGGGTTGAGCTTTTCTTGGGTATTTAGACGACATGGGCGTGGAGGAGCCGTAGGGTATGGTTTGGAGAGGAGCGAAGCAGATCAGTCTTGGGTAGTCCGCTCGCGAGGCCTGCTGGACGAGGACTGTATGTCAACTAGCAGGAGATCGCCGACAACAATCAAAAGCCATGATATGGACTCGTTGGTTCGATTGAATGATTTCGTGCGGTGGGGGTATTCACTTTCTCGATGATGCCGTATGGACAGGATGGAACAGCAAAACGAAAATAGCAAAAGAACAAGAGATCGCAAAAGCATCCACCGATGAATGAATGGTGTTGGAACCACCCTTACCTATTTAACAAGTCCATCGACCGGGCTAAAGATGAGATCAGACCCAAACGGCGTCAGGGACATCGAGGTCAGAATTTGTTGATGCCGTAATAAAAGCCTCCCAGATCCAAGCATCTCCGCTGTCGCGGGTGATATTCCATTAAAACAGCCAGAAGAACCGTCGCCGCCATCATCATCATTCAAGCGATGGACAAAGCTTGGTCTGAGAAAATGTTGCGTTACGCGAGAGAAATGCAGTGAGTGGCTGAGAAGGAATAGTTGTAGTCATCGGCTCTCCCGGCAAGGGTCTGAGCCCTTTTCTTTGTCAGGAACCTTACCATCAATCCGGGGAATGTTCCAGGATATGAATAAAGCGGCGAGAGGGAAAGGCGCTGAATATGAGCTGCTGACACAGGAGATAGGGACAGGTTGGGACGCCGTCCAGGGCGTTCATCACCTTGGATGATGGGTAACAAAAGATGAGGATCGATATGATCCAAGGCCACTCCTGCAGAGGGAGAGGAAGAGGGAGAGGAGAGATCATACGCCTAATAACCTCTATTGCCAAATATCTCTGATAAAGAGCAAATATCCCTTTACGGCTTAGTGGAAGCATCTAGTGCAATGCTTAATCCAAGGGACAGGTCGCGCCTTAGTCAGCATCGCTGACTTCTCCGATTCCGCGGCGCGTGGCATTGATTTTCCTGCGTTCGGCCAGTCGACGCCGTGCAAGGTAAATACCTAGATATCTGTACGGTCATGTCTCGAGCCGGACAACGGTGGCGGTAGTGATGTCTCAAGGTGCTCATCCCGACCCGAACCACACATTCGCATTGCTGACTGACAGCTCCAGACTTCGATGTGACGAAGCTCCCGCTCGAAGTCCTCCGCGCCGAACTGGACCGCCGAAAAGAGAAGCCAACATGCGGTACGCCCGGAAAACAGGGCTCCTACAACACGGGCATCCATGTGTTTGCCTTGTTCCTGCTCCTCGGGCTGAGCACGCTAGGTACGTAGCTGCCGGATCCTCATTCACGAACATAAAGGTTGACCTTGACAGCATGCTCGTTCCCGATCATCGCACGGCGGTTCCCTAACCTCCCGATCCCGCACCGCTTCCTGTTTCTGTCGCGACATTTCGGCACGGGGGTCCTGATTGCGACGGCATTCATTCATTTATTGCCCACGGCTTTCATATCCATGACCGACCCGTGTCTGCCGGACTTTTGGAGCAAGAATTACACACCCATGCCGGGGTTTATCGCCATGATGGCAGTGTTTGTGGTAGTTTCGATTGAAATGTTCTTTGCATCGAAAGGAGCCGCCCATAGCCATGGAGGTGAATGGGATGGGCTACCAGAACCCAGTCACAGGCCGACCCGAGGGAACGGTCGCGTCTCTTTGAACCAGACAGGCACGCCTCTGACACCTTACACTGATGGGACCCCAAAAACTCGGCATTCCATGTCCAGCGAATCGGACTCCGACGACCTCGACGACTTGGATCCGATAGCAGAACAATCTGCACCCTTCAGTCACCCTCACAGACGAGCCTCGTCACAACATGATAACCACGCGCCCGCCGAACAAAATCCCCAAAGACTGTTCCTCCAATGCTTGCTGCTCGAAGCCGGCATTCTTTTCCACAGTATCTTTATTGGAATGGCGGTCTCGGTAGCCACAGGCACGGAATTTGTGGTCTTACTGGTGGCGATCTGCTTCCACCAGACGTTTGAAGGGTTTGCTTTAGGATCCCGGATTTCTGCTCTGATTCCGGCCTTGTTCGACGCCCGCAGTCCAAAGCCGTGGCTGATGGCATTGGCTTACGGAGCCACCACCCCCATTGGCCAAGCCATTGGGATATGGATGAATGAGCTCTACGACCCGGCGTCTGAGGTGGGCTTGTTGATGGTTGGCATCACTAACGCTATCAGTAGTGGCCTCTTACTGTTCGCCGGACTTGTCCAGCTGATTGCGGAGGACTTCCTCAGCGAGAAGAGCTATGAGATCCTCAAAGGACGCAGGAGGGTTGAGGCTTGCCTTGCCGTTGGCCTGGGTGGGCTCTTGATGGCTATCGTGGGAGCTTTTGCCTGAGCAAGAAACGATGATCCAAACTCCCATCCACCACTCTTTCAGCCTACATCGAAGCACGGCCATTCTTCCCTTCAAGCCACTCTAGGGGCAATGCACCAGGGAGAGCGGATCTATTGACAACTCTTCCCCTTCGCCGAGGGCATCCAAGTGCCGCTTACGTTGGGATACCGCGCGCCAGCACAGATGTGCCTGATTCTCTATCGGTTGATCCTACACGGCTGGCGTTGTTGACCAGTTTTTCTAGCACAACCGCCGCGCCGGGACGAGTCGTAGTGAGCGACCTCACCGGAGATGCTGAAGGAGGTGAGCAGGTTGTACAGAGCCCAACTTCTACAATGTTTCCGACCTCTGTTGAAGGAGGACTCATGGCTAGGCTTGGGCCGAGCAAGAGGCGTGCATTACGAGCGCGCGAGGATAACCAATCATGGCTTCACCGCTGTGAGTAGCCGATCTTCAGTTTCAAGCATGAACACAGGGTGCTCCACGCAAGTCTCTTTGGACTAGCTGACTGGAAGCTGAGCGCTCGGTAGCATTGACCAATGCAAATTGGATCGACCCGTGGGCTACGGAAGCCTGTGGATGACGATATCCGGAGATTCGTTCGCCCGTCTGCTTGCATCTTGGATACATTTGCCTGTTCTAGAGAAAGAGTGTATATACAGCGTGTCCAGGACGACCTGGGCGGTATCACGAAAGGCGACGACTGATGACAACTCCGCGCCACAGTTGCCGTTGCAAGTGTACTATGTGCAATGAAATTTGATTCTGCTACAAACCAGGCCGCTCTGGCAGGAGATGTCCGCGGTTCAATCCCAGCCATTCAGACGCTCATTCATCATCAGGTTGAAAGAAGTCACAGTCAACATCCCTAGGATGGTCTCGTTTCTCTCCTCATCCATCTCAGCCTCGGGCAGACGGTCCATCTCACCGAAACCTGGTGCTGTCAAGTCCATATCACGCTCTCTTCAATCACACCAGCTGCAAGAGCGAACCTGGCAAGCTACAATTCCTGGGATCCTACTTCTTCGACGTCCTGGGAGGAGGCGGAAAATATAGTTCAGGCGACTTCCCTGCTCGGACGTCACTGGCCGGCACTTCAGCGAACCCGTGCGTCGTGGGACTTGTCGGCATTTGCGGGCTTCTCATAGCAAAGGAACGAGATGTGGCAGGGGCTGAGGCTGAGGCAGTTGCATCGGGATTTGGGGTCCTGTTGCTGTTGGCAGTGCTGAAGTGGCTCCGGAGAGGCAAGTCTTTCGTCCCTCCGAGGATATTGAACGCCCTAGTTCGCGGAGTCATGGGACTCAGTCCGTCCTGCAATCCCGGCGTGTCTGGTTGTGGTGGGGCGCTGATGGCCTCGCCCGTCACCGGATCCTCGACAATCTCGAAGCGAGCCCATTTCTCCGCCTTGAGACGTTTCTCCTCGGCATATTCCAGCCGTTGCTTCTTGGACGGGAAGCACGACCAGACGGCCAGGCCGAAGTAGACGACGAAGATGCCCAGCATGGCGCAAGTGCATGCGAAGCTCGCCTTGGCTTGTTCGCAATAGCCGACCAAGCTCTTGTCATGTGCCACGCTACACGACTTCGTGATATACCAGGGGGCACCCTTCTGCGGATGGTCGGGGTCGGTGGTGTCGCTGCTGGCCTGGTAGTCGACGGAGACGGTGTAGAGGGCGATGAGGATGGCGTGGACGACGGCGGACAGGATCGGCGGGAAGACGTGCAGCATGTACATGATGGCCTTGACCAGCATGACGAACATGGAGAGGACGGCGATCACGACGTTATAGTTTGTTATACTGTTCGACAACAAACCGTTAGAATACTTGGACAATTTGGTGAGCCTGCGTTTTGGCTCCGTTGTGCTTGCTCGTTTCGCCCTTCTCGTGCTTGCTTACAATGGTGACCACACTTTGGGCGTCGTGTACGGTCGATAGTTGGCTGCCGCGTACAGTCCTGTGGCGGGACTCGAGTTGAAGCCGTTGTCTGCACCGTCTTGCCATAGTTTCGTCCGGTACAGGTTCGGCGCCGCAATCCCGAACAGTGCCAGCAAGGCAATGGTCAAGGCCAGCTCGATCGCGAGCAGGCCGTAGAAGGGCCATTTGTTCGGCTTCCACCGTCGAGACAGGAAGAACACCATGGCGTGCAGAGTCGCTATCGGTGTCGGTGTCGGTAGCTGCCTGAGTTCAATTTGAAGCGATTGATTGATTGATTGACCTCTCTCGAGTCCGTTGAGTGCAGTGCCGGTCTGCTTCAAGGGCGTTGTGGCATGGTCAAGCTTTCTGTGAGGCCGCCGCTGTCCACCAACAACGGTTGTAGTCGTTTACCTTTCGCCTTCAACCCCTAAGACCTGGATTTTCACAAGCTCTGTATGCTCATTGACATGAGAAAGGAGGATAGGAGAACAAGACCTGTGAGGTGCAGAGCAGGGCAGAGAGCCCCTCGCCCAGACGAACCTGGTCAGGCCATCCCATCCCATCTTGCAGGTGACGGACGGGTTCAGGACTGGCGATTGTGCTGTGCTGACTTGCAGCAGGCGCTTACAGGACCGAGGAGGACGAATGAGGGTTGAAGGGTGGTAGATGTGTGAAGCCAATGAACAGAGAGAAGATGGAGAGACAAGCCCCGTCGAGCTACTAGTAGTTTGCTGGGACAAGGGTTCGAGAGGGTGTGCTGGGTTAGAGGATTGGCTGGAGGGTGGGATGTGATTGATAGATAGAAAGAGACTGGGCCGAGGTGATAAGCCATTGCACACTCTCTCCGCCTTCATCTTCTGTCACACAAACGATGCCTTTTTGACGCCCTCCCTCCATTAGTGTCATGGATCTTCCTCAGGGCTGCTGCTGAAGTGAACATATCATTGAGTGCCCCTGTTCTCAAATTCGTTGATAGTTGATCTTGATACCACGTCTACATCGGAGGGCAGAGGGCGCCTCCCTGAGATCAAATCCGTTCCTCCCTGTCTCGTTCACACGATCAAGCTACATGAGCGCCTACCGTGGACCTGATGATGTAGGCGCAACGAGGACCGAATATTCTTGATCAATGCCAACCTACATTGGTGAACTTCAGTCTCATCCTCTTGATGTGGTCACAACCTTGAATTACAGGCTCTCACTATGGTATAAATCACGGTTTACTATAGGGACACAAAAGCGGCGAATGTTCGAAACAGGTCGTCAACACAATGTTCGGCCTTTGTCTGTGGCAATGCTCCAGCATATACGCCCATTTCATTTGCTCAGGCTGGACTTCTTGACTGAGTGTCTAACTCCTCCATTCTCTGCTCAGTGTGAGGCCCTGGTAAGAGCAGAAGGCCGGAAGATCAGCCCTTCTGATCCGGCAGATCCTAGGGAGCAATCGAAGTGGAGACGCTATCTGTGTTCATCATTGTTGGGTCAAAATGGTTGGAGCTCAATCTCCCAGAGACAATATGTCTGTCTCGTGGCGGAGCCTGACCAACCGTCCGAATCCTGGTGGACTGACCGTCTGCAAAAGCACAGCTGTGGTTCTCAACAAAGTTCGCAAAAGCCCTCTTATGGGATCAGAGTCAAGCTGAACCCAGCTCCATAAGTGTGGTGTTCACTGTCCTGACGGTTGGGATCTCGTCGCAGGTCGTGTCTCTTGCCGATCAGAGGGGTCCGGGTAGTATGGTCATACAATACACCAGATCGCGGTGACATATACCGATCCCTAGCCTTCGAACGCAAGGCCCTCGGGCTGAGTTTCGACTTGCAAGTCATTAGCTTGAAGCGGAGATGGTCCCTTAGATGCCACAACTCTTCCATCTTCTGATCGTACGAAGCTTGGTGTCGGTTATTGCACAACTTAGCCTGTGTGGCACCCTCCAACGCCATTAGAAGCAATGCAATTCTTTCTGCTGATCGACTCACTGACGGCACTCTTGTGGAGAAATAGCCGTTATTGCAGACTTTGATAACGTCGCTTGTTACTGCACAGCCCGGGGTCTTGGTACCTTCTGCCCTAGCAAAGTTGGTATTGAAGAGTCAACGCGTCTTTATAACGCCTGGGCTGAGATACGTGTACTGCCGGGGAAATGACCTCACTGTGTCAGGCAGGAAGAAGGACTGCTGTCAAGGAGAATAAGTACTCTGACACGACTGAAGATCTTCACGAATAGCAGTCTGGAGTGAAGTAAGAACAGATGTTGTGGGACCGTGATTGATTGAAATGGACAAGGCGGAGTGGAGGGACTCGGATCAGTCAGCATCTAATCTTATCTTATCGCAATCAGAGTAGTTTATCCAATCATGTCGCGATAATTTAGTGGATCCCGTCGACCCATCTCTTGGCCAATAGCGTCGGTGTTCTTCCGCCCGCGGCCCTACCCCTTTTTCTCGTGTTTCTTCCCACCGCGTTCCACCACCAGCCACCGGGCATTAAGCACGGGGCACCTCTCTCTATACCTTTACACTCCGCGTCTCCTCGCCCTCAGTCTCGGTCATCTGTGGTCTGGATTGACCGTGGTCGTGATATATATACACCCTCAAGATTGAAGCTGCCAGAGCCTGACGATTATGCGAGTCATCCCGTCAGGCTCTGGTTGATATACTGCCAGATGACGAACTCTCATCGGTCCGACAGGGGATTCGGATACTAGGCGGGGGCGTTGGGCCACTTGTGAGATGCCAGAACCAGATGTTTTACTCCAGACTGGCACCAACAGCCAGCGATCAGCCTCGATCGGACCCTGACAGGCAAAGTCGGTCCTCGGCAGCCCCCAGTTTTCCCGCCAGCCTGGTGTTTGACCAGCTCCCGCGTTTTCCCCCTTTGGGCGTTTCGAAACACCTCCCTTCCGTGTGCGACCCTCCCAAACGCGCCCTCGGGCCTATCACTGCTCAGCACTCAGCCCTCTTTGCATCCAGCAGACGTTTTTCTGTGTGTCTCTCTCTCTCCACTGGTCTCGGGCATCCTCAGCAGACGCCAGCCGTCTCGCCATCCAACGTGTTTTTCTCTTGTCTGATGCTGGTCACAGACTGACATCCATAGTCGATTGTTCATCTGCTGTCTTCGAGCCAAAGTGTTGCGCTCTTCAACTGTTGCTTGATATCTGGGTTTGATTTTGGGTTTCGCTATACTAGTCCTGCGTGTCCAATTTCCCTCCAGCCTGATGGCCTCGCGCTAGTCCTCTCCTCCACGATGATCTCTCCGTCTACGTCTACAACCGAGGCCACCCATGCCACTCTTTGACAGTGCCGCGCGCAAAAGGAGCTACCACAGCATTCTGATTCATCGTACACCCAACCTCGACTCTCACCGTCGCGTCCTCACACTTCAACTTGATCTGGACCTCTTCACCGTTCCTCTCGTCTGCCAGACGGACAGACAGGCAGAATGGTGCGCCACGGACTTCTTGCCTGGCACAAACGAGAGCCTCAGACGGCCGACGGTATCGGCACGCTACCGGCCAGCATTGGGAATCCAACAGCAACGCTTCCACCGTCGATAGCACCCACCAATGTCACTCCCAATCCTTCTGCGACCGCTCCGATAGCAACTGCTCAAGCCCCGTCGGGACTTACCACCATCACAGAAACAGAAACTCTCGCTCAGTCCATCACCAGTCTAAACACCGTCTCAACAATCACCACCGAACGAGTGCGGATCATAACCGATCCTTTCGAGTATGCCTCTCTCACGTCCGCGGCTGCTCAATCGAGCTCGACGGAAACCCGACCGACCACTTCCACGGCTTCAGCTTCGGCTTCGGCTTCGGCATCGGCTTCTGCCACAACGAGTGCCGCCGCTGCCAACTCCACGTCTAACCTCAGCACTCTTGTGCCTGCGATTGTCGTCCCGATCATCGTTGTGCTGGTGGCCTCCCTGGGGGCGTTCTGGTTCTTCATGCGTCGGAGGCATAGAAGAGAACTAGAGAGCCAGCCGGAGTTTGTCATGACCGGTAAAGGAGAGAAACTCAGCAGCCGGTCGAACAGTGGGAGATCAACTGCCTCAGATATGCCGGTCTTCGAGAAGAGATCACCCGCCATCACACAAAAGGAACTTCCCTCTTTATCTTTACAAACCCCGCCGCCGACCAATTCCGAGTGGCCATCAACACAAATAGGAGTTGCACGACCGTTGACCCCCCAGCAAACAACTCCCGTTCGAATCCCGTACAATCCGCCCTTTAGCGACAAACGATCTGGAAGTCCTTCTCAACCTCGCCAATATAAAAATTTCAATTCACCTGTACCCAGACCGGCCGGCCCGATTCGGCCTGTCCCACCACCATCAAACAGAACCCCCATGCCATATCGCGAACGCAGCGACAGCCTGCCTGGGCCGAGACCGCCGCCTCCTCTACGCACCGTTTCTCGAGACCCCCCAAGAATGGCTCCTAGTCCTGGCCCAGGCTATGCGTCTCAACGTACGAGCCCGGTCAGATCTCCACAAGGATTCCCAGGATTACCAGGAAACCCTAGACCGAGTGCAGCAGCAGCAGCAGCAGCAGCAGCAGCGTCGAGTGCCGCTAACGAGTTCCGTCTGCGTGATCCGTCACCCAGCATGAACCACCACGTTCGAGCCCAAGCGCCTCCCCATCTCGCAGCACCTCCACCGGGAGCTTACAATGGCGCATCATCAATTTCGCAATACTCCCCGATCGTCAAGGACGCACCCATCCGAATCAGAGGCCCTGGAGCGAAACGCACCCCTCCCCCAGCAATCAACACATCCGACATGGCGAACGAGAAACTGAGCCACACACCAAATTCAGCCAGCCCACGAGGCCATGGCTTAACGGAAGAAAACGTCCGCATCGCCAGACTGGGCCACTCAAACTCGTCTCGTCTGGCTTATACTCCCGCCGAGCCGAGTCCGTCACCTAAACTGCCTCCTCCTGCAACCCGGTCACAACTGATCCCTGGCGATACCCTGAGAGAAGACGAGGACAGTTTCTATGGCGGCAGCGTCAGCGACCGACCGAGATCCAAACGTCGCACCCGACCTCCTTCGTCCCCTACCGGCCTTTGGCCGCCGACGTCAAGACATGCCAGCATCGTCTCCGACCCGGACGAGTATGAAGACATCGAAGCCAAGTCGGACATCAGCAGTCTGAATGAGTTTGAACGTTTCGACTTTGGCCCGGAAGTCGGCAGTCGAAGTGCCAGCGCTGCGGGTCGATCGCTGTATTACGCCGCGCAGAATCTTCCGACCGAATCTCCTTTTGGGGATGGTGCCACGCATGAACGATGGTGATGTGATCATTGATAATCAGATCATTGATCTTCACATCAGGCAAACAGGCAGCTCCCTCCCAGGCTCTACGAACTCATTTCCTTTTGTTTTATCGGTTAATTATTCATGACCTGTGATGATCATTCGGTTCAGGCGGAGGGAGTGTCTGACCTGGTTCTATCTAATTGTCGAAGCTACTCAATCAATCATTCAATCATTCATGGCATTTTCGGACAGGAGTCAACAAACACCCTGGCTCTTTGGGGTGATGCATCACTTTATTTCAAACGATACCCCTAAAATCCCAACCTTATGGTCGAGACAGATTGGAGGACAGTCACGTACCATGTACGGTACCTGGACTGGATCCTCAGAAGGGAGGCAAAGTCAGGAAAAGGAGCGAGCGGCAAAGGGCAAATAGCAACCCCGAAAAGCGACCGTGTCTATGCATGATCCATGATCCACGGTCCTTGGAGACTGAAAATGTATCATTAATGTCGCCACGGCCGTGATATTGAATTGAAATTCATCTATCAAATCCAAATCAAATCAAATCAATCAATCAATCTAATTCGATCGAGCCTTGTAGTCAAAGTACTTGTTGTCATAAAAAGTATTGCTGTCTTTGTCTTCCGTTTCGCATCCTACCTACCTACCTACCTACCTACCTACCACTATCAATACTCGTGCTTGCTCGATCTCACACCCAGATCTCGACTTTGAACTCAAGTCAGGAGTCTCTGCATTTTCTCGAACAGCGAAGAGCGAAGGGCTGTCTCAGGACGACTGATCTATTTATCGGGAGTGTTGAACCTTCACGGTGTGTTCTCCGTTTTCTCTCTTCCTTTTTTGCTCGGTCATTCTGATTTCATCCTATCCTTCAAGGTGGTTTCAATCCGGCGAAATATATGGCCAGATCTCCATTATAGAGAGAGAGAATATGTATCTGAAGAGAGACTATGTATCTGAAGAGAGACTATGTATCTGAAGAGAGACTATGTATTTGAAGAGAGACATGTATGGAAGGAATAGTACCAGCTCTGCCCACAGATAGATAGATAGGTATTCTTTGTTGCAATAATTGTTTCCATCAGGGACCAGCGATCAGCGATCCATTACTGTGGTCTACAGGTGCGTATGTCGTTGCTCTACTTCTATTATAGTTTAAGCAGAGAAGAGAAAACTCGCATCATAGACCCAAACAGCGCACTGCAGTGGAGGTTCACAACGATGACCATGCCAAGAATCCATTGAAGTCTGCATGAGCACAGAAAGACATCGATATATAAATCCGGAACACATAATCCATATCGCATAAGATGCTAAATGCTTGCTTGCTTGCTGCTGGAATCCATTCATCTTCGTTCAAACTCGTTCAAACTCGCCTTCTCTGCTCCATCCACCACCCCTTTTGATTCAGAATCACCCCCTTGAAGTATGCTGCTTCATCAAAGATGCAATCACTCAGTCATATGAGTCGCATGTGTCCTTCCCATGGCATTCCATCCCAGTGGACGGAGGGGGTTGGACTTGCCATCCCAACCTGGCCCATATCTCATGATGTGCCAATGATTGCAGAAGCAAGGAAGGTCATGTCCCTATCTATACCATATCCTTGTGCATTGCTTCATACTCGCTTCAGTTTCATGACTCAGGAAAGAGACCAGCTCCCAGCTCCCGAAAATCATGTATCCCTCCAGTGTATCGGCTGAACTTCAAGCGCCAGGGGACCAGCTCACATGGCATCTCGGAGTCCAGCTCTAGAAGATGCTTGTGTTGGAGAAAGGAGAAAAAGAAAAAGGTTGGAGTGATTGCTGGGATGATGTCGACATGCTTGTCTTGTCTTGGACAGGTGTCGCTCGACGAAGGACGTAGTAGGTCCAAGACAGGCTTTGGAGAGATGATAAGATGTGGGCCCACCGCTGGCTTGATGAGAGTCGAGGCAAATATATAATATGGGCGGAAAAAGCGGTTTGGTCATGGCGAGCATCACATCATATCCCATCCATCACGAGAAGGTTGAGAAGGTCGAGAAGGTCTTGACAGCATCAATAGTCCACCAAGGACGTGTCGACGCCTGCGTCGTGTCTTGTGGTGGTGGTGAGGCTTGCTGCTGGCATCCTCAGGCATTGGGAGATGCGACCAGACTTCACGTAATGCTGCCGCCCTCAATGGCCGAGGAAAACCCCTTCCTTGGTGCGCAGAATCGTTTCAGTTTCAGTGCGCTGCGCTCATTCCTCGACAAGTTTTGCAGCCGAAAGACCATGTCTGAGCAGATGTCGTCGGTGAACGTTTCCGTGAGAACGTCTATGCTTGAGCAGATGAGCGGCTTCCTGGCTTCGGGCTTCGACATTGGCGTCGATGGGACCGGGGACGCGTTTCTCAACCGCCACCTCCGCAGCGGCATGAGGTTCGCGCTTCTTCTTGTCCTTGCCGCCAAAGTACTCGTACGTGACGGCTGTGACGGTGACATATTCGGTGAAATCGGCAGAGTCGTCATCTGCTGCAGCGTCAGCGGCAAAGACAACGCCACCATCAGGCGATTCAGTGACGGCGGCGTCGGCAGCAACAGTCGGGCTGGCGCCGTCCTCGGTGGTCGGAGTCTGGGTCTGTTCAGAACCAGCAACGCCCGCAGCAAAGTTCGCAGCCACGCCCCAGGTCTTGGTGGGTCTGCCGTTCCCGCCGCGACTGAAGCCCGTGGTGGGGATTCCACTCGCGGACGCGGGCGTTGGAAGGAGAGGCACACTGACACTGACACCAGGCAACCCAGAAGCACTGGAGACGCCAGCAGACGCCGAAACGGTCGCGCTCTGCGGAGCCGAGGAGACGGTGCCGTTCGCACTGCCGCTGGATGAGCCCTGGTACACCTTCAATGAATTGATGGACCAGTACGCATCGGCGAAAGCCGAAGGGTTGTTCTGCACATAGTTCTGGCACGACGGGGCTTTGGCACCGCAGATGGGGTCGGCACTCCACACGTTCCCGGCCCAGTCGCCGCAGAAGGTGGTGTCGAAGACGATCTGGTGGCTGTTGAAGAAGTCGTCGATCTCGCATCCGCCGCCGAACGCGGCGGTCGGGCTTCCCCAGTTCGACGGGTCTGGATTGCCGGATGCAAGGTCGCTCGGGATCGCCGAGCGAGGGAAGAACCAGATGTTGATGCCCGCGCTGGTCCATTCCGTGGCGTAGACGCCGCCTTGACCTAGGTTGAATCCGTTGCCGAAACTGGCCAGATTCGGGGTCACGATCGCGCAGCCCGCGTTCGTCGGCTGGCCGGCGGCATTGACGTCGCAGTTCGGCGTGGCTATCACTCCAGAGAACAGGCCGTTGTGGGTGATACTGCAGCCGGGCGTTGTGTGTAGAGCCATGCTGTTCCCCAGTTGCAAGTTCACTCCCTCGATGATATCAATCTCCCCGGCCTCGGGCCAGTTGGGGCCAACCGTCCAGAATGCCGGCCATGTTCCGCACACTCCGCCAGGCATGTGCGAGAGATCGAGGACGATCAAGCCGTGCGTGTAGGACTTCTTGCTCGTCAGTCGGACGCTGTTCCGGCCTGATCCCGTCGCCACGTTGGTATAGTCGACGCCCATGTAGATGGAGCCGTTGGTGGTGCTGATCATGCCGCCATTTTGGGCGGTGTTTTCGTCGACATATGTCACGTAGCCATTGGTTGGATCTGCATCCTATTTATTCGGTCAGTCTGGCGATCCTCTTCACGAGATCAGTAGGGATAAAGGACAGCACATACAGTGAAGAAGTTGAACATGGAGAAGAACTCGTCCGTGGTGTAGTCGTCTTCCAGCACATAACCAGCTGTGCTGAGAGACACTAGACCTGCCAGTGCCAACAGTATAGAAGCCAACATGTTTGATATATCTGATATGTGATGTATCTGATATGGGTTTGGAAATGATAGACAATAAGGAGCGACGGGTCTGGATTTAATCCAAGACGCAATGACCAAGGAGTGTCACGAAAGGAGTGGACGCAAATATGCTGTTGCTGTTGCTGCTGAATAGCGGGATAGTCAAATGACCTTGACTCGAGAGGACCAAGCAAACCACGCACCGGGAATGGGACAAGACCAACCTGGAAGGAAACGAGAGGTCACAACCATGGTATATGTAGGAGGTATATCGAAAAAAGTCACCTTGACCGGGGGGGTACATGGAAAGGGGGCGCATGGGATGGAGACAGGGCCCAGATCCGATCTGGCCATCTGCAAGGCGAGGCGAAGCCAGGGCACCCCCACATGTATGCACGAGGCAGCACTGACCCTCACACGCTGCAGCTGGTTCACGCTCCCTTCTTGACGCGTTCTGACTTTGGCACCGGGAATGTCCACCTGAGACCTTGACTCAAGGCTGGCTTTGGTGTGCGTCCGCCTGGCAAAGACGCACATCTGACATGCAGAAAGACAGGAGCAAGTCTCGCAGGATGGCTCGTTCGCGGACGTAAGTGCAGTGCAGAGAAAAACGGGTGGGGTTCAGATGTCTTGTGCCTTTCTTCCAAGTCTTTTCCAGCCTTTCTGTCGCGTCGGTATGTTGGCTCGAGCCGCAAGGGATGGGCCCCGCCGTGCCGGGAATAGATGTAAGATGTACATATCCAGAATGAACGAATAGAGAGCGGATCAGGAGAATTCGATTGCACGATTTCCCCTGGGACTCTTTGTCGCCCATGGCTGGCTAGCTGGGAGTTGGGTAGACACAAATCCGGACGAGGGGGAGCTCGCGACGAGGGCCATGTTTCGAAGCAACGAGTGGCAGTGAGGAATGAGCGCCGCTTTCACACGCGTGAAACGATGGCCTCATGCATGACACTCCGTAGACGTGAAACGCGCGCGCGCTGTATACGGTCTTGATATTTGGCTAAGCCATGATAGGGTGAAACAGTGGAGTGGGAGGCGGATGGGAGGCGGATGGGGAGAATGAAGGAATGAAGGGGCTGGGAAGAAAGAGGAATTGGCAGAGAAAAGGGGCAAGATGCCAAACCGACATCCAGAAGCTCCAGAAAGGCGTCTATCAATCTCGCCTGCCGTCCAATCAGGTGTTTTATAGACTCATGTCACGTGCGAGGCTAGACCCCCTCGACGTTTCGAATCGACGAATCCATCCAGGGGTCAAAGAGAGAGAGAGAGACTACAGGACAGTGGCCACATATCCACTCCTCGTGTACTCGGTACGCGCCAGAGTCTGGCCGTCAGTCGAGATATGTATCATGATGTGCCCATAAGAGAAATAAGAAGAACGCAACGTCAAGAAATCCTTGTTGGTTTGTGGTCCGCTAATCTACACACGCCGGACACAGCAACGGAGGGCCGCCTTCCTCAATATGTCCAGGCCCCAAGCATTTCTGATGATACACATGCCGGCAAGAAAACACCACAATGGGCCCTAGACTCTCCGTCGACTGACTGTCTGCATTTGGCCCATCTCCAACCAGAGGCTGCTGCACACGCGTGTCAACCGCGGCTTTACCCTTGCCTCGAGCCCCGTTGTCTTCCTGCGCGAGTTCGTCTTGTTGTAAGAGCCGTCGACGTACACTTCGGAGGTCTTCCCTTTTCTGCCATTCTTCCCACACGCGTGTCCCAATGCTCGGACCCCATACGCGGCGTCGACAGACCTCACACAATTGTCCTCTGGGTCTCCAGCCCCGCTGCCGCAACGCCGCAGCTTCGTGGAGATGTACAAACACATCCTTGTCCAGTATAGAGTTGGATAGTGATAGAAGTGACTCTTCATACGCGTAGGCCGAAAAGATGGACCCGATGACACTGCGTAGTTCGGACAGTGACGGGCTTGCCACCGCTGCATGGGTGAGAAAGGCACGCAGAATGCGCAGGAACATCATGTCCTGGCCCCCAGAAGCCTCCCGGATTGACGTGGTACTGGACAGCAGAGCAGAAAATACCTGTTGGATCGTGGTCCGTAAAGACTCACTGAGCTCGCGGCTGGCTTCGTCACGTTGCCCGCCTCCGATAGACATCTCTCGAGCCACCGATACCACCGAGAGTATCAGGTCGAGCCAGAGATTCTCCTCAAAAGACAGCGCGCGAGTGGCACTGCCGGACCGTCGAGGAGACTTGGCAACGGCAGTCGCTTTGCGAACATTCTTCATTTGACTTTGACACAGCCAGATTCCCACTCGTGCGTACTTTTCAATCGCTTCCAGTACGTTCTGACCAGAATGTCTGATCGACCCACTGTCCTCTTGGTCTGGATAGTCTGAGGTGATGGTTTTGAGAGTCGAGCCCAAGAAAGACAGATGCCGGACCAACCGTCCCATAGCTTCTTTGACCTGCCCTTGTCGAGCCTGAAGAATGACCACGGCATCAATGATCCCGCTGTCCTCGATGGTCGGCAATACTTCTGCAAGCCTGATATCGCCCTCCTTCACAGTCTCCACATATTCTTTCACGTGTGAAGGGTCAAATTGACAAAGCAGCCGGACATACAACTCCATAATCTCGTTGCTATATCCTCGCTTGGCCCGCCGATGACTTTCAGGCTCCAGTAACTCTTTCAAGAATTCGTACTGATCAAACGCTTCATCGGCCAGGACGCGTATGAATGTGTCGAGCAGTTCAGGTGCCACTTCATCCACGGTAGCTGCGGTTCTCCGCACATCAATCCTGACCAGGTCAAGGGCATGCTCCTCGATGGCCTGTCTGACTTCTTGACGTTGATGCTCGGTCAATGGTGATCCCTTTCGCAGACACCCCACGATAGAAGAAAATACACCGTCTTGGTCCTCGTCATCAAGGAAATAGGTATGGATCAAGTCGGCATACCTGGATTCTTGCCTGAAGACAGACTTGAGGACGCGGTAAAACCTAGCCTCTTGCAACAGCGGCACCACCCCCAGCAGGTTCGGCGGCTGATATGTCGACAAGAGATATTCCAGACTCAATTGGGCGTCATCATGCATACTGTCGTCAGGATATCGACACAACCTGACAAAGATGTCTTGCAAAATGGTACCGGAGAGAACCAGGTACTGAGGGTACTTGGCCAAATTTCTCGCTATAAACATATCCAGGTAGATCGTATCTTCTGGCTCGAAACCGGCGGACATGACTTCCAACAGTATGCGCACGATGTATTGGCGGGTAAACATCCGGATGCTCGCGACTTGATATGTCCCCCCGTTGTTGAGGGCGCCATCATCGCCGCTGTTGAGGAAGCTGTCTTCGAAAGCCTCGTTCATGGCAGCAATAAAGCTTGCGGCATCAAAATGCAGTATGCGAGTGAGAATCTCAAAGGAACCTGCCGTCTTTTGTGCTCCAGGGAGTTTCGCGGTCTTCTTTGGCTCTCCCATGGAGGTATCCGTTCCGGAGAAGAAGAAATCGTAGATTTGACTCTTTGCTTGGACAGACTCTTCATCACTCATGTAGGCTTCCGTTGGATAGACGCGACCAGTGAGGATATAAGAGATGTACGGGAAAACCTTCTGGGCTATGCTGTATTTATCAATAGAATTGATGCCCGGCGCAGGGGAGGTTGGTTCGGTGTCGGCAAGATCAAGCAAGAGAGTTAATGGCGAGACAAAGTCGCGGAGTGCCATTGTCCAGACGTAAATGTACGCATCATACAAGTTGTACTTCTTACACAACATCGTCACTTGATCGATGTCCATCGTGGAAGTGTCGAGCATGCAAATCATTTCTTCCAATGCCGCCGGCGTGTGGGTCATGACAAAGTGGTTGATCAGGGTCTTCAACGCCGGCGGAGGGATAGAGACGATTCGTTGATCTAGAATGTAGGGTTCCAGAACATCCACAAACAAACCTCCGTGGTCGTGATCATCGTACCAGGTGAACACGTCCTCGAACAGAAAATCCAGATCCTCTGTCACCAGGCACGCTTTGATGCAGGCGTCAGCCAGTTCGATCATTTGAGGCTTCTCAATGATTTCATTGCCTGCTTGCTGATTTTTGCCAAAGGCATACTTCAACGAAGCGGTCATCATCTCGAACAGCTTGTCCCGAACCAGACCAGACCGCACACGGTCGTCTTCGGGGAGCCCGATGGTCGCCTTCTCTCCTTCGCCCTGGTAGTACTTGGTGGCCAGTCGAATGGCGCCGATGAAGTCGCCCGCATTGATCAACGCCAGAAGCCGATCAGCCCAGTTGGTAAGGGCACCCGTCCAGATGTCGTTAAATCCCAGAAGAAACAACCGGCCTTTGTATGCTCGAAAACTCATGTGGAATGCATCGGCCACCACCCCATGCATGGATATGTCTTCTTCATCGAGGCTCTCGATGATGGCCCGCAGTTGTTGCGAGTAGAGGTCCACATGGTATATATTCTTTCCGAGCAGGTCGAAAGCGTCCGTGACGTGCATCGTGAGATCTTCGATGATAAGGAGTTGTTGTGTGATGGTCAAGACCGCGATAATCGACCTGTTCAGCCATTGCACAGCAACAATTGATTCATCGGCTTCATAACGGCTACGTGCCAGGAACTGCAGCTCGGGGGGCGTGCCCTTATCGGCTTCGTCTTCAACTGGTGCTTCATGAACCTCGAGCACAGTAAGAATGTTCGACCACGCATACACAAGTTTGGTCTTGAAAACTTCAGACCCCTGAGTCTTCAACTTGATCGCCGGAAACCATGCCAGCGCTGCGGTCATGGCACTGTGCGCTGCAACCTCCTTTGGCCGGGCGGCTTTATGCTGAGTCTGGGCCACTGGCGTGGTAGACACGATGACCAACAGATACGGTGTCAACATTGCCACCAATCCCAGTCCGTCCGTTCTTTGCTCTATGTTCCCCAAAGGCAACGGCGAGAAGGCGAGCACTGAGCTTTTCTTTTGAGGCTTGGAGGTGCGCGAAACGACTTCGGGATATCGTCCCAGAATTCGAGTCGTCCGGACCACACGACTCACAGCCCCCATGCCACGGGTGGCCAGATGCGAAAACGCCAGGCCTTTGTCGTCGGCAGAGACCAGGGCGGTGTGGCGGTAGCCAAGGAACCCGACATGAAGCACGGCGCTTCCGGTTATGTGTCCATCTGCGCGTCTCGCCTGTGCATGGGAAACATCGATTGGCTGAACATGGAGAAATGGCCTACTGGGTCTGGCTAACTCCCACGTAAAAATATGGCCGGTGACATGACCAACAGCAATGGTGGTGTGGTCCGCGGATATGGCAAGAGACGAGACTGCACCGCTCTCCGCCGCCTTGGTGCCACTCCCGATGATCGCCTTGTGGTTCTGGTGGTGGTCGAACACAAGCACGAGCCCTTTGGATGTGCCGATGACCAGCTGATCGGCAACCGCCAAACAGGTTGGACTGCCAAAATTCCTCCTTCCGACCTCAGAGAAAGCCTGAGTTGTTATCCTTTTGAACTTGCTCCACCTTATAACATCCCACGGACTCGTGGATTCATCTGGCTCGGAAGGCGTGTGCAGTCCGAAACTCGCTACGGACGATTGACGAGAGTGGGTGCCGAGAAATGCGGGAGAGTTTGACCTCAATTGCGAGAGGTGGGCGCTGGAAAGGCGCGATTGAAACCGGGCATCGAAGGGGCGGTGCACATTCGAAGGACTCCCTCTCCGAGCTGGACTACGGAGTGAAGGCGTCCCACTCCGAGGAGAAGAAAGCACCGAGTCCTGAATAGAAGCAGTGTCGTCGTGAGCCGAGGGGAGTTGGTCATTGAGGAAGACATTGTCTCCGCGACTGGACGGGACGACGCCATCGACGCTACCGGTTTCCGTGTCCGCCTCATTCTGACCCTGGTCACTACTGTTGTGGCCGTCTTGGATTCCGTCAGTCTGCTCTGTTTGAACGGCGGAAGGTGTCGCGTCCAATTCTTCATTTGTCAGGGGTTCGAGCTCCGGCACGTCTTTGTCTGGATGGCCGGTAGCGTCCTGCCCCAAGTCATATCTCGGCTCGTCTTCGCCTTCATCGCGAAGAGTGTTCTCGCCCTCATCTAGGGTCGAGTTCATGGAGGTATTTTCGCGAGCTCATTGCAAAGTCGCCAATGCAGAGTTCCTGCTTTGAGAAACGGGCTGTATTCACGAGCTATCCTCCACAGGCACAGCTGTTGTGTCACACACGTAGATCTGACAACTGGGGTCGTCGCAGGGTGTTCCCGGGCAAGCAGCAGCGCGTTAACAGTGTGCCGGCTGGAGAGGTCGCGAGGGGAGGCTGGAACCGGAGGAGGTGTTATAGATTCGGGGATTGTCGACGCCAGACCAAAGATGAGCTGTTACAACCGGACCGTGACATTGGAAGCGCAGTATTGAGCATCGCCTGCTGCTTCGGAGCCGACGCGATGCACTGCACGTGCAGTCGACGGCTGCCAAGACTGTTACTAGAGAATGTTGTGATTGTCCGTAGGGTCTACTGTCGAGCATTGGCACTGGCCTCGTTACCGTCGAGCCGTTCAAAGCGTGATGGAGTGAAGACAGGCATTTGAGATACTTTCGAGACCACAACTCATCATACAACATTTCCCAGGTACTCTGCTCTGTCCGCCTCGTCCATATCGCTTACTACAGGAAGTTGGGACACCCATCACCACACTTACCGGGATCAATGGCGATCAAGGCCTCGAACAGGATAACGAAGCTACTGCAGTCTATGGATCTGGCCTCTCAGCAACCACCGGGACTTGGGGGCCACAGCGGCCGTGATGCTCGTCCGAGGTCGTGATTGACTATAGATCCTGTCACTCAATGTATACCGCCGTACCGAGGCAGTGCCCGTCCCGTGTACATACCAGGCTTGCCTTTTGCACCAGCCAAGTTTGCTTCGCCCCGGACCGCGGGCGAAGAAGCTATCAGGTTAGTGTGCTGGTGCGTTATGAAGAACGAGCAACAATCATGCCCAGCCTGATGGATTGAAATACACCTTTCTGCTTGCCCTCTTTCCTACCATGCCTCGGAATGCGACCTAGAGTTACAATGAGGTCTGATACTCTGATCACCGCTACTGTTGCTGCGAAAGGCGCCCTGCTCGTCCAACGGCAAGGGAGTGGCACTAACAGCACAACTGTTAGCAACAGCAACAGCGATTCGGGCGCTTCTTCCGCGGAGACACCCGCAGCAAACGAGAGTAAACCTACGAATACAATCACGAGCGCTGCAGCTACAACCACGGCCGACAGCGCGGTTCCAGCACAATGATACGAGAGATGCAGTTATTCAAGTCTCTGTTCTTCCGGCAAAGGTAAGGGGGAGTACTGATTCCTCCTATCTACTAGACGAAGCTGGACTAGAAGGCCAGCAGGACGGACTACAATGCAACATGCTCTGTCCGAGAACTGCGGCGTTTCAAATATTGTACACGGAATGCGCCGACTGCATTGCCAGCTATAAGACAGACCTTCCCACCGAACCAGCCCTCTTGGTCCCGATGCTGGCAGTTTTCGAATCGTTTTGTGCCACTTGCAGTTTCTACCCTGACGTTTTCTCTATCACATCCTCGTCCGCCTACTGTGCGAGCTACCTTGTATTCAACTCCATCACCGCTGCCAATTGCACGACAGATGAGGGTCAGAGACCAGAACCCCTCTGTTCGCGGGAACCGAAAGGGGTGGGCTAACATGGTACCGTGATTGCCTCCACCACCTCTTCTGCTTCTTCTTCCTTCAGTTCATTGACGTCGCCACCCGCCTCGGCATTCCCTAGCCTCACGAGTCCGATAACGTCGGGCCCCACAGCCAGTCAATCGGCTGCTACTTCCCAAGCGCGAAGCCATACCACAGAGATCGCAACCGGTGTCACTGGAGGAGTACTCGGGCTTGTCGTCATAGTCACCATTGCACTACTTGTTCGCAGAAGAAGGCGCAAAAGGCGCGCGGCTGCCCGAGGCCAAGCCTCAATGGAGGGTCACGAAAAGCCACAACTGCATTCAGACGACATCAAGCCTGATCGGAAAGAGCTGGAGGGGACACGGGTCAGCAATACCATGCGTGAAAGGCTAGCTACGGAGATCGCAGAGCTGTCTGCAAATGAGGAAGTGGTGCGGAGGGATAGGTTGGGAGAGTTGCCGTCCAATGAGCCGACCGGCCACGAGATGGAAACCACTGAAAACGAGATGGCCGTGTTAGACAGGATGGTTTGTCTGACGGAATCTACTGCGTTGACCAGCGAGAGGAATGATGGCGACCGGCCTTACGAAAGATGAAGGTCACATCGGTAGAGCAGGACACCAATGCGATCTAACATCACGTCTTGGCTGTCAGAGACATGCTTCTCCGGGTTCACTGCCGGTATTGCATACTGGAAGATACGCTGGCCAGCCGACAAGACAGACCCTGCCATAGCCTCAAAGTACACCTTCAACACAGAAATCGCACTTTGCGGCCTCTGGACTCTTTTGCCATCGACCGTTTTCAGCTACATGTCGTATAATGAATGTCTTGTATAAGGACAGAAGTAAGGCCTGTGCGTATATAAATTATCCATATATCTTGTTTCCCTTGTGACTTGACAAAAGGCCTCTGTCACCACGTTGTATATTCTTGGATCACTGCAGTGCTGTGTAGAGACCAGGATTGCTGTCCGATATCCGCCGTCGTCGAGATTAACTCGGGAGGAACGGGGAGGACCATGACGCTAATCCATTCAAGGCAATTCTTCCTTGGCGGCGACATTTCTCCTCCGAGTCAGACTCCGCCGGCGGATCATGATCCTCGGCATCTTTTCGCTTCCATCCAGCCACTTGACCGACCGACTGACGGATTGATTGACTGATCGCATCGCGAACTGCTTTGCCTCTGCTTTGCTCGTGCAGCTGCACCCTCAACGACGCTTTGGGTCACTATCATCATTATATGTCTGAGCATCAGCTCTGCGATTGGGCTCTGCTCTGCACTTGATTCTCTGCAAGCGGTGATACTGTCGCCAACCCATACGAGCACAGCCAGCACGCACGACAGTCTGCGCCCGCTGCACATCACATCATACCACGCATCGCATCGACATCGACGAGCAGCTTGGATCGACACACTGAAAAGATAATGTGCAAAACAACATGACGACCGTCTCGCCGCCCAAGCCCTGGGAACGCGCTGGCGCAGTAGGTAATTGATTCACCAAGCAATCATCTTCCTTAGGTACAACACTAATCCGCATCTCCAGCGTCCTCTGGGACCAACGCCCCAATGAGCTCTACAGCCATGATGGCACCCGCGACGAACAACAACAACAACAACAACAACAACAACAACACCTCCGCCTCCACCCCTACATCAACATCTACATCCACATCTGCACCAACCCTCCCCGATCGTCCGTCAACACTGAACAATGTAGTGAATCAGACGGCCTCGAGCTACGCGAACCAAAACAGATTAGGCGCCGGCATGGGCACGAGCCCATATTCATCGCCGTATTCATCGTATTCGTCTCCCTACAATCGATTCGGCGGCGGGGGCATGGGCGGCATGTACAGCGGCGGAATGTACGGTGGAGGATACGGCATGGGCGGCGGCATGTACGGCGGTGGGATGTACGGAGGAGGCGGGTACGGGAGTTACCCCGGGATGCCTGGCGACCCGAACAACCAGAGCCTGACGCAGACGTGGAATCAGAGCACAGCCGCGACCTTCCAGATCATGGAGGGCATAGTGGGTGCATTTGGCGGGTTCGCGCAGATGCTGGAGAGCGCTTATATGACGACCCATTCTTCTTTTTTCGGTGAGTCCCTTTCTTGCAAGCCAGCAGTCAAGATTCAAGATTCGACAAACACAAACACAAACCTCAAAAAGAACCAAGAAAGCAAATACTGACCAGTCTTTTGATTTTGTTCTGCAGCGATGGTATCAATGGCCGAACAATTAGGCACGCTTCGTCAAACCCTGGGCTCAGTCCTAGGGATCTATACATTATTGCGCTGGATCCGCACGCTGCTGGCCAAACTGACCGGCCGCCCACCCCCGGCGGACGCCACAGCACTCACCCCGGCCAATTTCTCCTCTTTTCTCTCTGGCGGCCGACCCCCCGCCACGTTACCAGACGGGAGTCCCGCACCTGCACGCCCGTCGAAGAAACCGTTTATATTTTTCGCCCTGGCCGTCTTCGGCCTGCCCTATCTCATGACCAAGCTGATCCGCGCGCTGGCCAAGTCGCAGGAAGAAGAACAGCGCCGACAACAAGAACAGATGCCTCTGAGCTACCCCAATGCAAACGGCGAACAGGTGCCCATCGACCCGCGGAAACTCGACTTCTGCCGAGTCCTGTACGACTACACGCCCGCGCCGAACTCGGCGGGCATGGACCTGGAAGTGAAGAAGGGGGACTTCGTCGCCGTCCTTTCCAAGACAGACCCGATGGGCAACCCGTCCGAATGGTGGCGCTGTCGCGCCCGCGATGGCAAGCAGGGCTATCTCCCCAGCCCGTACCTCGAACCGATTCAGAGACCGGCCCAGCGCCCCACGGCGCAAATCACAGAGGGCGCAGCAGCGGCGTCCGCACCCGGAAGTCGGAGCGCCACCATGAAGGGATCCGAACCCGTCGGGGCTGCGAGGAAGCTTTTGGACGACGCTGAGCGCACTAAGAGTTTGAGTTCGATCTATAATCCCGGCATGAACGCCCCTAATCCCGTGCCAGTGGCGGCGGGGAACTCGAAGGGCCCAGAAGTCAAAGGGGGCCCTGGCGACATCTCGGCCGAAAGTTTCCAGAAGAGCGCGTTTTACTCTTGACGATTGACCCCTTCTAGCGCTCCATCAGAGAGAAAGAGAGAGAGAGAAGGTATTCCAGAGGAAATGGGTGTAGTTTCTGTGAACAGGGTTGGATACTGTGTTGTGTTGTGTTGTGTCATGGGTCACGACGGAAAAGGGATTCCTAGGACAGACAGACAGACAGACAGACAGACAAGACAGCTCGACAATATAATCTACTCCAACGACAACATAATCCGATATGCACACTTCCACTACCTAGATTGATTCTTCAAAGTCAGAGGATTTCTTCCACTAACACTGCACTCAGACACAGTGCTCTCTGACGTGGAATCCTGTCCTACCAACTGAAGACCACTTCTCTCCTGATACCAGTAGATACCTTATGGTACACAACCATCTTCCAGGTTCAGTGAAGGCAGTGGTTAAATACATATTCCCACCCAATAATGGCGCCAGTTCCTCCTGCGCCTTCAAGTCATCACATCACATCACCTTACTTATATATATATATCTACACTGTGTACCTAGGTAGTACATTACCTGAACGTATCTTGTATTACGTACTAAGGTACGGTATATACCTAATATACCTTAGGCTACCTTAGGCTACCTTACCTACCTACCGTATATATGTTACCAAGGTACGAACGAATACAACCTCGTGATACTGAGCAGTAAACACAGATCGAAGCCAGAGTACTACTGGGCGGGTATGATGCGACATCTAAACCTTTTCTATATTTTTGGAGACCTGGCAAAGCAGACGGTACCTCTCGAACACGAACAGCCTCCAGTCCTATTGCAGTGTTGTTCCGGGTCCGGGTCCAAGTTCCAGGTGCCAATTTCCAGATCCAAATTTGGTATTGTGTTTTGTCTTCGGAAACTTGAACATGACCGTGGCCGGCTCATCAAAGGTCGAAATGGATCTTTCAAAAATGATGTACTAGTAGATGGAAGACACCTTAGGTGTGTGTCACGGAGTCACAATTGGACTACCACCAGTAGAAACCACCGATTTAAAAGAATAAGATCAAGGATGATTCCATACTAGTATCAAACCAAAGGAAATGACAGACATGAATACAAACAGACTATATAAACCCAGGAATACTATTATCTTTTTATCGAGTCCTCACCCGTCCTCCGTCTCTTGAACCAGCTGCGAGCGGTTGGAGCCCGCCAAAAGCCCCCCCAGGACCTATACTTGTCACCAATGCCAGGTTTTGCTCCTCCTTTCTATTTTGTCCTCCTGAGGCTTGGGAAAATGGGTCCAACCTGTTCCGATTGCCCCGAGACGACTTTTTGGAAACCAGAACCCCCCTGGTACACAAAGAGATGGTCGAAGGTGGAGAATAAACGAGAGTAGCCAGCCAGCAAGTTGCTCTTTGGTGTCGTACTGTTATCCAACTTGAACCAAGCCCAGCAATATATAGGTAGTCAAGGTTTCCATACCAATAACAACAAATGGAACATTCTGACCCTGAGGTGACCCCACAACACAAAGACATTCTACCGTAGAGTCCCAGAGACAGTGGCAATTCCAATCATAATCCCGCAGGTAGGTATAAGGAGTATTAATGCTGTCGTCTGGTAGATGAGCAAACCCCAAAGCATGGCAAAGTAAACAGTAGTGGCAGTCAGGCACAACAATCAGTGGGCATGGAACGTGAGACATGTAAACGCAGACCCGAAAGTGTTGATATCGAGAAAGGCTCCGAGGAAGAAAGACAGTGCCGTCGTTTATAGACGAAGAGCAGGCTCGTCGATATAGATTGTAATCAGTGATGACGGCCGAGCCTCATTCGTCTCAATTGTGCCGTGGTTCGACGGACTGGAGGGACAAAAATTCAAATATTGTCAGCATCTCAAAAGGCAAATAATCTGCCAGGGGAAAAAGACATGTCATGGAATCAACCACCTGATATCCGTCTCTGTTTTGACAAGTGATATGTCCACTCATGGAGCAAAACGTGAGAGGGTCGGAGCAAGACTTACCGGCAGAATGTTCATCGTCTTCGTCGTCCGAACTCTCATCTTCATTCTCGAGATCATCTTCTTCGCTACTGTCATCACTACCGTCGCTGTCGTCGTGAGACGGTCTCCGGCTATATGTTGCACCGTTCACAACAAGTGGTCCGGCAGAGGAGGTCGAACCGCTACCAGTGCTGCCTCTGTTCCTGGCTGGCCGCTCAACGGACGAAAGTTTTGGCGGTGCCGATGAAGATAGCGGCTTGCTGTGAGCTGACTTGCTGGAGTCATTTTTACTGAGAGGCGGTGCCGTTGCAGAAGCTTTTTTTCTGTCCATCTCTCCTCTCTTTGATTCGTGGCGTGTAGTGGTAGAACCCCCAGACGAGACTGATGAGGCCGCTGTGGCGTCCTTGACTTGCTTGACACAGATCTTTCGATTTCCAAGGGTGGCTCCATCCAGAGCTCGCACCGCCTTGAGAGCCTCCGAGGACGTTTGATACCGCGCGCGTGCCGACCCCTTGCATTTCCCTGGGTTGCGGCTGTCTGGATGAATTTCAAGGTAGATGACGGCGCCGTATCGCCTGAGGAGACTGCGGAGTTGGGTCTCTGACTGAGAAGACGGCAACCCGGACAAGAGAATTGTGCTGCCATCTTCCACCGGTCGAGAAAGAACATCTGCCGTGCCGGACTTGACTCTGTGGGTGATCCCAGCACCGTTTGTGCTAGTTTTACTCGATGTGGTTGGCATGTGGTAGGCATGCACGGCTTGGGCGGGAGCATATGGTGCCGCCACATTGTAGGGGAGGGACGGAGGAGGCCCAGCAGGTGCGCAAGACAAATGTGGCATGCCACTCGTGCTGACTGTTGGTATTGCTGCATTGCCCGCGCTTGAGGTCATTGCCCTGTACTGTACGCTGCACGGAACTGAAGCAGGTTGACCACTTGGGAGGGCGTAATGAGAACTGCCTCGGCCATCAGCAAAGATAGTTTTTTGGTTGAGAAAAGCCACTGCATGCTTACTGCGACGGAAGCGGATGGATCACTCCTGAATTCCCTCCAAAGGGAACATTGCCCGGCCGCTTGACTTCGAGACTCCCTTGGCTCCTCCTCGGACCCTGAAGAGTCTTCAAGACTCCCGGCCTCTCCAGGATGGCAAGCGACACACAAATACATTGACCGTTCCAGCCATGATTGCAGAACTGCTCTACTCGCCGTCAGGACTGGTCGTTGGTCCGCTCTGCATACATACCGTAGACCTGGTTGGCAGCACTCCTGCCTTTGATGGTGCAATGCCCCATTTGGCTTCCGTCGCGAAGTTCAAAGACTTCAGCTTTCAAGCTGTGCTCGCCGCCATAATTGCGGGTCATATCCTTGAGTTCCTGCCATCGGCAATGACGAGGAATCTAATCAAGACATCATTGGTCAAGCTGGTGTGGTTCGGGAGGGTCTGATACGTACATCCTTGACGAGAATGATAAACTGATCCTCATCCTTGGCCGAGTCCAGAGCTCGATGACGATCTCGTGGCATATTGAGACGTGAATAGCTCGACTGGGGTCTTATCACTGGCCTTGTTGATCTTCAAGCTTCTTGATTCGGTCAACCACGTGGCCAGAAAGAGGCCAATGTATCTGACAGTCCTGTTGACAGGCGCCTTCACCGCAGCTGTGTGGGAATAAAAGGTGGAAGTCGGCCTTTATAGACTTGAACTGATGCATAGGAGGAGGAGTGGGCCAGTCGGGGTCCTTTGCTCGCAGGGCAATGCAGCGTGCGGACTCCTAGCCCCGTGGACAAAGCTCGGTTGGAAAAATAATCGCTGAAGCCTGAGGCTGCTTTGCTGTTGACAGGGATTCGGAAACGGACCCAAAGATTGAGCAAGCCACTTGAGACCATGCCAGAGAAGAGCTGCGAGATCGGGCGTGGAGCGTGTGATGGCTCGCAGATGAATCCGCTGGCTCTCTTCAGTTCCTTCTTGGAGGAGCTTGGAATGACTTCTTTGCCTTGACACGGATTGACACGGAATTGCAAGTGTAGGTAGGGGACAGATTTATAGCTTTGACCTACTCGGTTCTCCTCGATCATGGTACACAAACATTTTTCAATGTCTCGTGCAGTCCATCTTCATCTTCCAGAGTGTAGCGTTACCTCGTTGTCACAAAAGATAGTTCTGCCTTTCAAGTGGAGAAGTTGCCATGAAATATTGGCGTCAAAACCAATAAAGGACGCCCTCCAAGCGTCACTAGGATCGAAAGCCATATGTGATCCAACTGAGGAAATCTGATGTATCGCGCATATGGACGAGGAGTTGTCTGTAGATGTGATCAACAAGACATGCAACGGCGGAGCTATGCCGTCGAAGGAAGCTCCCATAGACTGGGACCAGAGGCAATACATGGCGTTGACCACCGAATTGCCCTTGGTAACGCCCTTGTTCAACGCTCCATCACTTGATGTGCAGGGTCTCTTTGGAGGCCCGAAGTTGAGGTTTATCTGGTTCTGCCTATCATAAGCCACATTCTGCATGCACGATAGATGGACTTGATCAGATCTGCCCCAGTCATGAACAGCGAGGTTGACAGGCAGTTTGAGCAACCAGGCGATGCCCAGGGGTTTGAAGAAAACTCCGGTAGGGGTTGCAGATCGAGTAGGCAAAGGTTTGCAGCCTTTGACATCAGGTCAACGCTGTCTTCTGTATTTGGCAACGGAAGTCGAGGAATCGTTCAGTTCAGACAGGGGCAAGGATTGTCAGAGGAGAGAGAAGCAGTGAGGCTGCGACCCATGGGAGGCCAGCCTCTATGCGCCGTGTCAAAGACAAAAAGTTGGAAGGGGGACTGGAACGGTCCGGCATGAGTGGCCATGATACCAATCGTTGGATGCGCCATCGGTAGTCCCAGATCTCCCAACAGCGACGTAGCAGGTGCGCGAATCTCGGGCAAAATGCCACGATCCGATGAACAGGGGTGAGATTCAGATGGCTCTCGAGATCGGCGTCCGAGCCCCAAAATACTTGAGAGCCTCGTGTATGGTGGACGTCAGTGCTAGCACAAAGTAGCTTGCGGAAGCTTCTGGATGGGGGGACATGATGAAGCGACAGACCCCTGTTGCTCCGGACGTGTTGCTTTGGGACAAGGAAACTGATCAGTCGACGGGTACGAAGGTGGCTTGCTGACGCTGCTAGAGTAGTAGTGAGAAATCCAGCTGAATGGGGCGCCTCTTCCTGGGAATCCCTGTCACAGCGCAACTTCGGTACCGAATGGACGACATCCGATGTACATGAAGTTGGTTGAGACCGAGGTCAGCATAGCAGCAGCTGAAGCAGCAGGAGGAGGAGGAGGCAGGAGGCAGGAGCCGTGAGTCCTTGCAAGGAGGCTGCTGATGCAAGCAGAGAGGACGTCGCGTAGGAATTGTGGGAAGGGGGGAGGACCCCATATTTGATAGAAGGCGGTCCACCTCTTTTGATACGTGGAGGGCCGTGGTTAGCACCAGTCCACATGTCCCTGGACTGGAGGAACCGCCGATGGAGGCAGAGGCAGGATCCCATGTCGGTGCAAACACTTCTAGGTTCGGGACACCACGTTACCTTCCCCGGCGGCTACTGGCATGACAGACGAATCCGAGATTGCGCGAGGGTCCAAAACTCGGTAACGAAGATCACAAGCAAACGTGATTCTGGTCCGAAAGGGGCGATGGGCGCTCAAGATCTGGTCGGCAATCAGCAAGATGGACAGGAAGGACAAGAAGGGGTACACACGCAGGGGTTCTTGGTTCTTGTCGTACTCGGGGCTCATTAGTCGGAGGAAAGTGTCAAGGTCTGGTGCAATGGCGACACAACAGCTTGTCGTCAAGCACACGGCACCAGTCACTGGATCTGGTTACAGGGGCGGCGAGAGAGGCATTCAATTGCTTGTAGCAAGATGAGGCTCAACGACGTCGATGTGAAGGATCGATCTCTGTCGCTCGCCAATGTCAGTCTCCAGTGGGATTCCCAGCCGGCGTTGGCGTTGGCGCAGTCCCCAGTTTCAACCAAGGTTCGGTGACACGGTGGCGTGGGACAGTCGCCTGTATCCGAATCAAAGGAAAACAGATCGTCGGTGTCGACAGCCTGTCATTCTAAAAGGAGCGATACTATTGCTCATACATTGAGTATGGCGATCGTTGGTGATCGGGGGGATCATTTGAGATACACGACTGAGACATGGAAGACGAAGTTCGATATAAGAATACTATTATACATCATTGTAAAGGTACTTGGAAGCCCTTTGTGTGCTCTATAGAGGTCTACAGCCTGGAGAAGCAGAACATTTTCATTCCCACAGCGTGAATCACAGGGTGCCCGCCTTGTTTCCTCTCCGTTGGTCATTCAAGCCGGACAATACGCAAGTCACCAAGCCCTCAGTCCACGCCAACTTGTCAATCGGAGCAGACGAATCGGACTCGCACGCCCTGTGGCAGCGAGGCGTGGCGCGGCGTTGTGACCTTTAAAAGTGGTCTGCATTGGAAGTTTTATCCAAGCAAAGCGTGTCCTTCTCGTAGTTGTATGCTGAGCCTTTTCGAGCCATTCTGGTGGACGACGGCTTCACCGTTGTGCAGCTCCTCCACCATTCGGCAGGTGTGCATTTCACTCTTTCTGAATCATGGCCAATGGGACACCGTGTGCGGTCCTCATGTGATGGGTGCAGTGTGCAGTGTCGTACCAAACGACTGTCCTTTGTGCTGTGGCTACTCTTCTGTACCGCCAATCCTTCTCTGGGGGGTTTGATCTTTGGTTCTTGTGGGGTTCAAGGCGAGAATCCCTTCATAGAATGAATACTTCGGTGACCCCTTCATTTGATGAAGCCGACCACATTGGCACATCTCGTGCAGTAGTAGGAGTTCATGCCGAATCTGACTGCGCCGCTCTGGCGAACGGGGAGGGAGGTGTTTATGCTCAGGGATCGTTGACAGCGGGAGCAGCGAACAATGTCGAGAAATGATTTAGGGGACGGGGAGGCGGAAGCGCTCGAGGAGAGACTCGGAGTGCCCACGCTCTCCTGACTCTTGTTGGCTCTGGAGAGCTGGGAGATTTTGATAGGTTGCGTCCCGGTGGCCGCCAGAGTCTGGAGTTGTAGGATTGATGGTGTGGAGGACATTTTTCGTGAAGGGATCGGGGTGTTTCCTATGTGTGGTACGGTGTTCAAGGGTGTACGAGCGAGAGGGAGAGAGGAGGTTCCCAGGGCGGACAGTGGGAAAGACGAAGGTGTAAATAGTGTCGTCTAAGAATGGAGGAACAGTGTTCGACCGTGCAAGAAGCCGGGCTTTACACGCGGTGTATGGCTGAAGGGACAATATAACACAATATGGCAATAGGGGATGAAGACGCAGCGCTGCTGAACGCTCGACCACCGCACTACTCTGGACTAAGTAAGAGAATTGAGCATCGAGTGAAAGAAAGACAGAGAGATGGAAGTCTGGAGCAACGAGCCGGAAGGGCAAATCCAGAGTAGATTGAGATGCGACGTACGTGGAAATGTCGCTGTCATAAGTCTGGCGGAAATATACAGAGGAACGAATCCTGATTGAGAGCGTTGAAAGCAGGGCGATCGATCTTCGATCACGAACATGGCATTCTGTGTCGATTACCAGCTTCGTTTCCGATCTCGATCCGGCGTCATTCAGCGCACAGTAGCATTTACTATTCTCTACTATCGACTATCTGCGACCAACACGGCCCGCAACTCATCTTCCGAGGATTTCCTCGAATCCGCTCTCGCCATTTGTCCCCATGTTGTTCCAGTCGAGCTTGGGGCGCGCGGCCCGTCGTCCACGGACACCCTCTTCCTGGCAATCCCATTGGAGTGCGCCACACCGTCAACGATGCCATTGCAGACCGTGCTCTGGTTCTTCTCGATTCTCGCCCAACTTCCGGTTGTTGTCTGGCCCGATCTCGATTGCGTCCCCACCGTGAACGCCAATCGCACGCAGAGCTCTAGCCACACAAGGGGGAAAAACAACCCCTGATTCCAACTCTTCATTTCTTAACAGCCACTGGGAGACGGCAATGAAAACCGAAGGCCCATACGAGGTCTTTCTCCAAGTATCCGCAAGTTGCTATTCGTGCGCATAAGGAGACCGACCTGGCTGTGACCTGGGACGGTTCTCAGGGAAAAGGTTTGCAGACAGCACTCACTATCTGGCCCGGAGAGCCACGGGCTGTTGGTCGAGTTTCTTGTCCAAGCGCGGCCTTCTAACCTATTGCAAGTGCAGATCTTCTGTTCTAGACACGACCCATGGACCCGGTGATTGCAAGGACGACAGGACAGGACAGGACATGAGGTGTATTTATTATCTTTCACTCCTCACTCGACGTCAGTGTGTCTTTTGTCACGAACAGGTCCACAATCGCTCGAAGGTACGGCCCCAAAAAAGACGTGAATTCCAAGAACTTGTCCTTGGGAAATCTAGATCTGTACACAGTATAGTTAATATCTTATTATGCGCCGGGGGAGCCGCCCGCGCCATAACAATTACTTCTTCTTCTTCTCCTCCTCCGAGAGGTTTCCCAAGTCCTTCTTTCTTTCTTAGGGTCAAGGAGAACACCGTCGAATCTGGAAAATTTCCGAGACCGATAATCTGGGATCAATCCTGGTAGTTCGATATGTGCGATGCCGTCAGCGGTAGGTCATTTTCCCAGGCAACGCCACAGCGCTCTCGAGTCCCGATCATATCAACGCCTTGAACGGCATACCCTGGTCCAAGGCCACACGGCACCTGTTGCAGGTGATACTGTCCTCCTGTACGACTTGGTCGCACTGTCGGCTGCGGGCGAGGACTGCGGATCGGACCGGTTGGAAAAGGGCCATTGGAGGGCCAGTGCCCAAGCTGCGACTGTCTTCAACCAAGGGAGGGGAGGTCTTCTGGTGTCTGATGCATGCGCTGCATATCTTGATTCAACAAAGAATCGAACAAGATATTCAATCGTTCTGCTGGATGTAACTGCGAGACGGCAATAGGACTGACACACTGTAACAGAGAGTATGTCTAATTGAGGCCCATGGACCGGAGCTCAAGCAACCATAGTCAACACGTGACGGCACGTGCTCTCAGAATATGCGAGTCTGACAGAAACCATTCAGCCGTTTACGACGCTGTCTGTCAGATTCTACCATACTAAGTAGTACTACCGCCATTGTGGTTGACCGTCAGACATAATCCCAATGACGTCAGCACCTGACGAGACAGCTGCCTGACGGCACGATTTGCCGGCGCACGTTTTATGATCGCCGGCGTCAAGTACAAGATTCTTGGGCGGTTGAAAGCGATTCTGGGATCTTCGCAGTCAATCAATCAGTCAATCACATATTATCTGATTATTTTTCTTCTATCTCGACCTTTTTGCTGACTTAACTTCCTTTTGCTTCTTTCCATTCTCAAAGCTCGAACTCACTCCTTTGAACATCCATCATTCTATACGCTACTCTCTACACTCCTTCTGCCCAACTGCATTTCGCTCAATTCGAACCACCGCATAGTACTGCCACTCAGGCTGTGTACACCAATCGACGCCTTGCCTTATCTTTGCCTGCGCCATTCTCTCGTCACAATCTCGTATAAGCCCCCGTACCTGACTGAGGACTTGAGAGGTCTCATAAAAGGGCACGTCATCAAATCCCCGGGCCGACGATAGGTATCTAGTACGTACCTAGTACTCTGTACATACCTAGACGCTCCGCCAATTCTATTTCGTCCAGATCCGACCTTGGCTCAGGTCAAGTTCAAAGTTCCCTATCGCAACGGCCATTTCCAACCCAACCTTTCCGCCAGACCCCACCATTTTGTCGGCGGTGAACCACGATCTATCTCTCTCGCCCTACAACGTCAGCAAGCAGCTCCACCGTCATCTCGATTTCCGAAGACGAACAAGGAAAACTAGAAAAGGATAAACATCGCACACTGGCCAGCGCCAGACAAGAAGAAGCAACAACCACTACTAGTACATTGCGCCGCTGTCCTGCCAAGCGAACAAGATGGGCAAGCAACCCAACCTCTACAGTTTTCCCACCGTCGACGAAGTCGCGGCGCACCTGCGCACCTACATTCTCGCGTGCCAGAAAGCCGCCCTGTTGCGTCACGATGCTTTCAAGATCGCCGTGTCCGGAGGCAGTCTACCTGCGACACTGACCAAGGCGTTGCTGGTGGCTGGCGAGGACGAAGACAGCGGCCCCCAATTCTCCAAATGGCACATTTTCTTCGCCGACGAGCGGGCCGTGCCTCTCGACCACGAGGACAGCAACTACGGTCTGTTGAAGAAGGACCTCTTGGACAAGATCCCCGAGGAAATGGGCAAACCGCAGGTCTACCCCATCGACATCAAATACCTGAACGAGACACAAGAGCTGGCCGACAAGTATCAAGAAGTTCTGATGGCCAGCTTTGCCCAGAAGGATTCGGTCAGGCTGCCCGTCTTCGACTTGATTCTCCTCGGCTGTGGCCCGGATGGACATACCTGCAGCCTATTTCCCGGACACGAATTGCTGCGCGAAGCCGACGCCTGGGTCGCCGCCATCGAGGACAGCCCCAAGCCCCCGCCGCGACGAATCACGTTGACGCTCCCGGTGGTGACGCATGCTCATAAGATCGCATTCGTGGCCACTGGCGGCGGCAAGAAGGAGATTTTGAAGAAGATCCTCGAAGCCGACGACGAAGGTCGAAGTCTGCCCTGCGGGCTCGTCAATGAAGCCGCCGGCGAGAAAGTCAGCTGGTTTACAGACCGCGCGGCTGTGGAAGGAGTTGCTTTTCCCAGGAGGGGAAGTTTGTGATTGTTATACCTTACGATGAAGAAGCAGAACAAGGAGAAATCGTCGGATCGCGACCAGCCCTACAGGCTAGCATGCAGAGTCGCATAGACTGCGATTTGGGGGAAATGGAAATGGTATGGCTTTTCGAAGGCTGGACGATGAAGCAAAGCCTGAAACGGTCGTCAGTTATGATTCTTGCACGGCGCCAGGGCCCCCGGTGTGTCTTACGGCTTTTCAGCAGTCGAGACACTACACCACTTTGACTAGGGACAAGGGAAATCCGCCCCTCGGAGTTGACGCTCAATGAACTTGCATCTCCGCACTCTACCGAGACTGTTCTTACGTATTGAGGCAAAGTACGTAGCAGCCTACATTTGGATGGATGGGTAGCTCGGAGATTCTTTATGTCAGAAAGATTTCCTTTACAAAAAGAATACATTCAAAAAAAAGAATATATATTTTCAGACCTCGTTTTTTCCCCTAGCAACCAACGGCTTCGTTTCTCCCCATCTCCTTTGACTTATATGTCAGCAATTATGAATGACTACAGGGAAGGCTATATCTATCTATCTGCTCATGACAGGGACATCTTACATTCCGAAAACGAAACATCCGCAAAGAAATAAAAATTAGTACCACATACTTGGTATATTTACTACATTTATATAAAATACTATCAGGCGTGAGTCAAGGGATCTTGAGCAACAACGCGGACCAGTCTTTGCGTCAAGTACCTAACATAGTATGTAAGCAAACAACCCAAGTCTGCCCGACCTCTAACTTCAGGCTAAGGAAACCGAGAAGCAAGTCCCCTGCAAGCCCATCCGTATGTTTTGCGCCTTGATGTCCCATGGACTCGCTCATTCGCTGACATGGACATGGACATGAACATAGACATATACATATCCCTCAGACAATTAGTATCCACACACACACACACACACACTCACTCACTCACTCACTCACTCACATATCAGCCAAGCAGTATAGACCATAATACCACAGATACTGTAGACCCGATAGTCAGTGTGTAAGACGACATTTGGCGGCGCAGGACACTCGACGCGGCACTCGAACGGCCGGTCGACCCGACCTTGATATCCGTGGCCACGAAGTCCGCCCCGCACCCGACATCGACCTGATTGGCGCAAGCGAGATACGTTCTGGACAGAGGCTGGACCGCATTCTCCGCGTAGCCGGCAAACATCTTCATCGTGTCCCGCAGACACGGGGTACAGCTGGGCCGGGCGGAGGATGGCATGTTCATGCCCAGCGCCGTGTAGTAGACGTACGAGTCTGCCGAATTGGACGAGTTGGTGAGGGCCTCGGCGAAGCAGTAGTTGGTTGTCCCGCTGTCGGTGTCGGTGTCGCGGAGACAAGTGGCGCGGTAGATCGGCTCGTAGGCGATCAGCCCCGCGTACGCCTGTGCCACGAGCGGGTTTTGTTGGCGGTAGTCCGGGCCGCAGTTGGCGTCGTCGATCAGCTCGGCGGCAAGGTTTGCCAGTAGTGGAGAGCAAATCGCCAATGGAGCGTTGCATGCCGAATCGAGCGTCTGGGCGAGTAGAGTGGTGGAGCGTTCGGCGCGGAAGAACGAGTTGGAGTTTTGGAGCATCAGCGACACGGGGATGCAGGATTGGAAGGTCGAGTTGCTGAGGAATCTGGAGAAGAATTGCGGACATGCCGTGTCGGTGAAGTTGGTGCCTATTGACGTGTCGAAGGGGGAGGGCAACGGTGTTGTCACGACGGTGATGGTGGGTGAGGTGGACGTTGAGACGGCCGATGGTGATAATGGCGCTGCCGTTTCCGTGCTGATGGCTACGGTGGCATCGGGAGGAAGTGAGGTCGCTGCTGAGGTGGCGGTAGGTGCGGAGATGGTTGTAGGTATGACACTGACCCCGTCCTGGCGCTTGTGCCGGGATATGTCTCGCCGCGAAGGTGGTTCTCGAGTGTCGATGTGGATTTCACCTCTTTCAGCCAGTTCTCTGAAAAGCGCCGATTCCACGGATTGGGCTTCGGCTGGTTGGTCTTGAGCATTCCCCCGGGACACTATCGACAACATGACCATGATTGTCATAGTCAATATAATTCTGGCCGACGTCTTGGGCGGGCGACCACCCTCCCACCGTCTTCCGGGTCGCGGTTTCTGTGGGATAGAGAGATGCATGGTGGGCAGCGGGAAATCGCTGCTGGACAACAGGATATGGAACGATGGTATGTCGGCGGTCAGGGAAAACCAGACGCCCATAAGCTTGTCGGAAGCACTGATTCCAGGCTGATGGAAATTGTCCTGCCCCCAGTTGCTCTCATCCTGGACAAGTTGCGATCACTGCCTTCGTTGAGGAGGCCGTTTGCCGGGGGAAGCAATCCTTCTAGCTTGCGACGTAGTGTACGAATGAGTCTAAACAGTCCTTTTCATTGATGTTCTGCTGATCACGGGCGATCCGAACCCCAGGGGAAGATCCAGCACGTGTCAAGCCCGGATGCTGATCTTGTCGATCTGCCGGGAAGCCAGGGTCGTTGGTATCTTCTGCGATGGAAGTTTCACAGTGAGCCGGTCACAAGGATTGGGATTTCGCATCTGCTGCGGACAGGGACTATAAGGACAGTGCGAGTCCGTACTTGACGATATCGAGGCTGCCCGAGTCGATTTGGAGTTGAGGATGTTGAGATGGGAAAATGTGCAACTCGTGTTCCTGACTGCGTAAGATGATTGTTAACTTAGCAACCACAATACAATAGCGCTTGTCCAATGTCCTGGACCCTGGTCGGACAAGCCCAAAACAGTCAACTACTGAAAGCATCGTAGCGGCATACTTGCCAGTCAGCGTTAGCGAAAGCAGACAAAGGAATGTGGGCGGTGGTTAGCATGCTCCGGTGGACCCTGCGTAGATATGGAGAAGAAGCGTCTAATTCCTCATGGCTAATCACCAACCTTGTGCAGACTTTGTGGCGGCCGGATGGCGCTGCATTGGAGAAGGGTTGTTGCGACGAATCTCACGTTCGTTCGATCAATCAAGCGCTACCAACCGATAGTCAGATACAACGTCCGGTCGCTCTCGATCTCGGTTGAAATTGACATCAAGCTGTCAGAGACACGAGTGTCCAGCGATCAGACAGAAAGCATGGTACGTATTCATGTGGGCATCGACACGCAGCCTGTTCACACACGGGGAATGCCGGCATAGCAAGAGTGAAGAGCCCTACCTCACCAGCGAACAGGGACCGGACACCGCTGGTGCGAGGCGGGCGATTGCCACGTGGTGAGACTGACTGACTGCGGCAATTTGCTCTGGCAGACGCTGAGAGTCGAGACCACGGTTCCGGCACCCAGAACGGCCATCTGGGTTAGCAAGCTGATTTCGCCTAAATAAGAAGGCCATATAGCACGAAGAGGTCGAGTGTTGACAGTTGACGAAAGACGAAAGAGTCTTGAAAGTCTCACAGTCATCAAACTGGCGAGGCGCCGAACGTGCTGCTAGGCCGGATCAGGCTTAGTGTATACGCGCCAAGGGCCAATAGTGTCTGACGCCGCCGACTTTAAATCGAGGTCGAATTCAGGGGAATTTGGACCGTCGACGGGATTGTCTGCCTGCAAACACTCCTATGTCTCTATCATCAATCCTGAGATGTTCTATACTTCAAGAAGGTGTACAGTTTACTGGCAGCAGCATGACCACGGCCGTCAGCATGTTGTGACCCGCCAGACCTCGACGCTAGATGCTAAGCCGACCGACTACCGCTCCACCACCCTCCCCTAGCCTTGCCATCCCTTATTGGCCTCCCCCTGCCAATCGAGTCCTGGATCACGTTGACTCCACGCCGGCTAAGACCAACACGGCATGTAGTGTCTACGTGTCCTGCATGGCATACGAAACTAGACGGGGTCCGCTTTCCACGAGGAGCCCCTCCGCTGCCATAGAATACGTACTCAGCGACCATGAACATGGATCGACAGCTAAAATGAATCCTGGAAAGGATCGTCGAGAGAGCCTAGGTCTAGATTTTGCAACGGGCCACAGGATATGCCACCCTGTTGTACCGCAAGAATACATATTCTCAGGCGTACTTGATCCGTCTTTGTAGAAAAGCGGCAGTATCCTCCATCCCCTGAGCACTGGATGACATCAACTGCCTTTGCCGTCTCTGTCGATGGCCAATGCGCCCAACATATCACCGACATCCTGTCGCTGGCCCCGCCGTCTAGCCTCCTTCTCCTGCAGACATTTGGTGAATCCCATATTGGCCCAACCACCCAGTCGACTGAAAAACACGCGCCCGGCGGGATGCTTTCGGATCCTGTCGAGCAGCGTGGCAACTGCTTCCCGCACCCTGTAATCTTCATGCCAAAGCCCGAGCCCGACGTAGAACAGCCCCGCCTCAGACATCGGGGCCAACTCCAACAGTTCAAGAATACTGCCGTAGTCTGTACAATATGCTTCCAGGGCCAGATAGATTGCTCCCGCTTCCGTCGGGCTGAGTCGCAGAGTCCGAAGCTTGGACAACGAGTGGTACAGATCCACATATGGTCGTGCTGGGGGCTGCGCAAGCATATTGCTCATGCTGACCGGCGAGATGGGGGATGCCGCATCCTGGGAATTGGTTGCAAGGTCGGAGATGAAGGCATAGTATGATCGGGTGTTCCTCCAACCCTCGATCCGGGCTGCTGATGCCGCCAGCTCCCGGGTCTTCGCTTCCTCGCTCGGCCATACGTAACCGTGCCCCTTGAGATTCTGGCTCGAAGTCTTCAACGACATGGGCCGTTTGGGTGCGGTGGTGGCCGAAGGAGTCTCCACCTTGTCCACCTCCGTGGGCGGAATCACTGTGAGATTGCTAGCCCCATAGACGGTCTCTTCAAAGGCAGCAGCAATGCGCGTGAATTTGGTGATGTATGCTCGAAATTTGGCCCGAATGATGGATTCCCCGTGGCGTGATGCTATACTGCGAGCAATGTCCTCCATGAAATGTACGTCTCCCGTGGCGTCACCCCCAATAGAGTCCTTTTGATTTAACAAATGGCCATGCTGTTGGAAGTACGCAGTCCCCTCGGTAGCCGGAGCAGCCTCTATACAGGACGAAATTTTCATTCTTCCCGAGGGCAAGTCACACAGCAAGTCCCACCATTCCGGATGATAGGAGAAAGCAGGGTTCGTGACTCCGGCGATGAAGCCGGGCACTTTCAACAGTTCATCGATCTTGGTCAGATCGGTATACGGAAACGCGTGCCGGGTGAATCCACGAAGCACGCCGCCAGAAGCCAACGCGCAGGCAGCGAGGACCGCCTCGGCAACTTCACCAGATGGTCGATTGTGCCCCAAGAATATGACTCGTTTTTGCGTCAACATGGCGTTGATGAGTACGATGATCGGATGCGTATAGGCTCCGGATGTCGTCAGATGGGGGTGTAACGCGAAAGGCTGTGGCTGTGTCGTGTGCGGGTTGCCGAACACCTGAACCAGCTTGATCAGGGAGAAGTCGCCCACGGTTTCGGGGGAGAGAGCGGTGGGTATCTTCACGGGTATGGCGATGCCGTTGTATACGATCTTCGACTCAAACTCATGTGTGTCACGGGGCACGACATACTTGGGTTCCGCCTTCGTAGGCGAGTCTGGTACTGCCTGATTCCGGACCAGAGCCTCGTCTGCCAGTCGCTGAGCAATCATCTGTTCGAACTTTTCCACGAACAAATCTTTGACATCGCTTGCCTGCAGAATGTGACGCTCCAGGAGTGAGAGGCGCGGCATCAACGACAGATCCATGGCGTTGAGCGCAATGTACAAGTCCTCCAGCGTGTCCGGTGTTGGCGACTTGAAATAGTCTTCGAGGGCCAGAAGTAGCAGCGGCTTGTAGATATGCAAGAATGAATGCCTGGTACAGATGGCCATGGCCTTGACAACGGCCCCTCTCTTCACCGAACTATCTTGCTTGGTGTTGACCAGATTCAAAACGTACATCAGTGGCGGACTGTCCATCTCATCGGCGTCACTTTCGTCGCTGCTTGTGTCTTCGAATTCTTGACCCTCCGCCCCGATTGATTCCCTGAGACGCTCCCGTGCGGCTCGCCGTTGCCTTCTAGCCTCTCTTTCAGCCGCTTCCTCTTCACTTGTGCCAGCGTCTTTATGAAGGAAGAACATGGTCCAGTCTTGTTGCCGAACATGGGTCTGATCGGGAAGCATCAACTCAGCCAACATGTTCTCGTCTGGACTGATTGCGCCCGGGTATTGATGTTCCATGATCGGCCCTCGATCGATGTCGAACGACGCCACAAGGATATATTCCACGTGTGGCTCGGGCGAGTACATCGGGTACTGCGACTTGAGCCGCTTAGCGGGACGATACACCGCATCTTCTCGCACAGTAGACACTCGCTGCGAGGAGCGATAAGACCCTCTGGGCGACGGAGGCACTCCTGAGCTCTGCGATGAAACTTTGAAGTGTGAGGGCGTGTGCGAAAAGGAGGATTGCTGGGATCCCGACGTGGAGGATATTGATCGTGGTCTGTCGAGGTGGCCATACCCTGTATGAGGGTGATGGGTCATGGTGTCTGCCATTGGTTTTCGAGGAGCAAATCGGCCTCAAGTGTAGAACACCAGTCAGTCCTCGCGTCAAAGGGTTCTTGTCACCGCGGCAGCCTCGATCCCAAGGTTGCCAGCATGTGGCAGGAGTTTGCAAAGCAGATTATTGAAGTCGTCTATATCAAGCCATGTCGCGACAAAGGGGGTCTGGTTGCCAACTGAGGTAACGTCGTCGAGGCCTGGGCTGTCGCAAGTGGTTGCTCTGAGAATCACCGCGTCGCACTCACTGTCACACCGGTGGCCAACTATCAGCGATAACGGTTCAGTAGCAGTGTTGAATCTGAAACCTCCCAGTGACTGCCTGCGCCCTGAGCATTCTGACGGACTTCAAGTCAGTAGTTGGTTGGTCGCAGAGGCTGAAATTCCACCGTTGCAGCGCAGCCCCTGAGATGTGCAGAGAGCAGACTGACGGCCCTCTTCACCGCCGTTGAACCCCGCATGTATTTGGAGTCGCCGCGGTTCATTAGCACTCTTAGACTCGCCAGACCTGCCACATTCGAAAAGGGATACTAAAAGTGACGGGCGCCCTGCCAACCGGCCATTTGTTTACGCTCATCTCCCTGCGCCGTCAGGCTATCAGGCCGTCCTAATAGTACACCATGAAGCCACAGCCTCGTGTTATAACAGACAAACACACCTAGTAACTAAGGGTACTGTACACATAGCCTCTCTACCTATGATAGTACACACAGTCATATGATTTTTCTTGTTCAGATCAGAGGACATTGCCAGAGTCTCCCAACTCCTCAACTAAATATCAACATCTACAGACTGACCAGATAACTCGCACCGCTACATCGCATGAGATTGCAGGCGCAGATCCACAATCGCTGATCAAGCAGGAACGATGGTGAGTTCGGACCTGCCGGTGTCCAGCACGTTCTGGGCTCTGTGTACACATGTCTCAGTGTATCAAACTGCTCATCACTCATCTCTCATCTCCCATCATAGGCATCGTACAAATCCACCTTCAACAACTCGCCTCGCTCCTCGCCCTTCCGCCGTCCCGCCTCACCAGGCTCACCTACCATTGCCACCGGCCGACCAGCGACTCCTCCAACGAACAGAAGCGGTGCTTCCCCCATGACTTCACCATCGAAACTCAAGCATGCCTACACCGTGTCCGAGGAAGACGAAGAAGAGGAGGACCTCGTCGTGGTATCAACCCCGTCGAAGAAGAGCACAGTAGAGCCGTCTTTCCGACGAGCCCAAACCGAACCACCCCCGTCACCGACAACACACCGCTTGCAACCTTCACCGTCGAAGTATGACAGTAATGGCGGGCTCCCTTTCTCGCTGCCCACCACCAACACGACAAGAGACCCCCGAAGACTGGTCTCGAATGGCGTCCTATCCCAGAATGACAGCCTGTCCAAACTGCCGCCTCAACTCCTCCACAACATGCGAGAAGCATTCTCCGTGCTGGACGCCAACTCTACCGGCTCTATCGATGCCGAGTCCGTCGCCGAGACGCTTCAATCCCTGGGTCTGCACGAGAGCAACCTATCGCAATTCTTCCCAGCGGGCCAACCTCAGCAAGTGTCCCTCCCACAATACCTCAGTCAGCTGGCCAACCTGCTGGTTGGGTTATCCCCACAGCAGGAGCTGCTGAATGCCTTTTCCGCCTTCGATGACGACGACAGCGGCCAGATAGATGTGGCGGAATTGCGCACTGCGTTGCTGAGCACAGCTCCCGACCCGGGCGAGCGACCCTTGACGCAGAAGGACATCGACCGAGCCATGGAGGGTTTCACCGGCCGAAGGATCCTCGGCAAGAATGTCATTGGAATAGCCGGCGTGCGAGGTTTGAACACTCCGGCACCGAAGAAGGGTGGCGATGTGTTTCGATATCACGAATTTGTGGCCAACTTGACCGGCGGTCCTGCCACTGACTCTTCTGCACAAGCACCAGGTATACCAACGCGATAATGATGGGACCAGCGGTGGGAGGCGTTTTTGGGGAGACCTCCTATAGTTTTGAATTGAGCAATCGTCATGACTCCAACGTTCGAAGATTAAGTCTGCGTATACAACGCGTATTGGTGTAGCCAAGTCTCCGCGCTCGCCCCTGTTCAGCTGGCAGACTTTACCAAGCTATCTACCGGAGACTTGGAAGTTGTATACAACCGGGCATATCATGACAAGCAGAAGTATCCTTAGCCGGAGGCCATGATGACGGCGCTTCCTCCCTTTCTTACATCGTACTTCAATTACGGCTGCCAAACACGACCCCATTGACCATATTAGTGCCATGTGGTGCAGCAAAAGGTGTGATATCGGCATTAGTTTCACCGGAACACAGTCTTGAATTCTAGTAGTCTTGCATTGTCCTTTCTAGAGATCGAATCCCAACTCATCCCTGCGGTCGTCCGTCAAGCGGCCCCACTCCAGCAACAGGCGGAAGAAATACAACTCCATGTCGTCCTTGCGCAGGACTTTTCCCGCCCACTCTCTGCCCGCTTCGGCAATGATCTCGGCTTCCCTGAGATGCGGTTTCCACCAAATACTCTGGCCGAACATCGTGCCGTTGACTCCGGCAAAATAGGCCAGCGTGCTCCATACGCCGTGAAGTCTGCTATCCTGCGGCACGAAATGCAGCCACGCCGTGAGCCGGGAGTCGTACCATTCGCGAAACAAGGCGGTTTTAAACGGCACAGACCGAGACTGGAGAAATGGCAGGAATCGGCCGGAAAAGCCTGCACCATCGAGGTCGAAGAGATAGCGGTAGCGCCAGTGAGCCTGGAAATCGGTGGGGGGCACCAAGTGGACTTCGGATTCTTGGTCGTGGCAGTCGACACCGCCGCAGCGCGCGATGCGGTCGACTATGGCGATGTCTGGTTTCAGACCTAGCTCTTTCACCGCCGGGCCGGGCAGAACTTGGTATTTGTATTTCTTGTGGTCGCTGGGGTTGGGAAGTAGGATGGTGAATCGGTCGTGGGAAGAGGTCGTGATGTTGTTCGCCATGTGGACGAGACGTTGACGGGTCATGCCGCGCCAGACACCGTTGCCTGAAGAGACGCCTTCGGAAGTGGCGCCGCGCCAAAACAAGGTGTTTTCTTTCTGCTCGAAAGGGAGGTCGGGAAAGCTGGAATGATAGTCGTCTTGTCCCCGCGTGCCTTTTTCCTCGCTAGGCGCGTAGACGACTTTGTCCATGTAATTCCACGCGGAGGGATAGAGGATGTCGTTGTAGCCGTGCGGTTTGGATTGCGAGAAGACCGGCATTAGTTGATGTGAGGTTTTGAAGGCCGCCGGCGACAAGTAGAAGCCATGGAGATCGGCCATGTCAGGCTGGTGGCAGACGTCTGCTGCATCGGACCAGTTCGCTACGAATTGACCAATCGAATGCGGCCGTACGCAGGAGCCACAGATGTGTGAGTGAGACGAGATATGAGGGGCGCGCCGGGCCAGAGACGAGGGACTGCATCCCACGGAGCCGTATTGCCGGAAAGTGTTGCGGAAAGACATGTCACGAAAGACAGTCTGGGTGAACTCGTGTTCCGGTATAGGTAGCCAACCCGCAGCGCGATCTTGCGACCAACCGGAGCGCCCGCTTTCGTCTGCCGATCGACCCTTCTCGCGCAGGAATGTGATGTCGTTGTATGGGACTGCTACCCTTGATTCATCATTCAAATTGAAGGCGAGATCCATGTCTGGTAAATACTGGGCGAAACTGTTGATCAGAACTGCAACACCCTCAAGCATCCATCGATGGGTCGGGAGGACATTTTCCTGCACCAGCGCTTTGCCGCTCCGGATAGTAATCCCTGATATCTCATTCCACGGATTCGAAACCATTTCCCAAGTCTGTCTCCTCAGATCTGCTGGTGGAATCGCTCGGAACGGTAACAGATCTTCGTATATCTGATCAAACTCATCCACAATCAGCGCCGACCTGTTCTTTGCATACTCAAACCACACATCGAACCCAGGCGGAGGATTCCTGTTGTACTTCTGTTTGTATTGAGTCACTGTTTCGGAGAGTGAGGTGGTGTTTCCCAAGGCCTTTAGGTATTCCTCATGGTGGATTTTCGCGTCGTAGATAAGCAAGTCAATAGGATGGAAGTGCACGTAACTCTTCTTCGACCAGGCCGGGAACAAGAGAACGCACAGGAAGATAAATAGGAGCATATGGCGCGAGGGTTTCGATCTGTCCCGCTCACCCAACGCTTGTTGGATACGGTGATAACTCCATCGCCCAAAGAAGACCAGAAAGAAGGATAATGTCGTGGCAAATGCGGGTATTGGAGGAAAAGGGCTTTTATGCAACCAGATGAATTCCAGTCCGGGTATCATAGTCATCACAGCCGTCAGATGAAGCGACATCTCTGCAACGCCGTACACCATAATCTATACAAGTCAGCACGTGCTGCGATGGCCTGAGCAAAGGACGTACACAATGTAAGCTTGATATACACAATAAGCAGAACAGTAAAACATGCCCCGTGATGGCCATTAGATCTCCAAAGTTCAGGGGTGGCTCGAGCAAGGAGAGCCAGGCTCTGTGCTCTGGCATGTAGATGTAGACGATTACGCCCACAACCGACCAGACAATGGCGGTGGCGATCATCACAGTGCTCCAGAGGACCACGCATCTTCGGGGCGAGAGGCCTTTACCATCCTGCTTCGGCGAACTTTCGTAGACTGTAATTACAAGGCATAAATCCAGGACGAGCGCTGCGACCTGCATCGCTGGGACGATCCGGCCTTCACCAGTCACAAGCGGGCAGATATACGTTGAAGTAACAGGGTCCCAAAGGTAGAGTATGCGATAACAGCCGTAGGACACTAGAAACATCGGTATCAAATACCGAGTACGTGGCCGAAGAACGTGTGCGCGCAGGGTTGCGCGCAAGGCATCGTAGGCACTGCTGTCCGGTCTTTCTTCTTCTTGAAGCCTTCGTGCGCGCTGAGATCGGACGGCATCATACACGGCCAGCAAGAATGGCAGGAAGACCTCAATGCTGTCAATGGTGCATTCCGTTGCCATCGATATTCGCCGGTAGAGCTCGAGGCGCACACACACGACCGAGACTGCAGCCACCAATACCGAGATGCGAACCTTTCCATTGTGTCGAGGATGTGTTGAAGGAGTCTCCGCAGGGTCAGGTTTTCTATTCACATAGCCCAGATCATCCAAGGGTAGAGCAGTGTAGTCTTCGTGTCTGGATTCTGCAGGATGAAACAGTCGCGGCAGGGCCTTGCTTATGCCAGGAAGCGCGAATGAGCATGCAGTCAGGGCCAACGCAATGAGGTGGACCGGCCGATCTGTTCCAGTCAGCAATGTTCAGATATTTGGAGGTAACCTACTCACCGTGAGCGGTCGATATTGGGAACAGGTGCGCAAGACATCCAGCTGTCAATAACGATATGCTGAACAGATCAGTTCTTGCACACTGAACGTTCCCTCCGGCATAGACTCACCAATAGCACAAAGTGTCGAGTCCAGCCATAATGTCAAATCGTACGCCAACTCTTCCGGCCTTGTGCGACTGGGGCTGTTGTCTAACTCAGGTGCGGTGATTGCAGACACGCATGGGAGGTGGTCGGGATGGTTTCCTGCGGTCTGGAGGCATCACGAAGCCACCGATCGGAGAGCATTGGATCAAGAGGAATGACGGGCTTTGTGCGCAAACATGGTCTCTTCAAGTCGCCGCGGCCACCTTCTGTCACAGGCTGTAAATGCAGAGAAACCGTAAACCAGGATTGAATGAATTGGTAGATGTCCAGCTTCTGCCCGTCATATCGCATATCGCGGAGGCTGCGCTCCACCATACAAAAGACGGTTCTCCACCATTTCCGCCCTCGTTCAGGATAGGAAACTGCGCCGAACAATTTTTTGGAGAGACTCTCACTTTTTCTCGCAAGCCTCGCATGGGAATGTCGATGTGCAACAACCAAATCTCCATCTCTCACTATCGGCTGGTGCAAGAAGGCGGAGGGTGGCCGGGTTTCTAGAAATGCCTCGCAAAGCGATCGACTCGCGCATTCCCGCGCTGATACGCAATGGCATTCAAGAGAAGAAGCGCAGTTTCTTCGTCGTCGTCGGCGACCGAGCCAAAGATGTCATTGTCCACCTTCACTATATCATGTCCTCCGTGGACGTCAAGCAGAACAAGTCGGTGTTATGGGCTTACAAAAAAGACCTCCTAGGCTTTACCAGTCACCGGAAGAAGCGAGAAACCAGAATCAAGAAGGAAATCAAGAGAGGCATTCGGGATGCGAACACCGAAGACCCTTTCGAACTCTTCATTACCTTGCACAACATCCGCTATGTCTACTACAAAGAGACGGAAAAGATCCTAGGTAACACATATGGCATGTGTATTTTGCAGGATTTCGAAGCCATCACTCCGAACCTTCTTGCGAGGACAATAGAGACGGTCGAAGGCGGCGGTTTGGTTATCCTCCTCTTGAAGGGAATGAAGAGCTTGAAGCAGCTCTACACTATGTCCATGGACGTCCATTCGAGATACCGGACGGAGGCACATGATGATGTTGTGGCAAGATTCAATGAACGGTTCATTCTCTCGCTCGGAAGTTGCGAGTCGTGTCTTGTGGTGGACGATGAGTTGAATGTCCTACCTATATCCGGAGGGAAAAATGTTCAGGCTCTGCCACCACCGTCCACAGAAGCTGAAAGCACGTTACCCTCCAAGAAGGAATTGAAAGAGATCAAGGACAGTCTGGCCGACAGTCAGCCTGTGGGATCTCTTGTCACTTTGGCGAAGACTGTGGATCAAGCCAAAGCACTCCTCACCTTTGTGGATGCCATTTCTGAGAAGACACTACGGAGCACAGTCACTTTAACAGCCGCTCGAGGTCGAGGAAAGTCCGCTGCACTAGGTGTCGCCGTGGCTGCAGCGATAGCACATGGGTACAGCAATATCTTTGTCACCTCGCCCAGTCCCGAAAACTTGAAAACCTTCTTCGAATTCGTCATCAAAGGCTTCGATGCCCTCGAGTATATGGATCACGTGGATTACACCATTCTGCAATCCACCAACCCGGACTACAACAAAGCCATTGTCCGGATCAACGTCCACCGACAACATCGACAGACCATCCAGTACATCCAACCCCAAGATGCGCATGTCTTGGGTCAGGCTGAACTGGTAGTCATAGATGAGGCCGCGGCAATTCCTTTACCGTTAGTCCGGAAGCTGATGGGTCCGTATCTGGTGTTTATGGCCTCCACCATCAACGGCTATGAAGGCACTGGGCGCTCGCTGTCATTAAAACTCATTCAACAACTGCGCGAACAGTCACGAGGCGGAGCCAAGTCCAGCGGCGATGATCTCGAGGTTGCTGACAAGGCCACGGGCAAGGCAACCAAGGATGGCCAGAAGGTGTACACTGGAGGACGGTCTCTAAGAGAGATCACTCTTTCCGAGCCCATTCGGTACGGCCCTGGGGACGCCGTGGAGAAATGGCTCAACCGACTTCTGTGCTTGGATGCGACACTACCAAAGTCGAAAATGAACACTCAGGGCACGCCCCATCCCTCGACCTGCGAACTTGTCCATGTCAACCGCGACACCCTCTTCTCATTCCACCCCGTTTCAGAAAAGTTCCTGCAGCAAATGATGGCACTGTATGTGGCCTCTCACTACAAGAATTCCCCCAACGACCTCCAATTAATGTCCGATGCTCCCGCGCATCAGCTCTTCGTACTCATCCCTCCTATTCCGGAGGATGCCAATAAACTTCCCGAACCACTCTGTGTCATTCAAGTCGCCCTTGAAGGACGGATCAGCAAGAAGTCGGTTCTTAACAGTCTATCCCGCGGTCAAAGAGCTGGAGGAGATCTGATTCCGTGGCTGGTCAGTCAGCAATTCCAGGATTCGGAATTTGCAGGACTGTCAGGAAGCCGGGTTGTGCGTATAGCCACGAACCCGGAATATCTGAACATGGGTTATGGGTCGAGAGCGCTGCAGCTCCTGGCAGACTTCTACGAAGGCAAGTTCGCCTCGTTATCCGAGGCCGAGGAGTCCACGATCGAAGATGTGGAGCATATGCCGCGGGTGACGGATGCCGAGCTCGAGGAATCCAACCTGCTCGACGACAACATCAAAGTCCGGGATATTCAGCAGATGCCACCGCTCTTTAGCAAGCTCTCCGAACGACGCCCGGACAGACTGGACTACCTGGGTGTATCATTCGGTCTGACACAGCCACTGCACAAGTTCTGGAAAAGGCTGTCTTTCGCGCCCGTCTATCTTCGTCAAACAGCCAACGAATTGACCGGCGAACATTCCTGCGTCATGCTCCGACCTCTCTCCTCCAACAACGGCACCGACAGCTCCTGGCTCAGCGCGTACGCGCAAGACTTCCACAAAAGATTCCTGACTCTCTTGTCCTACCAATTCCGCACGTTCGCCTCTGTGCAGGCCCTCTCGATCTCCGAATCCGCTTCACGAGCCACGACGAACTCGAACTCGAACTCCTCTTCCAGCGACGCCACGTTCAACGCCGCCCCTCTCACCAAACACGACTTGGACTCTCTTTTCTCGCCGTTCGATCTGGCCCGTCTGGAATCGTATGCGAACAACATGCTCGACTACCATGTGATCTTGGACATGATGCCGGCGATCGCCTATCTTTACTTCACCGGCCGCCTGAAGCTGCCTCCTTGCAACGTCAGCCTCTCCGGCGTGCAGCAAAGCATTCTTCTCGCGATCGGACTGCAGCGCAAAGACCTGAGCGATGTGGAGCGAGAGTTGAATCTACCCAGCAATCAGCTCCTAGCCATGTTCGTGAAAGTGGTGAGGAAAGTCAGCACAGCGTTCCGAGCAGTCATCTCTGGCGCCGTGGAGGAGAGCCTGTCCGAGAAGAAAGACGCCGAACTCAACAGTGCAGCCGAACCCAGGACCAGCAGCCGCGTCGTTCCACCTCGAACAGTCGATGCGGACGTCAATGGAAACGACGATGAGGTGAATATGGAGGTCGATCCAGAACTGAAAGAGAAGCAGCGCGCCCTTATTGATGCTTTACCTCTTGACAAGTAAGTTGACTCAACATTCATTCCGATCCATCAATCCTCAGGGTCTCTTTCTTCTATCTATCCTTATGAATCAGCTGAACTAATAAAAGCCTATCTCTGTCTCTGTCCACAGGTACGAAATAACACCCTCCACAACCGACGACAAAGCATGGGAAGAAGCCGAGCGTCAAGTCCGCGAAGCCGGGACAAGCACCACCGTCAGCGTCAAGAGCCTGAAAAAGAAACGCAAAGCCGACGACTCGTTAGCCAACGGTCACGGCGGTGAAGACAATCATGACATGGACAATGACGGTGCTGGAGATGGCGATGGAGAAACGCCTCAGCGGAAGAAAGGGAAAAAGGACAAGGATAAAGACAAGGACAAGAAGAAGAACAAGGATAAAGATAGGTCGAAGAAGCATCGTCATGCTTAGACGTTATAGGTTATGTTGGGATGAATCCACGATCAATTAATGGCACTGCGAAGGACAAAACGGAACTGTGCGTCTGCTCCTACTCACTCTACCTTCCAACCACGATCTACTTATCTTAATCCTTGAAATGGAATGAATTGTCAAGACTGAAATCATACTGTTGCGCTTTGTCTCAGGATCGACACGATGCAGGACTGTAGAGGACGGCTGCAGCAGTATCTTTGTTGTTGACCGGATCGGAAAGCCGAACTTTGGAGAAGAAAGCAGGCTGTGGAAACCCAAGTGTGTCTAGTCTACTCGCCGATGGATAGATATCATCAGTGAGTGAGTGATGGTTTGGCTCTGCCCAATTTCATTGAATGTCGGCCATCTCTAAGCTGGATTGCTCTGTTGGACATATCTATGCTAGGGAGTCAGGGATACTAGAAAGCACACCAAAAGAGAAGCAGAAGCTCTGAAGCTGCTGTCCAGGTACTGAGGCAATAGTCCGCCTTGAACAGAAACCTGAACCGCCCAATCCCCCAGACCTTTGACAGGCCGTTGATTTCCAGATTTCCAGATTTCCAAAGCTATGGACTTTCCATACTGATCAAGCTTCCCCTAGAACAAGCCAGCCTTGTCCCCCGCCAACTGGGCCACGGAAAGATGGAGAACTGCTGCCGCTCAATGTCGTGAAAATTGGTGATCCAGGCGTAACCGTAACTTCCGCTCCGGAATAGGATCCAGTAGTAAGGTTTCAAGATCAAGAAATGAACTACTCCTCCAGCCAGCCAGCCAGCCTGCCAGCTTTGCCCCTTTCCCTTTTTCCTTGTCCATCTGTCGCAACACCGCATCGTTTGTGGCTTCCTTTGGTAGCAGATCATGCTCCGTAGAAACCACGTCCACCCATGTTGTCAGTCCCATGTCCTTAGAGATAAATTCTGACCTTGTTGACTTCTTGCTTCCTATGTTAGGATGCATTTGTCGACTGAAACTCAGGCGTGCCAGTCCGCTTGGGGCGAAACGAATTGAAGAGTGTTCAAATCTGTGTATACCACCCTGGTTTGTGGACAGGTAGTCAGGTAGGTGACACATATTTTTCGTCTTTTGGTTTGATTGCGGCATATCACTTGGCATCCCAGCATTATGCCTTCTGAGCTTTCCCGTCCTGAAAGTCGGAGGTTTAAGAGTCGTCATGATGCGGGATCAGTGAGCATCGCAGCCTCAGTCAGAAGGATGATACTCGTCGTCGTCATCATCATCGGCAATAGATCTTCTCACCTTCCGTCGCTTAGGTTTCTTTGTGGGGCTCGAACCGGATCGTGCTGAAGCCAGGGGTTGAGACAATGCTGATGACAAACCCACACCAGTTGCTCTGTTCTTTGGTCTGCCTCTTGGTCTGCCTCTTGGTCTTCCTTTCTTGGCGACGCTGCCGTTGTCAACCATCCATTTGGAACTGTCACGTTTGATGTGAAGGACGGTCTTGGGAGCTTTGTTGGCGAGCGGATTCTCCAGAGCAGCATCAGCCGGGCTTGCATTCGTGATTGAGTCTGATACGTCTTCATGATCGCGGGTGTTGTCCTGGGCTGCCCATATCCCGCCTTGACTCGTGACTGGTACCTTGCCATTGCCTTCATAGAACCACTCGGCTCCTGGCACCTGACTGCCGTTTCTCTGATCCCAAAAGCCATGAATGATACCGGTCCGTGCTGGATCAGCTGGATGTGCAAGCACTCCGTACTTCCCAAACCGAGGTTCTACCTCCCATTCGGTCCTCGAGTTGGCCCGAGGATTGATACGGTCACGGACATACGTGTCGAGCACCTCATCCATAGACCTTCGCTGCGCCAGACTAGAATCACGAGTGTACCGATATTTGAAGCCTTTGTGTGAGAAGACTGTACCGCAGGACAGCTCGGCCGGATCAAAAGTCGATGGGACTGGAAGCCTGACAACGAGCGAACGACGCTGTGTTTCCACCGCGGCCGTCACTGGGGGTGGAAGTGTCTCTTGTTGATGAATTGATTGCACAGTGAAACTTCCGGCAGCTGGCACGTCAGGAGTCATGGACATTGGAGCATCTTGCTCTGTTAGTTGCCATCCGCGCTTGAAACCCACGTTGATCTCTCTGGTTAGGGCATTTCGACTTCCACGAGGCACACCCGCACCTCTGAGGACATCCCGGAGGTATGGCCAGTTTGTTGATTTCACAGGGGCTAAGCCAGAATTGGCAAGCAGTTCGTTGACCTTCGGCAAGATGTAAATGCTGATATATCGCCCTTTCTTGCTGTCAGGCCGGTCGACAGATTTCCGGTTCTCGGCTGTATGAGCTTCACGCATGTCATGGTCCAAAGTGGTATCGTTACTCCCGTCTTCCTTGTCTCGTTGATCATTCAAGGTCGTAGAGGCCAGGGTCTCTTTGTGCTCATGTTGATCCGTTTTTTGCTTTTTTGTTGGGGACTTTCCATCTTCAGCAACCTTGTCGTCATCTGAAAGCAGTGGATGTTTCAGAGCATTGATTTCTATCGACCCTGTTCCTGTTTCGTGTGTAGTGATGTCTAGATTTGTGCACTCTTGAAGCTCAGATGATGAATAATCCTTTCCTGCAAGATGATCTTCCCCTCTTGTGATGTCAGCATCAATCTCCTTCGTTGTCACTTCATGCTCGTCGTTCAACAAGGGTAGCAGCAACTCCAGGGTTCTCTTTGTTTGAAGATTGTCGTCGTCAATGACTTGGCTACTGCCACAACCCTCTATCATGAATTCAGGACCAGCTTCCTGGTCGTCATTTTCCGAGGGAGGACAAGGCTGAAAACCTTTTGCTTGGACCATCAAGGGATCTAGCATCTCTTTGCACTCAACAAGGTCGTCCATTGGTCCATCTGGTAGCCCATCCGTGATGAAGCTGTTCTCTGTGGACTCACCAGTCTGGACGAAAGTGACTTCCTCTGCAGGATCTGCCTCATTGAGGTTCACTTCACTCGACTTGATGACCGAGTCTGGTGAGCCCACACCTGTTGCAAGGTCCTCGTCTGTGACAGAAGGGGCTTCAGAACAATGGGCCCTCTGCTCAGGCTCAATCTCCATCGTTGGGACTGTGGGTGACTGTGACGAAGATTGGCTGTCCTTCACCTCCAGAGCCAGCGCCATGAACAAATCAAGTCGTTCTTTCTCATCGTCAATCCGCTTCTGCGTATTCTCCTTTTGTCTCGCATGAGAAAATCCTCTGTATAGACGTTCGAGTTGTTCAATGCTTTGCCGTGACATCTGCACCTCGTAAAGAGCGTACAGCAAAAGGTTTCGACCCCAGGGATTGAAATGTGTGACCTCGGTGACCTTCCACCAATCATTTCGGGATATGTCTGTTCCCAAGTGCTGTCGGACAGCTTCTAGAAGAGCATCACCCTTCTCGAGATCGCCTGACGCTGCTCGTTGACAGATGCGTTCTTCAGAAACGCCGGCTTCTTGTAGTTCTCCGGCGGTTACTGCCCAGTAATGGCTGTCTTTGTGACTCCGAGACACAAAGACAGGTATTTTAGAAGGGCTCTTTTGACGAGCTTTCCCTGAAGGACCTGGAGGACGTCCAGGACCGCGTTCTCTTTTCGTCGTCGCGAGTGCTCTGGACCGCTGGGTTGATGCTGTTCCCCTCGAACTCGGCTCGCAATGACCTGGATCGTACCCAAGGCGCAGTGCTTCGTACCAGACATTCGTCAAGGTTTCGAATGCGCGGTCGAGAACCTCCTTCCGTCGTTGGCCATCCTCAATCCTCGAGCCTAGTTCAGCCCAGTCCTTGACGTGCTCCAAAATCTGGATGTTGAAAGGCATGTTCCGATCAGGAAGACATGTTGCGTCCGAACGTGCTTGCTGTCGACCATGACAATACGAAGGCGATGTGGGAGGTGACCCGTAGAGCCCCGTGGTTGTTGCGTCCTGTGTATGCTGTTGGTCTTCCACTTCCAGTATGTCATATTTTCCAGACTCGAGATCCTCTCCAATGATGTTGCGGGTTTCAGTCTGGCTTGTTCCGTGACATTCTTTCTCGGATGGATCTTGGCTGTCTGAGCGTTTGGTACTGGAGTCGCCGGCATTCCCTTGATTTGGATCGGTTTGGACTGATGGTCCAATTCCAATCTCCGCTTCGACATAGGCTGGGTTTGGCGATGATAGGACACAACATTCTTGTTTCGTAGTCGCCTGCTCATGTCCAAGAGGAAAATCGGCCGGAGAGTCGGCTTGTACCCCTGAGGTTGCCTCATCTTGTAAAAGCCGTCCAGCGAGGCACTCAGCCGCAGCCCCTTCCACGCAGCCGATCTTTGGAGGTGCCTCTGGATCCACCGATCTATCCAGTTCCTTACCGTCCGATGAATGCTTGCACCCCATATCGTGCCAGAATCAAGAACGGAAAATGAGGTTATCCATGTCGCAGCCCAGGGGCAAAAGAAGAAGGGCCCCTCTTGGATGATTCGAGGGGTAGATGAGCCGATGATCGCAGCAGTAAAAGGTCCGGTGTGGGCGCACACTGCTGAGAAGGGATCAACTGGTATGAGAATATAGGCGCAGCAGTATTCGGTCGAGTGGGAGGGGGGTTGTCGTGATAGAGGTTCCGAATATAGACATCAACTGGAGATCGATAGGCGAAGAGTAGAAGAAAAGAGAAAGTAAAAACGCAGAAATGACAGAAGGGTGAAGTGAAGAAGGTGACGTGGAGAGATATCTTGTAAAGCAAGACTTTTTTATCCTAGCTACAGGTTCAGCAAAGATACTGCAGGATCAGATGCCGTGCCGAGTCTCGCACAAAACAGCGAAAGTTTGGATATTTCGATCTGAAGGACGGAGTGCATCAGAGCTCGTCGTGTTCTACCTCAGGAGTCTCCACGGGTTCTGGTTCGGCAACGGTGTCACCTGGTTCGGCCGAGCCAGGCTCATCGAGTCGAATCTGCGCAGTTTCCAGGGGTTCTGGCTCAGCAACAGTGTCGGTAGCTTCGGGAGGGGTTGACTCTTGAGTTTCTTCTAATACCGCTCCAAACCCTGGTGGTATCTTCGACTTGACACCTTCTCCGAGTTTGATGGCATCGATGAAACCTTCTAGATCCAGAACATCATAGGCATCACTTGTATATCTTCTCCACCAACCTCTCTTCATGTTTACTGCGATGATCTCCAGTTGGTCCAGTGGATTTAACCCAAGACGTTCTCTGATCCCACTCATCTCCTGCACTTCGGTGGGTACAGCATAGGTGGGTATCATGGTGGCCTTTCGTTTCTGATATTTTCCCGCAATTTCTGCCAGTGATGCCAGTGCAGTTGTTTCGGATCGAGGTATAATTTCTTCCGCGTCCGGTGAAGAAGACGTTAGGACCAACAAGCAGTTATGACTTTTCGGTGTCAAGCAAGAGGATTCCAGATCCGCCAACGTCGCGAGGGTGGGGATGGGAGCAGGCGTTTCGTGAATGACAGCAGGCTTCTCTGCTTCCTCGACAATGGGAAGTGGTGACTCGGTGGGCATATCATCCTCGAGAACCACAGTACCTGAACTGGCCAGGTACTCCTCGAAGTCGGAGGATTTGTGGGCTTCGGAGGCCTTTGCGAACGAAGCCGAAGCGGAAGAAGAGGAAGCTGTTTTGGCTTTCCGGGACGATGACTTAGAAGGCTTCGCATTCTTCGGCGCTGGGTCCGGATTGGGCGAAGCGACCTGGCTGAAGAAACTCAAGAGGGAGTCTCGATTGATCTCGCCTTTATATGGAATCGGCGATTCTCCTGGAGCGGAGACCAAGAGTATGGAAGGGAACTCAGTCACGCCATACTTCTCAGCAGCAGTCTTGTCTCTGACTTGAGCGAAAGCGATGTTGCCCAGGAAATCAACGGCCAAGCTCTTGACCAGGGGGTTTGTAGTTCCTTTGTCGGAGAAGACGATAGCTTTTGCCTGAGGAGACGGGTCACTTAACCATGTGTCGAGAGCATCCCCCTGCAATCTCTTTACGTGGTTGGGAATCTTGTCCTTGACAGCATCGACCAGGGCTTTAGTGGAACGAGGACCGTTGTAATCTTCCACGATGGGCCGGCCTGGCTTCTTTCCGGGCTTGACGATCTTTAGCGTTGGAAAGCCTTGCACGCCCATTTGTCCGCAAAACGCCTTGTTGGCATCATCATCACAATTGACGGCGGCGACCTTGGCCAGCCCGGAGAGATGTTTCGCAGCTTTTTCGTATGCAGGTTTCAGGTTTTGACAATGGCCGCACCACGGAGCATAGAACTCGACAATCTGTGGCTGTCAGAAGAAGACGGGCGAGAGAAGCATCGATGGGTCATACCGAAGTATGGTTGGACTGGGCAACCAGTGGATCGTATGTTTTTGCATTCACTTGAAGAACGGGAGAATTCTTGGTGTAAATACCATCTGCATGTACCAGCCCAGTCAAGGCCAGTATGCACACTGTGGAGATCATAGAGCCAGGCATCTGGACGAGATGTCGAAGTGTGGATGAATGATGGGAGAAGGACGAGTTGTCAAGGCACAAGATGGTGATGCAAGAATAGATGTGCCATAGACGAGATCATCAACTGGTAGCACAGCAGTGACACTTTACATCAGTAAAATGGTTGCAGTTGGGAACACTGTGGCATGATTGAGAACTGAAATAAGAACGAGGGATGAAGCTGAGCGCAGTTGGAGTTCAAGTTGTGATGCGAGAGTCCGCAGTGCATGGAATCTGGGGAAGCTGCAGGGAGAATGACATTTGTCTGACTCCAATATTTTCTCACATTCCTCGCGGAGCGATTGTCCATATGGGCGACTGACACTGCATATTTTGTCGTCTGTCGACTTTCATTTTTACCTGCGCATTTTACCCCTGACAAGCATACATCCATCATCTCTTCACTTGATGCCAACGAGCAGAAACATCGAGAATCTCTACAAGAACACCGTTTCTCACAACTCCCCCAGCCTTCCTCCAGTCTGGTCTACGCTTGAATTACTCTGCTCCTACACTGTACACTGTCATACGATAGAAATATGTGGCAGGCAACCGCACGACTTTTGTTCTACACCAATCATGTCACTGCAGTCAGCCTGGAGCCTCGCTGGAGGTACTGTTGACATCAAGTCAGTTTAAAGTACCAGATATTCCTCCAGGAAGTCTCGACAAAGGGCAGATCAGGCCTAATGCGACGCCTGGAGAAAAAACGCGCCGCCGAAGCCAAAGAAGGAAGCCACTTTGAACAGTAGCAGAGGCCTTATATCGAGAGAGTTATGTCATTCACCGCGAGGGTCCCTAGTCCCTAGCATCTCTGGCGATATCTTAGAACACGAGAACTGTCATCCCACAGTTCTCGGGGCAGATCTCCAGGCTTCAAGCGCGCCATACCATGACCACAGGATCCGATCATAAATACTTTGCACTACTGAAGCGTGAAGAAAAGTCCGAAGCCTTCTTGAGCATTTCTCTGCGCTTGGTCGCATTGATCGTCGCGCCGCCGGCGATATCCTTTTCGCGATCGAACGCGCGGGCACTGGGATCGTCGTCTTCGTCGCCCTTGGTAGTTGCGCTGTGTGCTGCGTAGAGTGAAGGACCTCGTTTTGCCTATACACAGATATGATCGTTAGTATCGGTCACCAGATATCTCGACCACCAATTGACAGCACTGTAATCAGATTCGAAATTTCAAATAGAAGAGAACGGAAATGAAAGTAAGAATGGGAATGAAAGGCGCATGGTCATGAATTATGTATCTTCCCCACAACCCCCAGGGGAAAGGCCGCGGGCAGATAGACATGTGCTGCTTGAAAGCGATGATGAATTCTCGAGGCAAGGCAAGGCAAGGCAAGGCAAGGCAAGGCAAGGCAAGGCAAAACGTGTATCCATCGACACTGGAGTCAAGAAAAGAGAAGCAGCGGAGAGGGTGAAGTGAAGGTAAATAAATATCCAGGCATGATATACACCTTCAAAACCCAAAGTAGAATGTATTCAACACAAAAGAAGAGAAGACTCAGGGTAGGTAGTGGGAACAAGATATATCCAAACAGAACGAAAAGACGTGGCCAGACTTACATTATATTCCTTCAATCTCCTCGCCGTAACCTCATCCTCGACGCCAGATCCAGATCCAGATCCTGCCTTCTTTGCCGCAGCGCCAGCACCAGAGTCTTGAATCCCCATCACCTCCCTCTTCAATCTGGCCTGTTTCTCTTCCGGCGTCTCATACCACGATCTATCACCTCCACCTCCTCCTCCTCCGCTGGCGACCTGCGACGGCCCCTTGGCGCCTTTGATCGTGTTGAATTTGCGATTCTTGAGTTTCGTCGGATCGACTCTGGCAGACCAGTCGCCGCCCGTCGGGGCAAGAGTCATCCATTCATCGCGCTTCGCTGGGGCTGGCGCCGTGGATCTTGAGCCAGGTATTTGGGGTCCGACTATGGAGTTTGAGAGATGGGGGTTGGCAGAGGTGTCGTTGGCGGAGGGGAGACTTGGGCCGAAACCGTCGTCGTCGTCTGATTCACTCGAGTCATCGTCATTGTCATCTGCTGGGTTCGGTTGTGCCAGTGGTTGATGTTGCGGGGGAGCACTTGAAGGTGGACGTTCATCGAGAGGTGCGGGCGGGAGCGTCGGACCTATAACGCGGCTTCTTTTTGGTGAGGGTGGTGAGGGTTGTTCTTTTCCTTGTGGTTTCGGAGGGAGAGGGCCTGTGGAGGAGGAGTTGCTATCGCCGTCGCTGTCGGCTTCATCGTCGCTTCGTTTGCGCTTTTGGAGGTGGGGTGGGAGTTGAGGGCCGACGGAGCTCATCTTGGTCGTTTCGTCAAAGTCAGGGTCGATCTCCAGTATCTAGTTTGTGTAGGGTAGGTAGTCGGTAAGTCTCTGCCTTTGTTGGTGGTGGATCAAAAGTTCATCATCTCCGACTTGTGGAAGTACGTAGTAGTTCTTGCGGAGGCCTGTCAGGGTCTGACTCTTGGAGAAACGGTTTGTTTACCACGATCTGGGGAAATAGATCTCAACAATCGGCGCGCTGCCCGCAATGTTGCAGCACTTTTCTACGGATCACGAGCATACATTCAATTTAACTTGATGGCAATGCCACGGCACTGCTGCATGTCATCAAAGCTCACAAATTGCAGTGCAAAGGCGCAATTCCCACGTGTCATTAACAACATGCACTTGGAACTCTGAAGGGATCAATCAATTGATTTGAATTGCAACAAGATGCAGCTTTGTGCAAAACCATGGACCCTCTGAGAGGACGACGCTGATAGTCGAAAAGCTTTCATTTCCCTAGAATACAGTAACCGGGGTACACGATCTCCCCAGGGCATTCCCTGTGGCCGGTCTGGCCTCGACATGTTTCGAGGCATCTGTGGACAAGGTCGAAGCCGAAGTGATACGGCGAAACCACTGGGCTCGAACAAGCGGTGTCCAGCCATGGCATCGGTGTGGCTTTGCCCGTGTGGCAGCTTGCATGCGCTGCTCGTGACCGTTTTTGACGTCCAACATGAAGAGACATACTCGGTACAATGCGCTTTGATTCCCTGCCCTTGGGTCATAACGCGTAACGGCCCTGACAGCACGAGGTAGCCTGACAAGACAAGCGTCCAGGCTCGAGCTCAGCCAGTTCATCAAGAGCTTTGCATGCTCAGATCAATAATCAACGTGCACTTTTCGAAGTCGAATTGCAATTGAGGCGGCGCGTATTCCTTCTTTTCCCCTTCTCTAAGATCTGCTAAAACCTCAACCGACAAGATGTTCTCTCCTGGGTACAATCTGATATCGTATGCATCGGGAACAGTCGAGTTTGGCTCTCGATAGACGTGCGCGTTATGCGTGAAGAGTATTCGATGTCTTCGTCGGGATTTCAGCTCGGGCGTAGTCACTGGTATGACCCGAACATCACGGTAATTGGCCGGCAGGCCTATGAAGCCAGTTGTTTGTGTCTTAATGGGTGAAGCTCGGCGTATCAGTTTCCATTTCGGATCCTTGGGGACGAGAGGGTTGGTCATGAAAATGACAGAACCGAGAAGCGCAGACTCGAGACCTTCTCACGATGATTAGTGGACTGAACAAAGCCGACACAGGAAGATACGCACCTTTTCCGGGATCACGGCCTCGACGTTCAAAGGGTATGACGGACTGGTTGTAGGATGATAGGTTACCAGATTGTGGCGTTGGAGGATCCTGGCTACGGGCTCCGTTTGTAAGGGGTGCAACTGGCCCAGGAGTGTCGACTTCTTCGACAGGGGTGGGTATCTGCCGCGGAGGAACTGAAGGCTGAGGCGCCTTGACCGGTTCCTGCGCCTGAGGTTGCGGAGTAGCTGTCCCATTGGCCTTGGCTTCGGTCGTGACAACATCACGCTGCTCGGTAGCCCGCGATACACTACGTCGAATGCTGGGTGGAGTGCTTGCGGGGACCGGTGTTGAACCATTGACGTGAGCAGCTCTGGAGCTGGCTCTCTGTGCTCGACTCAGTGCTTGGCCTGTTTCTTCCTTTTGTCGTCGGAGAGATTCGCTGTCGATCGTACCGCCCACCAGAGTCGGGGTTGGCGTAGAAGAACCTATCGTCAATCTGAGGGCTTTCGGCTTTGGCTGGGATAGAGACAGTTTGAGATTTCGCCGAGGTCCAGCACCAAGAGATTGCAATCTTTGTTCCGACCACGACTGCATCCATTAGTAATGTTGAGGGTGGAAAGAGACACGGTAATTACCTCGAGCTTCTCTGCCATGATGTAGATGTCGGATCCTTCTTGGTTGTACTCCTTTGCGTTGTCCCAAATCAATCGGACCTCTTTTGCCAAAGCGTCCCAGTCTGGAAGAGCATCTTTCTCCACCAAGGCTCGTACGTCTGAAATCGAGGTGGGCTTCTTGATGAGCTTGTAATAGTCAGGGTAGTCCTTCTTGGAAACTCTCTCCTCGAAATTACTGCTCCAAACGTTAGGAAATTCCAAAAACAATCGAAACGTCATGAGGGTGGCTCACATTGCATCTTCGTGTGCCGATAACTCATTCAAGAAGTTCAACTGATCCTGTCTCACGTCGTCCTTCACACTAGGCGAAGCCGGCGTGACCTCACTTCGACGTCTCTTGGAAAAGACCAACTTGACTTTCTCGGCGTGGACATTGGCCTCTGACGCAGTCGAAGACTCTCTCTGGTGTTCAAGCAGGTCTTGCGGAAGTGGTGTGGGATATGCGCGATAATCTGAGCGTAGGTACGCCGGGTTATGCTTTGGCATGAAATTCGACAATGCCTTTCGGATACGCTCGGCGTCCTCGAATATGGGTGATCTGCTATGGTTGTAATCCTTCGCGTTCTGGACCATTCTCTTCAAGTCGGATTCGAGCTGCTCCATTGTGTCGTACTCTAGATTTTCCAGCTTCTGCTCGATCATGTTCAGGGATAACGGCATCGCAATTTGTTGGTAGTAGTCGGGATAGTCGGTCTTGCTGGGGAGGTCGATAAAATGCACCGCGACATTGCGCCCGTTCTTGTCTTGGGACTTCTTCAACTGCCGCACCAGTTTCAGTCCGAGTTCCGAGGTGGTTTCTCGAGTCTCGACGTCTGGAAAGTGGGTGTCCTGCAGACAATGGCAGGCAAATTAGCAAAGCTCGCCAGGTGATGGCAGATGTTGAGAGCGCAGTGCACTCTACACGAGTGCAGCCCACCATGGCAGGCCTTTGTCTCGGGGTTGGAAATGCGCATCATGATGGTGATGAATGCGCGCAGGGTGGGGAGATTGAGCCGTTGAACGCAGGAAATGGTGTTGAATGTTGGAGTTGGGCTGTGAAAGGGTATTGTGAAAGATAAATGGGCGCGATGCACTTACGTCGTTACGCTTGCGTCGCTTGGGATCTGGCGTGGCCGCAAAGTCATCGGGCGAGCCTGCAGGGCCGCTTCTGCGCTTCGAGGTGCTCATCGCGGCCTCTCAACTTTCGAGACCGGGGATGGGGGAGGGATTCGGGGTCTGCAAAGCAGGAAGGGCCACCATCAGGGGGCAACCGGGGCAATCGAGTGCTGCGGATTCAATGGACACTCTGACTTCAGCGTAAAAGACACGGCCACAGCGAGAATACAGGACGCGCATTATTATTCCATCCTCTGTCTTTCTCATGCAATACAAATCGAGCCTGCAGACGCGCGACCGGGAGGGTAGAGGGCAGCCACGTGACGAGGCATGTAAGGTCAAGCGTGACTGGCTGGAGCACAATGCACTGCCTGCACTTTGCTATATTGTGCTGCACCGCACAAAAGTGGCTGTTCACTGCACTGCACTGTGGCCCCTTAGCCACTGTGTGGCTTGAATGCAGAAGCTTCAAGTTCGGCTGCTGCTCCGAGTCTCGACGGGCCTTGGCAGCAGCGCTTTCCGCGTCTCGAGTCCCTTCGAGTTGTTTACGGGAAGTTTGGTCTGTGGTTGTGGTTTCGACTCCCCAGATTCTTGTCTGTGTTCCCACCACCAGTAACCAACAACCATTACACTGAGATTCACTGTCGACGCTCCACGCCTCCGCTCCCTATCCAGCCTTTACTCCCGTGTCAATTGCGTTCTCTCAGCGCGCTAACCTCGCCGCCCTATCATCCTGCTCGTGTCCTTTCCCTCGGAGTCCTTTTCTCCCACGCGACTCGAGAGCACGAGACCAGCTCCCCTGCTCATTGCTACCGGTGCAACGCTCGACCCAGGCAATACAACGCGCCCGCCAGCTGTCATTCTCGATTGGATCCATTTGGTGGACGTGCAACCAGGATCTTCATCTTCACAAAAACGAAACACATCTGCTCCACGAGCACCATGCCGGAAGTCGACATGACGAGACGCAACAAGAAGCCAAGGTTATTGCATGAAAATGAAAGGGCGCGGCTAGAGGAGTTTATTGACTCTATCGGCTACTCAGCAAGGTACACCAGTCAAAGCTCGTTGCAAGGATGCAGGTTGACATGTGGCAGATATTCGGATTCCGAATATGAATACCGACATGTTCAGCTTCCCAAAGCGATGCTGAAGGCCATTCCGAGAGACTACTTCGACGAGTCTAAGGGCACACTGAAGCTCTTGTGGGAAGAGGAATGGAGAGGATTGGGGATCACCCAGGTATGTCGAAGCTGGATCGTGAAAAGACCATTTTGCTAATAAAGGGCCAGAGTCTGGGATGGGAACATTACGAGGTGCATGAGCCTGAGCCACACATTCTACTATTCAAGTCAGTCACCTACCTACCCAGCGTCCGTCGCCTTATACTGATGTAGTGCAGACGTCCCATCGGCTATCAGCCTCCCGCTCAATGATACAGGACTATTTCATCACAGACGCAGAACTAGCGCAGCATTGGGATGGCGTTTACCTGTTCAGCCAGGAATTGTATTTAAACTGTGCATTCAGCGAGCGTGCTTACTACAAGATTTGTATGTCTGGACGAATCGACGCAAAAGGGCAATACATTTGGGCGCGAGATGTTAGATGTTCGCTCAGGTTTAGCATAACCACAACCGTTCAACAGCAATGTCCGACCAGTTGTCTAGTTGTTCCCTGGATGGCATTATTGCGGCTCCTAAAGAAATGCCACGCAGCTAGCCCTCGGTTGTCTGGCAAGCCGGCCACGTCTTCCGGGAGTTCCGATACAGTCCACTCACGCTTTCGGATCGGTACGTGACGCTGGAATCGAGCCATTCCTTAATCAGTCAACCAGAATTGACGTCTATGTCGCGTTCTTCTGCAGCCATTCTTCCCATTGTTCCGCCGTCCAGCTAGAGCTGATACTGCGCTCTTCGACCCCGTTGAACAAGACCGTCGGAGTGACATGGACGCCGGTCAATCTGTTCGCCTTGACCATGAACTTGATATCGTTGGTCACTTTGTTGCCGATGTTCAGGCTGCCATCGGCTGCCGGCTTGTCTGGCACTAGAAGCAAGTCGAGAATCTTCTTCTCGTCGACGCCGTCCACCGATCCCGCCAGCTTGGCCAGTCGCTTGTACGTGTTGTTTCGGGTTTCGTTGACCACATTGACGTCGAAGTAATCGTTCTGCTGCTCGAAGAGTTTCTCGGAAAAGGCCCAGAAGGACTTTGGTGCTGTTTGCAAAACGGCAGCGCCGGCTTCATGGACGAGTGTCGAACTTGGATGCCACGGCTGGATCTGTTGACGGAGGATGACCCGGATGCCCGGAGAAGTGTACTTCTTCTCGATCAAAGGCACAACGCTCTTGTTGAAGGTCTTGAACAATTTGGCGGAGAAGGGGCAGACATAGTCTAGATACAGTTCGATGGTATGCTTTGCTTCATTGGTCGAGCTGGAAGCGAGCAATTGCCCGGAGAACTTTGGCGGCAGCGCCATGGTTGGAGATTCTGCGGTTTGGTTTGCCGATGGATGGATTCTTGCCGGCTCTGGAGGGGTCACAATGAGAAGTCAAGACGATGAAAATGGGTTGAAGTTGTGGTGCAAGGAAAGACTCGTCTATAGAAGATGCTAGGCGAATGATGTGATAACATGTACCGTTTACGTAGGGACTGACTAAGCAGCATTTCGTCATCGGTCAATCAACAGACACGTGATCCGACAATAGAGTTCATGTCACGTGAAGAGCGATAACGATAAGGAGACGACAACGACATCAACTCTGTACAACAGTCCTCCTTTTCCTCATCCTCCTCTATTCTTCTTTCTTTCTCAACATTGCAACACCAACAACAACACGTATAATGAGTTGATTGTGGTGTTGTTGTGCCTTTTCAGCCGCTATGATGTCGCCTGCCCACGAAGATGCGGCTCACGCAGCAGCAGCTCCTGTCAAGCCGCGTCCTGCTAGAGACGGCAGCTGCGCCTATATGCCAGATTCTACTAACCGCACTGTGTACTGGTAGCCCGTCATTCAATGCCTCGACGAGGTGTCTATTTTCATTTCGCGTCTGCATTCTTTTGTCGGATACCACACTTATTACTCAGATCAAGGCTTCATATTCAAGATGGATCTCTTCAGTCTCTGTCCTGGTGTTTTCCTCATCTTCCTCAACATGATTTTACCTGCCCATGTCATTGTCGTCAATACCCTCTGCAGCCTTTTCCTCATCTCATTCGTTGTCGGGAGGAAAGTGGCCGGGTATATACGCGAACACGGACGACGAGACGTTGCAAGAGTAGGGGAGTACACGTACTTCGCTTTCCTCGTGTTCGTGACGTGGGCTCTTTCCCGAGGAACTGGGCAACGCATTGACTGTCGACATCTACTCCCCGAGCGGCCTCGTGCGCGTCAGTCAACAACCGGCATCTGAAGCAACGAGGAGCTAATCTCCTCACAGTGAATCGCCTTACTCGAACCTGGACGCCCTGGACACACCGGGTCGTGTCGACCTGTTCAAACACGATTAAATGGCCTTGGAACATACTAGCCAATTTCTGGAGCTCAATGTCTTCTCTGAGAGTCCGGACAACCGGCAAACCTCAACTAAAGCTCGCCGAGTTGATTGAGGAAACCTCTCCCCCTGAGGAAAGAGCCGTCTGCGTGCTTTGTTACGACTCAACAACTCCACAGGATCCCGCGATGTACATGTCCTGTACCAAACCACACTGTTTACATGTTTCCTGTGCGAGCAACGCCGTTGACGACCAGACTCGCTGTCCTTCCTCCCCCGAGCAAATTATTGACCTCAACCAAACGGAAGCGGCGCCGGGCGAAGCAACTACGAAGAGCAAGACTAAGAACAAGAAGCAGAAGCGAAAGCAAAAGAAAAAGCACTAGTGTGGGAGGAGTGGCATAGAGGTGGTACGAATCGCTCGAGCGAAAGCAGGTGTTTTGCGAACTTGGCTAGGCTATAGGCTGTGGGTGGGAGAGAAGCATCAGGTTGTGACAGAGACACAGTCATAATCACCAGCAGCATTATGCCATTGTTCTTTCCTTTTTTCCTTCTTACTTCAACTGAGTGCAAGCACCCTGTTCATCCAAAGACACTCTTGCCTCGGTTTGACCTGCAGTGGGTGATCGAATACTGTTGTTCCAATCTTCTTCTCATTCTCATTCTCATTCTCATTCCCATTCCCATTCCCATTCTCTTGTCATCCATTCTATCATTCGTTCGCCAGTCACTCTCGTTATACATACTCAGCATACGCTACCAGTACTTCTCGCCATTTACGCTCTTTTAGTAACTTTTGACTACAAGCTTTGTTCTTCCCCACAGCGTTCTATTTCCATCCTCAACGGCAACATACAGACAGCCGCAAAATGGGAATTCTACCTCTCGAGCACAACGATCCCTCCATCCGACAGCTGTGTGTGGCGCCAGGCATCACGGCCCACATTGACAATGTCGAAGAATATATCGTTGCCTTCAGTGTCCTAGCCTTGTGCACCAAATTCGAGGCCATCTGCGAGAAGCTGGCAATGCCATCTGCAGCAGACGACAGGCTCGATGTGGAGGCCCAACTCTCCCTGAAATTCCTCAACATTGCGCCTGTCCTCAGCGCTCTCGCCCTGGTCGACATGGGCCGACTCCACAGCCACACGGCAATCAATGTGATCAAAGTCTCCCGCATCAAAGCTCAGTTCAAGCACGCCGACACCGTGACCCACGAGATCCTTCCCACCGCCACTCTAGTGACGTGGACCATCTAGTTGCATGTCCTGCGCATCGTGTGCGTGGTGGACAAGAACGGACTGCCTGCCATGTACCTCCTTCTTCTATTCCTCTTGGAGCAATATCGCTTTCTGGAGGTGCAGGAGGCGTGCATTTTCGAACACGAAGAAGATTTCTTAGGGTCTTGTCCGATCAGGCAGTTCATACCGGCTCAGTATGAAGGAAGAGAAGTCGAGGTGGTGGGCCATGACTGTGCGATATGCCAGATTGATCCAATCGGGACGGCGGAGTGGGTGTATCATCTGCCCTGCGACCATCAGTTCCACAGGTGGTGTTTGGTCAAGTGGTTGGTCGAAATGGGAAATCCTGGTTGTCCGCTCTGTCGCGACGTGCTCACTGGTGAGACGTTGCGGAAGCCGGGAGTAACGATGGAAGGAGAGGTACCGGGCCCGCCTACGAGTACGCGAGAATGAACTTGGCTCTTAAAGAGATATGGCGGGATCGACAACTTCGCAAAGACAGACTGGGTCGGACGGGCCTGAACTGTTCTGTATATACCCGCATGGTCTACAAAGGGGAGGATTCGCAGTGGTGTTTGCCGGTAGCCAGAAGCATTCGTTTGGGAATGGAGGGGCTACAGTATGTGGGCATTGGAAGTATATCATCCATTGAAGTGCAGGGCGGATATGGTGTTTCGTATAGAGCATGGATCTTGGTACACAGTTTGTTCCTAGTAGTTGGGGCATATACAAAAAGGCTCGTCGTGATCCCCGATCCAGCTAGCCATCTTGTTCAGATGTTTACACACATATAGAACCCTTGCTGCGAGCGCTCTCTCTGGTTCTAGCCACCACTCCGCCGTCCGCATATGTTCCCCCTGAGCATTGGTATAAGGGGACAATAGAGGCCTTGTAAGTTTAATGTCCAACTGACTTGGGGGTGGTTCTAGACTCCCTTCCTCACGCACCCTTCCGGGCAGGAGATCGACTCCTTGCCCGTCTTCAAATTTCATTTCTGAAGGTCCTCTATTGGTTGGATGGACCATAAAAGAAAAGGAAGAGAAAGAGAAAGAGAAAAATGATTCGCTTTATTTCCGACACCATAGTCTCAATGTACGAATCAGAAGGGTCTTCAGGCTCCTCTCTGCGAGCGCCTGCATGGGGTGTCTAGGGATCAGGCTGCCACTGTATCTTCCGCAGTACTTGGACGAACTGTATCTGAATGTTTGGTATAAGTATAACACGGCAGAAAGCCTTCTATGTTCCACAACCCAGGTGCAATTTTCAATCCCAAGTCCGCACTCTGAGTCCTCACCCCAAATCCTCTTTAGGCTCCCTTCTGAGAGCGACCACCTTGGGTAGGAATCAACTTCTGCACAGCCTGCATGAACTGTTCGGCCTGCATGGCATTGTAGGTCTGATTATTGTTCAGGTTCCTGACGACCTGGTCCAAAAAGGGCATTTTCTGCTTCTGGATGTCGGGGTACTTGCCCTTGACGAAGGCCTCGGCGAGGGCCACGCGCTCTTTAGACCTCGAAGCGACATCATCAAACGACATGTCCCGCGGCTGGGCCTCGACGTTCTTCTTCTCCGTGACCTCGTCGGCGTGCTTGCGGGCGATTTCGGCAGCGAGAGCCAAAACCTGCTGCTTCTCCTCCTCGGACTCGAAGCGCGTCAGGTAGCCCTTGTAATAGCGCTCCGCGAGCTGCATGGGCGTCTGGTAGCCGTGCGGGAGGCGGTGCGCGAGCCACTCGATGCGCTGCTGGACGGACTCGGTCAAGCCCGTGCCGGAGAGCGGCGTGTTGGGCCAGTCGGCGCGCAGGGTCTCGATCGAGATTTCTTGGCCTGGCACATGGGCGATTTCTTCCGTCGGGTTGACGGGAGCGTCGATGTTCGCTTTGATGTATTCTTCCACTTGGGCCTCGATGTCCACGTCGTCGTCTTCCTCCTCGGCGGCGTCCGTCACGACGCGCTTCTCGGCGCGGCGGACCCGGCGGTCAGTGCGGTGGTGAGGACTAGCTTGTTGGCCTCCTCGTGCTCCTCCGGCTGCTGCTCCTTGTCGGTGATGTGGCTGCTGTGTGTTTCGCGGACCTGGTCTGCCAACCCCTGCTCCAGCTCCGGCTCCAGCTCCTTGCGGGAATCCTCCTCTCCTTGCGCCATATCCTGATGGGTTGGAGCGAGGTGGTCCTGTTCGGCGGAGGAGTTGTCCTGGCGCTGCCGGCGAGCTGCCTCCTGCACCACTACCACGGCTGCTGCTGCTGCTGCTGCTGCTGGGTCCGCCCGCATTCTGCGCACGTGGAGGGCCTGTTCGGCGGAGGATCGGTCCAGGCGGCTGAGGTCGTCGAGCACCGGCTCCGGCTCCGGCTCCGGCTCCAGCTCCCGGAGGCCCAGATCGGCCTGTGGTTCTTCGAATCGTAAATGTTGGCTCCGCGGTGGAGGGTTTGCCAGACGTAGGTCCTGCACGAGGACCGGCCGCCGAAGGCTTTTGGTCACCTGAAAACAATCAACTTAGTTGCCATTAACAGTGGTATGGACAAGCAAGATTAGTTTACCTTCAGCAAAGAGGATCCTTGTAGTCGACAATCCTCTCGTGTTGCCGAGCAAGGGAAGTGAGGTGCTCCTGGAGCCTGACTTGAGACTGAGCCTCGCGCATCTTGCGCATATGTGTTCCATTGTCAGCTGGCCTCTCTTTGCAGCACACTAGATGTGTACTGCTCTTGGATTGATGAGATTCAATGAGACTGCGATTCGAGCTTCAACTTCAAGTAGAAGTTCATTGGCGATTGACCGGAACTGAAAGTGTCTCTTGGCGTCACGTGCCTGGACACTTTCTTCCGCCGCTTTAACAAGACTACGAAGGCTTGATCCATCCATCCTCCAGATCAACATTCAACACACGTCCATCCAGACATGTGTCCGTTGCATGAACACTTGCTACCATGTTTTCGAGGCTAGCTATGGATTGGAATTGCATCGATACTACTATGCTCTGGCCTCATGACCACCAAAGCCGATCTGCTCTGTCTATCATTCCGTACCGGGCTGTTGGCTCCGCGGGCAGTCAGTCTATCAAGTCGACTTGGACGCAGCTCAGTGACCATTGACGATCTCCCATGGCAAGTCTGTCAGCACGGTTTAATGGAGGTGTACCGTTGTGTATTCTCTTTCCACTGGGCCGCCATTGCAGAGTTCGTGGCGTCTTTTCCCCGCTTGATCCACTGATATAAATTGGTTCAGCTGAAATGCAGCGTTGTCCTGCATGGGAAGGTCTAGATTCAAGCCTCATCATGCCCGTCCTGGAAATTCTCATTGATATTCAATGTTGGTTGGATATAACACTGTTTTGCCCCCTCATGCATCAGGTAGGCAAGGGTTTGTACAGGTTCAGGCACGCAAATCCAACAGGAAACCCTTGAGCTGGAACGTGATCTGCATTTTACTGCCCAAAGCTCATTCCGTGGTGGACAAGTTTGGATACAACAAGGTTCCTACTGATTTCCCCAGACTCTGTGCCGTGCCAGCGCCGTGCTTGCTTGATGGTGGCTTGACTCTCTGCCCTTTCCTGGACATGGCCAAGCTGTCCTGACCCTTTGGCTCCAGCCTTCTTTCCTGCCTCTGCAGTTTGCTCTTTGAGGCCAGCTGATCGATTGCGGCGATGGCGTTCTCAATGGGAAAGGATTATTATACCTGCTTCTCTTCTGGGGAACTCGTGAATCTCCGAGTTCGAGCGCCTCCCCAATCTAATGAGAGGGAAATGCTGGGTTCATCGCTGGAAGCTTAACGTCTCGTGTCGACGCTGGTGACTCTACAGGAAGAACTCAGTCTTCATTTCTGCTGGGGAGGTAAGCTTATCAAGCTTCTTGACAGTCAGCTCGAGCCGGTTAACCTGTGAGCATTCATTGCAATGCGAACCCCGGCTTCGGGCCATGTCCTAGTGTCCACGTCTATTTACGTCCACACACTCCGTGGATAGTGTGTACGTGGTCTCGGTCCCGTCAGGCTTCAGGGTCTGCTGGCTCAGGACCTGTTCGCCATTGGGCCCTTTGAATACTGTGGCCGATGGTTTATTGTGACACAGCATCGAGCTGTTCGAATGATCCAACACCCCCTATAATCAGGCCATTACTGGTTCCTGCTGTCGTCGATGCCGTCGTCCAAGCGGCCAGAATGAACTCCCGTCGCTATCTGCTTGCTCAGTTGCTTTGGCAGAACCAGTGATCCATGCCTGAATTTGCAACCCTGGTCTGAACGATTGCAATTCTCAGCTCCGCAAACTGTCCACGTACAGTTGTCATTGGCCTGCTGCTGACTGAATGAGTGATCAGCATGCTCACTGTCCACGACCCAATAGACGGTCAGCCATAGGAGTGGGTTTGTTACCTTCAGCTGGCTTTAGGCACGGCCCTACTCTGCTGAGCACGAAACGAAGCCTGTGCATAGGACCACTCTGAGTGATTGTGGCGCTGTTATCTACATTCACCCTCCAAGTCGCCGTTGTCCAGACCATCAACAACCTTATGGACAATCGCAGATCCTCGTCTGCCGTCGAAATGCTGGAGCTGAACTTCACGAGCGGGGTATGCCTCATTCCATTCTTGAACATAACAGCAGGTAATGGCGAAGGCCTGCGAATGTAGAGCAAGGCGCGAGACTGGTATAAATTCTTGTTCTCTCCAACTCCCCATCTCAAGTGTTCATCCTCTCTTTCATCTGCCTCGTGAGAGTTGATTTTGAACTCAGCAATTACGGTCAGACAAGCTGCCCAACATGCATTTCTTCACGGTTATCATCACCTTAGCATTATCGACTTCAGTGCTTGCATCGCCATATCAGGCGCCTCTATCATGTCAGGGCTTGAAACCAAAAGCCGAGCCAGGCTGGAAAAAGGACAATGCCCTGCAACTGGTCCCGTTGTCTGATAAGGCGAGAACAGGCATTCTCAACGAAGCTGCAGAAGAAGGACTCATCCGTGCCGGTAACGTGTCCATCGGCACCGCTTCTTCTATTTTCACTGATCATGTTGCCCAGCCGGCCCTCGCTTTGCCAACGCATTCTATGAGGTCGACGAGCAATTCGGCCCTGGGCCGCTTCGATGCGCCGCCACCATTGCCAAATCGGCCATTTGTTTGGTTACGGCAGTGGCCAAGAACAAGAAGGAGGAGGTGCTCAGATGTGCTTCAAAGGACGACGTAAGGCCCTGCCACCTGCCTCCTGCCTCCTGACTCCCTGTTCGAGGATGTGTAGTTTTCCGATCGTTCTCTCTAACAGCCCGTACAGCTGTGTGGCTGCGTCAACTATCTCGGCAAAGCCAGCGCACTCGTCAAAACCTTTGTTCAACAAACCGTGTGCAAGAATTCTTTGGTGGAGGATTATGCCGATGGCGAGATCGAGATCGACCCTCCGTACGTCGAATATCTGACTCTCGCGCCGAATTCGCTTGTTCTCCAAGCTGTCCGCGTAAGTCGAGACTGCAATCCCGCTGACTGACAAAAAGCCTGTTTGGCAATGGCAGAGCGTGCTGAACTCCATGACAGGGCGATCTCTACAAGTTCCAAGTCGAGCAGCTCAAACAGCTTACGGCGGACTCGCACACCGCTGATGATTCCGATGTCTGTCCATTGGGCTTTGACTCGTGTGGTGGTAGTTGCCGCTGCTGCATCGGGGCCTGCCTTCTAGGTGAAGAATGTGTCGGGGCTTGTGCTTAGATGTCATGTCATGTCTGCACTCTGCTCGTCCTGTTGTGTTTGCCCAATGCAACGAGGTCGAATCTTGCTGGTGACGATGGAGAACAGAGAACAATCTAGTTGGGAGTTTGGTTGGGGTTGTCCTGTCAATGGGTCTGCAATGACCATGGGAAAAGCGTGATCATTTGGGAAGAGGTAATGGTGGTGCTAAGTGACGAGGTGACGCTCTTTAGGATCAGATTCATAGTCTACATACTGTTGACAACTTCTTCAACACTAAGTAGGTTGGTGTTATTTCAGATTGACCATCGAGAAGAGCGCTTCAATGTCCATTGTCAAGATAGCCATACCAATATAATCAGAATCCTGATTAACAACGTGTCGACACTTCCTTATCTAAATAGAACGTTTTCTCTATGTTTTTGGTGAGGAAGATGGGTAAACTAGATATAGGGCTTAACATATGGCTGCGGAACCGATGCCGCCTGACAAGCCCCTTTCCCTCCTTTCCCCCCTTTTCCCCGCCAGCCTTGTCTGACCACATCTGGTCGACTCCCACATCATAGCTGTTCCTGGCCGACAACCTCATATAGGATCGCACGGCGCCCGGACTTTTCACTGGGCCAACTGAGAGGCCAGCCCGTACTTTGCCAAGGCTCCATTTTGACAAGGATAACAAGTAGAATTTCTTTCCCCTACTGGGAAAGCGAGAGCGAAGGAGATGTCTACAGCTTCCGAGTAAAATTGCCGTGGAGTATGCGATATGAGGCTATGAGCACCGCATGGTGCCAGAGTTAACCAGCTCATCTGAGTAGCGCTCTCAAGTCATTCCTCTGCAGGATTGACAACACTCCTCTCCCTTCATAAAACCTTGATATAGTGATGCTGGTTACCACTGTTTCTCACTTTCATTTTGCCATGCCCTGTGGTTTTCACAATTGACCTCTGGACGCCTACAACACCTACTTTCCCTCCTGAGCGAGCCGGTATTGGTCGGCAGCGCTCTGCAAGCGACTTGCCTCGCTTCCTCTTGGAATTGGTTCACCAGATGATGGCAAGATTGCTTCGGCTTGTGCGTCCAGGCGCTCCTGAATGGCTTGCTTGTCGACAGGTCCATCGGTCATGGGAATTTGTGCGATTTTGTTATTGCTGGCGCTTTGAAGGTTCTCGGCCCCTTCATGCTGGGCGATTGCCGTGGCGAGTTTGCCCATGGCGCCTACGCCAAATTAGCTGACAAGCTTGGAGACATGCAAAAGAAAAGAATCACCTTGAGTATGAGTTTTGGTGGCCTCAGAAGCATGGCTGCGGGCCACATTGTGGGTGTCCTTTTTGAGGTCTGCGAGAAGGTCGTCGACGGGGGGAAAGTCAGACATCTTGATGCAAATGTGAGGGAGGCTGCAAAGCAGAAGAGTCAAGGACGATGGAGAGTTTCGTCGAGGCTTTCAAGGAGTTTGTCGGAGAAGATTGAAGATTGTGAGCTGAGCAGAACTGGAGCTGAGGTGAAGACATTAATATACCCATCACAGATGTACATCGTACCTTCCTCAACTCACAGCACCACAGAGATAAAGCAGGCATGACGAAATCAGTCCACGCAACCATCCCTCCGAGGCGTCTGCGCCCGTTGCAGGTATCTACCTACTACTAGTAGTTCACTGTGCAGTGCAGAGAGGTCAAGCCTGTTGAAGCACGCCTGACTGCTGCGATCGTTAAATGTAGAATCACATCTGGTTCGTAATCGAAGGCTGCATCGTGCCCTGATCAGTCTTCCGTACTGCGTTTGACGAAAAAGGTCCACGGGTTTGCTGGGGCCCCGTCCCTGTATTTGTCAACCCACCTTCAGTTGAATTGGGCAAACAACAGTGAAAGCATGTCTAGGAGGAGGAGGCTGGAAGTGTCCTCAACTCCGAGTCCCTCCTGTGCGCGTCTGCGAGGCCGTTTCGTTGGCTCATAACTGTAGGATAGATGCTGACTGTTGGAGATCTCAGACATTCAAACGAGAAGCATTTCATCTTCATAACCCATAACACCGCTCCTACAACTCGATGAGCAATGCCTCCTTCCCTGGAACCTCCAATCGTGTATCTTCAACAGCATATCACCAGAGGATGCTTCACTTCTGCGAGGTCCTTCTTCCTTGCAGGCTTGGAACTATAAGGCAGGAAGATTCTCGACGTGGAGGGAGGCGCCATTCATTGGGGCCATCTAGCAATAACAGACTGCCATAGGGAACACCGACAATTGATTGTCTTGGTACGAGGAGTCTTCGATGTGGCACTCGCGTTTCAACAGACCGCAATGAGAGTTCCAGCAGACCTAAGCACGTTAGATCGGTAGCAATGGTACAGGTGAGTGACAGATTGCGCCTTGCTATTGTGGACAATAAGGATACTACAACTTCATGCTTCATGCTTCATTGAACTCGGAGTCGAACTCTCCGCGCCAAGCACATACCTACTAATCCCAATCCGGTAATGGACTTTTGAATTCCGACCCGTCACTTCAACTCCGATCATTTCACTGTCTCATTAAAAAACAAGAACAAACAAGACTGTCCACCACAGCACATCACCCTGCGCTGCCTTTCCTCCTCTCCTCCGCTGCCGCCATGGTCCAAACCCGTAGATCGGGTGCCCGATCCGAGGGCGCGTCGCATCTGGATCCCCCAAAACGTGAGCGAAGACCCGTGGCCGCTCCCCGTCGGCGTGCACCCCCGGCACGTCGAAATGCATCCGTTTCTGTGCCCATTGTTATCCCCAAGTACGAGCACGCAGCCACTCAAACCAACTTATATCACGATGCTTCTACGCAAACGGATGTGAAACTAACAAGCTACCCAGAGACTGTGGGCGAAAAGCGTCGCCGCGAAGAAGACGAGAGTGCCCCGGACACATCGTCGAAGCGCATACGAAAAGCCGAGACCCCTAAGTTCCTTTTCTCTGCCAGCCGAAATCGAAGTCTCTTGACCTCCGCGCCTGCGAAAACAACGACCCGACATGAATCCCCATTCTTCGAGCGATCCCTCGAACCTACGGGCAGACGATCGTCTCCGAGACGGCCGCCGAGACCGAGAGAAGAAAAAGCCAGCCAGCCAGAGACGCCTACACCTGCACCTACATCTAACACGCAAGTGCAGCAAGGCAGTCTTTTTGGCAGTGTGAGGAAGCTTTTTGGATTTTTCAAGAGTACTCCAGGTGCAGAGACGCCCAGGCAACAGGAACGAGGCAGTCCGAGTGAAGAGACGAATGGCAATATTGAACAAGAGGCGGTGGAATCAAATGGACCTAATACTCCTCCATCCCAACACAGCGAACCTGACAGTCCGACTCCAGACCCCGAACCCCTTGACAACCATCTCTACAACCGCGAGTACTTCAAGCGCCGTCGATTCGCCAAGACTATTGCAGGCCGTGAAATGACCGAGCACCCCGATTCAGAAGCCGGCGAGGCGGACTTCAACCCAGTCGGGACAACAGGAACAAACAAACGCAAGTTGGCGTCGGTCGACGGCGAGATTCCCGGACCTGCCGCAGGCGGATTCGGCATTGATGACAACTACCTTGACGTAGAAGCCGAAGTGGACGGGATTGAAGAAGCGCTGCCATCCACCCCAAGGGATAGGTCCATTGCGCAGACCCCCCTTCGATCAGCCATGCGGCAGAACGGTAGCCTGTTCGGTACACTTGGACGATCCGTAAAGTCAGTGCGCATCGACCCCAACACTTCAGTCAAACATGTCTATGGACAGTATGGATATTCGGGAGAATATCACGGCAGTATGTTTTCGGATCCTTCCGAGGCTTCGGAGTCGACCATTTCCGCGTTCGATGTGAGCAGCATACATTCCCCGGCAACTTTGCGCAACACGAAGGACAATGAAACCCCCAAATTCCGACTAGACCAAGACATTGTCGATCCAAACGATGAATTTTGGCGTCCGTCGCTCGCAAACCCATCCCCCGGTCATTTCCGAGTTCCTGATCTCGATGAGTACGACGATGAAGAAGAAGGAGAGGACACGAACGAGCCCGAGCAGAACCGTGAACAAGATCAAGTCCCACCTCCGCCCAGCACACCTCGCATGTCTCATGCCGAGCTTCCCGGTCAAGCCTCGTCCTCCACCGGCAATACCGACAGTACTTCGATACACGACTCGGCCGAGATTCGCCTGAACAAAGCCAGATCTGATGCTCAGAAGTACAAGCCAGCGCGGTCATCGCTACTCTCACTCAGCGAACACGCACGATCTCGATCCTCCTCCCCACCAGAGTCGGAAAGAGACTTTACGCAGTCCCGGCTTGAAACATCAACGCCGGCCGCGAGTTCTCTCAAGAACGCCAGTACACCGGATACATCGTCTCGGGACACTCCAGCACAACCGGCGAAACGGCCTGGCCGTGACGAACTGGATGATACCGTTGTAGGCGATGATGGCATGACCGAGTATCAGCGAGAACACCAATATGATGAATGGGCGGATGGTCTCTCTTGGCCGGAGCCACAAACCTACGAACAAGCCGGGATCGCATCCGACTATATTGCCGACCTTGTCCGAAAGACCTGGACCGAGCGAGATGTACGGGAGTCGATCGAGTTCTGGGACCGCGAGTTCGAAGAAGGACTCAAAGCTGCGAGAGAAGCGGCCGTCCAAGGCAGAGAATTGGTTTGGGTCACTGATCCTGAGGAGTTGTTTGCATGAAAAGCCAACAGGACAGAAACCGAGCATGGCTGGCTAATGAGCGGATTATGCTGTTCCGAAATCGTCAATGATTCCGTCCTTATAGCGAGTCATCATAACATTGTCCGACCAATTCAATTGAGTGTTCTGTCATGGACTTGACAGCATTGTGAAGCCAAGGTATCTTGTCTTATGGACTCGGAAGGGGCAAAGTAATACGGCTGAAGGGATGATGATGATCGGTATGGCTCCTGGTTTGCATACCCTATGTAACTTTTAATCAGGTCAAAGCACTTTGCAGTGTGTCTGTGCAGGGGAATATACCTTCCATCTTCGCTCCTCTGCTCACGTCGTGAGTTTGTGACTGAGGCTTGTTCTTACTTCTCGTGGGCCAGCTTCAAATTCTTGTCTACAGTGCTCGTGCTCCGTATGGTCTTGTGATCAAACACCTCATCCTCATCCTCATCCTCTCCGTTGTGTCACTATTCCCCAACTATTCCACTTCCCTTTACTCTACCGCTGTTCATTTCTCTTTATCTTGATCATCATCGTTCTTCATTTATCTTCTTCTTCATCATTTCTCTTCATCATTCATTCTTCATCTCCTTCATCAACAAACCCCACCTCGATCAAACTCATCGTACTCCCAGGCGGAGTCTGAATATTCATAATCCCCAATCTCTTCCTCTTGCCTTGAAGGCCAGAGTGACCAAACACCCCCTCAACCAACCCATCCCCAGCCTTACGCAACAAATCATCCCACTCCCCAGCATCGCGTTCCTTGGCATTCGTCAACATCATCATCTGCAGATCCTGGGTGCGCATCATGCGCTCGACGGGATCCGGAACCAGCCCGACAGCCGGCGGCATGACCTGGTCCATAATGACAATGCGCGACTCGGGCGCCATGCTCGGCACCACAGCCCTCAAAATCTTCATAGCATACGGATCGCTGTAGTCATGCAGGATCATGCGGAGGAAGTACACGGCGGCGCCCCTGACGGGCTGCAGGCTGTAGAAGTCGTGCGGCATGAACGTGAAGCGCGGCCGCAGCTCCGGCGGGATGACGCTGGTGCTGGGGTCGACGGCCCGAGCGACGATCTTGGGCAGGTCCTGCACGACGATCTTGGCGGTTGCGTTTGCTTGGGCGATTGGGATCGCGCTGTGCCCGACGTTGCCGGCGATGTCGACGACCGTGGAGCCGGGGGGGAGGGAGGACCAGTCGAAGCCGTGCGCGATGTGGGCGTTGGACATGATTGGTGTGCTGGCCATGTAGGTCATTAGACGACTGAATCTTTCGCGACGGGATGTTGTTGTTGAGGAGGAAGAGGTTGTGGTTGTTGAGGGAGTGATGGTATCAGAGGGAGTAGGTTTGTTGGTGGTGGTGGTGTCGTCGTTGTCGGGTTTGTTCATGCTGGTACTGGTACTGGTGCTGTTGTTGTTGCTCTTGTTCGTACTATCAATCTCCTTGTTTGGTTCTGTCTCTACCTGACCATCACATTCATAGTACTCATACATAGGCAGATCCGTGTCATAAAACAAATTCAACGCGGCGCGGTTCGGTTCAGGCCGACCATGTCCCCATCGCTCGAGAGCCTCGATCTGCCGCGCAACGGCGGGAAAGGTATCTTCTGCAACGAAAGAATTGAATGCGCCGACGCCCCAGTGCGTCAGGAGTCGCGAGGATGCTGTATGCGAGACCTGTCCGGGCGATGGTTCTTGAAAGACATGGATCGTCATGAGCTGGCGCAGCATTTGGCGGAGTTGGCTTGCGTCGAGGGAGAGCTGGCGCGCGAGATCCCCGTAGCTGATACTGGCCCCGGAAGTGGTTGGGACCGCGGAGGCGATGTTGTAGTGCTGCACGTAGCGGAAGGCGTTGAGGTCGTGGGCCTGTTTTGGTTCTGGTCAGAAATGTGGCTGTACATCTCCATTTCCATTTCATCTCAATTTCCATTTCCATCGCCAGGAAAAAACAGATATAAAGGTGACTGTGGCACGGGAGGGGAGGATCGATCGGTGGCTGAGTCAAGTCACTCATGTTTTAGTACCGTACGTCTCTTGTCCCGAGTCGTCAAAGACAGACCTTCCTTTCTATCTTTCTCTCTTTTGTCATCTGGCATAGAAGCTCACTCACATACCCATGCGCTCACAGACACTATATATGGATTCAAGGGAAAAAAGAGGGTACATACACAATGATAAACATGCCAGCTCACGACCTCGTCCGGCCCGGATGCCAAATGATACAGTCTCATCGCAGCAGCACGCAGGTCGAGCCGAGCATGTTGAACCTCGGGCGTCGCGGACGGGAAGAACGCAGGACCATCCGCATCGAACGTCAAGGGCGGCTGGTTGTTGGCCGCGAGATATTCTTTGATCTGGCGGGCCGTGGAGAGACACGTCTCGGCGAGTTTCTCTAGATCTTCTTCCTTCGGGTCGAGCATGATTGATGATTTTCTGGTTTCTTGTCGGTAGATATTCGCTTTCTTTCTTGGTTCTTGGGATGTTTCTATCTTAACTTTGACTTGATATTGCGATGGAAGGGAAGTGATAGATGGACAGCAGTGCTCGACGGTAAACTAGTACGCGGATAAGGGATCGGGAGACTAGTAGGAGATAGAGAAGACAACAACAGCAGCAGCAGCAATCTAATCTCAGGGGTTCTCTCCAAACAGTCTAGATCAGATCCGCTGGACGGCTGGACGGCTGGACGGCTAGGGAGGCCTCTTACCTAGGTAGGTAGATAGGTAGGTACCTAAGATAGCGTGACTTGTCTTCTCCATTGGCAGATAAACACAGGATCCATTTCTTTTCGGTGGGTATGAGATAGCTCATCGGTGCCAGCCGTTATGGAGACAGAGGTCTTTCGTCGAGCTGAGAACCGAGCATCGAGCATCGAGCCAGCCGCCGAGGAGACCACGTCGGACTCGAACACGGACAATTTCACCATGTTGGTCGTGAACCGACGTGAGGCGACTGTTGAGGAGGGACCATGTCTCCAGGTGTATTCTCGGAAGGCCTTTCAGGCTGGACAAGAACAATAATGTCAGTTGACAAGATGGATGTGAGAGTGATGGTGTATATTGAACGTAGGACAGAGAGAATAATCAACAGGCCCTGAAGTGCAGGCAAATATGTCTACAAGTGTCTAGACGTATGTATACTAGTACATGAGTACTATCACAGGATCACTGCCCTGCTGAATCAAACGAATAGACACACAACCTGGTCTCTGTCTCTACATGTCTCGATACATGAAAGTAGTTCGATGCCTTACTGGCGAGAGGCTCACAAGGGCGCCAGTTACCGTATCCTCTCTTTCCTGTCTATTCGTGAGCAACATGGTGATACACCAGCAACATCCCGGGGCACTCTCAATCTACGCAGCCCGGATGCCCTCTTTCCAGACACCAACGATACCCTCCCCTTCCCACAGAGCTTGCAAGCTCTCTGTGACATTCCCTTTGACAAGGACCAGGTCGGCTCTCTTACCCGCAGCCACGATTCCTCGATCCCCGAACCCGAACCGCTTTGCAGGCAAGGCTGTCGCGCAATTCAATGCCTCCAGGATACTCATGCCGCACTTCTCGACATACAGTTCCAGCTCCATCCACAGACTTGGGCCGATGGCTGTTCCTTTCAGACCTGCCACGGCGTCGGTGCCAGCGACAACATCAATCCCTTCTTGCTTGAGTTTGACCACGGTCTGAAATGCGTATTCCAACTTGGCGGCCGGGTCCTTCATGCTGATGGTTTCAACCATGTTCTGCTTGGTAAAGCCATCCACAATCTTCCTCCGACTGGCAATCTCCGCGAACTTCTCCCTCGTTTCCTGTAGCTCGGCCGTCAAACTGCTCAAGACTGTCAGCGTGGGAATCACAAATGCTCCCGTTTGTTTGTAGAGGTCGATGATGCTTTGCGGCGGGGGTTGGTCAATGAAGGTATGTGTCAGGCCATCCGCACCGGCCTGGAGGATGACCTCGGTCATGTCGACGCTCAAGGCATGACCCACAACGGGCAGCCCTGCAGCATGTGCCGCTTCGACGACGGCAGTCTGTAAATCCAGCGTGGCGACCGGGATTTCTCCAGTAGGCAGCGCCAGCGAACAGCAGTTTTCCTGCATCAGTTTGATATAGTCTGCTCCTTGGGCCTTGTGATCCTTGACGAACTCCGCTGCACTTTCCACCGTGACTTTGGGCCAAGTGGAAACAAACGCTTTCAGCTGAGCTTGATTAGGAATGTTCCAAGTCATGGCCCTGGGCAGAAGCTCACCTCGTCGGATGGATCATGGCCTAGGACAATTGGTTTCGGCCACCCGCCTTCGATAGTAGCCCCGTACAGTGAGCTCTTCAGGTCGGAAAGGCTGACTGTCCCATTAGAGCTTTTGGCTTTCGCAAGGTCGGCTGCAATCTCCTCTCGCCACTTGTTCACTGTGGCTGGATCGGAGTGCATGTCGCAAACAGTGGTGACACCACTCCTTAGTGGCGACCTTAGAATATCGAACTGGTCGGCCCCTGGCGATAAGTGCAAACCATGAACATGGGCATGAGATTCAATCAGTCCTGGGAGGAGAGTGTGCGCGCTCCCATCAATAGCCGTTGCTCCTGAAGGCAAGTTGTTGCTCGAGCCCGTCGACACCGAGGTGATTTTGCCTGTATTCGAGTCGAACACAACTGTCGCATTCTCATGGACTGTCTGGCCATCGAAAAGAAGGGTGGAATGGACAACAGTCGGACCCATATTGGTCGATAGACCGGATTAGTGATGATGCTCGCACAATTCCAACGACGAAATCTACGGAAGGTCGTCCACTGGAGCACGCAGAAGCCAAGTTCAAGCATGGCCAGGGGGAATCTCACCATTGTATATAGCTGCGACATGAAACAAGTGTCCGTCGGCCCAATCATCAAGGATCGCGATCCAAGCGGACATAGAAGCACAGCAGCTCAACGCCAGCGCAGGGTTAGTAGCAGCGACAACCGGCAAGAAGAGGGGCCCGGAATATGCTCTCCCCGTACTACATCTTTGCATTCCACACACGACGCTTGCGTCTGCATCCGCGCGGGGAGACTGGGGTGATATGCAGGCCGGGGCAGCCCGTTGTAGACTGGATTGTGGGACTTTGACAGCTTGAATCCCATTCAAGTCTGTCTCGGCGCCTTCACCTACTATTTCTCCTTATTCAGAAACCTCAGGGCGTGGTTGTAAGCTTGTCCAAAGCCCAGGTGCTGTCTCCAGATGAAACATACAAATCCGATATACTCAGAACGGGCGGTGTGGGACGCATCCAACTTGCAGGGGACCCTGCAGCAAGGATCAAGTAACACGGGGCATGGTTTGGCACCTTGTTGGTCGTGGTCAACGCTCCGCAGCAAGGCACCAGGCAGCTTGCAGGGCCGACATAAGCTGCAGGAGACGATCTTGCTTCAATATTGCATGATTTAGCTGTCGTGCCTGTGTGCATTGCAATCAACCTTTTGTGTCGGAGCGGTAGCGGGAACAGAAGCTAATCGGAAGTGTAACAGCTGGCCGAAGATCTTGGGCGACCGTTCGGCGCAGAGAGCTTGCGCAGGGCACTGTCGGAGTGGATCATCGTGACGGACGCATGTAGGATGGCAGCACAGCGTGAAAAGGGAGAATGTCATAGTAGCCGAAGTCCGATGGCAATTCTCCTGGCGCTGTTCCAGTGGTTGGAGGTTGAAAGTACACAGTACAAAGCATGAGAGTGGCCGAGGATGATCAACCAAAGGATGGCCACTCTCGAGGCCACTGTCCTGAGTCGCAGATGCGAGCTTACAACGACGTTTCGGTCGATATCTCGAGGGGGATGCTCTCGCATTCTCTGCCACAAGGTTGATAGTACTGCAAAGACAACAACTGTATCCGATAAGAGAGAGAGAGAGAGAGAGAGAGATGTAAAGGAGTGAGAAGCGCATGAAGAACGGCGATCACATGACCAGCACGTGCCGCTGACATAATTGATTCGGCCGACCTTCCATTTGGCCAAAGTTGGAGGAACCGCAGTCGCAGTCGCAGTCGCAGTCTGTGTCAAGCATCGATCGCAGTCTGTATTTCGGGCTCGTTCATCTAGGTACTGTCGCATCTCTGCTTTCTATATCGTTCCTTACCCTGGGATCAATACTGTCGCGTCCAGGTCAACACGGCAAAGCGAAGGTGTCAGGCGTATTGGAGTCTCTAAACTCGTATCCCTCAACAATGGCTTATTCTCCTTCCCCTACCTCAGCCGCTCATCCAGACAACGTTGCGTACCTCAACCCTCGTTCCCCAACTCCTCCTGTGCAGCCTTTGTCGAAAAGAGATAAACGAAGGAATCAACATGTGGCTCATCAACAGGAACTCTACAACGAGCTGGCCTCGAATCGGGAACAACACTACCGGGAACAACTCATCGCCCTGCAAACCGACATGAGCCTCATCTCCCAAGCATATCTATACGATGCCGAGCCCCTGGAAGACTCACCCGAGGAGGTGGCTAGAATCGCAGAACTGGCTGCCTCCGGTACTCCATATCAGTCACAGATGTCGTCTCTTGCTGGTAAATGGTATGCCGAGTTCGTCCAGGAGGTGAATGATGCGAAGGAAGCCAAAGAGTTAGCCCTCATCCAACTGATGGTAAGTTGGGCTCTAGCTACTGTTGATTCTCGTCCTGACACGAACTTGCAGAACAACCACAATGCGCGGTTGGAAAGAGTCAAATACGAATGTGACTATCGACTACACCTTGCCGCCGAGGAGTGCGAACACATGACATCGACCCTGCGCGAGCGACTGTTCCAGGCTTTAACCAACAAGCGACAACGTCTCATGAAAGAGAAAGAACAACTAGATATTGCCGACACCAACGCCCTGTTGCTCCACCCCAGCCAGTTCAGCATTACCAACCCTGCCAGCCCCGGAGGAAATCACACCAGTCGCAAGACCCGCTTCACCAGACATCGGGAGCAAGAAGACTTGAACGGGGTTGGAGAAGTCACCAACAAGCGAAAACGCAAGCTTGTCGATGACGACGTTGGTTCGCCTTCACGAAACGGTTTCTCGACACCCGCAGACCGCAGCCGGGCGGCCATGGCACACCAGACGGCACCCCTCTACTCCATCCATTCACTCTTCACCGACAAGGAACTCAACTTCCAGTCGCACCAAGCCCAGATTGCAGCTCGGCACTTCTTCGCAACGTCGAGAAAAGAAGGCGAGACAGGCAACACACGAAAGCGAGGCCGAGATGACGACGACAAGGGAAGCCGGTCCGACGATTCAGGCTCTGACGATGACGAAGAGCTTGAAGCACCAGAGATGGATAGATCTGCCAGCCAAAATGTTCATGTCACACGCTCGACTCGAACGTTCGGTGGGATAAATGGATTGAACTCGCTCAGCGACCTGGCGGAGAAAGCGGCCACCCGACCTGCCCTTCCTTATGCCACATTACACACACACCAGGGGAGACAGGGAACGTTCTTACCTCAGCCGAGCAGACTGATGGCTGAAGAACTTGAAGAAGATTTGTTGAAGTTTGCGCAGATCGAAACGCAGCCCAAAGGACAAGTCGACAAGAAGGCCATTGAAGAAGCCCTGAGGCCCTTGGCCGAGTCACGAAGTAATCTGGCCCCGGATTGGCCCGTGTATCTTGATGTCCATTTGGTGGACGTCGACCCTAGGAAGAAGGCAGGACGGGGATGATGCTCAAGCCTGGGACAAGTCCAATATGAGCATGAGAGTCACGGTGTCACGGACTCGAGCATCGCTCAAGCAGGGAATAAGCGGGTTTGGACCGAAGAACAAGAGCAGAGATAGACAGACGTAACGTGGTCGTGGACGAGGATGTGATTGTCCTTGAAATGTGCCGGACGCAGGAGATGAGGAGGGAGAGATGGTGTTATTGACCCCGGACTCTCTTCTCTTCTTCCAAACTGACTTCTCCTTCTCCTTCTCCTCCTCTTCCTCCTGTGCCATTTCTTCTTTGTCTTTTTCTTCCTCCTCCATCACATCCAACCCTCCCTGTTTATCCTGCTCATCACCCACCAAAGGATCTGCTTTTACCCTCTTGCACATTATGCCTCATCCAGGGCTTCGTGGGCTCGTCCGGCGATCGGCCATTTCCCCGGTCTTCTGTTCCTCTGTTCCTCTGCTGTACCACAAGGACATGGTCCGATCATGAAGCTGCCCTTCCCACCGGCGATGGAGCTGCGGTGTTGAGTAATATAATCCACGCGCCGCTTCATGGTAAGCCCAGGTAGAAATTACCCATTCCCTCCAACGCTGGCCGAGCTGCTGGTTACTGCGCTCTTTCATACTCTTCCAGGCTACAATCGTGACCTTTCACTGCGAGATACGGTGCTCATCCATCCCATTCCGAACATCACTGCCATATTCATACCCTACGGCGCTCATCTTACCTCTCTACTTGTACAGGATCGCAATGGCCACTCTTAAGAGGTGGTGCCTGGATATGACAATGCGACCCAATATCTGACCGACATCGAAACGAATCAAACCTATTTTGGACCCATAGTGGGATGTTATGCAAATCGTATCAGGAACAGTACATTTACCTTGAAATTCATACCTACCATATTGTCAACAAATATGATGTCTGGTTATTGGACGCAAGCCTGTTTAGAAGTATGTTTAGAAGTTACTGCAATTGAAGAATGAATCAAAGCTGCTTCAATTTACTGAGTATCTGGCGTGTCCCAGCAGCCAATCAGCATTCACAGATTCCACGTCATTGTAAACAAACAAATCGAGAGTGTGAAAGTGTTGAACATTGTACAATCGGAGTCTGTAAGACGAACTCAACTGCGGTATTCGAGCAATTCAGTCGAAGTCGGATGTACCGATGCTCTACCGTCGACACATACACAGCTCATTTCATCTCATGGATCGTCTGATGGCTTCCTTGCCCGACGCTCATCCTGTGTCGCCCTTCGCCTGAGTTCATGCTGAAGCAGTCCAGGCAGTCCACTCAATCTACGCTCGGTCCGTCTATTCATCAGCATGTCGCAGGTCCCCACCAAGACTTCATCGTACATCTACGACGACCTGACTTCCTCTCCCGATCCACTCGCGACATCGTTCGACGATGACCAGGTCGTTGGCAGTGTCGCATCTCGAAAAGAACCGTCGCCATCCAAAGCAAAGAGCGCATACTTAGCGAAGGGGCAGAGAAGACCTTCGAGAACAACACACCACGATTTCGGAACCATACCTTCCTCTCCTTTCCGCGCCGTGTCCGAACAGAACATCAGTCCGTGGAAGATCAGAGTCACAGTCGAAGCTAAACAGGAAGAATCAGACATGGATCACCCGGCGTCGCGGAGAATAACTAGGACGGTAAAGATCCCATTGCGACAGGACTCGTCGCTGCTAGAAGAGACCAATGGCCCTCTCAGAGGGAGACGGTCGCAAGCCAGTCCTAGTAAGAGCAAGAGGAGCGCGACCCCGGTCCGTGAGGGAAGGAATGGTGTTCGATCTCGGAGACAGAGTGTCACAGATTTGAACGTTCGTCCATTGGGCGACGATGCCGAGGAGGACGACTGGCTGAGACAGAAACGATCGCCGCGCAAGAGAAAACCGTCTCAGACAAGGAAGAGTGTCCGTGGCGGCGGAGGCAACACCCAGACGTCGTCGTCGCAGTCAGCAGAGAAGTCCAATGTTTCTGAATTTGAGATCCGGCAAGACACCGATGCTGAAAGCGATGATGGTGTCATACATCAGGGACAAGCCACGTCTGGACGTGAGTCGTCCGAACTACGCGCCATGGACCTAAACCGAGTCTCGACTCGAGCCCGAGCGCTATCAACAAAGTCTATGGCAGATCCTGAAGGGCAAGAACAGGATATCGAGGATAACAACGCACCAGCAGCTCTCCCGCCGAGAAAGTCTGTGGAAGCGCGAAAAGTGTCCGCTAACAGCGCGAAGAGCTATCCAACTCCATCTCCCACTTCATCCTACCGCGGCGATTCTGACCACGTCGACAAACCCATGGAGGATATCTCTCCTGGTCATGAAGCCTTCGACACCATCCTTGAAAGCGAAGGATTTACCATGATCGATCTGGACACGCTGCCTTCAGCCAAGCAGTTCTTGAGTAGCCCGGCAGAATTGGAAGCCAACAACTCTGCTGGATCTTCTAATGAAGCGTCGGAAAACCGAGAGTCGGCCACCGCCCTCAACCGCCATGACCAGCATTCAAGTCAACAGAATAAGCCGGTTCACCCAGAACTTATGACATATCCTGTTCTGAACCACGATGAAAGTGACTTATCCAGCACCGTCCCATCATCACCACCAGTCTCGGAGCAGGAGAAGAGTCTCCTCCAGGTGCCCTCTTCGTCATCAAGTGCTGGTCGAAAGGTGACTCCACAACCCTATTCATCTCCCAAACTACCTTCACCACCAAAACAAGATGTTCAACGAACTTCAAACCACCGAAGCCGTGGATCAGTCTCTGCTCTGGTCGCAGGCATTGCACTACAAGGAGTTGTCTCACCGAAACAATCCCGCGATGGAGGTTTGGTCAGAGAGAAACGAACGTCGTCGCCGGTTACAAAGTCGGACAACCCAGGTCCGCTGTTTCAGGGATTTGACTACGGTACGCAACGCGAGCTGAGAGCCGGTCTCAGATTCGGAGAAGAACTTGCTAAACGACAATCTCCAAACCAGCCGGCGACTGCCTCTGCCAGTCATTCGTCCGCAGACAAAGAGTCCAAACCGCTGGGGCTGGGCATTAGCACTTTTGAGAAATCCCAAGCTAATGTAGCTAATCATCCCGCTACCCAAATCTGGCGAGGTGAGAACCTGGTCCAACGAACACCGGTTCAGGTCTCAGCCAGCACGGCTAGCAAGGAGACTGTCGTCGAGAGATCGCCTCCACATACACCCCAGCCCTCATCCTTGAAAGAAGTAGACGAGAAGCTGCTGGATACCCAGGCTCGACGAGAACGCGAATGGCAGTTGGAGCGAGACGAAATCATCAGACAAATCCAGAATGCTAACGAGAGCCAGGTCATTGTGATTGACAGTGATAGCGAGGATGACGACGACGAGGGACAAGAAGGCAACGACCGCCCTGGTTTATTCGAGCAACTGACAGCTGATGCCGACGCTGAAGAGCAAGCTGAAGAAGAAGAGGACATCTGGCTTGCCGAGGCAAAGAATTCCTCTAGTCCAGGACCTGAAGCCCATGAGAATGACTTCCCCACCCGAACTGAACAAGTCAGGCAGCGTGAGCCACCAAAGGAAGTCCTCAGTCGTCCTCGTCGGAGCCTGATCCCCAGTCCTTGGAAACGCGGCGAGGATATAGACACACCACAAGAACAAATCAGCTTTGTATCGACCAACGCGGAAGAAATCAGCGGTCTTTTGTTCTACAAAGAACCCGAGAGCAAGGTCTTGTTTGGCGCCGGAGAAATCAAGAGACAACAACTCCGCCAAAGACGCGGCAGCGGTAGATTCGACATTGACCTCATGGCAGGGACGCCGCCGAAAGTGAATGTTGAGGACGAGAAAGACGAGACAAGTACAAGCGACAGCCTAGATAACGAAGAGGAGAGCATTGAGGATTCTGCGGTATCAAACTCTACGGCTGGACGTGCATCGGAGCATGACGATGGAAGCAACATCTCACCAGATGCTCTGGAAACCCTCCAAGATCACAGAAACGACATCAGTGGCAGTCCAGAAGCCGCTTCGTCCCCTGCACAACCGGCCAGAGTCCCGGTCATGTTCAACGACTCGTCAATATCCATCGCCGCACAGCCAGATGTATACAGTCAGCCTATCAAACTTCAACTTCAGCCGCCATCGCCCGAACAGCACATGCAGCTATCGTCTCCTCAGCGGCCCCCTACACCTCGCTCCGCCTTGAAAGGGTCCCGACAAAGTCTCGGCGAAGGTCTGGCGGGTGAGGGGTTAAACACACCGACCATGATTAGAAGAGTGGTCTTTAGTGAAAGATCCAGAGGTGTGGATATTGATGGGCTGGAAAGCAGCTTCAGCATGAGATCTGCAAGTGATGATTCCACGGCGGGTGAGGTTCATGGGCAGTTGAACCGTGAACTACAATTCGAGTGGCAATCGCAACGGCCGGCCCATGAACCAGCACGAACCGGCAACGCATGCTATGACGAACAGACAGGATCGCATGAAAAGGTTCGAGAACGTCGACATCATCCGTCTACAAATGCGGAAGTTTGGATCCCGGTAGACATCGCTCGGGAAGCTAGGTCTGCGCCTCAACCTGAACCTGAACCTGCACCCGTGAAGAAGGGATGGACCAGCTGGTTGTGGGGATCAAGGACGACACCTGAGCAAGGTCTGGACTCGAGTTCATATTCTGATGCCGAACAAGGCCGGGACCAGACTCGATCTCGATCAAGAACGACAAGCACAGAACCCTACAAGCCTCCACACATGGATGGGACGAAAGACGATCCCGAGGATGACGACTCCCAAGACCAACTTTCGGGCTGGGAGAAGACCAAGTCATCCATTCCATCTTCCACCTCGGCGTCAGCGTCAGTGTCGGTGTCGACCTCGAAGAAAGCCCAGACAAGAACGGAGAAGTCGACACAATCACAACGACATCCTCAGTCTCAGTCCCAGTCTCACTCACGTCATCATCATCCTCAAACAACACAACCCAACACAGCTCGTACCGTCATTAGCACCCACCACAAATCCTCTTCTGCTGCTGCTGCTGCTGCTGCTGCTTCTTCTCACCATCATCATGACCATGACATCTCAACCGTCAAAATACCATCCTATCTCCTCCCACCATCCTACCCGTCGGATCCATCCCGTTCAGCACGATCAACTACATCGTCGTCCTACTCGTCAGCCCCTCTACCTCTATCACTCGAGGGCAAATTCACAAACACCCATTTCCGCACATTACACATCATCTACCGCAAATCGCTCCGGCCCAAATTCCACGCCCCGCCGCGCCACACGATCCGGTCTGAGATCATGGCTCTGCATGGCTGTGAGATGGAAATTGACGAGTCGGCGCATATTGGCGGAGACGGCGACGGTGACGGAGACGAAGACGGAGAGAGAAACGGGGACGGAGACGGAGACAGAGACGGAAACAAAAACTCTAACTCTCCCGGCAACAATGCCAGCGAAGGAGACAGCAGTGTCGGCGGTGTCTTTGTCTGGAAAGTCGGGCTTGCCGAATGTGAGGTTCTGGAGCGGTTCATGCAGGAATGCGAGTTCAGCCAGGGGATTTGGATGGGTAGGGAAGTACTGCTGCCAGAGCAGGGTCTGCATCATCGATTTGGCGTGATGAGTGATGATGGACATGGAGATGGCCGTGGTGGTGTTGGTGTTGGTGTTGGTATCGATGGCAGTGGCAATGGCAATGTCAGACTCGGTCGAAAAGTTCGTATTGCTTGGGGGTGGAGTGTCGAACAATTGGCCGAGTGGCTTTGTCGGATCGTTGTCGGGGAGGTCGTTCGTGAGGAGGAGCGGAAGGTGAAGATGAAGCTGGAGATGAAGGCCAGGACGAAGATGATGAAGACGAAGGCCAAGAATAGAGGAAGGGAGGAGTAGTTGAGGGAGAGGGAGAGGGAGAACTATCCCATGGATGGATCGATCCCTGCAGTGGAATGATCCATTGAATCGAATTGAGTATTAAGTGCTTGGGTTGATTAGGTTGATTTGAGTACGGACAGACAGACAGTCAGATGGTTTGTGTGAGTATAGCATGTCTGGTCATGGTGTCGGTCTTGGTCTCGAGTAATGGAATTGCCCATCAACAAGAAAACCAAGCAAGACCTAAACTTCCTACGTAGTAGAACGACAACGAGGTCCTGAACAAGAAAGAATGCACATAGCATTACTGACTGACTATCCATGAAGAATCTCCAACAAAATCGACACGACACAGCTCAGGGGTGTTGTATTTTGAGTACCTAGGACAGGACTATCTAGAACCTCGAGTGCTTTGTAGACTAGAGGATCCATGACCATGGCAATGTCAAATGACAAGCCTTGATGTCAGCTATACATGTCTCCATGATGAAAAGCCCAATCGTGTGCTCAGTCTCGCCTGTAGCTCCATTGTAGTCGAACCCTAAGTTATTGACAAGAATGTTTGAGAAGACCTGAAGATTGCCAGTTGGGGGTTTGCCAGTCTCGTGGTGGTTTACCAGCGGACAGCCCGGATGTCGGATCAGAAGAAAAACAAATTCATGTCCGTCTGCCAGCCTTGTATGTCTGTGCATGTCTTCCGCTAGCCTTGTCGCCCTGGTGCTCCGCCCATTGCAAGTGTGATACATGACTTATGGCGAATTGTCGGGGGTCGTGTACCACAAGTCACAATTGATGAGAAGGACCTGACTGAAAGTCCGGCAGTGCAGTCATTTCGAGCAGAGATAGGTAGGAACCTCTGTCAAGGCACATAATGTCCATGTGCCACGACAGCCGACTCTTCACGAACTACCAACTTCGAGTGGCCGTTGTTGTAGAAGACATGTGAAAAAAATCGGCTGCCGATGTTGTGCTTTGAAGAAGTGAAGTATATCAACATATCTATCATGCTTGCACACAGCTCCAAATGGTGCTTCGAGTATCGTTCCTGGCTTAATTGTTGGTCATGTCGTGCAAAGGAAATCGATCAAGTAAACTCACACTTCTCAACGGTCGTCAAAGTCCACAGGCAGCCGTCATGATGTTCTGGGGCGGTCCAACGGTCTGATATCCCTCGCCAGCAGCGCCCTGAATGACTTGAACGTAACCAGAACTGCCAGTGAATTGGCACGGACCATAGCCTACGACCACGCCGATCTTATCAATAGTAACATCATTGCAGTCGCCAATCGCATATGCCGGGACCCCGAGACATTCGACGTTTCCCAGATCGTAGGTTGTACCATCGGTCGGAATCCACATGCCGTAGGTTTGAGATCCGCCGACCATGACGACGTTGGTAGGCCAATCATCTGAAGAGGAGAAGGCGGTATTGCTGACAGGAGACCGGACCTTGATCATTTTCGGATTGAGTGATTTGCGTACGACAGGACCTGCTGAAGCGATACCGAGAAGCGCCATCCACAGGCAGAGCAAAGTGATAGAGAACATTTTGATAGAATGCCGAGGAGCTTGACGCAGTAAGTTGTGAGGGTTTGATCGAGTTGGAATGTCGGATCCTGCCAAACCGAAGCTTTCTTTCTGCGAATCCTTTATATAGAATACCACAGGTATCACTGGTGACCTTCGCTTCCCGTCTGACCAAGCCCTGACTCGGGATGGAAGTGACAGGAAAATGAAGATCGTTTCAACTCCCAGTGACAGGCTAGAGTACTTCACAGATAAGGAATTGGAGACGACTTTTCTGAAAAGCTTTGAAGGATGCCGCCCGCTGTGTAACACTTTCCCCGTTCCAGTCGATTTCAAGGACAGTAGGGTGGGTGTTTTGAATGAGTGACAGGTCGAGAAAGGTTGCAGGATAAGGGCACTGCCGAGAAATTCCAGTCTCGACTGTTCGGAACAGAGTGCGTCCTAGGTGCCGCGACCTTGTTTAACGAACGTCTGAGGGAGGAAAGACTTCACAGAAAAGGTAGGTTGAGGGACGAGTAGTCCTACTAGTAGGTCACTGTCCAAGGTGTGCTGTTTTGAGTCAGGACCACAAGGGCATTAGAATGGTCAACGATTGTAGTTTGAACGGTCCCCGCGACCAAAAGGTCTGTCTGTAGCAGCCAGTGGCGTCAAGCGGGAGCCAACAGGAGGCCTGCGGCAATGGTCGACCGAAAGGTTGAACGCCCACGGAGCAGGCCGGTTCACAGCTGGCCGCCAGTTTTCTGGAAGATATAGAGAGTCAGTTCCTATACCAAGTCTTCGCAGGATCAGAGCGCTTCGAGACAGTGTGCTACGCGACAGATTGTCGTTGGTCACTACCGAGCTCCCTGATGACCAGCAGTTGAGATTGAGGGACGATTCGAGACATCGGTGGCGATTTCAGAGGTCGTCGAAGGGGGAATGTTCGAACCCGTGCGAAGAAGGAAGGTTGTGTGGCTCAGTGCTTCCCGTTCACTGGCCTTCGATCTACACAGTAGTGGGATGAAGAAGAGAACCGAATGATTACAGTAGGGTGGGTTTCATCCGAACCGGGAGCCGTCTGTGATTGACTGCTGGTGTCGGCGCCATGGTCTTAGGAGCCCTTCCGCCGTCTCTGGGGTCTGTAGAGACGATACTTGGGGGCGTGTTGGCGGCCGATTCGACCCTGGAAAGGCGTCCAAGCATCCAAATGACGTGTCGGATGCAGCCGATTTAGTTGCTGTCTTGGGATCCCTGCAGCTGTGAACCCAGGCATCCATGTCAACGGCATCTGATGGGTTCTTTGGGGGCTGCCGCTACAGAACATGGCGTGGAGGTGTGCAGTAATAGTAAGCTTGGAGGCAGAGGATTCCGGCTATTCCTGAGGTGGATCATCTTATCTGAGAGAGCTTGGGAGCTGTAACATGTTTGGATGCTGCTTTACTGAAATGCTGGGTCGTAGTAGAGTTCGTGTTCGAGTTTGGCTCGGATAGCTGGGGTCTCGCAAGTCGGTTCGGGAGGGCTTGAGGTTGGTTCGAGGGGTCAATTCGGCTTGCTGGTCATAGCGTGAGGAAGACGGGATGGAGGTCAAACATGAAGGGATGGTTCGGTCGAGAGAGGAACTAGTTGCTAGATGCCGGCCATGGGAAGTACCTAAGTAACTGGTACGTGGGAGGTACGCAGGCAGTAGTGAGGTTGGTGGAGTTGATGGAGTTGATGGAAATGGTGGAGGTGGAGGAGGTGAAAGGCGCAGTCTGGGGCTGAGAGAGAGACAGACACTGCAGGTGAAGCTCTTCCGCCCAACAAGCTACAACTCTAGCATCAAGATGGTAAATATTCCGATCGCTAGAGCTAGAGCACTTATTACCCTCGGTAGCTAGACGAACTGACTGGTCCGCTTGATGGCATTCTCGTCCACTGCATCCCTCTCCTGCTCCAACATCGCTCGCTTCCCTCCGTCTTCATCGGCCACTCGACTCAAATATTCTCCGACACCTACTGCGCTAGATCATAGAATAGTACCTCAGGTACCTGCTTTAGGTCGGTGGGCACCTCGATAAGCTTGCAAGGCTCTACCAATGACGAACTACTACTAACAGCTAGATCACGGACATGCCACAGCCTCATCAGCCGACTTGCGGCGGGCGGAACTAGGAGAACTGCCTACGGAGGTATCTAGGAAGATAGACTCCCCCGGGGACGCGCCATAGTCCTCAAGCGTCCTTCTAGCCTGGGAGTGGCTCCGGAGTCCTTGCATATCGGTTGAACTCATTCCTCCTGTCTGGACATCTATCTCGCAGCTCCATTCTCCAACGGTTGACATGTCAAAAGACCAGCTCACTGCAAGGCAATATGATAACATAGTCGCAGGACCTCAAGAGTCAAGCCCGTGTCATCTCGGACTATCATGCCCTACTAGCTAACATCCCGCTCCTCCAGATCACCTCACATGCATTAGCAAAAGCACCATCGCCCAGTCGCCGCTGGTCTGCCGAAGATCGTCATGATGTCTGACCTCGAACTTGCAGACAGTGTGAGCGCAGCATGTCCGCCGGATTTGCAATCTGACAGTCTGCCTGGCGACACTGCCTGTCCTACTCCGTACACCGTATGTCTGGTCAGTACGTCGCAGGGAGTCTTCTGAAAACCCCTTGGAAGACAACCTCGGCACATCCGCTTCACCCCGTCCTCCTCCGTTCTGGTCATCCGGGGACAGTAAATATCTAGGGCCCAACCCTGTCTCTCGTCATTCCTCTTAAGAGAGCACATGTACTTCATAGAAGGTGTTGTGCTGGTTGCACCACATCAACATGCTGCATGAAGGTATCCAAGTGCGAGCTCCAGCCCCTGCGGAATTGCTCTCTGAAGTGTACGGCAGCGTCTTGAACGGTGGTATCTCCATATATTTTTCATTGCCAGGTCTTCCTTGAGTGGCTTCTGCATGTGTTTCGCGGTATTGTCGAGAATGGGGCGGAGCCTGCCATGCGTTGCTGCTGTTCTGCGTGACAAAGTACCGGGTCGACATGCTTTGGTAGGTGCTGAAGGGAAGTTCGCTGCTCTCCGGCTCGCCGTGATCCACCATCATTCCGTCTTGTTCATCTTCCTCCAGAGGTGGCGTATTGGTGTCCACAGTAAAGCCAGAAGCAATAGCTGAAGGAATGTTCCATTGTTCTTGGACTGCGAGGCGTGTCGGTATGGCAGGGTTGTGGAGCGCTCGGGCGGTGACCTCGACGATGTGAGAGACTTCGCATTTGGAGAACGTGTGTTCTGCGTTATCCGCACATTCGAGAAAGGTTCGCAGCTGGAGATTCATGAGATGACGCCCGGGATTGACGAAACTGCGTGGGAGATGAGCCGGATTACTCTCAGCCACGGAACAACAGAAGAGCTTTGAACGGCAGGAAAATGGCGGAGCTGCGAAAGTCTCCCACGGATAGCCATTGCCATTGCCATTACGCTGGCCCTTGTGAGAGTCTCTGGTCGAGGGAATCCAACCTCCGCCTCTGGGAGCCATCATTTCCTGCGACACAACTGACGGGACAGGATGGATGACGGATGAAATTGTGGTTGAAGTGGGATGTGATGCGTGCCTTCCTTGTGCGTTCGACGATTAGGCCAAAGTGTGTCTAGATGTCGCGTTAGCAGCCGGTAGCAGAGAGGAAATGCAAGCAACAAAGTACATACGTTGGGAGATCGGCTGTGGTATAAATGGCCTACGGGAAGCTGGTGAAGCCGTTGACGGGGTTCAAGTTGTGCGCTCACTTCAACCTGCAACTGCCTGCGAATCTGAACGAGTCGCAAACACCGGCGAGTAGAACAACACAAGGCTGTGATACTGCCGCACCCTCCCAGCGTTCACTCCATGAACCTGCCCTTTGTTTCCCAGATACGTAGAGTAAGTCATTGATTTGCCAGAGTCAATCAACAGGTTCTGGCCTGAGCCCTGTCCCAAGTCTACCGTCGCCGTCGCCAGACCCTCGTGTCCTCATCAGCACAAATATCCCATTACTGGTTGGCGACAACCTGGATCTTGTTCTTGCGCTGCGACAACATGTCAGCGGTGTAAGACAGACACAGAGACATAACCTTACCTTCCACTTGTCCATCTCATCCTGTTTGGCCTTGTATTGTTTCACCAACTCTTCCAACACCTGTTTCAACCCATCCGAGTTTGTCTTCAACGCCGGCAAGACATCCTTCACGGTTCGTTCAACCAGCACGCCGTTGATGAGTCGAAAACACTTGCGTTCTTCTGGAAGTGGCTGCAGGGTTTCGGTGACAAGCCTACACTCTCCAGTCAGTCTTCCATTGCCAGAGCAAATGGTGCAGCGGCAGCACAGGAAGCTTCCTCATTGCATCCTAGGGGAAAATACACACTTGTGTTCTTCTATCTCTTGTTCGATCTCGCCGACCTTCTGTGCCAGTGTTTGTAAGGTATTCTTGTAGTTGGAGTATTGCTGTTGCAGTTCTACCATTCTTCAGCACGATCCTCACAGAAATCACAGAACAGGAATACCTTGCTGTTTCCTAAGCGCAGGGTCTTGACTGGAGGCCATCTTGTCGTCGAAAGTGCGAATTGAGGTTGTCTCAAGTTGCCAGAAAGTGTACACGCCTACAGCTGCGGAGTTCACGTTGGTAGACAAAAAGTGCCCAAGGCTTTCGCATAAACTCCGGCCAACTTTTTCGCCGAGATTCATTCATTATGTTGTCCAACGGTACTTCACCACCAACTTGAACACGCCCGGTGCTACATCCTCTATCAGCAGAGATCGCCACGTCCCGGACTGCTCTCACGCAGTCATATCGTCTTCGCCATGGACCGTATACACAGTCCGAAAAGGCGCAGACTTGCCGGAGACTTTCATTCTTCTCAGACCGAGGCGAATGAAGACCTAGGACCCTCACTGAAACCTCAACATCCCCCAAAGTCCCGCTTCTCTAGACCCCCCGACCGAAACCGCAGTCGAGCACCCGTTCCAAAGCCCCATCAACAAGAGTTCGATGGGCCCGAGCCGTTTTTCAACGATGAAGATACTGCGGCATTGGATCGCGATTGGTATGGAGGAGATGAGTTCGGCCATGCATTCGGCGATGAGAGTCATAATCCCTTTGGAGGCGCAGACGTGTCATGGGCCGATAGGCAACGTGAACAAGCGCTGGTCGACAAGAAACTCGGGAAACGGCTGACTGCCAAAGCGGCCCAGAAACAAAAGGAAGTGGACGCCTGGGAGGCGAACCGCATGGTGACATCTGGTGTCGCGCAGAGACGCGATCAAGGACAGGACTTTGACGATGAAGAATCGGTCCGGGTACACTTGTTGGTGCACGAGTTGAAGCCCCCCTTTTTAGATGGGAAGACTGTCTTCACGAAACAACTGGACCCCGTGCCCGCGGTTCGGGATGCGCAGAGCGATATGGCGGTCTTCGCCCGGAAAGGCAGTAAAGTGGTACGCGAGCGGAGACAGCAAAAGGAACGCCAGAAACAGGCACAGGAGGCCACAAATGTTGCCGGAACCGCCCTAGGCAACATCATGGGCGTCAAGGAGGATGAAGGGGACAGTGCCGCAGCGATGCCGGGGGAGGAGACCGGCAGAAGCAAATTTGCTACTCATCTGAAGAAGAACGCCGGTACCTCGGCGTTCAGCAGAAGCAAGACGCTGAAGGAGCAGAGAGAATACCTGCCTGCATTTGCAGTACGAGAAGAGCTCATGCGTGTCATCCGGGATAATCAAGTGATCATCGTGGTCGGGCAGACCGGGTCGGGAAAAACGACGCAGTTGACTCAATTTCTCTATGAGGAAGGCTATGCTAAGCAAGGCTTGATCGGCTGCACTCAGCCTCGAAGAGTCGCCGCAATGAGCGTTGCAAAGCGTGTCAGTGAGGAGATGGAAGTGGAACTGGGCGGTCTTGTCGGCTACGCGATTCGTTTTGAGGACTGTACCAGTGACGAGACGGCAATCAAATGTAAGTCGAACCCTCGGTACTGTATGCACAGAGAGACTAACCCGGTGTGCAGATATGACAGATGGCGTATTGCTCAGAGAATCCCTGACACAACGAGACCTCGACAAATATTCCTGTCTCATTATGGATGAAGCGCACGAACGGGCTCTGAACACAGACGTTCTCATGGGGTTGATCAAAAAGGTCCTTGCTCGCCGGAGAGACCTTAAACTGATCGTCACGTCTGCCACCATGAACTCCGAACGGTTTTCTCGTTTTTATGGAGGAGCGCCAGAGTTCATCATCCCGGGCCGCACGTTCCCTGTTGACATTCAGTTCTCACGCTCACCTTGTGAAGATTACGTTGACAGTGCGGTCAAGCAAGTCCTGGCCATCCATGTCTCGCAGGGACAGGGGGATATTCTTGTCTTCATGACAGGCCAAGAAGACATTGAAGTCACCTGTGAACTCGTCGAAGAGAGACTGCGTTTGCTGGTGGATCCCCCGAAATTGATGGTACTGCCCATCTATTCCCAGATGCCTGCAGATCTCCAGGCTAAGATATTCGACCCGGCACCTCCTGGCGTCCGTAAAGTCGTTGTCGCAACCAACATTGCTGAAACTTCTTTGACTGTGGACGGGATCATGTTTGTCGTGGATGCTGGATACTCGAAATTGAAGGTCTACAACCCTCGAATGGGCATGGATACGCTTCAAATCACGCCAATCTCCCAGGCCAATGCCTCCCAGAGAGCCGGCCGAGCGGGTCGCACAGGGCCGGGCAAGGCCTTCCACCTCTACACGGAGTCGGCCTTCAAGAACGAGTTGTATATTCAGACCATTCCCGAAATTCAACGCACCAACTTGGCGAATACCGTCCTCCTGCTTAAGTCACTGGGTGTGAAAGATTTGTTGGACTTTGACTTTATGGATCCTCCACCCCAGGACACGATTACCACCTCACTTTTCGACCTCTGGGCTTTGGGCGCATTGGACCATATTGGTGATTTGACTACGATTGGCCGAGCCATGACAGCATTCCCCATGGACCCATCTCTTGCCAAGATGCTGATCACTTCTTCGACGGAGTATGCCTGCAGCGAGGAAATGCTGACCATCGTGAGCATGCTTTCGGTGCCATCGGTCTTCTACCGGCCCAAGGAGAGGCAAGAGGAGGCGGATGCCGCAAGAGAGAAGTTCTTCGTGCACGAGTCGGACCATCTCACATTGCTGAACGTCTACATTCAATGGAAAAGCAATGGATTTAGTGATGCGTGGTGTATACGACACTTCCTGCACCCGAAAGCCCTGCGGCGGGCGAAGGAGATTCGAGAGCAATTGCACGACATCATGGTCGGTCAACAAAAGATGGAGCTGGTATCGTGTGGCACGGATTGGGATGTGATACGAAAGTGCATCTGCTCAGGTTACTACCATCAAGCCGCTCGCCGCAAGGGTGTAGGGGAGTACATCAACTTGCGGACCAGCGTGACTGTTCAGCTCCACCCTACATCCGCACTCTATGGGCTTGGGGATCCGCCCGACTATGTTGTCTACCATGAATTGATTCTGACAAGCAGAGAATACATGAGCTGTGTGACTGCAGTCGACCCTCACTGGCTAGCCGATCTTGGAGGGGTGTTTTATAGCTTGAAGTCCAAGGAGTACAGTGGAAGAGAGAAGCGGATTATCGAGAGCGAGTTCAATCGCAAAATGGAGATAGAGAAACAGATGGCAGAGGATCGCGCCAGAGAGGAGAAGCGGCGTCAAGAAGAGGAGGAGAAAGAGCGGCTACTCGCTGGCAGGGTGAAGAGCAGTAGCGTAGTAGTCAAGAAGATGGGAAGCCATGGGGTGGTCAAGAAACCGGTGGCTCCACGGCGACGCATGGGGTTCTGACCGGCGGGAGGATCGCGTCGATAGTAGGAATGCAAAGAATGACACAAACCCAAGTATCCGCCTCAACAGGTCAGAGTAATCAATGTTGTATTCATGCACAAAACCATTGTCGCACCCAGAGCATGTTCCTCAAGTTGAGTCCTTGTGCTTGGTAGGCACATAATGTAGTAGCTGATGTTAATGTGAGGTGAAGACAAGGCTGCGCTAGCAATGAACGCTAGTCCGCTTAAGGCATAACGTAGCCCCGTGATGCGCCAAGCGTCGTTGATGTTCAATTCACTCGCGTCGCTTCTTTCCATTTCTGGTCGTGCATCTTGCACATCCTCCAGTCCCCTTGCTCCATCTACACGCCCTGGACGCCCAACACTTGCCTTGCCTACCTATGAAAGATGCTGGCAGGGATTTTGTCCAGACCCAAGGCAAGAGCGGCTGAGAAGGACCTCTGCTTAAGAGGCACCCTCATCAACCATAGGAGAGTATCCAGTTGATGTCAACAGCCATGCTCAACGAGTTTCTCAGATAAATTGATTCCTTGTTGCATCGGAGGACTTGGTAATTAAGGGACGGCTTATGGTGGTGAGGGCTCGAATTATGTTGAAGTTGCCTCTGAAGAAATTCGCGTACATACGATTGTCCTCGCACTCCCGGTAAGGTAAGCCATGTCTCCCTACTCATGCACCACCACATGCTGCACTGCTGCACCGCGACATCTCTATCACCTCATCCACCCTCTCTCTATCTCATGTCACTCCACCTCGTCTCCCACGAACAACAACTTACCAACATGGCGACAGGTAACAAAGAGAAGAAGTCCTTTGAGGACAAGGCTGTCAAGCCCCTTGGTGAGTCTTCCCTGGCGGCGTCAGATCACGCACAGACGTTGTCGTCGCCGTCGCGCGGCTTACCGATCTACTCTTGATCTGAGGCGACGTCGACGATGACATGATCCACGCGACTAACCTAAGACAGGAACCCCTTCCTGTGAACAGCCTCTACCTGGTCAGCGTCAAGAACCGCAGACACCGACTCCTTCTTCCCATTCGTCGTTCAGATCGGCCAGTGAGAACTCTCCGCGCTCTCTGCGATCTGGATCATCCCCATTCTTCGGAGGATCACGCGGTCACTACCAGCCCAAGAAGGCCTCCTCTTCTTATCGCTCAGGCAGTGGCACAGCATCTGCAGGAAGTGTCGCCCTAGAAACAAACCCCGAGACCACTTCAAGCCCGGCCTTTGAGTGTCTTCTCCCTTCAAAAGCAACACCCGAGGCTGCTGCAAAGTCTTCAGTTGACTCTTTTGTTCCATCGAAAGCAACACCTCGAGCTGCTGCTTGTCCTACCGTTAATCTCTCATCTTCTCTTGCCGAAAACGGCTCTTCAAACAAACAACACCTCTTCTCTCCATCTACACCCTCGACTCCTACTTCCGCAAACGTTGCAGCAAAGACTCCCAACGATCCAGTTTCTCGTCCTCCACGGCGTGTTATCCGACCCGACAACTGGTGGCAGAAACGTACAGATCGATCACCTGGCGCCAGTGAACCTGCGGCACCACCTCCTATCCCAGACCGATCGCCTCTGCGACTGATTTCTCCCTCGATCCCCAGAAGATCACCTCTTCGACGTCTGCGACGCCCTTCACAGCCACTTGCACTTCGAGTTGCTAGGGCCCCAGCTGTAAACCCCCAAAGACTCGAGCCGTACTTCGAATCCTACGAAGACAGAGCTCTTTACGAAGAATTCAGTCCACCTCCACTCCTTTTCCGAAAAACCAGACCTCGAGCAACTGCGCTTCGCCCTGCGACACCAGCTCCACGGTCAAGACAACTTAGTACAGTAGACAACAGATCTACCCTCCGACCCCTCAAACCTAGACCTTCACCACTCCACGACGAGTGTTGTGACAGAAAGAGACTTGCCAATGCAGACAACCCAGCACCTGCTGCCAACAAAGTCAAAGAGGAATTAAGTCCCGAGGTCATCGCCAATCGAGAAAAAGCACTCAAAAGACTTTGTTCCTCACCCTCATCTCACGAATACGACAATTGGACACAAAAGTTTGACGAGTTCCTTCAACGAAGACGAGCGGCTTTCGACATGGCTACCCTTCGTCCCGATTCTGCTGCGGCCATGAACGCTCATCGTCGTGAGGCGGTGCGACTTGCAGAGGCCCAACAGCAAGCAGTGGTGGAAAACTGCAAGAGAGCAAAACTACCTGAACCAGATTACAATTTTGATGAGTTGATCGGCAGAGGTAGTTTTGGAAGAGTGTACAAGGGTCACCAACGTTCTACCAACAAGGTCGTCGCCATCAAGGTGATCGACATCGACAAGGCCGATTTCAGCACACATGGCGACATGCGTGATGAGCAAATTCGCGATTTCAATCGAGAGATCCGGATCCTGAGGCAGGCACAAGAAAGTGGCGCTCAGAACCTCAACCAGATCATTGAAGCCTTGCCTGTGCACAGTCAGTTGTGGATGGTCTGCGAATTCTGTCCTGGTGGCAGTGTCAAGACCCTGATGAGAGCCACAAATGATCGCCTTTCTGAGCGATACATCGTTGTCGTTGCAAGAGAGCTGGCCAAGGCTTTAAAAGGGCTTCATGCTGCCGGCATCCTACACAGGGACGTCAAGGCTGCAAACGTACTCATCCACCAAGAAGGCCGTCTCGAACTTTGTGACTTCGGTGTCTCAACCGTACTTGACACACAGACTGATAAGCGAAAGACATTCATCGGAACTCTACATTGGATGCCCCCAGAACTGTGGACCGAAAACCCAGAATACTCCGATGAGGTTGATGTATGGGAGTACGGCTGTACTCTTTACGAGTGCGCTGTTGGACAACCTCCAAATGCTGATCTTCGCGAACGTCAACAACTCAAGGTGAGAATGAGACGACTCAAACAAGCAATTACTCTTCCCGAGAATCAAACATTCAGCGATGGACTTCGTTCACTCGTTTCCTCCACACTCAGCCCTGATGTCGCCTCACGACCGTCGATGAAGGATGTCCTTGAATATGACTACCTCAAAGACACCGAAGAAACACACCCTACTCACATTCTCACCGAACTTGTCGAAACCTACTACGCGTGGGCTATGGGCGGTGGTCAGCGAGCCTCGTTATTCATGCCTGGAGGTGCAGCCGGTGCTTCGACACTTGACCCCAGCGATGATGATACCGATGAGGAATGGAACTTCAGCATGAGCCAAGACTTCCAACGACGCGCATCCGCCATTTTCGAAAATCCCGACCTCTCCGCAGATGAAACCGTGGAGGGTGAACAAACACCCAAAGGCGCAGCAGGATCTGTCGACCTGACCACTCCAAAGGAAATGACCGCGGTAGAAAAGGCGAACTTCGAAGCCCGCGTTCAGCGTGGAGCCGATCTGTCGAACATTTTCGATCAGAGCAAACCCGCTTACGATTACAAGATCAAGAATGACTTTGTTCCCATCCCCGAACAGCGCCGGATCTCAGACCTCCCCTTCAGAGTGATGGCTGAAGACAGACCAAGCTCTATCGCGTCCAACGTGATTGATCTAGGCGACTTTGATGAATCAGATTACGCCGTGGCAGCAACTCCCAGAACAGATGACAAGATCCAAACCGCATACGCCGGCACACCCATGAGGGAAGAAACCATCAGACTTGCTGACGCATCTACTTTGCGAGAAAAACGAGCAAATTCCAAAGGTCCTCGAGATAGTTCCAACCAGTCACTCACGGCTCGAAGAACCTCGTCGGCAGAGGGCCTCCCTCCAACCACAGCAGCACACGACTTTGCCATGTCACAGGAAGAGTGGACAGTGAAGGACCGAACCAAAGCTCCCGAATTACAAGAACCTGCTGAAATCACGTCCTCTCGCCCCGGTCATGCCACAATGGACTGGTCATTCGCTGCTGCGATGTCCGAGGCGGCGATTCCAACAATCAATGAGCCGGAACAAGCTCATGACGAGGAGGTCGGCCCGTCTTCCGCTGGAAACGCCGCATTCGAACAAAAGACCAAGAAGCACGCCACGATGGATTGGTCTTTCACCCAGGCGATGGCCGAGGCAAGCACCAGCGATGCAGCCATTGGCCAACCGGCCGAGCTGAACTCATCGCCTCCGACGCGCCAGCAAGTGCCGTCGTCTTCTCCGCCCTCGCGGCCAACGCCGACCCGACCGGCCCCGCTCCTTCGGCAGATGACAATGCCGGTGACAATTGACGATTTCGCCCAGGCCGAGGAGCAAGAAATCCCACGGCCGTCAACTGCGCTCTCCGAGGCGTACAGCGACATCAGCACGGCGTCGACGGATGTCGACCCGTTCGGGCTGGAGCGCGACGACGACGACGACGAATTCCCGGGGGCCTCGACTCTCGAGGAAGATGCCGGTCCCTTTGGCGTGGGCGGCTTTTACTCCGGCAGAGGCCGAACCATGGGTGGCACCCGCAGCCAATCGGCGTCAACAACGGCGTCGGGTGTTGGTGCTGGCCCTGCGCCATACAGCCTCGGTCGGCCTTTGAGGGTCGACGAGGACGGCTTCCCGGGTCTGTCGGCGTCCTCTGGCGCACGACATGGCCGCAATTCGTCGGCGATGCCGACAGCCGTTGCTGGTGGCGTGGGTGTTGGTGTTGGTGTTGGTGTTGGTGTTGGGGTGGGTCCCGCCGGTGGCCGTCCGTCCGTCGACGTTCCCCCGGCGTCTCCGCCCAGCGGTGTCGCGTTGAGTACGGCTGCCTCTTCTTCCGAGGTGGAGGTCGAGCTCACGCGCCTGCTGGAGGGGATGCAGGGGACGTTGAATGCGGCGAGGGAGGTCGTCGGTGGGCTGGTGGTGGGGAGGAGGGGCGCCGGGGCCGGGGGAGGGGAGAGGGAGAGTGAGTGGGAGGATGAGGAGTAGGGTGGGAGAGTGGAGGGGGGCCCCGGGGCGGAGAGGGGGAGGGTGGGAGTGGTGGTGGTCTTGGTGCTGTTGGTGGTCTTGGTTGGCTGGCGGCGTTGGGGGCGTTGGCCCAAGGGAGGCTCGTCTTGCCTTTTGCTTTTTTTTCCTCTCTGTGAGAGTTGGAATGAAAAGCCTTGTTTTACCCCAGACGTGCTCTATTCCCGCCATTTCTTGTGTTTTGCCGTTTGCGTTTTGCGTTGGTTTATGCGTGTGATGCGCTATCGACAAGTGATGCTTGTTGGCTATATCGACCGTGACCGAGACCGTGACAGTAGATATAGACATCGTGTGTAATCTTGACTCGGGAGATACAATCTACGATGTGACCATTTGCCCAACTTTACGTGATAGTCTGTTGAGTCTTACAAGGCAGGCATGCAATGGACAGGTATACGATGGGCAGGCATTACGATGGTTGGATGGAGGCCACGCGTGGAAACAGTAACATCCTGCTCATGACCATGCTCATGACCAAGACTCGGACTATGATAGGGACTATTGTATTGAGCATGGGCAGTGACTATAGCAGTGACAGTGCCAATGACCATGACAAGAGTCTGTAATAAGTATTCATCTATGATGGTGAATTCTTCAACTAGTGAGAGTGTGTGTGTGAGAGAGAGAGAGAGAGAGAGAGAGAGAGAGAGAGAGAGAGAGAGCGACGACCAATACGAATACGATTCTGATTCTGATCCATTGAATCCAGCATCGACAATATGAGAGTAGGAAAGACGAATACTATATGCTGTGGGACTATTGGCCACGATAGATCAGAATCTAATTTCGACAATATACTATGTGGGTGGGGTGTGTGTATATCAAGGAACAGTGGACACGGGATATCGACCTCTAGGTAACTATTAGGAAGGGAAGAGTAGGGAGGGAAGGAAAGGGAAGGGAAGGCAGAGATGGAGGTAAAGATACCTAGCGGGAAGGTAGAAGATAGGGGGAATGGGAAAGGAACAGAACAAAAGAGAGAACAGGATACGGATAGTGGTGGAGATGGAGTCGGAACCGGAGTGTGTTTCTATATACTTACATATTTACAATTACACACACCAGATACAGATAGATAGATATCTAGCTTGACAGGGGGTCTGTGTTGTATTCATCTCCTGGCTGCTGACTTATTGGACGGAGGGAGAGGGGGAAGAGAAGTTGAACAATGAATCGTAGGTAGTTATGTTGGTCGGTCATATTACACAACAGAGATATATATGTTATTAATTTAGATCATCAACTACCTTACAGTAGGGGTAGGGATAGGTTCTTTTCTGCTCTTCTGCATCACTCATTATTGCGCCTTTCCCTGCTTTTCCCTAGGATACAGTCTTTTTCAGACATGATATAACCTCTTGGTGCGGGACCCATCATAAGCATCCAATTGACTGGAACGAAGCCGGTGGTAGGTATCAGACACTGTCCACCAGAATGAAGAAGAACTCCCACGCCCACTCCCACTCCCACTCCAAACCCAAACCCAAACCCGTTATACGTGAAAAAGAGTGAAAAGAAAAGTCTAATTTCGTGAAATGTGGTTTTGAACATGTCATGACTTCATTGCTGGCTCTAAGAACAGACCGCACAGGACAGGACAACAGACATAAGAACCAAGCCAGTTTTCCTCTTCTTCCTTTTTTTGCTTATATGCCGTTACCATCCACCCCGTTCAAACCATCATGTGGAGGGATCTTTTCGTTTTCGGCGCCGTGCATCATAGGAGAACGCGTAGAGCGCTTGAAATACGAGCTGACATCGGCGTGGAAGTCATCGTCAAAGGCGTCGTCGTGGTTCTGTTCCTTCTCTGCAGTCTTCTGGGCCATGCTCTCCTCCCACTCCAGCCGCATCTCCTCGATCCGTTGCTTGTAGTCGAGGTCGGCGTCATAGTTCTTGCCGACGCCGCGCATCCGCTCCCACAAACTCAAATGTTTGGAGTGGATGGCGATGCCGTGATAGTCGTTCTCGCGACCGGCGCGGATGAAGGCCCACCGACGCTCTTGCTCCTTAAGGTCGAGACCGGTGGTGTCGGGCATGAAGACGACGTTGAGGACCACTCCGGCCAGGCCGAACCAGGGAACGACGTAGAATTTCGTCTGCGTGTCGATGTAGTTGTAGAGCACCGACGCGGTCAGGGCGCCGAGCTTGCCGACGGCAGCGGAGAAGCCATGGGCCGTGGCGCGCACGGCAACGGGATACACTTCGGCGGCGGCGATGAAGGTGACCGAGTTGGGGCCGAACTGGTTGAAGAAGGAAGACAAAAAGTACATGGCCTGGAACTCCTTGATGTGGGCGACCGACGTGTAGTACTCGAAGTTGAAGGCCGGCACGACGAACAAGACGAAATCCATCAGGAATCCCACCGTCTGCATGTGTTTGCGCCCGTACAATTTGTTGTCGATCAGAAAACTGGCCAGGTAGTAGCCGCAGAGAGACACGCCGACGTTGATCAGGTTGTACAGCCAGCCTGGCATGATGGAGTCGCTGTTGGGCACGATCACCTTGATGAATTCGCTCTGGAACAGCTTGTTGCCGTAGAAAAAGACATCGTTCATGTACCACGTCCCCGCGGTGGCAAGCAGACGGCCGCCGAAGTAGCGTAGCGTCAGAGACAAAGACTCGGTGTCGTACCCTGTCACGGCGTTCTTCTTCTTGGCGTATTGCAGCTGTTTGTTGGCGCTCGCCTTGACCTTGAAGGTACGCCAGTAGACCAGCCACAGAGTGCCGACGGCCGGGATGGCGAACGAGACTCGGTAGGTATACTGGACGGCAACCTTGGAATACGGAGCGTTGCCGCTACCGTGGTGGAAGATCAACAGCAGCAAAATGAGCAGGACCTGGTTGAAGAACTGACCCCAGCCCTGCATCAAGAACGCACTGGTGACTTTCCGCCCTCGATGAAGACGGTCGTCACGAGTCGAGATTTTGCCAGATCCCACGGCGTTCTCCATCCCCGACGTGGCAGTCATGGGATATTCGCCGCCCACCCCGATACCGTAGAAGAAGAGCGACCAGGCGTAGCAGATGACCCAACCGTTTTGGGTGACGCCCCACGAGGCGGTTAGCATGATCAGACCGATAAACATGATGGTGGCATCCTGAATCAACCCCCAGCGACGGCCGACCCAGTCACCGATGAACCCAACTAGGATCTGTCCGACAATGATACCGCAGATCTCGAGGTAGTCGACGGCACTGACCCAGGTGGGATTGCAAATGGCTTCTTTGCCCCAACATTCGGCAAATCCTTTTTGGAATAACGGCTTGAGATTGCCGATGGAAAAGAGCACGTAACCTTCGAGACCGAGCCCGGCACCGGGGAGAACCATGTTGCGGAAGTAGAAGCCAACGGGGGCCAAGGGGTCGTTTTTAAACATCTTCCAGAACGCGCCGAACTCCCGTTTGGCCTCTGCATTGTCGACTTTGGTGACGAATTTGGCTCGTTTGAGGAGGGGGAGATCGGCCCAATAAACACCGTTTTCGTCGTAGCTGTCGTCGGGCTTCAAGATCCGCTTGAAGACCTCCGCCTCCACATGGGTCATGTCGACGTCCGCAAGTTCGTAAGGAGGATGATGGCCTGTGACATCAGGTCCGTGAGGAGCATTCAGGCCGTAATCAACGACCGGACCCTCGTAGGCCATGGTGTTGGGATATAAAATGGGATTGGACGAGACCGAAACACTTCAACTGAAGAGAGCAATAGGTTGGATAGTAAGGTGTTCAAGATCCAGCAAACCGGTCGACTTTTGTATCAAGCAGAGGATGTCGTCAAGGAAAGGAGAGATCCTGAGAACAGCCGAGTCTTGAGTGGACGATTGGCTATGGCTGGTGATGAGAGGTAGACAGGTTAAGCAACAGCCAGATCGAAGTATAAAAAGGCTTGTCGGTCGGATAATGCGGGACGGCGAGCAGGGGTTGTACGCAATCTAAACGTCCGCCAGGGGTACCACGAGGCGGAGGTGGACAGGTTGAGGGAGGTCGAAAGAGGCCAGAGAAAGCTTGGATGTAGCCACGAGTTCGAGAGGCGCAAGGTGATTCGTGGACAAGCGACCGCAAAGATTCCGGCAGGGTGTTCGCGTGCCCTTATTATTGGTACTGGACCGTCAAGGTCGATATGCTGATGTGGGAAGATGATGGTCTCGTCGGTTGCGGACACTCGAATGTGCTTATTGATGCGACACCAGCAGCAGGAAGGAGGACAAATAGCGCAATGGGTGGAGAGATGAAGTCGTCAGCTCAGCTGTAGGAGACGTTGGAGGCACGGTAGATAGAGAGAATAACAGGGATTGAAGTAGGTCCAGGGGCGCGTCTTTCGAGGGTGAGTGAGGAACAGTGAAGGAAGAAAACAATGAAAGACGAGTGACGAGAGAGCACCCTCAATGTCCTCTTCAATCACCAAAAATGAAGCGTCACAACTGGCAAAATAATATGTAGGGTGTGTGATCAATCTCTTTTTCGCCAGAGAAAGGCCTTGGTGAGGCCGATCATGAAAAGCTGGGCCGGATTCAGGAGAAGAAAAATGTGGGTGGCGTGGGTTCAGCGAAGCCTGGAGGTCTGCACTCTGCACTCTGACCAACCTGGAAGCTCCGGACGGCTCCTGAGGCTTCTTTCAGGGACCAAATCAAATGGATGATGGAGTTGGGTTCCATCGCGGGACAAAAGAATGGGAATCTCGCAAGCTGGGATGGAGACTGGCGGGCGATCCGCAGGCGGCGAAAGGCGAGAAATCTCGATGGGTCGCGAAGGCTCAGCTCGTCCGTTGATGTCAACGCTAGTAGTAGTTCTCTGTAAAGGGCTCGCTCCCCTGGCTCAATTGATGTCGCTGGAACGAGAGAGGCCGCAAGAGTTGGTCCATCGTAGATGAGATGCTCCTAGTAGTATCATAGTGCAGTGGTCTACTGTGTCTCCAAGGTCTTGCGATAGGGAGGAAGGAGTAGAGAGTCAAGGATCGTGAGTCGAGAGTCGAGTCGGGTGCGTGCAGTGGTTGCGCAGTTTGACCGCAGCAGAAATCGGCGGAATCGTGGAGTTACAAAAGCGGGTCCGACGAGGTTGGAAAACTGGATCTGACAGGCTGAGATCCACCCACGTGCACTGTTGATTGGGTGTGAATCAACGACATTGCTCGGCTCCGCCAATAAGCAACGCCAAGTCCTGGCCAGAGCTCCAGGCACGTGTTCTGGCCGCCTCCGTCCGCAAAACTTGAATCGAATCAGAATTTGCAGCATCGCAAAATATAGACACCGAGGCATACTACCTTGTACTAGGTACTTTGTAACAAGGTACGACTCTGTCTGTCAATTAGCTCCTGCGGTACGTGGTAATTGAAGACTTTTCTAGAGGTCGCAGTACATTCATCTCAAGCCACTACAGACTGGACCCATCGTCACATAGCACTGCCGTTGAACTCAAGCAACATTCCTCGACTCCGAGCTGTGGGAAAGACGCCTCGATATGGCGCAATGTAGGATGGTGAAAGAGTCTGTCTACACTACTGTGGTACATAAGAGTGAGGAGAGAGCAGAAAGAAGTTACAGTGCGTGCCCATATGACACTCCCGATTGCTTGACAGCTGGCCGGCTTGGAGTCTTCCCCAGGCGATATGGCAAAAGTACCACAGCAAGAAATGGTGTATCCACGCCCCAAGGTTCGAGACCGTCACGTCGATGTCTGCTTTATCCCCAGGCACCATTTCACCTTTGTGTACTGGGCTTTCCAAAATATAGAACCATGATTCCTATAGGTAGTTCAGGTAACTCTTTACAAAAGTCAAGACAGCATCTGGCCGTCCTCAAGCAACGCTACGAGCTCCAGTCAGATCCGACCAAACACCCCCGGGAGGTAGTCTGGGTGAAGCCGCCATAGACCTTAATTGATTGCGTGCCTGCTCCTGCTTCATATTGTGTAACCATCTCTTCCATCTCCACAATTGCAGCCTTCTCTGCACCCTTGGAAGGCACCCGTCACGTGTAAGGCTGTGGGCCAAGTAACCAGAAAATTTTTCGCAACCTCATCTATTGTCATCCACAATTTTGGCCTCAAATTAACCCGCGGCCTTCATAGCTCAATCGGTAGAGCGTCCGGCTCTTAAATGTCTAGAGCACAACCGGAAGGTTATGGGTTCGAGTCCCATTGTCGGCTCAATTCCGTCACAACAGGCAGCTTCTTTTTTCCCCTGGCCATCCTTTTTTTGGTCGACTCACAAAGCACACTGCGCTGCTTTGGTCTTGCATATAATGCAGCATGATGAGGCGGTAACGATCTAATCGATCGGGCCGGGGTAGGAGTGAGTGCCACAACCGTGCCGGACCATGACTCCGTTGTATTATGGTGGTCGTCCGAATTCATCTTTTCATTTTCATTTTCATTTCGCTGCATTTCTTCATTCACATGTCTCCAGCATCTTCTTGATAAAACTTTGTAGGGTGGGGTTCCACAGCGCTGCTGCTACCCTTTCCTTGTCTGCCAACTGCTTATTGACCTCGTCTGCCGTCGAGTGTGTGCCCTCCTTGATCCTCACATCCACCCGGAATCTGGGCGGCAACGACTCCTCCAACCTCACACGGACTCCCAGCCCTATCACCGTGGCCAAGCTGCAATGTTGAATAGTAGGTGTGATCAACACAGTGACAGTTTGCAGACTGGAGTTGGGACGGCTAGGTACGGTAGGTGCGATAGATATGTCGGGCAGTGACACGACAGCCAATGAGCCCAGCGTGATGGGATGTTCCGGATCCGACATGGTAGCGACCAAGTCATAGATCTCTTGGGTGTCGATAGGCTCATCGTCGGCATCGCTGTCGCTCTCTTCAATGGACGACGGACTCGCCGATCGCATAAAAGGGTCATTGTTGAACGAGGGCGCCGGATAGGCGAAGCTCACGTCCCCCGTAGAGAGTTTTTTTTCCACCGAAGCCCGCCGTCTTCGCGTCGGCAGGTCGGACGGGTTGAGGATGAGCGGATTCGCGTTCTTGCCGTCCTCCATGGCGAAAGGGTCGAGTTGCTCGGCGCACCAGCACGGCGATTGGCACTACGAAAGAATGTTGAGGGAACTGAGTTCGAAGAAGAGTGTTGACGATCCCATATAACGTATTGAGTGATTACGAAACGTCCAACGTTGTCTCTACAACATCAAGTGGCAATCTGCGGTTCGGAGGCACTCTTCTTCAAATTGCGCCGAACACTGTCTACAACGGCTAGTGCTACTAGTAGCAGCGGAACAGATTACTAATTGTCGTAGAGTCAGCAGGTTAAGCAGTAATGCTGCCCCGTATAATCACGTGATTTGTCTTGGCTCTTCGCAAGTGCAGTGCGTGGGACGAAATGAGAGGCTGGGGCGACATCAACAGAGCAGCATTTTTTTGACACACACAGCCTCACGGACCTACCTCTACAGACAGCCCACAACACAGCACTCAACTTCCGACCTCACCTCTTTTGCGTGACTGGCCACTGGACAATAACGAACCCAGTGTGAGATAGATATCTTGCCGAGGCCTGCTGCTAACATGAGTCTTCCCCAGGTAGACAACAACTAGAACTTGAGGCTCCCATATGCCCCTCCTCACCCCTCCTTGGACTTACTCCATCCGCCTTCTAGACTCTTACCATTCCCGACCGTTCCTAGCTACAAAGTATTCAGCTTCTATCACCGCACAACCTACCATCCGGCAAAAGGAGAACCGGGACCGCGAACGTCTCCTGTGCAATCCCTAGCGTACAGTACATGCAGACGTCTCCCTGGTAGCCTACTCCAGCTTGGGGATCGAAAGTTGGCTTTTGATACTACCGCCACCTCATCGACTTTGTATCGGCGAGGAATGATCCACAAAACGGCCGAAAAGATGTTCTCGAGGCTGTGTCAAATGCCCAGGCTAAGACCACCCCCGAGCAGAGCCGGACGTACCAAATCCGGCCGGCCACATGCGCCTCCCACCTCGCGTACAGCCTAGTCCCGCAATATCACGTGTGTCACAGTAGTGGGTGATCGGTCGCTGGGTCCATTAGCAGAGATTTACAACATATCCCCCGGCCAGTGGGGAGGGGAAGCAGAGACCCATGAATCGGTTCGAGATTCGGCTTCTGAGTATTCCAATTTCTCCGATCTGCCATGCGCAGGTGTAAGGGGTATCAAAATCAGAAAGTCGAGAGCTTCGACACGCGTCATCTATCTTGACAAGGAGAACGACCCTTTTGACCTGACTGACTCAAGTCCCAGGAAACTCTAGAAAGTAAGACTCCGTCACCAATCGGCAGTCGCCAGCCACCAAGCGAGACACTAGGATCGACAACTTTGTGTTCACTGACACTTCGAAGATCTACCAGCTACTCAAGCTTGTCAAGTACGTACTGAGATAACAACAAGCGGGTGCCTCCGCGGCCGTCCTTGGTCCGTATACACAACTGTCGTACATACTGCCATCCCGGTCAGAAATTATATATAAACTTGATACAATCCTGGAAGCCTCGAACAACGCCAACGTGCTGCTGCCGAGGTACCATTCTCTGTGAGCTGATAGTCACAAAGAACGTGTAACGGAAAGGTCCCGAAAGTCTCGGGAGAAGGCTGGTGTTGGTGACGGGCATACTAGGCTTCTTCTGCACGTCTTGTTTTGGGGTCATTGCCACAGCAAGGAAAGCTACGTGCGACATTCGATGCTGCCGGCATTTAACCTAGTGATACGTACACTCCTGTGCTCACGCCCGGCCCAGCTTATGCGATCAAGGACTCAACGAGGCAAAACAAGCAAAAAGGAACGAGAAAGTTTGATGTTAAATTATTGCTACTAGGGGCTCATGCTTGATCCGCTTGTCAATCTCCTTGACCATACGCGTTTCATTGACACGTTCTACTTTACTCGACGCGTCTCTGGGTGGCAGATAGGTATTGTTGGGGACAAACGAGAAGTACCTACGTACTGTGGTACAACAGACCTGGGGGCCCATGTGTGGAAGACAGGTTGATGATTGATTGATTCACCCTCTGACGTTGCATTGGATACTGATGGGCGACGCCCCGTCCAACGACCAACAACCAGATCTGCTTTTCCTTCATCTTACCAACCATTCTTCGGGTTTTCCTCGCCATCGCCGTTGCCATCGGACCGTGGAAAAATTGTCACAAGGCCAGTAACACAATCTCGTCTCAGACTCTAAAGATACCATTGCCACTGTTGGCAACGTACCTTGTGTGTCTTGGGGAGACCTCCAAGCTGCCCTGGTCAGCTCAACAAGCAGCAGAAGCGCCTGAATTATTGTGGTAGTCTGTCTGTCTGCGACTGACCCTGGCTCCGCCGGGTTTCAAATATCTATCGCTCCCCCCGCGATAGATTATAATCGTTACACCATTCGATCTTTGCTTCACCTTGGAGGAACGCACAGTCGTAAAACTGGATCACCTACGAAGCTCGCAAACTCGAGGCACACTACCTACACAATCAAGCATTCTGTGGTCCTTCGCTCACATAAGTCGCAACGATCGTTGATCTCTGGGTCTTGGATTTACTAGTCCTTGCCCACTTTTTTTCCGCACCATCAATCTCACTACCGCTGGACTTCTTGTAGTGCTGGCTTCTGAAGCCGTTTGCGCCTCGAATCTCTCGACCTGGCCATTTCGCGACGTGGTCCAGCATTTCACCACCCATTCATACGTTTGGCCTGGGATCGCCCCGGCCCTGGTCGCTTCGTCGCAGAAGCATCTGATTTCCGCTGCACCTACCGAGGTCCAGAATCCTTCACGGTGCGCCACGCAACATCACTCACTACTATTGACGACTTCGATCTTGCCTGGAAAAGTAACGCCATCTTCTAAGTTCCACCACGATTGTTCTTGGCCAACATCGCGTTTGGTACGAGCCTGGGCGACTGTCGGCTCTTTTCATCTCAACAACTCATCCCAAGTCGACCACTTGCGGCGGTCCTGTCAGTTCATTCAGATTGGCTGTAGATCGTCTTGACCCCCGGAGTGTTCTCCTAGATTGAGTTATCGCCATCTCTGCACTTACCCGATGTGGTGTCATCCCGCCCCCGGATGAGATGCCACCATGCAGAGCTATCCAACGACATCTGGGCCTCCTCCAGGCCCAAAGAATTATGTCTTCGTCGACGAACACAACAGACACAAGCGCCTTAAGGTGATGCGCGCTTGTGAAGGATGTCGTCGCCGCAAGATCAAGTGTGATTCCGCCACCACCAATACCTGGCCGTGCGCTGCCTGTGTCCGCTTGAAACTCCATTGTGTTCCTCCCGTGGGTGGGTTAGAAGGAGAGCCAGGGGACTTCTCTCAGGGCGGCGCTGTCGAAGAACCTATCGAACCGCAACCGTACCTGCCCACGCCAGGCTCGTCGACTCATCCGAGTCAAAACTATGTCGGTGCAGCGCCCAACTACCAGCTCGACCAAAGCGAGCCTTTCTCCTACGATGCATACACCGCCAATTACCAAAAACCATCCTTTGACATGATGGACAAACAGTACGAAGGCTATTTTCCGGATCCGCAGCAACAGCAATTCGGCGGAACGTTGCATGATCCTTATCAATCCAACTCGCAGGTCTACGGGCAAGCTCAACATGATTCCCAATCCTCTCTCGGACAGGAGCGCGCCGGCTCTTCACCAGTCGACCAGCTCACGGCCGAAGAGCTGATGGAACATCTTGGGTCATTGAAGATTGGGGAGAATGGAGTTGCCCCGTATCTCAGAGCGGAAAGGAAAAATAGCACAGAGCCGGACGCGCCCGTTCAGGACGCCGAACTCGAAGTCAAGATTCCGGCAGTCTTCAATCCTGGTGCGGGAGCCCAGATCAGGATTCCCCCGGCTTTGATGCCTCCGCAGGAGGAGGCCATGCAGGCTTTCAAGGCTTTCTTCCGTGATGTGCACCCTTACGTGCCCGTGTTGAACAGAAGGCAATTCTATGACCAGTGGCGCAATGATAAGGCATCTATATCTCCACTTGTCTTGGAGGCTGTTTTTGCGAATGCTGGTCGCTTGTCCGACGATCCCGCACAAGGTGCACAGTGGCTTGCGCTGGCAAACAGTACGCATCTTCCACCCTCTCTTTTTGCAGGACGAAGATGCTGACAAACCTCGTAGAGCATGAACCGTGTTTCTTGGACAGTCCTCGACTCAGCACTATTCAAGCCTTGCTCCTCCTACTCAAGGCTCGAGAAAGTGTCCCCAAACGAGGGTACTACTACCGATCCTGGATGACTTGCAAGACGGCGGTCAGCATGGCGAAGGATCTTGAATTGCACGAGCACCATGAGATGCATGTCGCAGGCGAGTCATGCGGTTCGGACCCGATTGAATGTTTGACCAAGACTCGGGTCTGGCAGACTCTGCTCATATGCGAGACCATGGTTGGAGGGCCACAAGGTTTGTTGGATTCGTCTTTGCGCTGTTCTGCTCGATTCTGCTGCTAATGCTCGTCTCAGGCCGAACCGACCTGGGTGTCGATCCCAATTCAGTCGACGTCAGTACCAACCCGCCATGTTCTGACGTGGACGACTTCGAGAAAACCATATCCCGACAATTCGCCTATTTCGTCCGGAACATTCGCAACATCCGCCTGATCACCGGCGTATCGCACAAACTCAAGAGAAAGAAGGACTGGGGTCTGGACCAGGAATTCGTGGCCTACAACGCCGCCTTCAACAAATGGCCCGACGAGTTACCCAAGGATCTTCAAGTGGTGTTGCCAGCAAATGGCAGCGTGCCATCGCTGCCGTCCCATTTCATCGGCAACCTGCACTCTCATTATCAGTTGGGAATTGTCATGCTCCACCGCCCACAGCTCAAGGCATCTGAATCCTTCGCGGCGGATAGCCAATGGAGACACCATATGAGTGTGTGCTACAATGCAGCCAAGGTGCTTTGTCGACTGCAGGAGGCGATTCTGGCCAAATTCGACCTGACCGGCCTGCTGTGTATGCAACGAGGTATCAACTTCACCATTTACGCCATCCTGACGTGCATCATGCTTCATTTGATCGCTTTGTCGTCCCCGGACCCGGAATACAACTCGGAAGCACGAGACTATTTTGTCCGCCACATGCGTATTTTGGAACGCTGTATCGCGGCCTGGCCAATGCCTGAGACCGAAGCACAGGTCAACGCCCTCCGTGCCGCCTTCTCCGCGGATATCAACAAACCGTTTGAATTGAAGGAGTCGTTCCCGCTCGGTTCTCCATCCGATCAATCACGCTCGTCGCCTCCATCCCAACAACCTACGTACGAAAAGCCGCACCTCCAGCAACAGCAGCAGCAGCAGCAGCAACAACACGAACAGCAACAACAACAGCAACAGCAACAAACGCACCAGCTTCAACTGCAACAAATCCAACAACAACACCCACAACAATCAATACAAACCCAACCACACCATCTCGTCGATCTCCAACAATCCCAACCGGGACAGTACCTGCCACAGCACATGACACAGATGCGCGGCCAGACACCATACCTCGCCACCCCTCCTGTTTCTGTCTCAGCATATTCCAGCGACTCGAAACCCCAGACACCCATTTTCCCCCCACCACCTTTACCACATCAAACCGCCTATGACATGGACCCACAGCAGTTCTCATCATCTAACATTTCATCGTCGGCCGGTGGGGGTTTCTATCAACAGAGCACAGGGAGCGCGCAGCCAACGTCAGTGGCGCCCAACTACAACATGCAATGGAATCCGACACCGATCATCGATCAATTCGACACAGCATTTGCCATTCCGCCATCTGATTTGGCCCCGCCTTCATCGATGTACGGCAGCACAGGCTCGTCGCCGCCTTCCGCAACAACAGCAGGAGGTGGAGGATCAATGCAAGCTTCAAGTTTCACGTCGGGGTCTCCTACGTATGGTAGTGCTGGAGGCTATACGCAACAGCAGCCACCGTACTTTGCTGCTCAGCAGTCGCAAACACAGCATTCGTTGCATGATACTTCCTCGCCTCCAATCGGGGGAACATACTATGCTCCGGCTCCCGGAGTGGGCATGCTCGTCACGCCGCGGCAGTGGCAGCAGAGCGTCGCGAATGTCATGGACTCCGCTGGCTTGAAGAGGAGATGGGACTTTGGACAGAATTGATCGCTGCCGCTCACAGCAGACGAATAATCAGGGATTTGCTTTACGAAGTCAAAGTGCCGGTGCTAAATCAGACGACAATCCACATGAACAGGAACAGTCGAATGACAGGACGACGCCATGCGAGGCGGGAACTTGTGACTGGAATTCAACTGGTCACGTTCCGCTGCACAAATACCCCGGTCTGTGGTTAAACCCAATCAGCACGATGACTTGAGGATGAAAAAGCGTTGTTCTGCTGCAGCCTGACGGAAAGGCGCCACGGTGCCACGTGATGACTCGGACCCGACACTTCTGCGAGGGCGGATTGACATCGATTTGAAGGATCAATCCCATCTAAAACGCCGTTGTTGCGTTTTCAGTACGGTATACAAGTGCCGGTCAATGAGGCCATGCATCATCCCCACGGAAGCGAATGTGAGGGAATCCTATACTGGATTCGCTTGTGATGATATTACAATGCTCAGCTTGGCCGGATCGGGTTGGGATCGGTGGCTGAACCTCAAATCAGATTTGGCATTTAACGCACGGAACTGGACTGGTGCTTAGGACTGGAACGACCTGAAGATAGACCACCGAACAGCATGGGGACACCCGATGACAGGGAGACCACGGAACTTGAAAACGACAGCGACCCCGAACGGAACACGAGTGGGATTCAATGGGTTTGGAAACGGAGTTGGATATACCCAGATATCGAAGTCTCGACGTTCGAGTATGGAGGGTCAGATCTCAAGAGAAAGAGACTGGGTTTAGGTTCGCCCAGTGGATATGGAACGGAAAATGAGGAAACAACAACTCTTTACGACGACCGAAGCCTTTTTTGGGGCGTTTTGGGACGACGCGGACGATATTGTTTACATATATCAGTGATGTCGCAACGATGGATGATCAACAAAGCTATGACAATCGGGGGAGCGGGAAATCGGGAAATCAGGCGTTGTGGGAGGGAAATCAGGAAACCGGCGACTTGTGAAACCGGCGAACGAACGGCCACGGGGAAATATCAAAAGCCAAAAAAATCCAAGACAAATGGAACGAATGAACGAGTTACACTGCGACGAGACGTGCATGGAAGACAGCCAGGTTTAATACTTTAGTATGAGATGATATCCTTTGCAATGCGATCCCTGTCTGTGTACGAGGCAAGCCGTGTTTTCCGTCTTCAAGTCTGTCTACTTCTATGTTATTGCGCTGTTGCAAGTCGAATAAAAGGAGGCGCGCATGTAGACAGGTCTATTCCTGCGGCGGAGGGGTGCCGTTCTCTTCCTCGATCCCCAAGCCTCCTTGGAAGCCGAATAGGAGCGGTCATCGTGAAACCCAACAATTCCTTGCCGTCGGCGTTCGTCGGATTTCCTCGGGGCATTGACTGGCTCAGGAAACGCTGAAGGAGGCTCGAGGAGACATGTTTGATATCTTTGATGTGAGTTCTATGTTTTCGCCGAGCACAGCGGTACGCAGTCGCAATCGCAATCGATACATTCAGCAGCTCAGACAGCGATACCGGTCTCCTTGGCGGGTTCGGTTCGGCCCTGTCTACTCTCCATCTGCCTGCGCCAGGGACGAGTCGGGCTTCTTTCCCATTGACGTGCGTATACGCCCGTAGTCTAGTCTGCTCCATCTTTCAACGCCAACAACAACAGCGACAAGGTTCCAAGTGGGCCCTTCCTTGGTGGATCCTCTGCATATACCCGGGCCTGGGGAGTCCACGAGCACGTTGGGCACAGTGAGTACTTTGTCTGTGAAGTTGCTTCCTGTCTTGCGACACCGCCAGAACATGTAATGGAGCTGCGTGCTGTGGTGTGGGAGGTTCTGTGCCGATATCCCTATTTACTGTTTTGGCTGCAGCCAGGCTGAAGAGCGGACAAGACATCGGACACGCCGTGGGTATGATGGATGCTTGTACGGTCTTCTCCATTGTAGCATGTTCTTTGTGTTTGTCGTCTTCGAAGGAGTGGTTGTCTCGAGGAGAGGAGAGACACCGTACCGGGGTGGGGGGGTGATTGTGCCAAATCAGACACGGTTCCGGTGGGATGGGGATTCTAGGTGTCAGGGACCCCTTGGCCACTCACTGCTGGGCACTGGCATGCGTCTGACAAGAGTCCTAGTCCCTATCCTGCTCTTCCAGCTGCCCGATTGCTGCCCATATGTGCACAGCTTGTGTGGCCTATAGCCGAATAGTTTGCGAAGACACATGGCCCAGGTACTCTCCAGTGAGAGCTGCATGCGCATTCCCCCGAGCATTGCCTCTCTTCATTTCATACTGAGTTCGTAGGGACAGAATCTTTTTCGTAAGGTCACCTCCGAGTCAACCACTGATTCAGACTGCGTTCCCACGCATCTATCCGAATAGGCATTTCCATCTGCCAAAACGGATTCTTGCACACATAGTCGGCATATCGTTCATAGACACCCTTCATCAGAACATCTGTGTTGGGCATGCTCGGGTCCGTAAACAACAAAAACTTGGTCCCACTGAGCGTCTGGAACACAGTCAGGCGGAAGAAGGAGGACTCCAACGACTCAATCCCCGACGGCGGAGTCTCTGGGTCAGGGTAGGTCCAACTCCGGCCTGACGGGCCGGCGGCGGACGGGGGGATGGGGATTCGAGGTGTCAGGGACCGCGTGATGGCGTGGACGCCGTGGAAAGTTCCGGCGATGACGAGATAGTCGTTTGTTGAGAGCGTGCTCGTCCCGGGCAGTCCTAGTGTGCCGACCGTCTGGGGTTGGGTTGTTCCTCCTGCTCCTGCGGTGCCAGTGGCCGAGGTCGGGAAGGTTCGGTGGTAGATCAGTGAGCCGGCTTTCGAGATGATGAGGAGAGCGAAGACAGGCCTGGCGTAGCGACGCGGCGACGCACCGGTTGTTAGAAGGTGTCCTTTCTATTTAGGGAGGGTGCACTGCGACCAGATACAATGTTCGCAACTCACATTGTTAGGAAAGGGGCGCCGCAAGGCGCTGCAAACACCGGTTGGTTTCAGGGCAAAGGCATATCTGTCTGATGTTTTACGGAGGGTGTAATGTATTCCCTTGTCGACCGTGCCACGTCCAAGATGTCGGCTTGGATCAGGTGAATGTCGCGGACCAGCGACAGACACACATACTGTTCATTTGAGTTGGTTGTACTGCAGTGTGTGTTTACTTGCACTCGCGGCCGTTGCAGTCCGCCGTAATTCAGTTCACTCCGTTTAGGAAGGATAATGACGCCGCCCTAAGGCAACCAAGACGACCTCTTATCTACCTCAGTTGCGCGTGCCTCGCCCGTCGCGCTCCCCGTCGCAAATTCGCAACATTGCTTTCAGAGGATTCAAGCGGAGAGTCGCAAAAGTGACCGACGAAACGAGCACACGAGCGGATGTCATGTCCATGATTGCTGGCGAAGGAAGGGCCAATTACTATTCCTGCTCTGATTGCCCCTTCAATAACTTGAATGTTATGGCGGTAGGCTTACCCACCCCGAAGCCAGACTTGTGGGATGGCGCTTTGCCTCAAGAGATTGATACCCGCGTCCGGCATGATCTCGAAAAATATATTGTCCCATGTAACTCCACCTCTCACCCAGCAGCACCAAATCTTTTCGTGCAAACAAAGAGTGTGGGTGGGCGCGCTGATGTCGCAAAACTCCAAGCCTGCCACAATGGCGCAGTCGGCGCGCGGGCAATGCACAGCTTACAGAATTATGGAACGACCCAAAGCACGTACGATGGCAATGCTTACAGCTACTCTAGCACATACCACAATGGCAATCTCAAGGTGTATGCGCACCATCCCATGCCACCCAAGGCGGATGGAGGACCCTCGGAGTATTATATGGCACAACTGCGTGGGATTGACATGACTCACAACGTCGATTCTTTCAGAGACGCTGCCACTGCTTTCCGCAATGCCCGTGATTTGGGGAAATTACACCGAGACGATTTCATTGAACGTGCCAATCAAGTGGCTCGACGCCAACCTGCTGGTTGCGCCTCTACTACCTCGACCAGAGAGCGCTCGTCTTTGTCAGTGCTCCAGGAGGACCAGTCGGACACTTCGGCCGACGAGCTCGCGCTCTCGAGATCGGCTCGCAAGCGCTCGAGACTGGCTCCCGCTGAATCGTAAGGCCTGCTTTCTCCGCTATCGCACGGCATGCTCCGCATGAAATCTTCAGGGAGTCACCCTCCGAAATTTCAAGGCGCAACCCCGTAGCAACGACGCCAATGCCCTATTCACTCACCCACTACCCATCAAGCGCCAACCATGTGCAATATGACATGCATACACGGAAACTCACTCCGAGATGAGATGCCTGGGTTGTAATTCAAGCCTGCAGAAGGGCTTGGTCGAATCTGGCACCGATACAGTTTGGGTAGGAAACTACAATGTGGCTATGAATCTCTTTTTCAGAATTCGAATCCAGACTGCCTTGGACGTCCCGCTGGAAGGGTCATACATATATGGCACTGTCACTTCTGACGATATCACAATAAGGAAGCATTCATCCTTTTGGTTACATACGAGGAGCGCAAACCGTCTTGCAACCGCAACAGCGGAGAGCAGTGTAGAGATTGTGTACGTGACTGTCTGCTTTTGCGGGTGAAAGTCTTATGAAGCACTTGATGGCGAGGCTGAGCTGGATGATGACAGCGAAATCACAGGAATCCTGATTAAAGCGGCAAGAGTATTGCCCAATTGGGGACCGTGTCCGCGCTGCATACGACAGTCCGTTCTACCTGCTACATACTACTTACTACTATACTACTCAGTCCATCAAATACACAGTTACCAACTACTACTACAGAGGGTCAATTCACTGTCTACAGATATCTCGCCTACCGTCGTGCTCTCGCACCTGCTCAGCAGTCGTCTCGTCCATCTGCCCAACTCCAAGCCTTGACAACTCTTAACCGCCGCCATCATGGTGCTCGAGGCCACGATGATCGTGGTGGACAACAGCGAGGCGAGCAGGAATGGCGATTATCTGTAAGCACCTGGGCCCCAGGTCATCGGCGTGGGCTAACAAATGTGTCTATACAGACCCAATCGATTCTCAGCGCAGTCTGAAGTCGTGTCACTTATCTTCAACGCAAAGACATCGTCCAACCCAGAATCAGCTGTCGGACTCATGACCATGGCAGGAACGGGGCCTACCGTGCTTACGACGCCGACGACCAACTTCGGCGCCCTGCTCTCCGGCCTACACGACACCAAAATCAAGGGACATATCAGATTAGGGACGGCGATCAGCGTGGCGATGCTGGCGCTCAAACACCGAGCCAACAAGAGCCAACGGCAGCGAATCGTGGTTCTGATCTGCAGCGAGCTGGACCAGAAGTTCGGAGACAAGAACGACGGCGAGAAGGAACTGATCAAGCTGGCCAAGAAGTGCAAGAAGAACAACGTCTCGGTCGACTTTGTGGCGTTTGGGGATGCCCTCGAGTCCAACACCAAGTCGATTCTGGAGAAGTTCATCGACGCTGTGGGCGGATCATCTGGAGAAGGGAATCACGTTGCATTCATCCCTCCGGGCCCGGGGCTACTAAGCGACAGTCTCATCACCACTCCTATAGTAAGTGTGGGCGGTGAGGCAGGACCAGGCGGCAGTGGTATGGAGGGCGTGGAGACTGGCGCTGGCGGCGGCGGCGCCGGTGGCAGTGGTGCGTTTGAATTCGGCGTCGATCCCTCGGCAGACCCGGAGCTGGCCATGGCTTTGCGCATGAGTATGGAGGAGGAGCAGAACCGGTTGGAGAGGGAGCGAAGAGCACGTGAAGAACAGGAGAGGCAAAATGCAGACAGGATGGAAACCATCACCGAGGAGGGACAAGGTCAGCCGTCGACCACCAACGGAGAAGGTCAAGATGACAACGATTCAAACGCAAAGCAACCACGGGTGGAGGAGGATAAACAAGATTAGTCGGACGTGGGAGCTGTCATGACTTTGTATCAATATTCTCACTCAGACATTGATGGGCTTAGCTAGCATTTGGTCGGGACCCAAAGATGGTCAACTAGAATGGGCAACCTCCCATGCATCTTCATCTGTCTTGCTATCCATTGCATCTCGAAGCAATGCCGTCTCCCTCTTCACATGTACGACCTGCAATGTATCGGCGCCCCGCTGCAATACCTTGACGACTGTCTCCGGTCCAAGTGCCATGAGACAACAATGTATATTCCAAAGCCGCCATGTGCTTCGTTTCTGCCGCATATCTTGCCCTCATCATGTCCAGACCGAGGCCCAGATACCATATCTGTCATTATTTCATCACCGGCATGTCCCGGTCATCCATCAGATTTTCCCTTCCCCATGATGTGACATAGATCAGGTGTCATCAGTTCTGCCGTTGTGGACATGGGATGGAACAAGATCGCAAGAGCCAAACTTCCCCCGGAAGTGGCGATGCGTGATCATAAGTCACAGCGAGGCTCCGGCTCCGGCCCCGGCCCCGAGTTGCCTTCAGCTGCGCGCACCTGTCCTGGTCGTATCCTTTCTTCTTCCTCACGAAGATATCGTGTCCTCTTTAGGGTCTATGCGCCCGTCGATCGTGCAGTGAGCCAGATCAGCGTGTCTGCTAGCCTTTGGCCGTCATCGGTTTCCGTCGTGGTATGAAGTCGTCCAAGAGCGAATCCCCGTAACGTGACACCGTAGGGGTACATGCTTGCATGATGGAGGCTCAATCACAGGCAGAACCACCCTCAGTTGAGCCCTTTCCCATGACAAGGGAAATGCGAAGAGTATTTCAGGCCGAGCCTGGCCATCACCTCGCAGTCCCAGCTCCCATGATCCTCTCTTCTCGACTGCGTACAATCCGAGCCTTGTCGCCGGGTAGAGGCTTCAGCTCGTCGTTCGGATCAATCGCTACGCCTCCTGGTCCTCCTGCTTCGCTCATCATCTGTGTATCTTCATCTGCATTTCTTGCTTCAGGTTGTCGTCCGTTGCGGAACAGTCCGTCCGGGTCCTCGCCCGTCTTGAGGTACTTCGCGTACGCAAGTCGACGGACGTACGCTTCCTCGAAGGCCGCTACGTCTTCGGACGTGATGGTGATGGCGGTGGGTTTGCGGCGGAGCATGGGGGGCTTCTTCCAAGCGGATAAGATATGTGCTGCAACGAGGGTTGAGAAATAGGGAATTCAGCTGAGACCAAGAGAACCTAGTCTATCAATGCAATTATGCTAGTAATGCTAAAGATAATTAACAAGCGCTGCCAATGTGTGGGTAGAAGGTGGGTTGCTTTGTTGGGCCGTCGGTTGAATGTGGAGGCTACAGGTAAGTAAAAGTAAACAAAAGTACCGTTTCCACCTCCGTGGGAACTTCAACGTTCAAGTTCGACGCGGCGGACGGCGGGGCGGAAACGCCAAGGATGATCGGCCCGAGTGAAACAACAAACACGTGGCTTTATGTAGTCAAGGTCGCAAATGATCTGCCGTACTAGTAGCTCTATCAGAATCCTCAGGTAGTATGGGACTGTGCACCACTCAAGACACATCTCTGTCATGTCCCCCTCCACGCCTGACATATTTCTCCTCACGGGGCATCTCTTTACCATCAGCTACGCGTTACGTCGTGCGAAGTTGACACCCCGATGCCCTCTGAAATTGTGCAGTTCTTCTGTAAGTTCAAGATCCGCAAGCTGCAGCATCTATTGCAAGAGCATATACATAGATCCGCGTTCGACCCATGTACACAAGGAGAGCTGCGAGAAATGATTCCGCAAACCCGGTCGGACCCATCAATGATCGACGCGTGCCTCCGATGATCGCCTATGTTTCTTGACCTGCACGGACGCAGTTGTATCTGCTCTCCTTGACATGACTCCAACAACCTCGATCCTAAAAGAGACTGGCTATCGTCGCTTCTGCCGAAGGCCAAGATCGACTGATTGCCTCGACCTTGGCCAAGACAGCTGTCAAACGTCTCGCCACGGCAAGACACGCTGGCACCAGCAGGTCGCGCAGCTTCAACAGCCAGCTGTGAAACAAGCCCTGCAACAATAATGATATCGGACCCTCGAAAGTCCTCACATACTCACATACTCGCAAATCCCAAAAGGGGCATCGGGGCGATCAAGGAGTCCAACTGATTCAATAGCGTGTTTTCGACGTGCTAGTTCGCACCAATGCCACCCTCTCCCTCCTCTTCGCGTTGAAACTAACTATCTTGCCGAAAGCTAACATCAGCGACAGCATTCTCGATATCATGCAATCGTCAATGGAGAGCTTTCTCAATCGCGCCTGCTTTTCATGATGAGGTGGGTTGATCGAGGCCGCGCTTTACCCACTCTTGAGTCACCCCAGGCTTTCCTCGTTCTCACGGAGAATGATTGGGTCGTTGCGGTTCCAGTGTCTCTCCAACCCCACGAGCTAAATGTCATAGTCCCGTCATTCACGGGATGGGTCCTGCTAAAGTACACCCAGCACGGACTTTTGTAAAGGTCGTTGAAGACTGGTTGGCATTTCTCGGAAGATTGCGCGCTCTTCATGACATGAGATTGCACGCCCCCTTCCAGTTTAACGCGAGCAGGACGAGGGCTTGGTAAGGGGTGGGCAAGACGCCTCCGGCATTGGACTTATACGAGCCCTTCCTCGCCATGGCTACTTATTGCTCAGACCCTTCTTATTTTGTGTTTCAGCGTACTGCTCAGCACCCTGCTCTACGCCCGGCTTCATTCTGCTGTAAAAACAACTGAGGCTGGGTAATGCAGAACTACCAGCCAAGACCGGCATAGACAGTGTCTCTGGGTACGAGCCATGGCCGAATATACTCGCATTGGGGAAGCCGGGAGTTCCCACCGGCCAGACGTTGGGGACGAGTACAACAATGTCGACCGGCACGACTCGTTTGAACATGAAGATCTTCCGCTCCATGAGCAAGAGCTGGACGAGAAGCATTTGGCCACGATAGCCGAAGATGGCGACCTGTCCGACCCCGACTCCGACTCGGAGCTGGACGATATCCTCGATGTGGAGAAACAGAACCGACCCCTGCAAGGGGAACAAGAACAAGAGCGACCACGGTCTCGCCTCATGCCGAAATGGAAACAATACAAGACATACGGCTCGCTCGTCAAGTCATGGTGTATCGTAGCCCTGCCTCGCTTCTGCCAGCCGGGCGGGCTGCGGCTGAAAAAGGAACCATATCCCACCGCCTGGCTGGACGCTCTGCGCGGATACGCGGCGTGGATTGTGTTCCAATACCACTGCTTCAACACGTATGACCCGTCGTGGCGGCGACAGCCGTTCGTCTCCGTCCTCTTCGCCGGCCCTGGCATGGTGGCCCTGTTCTTCGTCATCTCGGGCTACGTGTTGAGCTACGGCCTGCTGAAGCACATGCGCACGCGCCAGTCGAGCGGCATGCTGGACAGTCTGGCGTCGGCCACGTTCCGGCGGTACATGCGGCTGTATGCGTCGAGCGTGGTGGCGACCATGTTCGCCTTCGTCCTGGTGCGGCTGCACCTGTACAACGGGCGCGGCCTGTGGGTGCCGACCTTCTTCGGCCAGGTCCGCGACTGGCTGTGGAACACCATCTTCTTCATCAACCCGCTCGGCGACGTGCGCGGCTGGTACCACGAGGGAACGCAGAACAGCAACTACGAGGGCGCCCTGTGGACCATCCCCGTCGAGTTCCGCGGCAGCATGATCCTCTTCGGCTTCTGTGCTGCCGTGTGCAAGCTGCGCACGCCGTGGCGCATGGGCCTGACCTGGCTCATCATTGTGCTGTGTTACCTGTGGAATACCGTCTACGTCGCCGAATTCCTCTACGGCATGTTCGTCGCCGACTTGTCTCTGCTCAGAAACCCGGACCGTGTGCGACGGCCCGGTGCACCACTTCCACCTCTACCCACCTCGCACGCGCCTGTCGAATCTGCCGGACTTGCTGCTGCTGCTCCTCACACACGCACAGGCTCGCTACGGAAGTGGAGCTGGCGTAATTGGAGCGGGAACTGGAGTCTTGTCAACCGCAAGGAGGACAACAACAGGAAAAGGAACCACCACCAATCAGGACGCCTACCACGCATCCTTAAGAACATCGGCTATATGCTTCTCTTCCTGCTGGGCATCTTCCTGCTCGGCCAGCCCGACGGCACGGACCTCGGTGTCTGGGGCCAGTTTCCGTGGCAATTCTTGAAAAGCTTCATCCCGATCTGGTACACCGACGGTGCCGAGTATTATTTTTACCTGTCCATGGGCGCCTTCTGTCTGCTGCTGGCTCTCGACTCGTTGCCGTTCTTGCAGCGGCCGTTGATGTGCGGCTTCAGCCAGTACGTCGGTGACTTGAGTTTTGGCATCTACGCGCTGCACCCGCCGTTGACCTGGGCCTTTTATATCGGGTTCGCCGACCCGATGCGTGCCAAATATCTGGGCGACTCGCCGCTCGCGTACATCCCCGGCTATATCTCCATGACGCTGCTGGTGTTCACTGCCGCGGATTATTTTACTCGCTTGGACAAGAAGATTGTCAGATTGGGGAGGTGGATCCAGGTCAAGTTATTTAGGAAATGGGGTTGCTGAAGATGAAAACGGACGGATAGAGAGGAGAAGATTGACGAGATATGAAAATCGGTAGTAAGAGGGAGCCATCTTGCTGTATATAATATGCTCAGCACTGAAACAATATGATTTTGTGGAGAGACGAGATTGCAAGATTGCTGCTGTTGAGACGGTAATGATGCGTACAAGGGGACAGCATGACCAAAATCAGGACTCCATGCCGTGCCGAGAATCAGAATCGAGGTAAAGCCGACGTCGAACGTGTTCTTGGGGACCCAGCTGGCCGGCTCGAGGCTCGCTGTGATCCGTAACATCAGGCCTTCCCATGGCCGTCCACCACCGGAAAGGTCTTCGTCGGTATTGTGCGGCCGAGAAGCACCTTGGGATGGGACACTCCCATCTCGACCACCCGGCCCGGCCGTCCCGTGCCATACCGACTCCGGACTCGGAAGCTGGGCGATGCAGTAGTATGCATTTTTCGTGGCCATGCCATGCGTATGGAATTTGAGAGGTTATATGGGGTGGTCAACGGCATCGATGGCGTGAGCATGTGGGGGAGATGGGTAAGGGACGAATGTCTCGTAAGGCAACCCGAAGATGTCAAGTTCAGAGTGTCATTGGTTGAGCCTCGCTTGTTGCCTCTCAAGAATGCTTCCATATCCGTCGTCAATAGTTTTCAATTGTGCCTCTGAAAATCCATGTCTCGATAGCGGTAAGGACACTTGTTCCAAGACCCCAGAACACATGTGACGAAGTCGAGGACGGCGAATCGCCAATGACGAAGGTAAAAGGCGTCCGTGTCGGAAGGCTACCTTTCAGAGACCACCGTAGCAGAAACGGTGCTCTCGCAAAGCTTAGCGATGCTGTACATTGAGGCGAGACGGTCATCAGCAACCAAGGGAAGGCGCTGAGTAAAGAGAGATCCATCGACTCCCATAGCCTGCTCTACTCCAGGTCCAGTCTTGGATTTGTTACCGCCTGATGAGCAGGGAGAGGTGCTATCGCTCGGTGTGGGAAGATTGGTTTTTATGATCCTCGTAGTCATTACTGTCGGTACGTAGCGGCCGTCTGGGTGCGACGGCGGATCTGAGTCTGGGACACTGCCTGCTTTGGACGTCTCCAACAATGCTGGAACGTAGACGGGCCTCCACTCGAGCACCGAGACAGTCTGGCCGCGATCAGTACGGCGGCGACCGCCATTGTTATCACCTGTGTCGCGGCCGTCGCTGCCGACCACGCCAGACTTGACGGGCTCTGTAAATCTTAAGCGGGTGGCGTATCCTTCACACTGAATACCAAGACGCAGACATGCTTTGCAGTTTGGCTTGGCTTGATCGCACTGGTATCCAGACATCAGTACAATTGACCGGCGCAGCCGGTTCATCATTGTCGATAGACCATCTGTAGATGGCCCCCGCACAGATTCATACCTTGACGCGCCGTTGACGGCAAGTATAACAGCCAGTCCTCGTCCTTGTGATGGTCGTCTTCTTGGTCCAAGACGTCGAGAGGTTCATGGTTCTGACAGGGCAGCAGATAGGGTTACTCCAAAAGCAACCAGAATGAAAGAGCTTGTGCTTTTGACAGAGACAGCGTGGTCAGTATGCACCCCATCGCCTCGGTTTATGTATTGTCTGGCACCGAGTACGTTGGCGGGGTCTCAAAGTCAATACAAATGGTCGAAGCCAAAGACAGCTTCGATGTGTCGGTGTCGACCGGTTGAAAGCCTTACCGGGTCAGAAGCAAGCGGGAGCACCGGGCATAGTCACCGCACTGCTTGAACCTTGTCATCCCTTATCTTGCAGAACGGCAATTCGATCGAAAAAGCTATCCAGCATCCAATCATCTCCGATTTTGCCGAAATGCCCGAGGCATCAGGCAAGATGGGTCGGGAAGTTGGAGACCTGATGTGAACTCAATTTAATGTTTTGGCGAATTCACCTACCTCGAAGAGCTAGTCGGTGAGCTCAGTTGCCGACTTCATACCCGTCCATTGTGTACGAGAGAGCTAGGAGGTCCGCAACAAGACCAGTCCAGATCGCAGGCGGGTAAGAGAACGTCCGGTCCTACAGAAGGCATATTGGAGAGTACGTCCGCCTGACCTCAGGGCTGTAATCCTGCCATGCAGTGCCGCTGATCGGAGACGGCTCGACAGCAAAAGCAAAGGCAAAGGCGGTACGGCAGAGGAAGGTTGATTGGAGGATCGACGGTCTGCTGTCACTTAGGACGTCGACTGAGCACACCATGACCGTGATGATGTACTAGTATGGGTTGGACAGTTAGTTAACTGACACGAAGATTGAGATCCAAGCCGTGATTACCTTGATGGCAGGAAGTAAGAACGTTGGAGACGAAGCAAAGACTTGATGCAGACCTGGATACCTTAGAGGAGCCTCGGAGCTCAACTTGAAGGAGAGCCACTGCAGGCCGAGAAACTTCACCGTATACTTTTGCAGTCACACAATGTACACCCCACCGTAGATATGCTGCACGATACACGCTCCACCGTACATATCTCGTTCTCATGCCGCGTCACCCACCGGCAGATGGACGGAAGCAAGGCATCAAACATTTCTCTTCTCCTGGTAGATAGATCTCTTACAGCTTTGAGAGTAGGCCGCCTTCCAATTCATCCTCCCATGTCTACTCTGCGTGCTCTTATCGAGGAGGATACCGGTTCAGGCCTCTGACATAACATATGCTCGAAAGACCCCGGATGATTCGGCCCGGGCAGCAGAAGTCCTGTACCAAGTTCTCCACAAGACCTACTTCTTAGTAAGTGACAGAGGGTAGGCTACATCAGGCAACTACCGAAGGTATAATACCGTATCGAACACCTCAACTCTCCTCGGGCCAGTCTCGGGTTCCCTCACAACCGACAGGGTTGGGGATATCTTAGCCGTCCCCCCGCTTTACTCTCCCTCGAGGGAGAAACTTTGGGAAACCTTTGGGAGAAACCTTGGGAGAAACCTTGGGAGAAACCTTGGGAGAAACCTTGGGAGGAGAAACTTTGGGAGAAACGTCTACCAAGGTTTAAAGCAGGCTAGACAGAAGTGAAAGGGACAAGCCACCCCGGGACACCAGAAGTGACAATGCCCGACCAGATGTCTGAACCGGTGATCATTATCGGCGCTGGTCTGGCGGGCCTCGTCGCCGCTTACGAGTTGACTCGCCAGAACATCCCGGTGACGATAGTCGACCAGGAAAACGAACACAACCTAGGCGGTCAAGCGTTCTGGTCACTCGGGGGCATCTTCTGCGTCAACTCCTCCATGCAACGTCGGTATGGGGTCCGAGACAGTCATGCGCTGGCGCTGGCGGACTGGATGAACACGGCACAGTTTGACCGGGTACCGGGCCAAAAGCAGCCAGAATTCTCATCAGATGCCGACTCAGGCAAGGCCATCTCAGAGTCGGATTCGTCGACGGACGAAGACGGAAACAAAAACAAAGACCAGGATCCAGGGAAAGTCGACGATCAAGACTACTGGGCGCACCAGTGGGCCGAAGCATTCGTTGACTTCGCGACCCACAAGATGGAACGCTACCTGAACGACATGGGCGTCAAGTTTTTGACAGTCGGCTGGGCCGAGAAGGGCGCCGGCCGGGCCGACGGGCACGGCAACTCGGTTCCACGCTTCCATCTGACATGGGGAACGGGGCCGGAGATCGTGAAGGCCTTTGCCGAGCCTGTTGTTCAAGCAGCATCAACATCGACATCGATAGGTACCAGAGAGGCGAACCAGCAACACCAAGCCCGACAGCCCCTAGTCACGTTCCACTATCGCCACCGCGTCGACGAGCTGATTCTAGACGAAACCTCCGGCGCGGCGATCGGGGTGCGCGGCCAGATCCTCGAACCGACGGATCTAGCACGCGGGATGGCGTCGTCACGGACGAGCATCGACTCCTTCTCGCTGCGCGGGCGAGCAGTGGTAATCGCGACGGGCGGGATCGGCGGGAACATCGACGCGGTGAAGCGCAACTGGCCGACGACACGGCTCGGGCCCAAGATCCCCGCGTCGTTTGTGGTCGGGGTGCCGGCGCACGTGGACGGACGGATGCTGGACATCGCGTCGACGGCCGGGGCGCGCCTGACCAACATGGACCGCATGTGGCACTACACGGAGGGCCTGAGGAACTGGAACTCGATCTGGCCTGCGCACGGAATCCGCGTGATCCCCGGTCCGTCGTCGCTCTGGCTGGACGCGACGGGCCACCGGCTGCCCCCGTTCCTCTATCCCGGATGCGACACGCTCGCGACGCTCAAGCACATCTGTGCCACCGGCCACGATTACTCGTGGTTCGTGCTGAACCGGCACATCGTCAGCCGTGAGTTCGCCCTGTCCGGCTCCGAGCAGAACCCGGACATCACGGGCAAAAGCTACCTCCAAACCCTCTTGCAGCGGTACTTCTCCCGCAACGGCACGTATGCGGTGCAGGATTTCTTGAAGCACGGCGAGGACTTTGTCGTTGAGGACGATTTACCTGCGTTGGTCGAGGGCATGAATCGTCTGGCGCGCGAAAGGGGTGGGCCTGTGCTCGAATACGATGCCATCCATGCAGAGATCCTGGCGCGCGATATGCAGATGGACAACAAGTACTCGAAAGATGCGCAGGCCATGCTGATCGCCAACACGAGGCAGTATTGGCCCGAACGGTTCCGTACCGCGAAGCCGCATAAGATCCTCGATCCCGCGGCCGGCCCGTTGATCGCTGTCCGCATGAACTTGCTGACCCGCAAGAGTCTGGGCGGATTGCAGACGAATCTGGAGGGCAATGTCATGCATGTCAATAATCAACCATTCCCAGGTCTTTATGCTGCCGGTGAGGCTGCCGGGTTTGGTGGCGGCGGGATGCATGGCTATGCTTCTCTCGAAGGGACCTTTTTGGGAGGTTGTATCTTTTCCGGTCGAGTCGTTGGAAGAGCTCTGGCGACAAGAATCTCAGGAGTTTCTGGGGAGTCAAGGCTGTGATGTATTGACGTATATTATAATTCGGTGGTGATTTGATATATGGAGTCGTTGACTGGCCACTCCCTCACGATACCCAGAACATTCTCCTGAACCGCTTGACATGAGGTGAGTATTTGGACATGACAAGCCAGCGCTTTATTTGGGGTTGAATTTGCAAACCATGTCAGCCTTGCCCCTGATTACGGGACTAGGTTGGGCGCGGCTCTCCCAAGGGTTCCCCTGACAGCGAAGAAAAGTATATTTTTCTACATCGAGGTTTTTGTTGTCTTTCGATCAAGACTTCTATTCTGATAGACTGTATCGTATGTCACTCAACACTACCAGCAGATCGCCTGGTTCCTACCCGGCATCCAGCCCAGGAACCGTGGTCAATGCTTGACCTTCATCTGAAAGGCCCAAGGTACATACATTACAGCCTTATCAGCATTAAACTCAGCATCAGTCTCAACGGAGGAAACCCATTTTGGTATACGTGGTGACTACGGTGAGACAGCACGGCATCAGACCAGGAGACCATAGTTCTCCGTAGCCTAGCCCGGATCTGTAATATAACATGAAGAACAAGGGGCCCGGCGGAGGTCAAGTGGGATCATATCTCATTGTAATTTTGATAGTAGACAAATGCCCAAATCATCTGATCAACTCGGGTAATAGTGGTAGGAATAGCAATAGTCATAGCAATGCACGCTTCTGCTCTTCACCGAGAGGACTGCCAGCCTCGACGTTTTCGCTGTTTCAACCAAGTAACTCCACTGGCATCCATACCAAGTCCACCAAGGATGGATGTGAAAGAAGGGTTCGTCTTCATCCCGTCTTCGTCCCCGGCCTTCCTTTCAGCAGCAACATTGAGTCCCCTGGGGCGATATTCGGTGGTCGACGAAAGCTGGATGCCGATCCTGTATCATGCGCCTGATTCTCTTTTTGAATTGTGAATAATGCAAGACTTGACTGGTACCATGGAGTCCTCCAATCCCAGGCCCAAGACTGGTGCAACCAGACCACTGGCAAGCAAGCTCCTTGCCCCAAAACGACAGGATAAGATGTCGACCATGCAAGCAGGACGGATGGGATAGAAACCAATCATTCCCAAGGCAACTCAATTGCTGCCAGAATGGTCTTCCTTTTCAAGAAAACTTCCACCGATTCCCGCAATTCAAGCACTCGCAGAACGTGGTCATCGGTTCATCAGCACTTCTCGTCTGTGCCTGCGAGTAGCTGACTTTCTTCTGGTGGCATTTGCCGCACTCGAGACTCGTACTGACGCTCTTCTCCTCTTGCGCGACCATGGCGTTGTTCATGTTCTCCTTGGCGATCTTGATCTCCTCTTCCCGCTGCTGTTTGGACTTCATCTCTTCGTGGGTCATGCTGACGAACCGCACCGCCGTCACCTCTCCGCTCAAAATTCTCCCGCGCAGACCGGGATTGGATTTGTTCTTAAGGTTTTGGTACAGAGAGCGGATCTTGTCCTTGTACACGGGCGAGTTCGACGACCCTTTTGCATCCGGCAGGTTCAGAGCGGCGGATTCAATCTGCTTCGCGAGTTCTAGGATCTGCTTCATCGGCAGGTCCGATCCTAAACACAGCCCGTCGTACATCAGGCCTATACAGTTGTTCCGGGCCGAGTCGTTGGTGAGGTCGTCGCGCGGCACTTTGTCCACTTTCCAATTCCTCTTGTCCGGTGCGACGCCCGGGCTGCTGGCTTTGGGGGTGGGAGTGGCTGCTTTGGGTGCCGGTGAACTCGTCCCATTCGATCTCGCCCCTACCGGGGTTGAAGTCCCGCTGGCCAGCTTCTGTTCGTTCACCACATGTCTCCATCGGCTGATGATTTCCGAGGCGAGCTGTGCGACTTGCGGGTCGATGTTTGGCACGCCTTTGACTTTGTTCACGATTTTGCCGATCCCAGTGGCACGTAGCAGCTCTTCGCTCGGTCGGACGTTCGCCTTAAGGTCGCGTAGAATAGTTATAATGTTCTCGGACGGTTCTTTTCCCGCGACGGCCTTTTGTAAGGCAGAGCCTTTTGAGAGGATTTCTCGTCGGTCCATATTGAAGGAGGGGATGTAAGGGTTCGGTGATTGACGCGAACGGCCGTCGAGCGAGCCACGGATTGAGTGGAAAGACTGGAGAGAATTAGAAAGGAGGTTTCGTCCTATTTACTGTTTTGGTCAGCAATTGCTTCTGAATCGTGGCCATGGTCTAGCCACACCACGGTCGCGCCGAGAAAGAAGACGGCAGTCCCAAAGCGACTTGCGCCCGTCCCTAACACCCGAGCTCCGCCATGCTTGAATACGGGGAGTCAACAGGTGGGCTTCGTCTCAGCATTGTGCAGGCCGACAGCCCTCAGTGCTGGAAACACAGCCTGGGCACAATTGTGGTCGCACGGGAACGAAGCGGGCAGAAGGCAGACAATGCTCCTTACCTCTGCGCAAAGACAATCTCCGTCTCAACAGACTGTCGACTCTTGCAAGCTTCGATACAGGATGTGGAATATGCAGCAATCGTAAAACAGGAGTGAGAAGAAGAAAATGCGGGCGCAAGCGATGTTGAAGTGAGGCGGGCGACTGAGTCAATACGAACTTGAAGTTGAAGTTGAAGTTCAATGGAGCGCCGCTTTCGGTCACCAAAAGAAGCGTCATTTGAATCCGGTCACCAAGCAAGATATTACAAAAAGACCAATTCATCACAGATTGAGATGGATGGATTTGTATTCGATTCAATACTATTCCAGACTCTTCAATCTGCTTATGATACCCTGATCGATCGACTCCATGCTTCTTCCCTAATCCCAAATCCCAAATCCCAAATCCCACAAACACTATACGCGTTTGACCCTAGTACTAGTATTCTAGTCGCACCTCCTGACCCTTGACACGGCCGATCACAATATCGGCCGCATATTTGGGAATCACCTCGTCGTCGTGAAGCATCTCGAATTCTGCGCATATGTTAGTCTAGCTTGCGGTGTTCATGGTAGAAGATCACTCTTACCTTCAGTAGCGTCTTTGCCCATATGGCTGAACAGGGCTTGAGGGCCGCCGGGGTGCTCGTCCAGCCAGTTCGTGACATCCATCACCACCCCCTTGACGGCGATCCACAGGTCATCCTTTTTGTTGTGTTTGGCCACTTCCTCCAAACTGAACTCTTTCTCCGGCACTTTGAAGGAGCTTAGATCATTGTGGTCCTTCTTCTTGCCAGGATCCTGGCTCTTGTTGCCATCCATGACGGGAGCAGCACTCTTCTGAGCCTGCTGGGAGGTCGTTTCGGTACCAGCCGATCCTCCAGAATCTCCGGCACCTCCACTGCCCCATTCGACGGAGATCTTCCCGGGGCTGTTGGGATCGATGTGGAGCGAGATTTGGCCGAGACGCTGGGACGCTCCAGTACCGCCTGCAGCCGTGAGTTTGTTCAAGAGGTACTGAGACGCCGATGCACCCGCCACACGACCATACACCACACAGCCGAGAAGCGACGAACCACCGAGCCGATTGGCACCGTGGACACCACCTGCAAGTTCACCACATGCAAACAGAGCCTCGAACGGCTTATGCTCCTTGTTGAGCACTTGGGCCTTGTCGTTGATCTCCATGCCACCCATGGTAAAGTGCAGGACGGGCTCCATCAGGGCCACATGGAAGGTGTCATTGATGTCCATGGGCAAGTTGTGGAAATACTTCTTGCCCCAGGGGTCCTTCTTCTTCCCCTCGGCAATGGCGTTGTACTCCTTGAACTGTTTGTCGAGAGCTTCCTCGCCGCAGCCGATCTCTTTCGCCAGCTCTCGCCCGGTCATCTTCTTCATCAGACCACGTCCTGAATAGTGTCGGGTGTGGAAATCCAGGATGTTGGACGCCTTGGAGTTCAGCACCAGTCGGATGGGCCACTTTCCTTTCTCCTTTTCTTCCCACATCTTGCCAGACACGTAATCACGGTGGCCCAAATCGTCACAGAATCGCTGCCCGTCGCTGTTGAGAAGGATCCCTCCTTCGCCCCGGAGGGCCTCGGCAGCCAAGAACTTCCATTTTGAATGGGGATCCTTGGGATCAACCAGACCGGTAGGATGCACTTGAACCTTGTCCATGTCGATATCATTCGCACCGATGGCCATCAGCATCTTGTGTCCATCGCCAGTGGCGTGAGTGCCGTTGGTCGATGACAGATCGAAGGTATCCGGCCGCCATTTCTTGAGGAGCGAGTTTGGTCCAAAGTCTGCCGCATAACCACCAGTGGCGAGAATAACAACACCATCAACGGAGTGTTTTTCACCGTCATATTCGTATGTGACACCAGTGACGAGGTTGCCATCGTGATTCACGGAGGTGACTTTGGCCTTCTTGATGACCTGAACCCGGTCCGGGTCGGATTCGCAGAGCTCTTCTAATCTTTGCATAAGCGCGTATGTAATTGCCATACCCGGGAATTTGGCATCGTGTCCTCTGTGGGTTCGGGGGAAGGAATGGCCACTACATACTCCTGTTAGCTACTCTTCCTCATACTAGTTGCAAAGCGCACATACCCCAGACGCGAAACAAGGGTCAGGTCGAGGTTGAAGACATCCTGTAACCACTCGACCGCGGCTGCGGACTGGTATGTGAGCACTCGGATCAGATCCGGTCTCGCCTTGTCACGGGCTGATTTGAGAGTATCCTCGTAGAACGCTTTCACGCTGTCGCCAATCCCGAGGTCGACTTGGGTTCGGGTTAAGGCACCGTTGATGCCAGATGTGGCCTTGGTGGAGTTTCCTCCGAAGAAATCTGTGGACGCGGTCAGGATCTACCGCAAGGGGTAGGATTGATGGGCACTGACTGTTCTTGTCCAGGAGAAGCACACTGCCTCCATTGAGGTATATGGTATGGGCGGCGCTGAGACCGGACACTGCATTGCGGTCAGATGTGTCCAGACAACACAGCACACGGGGGTGTAATCTTACGGCCACCACCAACAACAATAACACGAGGACCAGGCATCTTCGGACGGCGGGAAAGGATTGTGAGGGTCTGCGAGGCGAGTAGTAGCAGATGTAAAAGATGGGGATGATGAAGATGGAACGGCTTTTGAAGGAAGACAAAGGGATCGATCACCTGGCCGAGCTACAGGGAATTGTTTCGATGGATGGATGTTCTCAGGTCGGTCGGCCGGTCAGTGCGAGGTGTTTGTCTGAAGTACCGTCAAAGCCGCTTTGGCCGCAGCTGCGCAGAAGGCAGAAGTGCAGGTGACTGACTGACTGATTGATTAATCGATGATGGATGGTGATAATGAACCTCGGCACCGACGGGTGGATGAGCGCTGACGAGACGAGACTGTAAGGGCAGAGATGATAATATGCTGCTCCTGACTGGTGCCCACAAATTGACTCTCTTTAACTAATAAGGTTAACGTACTAGGTACCTATTATGAGAGCAGTAGACGCTGAACTTGGGCTGCACGCCACTTTGCCAGTGAACCTCAGTAACGAAGCCCCGGATTTACTGGCAGTGCTAGTAATGATTGGAGTAGCCTCGACATCTGCTAATAGGGCATGAAAGAGAAATATACCTCTCTCTGTCTAGGAAACATCATCTGATCCTGAGCGACCAGGCAGTGGCTGTGGCTGACAACTGAAGAGCCCCAACAGGCTCGCTGTTCTCTCCACCGAGGAGATACTAGGGCGCTGTCTCCCCTCAACGCTGCGGGTGGTGTCACGCCCGCCTAAGCCCCAGTTTCGCCCACAAAATCCCCAATCGGCCCTAGAACAAGCCCGAACTCTCCCCCGCGCGGCGAACAATCGTTGAAATCGCCCCCGAGAGCAACGCCTGAGTAGTTCGCACTTCACATGCCAGTGCCTCGGAGAGTTCACCTAAGGAACCCCCTGTCCATCACTCACCCCGGGCGCCCGCAGTCCGCCCTTCATCCTCAGTCTGACCGTCGGCATGTCTCCGAGTTTGCGGGCTTACTGGCATGTGATAATATCGCCTCAAACAAAACTCTTGATATCACGAGGACCACTGCATGATTTCTGACATCCAGTGGAGTGTTCGCAGATCCAATTGCATTCAAGTTCAAGATATATGACAACATCCAATCAAAGCATATTCAAAGGGGTATCATAACATATACGACAACCATCCACGCCAGTCTACTCCAGCACCGTTGCGATATAAATATAAGCCACACCTCTCTGAGCGACCCTCGTTCCTAACCTTTGTCGTAGTTGGTACTTCTTATCAGATCAACCTCTGTAGCGGCGGCGAGCCACGCGATGTCATTCTTCGTGGCACCATTCAATCCTCCTCTTCTTCAACGCAGCCAAGATGATACCCTTGGATTTGTGACCATCCGTGATCGCACTTGGCAGGCTGTTCTGCCACGGCCGAGAGCTCGGCATGTCTCCGGGTCGCAGCGTTGTAGACCGGTACCAACGGTATCTGTCCAACCAGTTTTTATACCAAGATGCTTGGCGGATGGTTCTGGCAGACGTATATGGAGCGGTGGATATCCAGTACGATTGTCTCCCACAGCTCCCTCGCAGCAGGGCGTTATGAGGCCGACCATTGAATCGCCGTTCTGTTCCTCAGCCGACAACAGCATGCGCATACACTTGTAGAGTGCAGGATATATTCGTATTCTCTGCTCTCTTTCCATCAGCTCCTCCGCTGCTCGCCATCCGTCCGCATCGATGGACTTGACACAGCAGTTGCGGAGTGTCGTGACAGTAGGGAGACGCTCGAGGTAGGTGAGCGGAGACTCGAGCCCGACGACGCTGCGCCCAGGTGTTGCGCAGTCTGCGAATGCCTGCTCTCGTTCTTAGGCTCTTTGTAGAACATGGTGAAGCGAAGGGTCTGGTATCTCATGATCGCGGGGGGTTATCATGACCTGGACCTTACGCAGAACAAGGCAATGGCGTGACGTGGGGGAAAACGAAAGAGGTCGAGCGAGTAAATGAATGCCTGGGTTTGGCGCAATGGAAAGCGACACAAGACAAAGAAGGAATGTCTATACTCAACGCCAGGAATAATAAATATTCGACGGGACCAAAGTGAGTATTTGTACCTCTCGTCAATCATGGTTCCTAATTCAGCCGTGGGCCCGTACTACAGATAGGGAAGTCGCCCGCGCGCTGAGATCGATGATGCACGACGATGAGTGGAGGACGGAGGGAGGAAAGAAAGCTAGGGAGAATTCGGGTTCGGGGAAGAACTCGGAAGACTGTCGACACTCGTATTCTCGTAATTTGCACGTGATATCACATGATTATGCCAAGTGTCAGACTCGATTGTATGCTCCGCCGAAGACTGCTCTGGCCGACGACGCGGCTCATCTGAAATGATTGTCTGCCACTCACTGCATCACATCCCATTGTTCCCTGTTCAGTGTAACGATCGACTTGATGGAGCGTGCCGTCGGATCAAACCGTGGTAGAAGAAGTCGTCCTCTTCCCGCTAAGCCCACCCTGCGGTGGCATCCCGAATGCTCTCCTCCAAACTGGCCCATCATGGTCGACCGAATCGCTTCAAGATCTCTTCGGCCCTCTCATTTCCGACCTTGCTAAGGTCCTTGCCTAGAGCAGGAATGTCATCCATAAAATGGTGGGATGGGTACAGCTCTCTGAACACGGCGAGTATGTCATTCTAGTTGAAGGGGTAAGCAAACGAGCATAGCCGCTCACTGTTGACATCCGGATATATGAGTGCCCCAACATGGATCCGAGCATTGTCCTGGCCATTGACATAGTATTGAGGTGGGTTGAACTTGAGTTGCTCCTGGCCCTTGAATCCATTCCAAAGTGCTTGAACCCATCCGACTGTACTTGGTGCACCTTGGTGCTGTGGAGATAGCACCCGACCAATGTTACAGCTGGGCAATATCGCGTTCAGGACGACGCCCGGTTTGTTTTCTTTCATCCAATCCCAAGCACCTAAGGCTTCCCCTTGAATTGGCCCGAGCTCTAGAGCTGCCGGAGGAGCCATTGATGAGGACCCAACCGCTACGAGAGAGCATACGGTCGAGAAACATTACATCCAATCTGGCTACACCCCGTCTCCAGCTTGGTCATATTCTGACAACACAACCCCTCTCGCCTATACAGTTACAGTTCTGTTGTGGGTTATTGGCATTCTGTCTGCAGCTTCAAGTTGTTCATTCGAGGAGACCAGGAAACCCAAGGACGGCTGATATGGCCAGGGTCGAGGCCCGGCACGAGCCTTCCCTGGCCGACATAGCACAGACATTCCTCAACAAGAAACTCGCTGGCTTCTCTCGCTCAGCTCACACACACACACACTTGTCTGACATGGTCTGCATTGGTTCTAGGCAGTGTTCTTCTTCTCCGAGAGGACAACCGTCTCCGAACGAAAGGACACATCATCCACGTCAGCTTGAGCTTGAAGCTTAGATTGCGCACTGCTGGACGATTACGTGGCCCAAAGCAAGAGCGACGCCTCACACAATAACCAAAGGAGCAAGGGGGCGGCAGGATTGAGGAATGACGGTGGCCCCCACAACGTTCCACTAGCGAATGACGACAACGACAACAACAACCACGACGACTACGGCTGGACCCTGCTAGCTGCCGAATTGGAAGACAAGATGGGCCATCTCTGGCTTCCTTCTCTAACAGACCAATGGCGCCGTGACTGGCAGCGGTCCATGATTCGACAGCAGCAATAGGAGCAGCAAGGTCTTCTGAAGATCGGGGTGCCCATGAAACGGCAGCAAGCTACTCAGGCAGATCTACCTGGGGCAGACAATCCGCATGAACGTTCCCATAAACATGCATACAGAAGGGAGCAGAAGCAGAGTCGATCCAACGAGACAACCACTGTCGAGGAGAGGAATGAGGGGGATCTTGAAGTCGACATCGTAGAATACCTGATCTTGAGGAACGCAAGGGATTCCTTGCCTCGGATCGAAGGGCCACCGACAAAGAATGAAGTGACTTGGGGGACGTTCGAGAGTAGTAACATCGACAGACACTGATGTCTGATATATTTTAAGTTGGTACACATCCACACCAGGTGCTTTTTCTTTCCCACTTCCGGCTGCTCATCAAGTCCTGGCTCTGGTAGCGTGGTATCAGATGCGGCTATCCAACCCCTATCTTCATTTTTCTCTTCGTCTCCTGTTGTTGCGCAGGTTGGATATCGTTGGGCGTCAACCTGTCTGTGCCTACGCCAGAAAGAGAGACTAGAGCTCCTTGCTCCTCGCTCCTCGTTTTATGACCATCCCTGCACCTGTCTCTTGACTGGTACCGGCGGGATTTTATCACATGTCGGCCTTGTTCCGTCTCCACTCCATTGGATTTCTCGGAGCCTGGTCCCATGCCGGGATAGGAGGCGGCTGGATGCCATCATGAATATTTGTGTGGATGGACGATGAGAATGAGGGCGGCGCGAGTGTGTGTCGAGGTCATAATTCGAAATGCTGAATGAGAGCCCCCGGCCAGTATAACAGAGGCATGTGTGTCGGAAGAACATGTCGCTGAGTAGTATGTATGTCCTTCATCCGCGTCGCTGTTTGGGTAGGGACGCCGACGAACCTGTCGACCGCCGGTGGTAGATGCGTTGACCTGCCTTGATCCCAAGAATAGAGGCATTCGAGCAGACTCACTCACGATTCTTCCACGAAGAAGAATGAGCATGAGCCCAACCCAACCCAACAGGACACTCCCCGCCTGACTCTCATCCATCCATTGATTCAGGCAATGCAATCTACATTTTCCGCGCAAACTCCATGTTCTCAATCCATGCAGTGGTGCACCATATCAGACCAAATATGCCGGTTCCAACACGGTCCACACCGGCAGTCACAGCCACAGCATTTGGAGAAGAAGAAGCTGTGTACCACCTACTACCAACTAGAGGATGTCGGGATGTCTACAACTCCCCACACTCGGCAATCCGAACATCAAGAACCGGCCGTTCCCCTTGTCCACGCCCACCGGGCCCCGCGGTCCTCGTGTTCTCAATCATGCGCACGACATTCATGCTCTCCTGGTCCGCGACCTGACCGAAGACGACGTGCTTGTTGTCCAAGTGCGGCGTGGGCGCACAGGTGATGAAGAACTGACATCCGTTCGTGTTGGGGCCGGAGTTGGCCATGGACAACATTCCCGCGGCGGTGTGTTTGTGTTGGAACGATTCGTCGGGGAAGGCGGCGTTGTGGTAGATGCTCGTGCTGCCGGTGCCGTCTGAGTGCAGGAAATCGCCGCCTTGGATCATGAAGTTTTTGATCTATCAACGTCAGATGTCAGCTTGGCTGATCAAGTCTGAGTCTGAAATGTGCGTGGCACACAGCAGACAGCACACAGGTACGGGGAATTGGGAATGGGGAATGGGGCAGGTGTTATGAGAGATGTGACTGAGATTCAATTCGTGTCGGGTTGGCTTTTGGGTGCAGCAAAACGGTCTGAGAGTTGAGGTTGGATCAAGGAGGAATAGAAGGATTGAGGGAGGTTCAATTTCGAGGAGAAACAATGCTCAGACCGTGCCTCGTCGATGCCACGTCGTCTCGTTGTATATGTGGTAATACTGCAACGGTGTTCCTGATACGTACCACACGATGAAACCTGCTGCCTTTATACCCTTGCGGGCGGCCAGCGACTTTATGTTCGCCGGTGCAGAATTGTCTGAAGTTCTCGGCTGTTTTGGGCACAGTGTTGGCAAAGAGATGCATCTTGATCCGGCCTAGGGGTTCGCCTGCGTCGAGGAAAAGTGCGTTAGTCGTCGGCACTTACAAATCAACATGGCTTTATGCTTGGGGCAATGAATGCTTTTGGTGGACGAGAACGCGTTCAAAGTAAAGGAGAGCAGGTGTTCAATGTGGAGGAAATGAGCCGTATCATAGCCCGGCGCAGTGCGAACTGTATGCATAGCAGCCACGAGCAGAGCGGTGTGTGCAACCAAGGACAGATCCAGCGTAGCCTGGCTGACAAGAAGAAGGACAACGACCAGAGAAGAGATATCCAGCTGGTGACCACACAATTCTTAAGCTTGCATCTGATAGCATTTCCCACCGTCTGTGACAGCTGACGCATATCTTCAAATAAACGGTCTGGGAACAGCAGGAATGGCAGCGAAAAAGCGGCAAGAGCAGCACTTACCACCAAGCGTGATGTCGAAGAAGACAATCGGTTCACCCTCGCCAGGCATGGGAACGGGGATTGTTCCTGATGCCATTTCCAAATCTTCTGAGACCAGTGAAAAGCGGGTAGCCTTGGACAAGCGGACGGAAGCTGGATACGCGAAGCAAGACAAGTGCCGCGAAAGCTCGTAGCGGCCTGATGAACGTCGTCTCTCAAGTGGGCAAGGACAAATATGAGAGGTTGGGATGCTCGATGGGTGAGTGCTGATAGTCTTTGGACTTCTGCCGTGAAAAGCGACCTTCCGTTGATTCACAGTCACTCTCTGCCGTTGGTTACTCCTTTGCTGCTGGTTAGGGAGGGAATCGTAGAAGTAGTATTTGGTTGAAGACGTTGTAGAAAACAGATGGAAGATTGTATCAAATTTAAGGTAATTTATATTCGCGAACAATACTCTAAATGACGAAACTTACCGGAGCAGAATGGATAGTTTCTTTGACATTACAACTTATATGGTCTACCATACATAGGTACCTCCTACAAATCAATACAGTCATGATTATTGAGCTGACACTCGTTCATCCCTTTCTGAATATCTCTCTCTCTCAAGGTCTCCTACGCAGCAATCTCCTGTCTCTTACACTCTCTTTTCCAGAACTTGAGGCCTTTCTTCTTTTTCGGCTCGGCTGTCTCGAGCGGAGGCGGCACAACATAGGCCGGTCTTCTCGAGCCTAATTCCCCGGTAGACACGACCCCATCAGGCCATCGCGATGCCGGAATCTCGCCGATTTTCGTGCTGGCAGTCATGAACGTCATGGTCGAAGACGGTCGTGCATTGCCGTTGCCATTGCCATGATTATGACCATGTCTAAGTCTAGGCCGTGTGTCGAGAGGGATCTTCGGAGGCCGAGGCGGCGGTTCAACGCTCTCAACCTGCATCCCCGTTGCTGGGGTGTCGAAAAAGTCCGCAGGCACTATCAGCATGCTAGGTTGTCTTTGAGGCCGTGGATTTGTATCTGATGTCTGTCTCTGTCTCTGGAACGGCGGGTGCTCCTCTGGTCTGCAATCTTGGGATGTTTTCCGCCGTTGAGGTTGTCGGTCACCGGCCTTGTAAGTACCCCTGAAGTCCGCTTCATTGTTCTCTGCATCATCAGACCGCTTCCGAGTATGTGAGTCTTGTGGAGAGGCGGATGAGCTGATATTGGATGGATTCGACTGGCTTCGAATATGCTTCTCGGTCTTTGCTCCTTTGACCTTCTCACCCCTTGCTTCTTTGGATCCTTCTATTTTCCTGGCGGTTGCTGCTGAGATGATCAAAGATCCGCTCTTGGACCTCACCCAGCCTCCACGCACGAGGAGCGGGGCAGGAGATGGTCGTTTCGATGTTTTGGAGAGTGACGCCGAGCTCCCCTTTCGACTGTGGGGGATCTGACTCTTCTTGTCATTGAACATTTGAGTCGCGTTATCAGTGAACTTTTGTCTCTCCTTCGGCTCCAACGGCAGTCTGGGCGTTGAAGCAACGCTGAGGCTTAGCCGTGACTGGAGTTGACCCAGAGCTGCCAGGGTGTCCAGAGCAGCAGTTTCGGAGAGAGTGAACAATGCTTTCTGGGACATGGCTTTCGAATGCGGGTCTGTCGACAGTGCATGATTGATCAGATTGATCAACCCCGTATTGAGAACCAGCAGAGTATGTGCCAGAGTCGAATGAGCTGTACTGTCGCCAACCTCGAAGCGGTGACCGAACTTGACCACATTGTGATCGTATTCTTGTTGGATCTGCAATGGTCGGCTCTTGAGGGAATCTTGGATCCATTCTTCTTCCTCCCATGGTCGAGGAGGTCTCGCGCTGGTCTTTCGTTTCTTTCCGCTTAGGCGGTGGAACACTTCCAGACCACTCCCGAATGCTGAGATGATGGATGCCACGACAGAAGCTACATCGATTCCACCCATGATGCTAGAAGTGGTCGATTCTGGTGGGGATGTTGCAGTTCCCTTATACAAGCCCGGCGCTGGGTAAAACTTGGAAGACTTATACTAGCACCCGTCAATTGAATGGCTAGTTACAACAGAAAGGCATCTAGAAACTGGGGCGTCTGGGTGTATAAGTCATTCGTACTAGATATGAGGATGGCCGGAATCAACGACTAGCAGGAACCCTGCATGTGCTCGTGCAAAGCTTCAAGTCCAGATGGTCGACAACAGTATTGTCCGTTCCTAGGTTCAGGCACATGTGTCAGAAGAGAACCGGATGTCATTGAGCTGGAATCGAGGGGGAAAAGGCCGTTGACTAAGGTATCGAGTCTGAGATGTGACTGGTAGAAGATACCGAGCATCAACCAAACCAAACCAACCACATACAGCCAGGCGACCAGGGCGCAATTGCAGGCGCTTGTAGACCGGCAGGTTCATCGAATGGCCGGAGAATGGAGAGAGAAGAAACATGCATGTAGCCGAGGGGGTCTCTCATGCCGTACCTTGACGAGTCAATGATCAGTCGAAGCACAAGCTGGAAGGGAGAGGCATTGAATGGTCGACAGAGAACAAATCATCATTGCAGACAGGAGAGAACAAGAGCAAAGGGCTAGGATGGTGACCAAGAAGACTGAGTAAGTCTTTGGCTTGCGCTCCATGGAATCTTCGCCTTTTGTGCCGTCCGTCAATCAATCATGTAGTCATTCCTTACGCGGCGTAGGGTGCTATAACAGACTTGTGTACATTGGAACCGTTTCAGCCGAACAGACAGACATCCAAGCCTGACCCTGACATGACCGCAGCTCCATTCATATTGCATGGAATGGCTTCATTTGCCCGCCTTGGGCCCTGCCACACCTGCACCGATAACACTGGGCAATTCCTGGCTGCCCATATTGTACAACATCCCAATGACCCCGGCGATCAAGGCTGCCATCACCACCCCAAACCCAGCGAATAGAATGAACGGCACGCTAATGTCCTTCTTCTGACACGCTGCGCCTCCCCATTGGACAGTCTTCTTTGTGCCGTCTTCATTCACACGCACCAGTGTCGTGCCACATCGGCATTTGAAGCAGTTTGTATGTGCTAGGTAGCAGGAGCCGTGGCCCGAGCAGGAGTTGGTGGTGTTCTCGCATGCAGATTGCGAGGCGAAGCATGCGGGGATGACAGAGGGAAGCGTGGTATTCTTGCTGGCATCGGGCGCAGCCACAGTGTCAAAAGAAACGGCATCCGTAGGAGTTGCCGATGGGAGATCGAGAGGTTCTTCCTCCGACTTTTGCGGTGCACGTGCCTGGTACTGGTGCGCAGGCTTGTCAACGGCCTTGGAGAGCTTCGACGGCAGCAGGAGGAGTGTAGATTCGATGTTTTCGGTGGCTGACAAGTGTTTAAGAAGGCGGATCAAGGGGGGCAGGTAGTCTTTGACCTCGGACGGGTTCGTAGGTAGGTAGGTGTAGAGAGAGAGGATGATGGGGATGTCAGAGATCTCCGACGAGGCAAGGCATAGCCGTTCCTGTAAAGGCCAAATCAGTCAAACGTACATCTCAACAGTTTCGCTTCATTCATACATTCCCCAGCGGATACGAGAAGATCACTTCCACTCCTTTGCTGTTGGGCGTGTTGAGGCCTGTGGGCACAAGGTATTCGCAGGTGAAGTCCTTCTTTTTGCGGTTCGGAATGGCCTTGAAGTCCGTGAGCAGGTCTTTGGTCGGTTCTTGTATCCACAGATCAGGCATGACATTGTCGAAGTCGTGGACCTGCATGTCCACTCCTGATATTCTTATGAACAGCCTGCCCGGTGCTTCTCCAGCCTGTACATTTTGGAAGAGTGGCTTTTGGTAGCCCCCATATGAATGGATGTCTTCAAGTATCCTTTCGTCCGTGACCCCCAGGTATCGCTCGGCTGTGAGATCTCTTCTTCTTGCGATGATCGCGCTGGCCACGTCGGAATCAATCATTGACGTGGAGGACGAGGCGACTTTGGAGTCGACCGTGAATAGATACCCGCCTTGAGCTGCGACATTCTGCAGCAGCACCGCGCAGGGCAGGAGAGCAGCGAGAGCCTTCATCTTTCCAGTGCCAGCTCCTGGATAAGCCGATTATCACGACAGCGGCAGGAAAGGAGTGCTGGAGTCGCCCTCGAGAATGAATGGGGAAGATTAGTTCGGCCTGTCAAAGGACAAAGGTCCAAGCGCAGCTTGACATGGTACAGAGGATCGTAGATAGTCGACATGTACACAGTAGTACGTACTAAGTACCTACTAGTTCACTAGACAAAGGTATACAACTTTTAGTGTCCCCTAAGGAGGAGTTGCTAAGAACTTAGCCTCGTTAGATAGTACTAATTAGTACGTAGATATGCAGGTGTACAACCGCTCCTCTTTTTTCTCCCCTCTGTCTCTCTCCCACCCACTGCTCAGTATACCTAGTAACCAAGGTCAATACAATCTATCATACAAAGAAAGGATGGAGGCAACGTCGGCTGCCATTGACACAGGGTACGCGAAAGGTGGCAAGGTGAAGTGAAAGGGCAGCATGACGCCGACAAACAGCCGAACAAAGGACGCGTTACTGCAGTTACTACGGCAGGTGGTGCGAAACAGAAGCACAGGCTATTGGGAGAGCTTAGCGTCTCAATCAAGAGGTGCCAGTGTTCGTTTACCGCTTCCAGGCTGGAGGTACGTTTGAAGATGTACTCTCCAACACGGCTGTCTTTTAAATCCCAGCTTTTCGGCCGTGGTGATGGACAAGAAGAAGCCAAATCCGAGCAAGATCAACATCCTCCGAGATGCTCAAGCCAATGCATCACGACCGATACACATATTTTGTCGCTCGCGATAAAAGCAAAGCGCTCCGAGAGTTGATCGCCAGCAGCCCATCGGCAGAGAGAGGTCTGCACAACTCTGACAAGAAGGCGATACTGGACGCCCATCAAACCCAAGGCGAAGGTGCTGTCAGATCGGAAGACAGGGCCGGTGAAGGCACAGGAATCTGGAGGTACAGTGAACCTTGGATAAAGCGATCACATAATCCGAGCAATATGATGGTAGGCATGTCCGTAACATCGTCACACGTGTTGACTATCGCTGCTTTCGCTCCACAAAGCCACCGAGATCAAGTCGCCTACGAGATTCGAACGTGGTCAGATAATCTTGACAGACGCTCCAGACCAATTCGAACTCTCCCAGGCTACATTGAGGAAGACGCCCTTTTCATCCCGGAGCAGAGCAAAGTTTACTCCGCCCAGATCACCACCGGTGTGACGAACAAAACAAATCGGGCACGCCGGTTATAACAAGATATCAACCACAGGTCGAGGATTCCCAAGCACAAGTGCGTGGAATTCACATCTTTCTAGGACACATCACTTTTCTCCATCTCCCTCTTCCTCCCTCGCGCCAACCTCTCTACGTTCCTTCTCATCAGAAGCATCGGTCGTTGAGTCTTCTGTGGATTGTGGTTGCTCTTTCAATGCAGGAGTCTTCTTCGTTTGCTCGGGCAAGAGAAAGCCAGATGTTGGTCTGCGTCGTCTCAGTGGTTCATACCATTTCGTAGCATCGGGGATACCGTAAGCTTTGGTGATTGCAGGTTGGCCGATCAGACTCTTGGCCTTGGGGGAGTAGACGGCAAAGACGTCGAGGCGCAACTTGCCGCGGTCCCCCACAAACTCAATGTACCCTATGATGTGGCATGGGTCGCGAGCATCCGTATGTGCGGCTTTGGACTGGCCCATGGCCCAATGTAACCGGAACACCGCACAAGCCGAGTCAATGGCTGCTTGGTATGTCATTGACCGGACGGCGTCACGGTAGCCCTGCCTTGAAGCATGTTCTCCATACTCGCCGCGTAAGAATGGTAACATTTTCTTCATCTCACTTTCCGAGGCCCTTCGTATGGGGAGCTTGTTCTCTTCCTTTTCCTCTTCAGTGGCGGGTCTCGCCCGTGGACGTGCCATGTACAGCGGGCTCAGCTTACTCGCGCTGCCGCCCAGATTACCGTTGGAATTGCCGGTGGGATTGAAGCGATCCTGCAGCCGAGCTTTGGTGATTCGGTATGACACGGTCCAGAACTCTTTCAGGCCGTGATAGAAGGCTTTCGAGAGAATGATGGGATGAAATGCGCGGTCCAGTCTGCTGCCGAAACTGTCGGGCAGGCATCGCCACACGAGCACAGCTTCGCCGCCGGGCTTGATCACAACATACGGTACCTCGTAGACTGGCGGCCGGTTGAGAGGGACAACAAGTTCCAGATTCACCCGCATGTGTCCCGGCCTGAGGACCTGGAAGAACTGGGCCAATTGTTCTTGTTTCCTCGCTTGCTTCTCGGTCTGTTGGGCAACCTGCACCTTTATGTCATGCAGGAGTTTCTTGTCCTGTTGTAATCGTTGGAATGTCTTCCATTCAGGGTCGTCCGGTCGGTAGGGTGGTCCCCGTCGCTGACGGATATATAGAAGAAGTGGTATGCTGATTTCGTCCGGTGGGAAGTCGGAGCCGGACAGGGACTTCGAGAGGCCATTCTGCTGCGGTCCAGAGACTTTCGACAACCCTTCAACCCGGGACCGCGCCTGCTCCGAGTCGGCCTGTGCGGGTTTTACATCCTGCTTCTTGGGGAAAAGATGGCTGGCCGTGGAAATCACACAATAACTAATGATAAAACTGGTCAAGACGCGGGAAATCGATGGTCTGCTGGTTGACGTTAGAAATGTGCCCTCGTCAAGTCGATCGTGTCCGGCTAGTGGGCCACATACTTGGACTGTCGTATCACCGACACTCTTTGCAAGGCAATCTGGCCATTCTGGAGCGGTACACGCGCTGTCCGCGATTGACGGAGCAGGGACTGAAGCATCGAGTTGCATCAGATGCGGACATTATTGTAGCGGAGGAAGTTGGACGATTGACTTCGCCCGCGTTGAGGTGCGGTGGCAATGATGCCTTGAGGACTTGTTGCTCGCGACTCTAGGATATGGATATTCGCTTCATGGGTCTAGGTCTCTGGCACGACCGAGAAGTTAGTCTATCTGGTGTTGGACAGTCTTGTGGTCATTAGTGTTGAGATGTGAAGTTAGAGCACTTGAAATCTGTGGGGGACGAATTGACTGTCGGTTGCGGCTGCGGAAGGCGAGGCACGTGAAGAGAGAAGAGAGAACAGCACAAAAATGAGGTAAGCAAACCCGTGTGCTTGTGTGGTACCAACGTACAGTAACTTATTTTAGTAAAGTAGTATGCGAGTGCTTCACCTTGCTGGATTGCAACACCTCCATAAGCTTCACAGACGAACCTCGAACCTCTCCACAAATATGCCTCCTCCACGAAGCAGAGACACCTCCGTCCGCCTCATGCAGCAATTCCTCTTCGCGACACGACCACAGCAGCGCTCCATCTGTCTCCAATGCCGCTCCCGACGCCGAAATAGCCCTCGGTCTACTCTCCATGCTCGCTCCCTCGCACAAGCAACACACGCTCGACCACGAGCAGGACTACTAGTACCATCGACCGAAACGCAAGGGTTGCAAGTGCAAGGACCCGTACAAAACCACTCCCAAACAACACATTTCAGCACTTCAACGACTGCGTTCAAAAAATCATCCGCCTCCTCCAAATCATCCCGCAAATCTCCCCCCGTCACCGCCCCGAACCGTGACGTCCATGTCCCCGACAACGCGGCAACGCGGGAACGCGACTCCGAAGTCGACCCGTACGACTTCAGCGAGCTGAACGATAAGATCTCAAAGGCCATTTCGCGCCTCAAAGAAGCCCTGGTCAAGACTCGAGAAGCAGGGCGTGTCACGCCGGACATGGTCGAGGGGTTGCCGGTCGAGCTTAATGTCAAGGGTCATGATGCCCATGGCGCGCCGCCGCACAAGGAGAGGTTGAGGATCGGGGATCTGGCGAGTGTGGTGCCCAAGGGGGGGAGGATGATGCAGGTGTTTTGTGCGGAATCGGCGGTAAGTTTCTGATCTCTGTTTCTTTTTGATTTTCATGCCTTCTGGTTCGTGGTTGTGGTTTCATCTCTGCCCTGCTCTCCTCTATGCATGTCTGGGTGTTGTTCTGCTCTGGCTTTGCATTACTCTGCCCGGAGGATACGTGTGTCTGGACTGAGGGTGTCTCTCTCTGGACTGCAAGCACATCTGGAGTGGTTCTCGGTCGAAGTATACACATTTCTTACCAGGGCTCTTGTTGGGAATTGATTGTATTTCCTGAACCATGAGAATTGGTTCTTCAGTGGTGATTCCCATCGCGCTGGCTGGCTGGCTGGCTGGCTGGCTGTGATAGTGATCCGTCTTCTCGGCCTGTTCCTATACAACCACCCCTCTCTGCATGTCTTACATGTTCCTCTCACTTCTAGCGTCTTTCGCCGCATATTTGCAATTGTCTGCTCATTGTCCTCTCTTTGTGATTACCTCCTTGCTAATCTACACCCCCTCACTTCAGCATGTCAAACCGATCTGCTCCTCCATCATCGGCAGTCCACACAGTCTCGTCCCCCAAGTCGACCAGAACAACCCTTTGTTGGTCCTGGTCCCCGTGCCGCCAATGACGGCAGAAACACGCGCCCAAGCCCGGGCCGAAATGAAAAAGGTCTTCGACCGCTCCAGTCTCGAGATCCGCAATGCCCGCGGCGACGCGCAGAAACGGTTCCGCAAAATGGAGACTCAGAAGTTGGTCATTGTGGACGAGTTGCACAAGGCGCATAAGCAGATGGAGGAGATTGTGCGCAAGGCTCAAGACGAAGCGAAGAAGCTTTATGATGGGGCTGCCAAAGCTATGGAATAGAACAAGAATCTTCTCGTCTAGCTCTCAACTTGTCAGTTCTAAGCACCGAAGGCACCGAAGGCACCGAAGGCACCGAAATAACGGTTCCATACTACATCGTATGGCTCGTCGTCTCCGTTATGGCCAGCTATATCAACGACAAATGGCAAACCAGCCGTACACATTGGCGCGATACTAGTAGTCTGGTAGAGGGTTGAGCAGCCCTAAGGAAGATGTTATTTGATAATGCGCGAGAGCAAGGGCAGAGTTCGCGAAGCCTAAGTATACCTTTCAAAACAAATGATTGCTTTTCCCAATCTGGAATTTTGCCCGTGACAATGGCTGTTACTTCCTATGATAACTTGCAGCTATCCCGTGGCCATGGGCTTCAACGTGGTCACGGTTCTCCTTAGTCCTAATTCCACATTCTTCAAATCATCTGAGGAAGCTTCAGAAAATCACACTCTATCTCGTGGCCATAGCCTTGGTCATTGCTCGCTTGAGCGCCAGTTCCTTCTTCTTCAAATCATCCGCCGAAGCATCGTCCAACTCGAGTTGTTGCATGGCGTCGCTGAGGGCTTCCTCAATTTTCGCCTTGTTACCACGCTTCATCTTCATTGACAGGCCCGGGTCAGAGATCAACTCCTCGACACGGCCAATGTAGGACTCGAGTTGCTGCTTGGCTTCGAACTTCTTGGTGAATGCCTCATCGGTGCTCTTGAATTTGGCCGCGTCTTCGACCATCTTCTCAATTTCTGTGCTGGACAGCTTGCCAACGGCATTGGAGATGGTGATGTGGGCGGTTCGGCCAGATGTCTTTTCCGATGCAGTGACTTTGAGGATTCCGTTGACATCGACTTCGAAGACAACCTCAAGCTGAGCTTCGCCTGCCCTCATCGGTGGGATGGGTGCCAAGGTGAATTCTCCAAGCGAGGTGTTGTCCTCGCAGTTCGTCCGTTCTCCTTGGAAAATCGGGAAACTGACTGTGGTTTGTTGGTCCGCGACTGTAGTGAAAGTTCTGTTGGCATGAATTAGTATCTGCTGCTGATAACGGCCGACAAAATGCTGCTGATAACGACAAATCCGGGGCCAGGGTCCAAAGTCCAGAGATGATGGCATCAAACCAGGTCGATTTCGGTGTCCCTTCAGCTTCGGCCACCCCTCTAAGTGCTTGATTTCATGGTCCATAATCGAAAAGACAGAGTACCCTTCGATCGACAGAAACAACAGGCGAAACTTGGCAACGTCGATGAGAGGAGGAATCTTCATCCACACCAGCATGCCCTTGTGGCTGGGGGTGTAGCCGTTCAAGAAGTTTCGGTGGACTTCTTGCGGCCACATGAGAACGTTGGTGTGAGGCTCGTCGTATGTCCTCCAACGTGCTATTGCCCCTCTTTTCCCATCGGTCCCTGAATCCAGGTAGTCCAGAGGTGCACCGCCCGGTTTCTCCAGAGTGAAGGGAGGTTGAGCCAGAAGTCCAGGTCTGGCGAGCTGAGGGACTGGAGCGTTTCGAAGAGACCGGGAGCAAAACTCAGGGATGCTGTGGCCAAGGTGTCCGAAATGTTGTTCTGATCATAGAATAACTGCTTGTAGATGGGATTCTGATGGACAGGCCGCGACGAACATGTCCATACTATAAGTGCAAGCAACTCCAGGAGGTCGGAAACGAGGGACGCCATCTTCTGTATGGTGTTTGCAGAGCAGACAAGGAAAAGAACGTCGAAGACATGTCGAAGTGCGCAGTCCAGGGGGCGTAAATATCCAGGGTTCCTTCCAGTATCAAGATGGCAGGTGCACTTGGGCGGTCCTTTGAGGGAAGGAACGACAGGAGGAACGACAACAACCGACGAATACAGGGAAAGAACAACGGAAAAAGGAAAGAGGAACATACCTTTTCTTGATACACGGTACGGTGTTACCGCGAGGAACAACAGGGGCAAAGATGTTGCCTTCCATGGCGACACCAAGGGAGAGAGGAACGACGTCGAGCAGAAGCAGATCGGCGGTCTCGGCGGAGGTGGCCTTGCCGGAAAGAATACCAGCCTGGACAGCGGCACCGTAGGCAACAGCTTCATCAGGGTTGATGCTCTGTAACAACGTTAGTAGAGATCCGTGGTGTCAAGGGGTCAATTTGCGTACCTTCTCCAACTTCTTGCCATCGAAGAAATCGCTGAGGAGCTTCTGGATACGAGGAATACGGGTGGAACCACCAACCAAGACGATCACATCGACAGCAGACTTGTCAATGTTGGCATCCTTAAGCACCTGCGCAACAGGCTCGAGAGTGCCGTTGAAGGCCTTGGCGTTGAGGTCTTCAAAACGAGCACGGGTGATCTGGGTGTTGAAGTCCTCACCATCGAAGAGCGAGTCGATCTCGACGGTGGTCTGGGTGGCACTGGACAGAGTTCTCTTCGCACGCTCGCAAGCGGTACGGAGTCTTCGCAGGGCACGGGCATCACCAGAGAGGTCCTTCTTCGTCTTCCTGGTGAACTCCTTCTTGAAGTGCTCGAGGAGGTTGGTGTCGAAATCTTGACCACCCAAGTGGGTGTCACCAGCGGTGGCCTTGACCGTGAAGACACCGCCGTGGATGTTGAGCAGAGAAACATCGAAAGTACCACCACCAAGATCGTAGATCATGACATTGCGCTCCTTGTCAGACTTGCCGGATCCAAGACCGTAGGCGATGGCGGCAGCAGTGGGTTCGTTGATGATGCGGAGAACGTTCAGGCCGGCAATGGCACCGGCGTCCTTGGTGGCTTGTCGCTGGTTGTCGTTGAAGTAGGCAGGGACTGTGACAACAGCCTTTTCGACTTTCTTGCCCAACTTTGTCTCGGCGACCTCCTTCATCTGTTCTGGTGTTAGCACTGCGAACGACTAAAGCCACAGAGCAATCCCATACCTTCATCAGGACCATCGACGAGATTTCTTGTGGTGAGAAGGTCTTGGTCTCTCCAAGGTATCTAACTTGCACCATAGGGTTGCCGCCTTGGTCGACGACCTTGAATGGCCATGATTCGATATCCTTCTTGACAATAGGGTCATCAAATCGCCGTCCAATCAATCGCCTGCGATCTTGTCAGCATATGTTTTGACCTTTGACCAGCAAGCGCAAACTGACTTGACATCGAAGACTGTGTTTTCAGGGTTCATTGCGGCCTGGTTCTTTGCGGCCTCACCAATGAGACGCTCCTCGTCGGTGAAGGAAACGAAGGATGGGGTGGTGAAGCTACCCTGCTCGTTGGCGACTGCGATGAGGGTTAGTGATGATTTCCTTCCTGCTCGTCGCATGAGATGACATACTGATTTCGACATTGTTGCCGTCGTAGTTCGCAACGCAGGAGTAGGTGGTACCTGGAATGTTTGTTAGCCGACAGCGAACCGCGGTGAAGCATTGGTGGTGGTGGTATCTTACCCAGATCGATACCGATGGCACCGTCGTAAACTTCTTCAGACATGATTGCGGTGTTGAGGAACTCCCTGATTGACTCTGCGAGGATACAGAAGAATGGAGGAGGGGAGGTGAGATACAGGAGAGGGTGAAAAGTTGTAGAGCGTCGGGACGACTAATTGCGCAGGCCAAACTCGAACTTTTGGGCGGGCCACATAAATTTTCCAAAAAATTTGGCCAAGAAAACTCGCCGCCGTTGCCATTCAATTATCCCCAGGGTCTCATCCTATTCAGGGATTAGGGTGCTGCCGCCTTATGCTGGCCCCGGCTCGTGCAAGTCACTGCAGGTGGGTGGATTTACTCTAAACAACATCAGCCTTTTGACACGGCTTCAAAGGTTCCAGTATCTGACAGAGAGGCGATACTAGTACATGGCTAATGCGAGCTCAAGAAGATATTGTCCCTTATGACTTGAGTGGTGCTTTCAGAGTGGTACTCGATTTGACCCGTTGAGCTGACCGGTCATGCCGGCGCTCGAGGAAGTCCAGAGTACCGTTATCATCATTGGCACCGGGGCTGTCCTGCCCTAGAGCCCTCTGTGTATAGGAGAACTTGCAGAGACTGTCACCCTTCTGATGAAGGAGGAGGAGAAAACGTCAGGATATTCGGCCGATTCAGCTAACCTACTACTAATACCATTGGCGTTTTGGCATCCATCATTTAGTTCAAGTTGCTCGTACCAAGCACCATTCTCCCTGGCCGGGAGTCTCGTTTCCAGGATGCGTGCAGTGTGAATCTCAAAAACAATCAGACTGGGCCAGATCAATCCAGGATACCACTCTCTCGTAAGCCAGCCAGTAACTCCGGCTCCAGGAACCGTTTGACATCAACATCCTCGCTCAACCCCTTTCTCCGCCTCGTCTTGAGCACGAAATCTCGAGCAGCTTGTTGAGGACCCGCCATTTCCAGAGGCCGGATGCGAATACTCTTATCAAGCGGATCGCCTGGCACAACGTCCCATCGATCGAATACCAACGACACACTGGCCGCGCCCTGACTGTGAATGCGGAGATCAGTCTCAAACCCAAAACTGTCAATCACCGGAAGCAGAGCTTTGGCAGCGTAGAGAGGAGTGCCAGCCACCGGACCATCCGAAATCACATGGCCTCTTCTCTTCATCAGCACCGTGTAGAGCCCTGCAATCGAGTCCGCAGGCCCGGTCATGTGAACGCTGTAGATGGGTTCCATGAGCCGTGGTCCAGCCATCAGGAATGAACTGTACACTGCTCGGCGAGCTGTAGGGATGATCTGCCCGCCGCCGCGGAAGATAGGTTCCGTGGCCAATTCGGCACCTGTGAGTCGGAACTTCGTGTTGCGGATCGGCTCCTCGCACAAAGGACCTTCACGTGTACCCCAGGAGAAACCTTGTTTGATGCTTTCCTGGACTGTCCTGAGAAGCTTCTTGTCCGTGGTCGAAGGTAGAGTATCGTCGCAGAGGATATTGGGCCCCATCTCCTCCGGACCGAAAGCCCAAATCGACCGCGCTGCCAGCTTGTCCCATTCGTACTTCTCCTCGAAGAACTTGGCAACTTTTCGGATAGGATCTCGGATCTTCACCACTCCCGCCTCGATGTCTTCGGCAATCCCATCGTCGAGAGGCTCCGCAATCATGGTCAACTTGTTCTTCTTGTTGGGTGTCAACGCGTAGCACATGATCGCGCTGGTTTCGGTGACGGTCTCGCAGAAGCGCGTGACTGGGTCGGAGACTTTAATGTCCATTTCCGCATACAGCGTTCGTAAATCATGCAAGACGCAATCCATGTATAATTCGCCTGTACCGAGTACAACGTGCTCGCCGGATTCCTCCACCTTGGTCGTGATCAACGGGTAAGATTTATTGATCTTCCTTAAGCCCTCGAGCATTTTGGGTAGTTCAGATGGGTTTATGGGCTCCACCGCTACCTTGAAAACAGATTCGGTGAAATGCCGGATGGGTTGGAAAATATAGGCACTCTCGTTGTTCGGGAACTCTTCAGCCACGACAGTAGCCGTTTTGACAATGGAGTTGTCGATACCGGCAAGCAGAACCAAATTGCCGGCCGGGACCCCGGACACAGGAATGTTGTAACGGGAGCAGTCAAGAAACGTAGATGTGATCGTCGCGGTCGTCGAGTCCTCTTCGTCCTCAAGACTGTATGCTTCACCAAGCACTCGAACAACCTGCTCGGGAGACGCTGTGCCAGACAAGATTCGGCCAAAAGCGTTGAATGTTTTGGCATCGGCGGTGTTGAACAGCTTGGTGACGTGCACAACTAGTGGGCCGTCCGAGTCGCACTTGGACATCGATTCTGCAACTGGAGATTCCAGCGGACCGGTGTAGTAGTGTTCCAGCATTCGTTTCGTGCCGTCAATGGGAGAGGGCAGGTGTTGGACAATCATGTCAACAAATCCACTAGCAGGACCGAAGAACTGTGCGCACACCAGCTTGAGCAGCACCTTCGCATCCGACTTCAGCTCTGACGGCTTCAACGTTATTCCTAACGTTTTGAGTGTCGCTTCAAGGTCTTCAGGGCTTTCACTGATGGTGTGGGAGTATAGTTTGTAGATGGGCTCAAGAACGAAATTTACGAACGCCCTCTTTGAACCCTCCTCCATTCCCTTTCGAGTGAACTTTCGACTCCGGGGATTGAAGAAAATATCACCCCAAAGCCTCTTGGAGAACTCGGTCGCATCGACCTTTTGATAGGTTTCCGAGTACATCTTCGCGAATGACGGAAGCGTAAAAATCCATTCCATGGATGTGCAGGCAAACGCGACGTTCCCCTTTTCGGGCGACAGTCTCCGCTTCTCTCCCTGGCCGGGTATCGTGTTCTCAATGATGGTGTTGACTTCTTCGACGACATGCTTCAACTTGAAATACGCATCGGTGGGTGGAATCTTCAGTTCAAGGATCAAGCGATCCATCTTGTTGATGACCAAAACCATAGGCAAATCTTCGAGCACGGCATGTTTGATGATCTGCTCGGTGTTGATTTGGACGCCCTCAACCACATCGACCACCAGGACAACCCCATCAACCAGTCTCAGACTCGACGCAACCTCATCGACAAAATTGACATGTCCGGGTGTGTCGATTATGTTCAGAATGTGTGACTTTCCCCGTGTTCCTTGCATGACAAGACTGATAGGGGCGGACTTGATCGAGACGCCTCTCTCACGCTCGAGGAAATGTGTGTCTGTGTATCTCAACTGTTCATCTCTTCTCTTGCCTATTCGCTTGTCCAGTCTTTCTTGCAGCTCATGGGTCTGCATCACCAGCATATCCACGAAGGCGGTCTTCCCATGGTGCAAATGTCCAGCCACTGCTATATTTCTGATTCCTTCGGGGAAATTCAAAAGATCGGTCATGAAATCTCGCGAGTAGAAGACTGGAGGGAGATCTGCCTCTTGGACCTGAAACTTCTTTTGCGTGACTGGCGCGACAATCGGTTGTGTAAGCGGTTGCGCGTCTTCTTCTTGGACCATCGTTTCGACATCCTCTCCGTATACTTGTTGCGCAGTGGGATAATATTGTTTGTCTTCGTGTAATATCACAGCGTTCGAGGGCCCTTCGTCGTCCACTTCCATCAATTGGTCAGCATGAGGTTGCTGCTCCGTCTCCGAGTCCACGTCGTAGACGTAGTTCTGGCCCGCATCGCCATCTTGCGTTCCTTCTTCATCAGAGACTGCTTCTCCGATGAAGTTGCCGAACCTATGGTCACGGTTAGAAAGACTTTGGAACAAGAGGAGCCAAGGGTGTCTCACTCATCATAAAGGTCGTCCATGCTGGCAGCGTGTTTCTAGACTTCAACACGGCGCGGCGCAAAAGTCGAGAATTCTCTCCAACCGCGAGGTTCAAGTCTACAAAATCCTGCCCAGCATTATCGATTGCGGGTGGGACACTACAGATATACTCCGCCGTAATACCGAGATAAGATAAGATCTCACAGCCTTGCCCCTTATTCAGAGTGGCGCCTCACAAGTCCCCTGAAGATACATTGGGTTCAGTCTGCACATAGACATACTATTGTTGAAGCTCTGTTCCTGACTAGTATTGAATGAAATGGCTGGCCATCTGACTACCTCGGCCAGAAACTATGATATGCTAGTAGATAGTAGTGGACAAAGGGCTGTATGTTAATTGTATAAACAGTTAGACGTTTTGGTAAGTTCCCAGTACAGCTTCTCGAGGGCAATGAACACAAGTTGAGCAGACATATGCGGCAAGTCGTGGTTAATATCGGGCTAAGCCCGTCGGTCCCCAGTATTAAGCTAAGGTGTCTTCTACGACAGAAGAAGTGAGCTTCCAAGGCTCTTGTAGACAGTGTTTCTACAAACGGTTAGGAGGCAAGATAATGAGAATTGTGGACAAATACCTGGCAATTCAAGGATAGTATCCCCGTGTCCATTGTAGGAGCGACCTTGCTCGAGCTATAGCATTTGCAGATATGCTTTTGAATTGAAGGGCCAGATGCCGACGCCAATTATTGCCACATCCTAACCTTTTGCAAAGTGTGAAGTCCACGCTACCAATATGGTGTCCTTCGTTGTACATTCAAGCTCACATTAAGGATTCGAGAACCAGTGCGCTGGCTCCGCCACCGCCATTGCAGATACCGACACAGCCAATCTTGCCTTTGTTCGCTTTTAAGACGCCCAGTAAGGTGGTGACAATCCTTGCGCCTGAGGCACCCAGAGGGTGTCCGAGAGCGACCGCTCCGCCGTGAAGATTGACCTTGTCAGCGGTCAAGTTCAGCAACTTCATGTTGGCAAGTGCCACAACGCTGAAGGCTTCGTTGATCTCGTAGGCGTCGACATCCTCCGGGTTGACGCCAGCGTGTTTCAAGGCCTTGGGAATGGCGAGCGCCGGCGCAGTGGTGAATTTGTTGGGCTCCTGGGCAGCGTCGCCCCAGCCTAGAATCTTTGCCAACGGCTTGATGTTGAGCTCCTTTAGCTTTGCTTCTGAAACAAGCACAACAGCCGCGCCGCCATCACTCAAGGGCGAGGCGTTGGGTGCAGTGACCGTCCCGGTGTTGGGAATGAATGCTGGCTTTATGGAGCGGAGCTTGTCGACATTGAGATTCTTGGGCTCATCGTCTTTATCGACTGTGACGCCCGGCTTGCCTCGTGCCCCAGGCAGTTGAATGGGAGCAATCTCGAAATCGAATAGTCCATCTTTCTGAGCGGCTTGTGCTTTCTGGTACGATTGAATGGCGTAATCATCCTGCTGCTCACGGTTGAAGTCGTGATCTTGGGCGCACTCTTCTCCCTGAAGTCCCATGTGTTCTTGTTTCCCATATGCATCAGTCAGGCCATCTCTTAGAACGCCATCCACCAAGGTCTGGTTCCCGAACTTGACTCCGCCCCGCATATTGGGAAGATAATGAGGGCAGTTGGACATGGATTCTGCGCCACCCGCCACAACGATGTCCGCATTGCCTGTCATGATGGTCTGCGCGCCGAGAATGATAGCCTTGACTCCGGAAGCGCATACTTTGTTGATGGTCGTGCATACAGTTGAGGGTTCGAGGCCGGCACCGAGTGCGCATTGACGAGCAGGGTTCTGCCCAAGACTGTGGCACGTCAATTGGGGAAGACGCGCGTTTGCTGGAGAGGTACTTACTTCGCCGATAGGACATTGCCAAAGAACACTTCTTGAACATCTTGAGGCTTGATCTCCGGTACTCTCTCAATGGCGGCTGGGGCGAAGGTTAGCTTTCGTCTTCAAGCGGTGAAGGGTGCGCAACATTTGATGGCGTGGGAACCGAGTTGGGGAGCGGTCAGTGCGGATAGTGATCTATGAACAGTCAGACACCGATAGTACTCTGAATGCCGTTCTAGCGGACGCACCCTAGGAATGATCCCACAGGAGTTCGTGCCGCCGCAACAATATAGACAGGAGGCAGCGCAGGTTTCTGGTGGGGAAGTCCATTGACACCGTTCGTTGAGGCCATGATGTGATGCTTCTCCTGGGCAGGACAGAGGACGTTGAGGTGAGTTGATGCTATAGCCTGGGAGACTGCGGTAGGTCAAATGCAGAGACAATCCAAAGAATGAGAGCAGGTTGTTGAGTAAACAATCCGGACGTGTTTGACCTGCTGCTTCCTCCGGCACTCTTCAATGCTGCTGCATCAGTTGCTCCAACAAAAAAAAACGGCCATTTTCTGGTGCGGAGATCGTGCCACTCCGGAACATGGGCGAAATGACACCGTGGAGAAGAGAACCACGTGCTGATAAGATAAGAGCAGCCTCGTTTTCCCTCAGGCTGCGGGTCAACATTCTCCAGATAGAGAGAGCTCTTGCAGCCTCAAGCCAGCCTCAGGTTATGGACGGTATGAGTGTCCAAACTTGCGGAGAGGGTGACAGAATAAGAAAATGGACGGCCAGAGAAGACGATACATCGTTGAGAGCTGGGGGTATTTCGCCTCCGGAATGTGATTGAGCTTCTACAATGTGTGCGCTCAATAGGAGGTCACCTTGGACTGTTTGCGAAGTTGAACTCGGGCGGCCGTCATATCTTCCAGAAGCAAGAGCATGCTGTGGCTGGCATCAGCCATGATGGCAGGCGAGTGGTGTTGGGTCTTACACAGTGCCCATGGCCAGTGTGCGCAGCTGCGTTACCCTACTGTTTTGTTTTCGTGCAGCAAAAGTGGCAGAATTTCCCTATCCTCTTCACCCATCGTCTACCCTCTGACTATCTTTGTGCACGCCTCACTCCTACGTGAAATTGATCATCTGCCGTCCAGACTGAACTTGCCTCAGCCCCCACAGCTTGCTCGAGCCTTACCATCTGGTCACGAGACGAGCGTTCTCAAGCCGTGTTCGATCTCAATTGGCGTCGTCTGTAAGTCATCCACCGCGCAGGGTATTGAGGAGTCAACATCTACGACCCCTGAGCCGCCTCTAAATAGAAGCAGAAGTCATGGATACCGAAGACTACGATGTCGACAACGCGCGTGTTGTCATCGGCCTGGAATTTTGCGACGTCATGACAGCCTTGGAGGGCGAGATCACAACGGCCGAAGCAACCGTCCTCAAGGATCGAGTCACTGCACTCCGAGTGCAACTTTTCGAGCTCCACAACGCCAAACGTATCAGCTCGATCATAGAATCCAACAGAGCATGTATGAAGCGATGCTCTCAGACTTCCGCGAAGTGGACCTACTCCTTGATGAAGAGATAGCATGCACAAACACGGATGAGCGCAGCGGCGGTGGAGCGGCCAACGGCGATAATGAGCTTGCTTTGAGAACAGTAGGCAAGGATGGCTATTATGACGACCACCGCATTGCTCCCGAGGGGAATACTCAGCTTGACGAATACATCAACAGTGTGGTATCTGATGAAACAAATCAACCCAGGGAATGTCATGTCTGTTGCGACGAGTTGCCTTATTCTGCAACTGTACAAGTCGGGGACTGCCTCCATGCCTGGTGTCGGCAATGTCTGATGAGACGATTTGAGATGGCAATCAAAAGCGAGAACCACTACCCCGTACGCTGCTGCGCTGGACTTCCCAATGTTTCGCTCGACAACCCAGATGTCACTCGTGTTCTTGGACACCAAATGATGAACGATCTCAAGGCAAAAGTTGTCGAGTATGAAAGTCAGGACCGGACTTATTGCTACAAGCCAGCATGTTCAACCTTCATCCATCCAAACAGAATAAATGGCAATGGAGCGGTCTGTCCATGTTGTGAAGCGATAACATGTGCGAAGTGCAAAGCGGAGTATCATCGAGGCTCAGAGTGCCATGTTGCTACTGACGAGGCCTTTGTTCATTGGCGAAATTATAATGAAGCCGCAACATGCCCACGATGCCACCGTGTCATCGTCATCTCCCACGGGTGTAACCACATGAGGCAAGACAGTTCCCTCCATAACGTTCATAAGCCCACTAACGAAAGGCTTGCAGATGCCATTGCGGAACGGAGTTTTGTTACGAATGTAATGTGCAATGGAAGAACTGCGAATGTGATATATGGCATGAGAACCGCCTTCTTGCAAGAGCCCATGTGGTCGCCGAACGCCAGGGCCGAGCTGCTGATATTGAGCAAATTGCAGAGGAAATCCGTGAGGAGGATGAATGTCGGCACGATCATTGGAGACGAATCAGCACCCACCGTATGGACCCCTGACTGGAGCCTCGTTGCGATCTTTGCCAGTGGGAAGCAACCCTCTTCCTGTGGCAGTGTGATGCCTGTGAAATCATAGTTTGTGCTCGTTGCCGGGCGGAGAACTACACGGACAGCGACGACGAAGCCTGAGGGCGCACTTTGCTCCAGGAGCACGCACTGACATAGAGTAGACCTGCTAGCATAATCTGTTGGAAGTACACTTGCTACTTGTACCATTATTGTACTCCTGGTTGACGAGAATCAGCCAGACCTTCCGTTGCTACCTTGCAAATCTTATCATGCCTCTGACACAGTTGAGACAGTACGTATTATCCTACTATTCCTACCTTGCTGTGGGCTGCTTCCTTGTAGCCGTCGGTGTCCTGTATTGGTTTGACAAGCAGAGGAAGAATATTGCCATGTGGCCCTCTGTTGATCTGAGGGCCATCTTAGGACTTGGCGGCGCCATGTTCTCTCTTCTTTCCTTCATTTCGAACGGTGTCGAAGATGGATTTCGGAGCAGTGCCTGGTCCATCCCGGTTGTGGTAATCACATTCTTCGTCGATGACTTTGTTCGTCTGGGAAATTTCTCTTCTTGACTGTTTACTCCAGGTTAACAACAAGATATTTACAGTCGCCGTTATTGACGACCTCTGTGTTTGGCACAGTAACAAGACAGTCACAACGGGAAGTACTCGTTCGCAAACATATACGGAAAACCTTAGCCTTGTGCCAATATCTCAACATTCATGCACAATGACCAGCAGCATTGAAAGCCCAGACGAATGGATTCTTCCTCCAGAACCCCGACCATCAGATCCTCACCGAAACAAATGATAGAATCACGACCCAGCGCTGCTTGAGGCTTGCGGTTTGCAACTTTGCATGGCGAGGTTGCCATTCGAGACGAATAGTTCAAAGAACTTTGAATGGCAATATACCGAAGGTATGATGTTTGGTGTCCCTCCAAGGTAGACAAATCAGCATTTCATTATTGCATTTGCATCTCAATGGATGGCACGCCATCGGCACTAGGAAACAGCTATACTAAGGAAGGAGACACAAAACTCCGAGTGCCAAGTAGAAGCCATGAAAAACTCACTCCTCATGCTTGACTTCGACCTTCGTGGCCTCAGCGTCGGAGAAGCCCTTCTTGGGCGCGCGGATCTTCAGCAAGCCAGCCTCGAGCGTGACGCTGACATTCTCCACGTCGGTCGGGAAATGGATGTATCGCCTGAAAGGGCCGATCCTCCTCTCGCCCACCAGCAGATGAACGCCCCCTGTGTGCGGGGATTCCTTTTCCTCCTCGACCTCCGTGTTCGTCGGGGTGCCGTAATCGGGCCGCGACGCGGTGCCCGTCAGTAGCAGTGACCTGGGCCCGGTCCATGAGACGGTGATATCGCTGGGCTTTTTGGTTCCAGGCACTTCGATCTCAACTAGATACTCCTTGATCGCGTCGCGGAAGTCCACGTCTGGCTGGTTTGGGTGGTCTTCTGGTCGCGGGTGCCGGTGCGCGATATACTGTAGCACGGACTCATGTTGATGTTTTCGTTCGTGGGGATGGTCCACTAATGGTGGGGGCAGGTCGTAGTAGTATGCGTATGCCATTGCAATTGTTGTGTGAGAAGCTGTGTTGTGTTGGATTGTATTGTGTTCTGAGGCGAGATGATTGCACGGCTTGGGGGGTCAAAAACTCGAAGATTGGTAATTAGGTGAGTCAATGGAGGTTTGCTACTTGTGGTGACTGGTAGCCTTTTCAGTAGCAGGAACGGGGGCTTTTGTTTGGTAGTCTTCTTGTTCAGGATGAAAGCTGGGAGAACGATTGGGGAAGGATAAAGGCTGGAAAGCGGCTTACACGTGGATTTATACCTCGTTGTCAATGCTCATTTTACCTTTACCGAAGCCGGGTAGATGTCCGGCGAGGTCCATGACTCTCCATGTTTGATGGAGCTACTGAAGCTCTAGCTGTCTAGCATCAATCTGCTTTTCCCCGGTTTGTGTTCGAGCTTGGGACCGAGATGATCTGACCGCATGATCAAGTCAGGGTCTAAGCAAAACCCCTCGTTCTAGAAGCAGTGGTACTAGTTCGGCCGAGCCCCTTGGCCGTCTTCGATTGGCCGACAGAGGCCGATACCAGGGATGGATTGGGACACAAGGACAGCGTGAAAGCATCAAGGGTCTCGGCTTGGGGAAGCTGTGACAAGATTCCGCAGATCAACGGGCAGTTGGCGGATTGGGATGAGACTCGGTTTGGCGCATGACTGTGATAAGAGCAAGATAGGCTCACCCCTAGAGCGCCGTCGCATAACTCGCTGGAGGAGGAGAATGGTTGCTTAGGACGTCGGTGCTCGGTTGGGTGGATATTGAAGTGCAGCTGGGAAAAGGTGGTGAGATGTGGTCATTTTGGGGGTCGGTCGTTACGAGATATATGCGTCTTGAATACGTGGGTGACAGGCCTGGGGAATATTGCGCGTAGAGATCATTTTCTCTACCCAGCGGCCGTTTACCGATCTGGGAAGAGATAAGAGTGTTTATGAAGACCTCGGGAACTCTTTGCTTCTATATCAGCTGCACATTTCCCTTTGCACAGCCAGAAGAAGCTCGCTGATGGCTTACTGATGAGGTGTTGACCACTGCACTGCATTGGCGTTGTTGCTCAGCTGGGATTAGGGGCCTGGGTCAAGAGAGAATGACTGCCCGACATTACAACAATATGTATTTCATGATACCAGCCTAGCGACGGCGGCAGTGGGTCTCGATCGCAGCCTGATGAATGCGGCTTTTCTGCTCTTCCTCCACATGCTTTTCTTTCTCCGACTTTGACGTCCTTCTTCCACCGCCCGTCGCAAAGTTGTTCTCGTTCACTGCATCGCTCTGCCCATGCTCAGTCATCTGACCTCAGGATAGTGATATCGGCGTCACCGTAGCCAGACTCGATGGTGCTCTTGGCAGTCCGGCTCGTGGGTCTCGTCCCTTGCGTCTGTCCACTACTAGACGCGCACCTGCCGACTCTCACTGGCAACTGGAACTAGAGCGACCGGAAGACGGGGCATGTGAAAAGATACCTTAGGTAAGCTAGACCTGGGTCTGTAATATGGATATTCTCCGGGCCCACGTGTAATGTAAGGCATATTGTCCTTCCCATGGCTCATCTCCTGACCACAGCGTCGTCCTAGCTACGAATGGACGGTACAGCAGCAATGTCGCATGCCGCTTTCTTGCAGGGTTGATTGGCATCTGTTACCCTTTGGGTTGCAATTCTTGACGGTGCTATGTGAGCACATGACTGAGACAAATCATCAAAAGGTAACGTGCTCCACGCGGAGAAGGGAAGGGTACTAGTCGGTATGGAGTGAATCCGGGGCCCTCGGGCCCCTGGATCTCGTTCTTCCTTCGGATCACCAAACGGATCCCTGCAAACGCCAAAACGGCTTGGATCTTGACATTTGCTGCAGACTAGTCTCGCGTCTGATAGGTCAAGCCTTCCGTCAAACATCCAGTCATCCTTCCATTGTGGTTTGCTCCTCATTGATTTCGATCATCGCCACAGTCCCTGCTTGAAAGGCGAGCCTCAGCAGTTTAGACTATGTCCACCAACGAGGATGTAGGGAAGCCTCCTGGTAAGGCTGGCCCGAATCAAGCTGAACAACGTGATTTCCGCCACATTGACAATGTCACGGCGCGGATGGAGAAGCACAGCAGTGCAGACTGTGTTTTTGACTGTCTCCAGGTCTAGGCTAGAGGAAAGATTTGTCGCATGGCTGGACAATAGGCGGTCTTCATCTGTTTGGTGTCTTCGAAAAGCACAAGCTCTCAAAACTAGAAGGGGAATATTGGGTCAAATGTGGCCAAGTTAGAAAATATTGCCGCACCAAGGATGGCATAAGAGGATGACTTCCAGCCTCATAAGCTGCCAACAGTTGAGGGAAAGGGCTTGTCGGGGGTGAAAGGCAACGGTGATATCCAGGGCTTGGATGCCATTTGCTTGGCCCATGATACCGCAGCAAATTGAAGACAGACGGGTGGTCTTGACGGGATGGCTCAGCTGATTCTCCTCAACCAGTCTGCAGACCCGCAGCATCCACGGGGGCTCCGCCTTACGGATGGTGCGCAAGGCTGAAGCCTCAGAACTCAGCTCCGCCTTGTCCGTGACGTACTGCCCACTTGTCATGGATAACAACCTTGAACCAGCATTTGTTGCCGGTGCAAAGCCATACTAGGTCGCTGATACAAAGCCCTGATCTTCTGGACGACTCGTGTGCTTCTTTTCTTCTCTTTGTGCAACCCTCTCGGCACCATGCTGGGTCGACTGCCAACAATAAAGCTGGCCAGGCAATGTTCTGTGGTTGTGACACCCAGTGACCTACAGTCAGGCCCTGCGGCAGAAGACGCCGCATCCAACCATCGACTGCAGCGAAGGGACGTTCAAGGAGATTTTATGTGATCAGCGGCGCTAAGAGACTACGCTAGACCATAATAGGCATAGTGGATTTCTCGCTGCTAAAAATGGCTGCCGACGATTAAAACCCCGTTTTAGTGGTTGACTATCTGATAGTTGGGGCTCTTGTCGCCATTAGTAAACATAGTACGGAGCACTATCTGTGTACCTTACTAACCACTTACTACCACAGTGAGTACTAGTACTACTAGTACTACTAGCACTACTAGTACTACAACCTACTACTACTACTGGCATTATTGGCATTGACAGCGAGAAGCACAGCACAGCAACACAACCCTTACAGCACACGGGCACTGCATCCTGCTTCCTCTCATTGTATCGCATCTGACAAGCCGGACACACACACCTCTTGTCCATCGTCAACCTCTATCAGACTTTCTTGCTTACCTTTCGGCAGAGCCGTTTCCTCACACTCGCCCTCATCCCGACGCGTCTCCCTGTCGATTTCCCTCCTTGTTCAGTCAACGCCCTGACATTGATTGGCCCTCCTTCACCTTTTGTCGCGTTACTGTGTATGGAAGCGCCCTAGGGACTCTGTAACCTGTCTCCATTATCGCTGCGCCGTTAAAGTCCCGCGCATTTCGACTCACAAGCTGGTATCTACCACGACCAACGACCAACAGGGCATTCCTCCAAAATCTCACTGCCTGACCATCCTTCCGCAGGATCAAGTTATTGTTCGTGATACCGTGCCGAATGGATGGTATTGGTCTCAATAACAAAGAGAACGGATAAACACACTTTGCACAAGGACAATTGAGACCATCAAAGGGTGGATTGCAGATTCTAATTGAAGCACTGGTGGGCGGCAACCGGTGGTGACGAATGTTTACTCGACTGATCCCGCACACCTACCTCCAAGACCCGCCCTGAAGAAGCCACTATGGCAGCACCGGTCGATGAACTGAATCAGGGGAATGCTGCGACAATAAGGTACACAATAGGTGCGCCTCGCGACCAGAGTCAGCCCGGTCAGCAAACATCATCAAACGCCCAATACAGTCCTTATGGGCCACCAACCCAGACGAACGGAAATGGCAATGATACACAATATGACAGCGATGCCCGATATTCCACAGATAGTCGAACCGGTAGAAAACGATCACTGGGCGGCGCTGGTACTAGCGAGCGGAGCAGATCACGGACAAATGGCAGCACCGGGAAGTCTTCAAATACTGCTGTGCGAATCTGTAAAAAGTGCGGCGAGCCATTGACAGGACAGTTTGTGCGTGCGCTCGGCGGTACATTTCACCTTGACTGCTTCAAATGCGCCGACTGTGGACAGATAGTCGCGTCGAAGTTCTTCCCTGTTGATGCCGATGATGGATCTGGCCAATTCCCGCTCTGCGAGACAGATTACTTTCGCCGGCTGGATCTATTGTGCTTCAAGTGTGGAGGTGCGTTGCGTGGCTCATATATCACGGCGCTCGACCGCAAGTACCACATTGAGCACTTTACCTGTTCTGTTTGCCCTACGATATTTGGTGCTCAAGACAGTTATTATGAGCATGATGGAAAGGTCTATTGCCACTATCACTACTCCACGCACTTCGCGCAGCGCTGCAATGGCTGCCAGACCGCCATCCTCAAACAATTTGTCGAAATATTCCGAAATGGGCAGAATCAGCACTGGCATCCTGAGTGTTACATGATTCACAAGTTCTGGAACGTCCGCTTGGCACAGAGTGGGCAGCCCCCTGTCAAAAAAGACATCACTGCACCGGTCACAGAAGATGAGCGGGATATCGTCAAAGAAGAAGAGGAGAAGATGGAGGACAAAGTCTACCGCATTTGGAGCACGCTTTCAACCTTTGAAGAATCATCTGCTTCATGCATCTCCGATATGCTATTGCATGTGAGCAACGGTGTCTATGTCGACGGCGTTATTGTCGCCCGGAAATTCATCTGGCATGTTGACATTCTATTCGGAGCTATTGACACACTTGCAGCGCTTGTGGTCAATGCCGGGCTGAAGGAACTCGCCTATGGCCGAGAAGCAAAACTTCTCTGCAAGAAGGTGGTCGCTTTCTTCACTCTGCTGTCCAGAACTCAAGAGACGGGCGTGCGCAAGCTAGGAGTCACCCAGGAGCTTCTATCGTTGGTTACTGGTCTGGCCCACTATTTGAAGCTGCTCATCCGAATTGGCCTGCAGGGAGCCCTCAAGCTCGAACGGGAACGAGGATCCCCGGAAGGTCTCCATGCTTTCTTGGATGAACTGGCTGATTTGGAGTTGATCAAGGAACAAGAAATGAAATCGCTGGATCTGGCAGAAAGCGTGGCGGGCCTGGCGAGTCAAGAATCCGACTGTTGCTCGGCATGCTTTGAACCTATCGACGATGAATGCGTCATGATCTATGGCCGGCGCTGGCACGCAAAGCCGCCCCATCTGACATGCAGTGTCTGTCAGAAAGATCTGACAAACGACCTTTCCAATGCCGTCTACAGCGAGCGCGAAGAAAAGGTATATTGCCTTGATCACGCTTCGCGAGTTCAGAATACTGTTTCCGGATTCTCCTATGTTACCAAGCTACAACAATTTGTCTTCCTTCTCCGCGTGGCTTTGGCACGACTGCTTGAGGTGCTCAAGTCAGGGGGCACCTTGCCACATACATCGGATGATCCCAATCTCACGCCATACGACACCAGCGAGGGTCATCGAGTTTCTCCGACGGGCGAACAACTCACTCCTCATCAGAAGATGGGCTCACGGTCGCGATCTTATGCGGGTGCGTCAAGTCAGCAAGAATCTTCGTTGGAGCAGACCGTTGGAGAAATGAAACGACTTCGATCGACTCGAAATGAACGAACTCTATCTACGACATTCCGCAAAGCTCGGGAGTCAAAGATACTCTACGGACCAACAGGCGTGCGACCAGGATCCGCTAGCGGGGACAGCCAGGAGGCTAGGAATCGTGGTGGCTTCCAAATCGTGGAAGAACGAGATCTAGACGGCAGGATGAGACCCGAACTGACGTTTGGACACCAAGACGGTCTGACGCTCGACGACATTCCCAGAATCGTTGCTGCAGAGCAAGCAAAGGAGCAAAGACCCAATGCCTTCCGTCATGCAGGCACCAATCTTATTGGGCACCGAGGTAACGAACCCAGACTGGTTAATGGCCACTCACGAGGAACCTCTGGGGGCAACGACCTTTTAGCCGGCGAGCCCAGTCCCCTGCGCACTAAGCGATTCTTTTCGGAACTATCCGCGCTGGAGTACTTCATTGTACGACATGTGGCGGTTCTCTCAATGCAGCCTCTTTTAGAAGGCGAATATACTCTCGAAGACTTGCTTGGACTGATCGAGACGAGAAAACAAACCTTCTGGGGCAAGGTCAGTCGTGCACTTCGAAACGATGGGAAAGCCAAAAAGAAAGGCATCTTCGGGGTGCCATTGGAGACGCTCGTCGACCGCGAAGGCGCCGAATCCACCAATGGTGTCGGCCCCGGAGCCTTGAGGGTTCCAGCAATCGTGGACGACTGTATATCTGCCATGAAGCAGATGGACATGTCAGTAGAGGGCGTCTTTCGGAAGAATGGCAACATCAAGCGATTGAAAGAGGCCTCGGAATTGATCGACGCAAATCAGACTCCAGACCTCAGCCGCGAGAATCCTGTCCAGGTGGCCGCTCTGCTCAAGAAGTTCTTGAGAGAAATGCCGGAACCGCTGTTGACCTTCAAGTTGCAGAGGCTGTTCATCATCTCCCAGAAGATCACAGATGAGGAGCGCCGAAGAAGAGTACTACATCTCACATGCTGCTTGATGCCCAAGAGTCATCGTGACACCATGGAAGTGTTGTTCTCATTCCTGAAGTGGGCTGCCTCGTTCTCGCAGGTCGATGAAGAATCAGGGAGCAAGATGGACATCCACAACCTGGCCACGGTGATGGCTCCCAATATTCTCTACGCCAAAGAGAAGGCGCCCAACGCGAAGCTGCCACAGGTGCCACAAGTGGACGACAGTTTCCTCGCCATCGAAGCCGTGAACACTCTGATCGAGTATAACGATTACTTCTGTCAGGTATGTCATCACAGTTTGGTCGTGTTTTGATCCAGCCAGTCATGCTAACTAGCTTTGCAGGTTCCTGAGGATCTGCAGTCCATTCTCACAGACACTGGTCTTCATACCGGATCTGCAGAGATCACGACCAAGGAGATACTCTCGAGATACGGTCACATCGCAAAGGGTCAAGTCCAGAAGCAAACCGTCCAGGCAGCCGATGCTCCGGTGCGCAGCCCGGCCTCGACGACCAACTCCATTGGTCCCGTTGCTACACGCATTGATGTCGACCCGTACCAAGCTACGGCGTGGCAAAAGCAGAGCTCTGTCCGCCCAGTGCAGAATGTGGCATCGACAACATCTGCCCCCACAAACGAGTTCAACTTCAGTGCCCCGAGCAGCCCGTATGCTCGGAAACGTGCCGGTAGCGCTGACAGCGCCGGAAGCCACACCGTTGCACCAACAGGGCGTCACAGTTATCAATCGAAACCCGGTCAGGTGGGCATTGCAGGCTGAGCCCGCCCAACAGTTGTCCCACTCCGCCCGGATACAAATCGCAAGCATATTGCGGCGTTGTCGATCCTCTTATTCAATCACATCAGGGCTTTTTTTCGCCTTCCCACCGACGGCACCCAAATCGGTGTGTTTTGTGTCAGGGACACCCAATCACCGGTCGATCATGAATTGGTCTTCTGGAACTTTCATCAACGAGGCTATGACACCAGACTATTTCTTTTGTTTCCATCATCGAAAGAGAAAGGCTATAGGAAACCCCGAAAACCCGATCTTCGTCAGAACAGCAATTGCAGAGCTAGTTGCGGAAAGACTTTCGTTTCTGAGTTGACATTCTTCGACGGGGACGTGCTGTTGCAGAGTCCCGCATGGTGTCATGAGCTTCGAGATTTTTTCTCTCTCCTTCTATTTTGCACCGCTCACGCTTTTCTTCCGTTCATTGGGCAACCACGGCGGCTTGTCTCTTTTCTTCGACAGCAGGCAGGCAGGCAGGAATAGCACAGTGTGCACACCTGGCTTTTTTCACTTCCACTTTTGTTTCGTGCAACCTACGCTATTGAGCTGCGTTGGCGCAGACCGTTCACAGGATTGAGGTCGTTTTGTTGCAGTGTTTGGGGGCAGGAATCGGCGACGGAATGGAAATTTGGGAACGAAGTTTTCCAATCAGCTTACAAAAAGAATGTTGGATAAGGTACCAAGAATATTGCATTCCTATCCCTTCAACCGGCATTTTGCGATGACATCGGAGATGAGTTGGCAGCGCACGAAAGGAAATTGTGTGTTCGAGCCAAGGGCTTGTTGAGTTGTGTGCGAGGCACGGTTGGTGCTTGTGTGAGATAGACAGGGCGAGGAGGGAATGCTCACCACAACTGTTCTCCCCGCTTGGGATGCGACCTTTCGCGACAGAGCAATGAAGCATCCATTCCAGGTCAGGAGTCAAGAAAACGTCGATTCGCCGTTCAACGTCACCAGCAGGGCGTTCTAATGTTGAAACATGGATGTGTGGCCGGAAGCCTTGGATGGGATAGTACTTGCATGGAACGAGACGGAGACAGCTGGTCTGAGCAAGGCCGAGGCAGGGTCCTTCTTCTATTGTTCCAATACCTCTCCCTTCTGACCTGTTGAGCGACAACTGGATTGCTGGATTGAATCCGAGTGAAGCTGACTTGCTAGGTAGCCTGGAGCGATAACTCTGGACTCTACTCTACTGTACGCTAAGCGAGACCGTAACCGCCCTCCCCCGTCAGTGTAAAGCGTGAGATAGCTAGCCACGAAACAGAAACAACATGAAACCAATTAACGTTTCAATGACCATTGACTTTCCGCTTTTTGCTACTGTTTTGCAAGATCTTGTCCATGACCCGGCCGAGGCGCTCGATCGCGTCGTCACTGATCTGGTAGTGGACGACCAGACGGCCGCCACTAGCCTTCAGACCCTCGTCGGCAGCAAGCCGAGCGAACTCAGCGGCCGGGATGCCTGCACGGGCGATGTCCAGCCAGACCATGTTCGTCTCGACGGGCTTTGCCAGCTCGCCACCGCGGGACTCCCACATCTCAGCGACCTTGCGGGCGCGGGCATGGCTATCTCGCAACTTGCCGCCTTCACCACGCGGGCCTTTCCCGAACCCCTCGTCAACGGCGACGCGAGCAGCGGCGGAGATGACACCGGCCTGTCTGGTGCCACCACCGATCATTTTGCGGATCCATCGTGCGTGGGCGATGAACGGCTTCGACCCCACAATTATACTGCCTATCGGAGCGGCCAGACCCTTGGAGAAGCACATGCTCACGCTGTCGAAACAGGTGGTGAATTCGGGCAGCGAGCCGGCGTCGGCGGCGACGGCATCCCAGATGCGCGCGCCGTCCAGGTGCATCTTGATGCCGTGCTGGCGAGCGAATTGCGAGATCTTGCGCACCTCGTCCAGCGGCATGATCGTGCCGTCGAGGGTGTTTTCCAGCGAAATCACCCGTGTCGGACACGCGTGCACGTCGTCCGAGACCACCGCGTGTTTCTGCACATCCTCGAGCGTCAGGTGGTGGCCGTTGGCCGGCTGCACGGCGACCAGCATGGCGCCGGATAACGTCGACACGCCGCCGGCTTCCCAGTTGTAGATGTGGCCGCGGATGTCGCAGAGCACTGAGTGTGGCGGCCCCTTCAGGTGCGTCCGTAGGGCGACTTGGTTGCCCATCGTCCCGGACATGACGAGCACAGCTGCCTCGTGGCCAGATAGTTCGGCCACGTATCTTTCCAGGTCGTTCGTCGTCGGGTCTTCCTGGAACACATCGTCTAGCAGAGTCGTGTTGCTGATCGCTTCAAGCATTGACGCTGTGGGGCTCGTCATGGTGTCGCTCCGGAAATCGTATGCTGCTTGGCCGGGCTGCTGCCAGGCATTGAAGGCCTTCTGGGTGGCCGCTGTGCGGTTGGCTTCGTCCATTTGGGCGGAAGTTGTTGACGAACTCATGTGTCTTTGGGCAGTTTGCGGGGGATGTGTTCTATGGCGTCTTTTATATGCTGCGGAACTCAAGACTGATAAAGATAAAGGAATGTAGTAGGGCAAGATGGTCTCACACGCTGTGTTCCTACTGGCTCGGATAACCGAGAGTCTTGGTCCCAGAGCGAGCATCGCCCGCGTTACAGAAATAAGAGTGATACTCTCTAGGCTCGGGGACGTACCTTGGGGACTGCTCCTCAGGCAATATAGGAAGCCGCTACGGCATGTACTGCAAAGGGCGGACGGACGTGGGAGGCAGCAAGCATCAGGCCTGGTGTGGAACCTCGGCGATCTGCGAAACTACAGAGATACGATGCGATGCGATACGCAGCTGCGCAGTCGAGCTACGGTGGAGCATAAAATCAATATTTTGCTACCTTCCGTTTCGGGTTAGATCAGGTACGATAGTACAACACCGTGACTGCCAGATGTCTTTTTGTACAACAGATGCAAGCACTTTCGCTCCAGACGCGTCTCGATTTCAACCACGCGTCACCCTTTTACTTGGTGTTCGGCGGGATTGCAATTGCAGTTGCGACTGAACTTATATGTTATCATCTTCCATCCGAGGATGCCTTTCTGGTCTCTACACTAAAGGTGACTGATGGCCTGACACGAATCGTCGCCCAATATCCAGTATGGCGTCTGCCACCCTTCGCAAGTCCCAGATGTCGCCGGTGCCCGCCAAAGCGCCCGGTAATGTCATTCTCTGCTGTGCGCAATGTGAGAATCATCTTGGGATCTACGAAAACAACTGGATTCGTGTAACGAGCTCCTACGCGCGTCCCGGCCGGCCTGGCACACTTCTCGGCATAAAGATCGGGCGGAAAACACAGGTAGTGCCCGAGGGCGCCTCGCAGCGAGATCTCCAAGGTTGCACGCTGGCACAACTGTCCTGCAAGAAATGCTCGACAGTCGTCGGACAGTATTGCAAGGCCGCCGCAACTCCAGAGCAGGAGCGTTTGGTGTAGGTAGTATTGCTGGTGTGAGGCGTGCTGTGCGGAACAACTGATGGCAATTGCAGTGATCAATACTTCTACCGACAGCCAAGAACATTCCTGAGGAGCAACGAGACGAACGATAGAATTGAACCGATCGTTGCCACCAGGGATGAACTTATCCATGCAGAGCATGCAGAGTCAAGCGGGGCTGCTCGTCAAAGCCTTCTTTCTACTACAGCAGTGTTTCTCCCGAGACTGTCCCAGACGCCATCTCGTAGTATCGATACACCTACACAGTTTCAACCACGTTCTGAGACGAAGCTTCGATCCTCCTATCAGCCTTCTCCACTACGGAACGAAAGTAATTCTTCTAGGACCAAGGATGGTCCTCTTCTATTGGAAATGAGACTGAGCGCACAGGAGGAACGTCTGGCGGCGCAAAATGTGAGGTTGCAACAACAGGAGACGCAAATCCAACTGTTGACATCTCTGGTGGACACTTTTCGTGACTCGCTCCAAGAGATGAAAAGTACATTGCGCGAGCTGCAATCTCAAAGGTCCATGCTCCAGACCGAGTCCTCAAAGATTGATGTGACCGGCGACCCAGAGGGAACGGAGAACGCCATGACAGAGGCACAACCAATTGATGCAGAAGTCGAACGACTGCGTGCTGAGAATGCCGCGATGAAAGCGAAGCTTGATAGCATTGCATCAGCTGTGGGCGCGGTTCCGAGGAAACCTCCACAAAGCACACCAGCCGGGCCCATGGATGAACCTTCCCAAAATGTTCTGGGCAAACGTAAGCGAGATGGGAGCATTGCGAGATCAAGCGCCTCCCAAGTCTCAAATGCACAGTTTCCAGCTTCCCAGGCCGCCGATGTCGCCGATACTGTGCAGACTCAAGAGCCACCAATTGCAAGCGATGTATCCCCCACAGAGCAGCCTGAGAGAATTTCGCGGAAGTCGACACAGCAGAACAAGAAGATTCGGAAAGGTCCTGGTCTTTCCCACGATGAGGCTCTTGTGGGACGTGGAGAGCGTCTCCAAACGACAAGAAGAAATAAGGGAACCACAAATGAGGATCAGCGAGCTACTAATGGGACGAAGGACGGGCTGCTTGAAACACCTGACGAGATGTCAGAGACTTCTGGCGCTGCACTGCTCGATTTATTCACTCAGGGAAGTCGGGCAACAAGAGTCACCACGCGAGAAGAATCGATGCAGCGCAATGGTCAACAAGAATCACGGTCTAGAGCCAGTAGATCACAGCAAGGAATGAACAGCGACACTCCTGCTCAAGCTCACTCCCAGATTCGTGTGGGCATCGTTTCGGCAAAACCAGTAGGGTCGCGGTTGTCCTCTGGCAACAACGTCGAATTCAGTGACGATGATCTGGTGAATGAACCCTATGAACACAACAACCATGGCGACGGAACACAAGGCGATGAGCCTAAGCAAAATCTCCATGACCTGTCACAGATTGAAGCGTTCCAGGACTCAACACCAGCCCTGCGTACCCAAAGGAAGACAACGGCAGCGGTGCAAAGTCTGCATGCGATCAGAGAGACTCGTTTCGATGAACATGTTCAGACTTCAAGGGAGGCAAGAATGCAAGCCCGAGGCATGAATAAGGAGGACCTTCAGAAGGCATCGTACGACCAGGTTCGTCCCATGAAGACCACGCAAGTAGCTATGGATGCTCCAATCCATACAAGCAATGAACGTGAACCGCCCGATGAAACGGTCGAGGACTCTTCGTCGCAACCTAGGCAAGAGCCGGCCGATACGACATCGCTGGTTCAGGATCAACGAGAACCTGCAATAGGAGATTCGGCCGCAAAGGGCCTTGGGGGAAGTCTGAGCCGCAAACAGCAACGCGCGGAGGAGATACGTCGACGAGATCAACTTGCGAAGGAGGCCTTGGAAATGGATGACTAGGTTCCTATGTGCCGTGCTTCGACAATGCCCTTTCGACTAGGAACGATGAGTGTCTACCGACAGGTCTTGAGTGACACCGTCTGTTTATATTGACTACAGCGCTGGCTGATGCCCGTCGAGGAGAATAGACCAGTCTGGTCCTTCCACGGGCGTTGCTCGGGAAAAACTGCTAAGGGCGCTTCTCATGGCTTTGTGTCCTGAGATGGTCTACATCTTTATACGCTATATTAGGTAGATAGTCACTGCATACCTCAGTATCATCGTGATCTATGTGCCCATTTCGCCCTGCGCACACCAAGTACCTACCTTAGTCCAGGAATAAGGAGGACGGGGAAGCCGAGGCCCGGAGGCATCAGCCACGCTCCTGATTAGCCTCCTTAGCCCCTAAGCCCTAGTAGTCTGACAGATATGCCTAGGGGCCCTCAGGCTTCCTAGGCTAGTAGGGGACCTTGACAGGTGCTGTGTTGTGAGTCGCTGTAGGCTCCTCCGGGCGTCGACTCCCCTTATCTCTCGCCAGGTACGCCTAAGGGAGTGGATTTCAGGGGTCTAGAGCCTTGCGGTCTGGTTGGTCTTGAGTGGCAGTGAAGGGGTTCTAAGGGCCAGGCAGCCTGCAGGGATCCCGGTTGACGGGAAATGCCCTTCGACGTCCGCAGGTTAATCTCGACCTCATCAGTTCTTCCTTTTCACAGCCTCTCCTTCGCCTCTCGCCCTTCGTGTTGTACAGTGTGTTTGGCGGCTGTTTTTGGCATTTTCAGGCAAGTGAACGTCGTCTGTGGTCCTCGATACTATTCCCACGTGCTGGTCATCAATTTGGTAAGTCATCTGCGCACTCACAAGCCTCTGTGTCGACAACTGCTAATACTCGACCGTCAGGTGCATCCGTCTCCTTACTTCACGAGCCACGGTCTTTTTCGGTAGGCCTCCCGATTTCCTCAGATTCGTCTATCCGCATGCCCTTGTCCTAGTGGCACATCCCTCCCCCAAATGAGTCAGGTTGTTGTGTTTGCCGCATGGTGTACTAAGACAACAATGTCAAGAGACCGGTTGGCTGTCCATCAATATCATGTGCTTCAATACCTCCATGTGACTATTTGTCTTGAGTGTTTCCGCACGTTTGTCCGCTATCAACGCGACATGTGCTAGTACTCTGTGGGTACCAGGCTGATATGGCGTACAGAGAGTATTTGTTCCAGGATTTCAGGATAGAACACGGTCATAAGGTACGTGGTAAACAAAACTCACCACCCCTATGGTCATGGGAGTATGATGTCGTGCCGAGAGCAGCCTACCTGGACACTATAGTGTTGCACTGGCACTCGTGTCGACCTCAACAACAATGCCAACCAGAGCCCATTCTTGGAGAGCCTTACCCTCCCCTGTTCGCCCAAGATGGACGTCGCTAATAGTGTGGAAGACGGCGATTGTAGTTCTAACGATGGTTGCCTGTCGTCCTGCGACTCAGAAAAGACTGGCTTAACCCCTGAAGGATACTACGAAGACCGGCTAGGGGATCTGGCACCTTTTGTTCCGGTCAGTAGCATGTCCCAGGCGTGATGGAAGAGAGCGCTATTGACAATCACCTAGAAGGGCACAATCGACGAAGGCTATTTGGCTCAATCACGATACATCAATGCAGAAGAGTCCTGGGAGACAGTCGACACTGTGATCATGGCAGAACTGTCACAGCCTACCCAACAGGCGACACAACAGGCGACACAACCTGTCGACGACCCACGAAAGCTGGGAAAGAATTCATCTAATGTCTCCGAGGGCGATGCGATAGATGTCATATGTCTGCTGCATCCAACTTCTCCGGCTGCTTTTGAGGCGGTCAAGTCGAACCTACTCCGCGGGCGAGCCCACATCTTACAGAACGGTGACTTGGAAGGACTCAGTGAGGACGATATACTGTTTGGGCCAGAGTTCAATCAACCCCGGGACATAGCTCTCCGCATATCCTCCTCTGTCAAGGATCCCAAAGACGGATTCCGGTTCGGCCGTGCCAGCCAACAATGTGACGTGCTCCTGACACCCTACGAGAACGACAAATTGGTTAGCAAGATTCATTTCAAGATCTTTGTCAACAACCAGGGCAGCCTTATGCTTCAGGACCTGTCCACCAACGGCACCATTGTTGATGATGTGCATATTGCACAAAAGAATCGACGTGGCCAGACCACGCTCAAACCAGCCACCATCGTCCTTAAACATGGGTCGATCATTTCAGTTGTCAGCGGCATTGATCGCCAAGAGGTCAAATTGATGGTCCGGATACCCACACGTGGTGACAATGAAGAGGCATACGAGGACAACCTGAGAAGATATCTCTCAGCTAGAGGGGAGGTTGCTCAATTCGCTTCCATGCGAGAAAGCTCCTATGGAAATCACTGGAATGGAGGCAGCCTCTACAACTTTACAGGCCTACTGGGCAAGGGAGCCTTTGCGACAGTGTATCGAGTGCAGACCAAGAAAGAAGGTCACCTCTACGCGGCCAAGGAGCTCGACAAACGCCGGTTCATCAAAAACGGAGTGCTGGACATGAAGTTTGACAGTGAACTCAACATTATGAAAAACCTCAACCACCCTAACATTGTCAACTACGTGGATTGTCAGTCCTATTCGCATTGGATATACATTCTGATGGAATTCGTGCCATACGGCGAACTGTCGCAGGAGCTGCGCGCACTAGGCAAGATTCCAGAGCCTGATGTCCAGCAGATTACGAAACAAATACTGCATGCCCTGGACTATCTGCATCGAAGAAACATCACCCATAGAGACATCAAGCCCGACAACATCCTGATCTCGTCTCGATCGCCTCTTGTCGTCAAACTTTCGGATTTCGGCCTCTCAAAATGCGTCACCGATCAAGAGACTTTCCTCAAGACGTTTTGTGGGACACTTCTGTATTGTGCACCAGAGGTGTACCCTGACTATCCTACTTATGCTCAAGGGGCAACGACCAAGAGACGCCGCTTTGGCGAGCCCCAGGCACGGCCAGCACCATCTCCCTACGATCAATCAGTTGACATGTGGTCATTTGGGGCCGTCATCTTCCACATGCTATGTGGCAAGCCTCCTATTACTGGCAGAGGTGATGACCGTGGGGCACAAATGCTGAATAATATCATGACAAAGGATGTGGACTTTGATCCGCTTAGAGACATTGGTGTGTCGGATCAAGCCATCGATTTTATATCGAGGCTTCTCAACCGAAACCCTGCCTTGCGGCCAAAAGAAGTCGAATGTTTGAAGCACCCCTGGCTCCGAGACATCCCAGACAATTGTGAATATGATGACCTAGAAGATGCTGGCCCTCCTTTGGAACGTCGGCTCGATATCGTCGATGAAGTTGATGAAGACCTCCTCGACGATGAGTTGATCAACAACCTCAATCAATTGACCCAGCCACCGTCATCAAACCCTACTCCTGACCGGCCAACAAAGCGACCGAGGACTGCAGCAGACATTGCACCGTCACCAGGAGACGTCACCTATCCTAGTCTACCGGGACCTGGAGAGAGCTTTCTCCCCATGCCGTCGGCACCACCTGCGCAGCGTCTTTTTGGCGAGATATCGCAATCTGTACTGCGCAGTTCTGGCGTCTTCGGCGGTGAACTGCCCCCTCCTGTATACGCCGATGTTCACGACATCCGGAACCGAGTTGAACAGATTAGCGTGAACGACTTTGCTTCTCGTGGGGATCTGGAACAAAGTGCAGACAATTCGGGGCAACCTCTTCACTACCCGCGCCTCTTGGAGGTCCCGCGGGCGCATGCTGGTTCGGCAGCAAGCCTACTCGGTGCCGAACAGCAAATCGGCCAGCTCAACATGGCTTCTCCCGAACTGGATGTGTCTAATCCCGCAACACCGGAGACAGCAAACCCCATGACTCCACAGACTCGTGAAATGTCTCCTTCAGGCGCCACCAGTCATAATGCTGACACCGAAGTGGATGATGCTGCTCAAGGATATGGGGAACCGGTATTCACACGTCAGATTGACCTTGGTCTCATCTCGGATCCCGCGCAATTCGAGGCCGAACTTGAAGCGCGCAATGCATCAAGAGCTGCGAAGCTTTCTCGAGCCAAGGCCGAAACATTCCATGGCAATGTCAATGCCAGAACCCAGTTACCCTCCTTTGAACTTGCAGCTACGATCGACGCAAGAACTGGGCAGGAAGTCAGACCGACCGCCGTCACGCAACGTCTTATCCGGGAACCGCACGAAGTGAGAGACACCGCGGGCATGGACTCTGCAACGACGCAGTTCCTGAAGCCTTCCAAGCGGTATGGGAAGCTTTCCAGTGTGCCAGGATCCTTTGCCAATGTCACAGTAAACCTGGAGCGACGATTCACTTCCTGGGGCCGTGGCGTCGACTGTACCGTCCAGCATGCCGACGTCAAGGACACCCGGATACCAAAATATGCGATGAAGATCACCTACTGGGCGCCTGGAATGGAAGCACATATCGAGCAAGGCGGGGACTGGACCCAGCTACCTGGAATTCGAACCATACTGTCGACATCAGCGAGCGGTTGCATCTGGGTCAACAATGTCGAACTGCGCAAAGAATCTCGGACCGGCGACGCCGCGCTTTTCGGAAAACTCTACACAGGCGATGTTATCACGATTTATGACGACGGAAAGGCACAGTACTTGAAATTTCGTGTGGAGATTACGTTTGGTGACAGTGCGCGACAACGCCCGAAGAGCGAGCCTGATTTCGTCGTGCTGGAGGAGAGGTATCACCATCGTCGTATGAAGGAACGCGAAAGCATGCGGGTCAGCCGGACAGGGAACGGTGTAGGATCTGGCTCGGCAGCGCGCGACAGTGCGCGTTGAAGCTGAATGATTGTACGATAATTGCCACGGCAAGATGATCACGTCGACTGATGAAGTGTCGACCTGGGAGAGGCGTTCGTAGATACCGGTTGGAATTGCTACTTGATACGCTCCCCTGGTCAATGATATGATTGAAACTTGAAGCGAGAAAATGAAAACAGAGTGTCCTGCTCGAAACCGGCCGGGAAGCTACGGTATCAATCCCACATTGTCTCCTTGCATGTCCTACAGCAAGACCAAGATATATTTGTGTACTCCGTCGCGCCCTCACATGGGGCGCAGGGGTCCTTCGGATGACTGCATCTTTCAGCTTTCGGCTTTCGATAGCTGAAAAGGGCCATTCTTTATTCTTTTTGCATTCTCCCAGCGGGTTGTCAACCGCTATGATGCTGTGTGATTTTGTCGGCACATGGCATGGCCCGGGCACATAGTCCTGGCTTTTCCCCCAAGAAAAAAAGGTGACAGCCTCTTTTTATGGTCCGAGATCAACGATCTGACGCTCTATCAATGGAGATAGTGATAGGCAGGGGAGATGGCGCCACTTTGGATCCACGTCGTACAGGGATCCGAAGCAAGACTAACCGTGCGTGTCAGTAGCGGAAGACCCGACGATTCGACGAAGGTCACGGACTGGCGGGAGGGATGGAGGCCGGTGGAGTCGAAGGATAATTTTCCCTACCGAGTTAGTGGAAGCAATCAACGATGAAACAGCAAGGAGAGATTGATGAGGAGGAGCACAGATTAGCTGGTTGGTTGGTCTCGTGGTCCGGTACAGAGAAGAGAGCGATTGACCCGACAGAGACAGAGGTGAAGCAGCTGCACGGCTTTCGAATATGGCTGGCTGCGCTGCGCCGGCAGCTCGATGCCCCTGGAGAAGCAATGTTGCTCCCGGATGAGAGCGGCGCTGATTCGCCTTCAAGTTGGGCGTATAGACATAGATAGGCCAGAGCGTGCCAGTGTGGGAGAAATCTTTTTTTGGAACCAATACCAAGGTCTGCATTGTGGAGTGGATAAAGGCGTAGGGACCTTAACTAAAGGTACATATACATAGTAAGTATCAACATTTTGATTAGGTTGTATTTTGTATTTTTCTTCACCACCAAGAGAAAAAAGTCGAAAGTGAGAACTCAGGTGAGGTGGAGGCGAGTCAATCTTTTTTCTGTGCTGCCAGTGTAATAAGTACTACTACTACTACCTTAGTATAGTAGGTAGTTGTACCTGGGAGAACTGCATGCTGGCTGATTCCGTCTGCGGCCATCCTGCACACCTGCACTCAGTCGAAGTATTAAAAATGGGTAAAGACCTGTAAACAAATGGCTTTTCGCTCGCAGTAGAGGCAGGCTGAAGCGAGTAAATACAGCTGTCAATGCAGCAGAATACTAGTAGACAGCGGGAGGTGTCAGATGTTTTAGCAGCGGCATGATGTGCAGTGTGCAGCCTGCGCTGCTCCGTCTTGTCTAGGTATACACAGTAGTCTTGTACTAGGTAGTAATCACTTACTACTGACTGACTGCGGTGCATCTGCTCAATATCGTCTGAATTGGAATTCCAACATCCTCTCACCAACCCATCTCTCCCTTCTTCCCGCCTGGTCTGCACCCATCGGGCTTCTAAATGCAGCCGTCGCATGTGCCACCCTGTGTTGTCCTGATCTCCTGTCCTTTGGCACCTCATCCACGAATGATCGCGACACTTCGACCGGCTCAATCGCACCCTTGACATCCTTTGTCTGCCGGGCCTCAAAGTCACACGAAATCCTCACTCTCTATCTGCTCGTCCTTCTGTCGCGGGAACCCTGATGGCAGTCTAGCCCTGTGACGGTCACATCGGCTACTGCAGTGTGTGATCATATGATCACATCGCTGCGCTGCTCTCCCTTTCCGAAACCCTCACCTCGTCTCCCATCCGCTCTCTACTGTTGACGGCCATGTCGCGGACTCCCTCACCACTTCCTAACGGGAGTTGGACTGCCCAGGGACGGCTTGACGGCAACTCGATGCCCAATGGCGTGCACGCGGCGCCCAACCTCTACAGCAACAATGACGATCAGTGGGCTGCGGCCAAAGCCAAAAGTGCGCATGTCAGAGGCTACCCGAGCATCCAAACCAAAAACGAAGGGTTCTTCCAACGGTCCAGGCGGAAGATCTCCTCTACACTTCCTGTTTTCAGCCCTTACACCCCGCTGTCGGCCAGTTGGAAAGACCCCGAGAAGTTGGGTCGGAGTCGGTGGTACCCAAGAGGAGGCGGCACTTTGTCCAAGGTTAAGACGTTTGTTGGGAATGTCCTGCGCAAATTCAAGTTTCTGTTCATCATCCTGTCCATTGTGACTTTGATCACGGTCGTCATGTCCAAGACGAGTAAGTCCCGCAGGAAGATCACAACCTTGGTACAATTTAGCAGGTCTAACTGTCGCGCAGGTGTCCTGGTTAGAATCCGCGGCAACTCCCATCTCGGCGGCGGAAGCAAGTTTGTCATTGTCCTCGGCGCGAATGAAGGAGGTGGTGTCATGGAATGGAAAGGTCCTAGAGAGTGGGCGATCGAACGAGACAGCATCAAGAACAAAAGAAAATACGCGGATCGATGGGGCTATCAACTCGAGATCACCGACATGAGTACCAAGAAGAGATATGCACATGAATGGCGGGAGAGTTGGGAGAAAGTCGATCTGGTGCGAAACGCCATGGCTAGATATCCCGACGCCGAATGGTATGCTATCTGTTTTTATGTTGCTTGTTCAACTGCCAACTGACGTTCTGGTGCAGGTTCTGGTGGCTTGACTTGAACACCTTCATCATGGAACCATCGATATCGCTGCAGTCGCACATCTTCAACAACCTGGCCAAAACCGTGTACCGGGATATCAACGTCTACAACCCTCTCAACATCACACACCCCCCTCAGACCGAGTTCCTCGACCCCGTGGCACGATCAGCCACAGGCGACAACCGGACCTCCTCCATCGACATTATCATCCCGCAGGATTGCAGTGGTTTCAACCTCGGATCTTTCTTTCTACGGCGATCTCCTTTCACAGACCGGCTGTTGGACATGTGGTGGGATCCGGTCTTGTACGAACAGAAACATATGGAGTGGGAGCACAAGGAACAAGATGCCCTGGAGCATCTGTACGCCTCGCAGCCTTACATGAGGACCCACTTCGCTTTTATTGAGCAACGCAAAATCAACTCCTTCCCTCCCGGAGCATGCGCGGTCGAGCCGAAAGAGGGCGAAGTCGTCGAAGAAGGAAAGACTCTTCTGGACCCCCGTTTCCACTATCGAGAGCAGGACCGCGACTTCGTGGTCAACATGGCCGGCTGTGAATGGGGACGAGACTGTTGGGCCGAGATGTACATGTATCGCGAACTCAGCAACAAGTTGAATCGATCGTGGTGGGAAAAGTTCAAAGACTCTCTCAGCGGAGCGTGGAGGAGTGTCAAGACAAGCGTGTCCAGAGAAAAGAAGAATGATGTGAAACAGGCTCCCGGATGACCGAGAGAGTCGAAACCTTGATGACACGAATCATCCCATCCGGGGATATGCTCACAGTCTGCCTCGCCTCCTGGCTCAATACCAAAAAGCAGCAGCACCACCACCGCCGCAACAGAAGTGGCTGGATCACTTTGCATTACCCCATCCTCTGCTCGACGGAGTTTACAAAAAGCATCAGTCCAGTCTGGACTCTGGATTGTTTAGAGTCACGTCACCATCATGGCCAGCAAGGAGCGGAGTGGAGTGGTCAAACCGAGACTGGGTTCGGATCAAGCTTTGAACAACCAACGGCTCATCAGCCAAATAGCGACGGAGGGTGGGCTTTTCTTCTTCTTTTCTTCTTCTTTCCTCTTCAATTTTTTCTCTCCCTCTTCAACCCCCTGGCAACAGGGGACATGCATGGGAATGGAGTCATTGTCCCTACAGGAATGGGCATGGGAATGCGGGACCGTGGGACCCTTGTTCTTGCAATTGTACACCTACTGCCCGGCTGAGGCGCAAAACCTGGAAGTGAAACCGGGATTCAGCGTTGAAAAGAGGCGCAGATAACCAAGACGCCATTGACGGAGGAAATCCTAGTACATGGCGGCGGAGTGCATTGTCCAACTTGAAGACAGATACCGAGAGAGTGGTGGTCTGGGTCGCTGCTCGATGGAAGAACAGTGGTGAGCTACTATTGCTGCTACATGGCAGGCATGCCAGTACGCTACAGTGAATGAATGTATGAGTGAACTCGTTATGAAGTCGGCTTCGACTTCGGCTTTAGCTTCGTGAAGCCTTGAGACACGACGTGTCCTGTGCTGCCCTGCCCTGCCTGCCCTGCCGAGGGGAGGTGACTTGTGAGCAAAGCCTCGAGTCTCTGAAAGAAGACCCAAAAGGGGTCTCCAAGCTAGACCACTAGGTTCCCCATTCCCAATTTCTGTTCTGACGTGTTGTGTGGAAGACCGATCGACCATGGGCCCTTCTCTCCTCTTCTCTTCTCCTTGAATGCCTGTCCCCCGTCAACAATAGAAGGACGGCTGTTCTTTCAAGTCAATTGAGAAAAAGGTGTGTCGTGAGGCAACTCGTTCTTCAAGACCCGGATCCACCGGTCGATGAATGCCAGATCTCTCTGGTGGTAGGTGGTGTGCTTTCGAACCATGGAGTATAATTCTTTTCGGCGTCTGGTTTCTTCCAGCAGCTGGCCCAGCAACGCCACGTCGTCGAACCCGACCTTCTCGTCCGTGACCAAGTAGCAGAACTCCTGCACCGTCTCGGGCCAGCCGGTGGTAGGTTTCTTGATCAAGACGCCAGAAGTTCTAAGGTTCGGGACGGCCAGAGCTGCCGGTGTCGCTGATCTTTGAGCATCAGTGTTCGCCTGAACAGTAACAGTAAGGGTGCACCGCGCCGTTTGGAGGTAGGGTGCCAGCTGCTGGTGTGGGATAGCATTAGCGAATCCGACTTGGGGCGGTTTCTGAGAGGAGGCATGTGACCATGAAATCATCCGTAACATATCCTCTCCTGCCACTCCCCCATCTTGTTGCGGACAGAACTTGGTCCACTCAAACCGGACCGAGCCGTCGTCGTCACGGAGCGACCTCAGGCACAGTTGACGGCGGCCAAGGGCCAGTCCGGCCGAAGTCGTTCCCCCGATGTATTTCGGCCAATTGATGGCTTGCTTGAAGCGCTCCCAGTCCGCACTCGTGGTGATGGCATCTCGTCTGTCCATGCCCATGCCCATGCCCATGCCCATGTCTCGGTCGATTTTGGGATCGACTTCTTCCGCAGTTTCCGCCAATAGCCTTAACGCCTGCTGGTCGCACAGGACGGCCAGCACGTGGCGTGTGACTTGCCAGTCCTCGGGGCTTATTGCTGAGCGAAAATATACCAAAGCTCGCACCTCGAGTGTAGACCTGCGCGACTGAGGAGTTCGTTGCTGGAAGGCGGCTTTCACAGGATGAGGAGCGGGAGCCGTCACTGCCAGATCGTCGTCCTGGAGGGAAATCAGCAGTTTTCTTGCAGCCCCTTTAGGCGTGAGCTCTGGAAAGCAGTACGCTAAGCACCTTTCGAGGAGACCGGCTTTGGCGGGCACCGTGACTTGCACAAAGCTCAGCTCGACCTGGTTGGCGTGCCGGATGGTTGCTTTGCCGGTCCAGGGCAGGCTGGAGTCTTGCGCTTTCGTGGCCCATCGCCGCCAACGATGAGAATCCTGTCCGCGCAGTGAACCGGCCGAGTCGACTTGAAGCAAGAGCTCGATTTCTGGAGGTTCTGCAGATGTGTCCTTAGGTAATCGTCCGGTCGTAGTACCGCCGGCGAGCTCCCGCATGACGGATGATCTCGAAGGAAGCGAGATCGCTCGCGACGCGGCGCGCGACAGTGTGAGGTCTGCATCACCAAGCTGCGAAGAGATGTCGGTGCCAGTGGGACTGAGTCTGGATCTGAGAAGATTGTCTCTACCACCACTCAGGCACGTAAGAACACTTGGCCGATAGACTTCACAGGCCCAGTCACAGAGGTGCTCGATGATCAGCAGGAGTTGGAGACCCCCCTCCGGGAAGAGAACTGTTCCGTGCCAAAGGTCAAAGATTTGCTGCATCAGAAGTTAGCCCTACCCATACATGTGTGAAAAGGAGCGAGCGTTTTGCAGAAGAAAGAAAAGGAAAGCTGACCACGCCCAACCCATCCGGCACAGCGGCATAGAGACGCCACTCTTCCCCTAGACTCAAGAACGACCAGACCAAGCACTGGTGTGGCATCCCGGTTTCTTGTCGCAGATTCTGCTGCAAGCGCAGACATGTCCTTGTGACGAAAGCCGTCTGGCGTAGCATGCTGGCAAAACTGGCGCCATGGTTCTCGGCCGGCTTTGCTTCGATCACAATGAAAGGATAGACGACATTGCGCCTCTTGAATGGGCTGTATCTGGTCTGCAAAGACGGGAGATGTTGTCTCAATGTACCGGTTGGCCGAAGTCCGATGACCCTATCTGGTCTCCTTTTCAACCGTTTCTTCGCCTCACTTGTCATATCCTCGTGGTCAACGGATTTATCGAACTGGCGCGAGAAAAGCCGAGAATACTGGTCGCTGCTGCGGCTCGATGTGTCAGCAAAGTCGTCACGATCTTGAGACTCCTAGAGTCTACTCAGAACTCACACTCTTGTCTGGGCCAGCTCGAGGCGAGTACATGTGCATAGGAGTCTCTTTCGCCGTCTTCTCTGAAGTCTTTCGGCTTCAACCGGGTTGGCTGGCTTCGCCTCGAACATGGGCTTCCAAGGGCGTTTCCGACAAATACGACTTATTCAAGTCAGCTCGTCAGATACACATGCGGGTGACGGAGAGCACCAGGAGAATCGTTCACCATATGACTTCAGAATCGAAACATTGGAAAGCCCTGAATTCGACTTCTTTTCTCCATCCATACTCGGAATCCCCGTTTTCGAGACAACCCCAAGCTTCTTCGCTCATTCTTGCAGCATTGTATGCTTTGTCGACGGCATATTCGTCCTCTAGTAGGAACTTGTCGGCGAATTCTTCGGGTCTCAGCTGACCAATGCGCCGTATCTCGTCGAATACTGCAGCATAGTCTCCCCATTTGTCCGGTCGGATACGTCCTTCAAATGAGATGCCATGACTTGTCATCAAATCAATATAATTCTCTGTGGTGAACCTGGAACTCTCCTCAGGTTGATCCATGCCCGGCTGCAGGGACGAGGTGCGGCAAGGAGAAGGCCTCCTGAGCGTAGGTTCACCGTTCGGCAGCCTATACCAATAAACTGCAGGCTTGGAACCACAACAATAGAGGAAGGAAGGCTCGGGTGGGAAATCCAAGTTGACATTGTATGGGACGTACAATAGCCGCCTTCCAGTAGCGTAGGAAGCTAAGGAGACCAGGAGGGAAGAGGATATGCAGACGCGCTTGCCCGGCCTCCCGCCAGGGAGATAGACGAAACAGCTAACATTAGTGCAAGGCAGACAACTGTAACTTGGTCTGCGCCACGACAGCCTTCCCTACCTATGCTTGTTGTCTTGACTCTTGACGAGCTGGCGCAGGCCTGACCAAGGCCTGACCAAGGCCTGCTGAGGCTGAGCAATGGGTCATAGTATCGTTAAGTGAGTCCATGCTATGCGCTGATTGAGTGTGACGCGTGTTTCCACTGTCACTCTTATCATTCGGGAAGCCAAACATGCCATGTCTCTGGAACTGCATTTGGACGTAGTTGGGCGGACCAGAGGTCGTCCATGAACATGAGAGTGAACAGTAGCGAGCCTTCCTCAAAAGCTTGAGGATGATATATATAGACAAGTAAGATGAAACTCTTCAAATGATAATGACAGGAATGATGGGTCTGAACGTCATTCGGTAGCACGATCAATCATCATCCAAACTTTATCCGCACGTCGACCAAGGGCCAGTCGACCATTCTCCCCTATAATAATAGTATAGTATATAGGTAACATAACATAGCGGTATAGTACAGTATTTACTACGCAGTCAACCGCTGCAGGACTGTTGCTTTCCTCAGCACGACGGCCGTAGTGTCCTTGGGCGTTTTGGCCCCTTTCAGGAAGCGATTGAAATCGAAGCCTTCCTCCGAAGGATACCGAAGCAGGCCGGGAAAGACTGTGATGCCCAGAATGGCGTCGGGCTCACTTTCCGTGCCATTGCCGGGGGATGCATCCTTCACTTCCATGGCAATTCGGTCAACAGGCGTCCCAGGTAAGTATAGGACACACTTATACAAGTCTGTGGTCAAGAGAAGCCGGACCTTTGCATGGAGGGCTTGTGTGAAGATCTCGGTCATCACCCGTTCTTCTTCAACCCATCCATCTGCAATGTCGACGTATTGCTCATCAAGATCTCTGTGTGCATCCAACAAGGGCTGCATGCAGTCGAGAGTGCGACGTGCGAGGTGTCGCGCTTGTCTCGAAATTGCCAGGTCGCATACAGAAGGATCGTCGATGCACTTTTCGAGGGTGGCATATTGAAGGCTCTCTGCGAATTGGCTGTCTATTGCAGATTAGAATCAGCTGTGGTTTAAACCCATTTTGAAGGCATATCTCAGACCTTGTGCGGCCAGAAGGCCTTGGAGATTTGAATAGAAGAGATCGTTCTCCTGGAAAAGCGCGCCCAAATCGGCCTCGAACACCCAGATGCAGAGAGCTGCGGAAATCAAGCTTAGGATAACAGCCTGCAAGGTGACATTGCAGAGCTCAGTGGTATGAAAGTATTGGCCGCCAGAGCTATCCATACTCACTTCTACGCCAAAAGCCCGTTTGAAGAGCGGCGCAAGCCACGAGCCATCGGCGCAGTCCAGCATCTCAACGGCGAAGGAGTTATTTTGACTTTGTAGGATCTTGAAGAGCTCCAATCGTACCCCGTCCAAGTGCTCGATGACTCTTTTCACTGTGCGTGCTCGAGTGGCCTCGCTTAAGGGCTTCTGGAACCGGGCTGTGGCCTGGTAGCTGTGCAATTTTTCCTGGAGAGCGTCGTTCTCACGGCAGAGTGTTAGGTTAACCTGACTCGTCACGCCTGTGCTTGATCCGGTCAGCTCTGCTTGTATGTGTATGTTGCGGCGTTTGAGGGAATCTCTCCGTTTCCGAGCTATGCGGTAAAGTCTCTTCCAATGTCGGATCTCCTCGACGGCTTGCACTTTGAACTCCTCCAACGCCAACATTATCTGAGCGTTGTCACTTTTCATTTGGTCGAAATCGGATCTCAGCTGTGTTTTTTGACTCTTCAAGTCGTTCAATTCCAACGTAAGCTCGAGAAATTGGCGATGTTCAGTACTCGTGCTGGGGGTCGCGGATCGAGAAGCTTGATCAGATGCAACGAATTCGACTTTCACTTCAGTGACATTACCACCGCGCCGCGAAGACAGGTCTCGAGAATTTCTTGATGGGGACGCTCGTGCAGAAGTCGGGGAAAGTTGTGTTTGAAACGACTCGACACTTGACGTACTTTCTTCGCTATGCCGAATCACGAGGGAGATGTCAGGCGTTCCCGGAGCAGGAGAGAATGGAGAGGTAGAGCCTTCAAAGGGCGTCTCGCGAACATACTAAAAGAGTTTGACTTGTGAGAATGGCAGTACTGGAGACTGGAGCACGATTGCTGATGGCATACCTCTGGCACTGGCGTCGCCGTTGTTCTCTTTCCATTTGCGGATTTACCATGACGCCCTCTCTTTCTCTTTCTCTTCCGAACGCTTGTGACAACTCCGTTCAGGCAGTCTGATGGTCTTTTAGGCGTATTGCGGAGAGCAGGCGGCAATATCGAAGCACTTCTTAGGCGTCGCAGGCTTCCGCCTTTGCTCTGCAACTCAACCGCTTTCTTCCTCACCCATGCTGCCTTATCTTGCTGAAGACGCGGCAGCCCTTTGAGTCCTAGGCTGTAGATTTCCTTCCAGTGCGTCCCATCCTTTCCCACGGGGTGCCAATGAGACCAGAAAAACGCGAGCTTGTTCTCGATTTCGCTTTGGGAGATGGCTCTGTCGAGCTCTTCTCGATAGTTGGAGATAATGTCCGATACAAGGAACTCCTGTGGCAGGCGGTACATGACATGTCGCTCCAGGTGGGCGAGGATCATGAGGCCATGCTCAGCAAATAAGTGGGAGTCAACGTGAGCTCCATTGAGGTCGGCTCGCTGCTTGCGAGTACGCTTCGATTCCATAACTTTGTCTCAGGTCGTTCTGAAAGTTGGAACAGCTTCAAGGAAGAGACTGGGACGAAATTGTGGTCTCGTTGCCGTGGGTTGCAACCTGCCCAACGCCTAGACGACAAGGCGTCCGACACAGTCGACCTCACCTACCTTGTCCTGGCGCGAAACGTGTCCTACTGATGCAAGAGGGACTTGTTGATTGGTACTGTTGAAGCAGCCTAGGTTTTGGCCCCCCAACTTGCATACATAGCTGCTCTATATCCTGCGATGGCCTGCGCCCCCTTTTTCCTTCGGCGATTAGGGCGGTAGCCAGAGATAACTGGCAACTAGGTGCCCGGCACCATGTACGTACTGAGTACACTATCGTAATACTGATGGCGGCCGCATCCCAAAACTGGAAGGCTGTGGTGGTGGATCAGACCCACTTATTGATTGGACTAGACCGACGGACGGCGCGTGAGCGCGGCTGCGGAAGGCCGGCCCGCTCCCAATCTGTCTCAAAAGCTGGCACAGTGCAACCGGAGGAGGTCACATCATACATGGGGACGGAGGTGAGAGTTCGAGAGAGTTTCACGATTCAAGGTTCTAGCTACTAAGACAGTAGCTGTAGCCTTGTACTCACAAGAGCAACAGCGGAAGAGTTCCGATTTTGCCGATGTCAGCCCCAACGCTCCCGCGGCTGATAACGTTGCATTCCCGGCGGCTGCTTCGCTCACCGGGATGGTCAGCGCCCACACCTGGCCTGCCTGCAACTGGTGCGCGCCGGCTAGCTGAGACTTGACCCGGTGATCGAGTGTTTGAGCGAACGAGCGTTGCAAAGGTCTAAATATGGCAATGGTATCGAAGGCAAGGCGTTTTCGGGCCACATGGTAGTCCGCCAGGGAGGAACGGTAAAGAGCCGCAGGTCTTCCGGTCAACAACTGATCATGAATACGTATATTCCATTCCTCGTACGGTCCTGTGGCGGGATTCTTCCAGTTCCAAAAGATCATTGCCATGGCCGAGAACGCTGAAGAAGAATTTGCAAGGCTCCCTTCAGAAGAGCTCTTGGAGGATACCGAAATGCATGATTTCTCCGAACCAGGAGAAAGAGACCTCAGCCAGCTTGGAACTTATCGAGAGAGAACAGTCGAGCCTTGTGAAGGCGTCTTGCTGGGTCAACAACCTGAGTCTGAACCCATGCAAAGCATAGAGCAAGAATCTGAAGAGCCCAAGGGACCCAGCTTCATCATCGCTATCGATTTTGGAACGACATTTTCCTCCGTAGCCTTTGTCCGCCTGGAACCTGACAAACCGACTCATCTGGTTGGGATCGACGACATCGAATGTATTGACAACTTCCCCGACATGCTACCGGGGCCGTCTGCCGATATCCTCGCCCATCATCCGACCGTGCCCACGGAGCTCATGTGCCATACACAGCAAGACAAGCCGAGGCCTGAAGATCCACTCGAATCAGAATCTTCAGACCATGACTCTTGCCCCTCCCTGGATCACGAATGGGCGTCTTCGTCGGCGGACGACTCCGATCAAGAGAGGGAGGAGGTGAAGGTATCAGTTGCCCGAACCGAACCCAACATAATCAGGACCTCGGATTGGGGATGGGGGGTCCATTCTCGACTTGCGAAGCCGAACCCGCTGCCCCCAGGTCTAGCTCACTTGAAAAGCTTCAAACTGCTCCTGGACGACAGCCCGGCGACAAGAGACCTTCGTCAAAAAAGCGCCCTCGCCATGAGGATGTTGAAGCCTGCCAAGGTGATGGATGTCATTTCCGAGTATCTTGAACACCTGTTCAGGCATACGAAAGCGAGGCTGACGGCCACTCATGGCCTTCGCCGGGATAGTCCGGTGGAGTTTGTCATATGTGTGCCCAACTCATGGACGGACACAGCCTGTCGCGTCATGCACGACGCTTTAGCGAAGGCCGTCAAAATGCCTGGACAGACACATCTCGAGCACGCCACGATCAAAGACTTGTTCATTGTTGCCGAAGCGGAGGCGGCGGCAACTTATGCTCTCGAAACCCGTGACTACCTGTCCAAGGTGGCACTCAATGGGTCGTTCTTGCTCCTGGATTGTGGTGGTGGCACAGTAGATGCCATCACTTACAAATTGACCAACATCAATCCGGCCCGGCTGGAAGAAGTGGTCAAGCCCGAAGGAGTCTGTTGTGGTTCCAGCTTCTTGAATGAGAGGTACAGAACTTTACTGCAAAGGCGCCTCGAAGATGCCACCATCATTGGGAACGACACGCCACTGGAGAGGATCATCTCCAAATTGGTGCAGGACTTTGAAAGTGAGAAGAGGAGGATGAATATAGTCGATCAGAGAGCGAACTTCGACTCGCTTTATATCCAAGGCCTCGAGGACGACCGCGAGCGTGGGATCAGGAAGAACAGACTGGATCTCAAGAGGAAGGAAATGTACGACGAAGTCTTCAAGTACTGCATTCGGGGCGTTGAAGATTTGATGCGGAAGCAACTCAACGAGGCCAAAGAGAAAAAGGTCAACGTTGAGACAGTCATTGTGATCGGCGGCTTTGGAGAATCGCCGTCACTGATCAATCATCTCAAGAAGATGCTGCGGAAGGAGCGAAATCATCGGAATCAGCGCATAGATCTTGAACCTTCCCGTCACGTCGAGTCGGCCGTCGCACGCGGCGCGGTGCTGCGGGCCTTGAGGAAAGAGAACGGACCCGGTAGAATCACCAGGTCGAGTTATGGAATTCTTCAATCTCAGCGCTATAACGAAGATGATCTGAAGCACAGGAAGTTCAGAGTTTCTCGCTCCCCAGCCGATGGAGAACTGTATATCATGAACACCATCAACTGGATCATCCACAAGGTCTGTTGCATAATTCCATGGTGAAGAAAGTCCCACTGCCATGCCTCTGCTAACATCAGAGTACCAGGACACCACTGTCCCGACCAGGTATGAGACGTCGGTGAAGTCGAGACACATATTCAAAGTCTCAGAACCCGAGTTCTTATGCGAAGAAGTCCTCTATGTTTCTTCACGCAGCCACGAGTCGGGCTACAAAGTAGGACATAAGGCGAACAAAGGTAAGAAGCACTTCGTTCAAGGCCACGCTGGTGAGAAGCCCCTGACCCGACCGTTGCAAGTAGGCGCCCAAGAGGAAGGGAGGATCCTGGCGGACCTCACGTTCCTCCGGACGCAGAATCACATCGAGCCGAAGACCGAGACGAATGCCCAAGGAAAATCTTACTCCTATTACGAGATCTTCTACGATCTCTGGATCATCATTGAGGGCCGAAATCTGAGATTTGAGGCGCGTTCACCTATCGATGGCGCCGATGTGAAAGCTACGAAGCAATTCAGCATTGCCGCCGGTTTCGTTCCGGGCACGGCGTGAAAGTCGTCTTCAGCTTGGTGGGAGTTGTTTGTTGACTGATAGCAGAGACGAGGCTGAGGAGGCCGTCTCAGATATAGGTATCTAAGCTGAGGACTTCCAAATTGTGGTAGAGGTACAGGTCTCCAAGGCCAGTAACGATATAAATGTGAGAGTGCAATCGAAAGTCCGACCCTTTCACGAGAGAAAATGCTTTGAATCTGCTACAAACGTTGATGGTGCTCTCGAACGAGCGGATTAAAGGTACATAATGCTGGCTGCAAGCACGCTGCTCGTTTCTCATTGCTTTTGTTGTAGACCCATTGTCAAAATAAAACCACACTGCGCCGTGAATCTCGTGCGTTGTTGTCTCGTTTCCTGAGGTCACGTAATGCCGCAACCCATTCCGAGGTTTGCGGGCTTCTTCCTTCTCTCACCGCATTCAATACACCGGCACATCGAAAATGTCGTTGCGCCAGCCGCCTCCCCTCTCCTCCCCGTCCTGCACTATCTCCTCTGCTCTCATGGCTTCCTCGTGCCAGAGCTTGACCACACTTCCAGGCGTGTAGACACCTTTGAAGACACCTCGCTTAGGTGCATCCACGCCCACTCGGGTATACAGATCCGGGTCTTCTTCAGGTGTCAGCCGTGCCATGACCGCCTTCACGAAAGTCATCACATCCTGCGGATCAGCAATGCGGGTGGCGCGGAGTCTTTCTCGAGCATACACCAACTCGCGGTTGGCGGCACGAAGGGCGTTGGCAATATTCTCGGCAAGAGCCTTCTCCAGCGACCGGCGAACCAGGTGTTTCAACAATGGCTTGAACAGCCAGCCCAGCCAAGACAGCTTGGACTTACGCAACTTGTAGTCGAGTTTGTGGATATGAACTTTGACACCACGAAGGGTGAGGATCTGTTCCAGCTTCTCACGTCCGATCTCAAGGTCCAGAGTAATGTCAATGCCTCGCTCGTCCAGGTAGAAACTTGCAATGCCTTCATCCGCGAAATGCACCAGGCCGGCGTGGCCGCGAATCCAGAAGCCAAGATCCTGCGCCGCAACACTGAGACCGTTGATGGTGATAGTCACGAGAGACTGGGTTCTCGAGACCGTTTTCTTGGAATGTGCTTTGCGAATTTCCAGATCATTCTTGGTGGAAACCAAGAGTCGATAAGGAAGGAACGAGCTCGAGTTGACGTTGCGGCCAGGTTCAAGCACCAGGTTCTCGAGCAGAAGATCCATCTCGGGGACAGAGACTTCAACCCGAGGAATTGGTATGTATTGCACGCTACGGATCAACAATGGGAGGAAGATGTGGATTGCGTCCGTGATGAGATCTGGGTTGGTGATTCTGTTGGGTGGAGACACAATATCATAGATCCGTCGGGTTGCCAGCATCAGGCCATTGATGTCCTTGTCCTCCATGATCGCGGTTATGGTGACCTGAGCTTGTCGAAGCAGCTGGTCAAAGTCGGTGCGGAAATCCGAGTCATTGCCCAGTTTGGCGGACTTTTCTTTCAACTCTTCGATCTTCTTGTCAGCGTTGTCGAAGAAGTCCGGGTCCGTCAACATGCGTTGGACAGTGTTGCCGACGTCTACCATGAAATTCTCGAATTGTGGGTCAGACTGGGCGTGGCTTAGGACTTTGTTGAAGTCTTGTTCCAACTGAACCCAGGCTTCTCGATCACCGAAGCTGCCGAGGAAGTCCCAGAAGTTGCGGACTGCACGGTCCAAAGCTGGGTTGGTCTCGATATCATCTTGAGCGGTAGCCAGGGTGGCATCAGCAACGCGAGAATACGCAACTGCATATCTCTTGATCAACTTGGCCAACGTGGATACAGAGTCGTGGTAGTCCGTCCGGGTCCTCAGATTGACAACTACTTGCTTGATCCGATGAAGCAGTGTCTCGCGTTGGGACCCGGAGAACTGCTCCTTCGCACTCTCGATTGTGTCCTTGCCAACTTTCGCAGCCTGCGTGCCAATGACTTTTGTGGTCTCTTCCGCATTTTGTTCAAGCTCGTCTTTGGTGGGCAGGGTGTCTTCATCCGCTCCAGGTTCGGCGACAGCGCTTTGTTCTTCCTCAGAAAGCTGGAGTTGCTTGCCCGTCTCTTTTGCTGCTGATGACAAGGAAAAGGCCGTATCTGCCAGAACCTGTCGTCCGACCGTAGCAACATCATTGACAAAGAGTCTGAAGTCCGAGTTCGCAAGCAATAGGCTTCCAACTGTGCGGAAGCTATCGTAGGCAGCCTGAGCGTCGGCACGGGCTTTGACCTTGGATGCGGAATGAGAGATATCGTTGATATCAAGCGACACTCGGGATTTCGTGAGATTCCAGATGAAGTCTTGGATCTGATCTTGGCTATTCTTGTGTTGAAGCAGCTCAATGAAAAGCTTCAACCAAGTTCGACAGTTTCGAATCAACAGCCGGCCCGAGTCACTCAAGTCTGTACTGTTTGGGTTGAGAACGTCCGAAGCGAGCAAGGTGCGGAGATTGACGATGGTCTGCTCGTTGGATGGCATGTATCCTTTGGACAGAGCTCTCAGCATCTGATAAGTATGTAGCTTCTGGTGGACAGCTCTTTCACGGGCAGTGTCGTCTTCATAACGAGGGAGGAGGGGGGTGGTCTCTTCACCACCTCGCTTGCGGCCAAAGCCGCAGCACGACGAGAGGAAGGACATGGTCAGGAGGATGGAGAGGTTGGAAAGGAGTGGGAGGACCGGTCCACGGCACTAATGGTGTCCTGGTTGTAGGGGATGACCACAAGCAGTCATAGCAACACTTTTGAAAAGAAAGGGAGATGAGAGAAAGAAGGCACTGCAGGTGAAGGTGAAGGTCGACGATGACACCAGGAAGTAGGTGTGCGGAGAGCACTACGCGTGTATGCCTTGGAACACTGCATGTCAGAGGAGCTCGAAACGTCATAATGATCGCCAAGGCCAAGTGAGCTGGAAACCACTTCCACACACTGCAGTGGCAGGGCCAGCTCCTATACCATATATCTACAGGGACCTACAATTAGGCAGCCAGAAGGTATCAACCCGGTAGTATCTCTGCACCTGGTAACTGAGGTTGGAGGTAGTTCTACTCTTTGACACGATGGTCTCTCTTCTCCACGCATTTTTTCCTTGAAAGATAACCCCATCGCTCCGAGTCTGTTCTGACCGCAGTCCGTGGCCACAACTCCCATCTCTTTCCGTTCGATGTCGACATTGCTTTGCCGTAGCTAAGCTAGTCTCCTGCCCCCGCGCCATCCCAGTTCCTAAATGCCTTAGCGGACGAAGAACAAGAGATGTGCAGGGAAATGTGATAGACCATGTTAGGTACTTTTGAGTCTGGGGAAGATCTCCGGGCATTGCGGGGTGCAGAAGACTTAGGTAGATGCTTCAACAGTCACGGACGAGGGTAAACCGGGAGCGTCATCCCATCGCTGCTTGCGACTCAGCCACCCCTGCAGCATGAGATCTCGGACGACAAGCACTGGCAGCTGGGGCACAGCCTTGTCCCTCACCATCCGAGAAAAGTACTGTTGTGTTGTGCAAGACGATGGACTCCGGACGACTTACCTGGACCTGCCGGGCGTTTTCGGGGTGTCTAAAGTGGCTATGGGCGGTCCCAGGGCCCGCCTCTGTTGGCCTAGGGCCCCTTCCGCCCACAGCATGAGTTTGGTTCACGCCCGAAGGCCATCCTCCCGGAGTCCGGTGGTTACCTGGTATTCAGGTCCGCACAGTGTTCAGCGTTCAGTGTTCAGTGTCCCAGCTATACTGTTCATTTAAACATCAGCTACTACCCAACGCCACCCTGAGCTTACTCTGTCAAGGTGTGCAGTGTCTTCTGTGACTGGTGCCACTTTTAGAATCACCGGGCGTCCAAGAGTCCAGAGTCCCTTGCATCTTGCTTCGCTTGCGCATCCGCAGCCAATATTCTTCATTGAACCTGCATCTCAACTTTTTAACCAACTCCGACGATTGCATCAAGCCATTGGCTGCCTGCTGTCCTTGGGTTGCATCATCGCCCGAAATGGACATCCACCATGAAGAGGAAAAAAAGTTGAATCCCACTGCAAATCCAACACCTAGAAGTCTCCATCCCAATCCCAGAGTCGGAAACAGTATGTCGCCGCGTTGATTGTGGTGTTCGTACTGCAGTGCCGTCGTATCCTCCCGAAGCGTCCGTTCCCACGTCTGTCATGCTGGGTCTCCACTCCAATATCGGTGAAATGCGCGCTCTGTGGCTCATGGACCCTCGATTGAATCATCCTCGAGCGCTTTGAGTCCTCAATTTCCATAGTTTCGCACCCGGTTTCACCCATGATTGTCCAACTCTGGCTGCATACGAGAGTCGTCCTCACACACTCCGAGTCCTCATTTCCACAGTTTCGCACCCGGTTTCACCCATGAAAGTCCAACTCTGGCCGCGCAAGACTGGTTCTGTCTATCTTCCTGTGCGCAATTTCCAATCTGAGTGCGATCCAAACCGAGTCCCTTGAGTCCCTTGAGTCCACCGAGTACCCAACTCAGACTCTATTCATCCGGTGTCCGGTCGTCTCTTGCTCAGCAAAGACAACATATAAGTCCGAGCGACTTCCCCTCGTGTTCCGAATGCTCTACAAGGTCACTACACTACCCAGGTCGAGGTTCCGCAGCCTTATCAGCCTTGTTCAGTCTGCAAACATGACCACTACCAACGCGACACAAGCCCCAATTGCTCAACATGCGGGCAACCAAGGGGCAGCCTCACTCACTCAGGCTCCTCATGTGCTTCACAACCATCGTCTGAAGCACACCCATGCCACAGCCCATGTGCCCAATCGTGCAGCACACTACGACACCTCCCTCTCGATCCCGGTCCGGAAGTACCTCCAGACATACGGTCTGACTCCGCCGCGTGTGGAGAGTTATGAAGTGCAGAAGAAGAGATGTCTAGGGCAGCTGGCGCAGAAGACTACAGACATAGAAAAATTCTTGTATTTGAGTACATTGAGATACAACAACGTTCACCTGTTCTACAGGTTGTTGACTGATCAGTTCAGCGACTTGGCTCCGTTGGTGTACACCCCCACAGTTGGCGAGGCATGCCAGAGGTGGTCGGAGATCTATCAGCAGCCCGAGGGCATGTACCTGAGCTTCGAGGACAAAGGCCATCTCTCCAGCATCATACAAAACTGGCCCCAAACCAACGTGGAGATCACCGTCGTGACGGATGGCTCTCGAATTCTGGGTCTAGGGGACCTCGGTATTGGCGGTATGGGTATTTCGATTGGCAAGCTTGCCTTGTACACTGGTTGCGCCGGGATCCGACCCGAGGTCACCCTACCACTAACTGTGGATCTGGGCACAAGCAACAAGACTCTGCGGGAAGACCCTCTCTACATGGGCAGCCGGCGAGACAAGGTGACAGCGGAAGAGGAGAAGGATTTCCTCGACGAGCTCATGCGTGCGTTGAAGGAGCGTTGGCCGGACATTGTCATTCAGTTTGAGGACTGGAAGAATCCGTTCCCCTCCCTTGAACGCTATCGTCAAGATTACGCCATGTTCAACGACGACATCCAGGGCACCGGCGCCGTCATCATGGGAGGTATCATCGGGGCCGTGAAACAATCTGGCGTGGCTCCTCGAGACCAGCGTGCCGTGTTTTTTGGTTCGGGTTCTGCTGGCGTCGGTGTGGCCAAACAGATCGTAGAGTATTTCATGCACGAAGGTCTCACGGAAGAAGAGGCCAAGTCGTGTTTCTGGCTTGTCGACAGCAAGGGACTCGTGACACAAGACCGAGGGGATAAACTCGCCGAACACAAAATCTATTTCTCACGCACAGACAACCATGGACAGCAATTCAAAACACTGGACGAGGTCATTGAGTACGTCAAGCCTACCATCCTCATGGGTCTAAGCACTATTGGAGGCGCTTTCACTCCAGAGATCCTGCGAAAGATGGCTGCGTGGAACGAACGACCGATCATCTTCCCCCTCTCCAACCCATCCTCCAAGTCGGAATGCACTTTCGAAGAGGCGATCAACTATACTGATGGCCGTGCATTGTTTGCCTCGGGATCTCCTTTCCAGCCATACGCCTTCAAAGATAAGATGTACCATCCTGGTCAGGGAAACAACATGTACGTCTTCCCTGGTATCGGCCTGGGCACCATCCTCTGCAAGGCGGTCCAGGTGACGCAAGGCATGATCTATGCTTCGGGCGAGGCTCTGCCTACCATGATCACGGAAGAGGAGAAACAACTGGCTTTGTTGTATCCTGCTATCACCCGCATTCGGGATGTGAGTGCTCGTGTAGCACTGTATGTCATCCGCGCCGCCCAAAAGGACAACGTTGACAGGTTACATTATCTGCGTGAGATGAGTGACGAGGCTCTGGAAGCATGGATCAAGAGCAAGATGTATGACCCTCACCGAGAGACAAAGGAACTTGAGAGCGAGGTCCGTGAGATCGTCGATGACTTGGTGGCTTCTAAGTTGTGACTTCTCAATCATGCTTAGCAAGAGGGCTGAATGTTGTCATGTGGACGACCAGAACAACTGGTAAACATGCTTGTGGTCGACAGTGTTTGCATCCTAACAAGGCTGTGGTCGAGGGGCACAAGCAGGGACGAGGTAATTTGTGGATGTGCCTGTGTGTAGTGATATCACTGTCCAGATACCCCTTTCGGCTTTGATTGCTTGAGGCGAATGACCTCCAGCGTGTTCAGTAGATAGAGCGTGAAAAGCAACTATTCATCAGAACTCCGCTTCACGGCTGCCTGCAAGCATATTCGAACTCGTTGGTCGCGATCACAAACCGACCAAGCTCCTCGAGGATCACCTTTAGTGGCCTGTAGTACAGTGTATGCAGATTGGCGAGGCTGAGATAAAAAGATAGATGTTATCGTGTTGCCCGGCAACAGATAAGGATAGTTTATACTGGCACTAATTCAGGCTTAGCGCGGCCAATGGAGCAGGAACAGGCAATCACTGCACTGCATGCTCTGCGCTGCTCTCCTCCCAGTCCATCCGTCCCTGCGGAAGCCCGTCGCCCGACCATCACAAGTTCCACTGCTGCAGCGCTGCATCTAAAGACAAGTGCCGCACATGCGAACAGCGCGAAACCTTGATTCGTCTCAGTTACTAGTACTTCACTTCTCCCGAGTTCATCGACAAACCCTCAATCTCCTCTACGCCCCTTACAACCATCCAAGCGACTTCAATCTGTCTTGCCAGTCATTCAACGTGAACGTGTACGTGACGGTGAGTGACAGTCGCCCCCGTGGCCATAGAAACCGGCAACGTTTCCCTCATGCGTGTGGCACTTTGACCAACACCAGGAATGCACAGCACAGCACAGCACAGCACGACACGACATACAATAGACAGAATCGATTCGATCTGATTGAGTGAATAATTGTCCATCTCTTCGACCCGGAATTTCCAAACGAGCCACTTCCTCCTGATGGCTTCGTTACTCACCACCATGTATGAGTTTCTCAATTCCTCTCCCTCTCCGCAGCCTCTCTCTCCGCACTTGACACTCAAGCAATCATCCTCATGCATCACGATCAACTCCTACACGTTTCAGACCGACGGCAATGACCATGCCCATGACCCTGCCACGACCTCCTCACCGGCCGCAGGCACTCCGTCGCGCGCCGCACAACTCCTCCGACTCGGATTGAGTTCTCCTATTGCTGCTCCAAGTATTAATCCGTCTTCGCCTTCTAGCAACGCCCGCACCCGAGGCCAGTTCAAGCCACAGCGCACCAACAAAGGCACAACGAGCTATCAGCTGCGACAGTTCGCCGAGGCCACACTTGGAAGCGGGAGTTTGAGGAAGGCGGTCAAACTGCCCGAGGGCGAGGATTTGAATGAATGGCTTGCAGTCAATGGTACGCAAGATATGCTGAAAAACAAAATACAAGATGAACGAGATGCATGGAGAGGCTGACCATTTCTTGCGGTGTGCTTCAGTGGTCGACTTCTACAACCAGATCAACCTGCTTTATGGCTCCATCACAGAATTCTGCTCGCCACAATCATGTCCCGAGATGAAGGCAACTGATGAGTACGGATGCCCCCCTCCCACCCGAGCCAACAGAACAGGGAAATTCCTTTTACATTTCGAGGACTGACCGTCTTCTTTTCTTACTAGATTTGAGTATCTGTGGCAGGACGCCGCAACAGGATACCCCAAGCCCACCAAGATGCCTGCGCCAGAGTACATCGAGCACTTGATGACCTGGGTACAGTCGAACATCGACAACGAGTCGACTTTCCCCTCCCGCATCGGCGTCCCGTTCCCCAAACACTTCCCTTCCACCGTGCGCCAGCTCTTCAAACGCCTGTACCGCGTCTACGCCCACATCTACTGCCACCACTACCAAGTCATTGTCCATCTGGGCCTCGAGCCTCACCTCAACACCAGCTTCAAGCACTACGTCCTGTTCATCGACGAGCACGGCCTGGAGAAAGGCGGCGGCAAAGATTATTGGGGCCCGCTTGGGGATTTGGTCGACAGCATGCTGAAGAGTGATTAAGGGTTCTGAACCAACGACACTATTGATGCAGGAGAATGATGGTTGAATGGCCTAGGCATTATCTGCCTCTGCGAGCCACACACTATGTATGAATGCCCGGCGTTGGAATCGGCCTCAGGACTGGACAGGGCCGGGGAACATGAGCAGGTGCGGTGGGCATATCTTTGCCAACGGCGTTCGGGATTAGAGGGCTCGAATGTGGAAGCACGACTTCATGTTCAGATTGTAATTCTAGAAAGGCGAGTATGCAATGCAATCTGGTGAAACGATGAGATTTCAATCTGCATTGTCTGCCTCGAGCCATTCAGCTCTAGTATGGTCAATGAGGATTTATTGAAGTTGCGCACCCGAGTCGCTGCAGACTGCCCTCCTCAACCCATCGTCGGCCATGGCCTTCATAGTGTATGCTCCGCTGCAACGCGTGGTGTGGCACAGGGACACAGTCGAAAAGGTCGCAGGGCGGTCTGCCCAGCTTCTGGCCCCGCAAGTTGACTGGCCGCTTGCGCCGATGCAACAACGACAAGGGCAACAGAGCGACCCTTATGGAGGCAAGGTACAATCTAGAAGACACTCGACCTTCCATGCCGACCTGGCACTGCGGATCAGGATAGGACTACTCCTAGTATCCTCTCCGATAGCCGCCGCCAAAGCTGGCACCTGGTCCTCCGCCCCTTCGTCCACCGCGCATCGTGTCGTCGCCGTACATCCGCCCTCCGCCACGAGGGAAGGATCCGAAAGACCCACGGCCCCGGAACCCGCCACCGACACCGTTGCCATAGTGGGAGAACCTTGAATTGTACGACTCGGGTCTGTCATCACGGCGGTATGAGCTGGATCCTCGATCGTCGCGGCGCTCATGGCGATCCATATCTCGGTCCCGGTCTCGCTCACGTTCTGGTTCGCGTTCTCGTTCGCGGTGGTTGCCTCTTTCCCGATCTCGTCGATCGGTGTCTCGTCTGCTGCCGTGGTGATCGTGGGACGTTGATGCTTGAGAACCGCCATAGCCATGTCTTTCATCCAGACCATTGGATTCTGGGTTCTGGGTGTCCCTGCTGTGCTGATCCTGTTCCGCATACGCTGCGTGCGGCTCGGCCTCCATCTCAATATCCTCCATGGCATTATCATTTTGGACTGGGGCCGCCACCGGCGGTTCAGACGCCACACTCCCTGGATGTGAGGTTGGATCTTGTTGGGATCTCTGGAAGGGACTCAGACCGCCACCTGAGCGCTTGAGGAATAGTTGTAAGATCTTCCCGTCTGCTCGCTGGTTGTGATACGTTGATATGATCTTGTCCGCAATATGTTTCTCGGTGAAGATCATTTCTGCGACGACAGCGGGACTGGTGGACACTATTCGACAGGATAGCATCGCACTGACTCCGTTGTCGTCAAAAGTATCACTCTGTAAAGCCGACTCGATATCCGCAGCGGTGGTCCCCGGGGCGAAATTGCTGGCCTCGACCACAAACGGACCTGCTTTGCCTTTTATGCTTAGGCCATGGCCTTGCGTTCGACGGGACGTGGACGAGGGGACGACATTGGCTTGCGGCGAATCTAGGGCGGACTCGATGCGAGAGAAGCGGGCCTTCGCATTTTTCTTCTGAGGAGCTGCGGAGGCAGGCCTCGACGACGTGAACGGATTGTTTCTGGGGGAGTTCGCGCTGGCGACTGAGGATGATCGCTGTGGCCAGCATATCGCATTAGTAACCAGATCTCTGCACCGTGATCGCACAAGACCGCTGTGTCATATGCTCTCGGCTGTAGACGTGGAAGGCTGAGGAGAGTTGGGAGTAGATCGTGGCTCCTGTGGGGTTGTTATACCTTGGTGATCCTACTTGCAAGATCTGGAGTCCGCGACAAGCTTTTGGTGGCGCTTTTTGAGTCATTCTTGTTCTGTTTGTTTCTTCCAAAGATCTCTCTCGCTAGAGCTTCATTCTTCCTCTTTTGCCGGTCTATAAGCTTCTAGATTAGTCGGTGTTTGGGTTGAGGGTCGACTGGAATTGTATTATTTACCCGCCTGGATGATGGCGTCGAAGCTGACGGCGCCTTGGGCTTTGGACATGGCTGGCTAGGTAGGTAAGGATAGGGACGGTACACCATATAAGAAGGTGATCGAGAAATTCTCGGATGGTGTCTAGTATCGCAGAGGGCAATGCAAACATCCAAAAGGATGAATTGCGGGCGGGTCAAGATTTCGTAGCAGTAGTGAAGACGAGAACCAGATCTAGGGTACTGCCAGTGCTGCTGGTGGAGAATCAACCAGCGCAGTTGGTGCCGCCCTCCCAAACTTACAGGTAGATAGATGCCCAGGAAGGGTCCCTAAGGTACCTCTAGTGGTACCTTACTCCTTCCTTGGGGACCGTCTCAGTGGTGGAAATCGTACCTTCGGTCTTGGCAAGCTCGCTTCTCGCAATCCGTTCTCGCCGTGTAAAGAAGTTCACAGGGAAACTTTTCCAATTGCACCAAAGCCGATTGACCCTCACGCAGACATTCGGCTGCTCTGAACCTCCCTCTTCGAGATCGCCTTCATCCTCGCACACTTACTGCAGCGGAGATTGCCTCCATCATTCAGATATACAACCAACCATCAATGGCCTCCGCTCTGCGCCCGGTCCTTAGGCCGACTCATTTAGCCAGTTTACCTACCTCGACATCAACCACCACATATATCTGCCAGTCCTGTCGACATGCCCGTCTCCTGAGGCGGCCCAAGCGACCTTACACGTTTACACAGTTGGTTACGCTTTCTGACGGAAGTGCTTTCACGATACGCACCACCTCTCCTGTCCCTGTATACCGATCAACGCGAGATACCCGAAACTCTCCTCTGTGGAACCCCACGTCCAAGGAGCTTTTGAATGTAGAAGACGATGAAGCTGGAAGGTTAGCTGGTTTCCGAGCACGTTTCGGCACGGGGTTCGATACCGCGAAAGAAGCAAGGAAGGAAGCCGAGATGGAGAGTGATAATATCTCAAATACACCAGCTTCCCCGACAGCAGCCAACGCCGAAGCCGCTAAGGAACCGACCTTTGAGGATGAACAGAACATGTTCGAAGAAGACGACATGAACCTATTGGATCTTATCAGCTCTTTCGGTCAAGAAAACACCCAGCAAGAGACCCAGTCGCCGCAGCCTAAAAAGGGAGGAAAGAAATAGAGTTGCTATGTTTGAGTCGAAAATGAAGCAGTGTACACTATGGGAAGAATGGAGAATCGAACAGCATCCGGCGTTGAATGATTGAAGCCTGGTTTGGCTTGACAAGCATCGGGCACCACCGGCCTGCTACCGCTGAGTCCAAATGATCAGAAGTTCATGTTGTTCCTCTTGTAAAGCCATGTGCCGAACACCCCAGTCGTCTACTACTGGCTGTATTGGAAGACAGATGTGGCCCAAAACTAGGTACAGGCTTAGATACAAGAGATCAGCCCGTGGCCGTCCAAATTCGGAGGCGAAAGGGATTGCCAAAAGCCCATCCGAGCAGATGCACAAGGGAATTACTTCCTGAGCTCGTTCAACGGACGTTTCATGAAGAGCGGCTCTAGATGCTAATGGGCGCATGGATTCTGAAGACGTCTCCTGTCGCTTTCCAACTCTGTCCGCAGCTTTGAAGAATACGCAACCGTAGAGTGTTCATTGTAATCTTCACAATACCAGGCGTCTTGGATAAATGGAATTGCTTTAGCAGCGGACCCTGGCATCGTCATGGGCCGGATGCAGCTCGGGTTCAACATCTGCATGGCTGTCATCCGGCATCGTCGGTCGTGTAGTCTATTGCACGCTCGAGGAGGGTGTAGAAGAACGGGATATAGTATTGGTTAGTATGTGAGGACATCTGGTACATCCTCAGTACCTAGTCGTAGTAACGTTGGACTTCTGTCCCTGCCAAGGACCGCGGACAGTTCGCATGCGCCCAGCATTCAAGTTCGGTGGCAGTGGCCCGAGACATCCACCGTCAAGTTGTATACCGCGACGTAAGTCCACCTCGTCCATCTACACCTTCGCTCAGGAATTATCACGACACTGATACAGTTGTGAGATGGACATGGATTCACCCTGGGGCGGTGAGTATTTGTCTACTCACTCCCCCATCCTCAAGCTGATCATTCTGTAGATGTCCCCTCTCACTCGCAGGCAGATGACCAGCAAGACCCAGTCACGGGCTCGTCCAAAGACACCAACCCTGCTAGTAAGCTACCCGATTAACAGTCGTCTAGGGAATGCTGACATCTGATCAAGACTCCTCGACCTCTGCGACACCGTCCTCTGGCGGACCGCGTCCCTCCTCGTCTCGGAAGATACCTGCCCGCAAGATTGAAGTGCAACCCACGAAGCTCGAGGCTGTGGATGACTCCTTAGACCCTCTTGGGCCTTTAGGTGGTGATCCCGCGCCTGCAACACCTTCGACGCCCGCAGATCAAGCACCGACGCCGCCTCGGAAAGAAATCAGTGGTGGAGTATCTCGACAACCTTCTGCAACGTCGGGAGGTCTCGCTGGGTCTGAATACGAAGACACCGCTCTATCAGTCGGAAGGGCAAAAGGGCCACCTCCTGTGCAGCCACAGACTGCTACCGGAGCAGCTCGACAGACCCAGCCAAGCATCAGCATTGAACAGGCCGCAAAGCCCACTTTCGATATCACAGTTGGAGATCCACATAAGGTTGGCGACTTGACTAGTAGCCATATCGTATACCAAGTTCGCACAAAGGTGAGCTGCATGAATATGAGGTGTTTACCTCACTAACACGATCAGACCACGTCCAAAGCATATAAACAGCCCGAGTTCGCCGTGACACGGCGATACCGAGATTTCTTATGGCTCTACAACTCGCTGCACAACAACAATCCTGGTGTCGTGGTCCCTCCACCTCCAGAGAAGCAGGCCGTTGGGCGGTTCGATAGCGAGTTCGTCGAGTCTCGTCGTCAGGCACTAGAGCGAATGCTCAACCGGATCGCTTCACACCCCATCCTACATCATGATCCTGATCTCAAGATCTTCCTGGAGAGCGAGTCGTTCAACATTGACGTCAAAAATAAAGAGAACAGGGAGCCGGACTTGGGCCAGAACAAGGGCATGCTGAGCTCACTAGGGATCAATGTCGGAGGTTCTAGTGGGAAATTTGTCGAGCACGATGATTGGTTTCATGATCGCAAGATCTATCTTGACGCCCTGGAAAATCAGCTCAAATCATTACTGAAAGCCCTCGATGCGGTTGTGGTTCAACGGAGGGGTTTGGCGGAGGCCGCTGGCGAGTTTGCTGCATCGCTGAGTAACCTCGGTCAGGTGGAACTTTCCCCCGTGTTTTCTGGGCCCTTGCAAGGCCTTTCGGAGGTGCAACTTCGGATCCGTGAGCTTTACGACCGACAAGCCCAACAGGATGTTTTGACTCTGGGTATTACCATTGACGAGTACATTCGACTTATTGGGAGTGTGAAGCAGGCTTTTTCGCAACGACAAAAGGCGTTCCACGCCTGGCATGCAGCAGAGAGCGAGTTGGCGAAGCGTCGAACTGCTCATGAGAAGCTCTTGCGGCAGGGAAAGACTCAGCAAGACAAACTGAATGAGGTCAGCGCTGGAGTTAGCGATGCAGAGAAACGGGCACACCAAGCTCGATTACTATTCGAAGACATGGGACGATTGATGAGAGGAGAGTTGGAACGATTCGAACGCGAGAAGGTGGAAGACTTCAAAAGTGGCGTTGAGACGTTCCTCGAAGGTGCCGTTGAGGCGCAAAAAGAGGTATGTCTTGCTCAATGCGATGTTGACGTTGTGTTCTAACTCTTGACCAGTTGATTGAACTGTGGGAGACGTTCCTGCTTCAGATGGACGCAGAGGACGAGATGCCCATCAAAGCGCAGCCGGTATCCAAGGAACCTGCACCAACAGAAAACACGCCAACAACCAGCCAGCCCGGTCAAGGAATAGAGGCTCCTCCTGCTACAGCGACAGATGTGGCACTGGAGCAGGATGCTTGATACGCCTCCAAATGCAAATGCGTAGGTTTAGAGTGTCCCGAGCAGGTGGTGTACAGTCTCTTCGACACAACAGACCACCAACGACCTCGCAGACGGGTTGTTGAATGAAGAGCAAGGTTCTGTACAGTATAGTACGGCATTCTTTTGTGCCGGCGCCCATTGCTGTACATCGCTACTAGATACCCAGCGCATTGATTGAAGATTCAGCCTCTTCTCTTGCATTTGCTGTCTCCGAAATGCGCTGAGATGATGTATCCATCACTTCACCTCACTCCCATGTGCAGTCTCTCATTCACTTGCGCCCTGTTGCTCCTGTCCGTTGTCCTGCGGATTGTTTACTTGTGCAGTCTCGCAATTGCTGCACTGCTGTCTCGCTCGCCAGTTCAATCTGACTTCCCTGCGGAATTTGTTTGACTGCCGCAAACTGCATTGGGACAATATCTGTGGATGTGGACGGTCAACAAACTCTCACAGATTGCACACATATTCATGCGTGGAGCAGATCCATCTCGAGAACTTCCTCGCCGCCTGCGCCGGAGTGCCCTGGTCGTGCCTTCCTTCCCTGGGCAATTCTGCCCTTGACGCCACAGCAGCATCAATCACACTGCAATGGACGACCAAAACGACAGACACTCCTCGTTACACTTTCCAGTGGCTTTCGAATCAACAGGAGAAATACATGAACCACCGACCTGGCGAACATCAAGACCGAGACTGTCGAGACCGACATCAGACCCGACGGGTACTACCAGTAGTATTCTGATGCTCCTTCCACCCTTGCCAGAGGACATGTCTCTCCCAGCGGGCACGACAGCAGTCTCGACATGGACAATGCCAGACGAGCCCTCTCCCTCTCCAGCAGAGTCGCCGTCGCCGACGGCATCCACTCGAGCCACACCGACCGACTCTGTCGACACGCTCCAGACGCCACGATCACGAACCGAACCAGAACAACCGGCCTCTACTTCCTCCGACTCCACGTCCTCTTCCTCTTCCTCTTCCTTCGCATCTGCATCTGTGCAGAAATCAACTGCCACTAGTCTCCTGTCTGCGGGATCTCTTCCTCCAAACCTGTCCGCCAATTCATCGACTCCAATCTCGGCGCCAACAATCAGTTCCTTGTCATCGTCCGCGACCGCAGCGCCTTCAGCCTCGCCTGGTCTCAGCCAGCCCCCGTCTTCAACGTCCACACTCGGCGCAGCCGCTCTGTACATCGTGCTCGGGATATTTCTGTTCTTCGGGCTCCTGTGTGTGGTGGTCACTAGTCCGGGGCTCATTGAGCGGATTCGAAGAAAAGTCAAGAAGAGGAAGGCCGCCACTGCTTCATGACCGCTCTTGAAGCAAGTTGTCAAACTCTCTTATCTGTAGAATTTCTTGGAATTTTGAGTCGGTGCGGAATAGATTAGGATTGGGATGAATGCGAGTCTGATGTCAAGGAAGAGATAACGGTCATGTCTCGTGATGGATGGTGTTGCTCGAAAGTGTCGTCCTCCAAAGGTTCCTGGGATTGATCAAGCGGTCGAGTCAACCATTTGTACATCAGTACAGAAAGGTATCTGTGCTATTAGACCATGGGAGGACATATTGTCAGTGTTGAACACTAGGTACCTTAGTGTTAATCCTGATTGATTACTTGTGGGATTGTGTTGCTGTTCAACGAACTTGTCCGTTGACAGGTTCCCTCATCAAGATCCTGTCCCTGAGCATGCGCGGGCCGTGGCCGGGTCCCCTTTCTCAAGACATCTGCTATGCTGCGGAATGCGGGCTTTTCGGTTTACTGTGCACGAGGTTCTTGTATTTCTGGTGGTCCACAAGATCATATTGATCCTTGGTTCTTCGATCTCACTCACCTCATGTGGCGCAGCGGCCTATCCAGCCTCGCCAGCTGCTACTAGGAACGGTGGGTTTCTGATTCGGCCATTTATTGGAAGACACGCGTATCAAGACCACACAGCCTTGCCCCTTTTTTTCTCGGTCGACATGAACGTGTGCAGCACAGCCTTGCCCACACCCTCCCTCCTACTAGTAGTCGTACTTCACTGGACAGACTGTCTGCCGGAGGTCGGGGTATCTCTCTTGTCTAATCGTGTTCTGCAGGGCATAACACCCAGCAGTGTCACATCTACCATTGATACTCCTCGTGAAGGCTAGGATGACACTTCGGGAACAGTGCAAAAATAAAGGGATACATAACTGTACACCCAAACAATCTGTACATGCTGATATTGTATCCTCCATCCTCCCGGTCTCAAGGCCCTCACATACCGCTGTTGTACCCAATACAACCATCTGTCCTGCTTGTCTATTTCATGACCGATTGTCCTCAAGACGACCAATGCCCTCAATGTCGAAGACTCGCCATTGCTACCGTTATTTCACCCATCACTTTCGACGGCTTCGACATTGGCTCGGATGATGACAATCTTCTCCCCCTTACTCCTAGCCTCCCTCTCCGGGCTATCTCGTACTTCCACTTCCACCTTGACCCCTGCTCTTCCACTTCTTGACCTACTCCGACTCGATCCCTGACTAAGATTGAATCGCTGTTCGACTCCACGATGTTCACCCACAGAAAGTCGATGAGTCGACTTGCGCGATCTTCCCCTGACCGGCGTGCTAGGGTCAGCTTTCCGAGGACTGGAGCTCGACTCGTTCAACGTCTCCAACCTGTCAGGAGGTGACAGCACCTGTTTTTCCGTCATAGCACGCTGAAGCGGAGTTCTTGGCTCTGCAAAAGTGTCCTTTGTCTTTGTCACGGGGCCCAGTCCTTCTGTTTCCTCTTGAATTGGGAGTTGAAGAGGCGGCACGTTGGCAGGCTTCAAGTCTTCAAGATCCACCTTGTCTTCGCTCAATTCACTCTCTTTGACAAGCGGAGGAGGCCGGCTTTGACGACGACTGAGACGCTCCATTTCCGAATGCCTTCTGTGCTTCTCAGCATTGTCCTTTTGATTCGCAGCCTGGAGTAAGTCTTGAACTATGCTTTTCACGGTACTCGGCTTGACGCCTGTGTGTTGCTCGTCCTTTACTGCATCTTCAACCGGAGCAGGCTCTGAATCCTGAAGCCGCACCGTGGGAGCCTTGTTGAAGATACTCCACTTGAACGGCCAAGTCATGGACGGCTTCCGGTTGTGTTCAGCATTCTCTGTTAATTTGTCATCCTCGGATACTGTATGTTCCGAAGGTGGTGGCTCCGTTGTCATCACTGACGAGCTGCCGCTTGATGTCTGTTGGGTACTGACCATTGTTGGCAGAGTCAACGGAATCAGGGGCGTGGCTGGTCTCTCTTCAATGGTGTCTCCAAATTTGATCCTTGCCACCTTTTTCGTGTCTTTGCGACTGAGACTCTCACCTTGGGCGTCGTCCCTCTCTGGTGGAAAATGCTGACATTCCTGCTGGTGTTGAGATGGTTTGACAACCAGACTCTCGAACATGGCTGCTCTCTGCTTCACTGGGCTGAGCTTTTGATCTGGGTGGATGGAAGGATGTTGACGGAACTCGAGAAGATTGCGAGAAGATTGACTTTCATGTGAAAGCTTCGGGCGTACTTCGGTCGACAAGACGTTCGCGTCTTGCTTGTCACCCGGCGCATTCTCGTGGGTTGTTGGTTTGGATATCAGCTGTGGCAGCGGCAGCGGCAGCTCGGCGTAGTTAACTCTCGCAGAATCTTCACTGCTGCGTGGCACTGCGCTTTCTGTGCTTCGTCTAGACTTGTGACTGCGGGAATGTGACTGGTTGCGAAGCATTTGGCTCATTTCAGACCTTTTGGGTGGATAGGGTCCAGACGTAGCTTCATCACTTAGTTCTGCGGAGACGATCCCTGGCATCATTGACTGATCGTCGATGGCATTGTCCAACATGTGTCCCAATTCCGCCATCGTATCCGCTCGTGCCTGGGATGTTTCGAGCTCAACGATATTGTCAACAACGGTTCGAAGCCTTGATCTTGCCGCTGCTATCTCCCGGGCAGGATTAGCAACACTCTCCATTGAGCGATATCTTCGATGAAGTGAAGGAAGGTCATTGTTGTCGGTTGTCCCACGAGGCAAGGTCTGCTCAGTCGCAGGTCGTTCCAAACTCGTCACAGGTCTGAGTGGGAGTGGGCCGGGGTCTTCTTTTCGGTGGTCATTCTCTACTATAGCAGGAGATTTTCCGAAGACAGTGGATGCCACTGGAGGACGTCCATCGCCACGAAGACCTTCATTCCCATCTCTTACCGCCCTGCCTGCTGGAGACGCAAAGGTCGCATCCTTTCTTCGACCAAACCCCGATAGAATACCAAAATCGTTCGCTTGTGTAACACCCCGAATCCTAGAGTTGGGCTTGTGGGCGGCTTGAAGAACTTGAATGTCCTGGAAAGCCCGGATACGGTCGGCGACTGTGCCTCGCTGCGGACTGCCATCACATTAGTATTTGATTCGCACAGAGGTAGGCGGGCTTCAGCAGACCCTTGCGAGCTACTCATGCTCGAAGACGGTAAGCAACTTATTCAATATCGCTCATAAGAAGGGAGCCGGTGGGAACCAAAGCATCGGCGGGTGCAAACTGAAAAGAAGCGCAAGCCTGCACAATGAGAACTAATCGGTGGTAAACTGCTCTTTCCTTCCGGTCTGGTTGACATGCGTCTCAGCATAAGGCAAGGGCGAAGAGTCAATCAAAGTGTATTGGGCTGCTGCTTATTGTAAGGATATTTCAGTACTCAAAACCTAGCCTCGTGTTCGCGATCAAAGGTCTGCGGAGGGCACATCAAGCACTTTGCGCCGGAAGCTGTACACAGGGTTGATTTCAAGGACAAGAGGGAAGAAAGATCAACAGTTACAAGGGTGGACCAAGGAAAGATTGTTACTATCCCCGTTCGATCTTCTCCGCTGTCTTAGTTTATATGTACAGAAGCAGTAACCCTTGCGCTTATTTCATTGCTGCCTGCAATGATTCAAGAACCTGGGAAGCAAAAAGTTAGCACCTGTTCGGCCGCCGCATGAGGGTTCTTCATTACCTCAAGCTCGATCTTCGCCTCGGCGATATCCTGCTCACTTCCGTTGCCGCTGGCAATCTTTTGGGCTTCGGCGATTTGTGATCTGACAGCCTCTTCGCTGAAGTCTTCCAGCGGGAAACCTTCCACGGCGTTTATGGTCAAGTGCGAGTTGGGCTGGACAATGGCAAACCCTCCAGAAACTGTAGACCGAGTGAGTATTCATGTTCTCCATCTCTTCTGCATCCGGCTCAACGTACGGAAAAATTGTTTGTTTCCACCGCTCTCTTCAATGATTTCGATCAAGCCAGGCTTCAATTGCTCAATGGACGGGACGTGCTGGGCCAGAATACCCATTTCTCCGGATTCAGCGGGTAGGTTCACTTGTACGCTGGATAGGATGGTCAGCTCTCGTATTCGGCGGGTTTGACGCTGCATCGGCGCTTGCGGAAGTATGGACATACACATCTTGCGATTTGTAGATTGCCTATATATCGCGAACAGGTTAGCAAGGGCAATCAGGTGCAGTGCAATGGCTTTTGCCGTTCTCACACAGCCAGGGCTATGTCTCGGGGTTGACATACCTGGTGAGGCAGAGCAAGCGAAAGCTTTATTTTGTCCGAGACAGCGTCAGCGTAGCCTCTGCGTTGAATTGGCTTCAGGGCGGCAGCGGATCTGAGGCGCAGGGCCGCACGGGGGAGTCGTAGGGCGCTCATGTTGACTACGAGCGGACAATCTATTGCAAACAGCCTGAAGGTGTCGTAGCAAGCTGCGATTGAGCTTCTACTTGCTGCGCTCCGAGTTGAGGTCGGGACGCCAAGTATAACTGCCACATTCGGCTTAGTGCGATGGTAGAGCTTGTTGAGCCTAGAAAGGCAAGTAAGCCGACAGACGGCCATCATTATGTCAGCATCTGTCTCGTCTTCGTCGTCTTCCACAATTCCATGCTCATGTGTTTGGCTCCATCTCCTCAGCCTGGAGAGTAACAGATCCGAGCAAGAGGCCATGTATGCATTTACAGTTTTGATGTCTACAGGTGATGTGAATCACGAGGAATTTGCCAGCAGTCCAGATCCGAGACTTGCGCACAAATCTCGTTCGACATATAGGCCCAATAGATCGTGCTGTTCGTATCCCGCACAGCAGCGGAAGTTGGTCAATAGCCGGTGTCATAAGTACAGCTCCTGCATCCCAGCCGGTAGCTTGAACGGTTCAAAGCCTTCATCCACTCTTTTGTTGAGAGGATTCTCGTCCATCTTGGCGGAGCCGGTGGCAATCTTCTCCCAACGATCAATCAATCCAACATCCCAGTCTTGGAACTTTCGCGCAGACTGGGGCAGGATTGTTGTGCTTTCCTGTAAGCTCTTTCTGAAGTCCGCGAGGTCTTCCTCGGTCACAACGAGCTCCTCGTATGTGTTGCTGTTGGCGTCCAGGAATTTCAAAGGATCCGAAAGAGTCTTGTAGAAGACTTTCATGGCCCGGTGCGCTGTAGGCCCTCGCCTGCTGCTTGAGTAATAGATGTCTGGATTGAAGATCCAGATCATAAGACCCTCTGTCTCCCGGTCGGGATCAGTATGATTGTCGGCATGCACCACTACCCTGCGAGTCACAGAGCTTTCGATTAACGACAGCAGTTGAGCACAAACAAAGGTCGCCGCTGGGTATTCCTCGGGGCTTTGGTTTGAGCCGGACACGACCTGTAATCTGGACTTGAATAATCGGTAGCTCGTCTCGCTTTCTTGACGAGAGCCAAGCGTGGTCCCGCAATCCGAGCATTTCAGGGTGAAGGTGCCTTTCCTCGAGGGATACTTGACATTCTGATGCAATCTTGGTTAGCTGAAATGTACCTCACGCTTATCCCTCTGCGTCATGCAACTCAAATACACAAAGGTGAAAGAAGGAGGCATTCCATTGGTAAAACGTCGGCAGGCCAACCATCACTAGGAGAAGGAGGTTGGCACTTGCCACCGTAAACACGAAACACAGTCAATATGCGGCGAATGTATCAGAAACTGGATCAATTGGAACTCGGCAAGGAGCGTGATCAGCCTCTTTCTTTACGCCGGGAGTACGCTTAGATATGAGGCCCTCGGGAAAACTTGGAAACTTACTTGCAGCTTGGAACAGTTCGCTTCATGCAGCAGAAAAGAGACAGCATCGACCAGCCCAACTCTGGGAGTGGCGGTAAATTTGCTGGTAGGTGAGAAGCCTTTGGATTCGGCGGCATGTTGATGAGCAGAATCATTATCATGTGGCTTATGGCAGAACCAAAAGTCCATGAGTTCCGCCCAATGTTCGCTGGGCAAGTCCTTCCAGGTACTGACTTGTCCAGGACGTAGGACAACACCATGACAGCTTTTGCACCGGATCGAGGTACCCTCGTTCAGATCACCTGCAGTCCAGGGGACCTCGATACCGCCTGGTTCGTCCGAGACAGCTTTGAGTTGAGCGGCATCGTCTATCTGTAGCCGAGCCGAGATCTCTGTTTTCTTGTCTATGGGAAAGGTGACATGTGCAGTACCAGAGATCTGGGTTGGAAGATAGATGCTAGAAGATTCTCCATCGTGCACTGCAGTGATGATCTTCTTATCCGAAGACAACAGGATCTTGGTATGCTCATTCTTCTCGGTCTCTAGAGAGGCATATAAAGTGAGCTGGCGAATATGAGTAAGTGCCTCAGCGTAAAGGTAGATTTTGGGCGTGGGCATGTTGCCGTGAGCAGCGTAATGGCTGCACTTCAGGCCTTTCCTGCAACCTCCTCCCCTTTGTGTGATAATGAAGGATTTGTATGGGATCACATGTGAAGCCGAGAAAATAATAATGGTTCAAGGAGGATCCGAACGTTAACCTGCAGTCAACAGTCGACAGGTTCTCTGAAGCCTTATCAAACTCTTCAGCCCCTACGCTTTCGGGGCGCCAAACGCAAGCCTCCGCTGCTTATTCAGAGGCAAAGTTGAGGCGCGTCAGCACGGCGTTTTGCGTTACTGGCTTCTATCCTCTGCAAGATTGACGACAGCTGTGGCAAGGCATGGGCCACGTCAGGAATTCCACCGGTGCTATGAGGCTCGTCTGATGTGTTTGGGCGGACGCGAGAACTGCTCCATTCAAAGACTGTTGGCGTGCAGTGACGTCCTCGACGTTGAGAAAAAGCTGGCGTCAGCCTGGCGGCATACTCTACCGTAGCATTTCATACGGTGGAGCTCGAAGCCAGTATAACGCTCTTTCCACCGCATACTACGTAGTATACCAGGAACTGGAGCCACCGTCGAACTTGTTCGAGAGTTCCGAAGTGCCACATTCTCAGCAAGAATATAATTCCACTACCACAGTATCCAGGAGCAGAGGTGTTTGGAATTGTGGTATATTTCTCCAACCCCATCAATTGTTCGAATACATGATGCTAGGAAGGTGACAGACTTCGACTGACTACGCTTCGGACAGTATTGATACGCGACATCACCGCCGTCAGCCTGTTCTCGGCCGACCCAAGGTAAGCCCCGAAGGGGATATCCCACCGGTTGGCTCCGTCCTTGTCCCGTATCATCCCGGATGCTCTTTTGTACTGGAGAGATTGGGGCCTTCTAATCTCTGCAAAACTGGACCTCTGCCAGCTCAATCAGCTTTTCTTTCACAATGGGCGAGAAGCCACGGCATACTCATCACATGCAACCGGTGGAAATGGAGCTCAACAAGCCTTGCCGCACTTATGGCATCTGGTGCCGGGTATAACCCATGTTTCAACCCCGTTGGCCTTGCATTGAGGGCATCTCACGCCGCTCATCTGGAGACCACCTGTCAGGAGAGTACTGGAATGTCTTGGTTGGCATAATTCTTACCGGCCGAGCACGAACATTCGGTATGGGAGTCTGCCGCTCTTTGATGCCGTCTTGCATTGTAAGGGAACGACGAGGGTTCATTGGAGACTTTGGATGTGCCATATGTTGAAGTGCTAGAACAGACAGACCGCAGATCTGCTAGTAGGGAACTGTTCCGATATATCAAGACGGCAATGATCGGAAGGGTTTATAATTGCAATTGTTGGGAAGTGTAGAGTCCGTTGCGCATGAGTCGATTCGGGGTACTGACTCTTCTTTATACCCAGGCAACTACCGTCACGTTGCCGTCGAAAATTGCCCAATTTGGACAAGGTAAGTAAGGTCTCTCCTTTGCAATGGTGGCTCAAATGCAGCTCGGCGGCCCAGCTCCAGTGTCGGAGAGACATTCCATCCCAGGTTGAGATGTTGAGACGTTTGCTCGCAACGCCGCAGACGATGAGTCTGTAAGACAACCTCTTGGACACAGTATCAGCCCAGTCAACGTCGTACCCTCCGATCATTGTACGACATTGCGATATGCCGCTGTCGGGTCGGTTTAGACTTGATCACGGATGCAGCCGTTTTCGTGCGGGATGCTCAAGGGAGGTCCGTACAGACAACAGCAATATTGACATAACTCGCGTACCAATCCCTTATGCAGATGCGAGACACCCAACGCGGCCAGTGGACGCCGCTTGGTAACGAAGCGCGGCATTGTTGTTGAAATCTTCGGTGCACGGAACAAACATCTGATGCTCCACTGCTTCGGTAGGGCTCACAGTCTTTCCCCAAGAGCCCGGCTCAACTAAACCAGATTTTTCAACACATGGACAAACAAAGCACCCGGCGATGGCATGCCTGTGGAATCCAACAAGTGGATAAGTCGGTAACCTGGCTGAAGGCGGTCGAGACGAATGCAAGTCCAAGCCAACATGTTGTCTTTGCCAATTGATCGGTCGTCCATGACTTTCAATCTAATAATACAAAAGGTCAGTGTGAGCATCCGCTGGTTGGTCAAGTTAACACTTGACAGGTCAAATATCACACCAGGCACGGGCAGGGGTGCAACATATGCATGCGCAAGGAACAAGGGTTGTGTAACGCGATCGTACATGAACAGGCCAAGCAAGTAACTGCTGGCTGCAGACTCGATCGGTGCAACATTCCCAAGCATTGCTGGCCTGGTGTAGCTGACAGTCCCTTTCGGTGCAGAAAGCCAATATTGTACGCTTGCCTGCAGCCTCCTGAAAATCCGTGACATTGCACAACCTCCCGTACATTGCAGCCTTCCCGCAGCAGAGATGGCATATGGTATCGCAGAGAAGCAGAAATGCCACTTGCGAGGTTCAATGTTGGTCAACACTTCGCTAACCGAAAGCTGCAAGCAACCACAACGGGACAACAAGGCGTGCAAGCTTTGGATCATTTAAGGTAAAAGTTGCGGTGAGGACTCGCGCACAAGATCAGGCAAGCTTCGGATGGCCTGAGGAGCGGGGGATATCGAATCCAACAATCAGAAGGCTGGGGTAGATGGAGAGCTTCTTGTTCTCGCAACAAAAGGGAATCGTCGCTGGCCAGGTGACCAGGAAAATCACGTACCTCACAAAGCTCAACTCCTCGACAACTTCTGAGACGTTCAACCACCTCATTCGTTCGTGGCCGAAAACAGGACAGTCACTTCTCGATGTTGCTGACCGCCGCTTATAGTATTTGTCGTCGACTTCTTCACCGCTACCTGTATCGGTGTTGACTTGAGTTGGGTTCGTCCCACTCACGTTCTTGCCCTGCCCAGGAGGGCCATGTGTGTCCACGTGCAGCTGGATTTTGATGTACGGTTTCATCCTGGTGAGATAGGACGCGTCTTTGTCAGGCGGTAAAGGTAGCCTCTGCGCTGCGAGGAGGCGGATCTCGAGGTTGAGACATTGCCTTTTGGGTGCAACGGCAGAGGTATCGCTTCCCAACGGGGGCTCCTCATTACAACGGTATCCCTCGGGCTTCAATATCCATCCGTTCGTACCGGTGAACATGCCCTCGTTCAGCATCATGCCTTTGTCGAGCTTCTGCCAGTTCAAGGCCACCATCTGCGCCCCCTGTCGCCAATGGAAGGTTGGATCGACGTTCGAGCTGGTTATTCGTGATCCTTTAGGGAAGACTCTCATCAAATACTTCTTGTTGTGGCCAAACAAGGCCGGGCCGTGCAGGGGGTCTGAATGCATGGAGTGCACCTTGCTTTCAGACAAGCTGAAGACATGGGTAGGGATGGACGCTTCCGGTTGCGCGAAGTGCTTGAAACTATATGCCCGAGTGTAGACACCTAGTTCAGAAAGGGCTTTGAGGACCTTAGAGGCCTTCTCTCTCTTGTCTATTGAACTGGCTGTTCCGTCTTCTGTGCTCCTGCTGGTAGGGTTGGATACAACCTGGTCAACGGGGTTGTTAGATTCGCCAGTGTCCGGGTCTGTCGTCCACTTGACTTTGATCAGAATTTTCCGCTTCAACGATTCTGGCGATGGGAGGACCGAGATGTCTTTCTCTGTGCTGATGTCTACTAGTAATCCCGACCAGATGTCCCGCATAATATCCACCATCATCTCCTGCTGAGTAAGGCAGGCATGAACTTCGAGCGAGACGATTATAGGAAGGTCAGTAGACAGAAATGCCGAGTCCTTGATAGACTGACACACGGAGCGGAATGAGACTGGCTGTGTCAGAGTGTAGCCGTGGAGAACTTGTGGCTCGCTCCTCCAGGAGACAGAGGGTGGTTGTGGGGGATGCAGGTAACCCGGGCTCTGAATTGACTTTTCGGATTGCCCAGATGCAGCATCAGTCCTGTTCTGACCATTGGCATTCAAGTTGTGGAAAGGACCCAGATCTCGAGGCTGGCTGTTGTTCAACAGAGATCCAGACGGGGAGCGAGATCGCATCCTTGCTGCACGAGCCTTCACTCTGTTCCATCGTGATGGTTTGGAGTCTGATCTTGGCCGTCCATGTCTGCCGCCTTGCTCTTCTTCAGCATCCGAGCTGCTCGTCTCCGAATCGCTGTCACCGTCCCACACGTCTATTTCTAGACACCTGCACCCCCGTTTCAGGACGTTCTTGTACGCATCGACACTTGCGTCGCCGTATAGCTGGTGGCCGGAAAGATATGTATTGTGACTCGAGCTGATATAATAGGAGGAGAGCGGGAAGCTTAAGTCATTCGACTTGAGGTCAGCCATGGCGCTTGACTTGTCCGATGCCATATAAGACAAGAACGACGCCTCATCAGTAAAGTGTTGGCCATCTTGAGACGGCGAATGCCTGTAAGCGAACATGATCTTTGCCAGCACCGACTCCGAGAACGGTGTTGGAGAGACAACATCGGAAATGCTGGACGACTGGCTGCCGCCAGCGGCACGAATAGGAAGTGTGGTCATGGTCGCACGTCAAGCAGCCTGAAATAGTCGGCCGCTGGGAACCCGCTGAATGAAGTCAATTGCTTGGTACCTTTGTGAAGGTCTTGTCCACGGAAAGCAGAAAGTCGAGTTTGGAGATCAAAGGAATGGAAGAACGCGAGCGATAGAACAGGCTCACTTGTGGCATTTCGTTCAAATTGTTCACTCTGCTATCACCCTTGGATCAGGGTGAACGTCAGAGGAAGTAGCAACGACGTGTACTCGGTAGGCAACGCCTGCTCGACACTGCGTCTGTCACTGTGTAGTAGTATCAAGGAGCATTAAGTATAGGTACCTACATGTAGGAGGTAGGTAAGGTAGGCACCATTGTGAGTGACCAGCTTCCAACAATCAAAAGCGCAGCTGCGCCGTTGGGTGGCCTCGTCCACTGCAAGCTGGGGCTGAACAAGCAACATTCCTGCCCGATCCTCGAACCTCAAACTCTCTGGTTCGCGCCACGACGCTGCATAGTATGGCGTATGCCAAGGGTACTTATCGCGACCGACTACTACTACTAGTAGTAGCACTAGTACTAGGCACGACACGAACTCCCTCTATAATAACACGCGCTGCAGCATAACTAGCCTCGCTAGGTATGGTGATGAGCTGGTACCTACTGAGGTAGGTAGCCTGAGGCACCAAACCTCAAATTCAGGCAATAGTGGCCACCTACCTAGCCTCAATCCGCCCTTGAGAGACATACTGGGTAGTATGCAAATAGGTAGGTAAGCAGTGCGAAGATCGAACGATTGGGAACGATATCAGACCTTGCCAACCAATTACTTTATACCTACCATAGGTATCTTTGGCCCCTGCGCCCTGCGCCTCAGCCCGTCTCAGCGTTGGTTTCATCGACCACTGGCAGTGAATGATCGCGATACTGGTAGACTTCAAATGTTAGTGTGGCTGTGGTGGAAGCCTGGCATCACTTCCGAGGGCCAGCTTCAACGAGTCTGCCTGGATACTAGTAGGTTCCAGCTAACTACCTAGGTATCTATGTAGTATATAGCAGCTTGTCACCCTTGCGCCGTCCTCCTTGTCTCTGCCAGCCATGAGACCTCGTTCCCTGTGAGCGTTTAGTACCAGATTCTTCCGAAACGCGCAATCTCGTTTTTGAGTGAGTATAAGATGTCGAACCAGGGATACTGGAACAATCAGCCCCCTCACAGCCAGTATGGCTACGGAGACAATAACCAGCAGAGTTACCAGCAGTGGCAGACTCCCGTCAGTCAACCTTGTGCCCAGCAACGTCAGGATGATCAGTATCGACCATACGACTACAACTATCAACCGCCCCCGAATTATCAGCAGCCTTATGGTGCGCCGCCGGACTCACAAGGCCCCTATTCTCAATATCCTCACAGTCCAGCGCCATACTCGTCTCCTGCTCCCGCATATTCCTATCAGCAAGGTGAATACTCGTCGACTAGCCAAAACTATGGCTACTACGAGGCAACTCAACGCTCTCACTCAACCCTTCCTGTCCAGACCCAGCCTCAGTACGAAACGTTCACTCCACCGGCAGAGCCTCCAGCACCCCAGACAGCACCTTATCCCCCCCAGCCAGCAACCATGCCTGACCCAAACAATCCAAATTCCCAGGATCGCGGGTTGATGGGAGCCGTGGCGGGAGGAGGGTTGGGAGCGTATGGCGGCCACAAGGTGCACCGCGGGTTTCTTGGAGCTGTCGCCGGTGCCATCGCTGGCTCTATGGCCGAAGACGCCTACAAAAAGCACAAGAAGGAGAAGAAGAAGAAAGCCAAGCGACCGGCTGGGCTGCGCCGAAACTCCTCGTCCTCCTCTTCGTCTTCTTCGTCTTCGTCTTCTTCACCCAGCAGCTCCTCGGACGACGAGAAGAAGACAAAGAAGAAGAGACAAGATGGACAGATGCGAGGCAACTTGGATGCACAGATGCGAGGAAACTTTTCATCTTCGTCGCATAGCATCACACTGGATAGGGACTACGACCTGATCGCATCCTGCGCCAACGCCCACGGCGACCACAAGCTCTCATCATTGTCGCTCAACAACTGCCTGGCGAACATGCATGGTCGCTTCGTCTGGGCCAAGGGTGGAAACTTCGGTGCTAGTGCGCGCAACGTGAGACTCGTGGAAAACGGAAAAGTGCTGGAGGCCGAGTTGGGCACGGGCGATGGTCGATGGAACAGAGATCGCATTCGACTAGACGAACGAGTAAGGAACGACGACGGCGAGCTGGTCTTTTTGAGTTAAGGCACTCTTCATCACGCATGGTCGCCACGAATTAGGACATTGGGGTCAATCATCGTTTCGTTCGATAGTATCATGATTGTTACCCCAGACCCAGGTATTCAAGACGACCGGGTCGAGGACGCGGAAAGACCTCGACCACCTGTTCTTCCTCTTTGGTAATGCTAGGCGGTCGGTCCTTGCACGGCGCGGCGCGTTTGAGAGGCTCGTGCGTATCGATACCTTAGCGACAAAGCTGGGATCACAAGGATAGGTTCATCTAGGTTATTCTTCTGGTCGCAGGAGCAATATCGACGCCGGGCGAACACAATGATACCATTATTGGGTGATTCTGATGAGATCGTAACCTGCCTAACTATATGAAAGAAAGGCTTTGGAGGCGAGATGAGAAATGCATTTGTTGCAGAATCACACGGCGACCTTGCCGAGGGATTGTTTCCAATTAAAGATTCATCAGCCATAGGCTAAAGTCGACCGAATTGGACATGGTTTCTAGGCACCGTCTAGGCACCATCGGTCCATTTTGGTAGTAGAGTTATAGGCATCCCCATAATAATTACGGCCCCTTCTACGCTGCCCGTGCGCAAGCAATCCGTGCGGCCAGTCTCAGCTGCACATCAACGAAATTCGGATTTCGCAAGCAGAACGGTTGACAAAGAGCATTTCGAGTAGTAGACAGGACAGCGGACAAAGATCACCTTTGCGCCGTAACCTTGCATCAGATGTAGGTACAAAGAGCTGCAGCGGCTGACCCGACAATTGCAGATGCAACCATGCAGTGCCTCCACCCGAGCGAAGGATGGATCTTTGTAGGCTTGATGACTCTCTGCAAGTGATACGCCGTCTCACCAGCACCCGAGAAAACGGGCCCTGGGTGGCTTCCAGCCCCCTCCAGGCTCGCCGTTTAACTGGCTGATGTGCCTGATTCACCCTCCTTCCTGTGCCCTGGATAATTTCTCTCCCTCAGCTTCCCTCCACCATCCGCAAGCTGACCAACTAGACTACCCTTACCTGGTACCTTAATCACCGGATTTGTCTCTGCCTCCCTCTCACCACTTGTTACCCTTTTTCTTACCCTTCTTACTGTTCTTCTGGACTCTCTCTCGTCATGCTACGGCACCGATGTGCCTGTGTCGCCGCAGTCTTCCGTTCGTAAATTGCTATAATGGAACGACTCCCTTGCAGCTGAGCATTTGTTAATGCCATCACTCTTTAAACCGCCTCCTTCCAGTCGATCGTTACCAGTCACCTTCCATATAACGCTTACCTCTTCGCACGCTCTTCCTCCTCCCTATACCCTCTCGCATCTGCTCCAAGAGCTTCTACGAACTACGTTCTCGAAATTGCTGGGAGAAATGGCTCATCAAGGTATGACATCCGCTCGCTCTCCATCTTAGTATGACAGACGAGGGGCTGACCAGATACGTGTAGATGCCTTCTCTACGATTTGTGGCGTACCCACGAAATACGTCTCCTTATTCACCCTTGTCCTACAAAATTCCACCTTGGTTCTTGTCATGCGATATTCTCGAATCCTGCCAGGTCCCAGATACCTGAGTTCGACCGCTGTCGTCCTGTCCGAACTCATCAAATGTATAATATGCCTGTCCATTCACATCCGCGACCAACAGACCCAGTCCCGATACTCGCGGTTACCCACGCTTTCAGACGATAATGTTCCAACCTCAACTTCATCCGGGTACAGTCTACATCAACTCTGGAACGATTTGTTCAGTCTGAAGTCAGGCTTTCTTAAACTCCTTGTCCCTGCCGTCCTCTATACTTTACAGAACAACCTTCAATTCGTGGCAGCCACCAACCTAGACGCGGCCACATTCCAAGTCACATACCAGTGCAAGATCTTGACTACTGCACTGTTCGCCGTGGTAATGCTCGGGCAGAGCCTGTCATCGAGAAAGTGGCTCGCTCTGGTCATTCTCACCGCTGGCGTTGCCTGTGTTCAGATTCCTTCGTCGACCACACCATTGCACGTCCACCAGGGCAACTATCTGATTGGTATTTCCGCCGTCACAATCGCCTGTATATGCTCAGGCTTTGCCGGGGTCTACTTTGAAAAGGTGCTCAAGGGCGGTCAACATGGTTCGATTTGGGTCCGCAATATCCAGTTGAGTGTTGGATGCCTGGGTATTGCCCTCTTCGGCGCCCTAGTGTGGGATGGTAAGGCGATCCGTGAAGGGGGTTTCTTCCAAGGATACAATGCCGTTGTGGTTGCCACGGTTTGTATTCAAGCTGCCGGGGGTCTTATTGTCGCCATGGTCATCAAATACGCCGACAACATTCTCAAGGGTTTCGCCACTTCCGTCTCCATCATCCTGTCAACGGTTGCTTCGGTCTTCCTGTTCAACTTCGTCCCAACCGTCTACTTCTTGTTGGGTTCGGTCCTAGTATTCGTGGCAACTTACATGTACAGTATGCCGGGCTCACCCAGCGTTGACGCCAGCATTCCTTTCGATCCATCCGAGAAAGGACCCATACTTGTGGTCGAGAACTACGACGGCGAAGACGGTCTTGATCTGAAGGCCGGTCCAAGCTCTTTCAGTGATGAGAGCGATCTGGAGTCAGGCGACGAAGGGAGCCACATTGGTTCCAGTATTTATGCCCCTGACGACGGCACCCACAGTCGCAATTTCTCACCTTGTCTGCTGTCGACTTCGACAATGGAAAAAAAGGGTCTTTCCGAACTTGATCACGCTCCTTGAGCGCATCATCTGTTCTCGATCCTGTACTTTTAGCCCAGTTGTTATGCATTTCAATCCTGGACGAGTCATATGAGGCCGGAATGTTCTCTCTGTTCCTTTCGACTTTCACAGCGACGGAGTTTGAGTGACATTAAAAGTTCGATACCGAAGGTCTATTGCCTACGGGTGCCTTGAAGATGACGAGGCCGAACGCCATATGTGATGGAATCACTTGCAATATCCGTTATGCGGAAGATATGATACCCAGAGTAGCATTATTTTTTTGAAGCCATCTCTTCGCATTACTTCCAACTAGAGCCGCCCGAAAGAAGGGCTAGAATCATGCAACGGAAAAGCAACCTTTTCGACACCAAAGTTTCATTCTGCTTCTGTTCTGTCAATTGTACACTATCTAAGGTGAAAGCAAATTGGCGGCTTGTACGGTTTGAACTTTGGTGGTTGGCACGGGGCGGCGTCTGGGTCAAGAGTCAATTCTCTCCGCAAGCCCCAGTACGTACTTTTATTATCACTACCAGATCACGAGGCTGAGCCACGTTGCAGACACTGTCTCCATGCTATGGTGTACGTCTATTTTGTTCTCATGTTTTGTTTTCCTTCTCAAGAGGTCTCGATTGCTTCAGGAGTGAGGAAGAGACTTGCCTCCAAACCCCGAATGGGTTAGGAAATTTGCCCCTAGAAGTGTACATACGACATGCATACAGACCTATAAGATAACTATAGGTTCAGGGTATCCGAGTAAGTACCCAGTATTCCACCTCTTCGCCGTCGCTATCCCAAGCTCAAGTCCAAGCTGTGAGGCCTAAGTCCGTGGCGCAATGCAAAAAAAAAAGAAAAGATGTTTCTAGTTTTGAATTCGTTGAGCTCCGAAAGTCGGAAATCCCAATATGGCGGCACCTTGCAAGGCAAGCCCATCGCAATGCAAGACCAAGATGGTGTGTCTATAGCATGGGAAACCCAGTGATAGTAAAAGAACCCCAGGGGGGACTAGAAGTTCTCTTTACCCCAGACGAACCGAAATCCCTTGTCGCCTTCGCTGTACATGTTGCATTTGACATGTAACTGCGACCCGAGCCCCTTGGGTCCGCAGAAGAAGACGCCCGCCTCGCCGGGCGAATGGAGTTTGCGGATGGAGCGGAAGACCATGTCCCAGTTCGGTCGGCCGAAGTTGGTGGGTGTGCGTAGGCCGGTGATGGCGTCTGTGTCGGTCGAGTTGAGCATGATGTTGTTGGCGTCAGCAGCGGAAATTTTGGCCGTGAGATACTGTGTGGCGATGATATGTTAGTCGACGATCACGACGGATGGGGATTCCGGAGCAGAGCAATTTGAGGCAAGAGGTGAACAGGTGCAAGAGGGAAAAGGAGTGCAAAGATGTGAGCAGCAAAGACAAGAGAAACAACTTACGGTGTGGATCTCAATGGAATGCTGCTTGTCTTGGGCTTCGATCGCGGTCAGGAGACTCTTGAACCATTCCAGGGAGCCAAAGTCGCGACAAATCCAGAAGAAATAGACCTTACGCAGACGTGTCTTGCCGCCGTTGCCGGTGCTCATGCGGTACCAGATGGATTTGAGGATGCTGGCAAAGGGCGTGACTCCTATGCCTGCCCCGACCAACACAGCTGTCTCGAATTTGAACACGTCTTCTGACGCGGAGCCGAAGGGTCCGTCCACATATACTCGAGGTAACAGTTTTGTGAGACCTCCTGGAGCCATGGACACAACTTCAGAGCGTTGTTTCTTGGTGTTCCCGCCGCCGGCGCTATTGGCTTTGCTGTCGTCGCATCCGAGAGCTTTGCCCAATGCCTTGGTGAAGTTGCCTACCATTCGGACATGGACCGATATGTAGTCTTCCTCGGGCGCAGACGTCAACGTGAAGGGATGGTACTGCCAGATGGAGACTTCAGGGCAGCAGAGGAAGATGTATTGGCCAGCGCGCGTTTTGGTCTTTTCCTTGTGTATCTGGATCTCGACCACATTGCTGGGATGTTGGATCACTTTCGTGACAAACGTCTTATGACGGCCGCGGATTTCTCGAAGGACCCGTTCCATCAAATAGGCAAAGCCACCGTACATCCAGTACTCCCAGAAGACACCGGTGCCGAAGCAGAAGGGCGCTGTGTCGGACTTGATCATGCAGAAGGCGCCATGGACAGACCAAAAGACAAAGAAAATGATGAACAAGTGGTGGATGGACCAGAAGCGTTCGTAGTTGGCTCGTCGGGGTTTCTCCATCGAGGTGAAAAGCATCGCCATCAAGGCGAACAGCATCACGTAGCCGGACCAGCCGGGCCCCGTGGCGAAGTTGATTTTCAGAAAGCCAACGAAGCCCAGCTTCTGTTTGGCAGCCAATTGCCCAAAGTTGTTCCAATGCGCAATGGTGTGGACCCAGGTGAAGAAAACGATCGAGTAGGCCACCAATTTGTGGAAGGTGAGGTTCTTGTCGAAAGGGACGATGCTGTTCAAAGGGGTTTGGCGCAATAACGATATCAATGTCCGACAGACGGGAAACAGGATCAATGCGACGTCGAAGTGCAACACCAGCGCTGCCGAACGAGCTATCGGATATGTCAAGCCAAAGGTACTCCGCGCCGTCGTCAGGTTGTCTTTCAACTGGTAGTTCATGAACCCAAAGGCGAAGATCAGTCCGTGAACCAGCACGAACATCCCCACCACCATTCTTCGCGACCCTTCATTGACCATCCATCTCTCCAACTTTTCTTTCAGTGTGAGGTCTCGGGGCGCATCTCCACTGACTTCCCCCGACAGCAACATTCTCGACAGAGGGGTCGACCGGGTTCGTTCCGACATTGAGGACGTAGTCGACGACGTGTTTGATCTGGCCAACGGCTTCTCCAGGTAATACATTGGTGCATTATCGTGCGTAGTAGTATTTGACCGTCCCAGCGGTATGTCATGGAAGTAAGGTGGTGGTGGTGGCGCCGACCGGTTCATGGCGGGCGATATGTAGATGTAAATGGACAGCGCGTTCGGACCAACTCTAACGCTGGTCTCGCCCGGTCCACTGCCCAGCGGTGGTGCCGTGTCAAGACTGAGGACTTGAGACACTGCCGCAGGCGTGGGCTACTCGAAACGCACACTTGACACAGTATCAGTATGGAGCAGGTGACGACGTTCTGGAAGGTATCAGTGCACCACTTACCTCCAGGACCCCTACTGCGTATGGACAAGGGGTTCGTGCTTCGCACCAGGCAAGGCTGTTTCGCGTGTCGTTAGATAGCAGCGAGGAAATTAGTATAGTCGGCGGTTCAACTGCAGGCTCTTTGCAACGGAAAAGATCAACACAAACAAAAAGCAGATCAGGGCGGGGGGAGCGACAAATAACTACGCCTTGGAGCCATCGAGATGTGAAAAAGTTCCCGCCTCCTGCAGCGCTTGTGCCCGAGGCATCAGCGGCGTCCGCACTGACAGTAGGGCTTCCTCACAGCTCGATGCAAGGTGAAAGGGGTAGGAAGGTCTTGTGCCAAGGGAGGACACTGGCCGTGGTAGTGGAGCGGGAGTCGGACTGGAACAAGATCCATGGCAGGCCAAATCCACATGGCTGGGGGCGGAGGAACCGGGTGCCAGTGACAGTGCGTTGCAAATCCGAGTCCAGACGCTCTGTTGAGTAAGGGAGCCCGAATCGAGTTCAGCACCAGATGGAGACTGTGTAGAGAAACCTCTTCAGCAAGATGATTTGCACGCGATGCGAGGAGCGAGGCAAGGTGGTGAAACACGCCAGGGGGTTGACAATGTTCGAAACCGCCCAGAAAAGAACCTTGAATCCTTGCCTGCGTCTTTTGCTCTCGTCTCTTCCCTGTCTTCCTTGCTGCCGCTGTGCCTCCTTGTTTCAACTTGTTGCCAGCGCCGTAGACTCGACTCGTTCTACAAAGTATAACGAGTGCAACGACCCATCAGACCACTCAGACGATCCAGTGACAGCATGTCAATTCTTGCAGTTCTCACGTAATTGAGTGCGCACATCGCAGCCCGAAACCTCTGCCAACCGGATTAGCTTCAAGTCAGATCAGAAAACCCCATTGGGTCCCAGAGGCGAACGAATGGCCTGGTGTACGTACAACATACATCGTCTACAGAGTACTTTGCCTGGCCTGGGACGTTGGGCGAAGCGGCTACGATTTCCAATCCCACACTCGAGGCCGAATTTGCTTGCGGATAAGGCTCATTAATACCAGCCGAAGGCGATGCAAAGAATGCACTACCACTAGGAAGAAAGCGAGCAGAAAAGAGGCTGGACTGCAAATAGCACCGTTGTTATCCTTAAAGCATGCCCATAGCTGTAATGCATCATAATAATTCATCCCAAATCATGCCGTTGGACATGACCACAGCCTCAGGTCTACGCCCATTTCTCCAGTTGCTGTCATTGCATCCAGTGGAAGGTATGCTGGTGGTAATCTCGCCATCTGTGCTGCGCTCCCTGATGCCCCCGTCTTTCACGCCACTGTGCGGACCGATCTCGCAGCTGTTGCATTGTCATTGTGAAAACCTGTGTGGCCTTGCCCAACACCGACCGGCTGCCTAGGCCATCCATGGCAACTAGATTGCAAACTTCCTCGTCCATTCCCTAGCCGTCGCTTCATACCGGGCGCGATCGGTTTTGTACACATGAGCGATCTCTGGAACAAGCGGATCATCGGGATTTGGGTCTGTGAGCATGGAGCAGATGGAGAGAAGGACTGTCTACAGGTTAGCGTATCATCTTTGAGGTGACGGGCTGCGGCCAGTCCTTACCTTTGGATATCGTCAGAGCGGGACTCCACTGGTCTCGGAGAATGTCCAGACAAATGCTCCCGTTCGAGTTGATGTTGGGATGGTAAATTCGGGTGGTGAAGTTGACCTTGGGTGGCTTGAAGGGGTAGTCGGTCGGGAAGTGGATCGATAGGAAGAAGACACCGCCTTGGAAAGGGCTATCACCCTGTCGAAGGAATTAGTACACATTCGAACAAGGCAACGGGGCTCAAGGTTTGGTAACATACAGGACCCATGATTGTCGCTTGCCAGTGGAACTGTAGATGGATTGTTAGCTAGCGATTCAAGGCGCTCGCAGCCGCAGTTTTGAAGCAATTGGTCGACTGCCCAAGGGTGCTGCTAAGAGAAGCGGACGTACCAGGTCGTCGCCTATGGGACCAGCTGAGCATGATGAGGGAGGGTCACTACAATCGTCACCTGTCAGTATGTGTTTTCGATATCCGAACCATCCTTATCGGCCGTGGCTTGGAGCGCCCTTGGTCTGATGGAGGTCCTCCGAGGCGAAGGTACTTACCGGCCAAGATCTGTGAGTTCCTTGTTGATACGCTTCAACGCCATGTCTGGAGAATCTGAAGAGTGCGAGTGTACAGGAGGTTTGAAAAGGCGAAAGGTGGTTGACAACCGGGTTAACGCGGGGCTGCTATCTGAGTCAACCTTGGGTACAATGTCGGAAGGAGATGCTGATGACACGAACCTGAGAAGTATAGGCAGTAAAGTTATGTAGGAGAGGAGGGATTGAAGTAGATCGGAGTAATCGGTAAGGTTGAGTGTCAATTGTTTGTCACGCTGTTGTTCAGTTGTGTTGAAGTGGAAGTAGTGGTGGTGGTGTAGGTATGAAAGAAGATCACCTCTCGTTGTCCAGCCGAAAGCGCAGGCGATTCAGTCGGAGCCCAAGCTTGGCATGATAGAAGCACCTGGCAATAATAATCGTCCACTCAGCCACTGCACAGCAGCACTTTTGCCTTCGTCAATTATTATTACCATGGTATTATTAAGGGACTAATTCGTATTACATACCAGATCGGGCGGTCGCTGCGCCCTCCATTTTTCCGGGCAGCTACAACTTTGCCACACGTGACATGTCATTACTTCGTTATGACCAAGCACACAGTGTTTGGTATCAATATATTGTCCCCCAACATACAACTGAGGTGGTCAGGTTTTCCGCCATTGCGGCATATTTATAAAGCTATGTCACCATTATACCAACCTCCTTGCGGGACTGCTGGTCATTTATACCCCGTTCAGGCTGGTAATCATCCCAGGAACTTTTCGTCGAGCCCACAACATGTACAGAGATAGGGCCTGGCCTGGGCACCTGGAGACTCACGCAAATGCCTGGAGGCCGGTGATGGCTCTACCTAGGATCAAGGCGTGGATGTCGCTTTGACCTTCATAGGTTTGCGTGACAAACAGATTAGCGACATGTCTCCCAATATGATATTCGTCGCTGACTGCGTTTCCACCGAAAATCTCCTGTAAGTGACGGGCGTTCACTAAGGCTCGATCGCAATTTTGTCTCTTAATCATGGAAATCATCTCGGGCGTCACCTTGCCTTCGTCCTTCAGCCTGCCGACTTGATAGGCAGCGGCCAATCCGAAAGCAGCATCTGTCGATGCGTCTGCCAACTTCTTTTGTACGAGCTGATATTTGGCGATGGGATTGTTCTTGAACTGCTTTCTTTCCAAGGCATATTCGCGCGCTCGGCTTAAGCAATCTTCGAGGGCGCCCATTGTGCCCCAAGCTATTCCATATCGAGCCGAGTTGAGGCAAGAGAAAGGACCCTTGAGTCCTTCGATGTCTGGAAACATATTCTCCTTTGGTACAGGACACTCGTCCAATTGGATCATTCCGGTGATTGAGGCTCGCAGTCCATTCTTGTCTCCCAATTTAGGTGTCTCCAGCGTGCCTGGGGGGCATTTTTCTCTCTCAATCACAAATCCTCTAATCTTGCCTGTTTCTTGGAGCTTGGCCCACACCACCAGGACGTCGGCGATAGGTGAATTCGTGATCCATGTCTTCGCACCGGAAATTGAATAGTATCCCTCCTTGGATGGGTGAGGCTTCGCAGTGGTTTCCATCGAGCCGGGGTCAGACCCGTGATTCGGTTCGGTCAGGCCAAAGCAGCCCACTAATGAGCCGTTTCCCAGTTTCTCCAGATATTTATCCTTTTGCTCTTGAGTTCCGAAATCATATATAGGCCCCATAACGAGGGAGCTTTGAACCGACATTCCTGAGCGATAACCAGAGTCCACTCTCTCAACTTCTCTCGTGATAAGGCCTGACGCTACATTGCTCACACCCGCGCAACCGTAGCCCTGAATTGTGGCACCGAGTAAACCTAGCTCTCCCATCTCTTGCAGAATCTTCTTATCATACTCCTCTTTCCGATATGCTTCTAGAACTCGAGGCAAGAGGCGCTCCTGGCAATAAGACCGAGCAGTCTCCTCGATGGCCTGCTCTTCCTCCGTCAGGAAGTTGGACAAATTCAGTGGATCGTCCCACTTGAAGGCGACTGCAGAACTGGCATGCCTGCGGAGCGGGGAGTGAGCGGCTGGAATCAAGCGCGCCTGCGCAGCTCGACGAAGGATAGATCGGCTCAACATTGTCGAAGAAACCCCCCAGGAAGAAGTGGAAGATATGAAGGTAAGCTATGCACAGTAGGAAAGTCGATAAATTTGGTAGACGGCGGAAACGGGAATACGGGGTTAACCGCCAGATGGAAGAGGTAGAAGACGGAGCCGAGGCAGTTTTCCTATGCGGTGGAAGCTCGTCGCTGGGAGCTTTGCTACTAGGGCAAAAGAGTACCCGACTCGCCCAGTACTTTCGACTGTGTTGCTATCAACAGCAGACAACACTCACTAGTGCACAAAGATTGCATCGGCAAGAACGTCTGCAATCCATTCTCATGAATATACATCAATTTCGTTATCCTTCGCATGAGTGCCAAACTTGAGGAGCATTGAAACGGGTTTAGGTTCTGCACTTAAGAAGCTGTAAACTCCACAGTAGCTCGCTCGTCTTCCCCACGTCATTACGTACTGCGGCGGAACAAACGCGTTTCTTCACCACTTTACGCGACGCCAACCCTGCGCTTTCTGACCACAGATATTGAACTTTCCCGTATCACCGCAAAACAATCTGTGGCAGGCAGCCAACTTGACAGCAATGGGTATCAAACGTAGGTCCTCTGTCACCTGCATTCATCGGCCAGACAGTCTGATCATCTGTAGAGCTGTACCATGTCATTGCGGAGGAGGCGCCCGACGCCATCAAGACCGGCGAAATCAAAAACCACTTTGGGAGGAAGGTCGCGATCGTGAGTTTATCCTGACGTGTTATGGACAATATGGCTAACAGATCTCTGTAGGATGCGTATGAACACATTCTCCCGACGATTCAGGCTTCCACTGACTGCAAACAGATCTATGAGTATCTACAGCTTCTTGATCGCAGTTCGATCGGATGGTCAACAGCTCATGTCCGACACTGGTGAAACCACGTCACATCTAATGGGGATGTTCTACCGCACTCTTCGCATGGTTGACAACGGCATCAAACCTCTGTATGTCTTCGACGGCGCACCACCAAAGCTCAAGTCCGGCGAATTGGCAAAACGGTTTGCGCGGAAGAATGAGGCCAGTGAGCAGGCCGAGGAGGCAAAAGAGACAGGAACCGCAGAGGAAGTGGAGAAATTCTCCAGACGAACTGTCAGAGTGACCAGAGAGCACAATGAGGAGTGCCGAAAATTGCTCAAGTTGATGGGAATTCCTTACATTATCGCCCCAACTGAGGCGGAAGCACAATGCGCTGTTCTGGCCCGCGCAGGAAAGGTGTATGCAGCTGCGTCAGAGGATATGGACACACTTTGTTTCGATTCTCCGATCCTGCTACGACACCTTACCTTCAGTGAACAGCGCAAGGAACCTATTCAGGAGATCCACCTTGACAAGACCCTGGCGGGTTTGGGGATGGACAGGACGCAGGTAAACCATCCGCAAGCGAGGCACATCATCCGCCGCTGACTTGAACAGTTCATTGACCTATGCATTCTCCTGGGTTGTGACTACGTCGATCCAATCCCCAAGATCGGGCCGAATACAGCATTGAAGCTCATCCGCGAACACGGTACCCTTGAAAATGTAGTCGAGTTCATCGCGAATGACCCCAAAAAGAGATATACACTCCCCGAGGATTGGCCCTACCAAGATGCGAGAGAGCTTTTCCTGCATCCTGACGTTCGATCGGCTGAAGATCCAGAATGCGATTTCAAGTGGGAGGCGCCTGACATGGAAGGCCTCGTACAATTCCTTGTCAATGACAAGGGCTTCAATGAGGACCGTGTCCGGAGCGCAGCACAGAAATTGCAGAAGAACGTCAAGACAGCACAACAGTCCAGACTCGAAGGATTCTTCAAAGCGGTGCCAAAGTCAGAGGATGAGAAGAAAGATCTGAAGCGCAAGCACGATGAAAAGATTGCCGAAGCCAAGAAGAGAAAGAAAGAAGATGCAAAGACCAAGAAAGATTCCAAGACGAAAACACATATCTCACGATGACGAGCAGCACGCGAAACGTGTGTCGGCCGCAAGACGGAGATGGCATCATCGACGTTGATCGGCGACAGTGATCATGATGAAGCCAGTGGGATTGTAGAATGGCATCATAAATTCATAGCATGGCGTTCAGGAAGCAAAATGGCACATGAGGGGATCTACAGGTGCAAAGGATGGAATTGCACGGGAGAGTGCCAACGCACTTCTACACACAACATGAGCAACAACAGGTACTTGCATCGGCCATACTACCTACCAGGTACTACCCCTGTACCAATATGCAGAACTCCACCAAATTCAAGATAAAGTTGAGATAGACTTGGCACTAGTTCCCAAAAAGGGTGCCTCACATGACCGCGGAATTCGGGGCGGCGGCGAGGTCAGGTGCTCGCAACCCGAATGGCTGGAGTTCGACCTGTTGTCTCCCCAAAGCTGGGAATTATGATTGAAGCCGCCCTCTTCCTTGCAATGAAAGTACAATGGATTGATTCAGTTCAGAGCATTTCGCGTACTACGACAAACCCTTTCAGTTAGCATAAATGGCTTCAACCATATTACCAACAGCGTCTACCTAGCTCATGAGCCACGATGCAAGACCGCTAGAGACCAAAAAGACCACCACAAGATGGACGACGCGATGATTGGGACAGACGAGGCACCCAGGCGGCAGGCATCACAACAACAATAATAGTATTGGGATTAGCATGCGTTCGGAACGAACTGGACGATCATGAGATTGCTGCGAATTACTAGTATCGCAAAGGAGGGTCGACATACACCCAACAAAAGGTTGCATGAACCGAACGAGACTCGGCACAGCAGAGAGAATGAAGGTGGGTGAAAGAGAAAATACAAGATGAAGGATAATTGGAGGCAACAGGGCGTTGTCATGCGATGGACCGCTTGACGGCGCGTGATCAGACCTCGAGTATAGGCAGAGCAGCAGCAGCAGAGATACAACTTGAACACTGGCACGCCGCGATCAGACAACGCCCCAAAACGGCCAGCGATCAATTATTATCATTCAGTTTCCACCCGCGATTAGTTGATTATTTTGGGCGAGTCGAGTTTCCGCCGGCGGGTGACAGTTGATTGGCTGGTGGGCAGGCGCACCTCACAGATCAATCCCACGTCACATGCGAGGTATAAACATCCGCTGCCTCCCCCGCCCGCGCGCTGCGAAAGCCCATCGCCCATCTACTCCTACCATCTTTCTACCCAGCTCGCTCTCGTCTTTCGTCTCGCGTCTCAGACTCGTTCACTCGTCTCATCTGAGGCTATCCAGCATCTGTCTTTCATTCATTCAGATACCCAATTCCACTTATCCACGCCGCAATGCCTCCCAAGAAAGTTTCCGGCGGCGCCGCTCCTGTCAAGGAAAAGAAGCCTGCTGCCGCCCCCGCTCATGCCTCTTACAAAGGTCAGTTGGCCTGCCTGAACGCGATGGCATTGTCGCGTACAGTTGCTGATTTTACTTGCCAGATATGATCAAGGAGGCCATCCTCAACGTAAGTCGGCCTGGTTTGCGACAACCTCGTTCCCAGATGTTGCTTTTGCCGCTCTCACTGGAGTCGTTTCGGCCAGACCGGCCTTTGCCCATTGCGAGTTATCCGTTTAGGAGTAGATACTAACCCTCTGTGATATATAGTTGAAGGAGCGCAATGGAAGCAGGTACGTTCTACACCCTGTGGTGTCGCGCTGCATCACGCCGCATCGCGTCAGGTTTTGTCTGTTCTGATCGCTTACACTAACACCTACGCAGCCGTCAAGCCATCAAGAAGTATGTCAAGGCAAACAACAACATCACCGTCACGTCCGAGACACAGTTCGATTCGCTGTTCAACAAGGCTCTGAAATCTGGTGTGGAGAAGGGTGACTTCCAGCAACCCAAGGGTATTTCTTCCAATTAATGACGCGCCAACGCCTGTATTGACTGTTGTTAGGCCCCTCTGGACCTGTGAAGCTGGCAAAGAAGGAACCCAAGCCTGTCGAGAAGAAGCCTGCCGCCCCTAAGGTCAGTGCCCATGACTCATTCGAATTAACAAACCCGCTTACCACCAATGCAGAAGGAGAAGGCTCCTAAGGAAGCCAAACCAAAGGCCGCTAAGCCAAAGACTGCTGCTTCCAAGGCAAAGACAGCCACTGCACCAAAGGTCAAGAAAGCCGCCGCCCCCAAGAAGACTGCCGCCGCTAAGCCCAAGGCCAACACCGCCACCAAGCGAGCGCCCAAGACCAAGGCCAAGACCGAGGCTGCCGTAAGTCATCATGCTTGCTGGTCTCATGTGCCTAATGCTGATCTAGCTCTAGGCACCCGCCGTCCAGGATGTTCCCACAGTCCTGAAGAAGACGAAGTCAGGCCGTGTGACCAAACAGAAGACCACCGCGACCACCAAAAAGCCGGCTGCGAAGAAAGCGACAGGCACAAAGAAGGCCGCCCCGAAAAAGGCGACACCTAAGAAGACCGAGGCCGCTGCATGATCGGTCCTTCCTTCTGAAGACTATGTCGCTGTGATGACTTGACGTGTGTTGCTCTTCTGTTTGCTGTATCAGATATCTTACAGGTTATGTCGACGGACTGATGGGAATGAGCTGCCTACCTGAAGCGAGGCGTGGGAGTTGTCGAGACCGGCGCGTGGATCATGTCGCCGTGAGCATGTCCGCACCCTGCCGCCCCGAGGGACGGATTTTATTGTGGTTGATTGCGGTTCTGACCACTTGCGCATGCCCTTCCCGAAGTGGTACTGTTTCATTGTTTTGGGACCAATTGGGGGTTATATAGGCGTTGTGTATCAGGTTCAGCAAAGGATGGGTTGTGCTCAGAGGGCTGGGCTGTAAGGTTTGTTAAAGGGCATGAGGCATACAAAGGCTGGCTTGCCCCAGCGGGCGTTCTCACCAGCAGATGAGATATCGCCATGTTGCATTTCTTGTCTTGCTTGGGGCTCAACAGAAGAATATCCAATGCTGGCCCTGTTCTTTTTTGATATCAGAGAAACACCCCAATTGAAATGCCTTGTACAGAAACTGCTCATATATTTGTTCAGGCTTTGGTTTCTGTTATGTCGCTTGTGGGAGCAAATGATTCCATCTCACTGTGTACGTACATGGTAGGTTGCCGCAGATAAGGTACCTTATCTTTAAGGGGTAGCAAGCCTCGGGCGGAAGTTATGCCGATGAGGGCTTCCGGAGGTGTCTCACGTGCCTGCTCTTGTATTCCCAAGCCTTGCACGTGACAGTATCTGTATCACTGCGTCCCAAGGTCTTATGCCCGGCCGAACAGGGCTGATCGAGGTCCAAGACGCCAATCTTGGAGCAAGGTGAAGAACCACACATGGGCGTCAGGAGCTTCAGCTCTAGCAGTGCGACTGACGATACTGTCGGACGCCGTGTTTCTCGGCGTCTGTTGGACACAGATTGTCATATAGAGAGGCCTGGGGGGGATAGAGAAATATGGTACGTATGGTTGTTTAGGAGATCCCCAGCCTGGATACAAGGTATTTAAAACATCGATGTATTTATTTTATTCTTGTTAGGGTCACAATGGATGACAACAAGATCAAGAACTCTATTGTCCACCCATATCTAAGATTGTTTAACAATAATAAGAAATACATACAGGGAAAGGGATATTGATTTTCAATTCTTTCATGCATTGTATCATTCTCTTACAGTTTTTGAGCACGAATTGTCCCTGGATATCTTAGCTTCTAGGCAGCTTCAAACCCACGATCTATCATCGAGACAGGGCGATATCATCTATCCGTAGTATCATCTTCACCGTCTCCGCCGCCAGCTCAATCGCACTGGTACTTACAAGCAGAGGCTGCAACACTTTCTCTTCTGCAATGTTCGTCTTGACCCCTCCACTGCGGATGCTGACACCCGCATTCTTCTCTCCCATGTCATGTCGATGTCGAAGATCAGTCACCACCTTGATGCTGTTCAAACCGGCATTCTCCGCCAGAGTTGTAGGAATCACCTCCATCGCATCGGCAAAGGCTTTCCAACAGATTGCTTCCGTGCCCGTCAGCTCACGCGCCTGTTTCGAAAGTTGATACGCGACTTCGATCTCAGGAGCGCCGCCACCAGCGATGAGAGCCTTCTTCTTCACCAAGCATCGGATGACGCAAAGAGCATCGTGGATAGAACGCTCCGCCTCGTCCAACACCAGTGTATTGGCACCACGAGCGACAATCGACACCGTTTGGTTTTGTGCCGATGTCGCGCGAATACCAGTGATCTTGACGTATCGTGCCCCCGAGGAGTTCACTTCTTCGACCAGATCTGCAGTGCCCAGCTTGTCTTCGCTGAAGGTGTCGATGTTGGCGATGGGTTTGCACCCGGTGCTCTTGCATAGGAATTCCACCTCGTCTCTCTCGATGTCTTTGATCGCCATGATCTTAAGCCTCGACAAGAAGTGAAGGGACAGGTCATTAACCGCGTCCCGCAGGATAGACTTCTGGATGAGCAGCACGTTGCACTTGGCCTTCTGGATCTTCTTCACCATGTTCAGCAGATATGTCCTCTCCTCCTTGAGGATCTTGTCCATTTGTCTGTAGTCGTTGACCACGATCTGATTCTCCATGTCGGGTTTGGGCGGGCTGAGTTGGAACTGTATCAATGCGATCCGGGCCTTCTCTACCCTGGTAGGCCCACCGCTGCTCTTGATGACTTGCTGGTTGAGAACCAGTCCGTCAATCATCTCGGAATCTTCAATCGTCCCACCCACTTTCTTGATGATTCGGATATTTCGCAGATCGACGTTGTCGGCTGTCTTCTGATCGATCGTCTTCAACACCGCGTCGACCGCCATGGGCCCCAGCAATCCGGAATGCTGAGACACAATTTTGGAGGACAGGGATGTAGAGGCTGCTTGTAGAAGAGTCGTACGGTCGGTCAGGGAGATGGGTTGTGACATGCCCTCTAGGATTTTGACCGCAGCAGCAGCAGCCCTCTGGAAAGATTCGGAGATGACGGTCGGGTGTATCCCTTTGCCCAGTAGTCGGTCGGCAGCCCCGAGAAGACTACCAGCAATGACAACGACGGACGTCGTCCCATCGCCGGCCTCAACATCTTGCGCAGCACTCAGATCGACCAGCATCTTCGCTGCGGGATGCATGACGCTCATAGACTTCAGCATGGTGTTGCCGTCGTTTGTGATCAGATTCTCTCCTTTGCCGTTCTGTATCATTTTGTCCATTCCTCGTGGGCCGAGAGAGGTTCGGATGGCGTCTGCCACGGCTCGTGCGGCTAGAATGTTGGCCGTCCGTACAGCCATGGGCTTCTCTTTATCCTGAAAGCCATGTTAGAATTGCTGGGGCTCGGTTCCGTCACAGGAATCACATACTTTGAAGGCGGCATTCCCAACGTTGCCGGCAACTCCCACGGCGGCAGCCATGGTTGCTTACTTCTGGGGAGAGGACTTTGGTCTGTTATGAAGTGAAATATGAGCTGGAGAGTCACGTAGGGGATTTCCAGACTCTTGCTCTTTGAACGTAACCTTTCAGGATAAAGCAGGCATGTCTGTTGTAAATTTCCAAATGCGAAAGTTGGACCGGTGCTCGAGGGGTCGTTCGCGCTCCGCAGTACCGCAGCGAAGAACTGCTTCTAGTGCCGAGCATTCACCCACCAAGTGCAACTTGCTTAGGCACGGCGCGATTACGGAGTCCAGCATCATGGCTGCTGTTGTACTGCCACTGCAACCATCAACACTCGCCATCTCATCATTTCCGCGACAATCTCCTCGCCTTGTGATAACAGCTCACCATTTCTCAATATTCAGGCCATTGTCTGAAGCAGGACCCTCTTTCTCCCTTGACCGACCCTTTCTTTCTCGCCACATCCGCCGAAAATGCCCAGTGCTACAGGGTCAAGCTGGGAGAAGTACCAGAAGAACTATGCCGACGATGAAGAGCCAGAGAAGAAGATCACACCCTTAACAGAAGAGTATGGTATTTTGTCACGATCCACAAGGCTTCTGCTGACAAGACCAGGGACATACAAGTTCTAAGGACATACGGAGCTGCGCCCTATGCGTCGGCGCTGAAGAAGCTCGAGAAGCAAATCAAGGAGAAGCAGCAGAGCGTCAACGAAAAGATAGGCGTGAAGGCAAGACTGCGTTTCCCGATGCCATAACTCATGCTGACCTTGTTATAGGAGTCAGACACCGGGCTCGCCCCTCCCCATCTCTGGGATATTGCTGCCGATCGTCAACGAATGTCGGAAGAACAACCACTACAAGTCGCGCGGTGTACAAAGATCATCCAAGATGAGAAAGACCCCGATAAGAGCAAATATGTCATCAATGTCAAACAGATCGCCAAGTTTGTTGTCAACCTGGGAGAAAGAGTCAGCCCTACGGATATTGAGGAGGGCATGCGTGTGGGTGTGGATCGACAGAAATATTCTATCATGCTTCCGCTGCCCCCAAAGATTGATCCCAGTGTGACGATGATGACGGTCGAAGATAAGCCTGATGTGACCTACGGAGATGTTGGTGGCTGCAAAGAGCAGATTGAAAAACTTCGAGAGGTGGTTGAGATGCCACTTTTGTCGCCAGAGCGGTTCGTCAGCCTTGGAATCGATCCTCCAAAAGGAGCTTTGCTGTACGGGCCTCCGGGAACCGGTAAGACCCTATGTGCAAGAGCAGTTGCCAACCGAACAGACGCGACATTCATCAGAGTCATCGGATCCGAACTAGTACAGAAATACGTGGGTGAGGGTGCCAGGATGGTTCGCGAATTGTTTGAAATGGCCAGGACAAAGAAGGCCTGTATCATCTTTTTCGACGAAATCGATGCTATCGGTGGGGCTCGGTTTGACGACGGCGCCGGTGGTGATAACGAAGTCCAGAGAACCATGTTGGAGCTCATCACTCAGCTTGACGGTTTCGACTCGAGAGGGAACATCAAAGTCATGTTCGCTACTAATCGACCTTCTACCCTTGACCCTGCTCTCATGCGGCCTGGTCGTATTGACAGGAAGATTGAGTTCTCTTTGCCGGATCTCGACGGACGCGCCAATATTCTACGCATTCATGCGAAGAGCATGTCTGTCGAGCGCGACATCAGATGGGAGCTGATCTCAAGACTCTGTCCAAACGCAACGGGAGCCGAACTACGAAGTGTTGCAACAGAAGCAGGAATGTTCGCTATCCGAAGTCGGCGCAAAGTGGCGACTGAGAAAGACTTCCTGGCTGCAGTCGACAAGGTCATCAAAGGCAATCTGAAGTGGAACAGCACAAGCGCTTATGCTCAATACAACTAGTTGGGTTTGAAGATTGTTCCGGGGCGTGCATTCGCTTGGAGTTTGTGCATAGCCAGTGCCCGAAAGAGGCGGTCGGTTATAGAGTTGATAATTGACGTATTGGTGGTGTTTCCGTCTATTGTGTGCTTCATGATCTTGTTCAACAAGTAGCTCGTCGCCTCTATGAGGCCACAACCGTCGTTTCATCGGTCAACTGCAAGCAGCTAGGCTTCGCTTAAGCTTGTTCGATGGCAGACGTGAGCATGTTGCTTTCAAGTTGTTGTATACCTACCTAGGTACCTACAGAGTTACTCAGCAGGCAGGGGGAGCGCCACAACTCTCAGCCACTCGATGGCCGAGGCGATATGCCACACCTCAACCTAGTACCAGAGCCATACAACATGAGATCTTGGTTAGTAGAGCCCGTCCACAAGGGCCATTTTGAACGTGGTGACCACAGCCATGATCATGGATCTTCTACGTGACAAGAATGAATAACCCTTGACTTCGAACGATCACCGACACCCCTTGCACAGCAACCTCAGATGAGCTCGCCTTTCTGAAGCTGCATGCACCGTAATCCAAAGGCAAAGGCCATGGGGGCAGGTGAGGGATAAAGTAATACAGTGTAAATAGAATTCCTGTGATTGGCCGGAAGAGACTGCGGGCGAAACCGCTTGCTCGGCATATTCGACAAGCCCGACCCCAGAGCCGCTCATTTCGAGCTAAAGTCATTGACGACTTCCATTTCATTTCACTCCATCTTCCGAACCGCCTCCTGCGTCCATCTCTTCCAGGCGTCGCTCTGCTGTTGTAGCGCTTTCTGTTCTGCCTTCGAGCCTTAGATGACTGGAAGCTGTGCACGATGAGCTCTTCAAGCATTCTGCGGAGCTTGACTCCCTCTACCAAGGTACGAAACCCGAGGTTACTTACCCTGATCCGGGACTGATCCGACCTGCAGTTCTCTCGAACCTGGAGGCAATCTAGCAGACACTTCTCATCGACGCGACCTGCTGGTATGATCAATACCTTTGTACTCTCTGCTCTCCGACACTGACCCCTCTCGAAGCCCGAATCGTTGCAAACCAGCCGCTACGGGCTAAGGAAGCCTCGCCCTTTGTGTCTTCGAAATACCCTGTCATTGTAAGAAGATCCGAGTATGCCCGTGAGCGGAGCGTGGCTGATTGAGTCAGGATCACGAGTATGACGCCGTCGTTGTCGGCGCCGGTGGCGCAGGGTTGAGAGCAGCGTTCGGTCTAGCGGAAGCAGGCTTCAACACAGCATGCATTACCAAATTATTTCCCACTCGAAGTCATACGGTGGCAGCACAGGGAGGCATCAATGCTGCCCTGGGAAAGTCAGTAGAGCCTGCTTGATCACCTAATGGTTGGGAGCTGACCAAGTTGCAGTATGCACGAGGACGATTGGAGATGGCACATGTACGATACAGTCAAAGGCTCGGATTGGCTCGGTGATCAAGATGCCATCCATTACATGACTCGCGAAGCCCCCCGATCAGTTATCGAACTCGAAAGTTACGGATGCCCATTCTCGCGAACGGAAGACGGCCGGATATACCAAAGAGCTTTTGGAGGACAATCGCAGAAATTTGGCAAAGGCGGCCAAGCATATCGATGTTGCGCCGCTGCTGACCGCACCGGCCACGCCCTGCTCCACACGTTGTATGGACAATCTCTGAACCACAACGCCAGCTATTTCATCGAATACTTCGCTTTGGATCTGATTATGGAAGATGGTGAATGCAAAGGTGTCATCGCTTACAACCAAGAGGACGGCACTCTGCATCGATTCATTGCAAAGAACACGGTCCTGGCAACTGGCGGTTACGGTCGAGCGTACTTCAGCTGCACCTCTGCCCACACCTGTACCGGTGACGGTATGGCTATGGTTGCACGTGCCGGTCTCCCCAACCAAGATCTTGAATTCGTTCAATTCCACCCTACAGGTATCTATGGCGCTGGTTGTCTGATCACCGAGGGCTCCCGAGGTGAGGGTGGTTATCTTCTGAACTCGGAGGGTGAACGATTCATGGAACGCTACGCACCTACCGCCAAGGACTTGGCTTCTCGAGATGTCGTTTCCCGATCAATGACGATGGAAATCCGAGAGGGCCGTGGTGTCGGTCCCAACAAGGACCACATCTACCTACAGCTCAGCCACTTACCCCCGGAGATCCTCCACGAACGACTACCTGGTATTTCCGAAACAGCCTCAATCTTCGCCGGTGTCGATGTGACGAAACAACCCATTCCGGTCCTGCCTACTGTCCATTACAACATGGGCGGTATTCCAACTAAGTACACCGGTGAGGTTATTCGCCAGAACGAGGCTGGCAAGGACGAAGTCGTCCCTGGGCTTTTCGCTTGCGGTGAAGCTGCTTGCGTGTCAGTCCACGGAGCCAACCGATTGGGAGCCAACTCGCTCCTTGACTTGATCGTCTTCGGACGTGCTGTCTCACACACCATCCGTGACAACTTCAGCCCCGGTCAGACCCAAAAGGCAATTGAAGCCGATGCGGGTGCCGAGACCATCAACATGCTGGACAAGATCAGGACCTCGGACGGCCCGAAGAGCACATATGATGTTCGAAATGCCATGCAGAGGGTGATGCAGACTGATGTCAGCGTCTTCCGAACCCAAGAGTCCCTTGACGAAGGTGTGAAGAGGATCAACGATGTCGACCAGATGTTCGACCAAGTCGGGATCAAGGACCGAAGCATGATCTGGAACTCGGATCTTGTCGAGACTCTTGAGTTGAGGAACTTGTTGACTTGCGCGTCCGTATATCCCAAGTCCCTTTTTGTTGAGGAGTTTACTGATCATTGATTAACAGAGTCCAAACGGCTGCCTCTGCCGCCAACCGGAAGGAGTCCCGAGGTGCTCATGCCCGTGAAGATTATCCCGAGCGTGACGACCAGAACTGGATGAAACACACACTGTCATGGCAAAAGAACCCGCATGGCAAGGTCGAGCTCGGCTACAGAGGAGTCATCAGCCATACCTTGGACGAGAACGAGTGCAAGGCTGTGCCGCCATTCAAGAGAGTGTATTAAAGTGCTTGCGTGGTAAGCGGCGACAGTATACGGGGAGAGCGAAAGCCATGCTTTTTTGATGTACGCTTGTCGATAGGATTGTTTATACCAGAGATGAGAACAAACAATGTAAACAAAGCCCAAAACATATTCTCATTATGGTCGTCGTGGTGGTGTAGTTACTACTGATGCTCTGCTGTTGTTGATATTCACCTATTCTCCGATCACATATTCGCAGCCTAGATTGCATGAGATCGAAGAGTCAGCTTTCCAGGATAACCAACAGCAAAATGGGCCGTCCCCACACAGCTTGAGACCATGCATAGTTTCCGGGCATACCTTCATCTCCCATCCAGACCTCGTGGACCTTGCCCGCCGGCACATCTACCCTCGCGCCCACGCCAAACGTCTCCTTGGTGGGACTTGCATCGCGAGGATATGTGACTGTCATAGACCCTCGGCGGATCAGATGGGTCGTCAACCCGGAATGGGCGTGCGGCTGGTAATGTGCATGCCTAGTATCCGTCAGTTGCCATTAAGATGAAAGGACGCCGAGTTGGAGGACGCAATGGGACCACAGGAAGGGAAATACTTACGGCCCATCAGTCCACGTGAAGACATGCGAGAATCCCCAGTCTCGAACGGTCTTTTCGTCTTGAGAACGGGATGTGGTTCGGGTTGACATGGTATTTATATTGTGATGCTGATGCTGATGCTGATGGTGGTTGTGACGATGACGGGTATATAGTTATACGTAGTATAATATTAATAGGGCTGGAGTTTAAGTTTAATCAGAAGGTGTTTTAGAGTATGATACGTGATAGTTTATGTTGACGGTAGTGTGAGGTACAAGAACCAACTGGATATCTGTATGGGATTCACCTCTTCAATGGTGGCGACGGGATATACCAAGGTATCTTGCTCATGAGACGGTAGTAGATGCATGCAGTGAGAAGTATCTCGAAGCCTTGCAGCAATATCGCTTACGTACGCCAAGCCTAGGGTTGCCCCTATTGGATGCAGCCCACAGCCTCGTCTATCGCCACTGTCGAGGCTGTAAGTAAAAAGTCTTTAAGACAACATACTGTGCGTACCTACCTAGGTACAGGTTCTTCGTACAGACATACTTTGAGTTGTTGGAGCTATTCACTTTCATGCCAAAAGGTAGGACTGTTTTGAGTCGTGTGGTATACCACACCGTCCGTGGCGTCATCTCCTGGCACCCAAGAAAGAGGCACAGCTTGTTGATGCCTCCGGGGTGTTTTGAGGCGATGATGGACTTGCAGCTGTATGTACATACCTTCTGAATCTCTTTTCTGGTGAGTCCCTGCCATGACTGGACCTGACCTGACTTGCTTGAGTCAAGGTGACCACTTACATCCGCGGTCAGGTTCGGTGAAAACGAGTCCTGAAGGCGTGCGACCGGATCTTGACAGCACCATGAAATCCCAAATATCAAGAGAGCAAAATACTCATGGCCCATGAGAGCTTTTCTGCTGGCTGGCGCTTGGCCAATCTCAAAAGGAAGAGGCTTAAGACGCCGGGGCGGTCCGACTTACTGTCATCTCTTAGACTGCACAAGGCTGTCTCGTCTCTCAGCAACGGCTGCTGAGCTCATGTTTGTTGTTGTTGTTGCTCTTCTTGTTGTCATCAGACATACCCCAGCAAATTATGCGGTGCACCAGCATGCTGATGCTTGAATGTTGTCCTTGCTATTCTGGGGAGCACAAACGTCACCAACGGCGTGCACAGTTCAGAGAGTACACTGCGCAGGATAACGTATGACGCTGCTGATGCGAGATTAAACATTTCGAGGACGAAGATCTGGTGCTGACCTGTGAAATTGAGGCAAGTTCCGACGGACGTCGTGGGGAAATCACCAGTGGTGACATACCACCCCATTGGACACTACTCGAGCAACAAGGCTGAGGCACGCGGCCCAGACCACTTTTCCCCAGTCAGTGCGCAGAATGCATGACGATGGGATTGGCGATCGTAACTCAAGACAACAACAAATCATGTATGAGTTGTATTGTTGTCATTCCATGAAATTTGCAGAAATGAAGATACATGATTCCGGTCGTTTGGGCCCATTCATCATGAGGCTTGCAACGATGCATTTCGGTTTCTAGCCCTGGAGCCTTGTCACGCAGGCTCTAGGTCACAGGAGGAATGGAATCCGTCAGCCGCAATCTCCCCCAACGTGCTACCTCCTACGTAATAACGTCAACGATGGGTGACACGAGAGATTTGAGGACGAGGACCACACTAACAACAACGACGCGGCATGGCAGCGGAAATATGCGAACAAACCTCCGAGTATTTCTGGGGCAGAAAAAGGGGTATGAGCGCGTTGCAGCAAGGTTGAGCACTAGACCTGATTAGGGCTGGTTTGTTTCATTCTGGGACTAGTGCCTGCCGTATATGAACTAGCGTGCATATGGCGTCCACTTTGTCTTGACGCTCGCGTCCGCTCCATCTTTTCCCTCACGCCATCAATCTTCCTGCTCCCTACACATCACTATCCACGTCAAGCTGCACTGTCTCCCACTGTCGCCCAGCAGCTATCCAGCCATAGCAGCTGTCTGTCAGTTGTGCACTTTTATGCTCACCTCGCAGGATGCAGATCAGGCCCGTCACCACAGCAGAACTTTCGTCCGAGAGAGAAAACCAAATCTCTCAGGCCCGTGAAGCCTCGAATGGACGGTCAACATAGCAATAGTGTCTCACCGCAAATGTCCGTTCAGGCTACTAGCGACGACTGATGATGAAATGTCTTCTCCCGAGGGTCCATTACAGGTGAGGAAATGACTTCGCGCCCGCCGAGGACCGCCCAGCCAGGCCACCTGCTCCCCCCTGCGTCAGATGCCACTCCTTCGGTCACTTTGTTTGGGTCCTTTGTTCCCTGCCTTTTTTGGGCTTGGCCTCTCCGAATCTCCATGTCCTCCTGAACACGGACCCCTCTCCACTTTTGAAGCATGGCACTCCATTGTCCGGCCTTGCCATCGCAGAGATCGTCGGTCTCGACAATCTGGGAAGGACAATGAAGGTGGGTCCCCCCGGTGGGCGTTGTTTGTTTCACAGTTCGCCTGGCCGACGGCAACTGGGGGCATGAATAGCTGAAGGATTCTATGGGTAAAGGCGCCTGATCTGTATATCTCAACGCCCTGCTGCTGTCTTCCTTGTCTGTCCTTTCTTCTCGCTCGATTGGTTTTTTTACGAAATCGACGGTCCGAGACTCTTCTTTCACTCTTTCGACTGACGCCTGTACACGCTCTTTTCGTCCCTGGAGGATATACACATTCTTTCCAACACACGCCGGACTCCCTCTTGTTTCACCCCTTTCCAACCGAACCTAAGAATATCGCATTCTTTACGAATCCAAAAACAAAATCGGCAATCATGTTGTCTATCAAAAACATTTCTCTTGTGGCTGCCTTCGCCGGGCTTGCTGTTGCGCTCCCAACTCCTGCCGAGGACGCTGCCCTTGTCGAACGCCAATGGCACGGTGCTCACCAACACTGGAAACAACCGGAGAACGTTGTCTGGGTCACTATCACTGAAACCGCTGGCGCTCCTACCGTTGCAACCGCCACTGCTGTTTACACACCCCCTGCAGCTGTGGTCCCCTCGGCCGCACCCGTCGCTGCTTCTTCCTCGTCCGCCGCTCCGGCAGTTGCCTCTTCCGGCGCCACCGGCTACATGGCCATCGTCTCAAAATATCGTGCGGCTGGTGGTCTCCCAGCCCTTACTCAGGACAGCACCCTCGAAGCCAATGCTCTCAAGACCAGCACTGATAGTGTCGGGGGGTTGAAGCATGAGTTGAACCCTGGTTCTATGGCTCAGGTGCTTGCCCCTGGCAATCCCAACAACTTTGAAAGCGTCTACGTTGGCGGTTGGCTCTGCGAGATTCCCACTCTTCCTGGCTTGGACGGTATCTGCTCTACCGCTTCTCAGGGCTGGAGCCACGACGGCCAGACAGGGCATGCAAAAATATTGACGGGTTCTTACTCGAAAATCGGGTGTTCAATCTCGTCAAATACCAACGTATGGGCATGCGATCTCGCATGAACGCTGAAAGGATATTTTGTTTTGGGTATGGGGAAACGAAAACTTCACTTCTTTCACCAATCTTAACTGCATAGAGATGACTGCACTACGTGTACGTCTATTCTCTGGGGTTGCATCTTTCTAGGATGACAAGAGGAAAAGATCTTCTGATCGTTACTATGCATTTTGACTTTATGAGGCGTGTGTAACAATACAATTCTGCTTACTCACGTTCACTATTATGCCTCCTGTGTAGCTTTTCTTGCTTCATCTTTTCTTTAATGCTCCAATTCGATTGTGTCCTTCCATTTCTGAATCTTTTCTCTATATCAGATCTGAGCAGTGCTTGCCTTAGCCTCGACGTGGGATGTATTTGGTGTATGCCCACGCTGGACCGCCACGACTGTGGCCATGATTACTCGCCCTGTATTATAGTACTCTGCACCAGGAGGCACGAAAGTAAGAAGTCTTCTATGTCCGATGATAGGTCCAGCGCTCAATGAAAGCCGGCAGGATTAAGGCTGAATACGTATTTCAAACCGTGGCGTCAATGTGGCATCACTGTGGCATATAGTACAGGTGTCATTTGCAATTCTGACCGACGATATGCTGAGCTCCTCCGGCATTCTATGCTACCTTCTCTTCAACAAGGGATCTATACACTCGTATCTTGTACGTTTTGATCAAAGAGACTCTATAACTGTCTAGTCCAGCCATCTAAAGTTTTCTCTGGGTTCTATAACCGCACAGCTAGCTAAGGTAGTCCATCACAGCCTCGCCCTCTCCTTCTCATCCCTAACCCTCAACCCTCTCTCTTTTCCTTCTTTATCCCTTACCTTGAGAACCCTCCTGAGCAATTTCCCCGTCGGACTCTTCGGGACCTGCTCCGTAAACTCAATCTCCACAATCCACTTATACCTGACTTTCCTCTCCTTGACAAACTCCAACAGCCTCTTCGCGACCTCCTCACTCTTCTCCACGCCTTTCTTGAGCACGACATACGCCTTGGGCCTTTCACCGGCATACTCGTCCTGGATTCCAAGCACAGCACAATCCTCCACGTCAGCATGACCGAGCAACAGATCCTCCAGCTCGGCCGGCGCGACCTGCTGACCCTTGACTTTGATCATCTCCTTGATGCGGTCTTCGATATGGATGAGCCCTTCTTCATCGAAATGGCCCACATCACCTGTATGCAAGAAGCCATCTGCGTCAAACGTCTCGGCCGTGGCGGCCGGGTTGTCCAAGTATCCCATGGCGATCTGGGGCCCGCGCGCAAGGATCTCGCCAGTCTTTTTCACGCCCAGCTCTGCACCGGTGGACAAGTCCAGAACCTTGGCCACGGTGTTCGCCATCAACATCCCACCTGTAGTGGCGTATTTGTAGTCGAAATGAGTAGGCGGGTGCGCCGATATACACGCCGTAGACTCGGTCGCTCCGTAGCCCTGTCGGAATCCTGTCCAGGGGAACTTCTTCTGCAGGAGAGCAATGATCTCGGGCGAGATGGGCGCCGAGCCGGACGACCAGCGCTCGACGTGGCGGAGGTCGTAGTTGTCGACTATCTTGTCGCGCACGAGGCGGATGAGGATCGGCGGCACCAGGATGAGTTCTCGGATATGGAACTCGCAGATGGCTTGGAGCATCGATTCCATGCTGAAGGACGGGAGCATGATGCTGTCGCCGTTCATGAGGACCGGGTATGTGCAGAATCGGACGAGGCCCGTGACTGTTGTTGCGTTATCAATTAGTATTTTCTCAAATCTCCAAGCACAAACAGCAACACATGGTTTTGGCTTTGGCTTTGGCTTTGACTCTGGCTTGCGCATCTTTCACCAGGCCAGGCTATAGGTGTCTGTACGTACTGTGGAACAAAGGCATCACGGCCAGAATCTTATACGGTCCCGGCGTCTGGAGCTGTTTGAGCTGATGGCACTGCGCGATGATGTTCTGGTGGGACAGCATGACCTGATCACCCGTAAGAAGTCAGCAATAGAATGCTTCCAGTATCCTGTCCTCTCTCTTTCTCTCCCCGTTTTCAGGTCTTTCGTCTTCTGGTTGTCAAGATTCGCAAGTCGCCGTGTTCGTTCAAGATCCATCTGAAATGCATTTTGGCATCAGGTACATACCGCTTTCGGCAACCCCGTCGTCCCACTACTGAAGTTGAGAAATCCACAAACTTCAGCATTCGTCTTGCCCTCTGGTATCCGGTACGGCGGATACGGGCTGTACTTCTCTCCGCGGCGCATGAGCTCCTGGATCGTCGTGAACCCCGCTGCCCTGCCAGCGCCTTGCAGCAAGAAGACATGAGACCGTGGAATCCCCGCCTTCTGCGCCGCTGCCAGCGCCACGTCCAGCGACGTCGGCAATGTCATGAGGAACCGCGACTTGGCAGTCTTCAATGCATGCGTCATCTCTTCTGCATTGTAAGCCGGCGAAGCTCCGTTGATTCGACCACCTGTTTTCAAAATAAGGGCGTGATTAATGAAAGATTCTTCGTATCGGCCAACGGGTAGGGATGTTCAGATCAGAAAGCAACCACAAACGATGATACTCTAAGCATCCTCAATCCACATACCGGCTCGAATCACCGCCCACATGGCCACAGGGTACCAGATGGTGTTTGTGCTGAACAGCGACACCGTCTCGCCCGGTTGGAGACCATACTCGCGGATCAGCGTAGTACTCAACTGGGTCGCTTTGATCTTCACGTCGGCCCAGTCCAGCCGTTCATGGGTGATGGCATCGACATAGCCGCCTAGAGACTGCTCCTCCCCGCAGGGCTGATATAGAGGAGAGTACTCGCGGGCCTCGAACATCCATTCCCAGGTCGTCAGGTGCGCCGGGACTATTTGGGTGATGTCAGCCTTCATGGTTTTGATCACTGGGGGAAGGAGACCATGTTGTACCTTCGACGTCCGGATGAGGAGATTTGAACAGGACCATCACGCCGCATCAGCATAACATATCGACCGTTTTCCTATCACATCAAGGACCGACAGACTTGGACAACAATACAGAGAGGGAGCGGCCTTGCCGAACTTATACGGCATTGTATCAACCAACCATCGGCTCTGTCGGCATTTGGCATCGGCGAGAATGGATTCATTGGAGCGCAAATGTGGAGGAAAACATGGAGGGGACGCGGAGTGTCACATCAGGGGGAGTTAACAGCCTCGGCTCATCGATCTCACTCCTGGCCAATGACAACGAAGGATGCTAAGGAGTAATAAGCAAGACAAAAGGTACAAGGGAGGTAGATAGTAGTGTGGGATCATCTTCATCCGGCATTAACATACATACCGCGGATCTATCGTATCAAGCTCCCACTGCAGCAACTTGACTCGAGATGTTTCCCAGACTCCCGCTCAGGCCGATGCCGGAATCGACTCGCCGACCCTCGCTCGCATCATTAACGCCCATCCCCAACTCCTTTGCCTTTTGTACAAATACCCGGAAATCGACCTTGGGGCCATCAACCCAGTTGCCTTCATCGTCTCGTTCTCTGGCAGCGGGCATGTTTTCGCCGCTGACAATACACAGAACGGTCATGCCTCGTCTGTACTTCAACCCGCTGAGCAGCTTCGGTGTGATCAGGAAGTATTGGCTACCTCCATTGTCTGCCGCAATGTCGACCATTCTTCCGTGAACCATCCTTTCATTCCTTGGATCCATACCCTGGTTGATCTCGTCCACCACACGGAAAGGAGCCCGACTCAGACTCTGAAGGGCCATGAGATAGAAAATTGTGCTGACGGCTCGTTCGCCGCCAGACTGCCGGTGACTGTCGAGCAGACTCAGCGGTTCATGTTCACGGAATTTGACGCTGATGTGGATGGCCCAGTTGGCGAAGTCCAGCCCATTTTGCACCCCGCCGTTCTCCTCGGTGCAGTCCGCTGGGTCGTCGGATGAGGCCTTGTAGACGGCCACCTGTCCGGCACAGCCGATCCGAGCGAACGAGTCTGAGAAGGCGGCGTTGATCCTGCCCACAACCTCTTCCAGTCGGTGTTCCCATTTGTCTCGTATCTCCCGAATGCTGTGTTTGAAGTCTTCCTGTCGCGCGTCGGCGTCGGCAAGTTTCGCCCGCAGTTTTTCAATGACCTTGGCACGCTCTTCAAAGTCGCGGATGATACTGGCGCTGCCGCCTTCAGTCAGTTCGAGTTTGGCTCTTTCGGCATCGATCTCGGCATCCAGATTCTCCTCGTTTTGGATCTCCACGACGAAAGTGAACACATCGAGCAGTCCTCTGTCGTCTTTTTCTTCCACAAGCTTGTTGGCTTGGGCCCTCACTTGGTGTACCGCTTGCAGCACCCGCGCAGCCCGGTCGTATTCCCGTTTGTGGATGCTTTTTGCCTCGACTTCCTCTGCAGACTTCTGTTCGATAGCCCGGACGATCTCCTCATTCTGGGCGCGTAGTGTCTCGAGGTCGGACCTCGCCTCAATAAGCATGAACTCGGCCTCCAACAAGCTCGCGAGTTTCTCCTTGACCTCTCTGGTGGCAGAGACATATTGCAGAACAGCTCCAATCTTGTTCACAAGAGCATCGTCTTTTCGATCTTTCAGGTCTCTGACCCGAGTTTTGACCCCGTCCAGCATCTCTTGCAGTTTCTTCACTTTGTCCTCGCCGTCTTGGATCTTGGGCTCCAGGGCCTTCCATTCCATCAACGCTCTTTGCCTGGCATCTTTCTCTTGCCTCTTTTCGAGCGCCTCGGCCTCGAGCAGCTTTTTCTTCTCATTGATCTCGGCAATTTCCTTTTTGAGATTGTCAAACTCCGTTTTGATGATCTGGTTCTCTCCTCTGATCTCGGCAATCTGTCGCTGCAGAGCGGCCTTTCTGCCAGCGTCGATCGGTTGATCAGTCCACCTTCTGGCGGGGCGAACCTCCCGAACCCGGGCAGATGTCGCTGCTGATCCGTACTCTGCACGTCGGATGAACTGGTAGCTTTTTCTGCCGACAACGTAGCTTTGTACGGCGGTTTTGGACAGGTCATCATGTTGCTGCTGGGTAAGCTCCCGGGAGCTGATGCCGCAGCGGTGCAAGTTTCTTTCGGTGCACAGCATGGCGACGACCGTCGCGGGGCCTTCGATATGATTAAAAACCCAGCTGGTCAATCCAAATCTCTCCATCTCCTGAGGAGGAAGAGGAGGTCGGAACTGCTCCAGATTGTCGCTTGTGCAGACACGAAGACTCACATCGTGGAGTTTCTTCTCCCGGAACAATTTGCGCTGCAGGAATCTGAAGTCGTCCTGATTTTGGACTGTGATGAATTTGAAGTCGTTGTCCTGGAGCAGGGACTCCACCGCATCGGCCATGCGTGGATCCTTCAAGGAGCATTCCACGATGGGCGGCCCGAACACGTGCTGCTTGAACTCGGCCTGGTTCTCTTGTATCCATTTCCACGCTTGGAATGTCTCTCGGGATAATTCCTGCAATTTGTTCTCTTGCTGGCCAGCCTGCGTCTCCAATCCTGCCAGCTGGCCACTGAGGTCGGCTATGTGGTGGTTACCCCTGGTCCCTTTTTCTTTCAGCGCGTTTTTGCTTTTTTCCAAATCCTCCCGTAGACTATCCAGCGCTCTCTGTTGATTTCTCAGTTCTTGGATCTCGTCAGCCATCGCGCGACTATCGAATTCCTCCGGACGTTGCTCGCGTTTTCGCTTGAGTTCGGCGATCTTGTGTTGTAGACGTTTCAGTTCCTCGCGGGTCGTGGGGATGGCTTTCTTCTCCGCTTCAATTTTGTCGTCGAGATCGCGGATTGCATCCTGGCACTTTTCGACTTCTTTTGCTCTCTTGTCACATTCACGCTCAGTCCGGGCGAGCTCTTCTTGCCGCTTGACTTTGAGCGACTGTACTGTAGCCGCATATGCCTCCTTCGCCCCCACCTTACGCAACGTGGGAGCCGACACAGCCTTGAGTTGCTTCAACTCACGCGTGAGCACTTTAGCCCTGGCCCTTGCTTCCTGGTACATGGTCTTGGATTCGGAGTATTGCGCAACCGGCCGACACTTTTCTAGCCAGTCGAGTCTCTTCTGGACCATGGCCCGTTCTCTCATGCGTTCCACTTCGGTACGCTGCATTTCTTGTCGGTTTTCCAGGTTTGCCAGGTGATCTCGATCTTGCTTATGTTCATTCATGAACTGAGTCTGCGAGCTGCGCAACTTTTTCAGATCCTCATGCATCCGCGCCATGTCCGGTCCGGACACGGCTCGTTGTGTGCTGACGAGGAGCTCGATGGGACTCATCTGAGCAAACTCAACCACTTTGTCCTGGGGAAGAAATTGGCACAGGTTGTCGATCTGGATATTGAAGGAGTTTGCCAAGGTCTGGACTGCTTTTCCAGTAACCTGCGCCCCGTTCAGGGTAAATGTAGACTTGTTCCCTTCTCTTCTAATAATTCTGGTGATGATTGGATTCTTGCGTGCGGTAGGCTGTCGCTGTAGTTCAATCTCGATCGTGGCCTCCCCACGGCCGTGCTTGACAAACTCGCCAGGCTCTTTTGCGCGCCCAAGAAACTGCGAGGGGTAAGAAGGGGCCACAAATTGCACAGAGGTCAAGACTTACTGAAGGCGGCCAACCGAGACCAAGGCATATCGCACAGACGAGTGTGCTCTTGCCAGTGCCGTTCGGGCCTATCACCATGTTCAAGTTTGGCCCCGGAAAGAACTCTGCGGAGGTATAAGTGACGAAATTCGTCAGTTTCACGCGGACGATGGCTCCGGGTTGGTGAGCTTGTCGGCGGCCCGCATTGCTCAACACGTGTCCTGGGAACTGAGGTTCTCGTAATGCGCCCGTAGGAACAGGCGTTTGCGTGGAATCGTGATCTGTGGCGGAGTCATCTTCAGAGTCAATTCCGACAGTTCTTCGTAACCGCTTGCTGTCGTTCGGGGCGGTTGATGAAGGTGTATTGGCCCTCGAGCCCTCGTCTTCGGATTCGAGCGCCCTTGAGCGACGGCCGGTTCGAGACGCCATGGGCAGGCTTCGCTCAACGTAGCGTTGGGAGGCGTCGTGGTATGGGGGAAGGCAGGTACAATCGCAAGCAGCGCCCGAGCACGAAAGATGCGAGATGGCGACGCGCTGCTTGACGCGACGAGAATAGACCCATCCAGTCACGTGTTATACTATTATTGCTGCGGCGGTATACTCTTTACTCCGTAGCATAAGGAGCTGCCCTTTCTCCAGTCCCCGTTGTTGATCATGCTGCCTCACCCTCAGAAATCTAGCTCCCAATCTTTCCACAGGAGAAAGACGGTCGTCTCCTGATAAACTCTTAGGTAGAGGTCCAGACCAGAATTATTTCACGTCACCATGGATTTCTCATTACTTCTGAAAGACAGCATTTTCCTAGCATCAGATTCCCGTTTCAGCGAGCCGCTCCAGAAAAGCTCAAATACAACCATTCATGTCCTGTCCGCACCGTCGCTGGAAAGATTACCATCGTCACACAATTTGTTGCGTCCCATGATATGTCGCTATCCTCTTATATCTGGCGGTAGCCAGTCCAGCCCTTGTAACGCAACGTATAAAGTTAGACATGAAATTGAATTCGCCAGCGAATGTTCCATTAAGCGCTTCGACCGGAATATTTTCCATAATATGAAGGACGGGTCTCGACCAAGCCGGGGAAAAGAAGAGCGTGGATCAGAAGAAATTGCCGGCGGGGACCTATAGGAGCAGGATTAGCCACAGAAACGTACACTGCGAAGGGCAAGAGGATCTTACGGCCAGGAAGATGGCAGTTATGATTGCAGAAATGGCGAATGCAGTGATCAGAGCTTGCACAAAGATGGTGTCCTGGATTTGACGGAGGGCAGGCTCTTGGATCCAGACTTCGCGGTCGAAAATCTTGCGGATGACATTGCGCTTCTCGTACTTGGCCACCCATGGCTCATCTTCATAGCTGTTGGCCGAGCCGAAACTGTCGAACGATTCTTTTTTCAAGGCGTAATCTGATGATGCTTCGTCTTCGTCCCCAAACAGCTCCCAGGGACGAAGATGTCGATGATGCATACCGTGAAGCACCTATATTGGTCAGTTTTCTTTTTCAATTTGGACGATACAGGTGACACATTTCTTACAACACACATGCCCTTCCAGGCGGCAAACAACGTCGCAATGCCGATGAAGAGACCAAGGAAGGCGAGGGTTCTCCAGCCACGATTGACCGCGCTCAAAGTGACGACAATGCCGTAGACAATACCCGCAATAATGCCGGCCACACCCAGACCGCGCGCGAAGGTCTGTCTTGGCTTGTTGCCGTTGCAAATCGTCCATCGAATGAAGTTGGGATGGGCCTGGTGACGAAGGGACCATTCTACCGTGGCAATGACATCGCGGAAAGCCGAAGGGTGGGTGGTGACTGAGAGAGCCTTCAAGAGGACCGCCTTTTCCTTCGAGGAGAGATTGAGGAGTCTGGAGCCGCCGTCGGCAAGATAGGTGGCAATGATACGAGAGATTTCCTCCCTATAAGGCTGAATGGTGACTATATCACGGTTAGCTACCGACCACTTCCAGGTGGTCTTGTATGTTGTTGACTTACAAGGCTGAAGGGCGCCTGCTTCATCAAAAGCCGCCTCTGCTCTCTTGCCGTGGTCAATGGTTCCACTCCGCAGAGTTGTGCCATCCTCACTGTAGCCGACGATTGATGGGGCGCCGCTGTACCCGTCATGGGCAGAAGGCGTCCTCGGAGGCGTGTTGAACGGGTTTGGCGCAGCGTCCGACATGCCGATTTTGCCATTCCGATCAAAGTCGGTGCCCTTGAACATGGCGGCCGCATTACCGGCGATTTTCTTGGGCAACTTCTCCTTCTCGGCGTTGGTTTTCTCCGCCAGAGCATGTTCTGCAGTCCATTCGGGAGCCAGCTTCTGCTCGCTCAAGGGAAGCTCAGCAAAACGCTTGCTGTAATCACGGTACCACAAGTAGAATTGTAGGTTCTCGGCATCGTGCTCGATGTAGCGGAGGAAGTCCATGAATTCGCGGGTCGTCACAGGCTGTGACAGAATCAGCTCCGTCTTCTCGACGGGTGTGGTGTGCACCAGAACTTACGGGGCAAGTAGCACCAATGATGATCTTGTCAAATGACAAGGCATCAGGAATCCCGTAGGGGCAGCTTGAATTGGAGTTGATGGACTCGACTCCGCCACTTTGCTCAGAATCAAGCGAGCTGCGAGAAGAGACATACGCCGGGCGGCGGTAGGTCAACGACAGAACCATGTTGTCGATATGACAGTCGTGAACGGCCTTTCTGTCGCAAGATGGGTAACACAAATTAAGAATAATTGGTCGGCCTCCGTACAACAAGATGGAAGGACGATGGAATTGCCCGTACCCTCAAGATCCTGCTTGGTGCGAACCCAAATGAACAAGTGGAAGCAGGGAGGAGGGATCAACCTGAGGCAGATGGACTCAAAAGGTCGACAGCGCCGTCGAGCAGTGACTGCTGACTCTTTTCCCTGATTCAATCAAGTAGCAGGAGCTCCAGTTATTCTTTGAGTCTCGATGACTGGCAACCAACCGTGGGTAGATACAGCAGCCACGACCGGAGGGATTTGATCACGGCTACAGAGGTGCGAGATGGGAGAAAAGCGTTCTAGTCGACGCAGGAGGGATGGGAAAGGTTTATGTTCTTACGTGTCATACCTAGGAATGGCGTTCATAGAGGATGCCCATGTCCTGCCTCCGCCGTACCCTGGTCCCGATGGACGAATGGCTTGCACAGCAGCATGGCGGGCGGGAGAAGGCAGGCCCTAGTAGGCAGCTTGCTGTCGAGAGTCAAGGTGCCAGTCCCTGTCAGAAAAAGTCAAAGCTGAACCGTTCAATTGAGGCGTTGAGCATGGAGAACCTGAAGTGCGGAAGGACGTTGACGCAAGGGAGCAGAGATGGTGCAGGTTTGGTGGAGATGCGGTCCATACGATTAGTGCATATTCATTTTCCAGCACTGTGAGCACCACTGCATCACACTAGGCGCGCGGAGCTGTGGACTCTTCTTTTAGTGCACGATTTCTGCGATCCAGGGTGATCCATGCACTTGCATCTTGCCAGAGAGCCAGGGCGCCAGAGACTGGGATCATCGAGAGCCCGATTAGAAAAAGGACGGGGACATGGTTCGGACAAGGTCGAAGTCCGGATCGGCGAGGAGGAGAGACATCTGGCAAATGGCGGATGCTAACCGGCCAAACCAAGCAGACATCATCATGGCAGGAGGAAGTGTTTTGTTGTCTTCTACCAGGTATAGCAACATGCTGTACTGGCACTGGGTTGGAGAAGTAAGGTATGGGTTGATGGGTTGGCGGCGAGTTATCTGGCTGCCGCAGCCCGTACAGAGCACGCAAGTACCTATAAGTAAGATCTCTGGCAGAGTAAACCCACCTTCAGATACTGGGAATTTAAGGTACCAGGCACTTAACTGCAGGTGGTGTACACAGTCCAGAGGAGAGGTACAGACTCCCTGACACTGAACTGGGTACCTAGTAAGGTAGCAGTAGTAGTAGGAGGCGCACTCATCACAACTGTTGTCGCTAACCATCTGTCAGCCCAGCTGCTAGTTTTGTCCGCCGGCTTCTTTTCCACTGAAACCTGCGCCCAGCTGTACGTCAAAAGGTCAAGCCATCGACATTTCCATCCAGGGACCAGGGATCAGGGACCAGCCATCAGCTTCTGCATCCACAGCGTCATCCATCTCGTCTTGGACTGGCCTCAGGTCCAACTCATTCTGTCCTGCATCTTGGTGTGATTTGGTCCCTCCCTTGCTGTCACCAATCCGGCCCAGTTACCAAACTTGTTCCAATTCGAGTGCGTTGTCCGCAACGTCCTCTTCGCATTCACCTCGCTCCCTGGCGGATTCGGCCTCCTGTCTTGCTTCCTCCGTACGCCACTTCTACCCGCAGGATCGCCACCGCAGCCTCGGATCGCGGTCTTCGACGCGGGAGAAAAGAGCTACTGTATACAGAATGTCCGCCCTCGGCATCTCAAGGTATCGAGCGCTCACCACCACTCGAACTCACGGCCACGCCGCTCCTTCAACCCGATACCATACCCCGGCCACAAGTATCATGGCAATGATTATGTACAAGAGTACCAAAAGGTGGAAGGAGTGCTGGCCGTGTGCCGGCCCAAGCGTCCCGGCCGAAGGCAACGGTGGAAGGGGAGCGGCCGCAGACGATTTTCACTCCACACTGCACGGCACAAGAGTCCCCCGAAATGATGGTTGGTGGCGTGGACGACCATTGGTGTCAAGAACGCCATCAAGGTTAAAACTCCGCGGGCTCCATTTCGTCGGGCTGCTTTCTAACACCAATCAATGCTCTGGCACAACCACAGCGAGCTACAGAGGACATCAACCGTCAGCCCTCAGACTCTGCCTGCTCTTCTTGCACCTCACGACGATTTGCTTCTAGCTCATATCTCCACCAGATACGTGGCTAAGCAAATTGCTAATTTGTCCACCAGGCTACATGGCAACACGTTTCCACTGCTAGTAGTAGCACTCAAGCAGCCCAAACAGCCACTGGTCTATCTATCCTTGAGGTCATCCTTCGTCACGGTACGAGGGACCGGGGCAAGCTTAAAGAGTGGTCCTTATAAATGGGGCTTTTAGACGGAGATGTCTAAGATACGCGAATGAACCCACACAGTCCACCCTCTACACTCCCGTGTATTCTCTACCTCACTTGGAAACCTTCAGGTATCAAAGTCCTCGGTTGCACCCGGACAACATCACCGATGCAAAACACAGAATCCGAGAACTTGGCATATTCAATTGCCACTCAACAACCCACCCGCTGCTTCGATTGCCAGAGCCGAGACGTCTGCATCACGAAAAGACGTGTGCAGCCGTATCGCGTTCATGTTTCACAAACCAGCAAACATGTCAAACCTGTCAGTCTTCCGACCAGCCACCCACTACATAGTATTCAGTGTGTCCCCCTCCACTTGCTCCTCTACTACTGTCTGTATTATTGGTGGGTTCTTTGGACTTGTGTAACCTGTCACCGTGGCTGGTCTCCTGGAAGCAGCGTCCGCCGTCCGCGATATCTGACTTGCATGAAGTTTGGCAATGCATACTCCATACCTCGTCTCGAAAATATCGGCTTGGCCTCGCACATCCGAAAAGAAAGACTCTTCGCACAACCAGGGTTCTAAGGCTCGTTGAAAGGCTGGTGTTCCTGACACCCTTGCCAGGATGAGTGTGATTCTAGTGCTCGAACCTGTGTCCTACCCCAGAAACATAGCATGTGACGACTCATCCAACGAGGCGAGCAAGGCCTATGTCCGCAATTCAACAGGTTGGTTCTCTAAGTATGTGTACCTTCGAACGCGGAGTTCAGACACGACCCAGGATTACTCCCGTACTTATCACGCATCACGAACATATATTCATGGTCAGACTTGTCCTCGGTGCAGATGACGGAAACGTGGTGAATGACCAGCCCACGAAAAGCACTGTACCTTTTGCACGTGTCCGAGAGGCCTCGTGGTATGCAGGTGGAAGCGGGTGGACCACTTTCAAGCTGTCAATCAGACCTCAGACCTCAGCGGGCGTCCATTTACGTCTCTCTTACGGCCCCTGAGCCTCTCTACCCTTGCCCCGCCCCCCGGACTACTTGAACAGATATCAATATCAAGTGGTAGGATCGAGTACCCGTTCCTGCGCTCATTGGGCTATACTGCCAATGACGGGCAGTGATCTCAAGTTCAAGTTCCGATGACTTGCCAAGGTCTCCCTGACGGATACTGACTTCATGGTGGTTGTGGTTTAGCGCTCCGGCAGGTATACACCATGCCATGGTTGACGTGCAATAGCCTTTCCACATGGAACGCCCCGACATCCTGCCCCGATGCCGCCGACCCTCTGCAACGCCTTTAATACACGACTTTACACCTTACTCTGCATGGGTCGAGCAGCAAATGAACCCTCAAGCCGAAGATTTGGACGACAGCGCGAGTGCACTCACTGCTTAATCGTGCTTCATGGATCGAGCTTCGGAGTGCTGTTTGGTTGTTACTTCCATCCGTTTGCCTGACTAGCATGACACCGTTCCTGAAGCTGGTGCGGGATGAATGAGGTACGTGATATGCAAGGGGCGACGTGCTTCAGCACGGCCCCCTTCGGTGCCTGCTGCACGGACAGCCAAGGGCGGATTTGGCGCGCCTTTAGTCCCTTGATGCAATGATGCTCAGTATCCCGTCCCCTTGCTCTTTTGGAAACAGGTCATCGTCTTGGTCGCAGCCCAATATCAAAGAAAGCACCTCCACGAAACAAAGAAAATGGATGGTATCTAGCCCGATTGGACATCGCCGTCCAACTTCACCCTCAATACTGGAATACCCAACAAAGATCCCTCTACTATTCCTGTTGAGAGGTTTGATGTTTGTCTCGCTTTCTATAATTAGACCTCTTTTTTGTATGTTGCACGTTGAAGGGAAAACAAAGGTGAGTACCTACTACCGTCGAGTATTTACATTAAGTTATCTCGATCAACAAACTCGCGCCGTGATTTACAACGCAGCCTAAATCCCAGCTTAGGCGAGGTAAAACGGCCCCCTCTGATCTTTCTGACCCATACTTGCGGCCGCCAGTAACAATCTCATCAAGCCTCATCATGCTCTTTCCTTGGCAGAGAGACGTCCGAAGTTGCCCTCCAGGTCAAAATTACTACGGCTGTTCTGCAGTGTCGTATGCTGGCTGTTGCGCCCATGACCCTTGTGGGTCAGGAGTATGCATAGACGCCCCCTTCGCATCGACACCCGGTTCTTGTGGAGGTAGGCAGACAGTCACTGTGACAGAGACAATCTTGCACGGTGCTGCTACAAGCACAGTCGACCCAAGCAACAGCGCTTTCCTGACTTCGACAACAGGTGATGCAGGTGCTGCTACGACTACTACAGATTCGTACAGTCTCGTCTCCAGCTCCAGCTTCAGTGGTTCAGGTTCTATTACTGTTACAGGCCCCTCAACATGGGCGGATGCTGTTCAACCACTCACTTCTGATGTCGTTCCTACAAGCATTCCTGCCGTCAGCAGCACCACCGTAACCAACTCAGCCGCAACCACGAAGACGCTGAGTCTAGTTGTTGCGTCTCCAAGCTTGAAGCCGACCACTAGCCCGTGTCCTACACCAGGTATTTCGAAGCCAAAACCACCGCCACCAGGCACGATCGCGGGTAGCGTCGTTGGAAGTATGGCAGGCCTGGCTCTCATCATACTGCTCCTAACCTGGTGCATGCGCCGGAAGAGAAAGGTGAAGTTTACTTTCAAGCGAAAGTCGAAGAATCCGGACCAAGAACGCAACTCGGAGGATGTGGAATCCAAACCTGAACCAAGCGTGGCTGCTCTTTGGACTGCAGAACAAAATAAACCCTTACCTAGCCCACGCTCGTTTGATTTTGGCCTGCCACGAATACCGCAGAACTCAACCGCTCTCATGCCGAAACAATGGATCTGAACGGACTTTGAGCCGACACAGAATTGCCTCTGCTTCGGTCCCGCCTGGAGAGCACAGGTAAGCTGCACCTGAGCCTTGTAAGCATTTTCGGATATGACCTTCCAGATCAATACAATCAATTTATATCTTCATTTTTTTGGCTTTTCCAAGATTGCAGTAGTGCAGCGGCGGCAGATTCTTACTCCGTAGACCGTAGTCCGCAAGGATGCCTGTCTCTCAGGGGTGCCTCGGTATATCAACCTCCGACTTCCAACGTCCAATGACCGGGCGCCTAGTATGTATACCACCTCTTCTTTTTCAGATTCTTTTGCCTTTTCAGACAAGATGGTAGAGTGCGAGAAGTACTCGAAGACACCGCTAGATGTTCTGCATGGAGCTCTATTCTACATTATGCGAAGACCATTCCTCCCAATGGACGGCTCGAGTCTTCAGGCCACCGACTGCTCTCCATGCATTCTCACAGCCTCGTCACACCAAGCTTGCTACCAGAAACTTGAACGGGAGCACAGTGTCGAAGCACCCAACAACTGGAAGTCCACACGACATTACCGTCTGTCCCACACTTGTTGAAGTCCATTCAGGCTTATGACGAGATATGTGGGTCGATCCGGACTCCACTCTCGCCGCCGCGCACGGAGATGAAAAATTTTCACATATGAACCAAACCCACACCATTCTCTTCCGCAATCGACCATAGGATTGAGAATACAGCGCTTCCCGTTCGCTCAGCGGTACTTAAGCTCAATACCGGTTAGTTAGTACTAGAGTGGGTGACCATCTGGGAATCCTAACTGTTGATTGTTTTTGCATTTTTGCCGATTCTCGGTTTCGTTTCATGACAGAAGGTCTGAGCCTTGTCGAGCGCCACAGCACTGTCTTGAGGTAGTAGGTAATAAGAGTATGGGAACTAGTATCTATGAGGTACGTTTCGTGTTTTGTTGGGTTGTTTGGCGGCATTGACGCTCGAACGATGGCTGTTGGTTGGTCTGGATATCGTCTTGTTGGACCTGCTCGCGAAAGAGAAAGAGATACGTCGCTACCAGCCCGATTGCTTTCTAGCGGCGTGGGACATTTGATAAAGCGACAAGCACCTCTGCTATGGGCACATAACAATGATGGCGACCATGATGAGGACCTGACCCGGTCCGTTATAGGGACACCGGGCAACCCGAACCCCCCCTTTTGAATTCGGCATTTCATGACTGTTATTGCTGATCTTAGTGGATTGGACAAGGTCATGTTCTTCTATTGCTGTTGTCAGACGATGTGTGTGGACTTGTCCAGTATCGCATATTCCTTCAAGTATACTTTACTCTTTATTTCTCATTCAACGCTGTAGATTACGTTCTTGCAGAGAATCTTCGAGGAGAATGACGAAGGACGGGAGAGCAAGAAAACACAGCCTTTAGAGCGCTGGAGAGAGAGAGAGAGAGAGAGAGAGAGACTTGATTCATTGGATATGAATGCCAGATCCGCCGCTTATCGCCATTGCCGAAAATCCATGTCCCACCATCCCATCACATTTTCCCTTCCAATACAGGTGTCAATCTGATTCTGATGATGCAGAGCGCTTTTGCTTGAAACTCCCGGAGCAAGGTGCCTTGAGGACTCTCGACCTTTTTTCAAGCCCTTCCCCTTCCCCTGTCATCCTCCCATTGCTTAACGACCGCGACACAGTAGGGTGCAAACTACTCTGTTTCGTTCCACGCCGAAGAGCAAGGAACACATGGTCAGAAAAGAGGTACAGTAAGAGCAGGTAGCATGTTTGGTTGGTCGTAGGCAACCACGCTGATTTCTTTGGATTTCTGCTGGTATGGATTTGGGCAGATCATTCGTCCGGGGGGTCTGAGAAAAGACCGATTCTGACGCGGTGGAATTGAGGAAGTTTGGGTATCACAACAGCCATAAGAGCCATGAAGTTGATGGTGAAGTACGTAAAGTCGTAGTGAGTGTAATGGGTGCTGAGGAGAAAGAGGACAATGGGAACCGTTAGCAGGAATTTCTTCGCCGGCGTGTACTGATCGCCATTGTCGATCTGCTCCCACATGTTCAGGTTGTCATATGCCCCGGCGTTGAATTCGAAAGGCACGCCGCGAACCCAGTGGAACATCAGGTATGAGCCGGCCATGTAGGTTATGTTGGTGAGTGTCCAGGATATCTCTTGGGTCATGCCTGGAATTATATCGAATAATATCTTCAGGCCAATGATCAGAACAGGGTGTATTGTCCACGCTCCTAAGAAACAATGTTATTACTTTCTCACGAGGCTGCGAAGAAGTATGCGGGTCTCCCAACCTTTCGCGTTCACCCATTGCGAGTTGAGGTTGGGCAGGGCCGACTGGTCACTGATCTGTTCCAAAGACTCAGGCGGTTCTTGATAGATGATACTGCTAGATCTTCTTCTCCGTCCGCTCTTGCCGGTACTCATGGCTGAATCGTAGGCAGATACTGGCGGTGCAAGGTTGGCATCGGCTTGGAAGGAGATCGTTCGGTGAACGGTGGTATGGGGGGAGGTCATGGAAAGGCTGCCAAGATGAACGTCTGACTAGGTGAGGAGAATATCCTTCGTCAAGTATCTGCAGGCGTCCAAGAGGGTTAGCGGAGCTTCTCGTTGTTTGTTCGGAGGCAAGTGGTCTCAATGCCTACCGGACGGTTCGCTCAGTGACGTCTGAAACGAGACTGGGGAGGTTGTTGGGAACCTTGAAACGGAGCAGATGGGGTGGATAATATACACTGGCACAACCAGAAAGATTGTGAAGTGATGAAGAAATGAAGAATGGGTGTACAAGAGACGTGAGCGACGCGATGATGCAGTGAAACACACGGTGTTGGGGAAATGATGAGTCTCAGATCAGATGTATGTAAGGTGTCGTAGTAAGAGTAGTACGTACGCCGTACAGAGTTAGTTTAGTGCAGATGGAGATGGGAATGGTAGAAGGCGAATCTACTAAGGCACCTAGCTCCCTACCTAAGGTAGGTACCTAGTACGTACTATTATTATTATTGTGGTACACACGCGAGCAGCGCAAGCAGCACCGGGAGCACACCTGTTGTTATTATTACCTACCTAGGTATTATACAATGTCAGTGGGTAAATACAGAGTACTAGGACTACAATTCAGTACAACGAATACCACCGTATCAACCGCACAACTGAACTCTTGAGTCCAAGTCTCAACGCCGATAGAAACACAGACCAAACTCAAAGTCGAATCGAATACAGACAGGCACTGCTCTGAACCAGTGGACGCGACGTTCAACATGGCCCCCTCTCAGCTCCAGATCGCAACGTCTTCGCTGCAACGATTTCTGAAAGAAGAAGCCTCGTATCACAAGGAGCAAGAGCAACAGGAAGCCCGGATCGCCAAGTTGGAAAAAGAGGGATCCGGTGGGGACGACGAAGGCGAAGACGGTAACCAGGAGTTTCGGTTGAAGCAGGAGGTATGTCTCTCTAATACCCATTCAGTTGTCCGTCTACTTGCCTGCCTGCCTTGTGTTCTGTTACTGGAAGAAGACATCAACCATAAGACAGTAACGGGACAGAGGTATATATCCTGGACGGGCTACAACAGACCTTTGAACCGCTCTCTACCCCCCATGCCCCATCTCCTACTTACAAGAAGTCCGGTACAGACACCGTCCGATACTGACATGCTTGCAGAAACGAGCACTCGAGGAAACAAAAGCCATCATCCCAACGCTCAGAGAACGGATCACCAGCACCAGGGAGAAGCTGGAGAGTTACTTGGTAAGTCACGTCGCGCCAGATCCAGAAATCACAGTCCCATACACTTTGAGATTGTTATCTCCCGTTTCCCCATGAAATCTTCCCCTTCCCGCTCGCCCACAGAGATTGCGGCCAACATCTACTCGTCTGAGCTGTGATGTATTAATGTTTGTGCTCATGTTGGTTGGCGTACAGGACACGGCCACGAACGATGAAGAACGCAACAAGGCCGTGGAAGTCTTGAAAGCGGCAAAGGAGGCGCAGAAGGATGACCCGATCGCTGGGCAGAAGACTTCGGGATGATCCTGGCCGATCAAGTGCGCGTCTACTTCGGTCTCAACTTGAGGCCAAAAAAGGGGAAGGGAATGGTTGGATGATTAGCCCCCAGCAACTGGCCAGCCGAGATATCTCGGCCCAGCGTGGCAACGGACATACCACTTTGTACGATAATATCACTACTAGCATATTGATATCCAGCTTCGACTGGAATCACGCCGCACATGGAACGATGGAACGATGGACGAAGAGGACAAGGAGCCTTTCTGCGCCCCACGCGTTCTCTATATTCCACATCGAAGCCCATCCCTCTAAGACAGCGAGCCGCAGCTCCCTTGTCTCAGAAGAAAGAACAACTTCGTGTTCGTCCTCAAGGATATTGGATTATCTGAGCGATGACCAGGAGACCTATAGCCCTCCCTTCAATGAGCATTGCCTGTGCCGAGATCAATTTCTACCACACATCTCTGCATTTGCTGAGCCGAGAAGTTCTCCTCCACCGACCGTCATCTGTACATTTTACACCCAGTGCCTTATTGAGTGAATTTGTGGTAGAGTAGCCAGCCCTGATCATTCTTTTGCGGCGCTACCCGCGTACTCGGGGCATTCCCAGTGCAACAGACCAATACAATTGCAACCAAGTGTGTTATGCTTCATCTCACAGCTCAGTTCGTGTCCATGCCGTCGCCAGCCTTGTCGACCGCGATCCCCGCTATAATCCCGCCCCCATTCCCCGCGGCAGCAGGATCAGCAGTACCAGGCTCCTCGTCCATATTGACATCCTCATCCTTCTCAAGGAGAGGAGTCGCACCTCCTGCTTCGGGCAGTGTCGACCTGGGACTCCCAGCACCGCTCCCGCGTAAGGGGACTAACGGCGTTGGCGCATCGTCGGTCGGTCGAGGCGTGCCAGCATTGGAGATGCCATCTCTACCACGACCGACATCCAGCATCTGATCCTCATCGTGGTCCGCAGTTTCATGCCCGTGTTCATTCTCCTCGTCTTTCTCCGGCTCCTTCTCGTCGCGGATCACTCTCCTCAGCTTTGCTCCCTCTTGCACAACTCTGGCAAACTGGTCGCGCCGCTCCGCCCATGCCTGCGTATGCTCCTGTGCCTCGCGTTCCAGTTCCTCGATTTCGGCCTTCAGCTTTTCGATATTGACGTGTTGCTCGTCACGCGGCTTCAGCGCCGGGTTCTTGGTGATTTTGTCCGCCAGCACATCATAGGTCTTGCGGATCGCCAACGTTCTCTGTGCCTCGTCCAGCTGCACGCGCAGGCTGGCGGTGTTCTGTCGCACCTCGTCGGCGGTGGCTTCGATTTTCAGCTTTTCGGCTGCGTACCGTTCCCGTTCTCGTTCGTTGGCCGCGCGGAGGAACTGGATGCGTGCGATGCTGCTCTCGAACGCGGCGAAGTCCAGAATCACATCTTCGCGAAACCGGTGCACGTCCTTGAGAAATTGCTCGTCTTGTTGCTCCGCCGCGTCCGTGTCGGTATCTGTGCTGGTCTCATCGGATGGACTTGGTCGTGAGAGGAAGGCATGGATCGGCGTCGAGGGTACAAGGAGTCGCTTGGTCAGACGTTTGAAGGGTCGTTCTTCGATGCCTAGAAGGCGTGTGGCATGGAGTTTGTCTGGCAATCAAAGACAATCAATTAGTTGCCTGGCTTGATCTTTATGGAGTGCTTGCGCAGAAGCCTCACCTTCTTCAGCTTGATCAAGCACGGTAAACTTTGCCATTGTTGCTCCTGATTGCGGTATGCAAAACAAAGCTTTACTTTGGCAAACCGTCCCGGAGTTTGGAAAAGTCAAATATAAACCAGGCCAAAGTGTCGTAAGGGCTGATCCCAGTCAGTTGGTTGTTTAGTGTGGAAGGCCAGTCCTCAGCTGTGGGAGCGTGAATGTAGGTCCTCAGCACAATGATATAAATATTATCAAGTGAACGAAGGACCGTGAGACTTGCCCACACTTCTCTCCCCCACAACTCACGTCCACCTCACCTTTGTGTCAACGAGACGCCTTCCCCGGAAAAGTGGTCAGCCCACGTTCATGTTGTCAACAGTCCTGTCGTCAACCTCACTTGCTCTATCCGCACATACTTCGCGACTTTACCCCTTCGGACTCCAACCATCTATCCTTTCCTACCGCGGACCTGACCATTCTACCGCGACATCTGGTCAGGTGAAAGCATGCCGGCCGACAGCCTGTTCGACATGGCCCGCCGGGCATGTGGGCGATACAGTGCCCGCATCACAGACATCGGAGACCTGGACTACGACCTGGTGCGCCCGGTGCTCCTGAAAATCGAGAGTCCCGAGAAATTGGTTAGTTAATTCTCCTCAAACCCCTCCCCTCGTGGTTACTTTCGAGACTAATCAGGTGTTTTCTCTTCGACAGCACCAACTCGAACAGGCCTCTCCCCAGATCATAGGCAAAGACGCCGAGCTCTGGATGAACTTCATCAAACGGGACATCCCCGACTGGCACTTGAAACCGCATGAGCCCAAAGATCCCAAGAAGTGGTACAAGGTCTACTGCAAACTCAAGGAGGAGGCACGCCTGGACTCGACCGCCGACGAGGCGATGCTGAAGGCCGCCCTGGCCAACATCAAGAACGAGAAGGAGCAGAATGTGACGGAGATCGCGTCCAGAGTCAACTATGCCCCCTCCAGGAGGTCTCGCATGCAATACAACTCCGTCAGCGGGCGCGCCGGGAGCAAGGGAGCCAACAAGATGACTTTGATGGAGAAGATCAGGAAGGAAGCCCGCGACGCGAAGGCCTCCAGGATGAACAGACCCATGCACGAGTTGCCGAAGCGGGCCACCGCCGTCGCCAAACCTCCCCAGCAATTCGTCGAGGAATTGAAGCAGAAAGCCGCAACCACAGTGTCCCATACGCCCACACGAAGAGTCGTGCCGGTCCAGACTCCAAGGCCACCGCTGCATGCCCCGAGGCCAAAGCGCCCAGAAATCGAATCCTCATCTTACGACCTGATGAAAGATCGCGAAGCGAGACTGCGTGCGTTGAAAAATGGCAACCCGGCCCCGGGTTCTACAGGCTCAATGCCGCAACCGACTGCGATAAGCCCACCCATGACACAGACAGAATCACCCAGTCAGGACCGCCTGACGCTCGACTTTTTGGAAGACCCAGAGAAGGAGGACGGGGAACCACCACGGAAGCTGCTCAGGTTGGATGTGAGCGACAGGCCGAGGTCAGCGAGTCCGATGAAAGTCAATGCCCAGCCACAGATGCTGAAGCGGAAACCGCCTCCTTCGCCTTTCATGGCGTCATCGAGGAAGATGGTAAAGAGACCAGGCATATTCTAGGCCGTCTTGCATGTCAAAGAACACTGATAGTACCGCATTGAGGACAGTCTGGCCAGCAGGTTGGAAATGATATGTTGAAAGTTCATCTGCTTCTCTGTCTGGGCCCTGTATTCACCTTCGAACTTGAGGAACAATCACCCGCCTTTCTTCGCATGCAAGTCTGCGTTTCATGGGCCCACCGAGCCCTTCGCCATGTGAAGCCTGATCCGGCGGACCCCATTTCATCGTAGATGCCCATCCGATACGTTTGTGCAGAGGATGCTTGGAGGGTCAACTGCTTGCTATTTTATGTTCCTCGAGGAAGAATTGTTGTTAAGGGGTTTGCTTGCCCGGACTGGATGTGCCATTGTCTCCACGCACGCAGCTCACTCCGTATCCATCCAGCGCTTCGCCGGACTCGTAGATTTGCTCGGCACTCCCATTCAACTCCGAGTATACTGTTCCGTCATCTTCCCCCTCTCAGCGCAAGCACCAAGTGTAATGTATTGCCTCCTTCGAGCCCGTAGTCGGCGGCCGTCTTTTCGTCTGCCCTGCAATGTAACCATAGTAAGCTTCTGTAATCCAGCAAGAGACCTTGACCTGAACGTTTCTAAGCCTCAACCGCCTCCAATGGCGGAGCCATCGACAGTGTATAAAACCTCGGAACGAGGAAGACCGGGGAGGGGAAAGTGCAGGGGCTCAATCGCACATTTGCTTGCCACCATAGATCAACCGCTGCTGGACAGGCGGGATCCCTTCCTTTTCCTCCACACGTTCCTTGATTCGCGACACCTATTGATGAGGAATATAGTCAGCACATATATTCTCCACGGCTCCGGAACGATGAAGATCAAATGTTGAGACTGGTCTTGCTTTCAAGCGTCGGCGGTGAGGAGTAGGGATCTATCGAGGTGAAGAGAGGCGGGAGAGGATCAAGTGAGTGGCTCTTCAGCCGTTGGTGCGCGTAGGGCAAGGCTCAAGGAATCTCCTTGTGTGAACGCGTTGGGGTCATTCGCACCTTGTAGTCCGGTTCGATGTCTAGCTCGATCTCCTTCCCTGTCAATGTCCGCACTCTGGTAAAATCCAATGTCAGTTCAGTTCTCGTTGACCACGGGACATGACGGCGACATACTTGATCAGCATCTTGTCAAATGAGCAGGATCCTGGGTGTCTGGTTGAGGAGACAGGTTGTTCAGGGAATACACGTATGTGCCTGAGACTTTGAACGATACTATTGCAGACCAGCAAGATACTGGAACAATACCGTATGAGGAAGATATCCTACGTGCCACATGCGGTCTCGCAGGATGACGAGATGCCGGTGCCGCGAAGTGCCTTCGGGAGCCTTGTGCTTGGCAGTAGAGCGCTTAGGTAATCACAATCCCTTTTGCGGCAGCCTTGTCAGTGAAGTGCAGTATTTTCACAGTCTAGTAACGCAGGGAAGAATGAATAGATAATGGAATCTAGACTGTGTACCAGATAGCTACACTATTCACTCGACGTTGAAAGGAAGTGAGAGGCTATACCAAGGGATAGCTGGCCTCTGTATCTGTATCTCTTCATATTTGACATAAGCCAATCAAGCCACTCATGACCAATCACTCGCTGGAACGCCTCAATCGATCCAAACAAACAAAACTGATGGGGTATGAGCAAGAAGTAAAGGTATATAAAGACAAACAATTGAACTCCCATCTCGCTAGCCATGCTGTGAGCATTCACATAGGCTTGTGCCCTCCATAACAGTCTTTACCAGGGTTCAGTGATGCTGGATCTTTTAGATGAACAGCCAATCCCGGCAGGAGGGCCATCCTTTTTGTCCAACCAGGCAGTCATACATCAAAGGTCGAAGCCAGGGGCTGAACCTCGTTCTCGTTCTGTCGTCCAATGGTTGTACATGATTTTCTGCCCTTGGGCGTTCACATTATGAGTAAGGATCTGTTCCCAGAGATCGTGGTTAGGATCAACAATGATCGGAGATGATTGTTTCAAAACCCTCGCCAGGGATCTCTCGACTCCACGCTGCCTCTCGTGGAGGAACTTGCTGCCATCATCTCGCTATGAAGCATTGATTCCACAGGGCTGATGCTGTCTCTTGCTTGTTCAAACCCCCAATATCCCAGGTCCTTCTTCCTCGACTGCCCTGATCGCAACGCGTTGAAAGAAGGCCTGGTCGAGGATGTTGAGACTTTGTTGTCGATAAACGCGTCCATCCTCATGGTTGCAGTCTGAGTGTGATCCGTGAAACTTGAGGGCATAGGGGGGCGTGCCGAAGCACTTGCCTCGCTACCTCTCCGACTGCTTGCAATACTCTGCATGCCCAAACTAGGAGTATACAAACCTCGGTCAGACGAATATACGGCGGTGGAATGCACACTTTGTGAATATGTGGACCCTGGTCCCGGTATGCTCGGAGCGGCATCCCTGGTCGAAAAGCTCCGGAAGGAACTCGGTGGCACTCGTGGTGCTGTGTTACTCCGTTTCCGCGAATGACGCGGAATTACTGGTGGTAGGGCAGGCTCTTGTGTCGGGTCGTAATAACTTTGAGTGGGAGGCCGGGAATCCTGTACAGGCACTGATCCGTCTGTAGTGAATGATCTGTGACCAGTACCAGTTCTAACAGCATTCTTCGCAACGCGGATAGAATCACGGATCGGTCGACGCCGGAGTGAACCAGCAAGAGAAGGCGCAGGTTGATTTGATGTATCAAGTTCAGGTTTGGGAGGCGGAGGGGGGATAGCCGTTAGCTCGTTAACGCTGAGAGGTGAGTGCGACAAGAACGATAATGCTGTGAGCCACACATAATGCCGGTCCCGGGAGGTCGCCGTAAATTTCAAGGCTCGTTGAGGGGTCAATATCAGAATGGAACGGTTGAAATGGCGACCCGGTATCGCCCCTTTCGGCATAGGGTTGTCGTCCTTGACATCGAGGACTGATTTGATGGTCACTGTTCAAAGATTAGCATTGTCGGATTAGACAGATTCAGCTTTACGTACGTTTCCGCCCACTCTTTCCCATCAGTGCCGTCCCCGAAGTCGGCTGTTTGCTGCTCCACATGACAGCACGTTCGTAGGGGGCAAGCCAAACCCATCGCTTGTGCCGGACGCCACTATTTGTCACACTCTGAGACAGCTCTTCCACGGTCTTGTTCGCGTCGAAATCAGTCTTGTCGGTCATGCCGAAGGACTTTCGCCGTCTCACGTATTTGTACATCCATTCACCAACCATAGTCTGAGCAATCGAGTCCACAACTGAACTCTGATGAACAGATATCGCGTCAGAGTTTGCCTTGGTGTGAGCTCCCCTCCTACCGGGCCCAGTAGCGATGGACGGACGCGGTGCACTCGCCTCATAGGGGTTGCTGGAAGTCTCGCTCGACAAGCGAGAAGCTGCAGTGGTTGGCATCTGGAAACTAGGCATTTCTGGAACGATTGAGACGCGCGGGTTGAGGGGAGGAGATCTGCTTCGAGCTCGACGCGCTTGAGAATGAGGAGAGAGCGCCGGGCCTGACCTTGCTTTCCGCAATATCGGTTTAGCATATCTATTCTTTGTGCGTTTTGTTGGTGACGCGTTGCTGCTGCCAGGTGAGCTTCTTCCGCCTTCGCTGACCGACTTCCCAAGCTTCGCCGAGCTGTACCGCAAAGGAACGGGAAACGGTGGGGGGTTGTTGCTATCAACAGAAGCGGTTGTCGACTGCGAATGAGAAGACTGGTGAGCGGCTGTGCCACTCGAAATGAGGGCCGCTCTTCTCATGTTGTTCGTTTTGGATGACGACACTCTCTTGACTTTCATGCTAGTATTCTGTCGTTGCGTGCCTCGCCGGGGACTCGTCCGAGCTTGGAATATCACGTCAGGAGGCAGGCTCTCATCAGACAGTCGAAGGTTGTCCCAGGCGGCTGCTTCACCAGCGCTTGCCGCAGCGCTTTCGCCAATGTCTTCCAAAGCAGAGTCTTGAGCCACCATTTTGCCGTACTTGAGGACAAATTTGGCAGTCGGGCGACTAAAGATATCATCTTCTTGAAGGTTGTCTTCGCCGAAAAGATTGTCACGTTTCTCGCCATCTTCGTCGAAGCCAGCAAACATGCTGCTCGAGCGCACCGGACGAGGCACATTCGAGGCAAAATCTCTTGCCAGAGGACCATTGTCATTCAGGGGCGGTGTAGGTCCCTTCGAAGGCCCAGCCATTGTCCGTCTAGAAGCGAACATGGATGTTGCAGGTGACACTCTCGTTCGTGGGATTGGTGGAGGCATTGCCCGAGAAGAGATTGGCGGCCTAAAATGAGCCGACATCAGAGGTGGCGGTGGCATTTCGGAGGGTGGGACAATGGCTCTTTTATCAACTCGAATCTCTTCTGTCTGCACAGAAGTCGATCGATACCTGCCCAATGATTGACTGGTGACCTGGGTGCCTACGTTCTTGGTTCGGGGTGGTAGCACGACATTACCTTCAGGTGTGGTAGGTCGCGATCCAGGAGGAATGATTGCAATCAGAGGGACCTTGAGATCTACCGTCTCTTCACTTTCGGTGTACTTGTGACCGCGGGTGTCAAATCCAGAAGCGGTAGGCTCTGTCTGCGTACTGACAGTGGCGGTCTTGGCTCTTTTCAATGCATTTTCAGGTATGGTCGCTCGTGTCCTGTCACTCTTTTCCGGTGTCAAAGGAGGACTTGGGAGAGCCTCTATGGTTTGACAGGCAGATGAAACCATCACTGGTCGCTGCCTTCCCCAGACGATATCAACACTCTCAGCCGGACTGGCAGGGCCGGTGGTGGCAGGAAGCTCGCTGATACCGCCGACGTGAGTCTCTGCTGGTGGGACTATATTGAACTTGCCTCTTGTATCGAAGGCCAGCCATGGAGACTGAGGTGGAGAAAACTGAATTGCTGTGTCCACATATTTCAGACTCGCCCTGCGACGTTTTCCAACCACATGCGAGGGTGCGGATCGGTCATGCTCAGGGCTATCTGTGCGTTCCATGTCCTCCAATTCCAGTGGCATCCCGAGGACTTTCCGTGCTTTCAAGGATAGGCTCGATGCCGGTCGGACTTGTTCCTCAGGAAGGGCGTCAGGGGAAATGCGCCCATCTTCGGCATCGTGAGCTTGAGCCATATCTTCTTCAAGTTCATCGAAGGCTAGCTCATCCGCCAGGTTCACCGTCACTCCGTTCTGAAAGCTCAATACTGAAACCCGACCTCCGTGGGTCTCACTGTTGATGGAGGCGGCGCTGTACCTCCGGCCTCTCCTGTTCAGTATGGAACCTTTGCTGGGACTTTCCATTATGCTATTGCGACTGTGACATGTGCGTTCTGTCGGCGAGACAGGGGCCGGCTGGTGCTGAGCATTGGTGACTTCACTCAGGACGACTTTCAGGCGACCTTCGGCAATATGAACCTTTGTTTCTAATTGCCGTCTTTCTGCAAGCCATGCTTCCTTGTCTTTCTCCCACATCGCCTGAGTTCTGTCGGCAGCTTCTTCTTGATACCTGGCCCTGTTCAAGCTCTGCTCAAGACGCCTGCGTAGGTCGGAGACATCGCTTAAGGCATCATCCCGTTCCTTGGCCAGTTCATTGAGAGCCGAAAGTGTTCCGCCCTCGAGAAGTTGCATCTGTCGTTTGACCGACCGTGTCTCCTTATTGGATTGCAACAAATTGTTGTTGAGGACTTCATTCTGGGTCTGGGCCGTGTGAAGACTGATTTCCAACTTTTCGATGTCATTCGTCCGACTTTCCAGGTCGCGGCGCAAAGACAAGATTTCCGAGACCAGCGAGGCATGGAGGGTTGGGGTAAATCTTCTTGGGTCAAGGGGAGATATCTTCTCGTCAAGGGCAGGATCGATGTATTCATTGCTTCGTCTTTTGTTGACTCGCCCGTCAGGTATTGGTGGAGGTGTGGATGACGGGGATAGATCCTTCGATTGACGAGAGCGCAGAGATTGTGAACTGGACGGAGAGCGGTAGGGGGTGTCTGTTGGCGAAGGCAGCGAGTAACTTGCTTCAGGCTCCATCATCACACGACCGCGTTCGTGCCACGAGGACTCAAGTCAGTTCTTAAGCTGAATAAAGCATGCTTCCTTGGCCGAGTTATGCTCTGATATCTTGAATCTGCAATCAGATGGTCGGCCTCGACCTCTTTAAACGTCTATGCAAGAACAACCCAGGGCATGTCGCAATGGAGTGTGCTCTGAACAGCGCCACCACTTGATCCAATATTCGTTGTTTTAAGACCTGCTTGTTAGATATCGGCTCGATTGACGTACAAGGTTGTTCGCGAACAAAGTGTTTAATGCAGGATGCAGACTGACGAGACGAAAGACAGGATATCAGGACTCATGTCATACGTCGGCCCGCACAGTCAACGACGCCCGCAGAAAGTGACAGATGGACAGGAGGAGCGTGTCAGTCTTGGGACGATGTCCTTCGTCAGGCCTCTAAGTGTACATCCGAAGATAGCAAGGTCTGGTAGAAGCGAAGGACCGCCCACTGCAAGACCAAAGATGTTAGCCTTACCTTCAGAAAGCCCGCGTCAGACTCTGTAGTGATCGAGCGATGTTCGCCCTCTTTTCCTGCGGTCTGTCTTGGTCGCGTCTGAGGCGGGACCATGTGCTGATCAGCCAAAGCAGGCGCAGGTAAGACAGGGAAGTGATTGGCCTCTGTGGCACATTGAAGCGGAGGAAATTTCATCGTTAAGGGGCATGGCTAAGGACCGACCAGGACACCTTGCTTCCAGGGATTGCAGGGTGGAGTGGATGAAAGTGACGACCCAGGGACAGCCAGCATAGACCACTACCCTAGATACCCTAGGTGCGGTGTAGAAGCTGCGTCCGCGGTCCAGGATCAAAAGAAGCGAAGGACCCTAAGGCGGACCTAGCCAGGGGAGTTCCCAGGATCCCGGAATTGACGGGAAGTTAGAGGCGTTGGTGGTGCCGAAGCTCGGAGAGGTGCAGTTCCTTTGTTGTCGAGGTGGACTTGGTTCTCGGATACGTATTTGATAGACCAAATCATCCATACAACACATCGCGCACAAGGTAGCAGAAAGCTGAGTTGGGGGAGGAGAAAGATGAGAGGAATGACGGAGACGGCAGTACCAGTGACAGGAGCAGGCAGAACTGCAGGGGAGTATACTGTCTACTACTAGTACTAGTAGTAGTAGTACGGTAGGTGGCCACAAAGGTACGGTAGATAGATTCCTACAGTCAGGTACCTAGTACGCTCTGCCCACCCACCACCTACTACTACTAGTAAGTCACGGTGGTATCCACTGCCTACGGTACGGGGCACGGGCACGGGCAGTTGGAGCCTGCAGGTTAGGAAACGGCCCGGCCATTCGGGCAGTTGCCAGTGACAGGTTGCTTATTGACCTTGAGAACTATGCCTGCAGGCATAGCAGGTAAGCCTAGGGAGCCTATGATTTCTGTGCTTATAGGTGATGTGCCTTAGGTTGGACTAGACCTAGTGGTCACTGAGCACCAAATCACAACACTAAAGCAGAGCCAGGACCCATCACAAGCGACAAGTGTGTTTCAGAGCCTCAGCACCACAGAATCCCTGCCGCCGGAGAATTCCACGGCTCCTCAGACTCCTCACCCTCCTCACCCTCTATGCCCTTTGCGTGCCTAGGACGAAAGTGCCTGAGATCCTGATCACCGAAAGGACGGTGTCAAATTTCCAGCTTTTTACACGGCTCCCGCAATGCTCCACGCCCTGTCTGTCAGGTTTTGAAAGGCGATCCTCAATCATCGCCGTCATGTTAACAGTAAACGTCAAATTCACGTGGCAAGATGATCAATACTATAGGGACTCGGACTGCACAGAAGGAGGATTGAAGCTGGGGAAACTTTGAGGGCATCCATGTAGACAGACACCACACCGTCAACCGAAATAAGGGAGAATAGCATACCATGACCTGCAAGTTCGGTTCATCGGTTTGAAGCATGAACTGTTTCCACTCTTTTTCAGTTATGGTCATCAGGTTTCTGCTGGGAGCCGTATCTGTGCGATGCCTGCTTTAGAGCGCCCACTCTCGGTTGTGACCTGTTGTTGTTAACCCATCCCATCGGTCCAAACCCGTCAAAATTACACCAAGGAGCTAATTCACAAGGTAGGCGAAGTTGTTGGACTGGAGGTTTCGTGTAGTCTGGAGTGCATATACCTACCTACCTACTAGGTAGATACTAAACATCATCGCAGGAATGCTGGAAAGGTTCTAGGTCGCTTGGTGATACCAATTGTTATCACCTACCTAAGGTAGTACGCCGAATGCTACGGTAGGTACTTCTTCAAGTGCTTCCTTCTGTCAACAATTTCATCACAAACTAAGGGTGTATCACTGTATCACTGCCATGATTCACTGGCCTAACTCTCCACCGACAGGTATCAGTCGCATGTGCGCCTTTCGATTCATCACACTGTTACAGTCTTTTACGCCCTCGCCGTTACATATTCCTCCTTGTGTGGCTTGTGGCGTCTGACTGCACTGGTTGTCCTCCGTGACTTTCAACTAGATGGCCTTTTCTCGCTTATCCTCGAGCAATTCCTGCGAAGACCTGACGCCTCGTATCCTCGAATCCTCCAAACGTCCATGCATAAGGTATGCTAGCAGTGTTTCACATCCATGCTACCCATGCAGGTGTCCGAATCCACTCCCAGGATACAGGAGAGGCGGATGTTCGATGTCCCCTCGATATTGCATTGTATTACTACGAATGTGGCTTCCTCCATCATTCCGCTCGTGAACGATGGGGCTAACGGAGAGAGTCTGGAGTCGACCATGGGCAGCCTGGTAAGCTCCAACGCTGTTCTCCATACGTTCCTCTAAGTCGAAGCCCCAGGCACAACCACTCCACGGCTGATTCAAGGCTGTCAAAGCCAACCTCTTCGGCCTCTTCCTTCACCATGCACGGTCCACCATCCCAAACTGACAGCCGGCCCTTGCACCGTCCCGTTGCGAGCTTCGGCCCAGCAGATGAGAAACTAGGCGCGCTAATCATCAGGGCTCGTGCCAGAGTGGTACCACAGGTACGTAGTACTACTATATGGTTCGGTGCAGTTCAAAGTTGTGATACTAAAATAAGGTACCTTACCTCGGCTCATCGTCCGGCGAGGAACGTCATCAGTACTGGACGGTGTGGTGCAAGAATATTTCACCACTTCACCATTGATCTGCGGTCGACTGTGAGAGCAACTCACTACGTATTATGTACAGATGCTGAAAGTGACCTCGTGAGATTAGTTTCAGTAATCTCCTTTTCTTTTCAGTCTGCTCGAGTATCTGTCCTTGCCCATGACTCTCCCGACTCACCAAAAGGAACCCCACTCCTGCCCTCCCTCCCATCGAGCCTCGAAAATGTCGATGGACCCCATGCCCAAGGCTATTCTGACCGACGTCTTCGGTACCGTCGTTGACTGGCGCACCACCGTCACCGACCATCTCTCTGCCTCTGCCTCTGAAGCCCTCAATTCCTCCACTCGCTCCATCCCCAGCACGGTCCGGACCGCAGCCTCGGACATTTCCTGGCCGGCCGTGGCCCAGCTGTGGCGAGAATCCTACCACCACTTCACACGCACATACGATCCTTCTACGACAAGCTCCAGCAACACCTTCAGGACGGTGGACCAACATCATGTCGAAGCACTACACAAGCTCATCGTAGATCATGGGCTCGACGGACTATGGACTGATGAAGAGATCCAAAAGATAAGTATGATATGGCATTTTCTAGACCCTTGGCCCGACTCGTCTCCCGGTCTAGCGCTGTTGCAGAGGAAATTCCAGACCGCCACTCTCAGCAACGGAAACAAGAGTCTGCTCTCGGACCTGGCAAAACATGGCTCACTCTCGTACACACATATCTTTTCCGGCGAGGACTTTGGCGCCTACAAGCCTCATCCGAGCGTCTATCTGGGCGCCGCGAAGAAATTGGGCCTGGAGCCCGCCGAATGTGCTCTCGTAGCTGCGCACTTGGGGGACCTGAAGGCCGCCCGTGGCTGTGGCTATCAAACAATCTATATTGACAGGCCCAAGGAAGAGGCCTGGTCAGCGGAAGAAGTGGCCAAAGCCAGGACGGACGGCTGGGTTGACCTCTGGATAGAGCTGGACGAAGGTGCCGGTGGCTTTCTCGAGGTCGCTAAGAGATTCGGACTGCAGTGATGCTACGATGGGTCCCAATCGTCGACCCATGCCGGCGTGTCAGGATATTACCTATTCGGCGCTCATGCTTGGGTCCTTGGAAGCCTGCAACATTCACGAGAGCTCTTGGAGGTGTCCTGAAAGCAAATGTCAAATGTTTGCTGGGATAATACTTCAGTACCGAAATGGCCGTATTGGCTTATGGCTTTGGCACCCATCAAAGACAGTTTTTTGCACACCTCGACCTTGTTCTGGAAAGCCAGTATCTCCCTTTCACCACTCGGTCGTCGAACCCTTCAATAGATTCTCGCCACTTGACTACGCTGCATCATCACCTTTATGCTTTGCTTGCCTGCCCGCAGACGGTAGATTACAAGGCGAGATGCAGGCTTGGCGCGCCCTCTTGTTTCTCGGCCTTCTTTGCAGCCTTGTACCATTTGGCGTTCTCGTCACCGTGCGCGGTGCGATGCTGAACCACGCGACGGGGGTGGAACTCGCCTTCCTCATCGACCCCTGTGCCGCCGTCATCTTCGTCACCCTTGTTTGTCGCGGGCGAGTCGACGTCTGTGCCGAAAATGGCACCCGTGCCGCTTTTTTCTCCCTGGGCCGAAAAGGGATTGTGGCTGCTGGGGCTCGAGGCCGTGGTGCTCTCGAGCTTCTTCGCTGTGCCGTTGATAAGCTCACCTTCCTCCTCGTCCGTGAGTGGCTCAATGTCCGGTAGGGGTCCGCGCGGTATGACCAGGGGAATACCACGATCAAGACCGCCGTGAAGCTGGCGCACTTTCGCCCGCAAATAACCGTATTTGTAGATCTCGAAGAAAGTAGTCTTCTTGAAAACGCCCCCGTTTGTGCGCTCGGATTCGTCCCAGTACAGATTCCGTAGCCATTTCGACAGACGAGGGTAATCATGCCGAATCATCTTCAGGTTACATTGAAAGATGCTATGATAGGCGACATCAAAACGAGCCATCGTTGTGTACAGCCTGATGTCAGCTTCGGTGATGTGTTCGCCGAACAGGAAGGGCTGGTGAGCCGGGTCGGCAAGGTGTGCTTCCAGTCTATCAAGGGACTTGAACAGCGGGTAGACGTTAGTGTCATAAGCCTCCTGGGAAGTTGCGAAACCGCATTTGTATACGCCGTTGTTTACTGTGTTGTAGACCCAATCGTTCATGGAATCAATGTCCTTGCGGAGGTGGGTCGGATAGAAGCCACCGCCTGGCCTGTTGACCTCGCGGAGGTCGGGTTCCAGGAACTCGTCGAAAGAATCATACAGCATGCGAATGATCTCGCTCGATTCGTTGTTCACAATTGTTTCCGTCTTCTTATCCCACAATACAGGGACCGTATACCGGCCCTCATATTCCGGATTGGCCTTGAGGTAGAGTTGCTTCAAGCCGGTGAAGCCATACAGGGGGTCCTTGGGCTCCGACCCGTTACGGCCTGTGAACAGCCAGCCATTCTCGGTCAAGTCAAAATCGGTCAGAATGAGTTGAATGAAAGGGTCGAGAGACTTAAGGCCGCGGACGAGAATGGTTCGGTGGGCCTATGCAGGGGTCAGTTCATAGAAACATGTGAGGTCTCTTCGAAGCCTCCCACCCATGGACATCCTAGATTCGCATAAATGGCATATCGATTGGGCTCAGGAGGAAATCTGGCGCCTGGTTCTGTCGAGATCCAATCACGGAAGACGCTATCCTTTCGTCGAAAGTGGCCGTCATCGTCAGCGTGCTTATGAGTCGGGCGCTGGTATCGTGTCAATAAGCTGTATGGACCCGTGCAAAGGGAGAACTTACCGAGTCTCCCATTTCTAGTTATCAAGGCTCAGAAACAGCTTCTGCAAAAGACAAGCTCGGGGCTCGGAAGTATATGAGGAAGCTAAGGTACCTTATAGGTCTGATCTTGGGGATATGGGGAGACCGCTGCTGAGGAAACGGGGCCGTGTCGTACAGTTGAAGGCGCAGTTGATGGAGACGTAGCGGGCGTGATCACGATTGAGAGAGCATGCAGAATAGATCAGAGAGATGACCACTAAAGAGAGGAAATATTTAATCTGACCGCAGGTCGCATAAGGTAGGTCATGCCCTTGATATTATTGTTGAGCCGTGTCTCAATAGGACACGGGCTGAGACTCAGCTCCCGAAGGCCAGCATGCGATTGAGGCCGGACTCTCAGGTGCCAGTGTGGTTGGCGCTGACACGATCATCAGGGGGCCAATTCCGCCCGCCCGCAGAACCCTGCGCTTGTCTATCTACGACGATCCGCGCTCGAAAGATAGCTCATTGGCAATTGGCATCTACCGACTCACTGCCTTAGGTACTTTCTTACCTCATACAATGGTGACTGGCAGCCATAAGGTAGTACTAGGTTCTCGAGAACTTGAAATCGAACATCATTGCAGGGGTTTTTGTGATCCGAGTCGTTCGCTCCATGTTGCGGGGTGCCTAATTTGACGACGTCATTATTTGTACTAGCGGGCACCTGCGGCACGTCATGCGTTCCACTTCTTACTAATCTATTAATAATCAGGCCTGTCAACCACGAGCATATTCGTAACGCGTCAATTCCTCGTTTCGCGCGTTCATGTCTGTTGCGCCGCGATCCTCTCAGCTCGTGGCACTCGCGTCTTCTCAGCGATATGAACAACTCTGACAGGTACTACTAATACCTTGATGCAAGGCCTTGTCCGCAGTCGGCTCTCATGTATCAGGAAGAGTGTGTCATCCTAGCGTGCGCCATGATTCGTGATCTCCTGTGGACGTCACCGGGTTGTCCATTTATTATTGTATCACGAGCCAGACTTTCCAGGTGTCAGAGGTTGTCCGTGTCTTTATGCCTCTTCCCTCTCCGAAAGTGTGATTTCACATATCAGATTTCTTCTGGCTTGGCCGGGGTACGCCTGGTGTTACGAGACATGGCCCTGTCTCTCAGAGTGCGTCCACGTCTCGAGTCATTTTCTCACTCGAGCAGAGGGCAATTGCTGGACTTGCCGTTTCGAACTCTGCAAGCTTCGAATATGCGGGCCAGGTTCTGACTTCTCAAGCGCTGTACGATGACGGGAGTCAACTGTTCCAACATGCCTAGGATCAGCACGCTCCTCACCTGAAGTGCCATGGGCCGGATCTAGAAGGTATATGTCTGACGGGGTATGGCCGTCCACTTGTCATGGCTAGGCTTTAGGTACCCACTTCGAGACAGCAGTTGGCGATGCCTGATTAACCTCATACGTGCCCATACGCAAGCATCGTTGCCCTCTGGCGTACACTGAGAGGTGCCTAACTAGAGAACCGTCCGAATATCGATTGTCATTGATTTAGCACGGCTCGTTGTCTACTGCAAGCATTACTGGCAAACGGGTGGTCTCCTTTCAATATCAAAGATCTTAACACTTCTTCTTTCCCGGGACTCGATCGTTCCTTCCCTAGATGGCTCCCGCGCATGGCGCACAACGCTTGCGTTAGCTCTCCATGGCTGAGGTGCGACTGGATATGAATTTGTCAAAGAAACTCAATGCTTATCGCAAGAGGGACTGCCATATCTTATCGACACTATTGGGCGGCTGCAGAGATCTGCCAGCTAAGACTGCACCAAAAACCCCGGAGGCGCAACAGAACTTCGTCGTTGTCGGTCAGTATTGGGAATCCGGTACATGCTAGTCATCTGAGCCCAGGGCTTGTCCCGGACTGAAAGCATCGCTGTCGTTGAATAACAGGAGGCTGGAGTACAGGCCCAGAGATTACAGGATCAGTGTACGTCACGGCAGGGGCTGACGGGTTTCTTTTTGAAGCAGCGCTGTTATCCGAGAAGTGAAGATGTACACGGCTTGTGTCTACTTTGTTTTCTTCTTCCGTCGATTCGGGAAGCAGGTCGCCCTTGCGTCCCGCGGGATGAATCCGTGGATCGGAGCCGAGCGCTATATCCTGCACAAATCAACCCCCAGCTAATTGGCTGAGAAACTTCAAAGGATACGAACAGAGTGCTGAAGGAAAGTGCTCAAGAGCACATGAGACGCAGCACTCTGCAGCTAGGTACTCTGCACCTTGTCATTTAGATCCCTGCGCAAGAGGCAACAACTTCAGAGTATCCGAGAAGAACCAGTGTCTGCCGTACCCCGGCAGCCAGCCCTCGGCCAAGGACTGTTACAACCTACCATCTTTTCCTGATATGTATTATGGGATGTCTGAGCGGCGCCTTCACAGCGATACACTATAAATCTGATAAAACGGGACCAAAAGCCTAGTCGTTTCCAGAGCCTTCGAAGCGATATTAGTGCCCAGGAAGATGCGACGTTCGACACTGGCAGGGTTGGGAAAATGGAAGTCGACTGAAGGTCCTTGACAAGATACGCATCTATGGCTCATATTCCGCCTAGCGGGATGGTTGGTGTCAGCGATATCGGTAATGGTGCCGTAGGTTTGTTTCTAGGCACGTGTAGTCAGCTAAACGGCGTCGCGTCAAAGATAAGTAACTGGGTGAGTGGTTCAGACATGGCTGGATAGCCAGGTGAAGCACTCTAACCATGTGGTTATTGGTGTGTTACCCGGTACTATCTTGGGGAGTCAATTGGATGGCAGAAATCCGACGGTTTCTGTTGCTGTTTGGCCACAAGAGAGGTTGAGACTTCCGTGCGGGCCTTTTAAGTGACAGGTAGATCGATCCGTACCGTGCGACGAGGAGAAGAAGAGGAGAAGGAGAGGAGAACTACCTATACACAGAACATGAAGGTGACATATTACTCTGTATTCCGCCGGCCATGTGCCCTTCGAGAAGACGACGCATTCATCCTTGCAATCATCATCATCATTATTGGGTCGACGCGGGGACGTCCATTCCGGCCGAGTGGGCTGCTGTGGGTTTGAGCAGGGGGCTCGTAGGCACCAGGAAGACCCGGTGAAGAGTTGGTAACCTCCTGCTGGGTTGGTCAGCCTGTTGGTCAAAAAAGTTCCGTGGCTGTCAACCGGGGGAGGGAAAAGGGCAGGGAAGAGGAGCGTACACTGGCAGGCATTCTACTTCTTCCACCTTGCCGTTAACTACAGAAGCAGTACGTACTTAACCACTGCAGTGCCCGCAACTGCACGCGAGGTGATTCAGTCTCTAGCCCGTCTAGGAATGAAGTATTGTGCATAGGAGATACAGGTGGGAGTCGATCTCCAGAGTGTATTCCAGGTAAGCTGTCAAGATGGACGCCTCTCTTTTCCGTAGATGTTCCCCATCCCACCTAGTAAACCGCTGGGTCTGTAATATGTGCTACAGAGTACACCGTCCATACTAATGGCAGATGAGGAGAAGGGCGAGATGGGACCTGAAGGCTAAAAAGTCCCCTACCGCTCCTCTCCGGAGTTTCCACGACCGCCTATGGAGCCCCAAGACGCCTGGGCCCTCGAGACCGACGACCTACTACGGACATAGTAAAGTACGCCTAAGCCGTCCCTCCCCTGTCCCTGCACAGTGCACAGTCACTGCGCTACCAGATGGACCCTACTGGTAGTAGTACTAGTACCTGGGTAATCTTTGGCACTTCCCAAGCTCCAGGTACGGATCCTCCAACCACGGGTCCCGTCAATTAGGTGTCGAAGCTGTGCGAGCACTGGGGCAGTACTAACTGTGCGCACAGGCCCTGGGCGCCAAAGCATCCTCCCAGAACCCTGCCAGCGTGCGGGAGCCCACATTATCAGAGGCACAGAAAGACAGAACCGACCTGGCCCCTTAGCCGGTCACAACAAACTCTCGCAGGAATGATCATATACTCTGCAAATTTTGGGTTCTCCGTTTCCTCTGCATGTTCAAGTTCCTGCGTGCACCCGCAAATTCAGAGATAGTACGCCGCTTCAGCCTCGACGTCCATTAGCAGGGTCGGTGCCTGACCTGAAACGACCTCGACATAACGAGAGAACGCCATCCTCAACCTTCCATCCAGCATCGGTAACCGCCGTCGATAGCAAAGCTTACGGGACTTGTCCCTTGATATCAACCCGGATCCCGAATCGGACACAAGAAGGCGGTCTGAAGCAGATCTCGAGGTACCTGTGTCTATTGTCGCTCTGCCGTCTCGAAGGACCGGTTTCGAGGCGCAGGCGGATCAGCGAGTCCCTCCGAGTCCTGCATAAGCAGGGTATCCGACCAACAATCCTTCTCGCAGTCTCTCCTGGCTGCTCAGTTGATCGGTCCTCTGTGGTGTACAGTCCTCAATTACCTCTCACGCCTCTCATCCCCTGTTCGGTTCGGAGTGGTGCCGTGCATCCCCATTCTCCTCATCAGCGCAAACTGCTGCCCTCGAAATCATCAGCCGATCAGCATTCGGCCCTCGAAAACACCTCTACTGATACGCCCTCTGGAGATCACATCCGGTCGCCGCTGAAGAATCTGAGAGATACTTTGTTTGGCTAGTGAATGCTCTTGTCGGGAGTTCAGGTTCACCAAAGGGGGAAAGGCCAATTAGGAAAAAGAGGGACATAGACACTAGTCAGGCGCCTGTGAAACCCCTCGATCACCACTACAGGATTGTGTTTCTCTCTAGGACTAGGCCAGACCACCACTGCTCTCCGAATCCACGAGGCTTGGGTGCTCGGTCGTCCAACGCAGCTGTGTTTACCCGCGAAAACGAATGCATCCAGGTTCTTTTGTGTGTTAAGGCATCTCTGTGCTACCTTGCCGCAGAATCTCGGTTTCAAACGCTGCAACACACGCATCGAGGATTGGCACCCATCATGGCGGGGAAAATGACTTTATATAAACTAGTGGTGCTGGGAGATGGCGGTGTTGGGAAGACGGCCCTCACAATTCAGGTGTGTCTACCTTGCAGCGTGTGACATGCACCTCTGTTTGCTAACTCGACCAGCTATGTCTGAATCATTTCGTCGAGAGCTATGATCCTACTATCGAGGACTCCTATCGCAAGCAGGTCATGATAGATAAACATGCGTGCATGCTGGAAGTCCTAGATACTGCCGGTCAGGAAGAATATACAGCGCTTCGCGATCAATGGATCAGAGACGGCGAGGGCTTCATCCTCGTCTACAGCATCACTTCGAGAAACTCCTTCACCAGAATACAAAAGTTCCACGCACAAGTACAACGGGTAAAGGAGTCTGGCCATCCAAACTCGCCCACTGGCGCAAACTATCTTCCTTCACAAATGACTGGCTCACCCATGTACACCGGCCCTGTGCCAATCATGTTGGTCGGTAACAAGAGTGACAAGAACCATGAGCGTGAGGTGTCCTCTCAAGAGGGCCAGGCATTGGCACGGGAATTGGGTTGTGAATTTGTCGAGGCATCTGCCAAAAATTGCATCAACGTGGAAAAGGCATTCTATGAAGTTGTGCGTCAACTGAGAAGACAACGGCAGTCACCGGTGAACCAGATCGATCGCAAAGCATCCAACTACGCAGCTTCTCCGAGCGTCCGAAACAACCATGACCCAGATCATCAACGACTCTATCGCGACAACGGTAAAAAACGCAGCAAGTGCGTGATATTATGATTGCGACCAAGACATTTTATACTCGCAATCGTTAGCCATCGAGAATGAATTATGAAAATCTCACGTTATACAGCACGCGACATGCCATCTCTGCTGCAAAGGAGACTGGCGGCACCAATCTACGCCGCCATCCTGAGGCATCGCCTCCAGTGATTTCAGCAACTATCCCATTACCCTTTATTGTTACTCGGTACGAGGGTTGTTGTTGGAGGGCCACGATCCGGCATGTGCTATGCTATCTGCCCCGTATGACCCAATCCCCTCGTATCGCAGACCAGGGCCGACACCCTCGAGAACCTGAACCTGACCGCTCGTCTTGGCTCGGCAACCATTTGCTAGCAAGAGCGTGTTGGTGCATGCAGAGAGTTTACGTCTAGCACCAAAACGGCCGCACGCCTTCCAGTGCCACAGGCCAGTCGCACTGTTTTTCGCAAAACCATAGCAGAGCCAAGGGCGCGGAGAATGCATGTATGTCGGCGGCAGAAGAAAAGAAAATGTCATCGGTTCCGGAATCCGGGGGTTTCCTATTCTGCGACGATTTGGAACTGGGCCCATATTATGAAGAGGAGGACGATAACCCTTCACGGGCTTAGGAGGCCGGTGAGCAGCTCGGCAAACCAGGCTTACACAGCAGTCAGCGCGCTCAGGTTGCGGTGTACTCCGGGGTGTCTCATGGCTTTTCCCCCAACGACATCGTATGCCTCTCACTGGACACATGCATGCATGAGAAAGTCAACAGTGCTGCAGAGCTTCAGCTTGGAAGATGTGTCACATACCCTCTCCGGAAGTGATAGCCCTGCGAGCCTGAGGTGCTACCACTGCAATGTTAGATGATGATAAGGTAGTGAGGTCTAGTGCGAAGGTCCGGGCCGATGTCAGAAGCCAAGTTGCGATCGAGGATCGGTCGACGAGGAGAAGATCGCTTCTGATCGATCAAAAGTAGATTCATCGTTCTTCACACAGCTCCATACTACGTATTGTTGATTCTATCACATAGTTCCACTATCATGCAGGCCATACACAAGGTACCTAAGCACGGTTCATTGAATTACCTTCAGCCAGTGTGCTTGCCAGCAGGGGTATCGAAGTAGGTCCTCTTTGACCTCCACCGCCATTATCAGTGACGACAATATCATGCGGGAGAAGTGCTAATGCGGCGCTGTCAAGTGTTACCGATTCAAGAACTGAGGCTCTTCTGGGTAAGGGTACCGGCTTATGGGCCTACGACATTTGCACGCACTGACTGGAACTCTTCACTACGTACGTACTAGTAGTACTCTATAGAAGTCCGAACGATCCCCATACGCGGGTGAGATTTCCAAAGAAACAACGTCGCAACCCAAATTGCCTGTTGTGGTAGGAGCAGGCATGTGACGGTGCCGGTTCGACGCATAAGCGAGATGCAGGCAAAGGGATTCCTACTGTTCACATGCTGACCAGCCTGACCGTGGAGAGAATGTATGGTATAGCTTGACATCTTCACTAGGAAAATTGGAAGACCTATAACTTTTCATGGCTTCTAGGTCACGCATCATATAGCTTGACCGCAGTCACGGCTGGACAAGGCTGGGAAAGCTAGTGGACTTCCCAGTATCGAACATTGTCTGTGCAACGCGAGAGCATAGATCTCAGTTCGTATCTTCGTGCACACTCATCCGGGAGGTCAAGCGAAGCCAGATAGGTGCTAGATAGTACATCAACCACGGAAAGTCACGTAGACATCCCTCGGTGTTAGTCCGGCAGAGAGTCACCGTGAGCTCGATATCCGGCCATCTGCAGTTTATGCACAGTCCAGGTTCGAGATCAGTAGGACACTGAAGCATCCCGGTCGCATGGAGGTGCCACCATCTGTCTTGATGACAAACGCCAGCTCGAAAGATCGCTAATATTCCTTGGATGACTTCTTTGCGGAGGTCTTAAGCATTTCCAGGCGGGGCGGTCGATGAGGAAAAGAACAAGGATGTGCTGGCGCTGTTGCAAAGTTATAAGGGTTCATGTTCACCGTCAGCTCCCACAGGGTATACCTCTGTAGGTAGCAACATGAAATGGCTCCAGCCGCTTCTCTGCGAGCGGCACCTGGTTCGCATTGATTGTGGTAGTTGTTGATGCTCTTTAGATCATGACGTTGCTCACCCTTCCGAACGTCGGGAAGGAGGTGACCTCTTATTGTTCCCCTTTCTTGGTGGCGAAGTCGCTATGTCTTGCTTCAGGTGAGCAATGACCCTGCGGTTCGTCTCTTTTTCGGCTTCTAGGGCCGAAATTCGAGCTTGGAGGTCCGCAATCTTCTTCTCTTTGGACTGGACAGCCAGCCGAGAGATATCGCGCCCCTTAATAACACCTTGGGTACGCAAGTCATATCTGTTGAGAAGGTCCACTAGCTCTCTTTCAACTTTGGAGCTGATATGTGAATCAGCCAACAAGGTGAGTACCTCAGACGCGAGAGTGGACGGCTCTGTCTCAGGTCGAAAGAGCTGTGAAGGGCCTCGAGCCGGAGTATTGGTCGGTGAAGGCAAGCCTGTTGCGCCTGATCTGTGTGATGTCGATGGAGTGGCAAAGACGTCGTCGCTCCACGGCCAGGATTCTCCCGAAGATCCCTCTTGACCAGCTAACTGGTCAAATGTTCTTTTCCCTGGAGATGTGAATGTTTCTGTGCGAGCTGCCTTCTTTGGAGTTTCGAACAGGGGTCTATGGGATAGCATTTCTTGTTCGGCCTTGAGCAGCTCTTCGTCATTGCTGGAGGACCAGTCAAAGCCTTCGTCATGTTTCAACTTGCTTGGGCTCGAATCCTGCGGGCGCGCCACTGAAGCAGTCGGCCTAGGCCGGGTGTCTGGAGTCGGTGGGCCTGCATTATATGTCGGTTTCCGAGGAGTTTGAGGTTCGGCAACTGGCTCTGAGCGGGAGTTGCTCAAAACAGCCGCTTCTTCACGTACTTTGGCGGCGTCGCTCCAGAGGAAGAAGTTGCAACGTTTATGCATTGGCTTCTGGCACGTATAGACTAGTCACAATACACTGTCAGTATGAAACCCAACCTACGGACCGCATGCACCTACACCACCTGCCGTGATTCCTGCCGCCGTTCTTTGTCTGCAGCTTGTCTGCAGGTAGCCGCGGCTGGCATTCGCAGTGCCAGATGCCATTTATGAAAGCTCCCGTCTTGCTGGTGCGGCCATTCCGAGTCTGATATGAGTTGGCCATGATATATTGGATAGTTTTGTCGCATTCGAAGATGGGGTGACACAGTCCAGTCGCATGAGGGAACGGTGCAGAGTGTGCAATGCAGTCGACGTCTCGTCCAAAAGGATAATACATTCGATGCGCGCCGGTTACTTGCGCAACAGACTGTCACCTCACCAGCATCTGGGGATTTGATAGCTCCCTCAATGAGCTTCCTCAATGAGGCGTCATGGTCTAGGTACCTAGGACCCTTGTATGTAGTATATTCTTCGGCTTCGACTGAGATAGAAGGTTTGTTGACGGAATGACGCACTGGCAGCGTGAGGTGGAGGAAGACGGGGAGTTGGCACAGAAACTGACGGACTGACAGGATAACATGTTAGTGTCTTACGGTGTAGATATAACAACACAGGCGGGTCAATGAACTGACGCAGGCGACAACTCTGATGCCTGACAGGAATATTATTCGTGGACTGTCACTGGCACGCTGGCACACTAGTAGATTTAGTAGATCGGCATAATTTCCTCATGTGGTCGTTCCGTGCCTGGCCAAACACAACGGTTCAGGCTGTGTGACCTTGAGGAACGGTTCGTCGAAGTATTCTATACGCGCACCTCGAACTATCACCACTACCTAGGTGTATATCCAACGAGTCTCGGAGACAACCTCATCGACAGCCTTCATCCTTAGCCCCCACGGGACACACGCGCATTCCGTTACAGCACTGCACCGTTCGCAGTTCTCCCGACCATCAATCTCGATGATGGTACCCGCAGTATATCCCTTTGACCCTGTGTAACGTTATCGGGACCATGGCTCCCACCGGCGGTGGTGCAGCAAATGGAGGAGGGGGAGGGGGCGGAAATATCAAGGTCGTTGTCCGTGTGCGACCGTTCAACAACCGCGAAAGAGACCGCAATGCGAAATGCATAGTTCAGATGCGGGACGACCAGACAATCCTGCATCATCCAGGTGAAGCCGAAGATCGATTGCGCAAGGGCGGCAAAAGCGGTGCGGATCACCAAAAGACATTCAAGTTTGACAAGTCATACTGGTCATTTAACAAGGCAGACCCCAACTATGCTGGTCAAGAGCATCTCTTCGGCGACTTGGGGGTCCCATTGCTGGACAATGCGTTCCAAGGCTACAACAATTGCATATTTGCCTACGGTCAGACGGGCTCCGGGAAGTCATATAGTATGATGGGCTACGGTGAGGAGGCTGGTGTCATCCCGAGAATCTGTCGAGAAATGTTCGAGAGAATCAATGGCTTGCAATCAGATCCGAACCTCACTTGCACCGTTGAAGTCTCATACCTCGAGATATACAATGAGCGCGTGCGTGACTTGTTGAACCCGACCACCAAAGGCAACCTCCGAGTCAGAGAACATCCTTCCACTGGGCCCTATGTCGAGGATTTGGCCAAGCTCGCCGTCCGTTCTTTTCGCGAGATCGAAAACTTGATGGATGAAGGAAACAAGGCGCGAACGGTTGCAGCAACGAACATGAACGAAACTTCCAGCCGATCACATGCAGTCTTTACCTTGACCTTGACGCAGAAACGACATGATACGGAGACATCCATGGATACGGAGAAAGTTGCTAAGATCAGTCTAGTTGATTTGGCAGGTTCCGAACGTGCAACGTCAACAGGAGCCACAGGTGCCCGTCTGAAAGAAGGCGCAGAGATCAATCGATCACTTTCCACTCTAGGGCGGGTCATTGCAACCTTAGCGGATCTTTCATCGGGAAAGAAAGGTTTGAAAGTGCCCTATCGCGATTCGGTACTCACCTGGCTTCTTAAAGATTCTCTCGGAGGTAACAGCATGACTGCCATGATTGCTGCAATATCACCGGCGGACATCAACTTCGAAGAAACCTTGAGCACTCTCAGATACGCGGACTCGGCCAAGAGGATCAAGAATCATGCTGTGATCAACGAGGATCCAAATGCGCGAATGATTCGTGAACTCAAAGAAGAACTTGCAAAGCTACGAAGCCAGCTTGGAGGAGCCACTTCCGCGGGCGCCGAAGAAACATACTCTCCAGACACGCCCCTGGATAAACAGTTGGTTTCCATTGTGCAGGCAGACGGATCCATCAAACGAGTCAGCAAGGCCGAAATCATGGATCAGTTGAGTCAAAGCGAGAAACTGTACACAGACCTCAACCAGACATGGGAGCAGAAGTTGCAAAAGACTGAACAGATCCATAAAGAAAGAGAAGCTGCTCTCGAAGAGCTGGGGATCAGTATCGAGAAAGGCAACGTGGGAATGAGCACGCCGAAGAAGATGCCTCACCTTGTTAATCTCAGCGATGACCCGCTTCTTGCGGAATGCCTTGTTTATAACCTCAAACCTGGCATCACCACCGTGGGAAACGTGGACTCGCCGGAAGCGTCCGAGATCAGGTTGAACGGCTCCAAGATCCTCGAGCATCATTGCACATTGGAAAATGTCGATAATGTGGTAACCATCTTCCCTAATGACGGGGCCGCGGTCATGGTCAATGGCGTCCGGGTTGATAGTCCCCGGAGATTGAGGAGTGGCAATCGTATAATCTTAGGCGACTTCCACATCTTCAGGTTTAACAATCCCCTGGAGGCCAAAGCGGAACGAGCTGAAAGAAGCTTGCTGCGACACTCAGTCACGGCGAGCCAGTTGAACTCTCCTACACCACTACGCCCCAGCCATGAAAGGACCTGGAGTGCGGCGGGATCTGAATTCGATGACTCGAGCGGAGCTCAGTCTCCGGGCCTGAGTAACCGGGATTCTGATTGGACTTTTGCCCGGCGAGAAGCTGCAGGCGCCCTACTCGGATCCGATCCTAAGATCATGCAGCTGACAGATGAAGAGCTTGACAATCTCTTCGAGAACATCCAGCGAGCACGGGAGGAGCGCCGAGGACGTCCGGAGCACAAAGTGCATGAGAACGATGACGACTCTGATGATCTGAGCTCCTTCCTGGTGAGGGACAAGTACATGTCCAATGGCACTATTGGAGAGTTCTCTCTTGATACCGCTCTCACATCACCCGGCACACCCTCCACGCAAGGTGGCTTCCAGGAAGATCTGGACGCAACTCTGACACCAAGTCGATTCGTACAAGGTGATCAGCGGCAATATCCGTCAAAAGCTCAAGACACGGGTGAAGCTACCGACCCTTCGCCCAGGGAGGATGATAATGAAGCCCACCCAACTCCGATGGAGCAGGAACTTGAGCGCGCTAGACAAGAATTCCAAGAGCAGCTGCAAAAGCAAAAGGATGCTTATGAAGCCCAGATCAAGAAGCTGGATCTTGAGGTCAGGACACGGGAAGCTTCGCGTAGTCGGTCGGGGTTTTCGCCTCTTGATCCCTCCGAGATTGCTGTCGCACGAAACGTTCTGGAAAAGTGGCGACAAAAGAACTATATCCTCCTGGCGGAGACTGTCCTTCAAAGTGCCGCCCTGCTCAAGGAGGCACAAATCATGAGCAAGCTGCTGGACCAGGCCATCAATTTCCAGTTCGCGATTCTGGAAGTTGGGCAGGACCGTGGCTCATCTTACGATCTGATCCTTGCCGATATTTCAGGCGATGACGACGATGCTCTAGCCAATGCACGAAAGCCGTGCCTTGCGACGAGGATTATTGACAACCAACACAGTTGCGTGCGCTTTTGGTCTCTGGAAAAGCTGCGATCAAGAGTGGCCAAGATGCGGCAAATGCACCAGTACAAAGACCAGCCGGAGTATCTACAACACTTTCGCATGGACAACCCCTTCCGGGACTCCGACCAGCCTCTGTTCTCCTTGGTGGGAGATGGCAATATCCCTCTCACGGCGGTGTTTGAAACGCGTGTCCAAGATTTCGTGGTGGAAATATGCTCTCCTTCGACCAGACAAATTGTTGGAAAGGTTAGAATGTCACTAGAACCTTCGCTGGCCGAGGCGCCTCCATCAACCATCAAGTTCAACATTATCATGAGAGACCTTGTTGGTTTTGCGGAGCATGAAGGTACCCAAGTCCACGCTCAAATGATGGTTCTGGGAACTTCAGACGAGAGCGTTGCAACCACTCCGCCCATCCATGGCTTTGGCGACGGCCCAGTGCGGTTCGAAAGTATCCATAACATGAGCGTGCCTCGATCCGGCGAGCGATCGGCCACATTGAAAACTGCCATTTTTGCTCAAGTTAGTTCCACCCATCTGGATAAGCTCCTAAGTTGGGATGAGCTCCGCGAGATGAATGAGCAACCTGCCGAACAGCAAGAGACACATCGGCTTCCCGAGACGGAGTATAATGTGGAAGAACACCATGATGTTTTTGCGAAGGTGCAAATACTGGAGCTGGCCGAAAACGGTCAATACTTGCCCGTCGACGTCGTGCACACCAGCGCCAATGATAAAGGAGCGTTTCAGCTGCACCAAGGGCTTCAACGCCGGATTCTTGTGACATTGACCCATAGTTTGACGGAGGGTCTCCCATGGGATGACATCAAGGCGTTCCGTGTGGGAGAAGTTCACCTGGTCGATTCTTCTGGTCGGATTGCTGACATTGGATCCGTGACGCCGGACATCCCGCTCAAACAGATCCAGGAACCAATGATCAAGGACAATGCTGACGGCACGTCCAATATCACCATTATCGGACAATGGGACAGCTCCCTTCACAAATCTTTACTGCTTGATCGAGCGACCAACGAGCAATGCAGAATTCAGATTGCGCTTCGTTGGGATGTCGTTTCGCGGCGCCTGGAACAGCCAATGACATTCTCGGTTGACCAACAAGCTCAGATCCTTCCAAGGACATACGTGCGGCCCCAGTCGATGTTCAAAACACTTTGGAGCCATAGCTGGATCACGCAGGCCACGGACGGTCTCTTTTCGATCGTAGTGCGACCTGTCAGCGCCAGAAGAGCGGCTGATCTCTGGCGGTTAGACACCTCGAAGAACTATATCAACGGACAGGAGCTCCTGGGCAATTGGAAACCCCGGGGCATCTCTCTCGTCAAAGATTACCTGGTGGCCCGCCGGAAAGGCCAACAGCTGCAGGATATCGAGTCTGCTAAAGCCATCCTAGGACTGCGACAAGTGAGTGTGGGTGTGAGGAAGCGTCGATCGCAAGCGGCATCGTCTCCACACGTGATGCTAGATGCGCGAGAAGAACAACTCCTCCGGAAGTTCGTCGCTATATGGAAGAAACCCAGCATTGACCTTTCCAACCCTATCTTTGCGGACGGTACGCAGGCCCGTGACGCCACGTCAGCGGCATCGGATGTGGCCAGGTCATCGATTTTGCCGTCCACAGATCCGACTGCAGGTCGCAAAACCCGTTACATGGCTACAGTGACCAACACGCCGAAGAATCCGACATCTCTCAAGTCAGGGTATTTGCTCATGCCCTCGGAGAACCATGATCCGGCACAGAGCCACGGCATGCAGTGGAAACGCCGGTTTGTGGATCTCCGGCCGCCATATCTGTACATTCACTCGGTCCCGGACGGCGAGGGAATCAATGCGATCAGCTTGACCCATGCAAGAATTGACCATGACCCTGACTTCAAACGTTTGTTGGGTAGTGGCAGCTCGGTCTCCAGCGGCGATTCAGGAGGGGCTGCATGCGGCCATAGGAGGGTGGGTAGTTCCGAACTGCACGGGCTGACGCACGTTTTTGCTGTGTATGGGGAACAAAACACCTTTCTTTTTGCGGCGAGGAGTGAGAGTCAGAAAGTGGAATGGATCCTCAAGATCGATCAAAGCTACTTTGATGCAGGCCCTGAGGACGACATATGACATATAGCTGGAGGGACATGGCAAGCGACAGGGGAACATGCAACGATGCAATTGCACATGTGTTTTTTATATCTTGGGAGCCACTTCAACCCGGCTCTCTCCGATGCTTGATGGTCCTGCGTTGATTCGAGATACCCCTTCGCGCAGCTGCTGGTGTCAGGTGGTATTGAATATAGCATCTCTTGCCCTAGGATACCAGTCCTTCCCAGGGATTCACTAGAACCTTATCAAGACGCCGGAGACATGACTGAAGGGAAGGATTGCAATCGTGTATGCAGGCACCAGAGATTCACCTAGCGGCCATCATGCCAAACAAGGTACCTTGCCCACCAGGCATCTGATATTGCCATCGCTGTGTGTGCAGAACGTTGTAGTGACGTTGAAAGAAAAGTACCTCACGTGATCACATCTGGGGTTCGCTGCGGCTTGGCACCGTACGCGCAGTCACGTGCCGTATTCCTTAGTCAGCATCTTCAGTCCTTCCAGCGCAGGCTACAATAATGTTTCGAGATCGATAAAGAAACAAACGAGAACAGGAAAACAATTTTCCTGCATGATCAACCGTGCATCACAATCTCTTCCCATTTTCTTTCCGTGAGGCGTGCCAATGTTGTAGTGACAGCATGATCACTGCCAGTGTGGACAATCACAGCAATAGCCCTGCTCGGATTATGTCATGCGACTCGCTGACCCCATTATCCCTTTGTTGTGACAGGCCGGATGAGAGCTCCAGGAATTGCAACGACGACATCATTACAACAATGCCCAGGGGTACCAGGTACCTGGGTACAGGTAGGTAGGTAAGGTACCTAAGAAAGGTAAGGTAGGTACGTGTAATCACCATACAAAAGAACCTGCAATTACCCAAGGTAGGTACCTAGGTAGGTAGGTACTGTCCAGTGTACTGTGGTAGTAGCATTATTATTGTGATCCGGGTCGCAGCTTCCAACTTCCCATGTTTCGACCGTGATTTCCTGCGGGTGGGCAAGCGGTAAGTGGCAGGTGCAGAATGGCCCCGTCCTCGCCGACGCGGTGTGTTGTCATCTCGTATCCCTTGCCGTCTTTCTCTCTTTTCTTTCTTCTCTGTGGAACACTTGAACACTTGCTACTCGACCATCAATCAACCCAGGAACCCAGAGAACCTAAGTATCCAGGGATCCGGGGTCTCAGAGTTGGGTGTCTCTACCAACCAGCCAATATGTGCCAATAGCCGGCGTCAGAGCGTCCGTCAATCTCAACAAGAAAACTCTCCCTCGATTGAGTCGATCAGCCAGCATTACTCTTGATGCCTGACAGCTCGACGGACCATCAGGCCCAGAACGTTGCCGAACCCGTCACCATTGGAACCCTGCTCTTCGCTCACTCTCACCACGGACCCCGTGTTTTGGTTTACGCCCTTGACATCACTTGCCAACTACTACTTTGCTAACCAGGGTGACTGGCTTCCCCTTGTGCCACCTACACGCAGTACAATACAAAAGGACTGAGATCACACCCAGTGCAACATCTCCCCTTTTGTCACATATACCCAAGTCACACCACAGATCTTACCACGAAACCTTTGAACCTCGTCCTCCACCCTCTCTACCTCCTACCTCCCTGAGTAACCAACAACTCGAACCACCAACATCACCATGCGTAACTCGGAAACAACCCTGCGCGACCGAATGCGCAATCGCCCCTTCTCCGGCGTCGAGGCTGACCGTGAGCGCAATTCGAAATGGCGCTCCGTCCGTCTTCACGGTATAGCCATGTGCGGCGAGTTTGTCGGTACCACGATGTTTCTATGGTTCTCTTTTGCGGGGGCGCAGACCGCCTATGAAACAGGCGGCGTTGCAAATACCTCCAGCCAAGTCATGCTCACCTCCTTGAGCTTCGGCTTTTCATTGCTCGTCACTGTGTGGGCGTTTTATAGGATCTCCGGTGGCTTGTTCAACCCAGCCGTAGGTTCCCTACCCCTAAAGAGAATGCCAGTCGTGGATACAATTGGGCCCGTTCTGAAGGTTGCAATATTGACTGACACTGCCTCAACCTAGGTTACCCTCGCAATGGTCATTACTGGCAACCTTCCGTGGCTGCGTGGGTTGTTGCTCCTCCCTTCTCAACTGCTCGGTGGCATCGTGGCTGCTGCATTGGTGCAATGCATGTTTCCCGGCCCTTTGGTTATCGGTACGACGTTGGGCAATGGCACCACACCCGCACAGGGTGTCTTTATCGAAATGTTCCTGACCGCCCTCCTCGTCTTCACGGTTCTGATGCTAGCTGCCGAGAAGCACTATGCAACTTTCATGGCACCCGTGGGCATCGGTCTGGCCTTGTTCGTCGCCATGATGGCTGGTGAGTACCTTGCACTGTTCACATCGTCTCATGTCAACCCTGAGTTTCTGGGCAATTCGTGACTGACTGTGATCGTACCAGGTGTTCGTTGGACTGGAGCTTCTCTCAACCCGGCACGTAGCTTTGGTCCAGCCGTCGCAACGCCTTACTTCCCTGGCTACCACTACATCTACTGGTTCGGCCCAATCATGGGTTCCTTGCTCGCCGCAGGCTACTACTCGTTCGTCAAGTACTTCAACTATGAGGAGGTTAATCCTGGCCAGGATGCTACCGACCCTCACGAGAAGGAGAGACACGAGCAAGCCGCCGAGTCACCAGCGTGAAGCACATGATTGGCATCATTCGGTCGGAAGCCAGACAATTGAGATGCATCAACCTAGGTCGATTCAATATCCTTGGGGGCGAACATTGCATTCAAATTCAGATACATTCTCCTTGCGTCTACATTATATGACACCAGTGGTGTAGCATATCAAGGCGCTGGCTGGAACGGCTATATCAGCATGCCGCACCATCACGATTTCGACAGCAAGGCGTAGTCGAACTTGGAGCTGGACTCGGTTTACAACGTGGATGCAATCCCCCACGGCTTTACGACATGCATAGCGATGGTGAGAGGCGTTCATTCTCTCGAGGTTATAGGGAATGGAAACGGGCGGCTCATGGATGTGAGCAATGAGCAACAACTATTGTTAGCCATCCCTTTTTATGGGAAAATGAATATTTATCATTCCTAAGCCTTCAATACGTGTTTCTGATGAGAAATGTCTATTTCGTGCTGCAATCTCTATCCTAACACTCGTCATATTTCTTTGCAACTTGATGTCCAACGCCTTAAAGGCGAGGTGAACCACAGCGATAGGTGTGCAGTTTTGTCGGAATGACACAAAATATAGAGTATAATAGATATCTAGGCTATGTACCGAGGTATTGTTGACCAAGATCGGTTTCGACATTTTATGTCCTTGACCGATGGCATGGCATGTTCGAATCATGTTCGTGTTTTCCCTGGTTCTTGGTTTCTGATTCTTTGTTCTCGACCAAGACGAGTTCCCCGCGTCTTGATCGCATTATAACCCTCGGCCATCGAGGTCCTTACCCACTTTCCAAGGATAGATACTACAGGTACATCACATCTTCATCACAACGATCTCAACCTCGAGAAACTCACGACACCTGCCAAAAAAGCAATCATGACAGCCCGGATGTCACTGCATGGCGTTGATGAACGTCCACATACGATACCAGCCGGGCCACACCAAGCAGGCCGTAAGGGAATCAAGACGATGTGATATCAGATAAGGTCTGAATTTCATATAGGCTCATTCTACACCGTGAGCGATTATTTATTACTGTACTTGTTCCTCCAGCCAAAACTACGGCGCTGCCAGTGTGCATGCAGTATGCAGCATTCATCGGGATCACCGGGCACAAAAACAATCGGTGCTTCTGATCTTATCAATTGGTGTCATCTAGTTAAGGACCAGTACCAGTACTAGTCTCCTGTTCCCACGCAGCCTGGGAGGCACCACCTATTCGACCTTGGTGCTCAACCTTCTCGCCCGTCTCTCCGACGCGACGCGGCGTACACCTTATGCGTTACAATTCCAAGTTCGAAGATATTGCAATACCTTTTGGATACTAGTATCCCATGTCCCATGTCCGCCCTTAGGGCACTGGCGGGGCGGCTCTTGCCGCTGCCATTCTCTGTGGCCGCAAAACAAAACGCACAAGCAAACATCATGTCATGCCAGATCCGGATCTGTCTTGCCTTTCTCTGTCTGTCTCTCTCTTTGACTTTTCCGCTTGCTGCCTGGTCCATCTGACTTCGAAAAAGAAAAACAAGCGATTGTGGTCGTCCATGATAAGTCATGTTGTTGACAAATCCATGCTCAGATGATCAAACAAACCGTGCCCAGAGCGTCCGAACTACCTTTTCCCACCGCGTAACACAAAAGTCCAGTACCCATAACACATGTTCTGTGCATCAATACTCGCAGGCCGTTTCCATCGTAACTCTTTCGCAGATATCGAGGACGGTGCCAACCCTCGTCCCGTCAGATGCCGTCTCCGCGCCGCTTGGAAATATCCAAAAACGGTACTCCATGCTCCCTATCCAGGCGTAAGGAGAGACCCCTGCCTAGATGACTCAAACATCAATCATTTCCGCGTCCTCGGCAAGAACTTCGTCTGCAGGGCCCCAGTTTCCTTCAAACACAGTGGCCCCTGCCCGTCGTCTTGCCTCTGCCCACCGGACCCCCTCGGTGTTCAGCACTTCGGTCGCCAGTGGTCGGTCGTTAGGGTCCGGAGATATCATCCACCGCACTATTCGGTCGAGCGCTTGTTCATGTGACGGGTCGACCATGAACTGAGGGGGATCAACAAGTTCGCCACTTCGTGGATGTTGTAGGGTTTTGTGCTCATGTTGAGATTCCATCGCGTCATCCTGCTCGCTCTCGACGATCTCAACATCATTTTGATAGTAGTCATGTGCGGTGTCGAAGCGTGCCCCCGGTGAGATAGGATTTCCAGAAGAATCCCGTAAAATGCCGCTGGTTCCCGAGCTCCACGTTAGACTTGGGACATCACTCATGTCCCCGTTTCGCAATTTCTGCCAGGAGATACCATTGTCGGGCAGTTCGACATTGCCAGCGGTCTCCAGCATAATGAGGCCCAAGGCGAAAATATCTGCCGGCTTGTCGTAGCGGCCCATCAACACTTCTGGTCCAATGTATTCTCGATCCCCTTCACCCTCGATCCCGGCCTTTGCTGGCCAGCGGGTTGCCATGCCGAAATCCGCAATCTTGAGCACCCCTTCAAATGTGATGAGAACATTGGCCGGCTTCAGGTCAAGATGAATAAAGCCACAGTCGTGAATATGTTTCAGACCCTGCTGTTTGTCAGCTATTGTCGATCCGAGAAGGTGAACAGATTACATACCATTGACAGTTCAAGGAGAATCTTCCAGATGCGGAAATCGTCGAGCCGAGCTTTCAATCCTACCTGGGCAAGGAACACATCAAGCGTACCTTCTTCGCAGAATTCTGTCTGGATGTATAGATGCCCTTGTTCTTCCCAACTATCCACGAATGTCACAATATGATCGGAATGACCCAAGGCTTTGAGCACATCCACCTCGTGGATCTTCCTCTGGCGGTCCCTGGCCCCGGCGTACGGATACCGAGATCTCTTCACCGCCCACACCTTTTCGGGAAGAGACCCTCTGGATGACGGACGGCTCGTTGAAACGGAATATATCTTGTGGTACGGCGAAACCTCGGGAGGGTGCGATACACGATAGACTTGGGAAAATTCCCCGGAGCCAATGAGGTCGACTTTCTCGAATCTGGACGTCAAGCTGCTGTCAACGTTCGACGCCTCCGCCGAAGCAAGATTCAAGCTCGGGCGATTGGAAAAGTTCGAGAAGTATTCGCGCGGAGCAGTCGGAGTGGCAGGAATAAAGCTGGTCGATTTGTGTTCGTGTCGCGTCGTCGGACGTTCACCGCGGCCAGAAATGGAGAGGCCGCTTGGATCGGGAGGGAAGTAGTTTTCGAGGGGTGTGTGCGGAGAAGCTCGATCGACTCTGTCCAACCTTGGACTAACTGGAGAGGCAGATGTCATCTTAGCACGTTCCAACGCGGGAGACTGAAAGGTCTGAATTGAAAGAGTCTTCCTCGATAGTCGCGCAGGAAACCCACGATTCTTGGAGAGACGCCCCGGCGTGAAAGAGGGACCCGGCATAGAAACGGCCCTCAGCGTCGACTTCGGTTTCAGGTTGGCGGACGGAGAGTCCTCCATCACACTGTCACTGTCTCCGTCGACGCATCCTGGCGATGCCAAAATAGGAGACAACTTACTGCTTGCTATTCGAGTACCGTAGGCTGAACCGGAATCATCTTGGCCGATACCAGAAATTCCAGGGCCATGGGGTGATGGAGACACAGAACCACGGCTCGTCAATTCTGTGATATACTTGGTCGGTGTTGGCGGGTAGTCGGACTCAGTCGATTGACTGTTGGCGCGGCTCAGGGGAGAACGCGGACCTGCCTTGTCCTCGCCACCTAGGAACGCAAAGCTGCCCTCTCTGAGTAAATTGTGTTTGCCAGAACGGGCACCAAATATCCCGACGCTTTTCGCAAAAGGGAAGGCTGAGATCTTCGATGAACCATGCGCCTCCAGGGGAGTTGTAGCTGCCCCAAAAGACTGTCGAGGCGCTCGGTTGGCGACAACGTTGGACACTCCAAATTTGTCATCTGTTGGGAAAACTGCCGGTTGTTTCTTGCAGGGGGTATCTGGCATATGGGCTTTTGGTAAGCCAGCATTGGGGTCATCGACATTGCGATTCTTTTTCGAAATCAAGCCCGTCGACATGAAGGCAGCAGGCAAAGGTTTGGCAGCCTTGTAATTTCCCGGAGTGGCAAATGAACCCTGCGACGACAATTCGTTCTGCTCAGGGGAAGGAGCTGGCCTTGCAGAGCCAATAGGTAGGGATTTGGAGAAGTCATGCGATCGAGGTCTATTTGGTCGATGGACTGGCTCATGCGTAGGTGATTCATCTTGCTCACTGAGTTGCGACGATGACTGGGTCATCGTGCGTGACAAAGGATGTCGAGGCGGCTGTTGTGAGAAAGTGTTTTGACTCGAAGTGATGGGATGGATTGAGGCATTCAGTAGACTTCCCTGGCTCGAAAAGGGACTGTCCCGAGGCAAAGGCTGAAGATGGTTGTCCAAGGACAGCCGAAGACCCTTCTTCGAGCTTGTACTTGGTGTTGCCTCCAACCAAGACTTATCCCAATCCATGATCTGGTTGAACTTCAAGTTGCTGGGACGCTCTAGCTGCCGTTGTTGAAGCGTCGACTTCCGCAGAGACGACGATCGTTTCGGAATCGTAGAAAATCGAGACGATGATAGAGGGGTGTTGTTGACAAACCAGTCACTGTCGTCTTGAGACCGTTTGTCGTTGAACATGCCTCCGTCCAAAGCGTCGGACTCAAAAATGCTAAAGTCGAGCCCGGGCCCATGAAGACTTCGTCTCTTTGCGGAGGGGCTTCCCAAACCCGGGACATCATCCATTCGACTATCCGGCCGCTTCATAGGGCTAAGAGGAGCAACAGATGTAATCAACGCTCCACCACTTCGTCTCTTCTCTTGACGAGTCTGTGCCGCCTTCCTTCCGAGTGCGTCTTCTGGCGATCTGTCATTCTCCTTGCTATCGCCGGTATGCAAGGCTATCAAGACAGAATCACGCTCAGCCTCGCCTGAACTCCGCTTTCGCAACGGCATGGGAGATGAATTCCCGCTGTCACTTGAGTCAGTCAGAACTCGCTTTGATGGACTTTTCGGCGAAGTTCGAATTCGAATAATTCCGTGGGGCTGCGCAGTCCGCCGGAGGATAGGGCGCTGAAACCGTGGCCCTTGGGAATTCCGATTTGAATGTGGAGATACCATACTCGAAATCGGCAGGATGCTCTCCGAGGTGGACTTTCTTGAAGGCGAGAGCGGTGAAGGTGAGAAAGGGAGGTTGTTAGAGCTGGGTGATCGAAAGGGATATTGGCGAAACTCGGAACTCTTTGAAGGCGAACGTGACAACGATCGGCGTATCTCGCGGATGGCTGAATGGGGATCAAAATGTGAGATGCTCTTAGGCGAGTGTAGGTGGGCAGCTTCACGCTCCTCACGATGAGGAGAATATGTTGCCATCATGGTTGAGGCATGTAGGTGCTGTGATTCAAAACAAGACACCGCTCGAATCTTCCTTCCGGCTATTGGCCATGTATCTGGTTAACCCCAGTGAGACACGGGTGTCTTTCTTCGAGGAACCGTCGACTTTTAGCCGGTTGTCGTCAATATCGGGCACACTTCCAACGAACGCCTATATTCTTTCACGCGTGCTGTGATGAGGAAGGGCAAAGGAGTGTCGTGCTGTCGCCGGAAGGTCGCGGAGATTTTGGGTATCTCCTGGCTGATATGAAGCTAGACGGTCCAGCAATGCCCTTTCTTCTGGACGGCCCGCGATAGCGTTCCGTTTACAGTGGACCGCGAAAAGTGGTGAGTCAAGCTGGTGAAACAGGCTGGGAGAGATTGAAAGAGGCGCGGAGCAGTGGCTGTCAGTGCGATATGGAGTGGAGGACAACTGTCAGATCGATGCAGCTGGTGGAGGGAAGTTGGAGGGAGTGAGTGTATGCGTGTGTATGTGAGTGTGTATCAGGATGCGGCTGTTGAGAGAGGCCACCGATCGACGAGTTGGGCAGCAGGTCCGTCAGCTGGATGCGTGTATCGCGTGCTGTGCGGCGGGGAGGATGACCTGGGTTTGATGTGTTGTTCGGTCGACGGTGGCGAGGTGAGGGCGGGTGAGGCTGCGTTGCGATGGGAGGTACGCGGGCAAGTAAGAGAGAGGCACGAATAGAACGAGAGGATGGTGGAAGAGAGCTTGCTGTCTGGATTGCAAGTTTCGAGTATTTGCCTAGGGCGAGCGATCAAGAGGCCACGACACGCTGTCGATGATATTCCATCGCGTACGACTCGCAACTAGTGTGTAGTAGGTGAGTACACAGTGCGGTAGCCTGCCATTGCTGCGTGTGATCTTGACAGGCACGCGTCTGTGGTCCCTGAGTGGGTGGTGCCAAGTCCGGCATGTAAACAAGTGACGCCCTAGTGACGCCCTAGTGACGCTCTAAGGTGGCTTTAGGCAGCCTTATACGCCTCTAGTGTCTTTAACTGGCCACTAAGCCACTGCGAGCCGCTAGTTCCCGCCCGGCGTGGAATATCTGCCTGGACCGTGTGAAAGACTGAATGAGCATTGATTGAACAGCGGTGACACCGGGCTCCGGGGCTGCTCGTGGGCTAAGGAGGTCACACAAGCCACCTGGGAAATCCCGTTTCCCCGCTCAAGAAAGAGCGCATTTTGACATTTTGGTCAATAGACGAGTCGTGGCTACCTACTACTGTGGTACGTACATGCAGGTCTACAGGAGCCTCTTGTAGCTCTGGTGATGTTGAGCGTTATGGCATACTACTGCAGGCAATGCATGCAGGGTAATCTTATTGTGTTCAATTGATAATTTCGCCCAAATTTATTAATGGGCCTCATCTAACATCTAGGACTATTCAGTACTATCCCGAGTTATATTATTACACCTACCAATTACTAGGTAACTACGCGAGATTATTCCTCGTCCGACTCTAGGCAATTTCAGGAATTGTGTTACATGCAAGGGCTTGCGTTTGGCGTTAGTGGCCATCGTAGGTAGATGACACCAACCCACCCATTGTGCTGGGAGGATTGACCGTTTCTCCTCCAGTTACTCCTCTCTAACCACATAATGGATCCCTTGCTTCGGATTCATCGCCCACTTTGAGATATAAATACTATTGATCGGCCGTCATCTCAACAGCCGCTGGCGTACCAGCCTTGCACGCGAGCTGGAACCTCCTGATTGTCATTGCCATCTGGTCTGGCAAAGGGATGGCCGAAGTATTGAAGTGCACCACTTGTACGCACAATTCGTCAAGTCAGGGTGTCCGGCCAGAAAGCTCGCCTGCTTTCTCAGCCGAACGAGCCAAGTCCCAGAAACCCCCGACTCAGGCATCAGGACCCCGTGTTGCTGCAGACAAGGTGCGGACCCAACTCGGCTTCGAAGCAAGCGTTGTTCTTAAAGCCCAAAGGGTCTATTTACTGGACGATCTGATACGCTGCTGGTAAGCGTCCCATCCGGCCTTCTGATATTCCTTCACGGCTGTCACTGGATCAGCTGCAGCATAAATGCCTCTCCCTGCGATAAGAAAGTCGGAGCCTCCTGCCATAGCCATTGTTGGGGTCTGGTATTGTTGGCCGAGGGCATCTCCCTTGCTCGAGAGGTTGACGCCGGTAGTGAAGACCACGAAATCTTCATTCGGACTGGCGGCAGGGGAGTGGCTTGATAGTTCCTTGGTTGACACAAAGCCGAGCACACTCTGGGGATACTTTCGTGCGATCTCGACCGACGCTCGCGTATACTCGCCTACAGCCAGGGAACCCTTTGAGGTCATTTCGGCCAAAATCAGAATGCCTCGTTCCGACACACCGGCATCACAGATGGTCTGGTCCAGGGCCTGTATGATGCCCTCTCCAGCAAGGATGCTGGCATTGATGATGTGAGCCCAGTCGTGGATCCGTAACGCACCCCCTTTGTATTGCTTCTGTACGGTGTTGCCAATATCGATGAACTTTCGATCCTCGAACAGAAGAAAGTCGTGACGTTGGGCCAGCTGGGTAAGTCCGTCAATGGTGCTCGTGCCAAAATCGGAAACAATATCGATGTGTGTTTTGAGGACGGCGATATATGGTCCTAGACCTACATGATATAGCAGAGAAGTCAGACTGGGGAATGTGGTTACAGCCATGACAGCCAAGTACAGAGACAAGCATCTTGACAAGCGCATGTACGCGGTGTATTCCAGCCATCACTGACGGCTAACGTTCATTTGTAAAGGCATTTGCTAGAGTACCGACTTACGGTCAGCAATGTCAAGGAGTTCGTTGGTGGTTGTCAAGTCGGCCGAGAGGACGATGTTGGTTTTTTTCCTCTCGGCAATGGCGAAAAGCTTTTTCACCAGCGGGCTGCGATGCTCTTCTGCTCTTTGTGCATATGATAGACTGCTTCTGGACGCCATCGCTGTATAGCCCGGTTCTCTGCTTGGCTTGGGTTCTGGTTATCCACGTTTGAGTTGGGTCACTCAGGCTCGGGGTGAATAATGACCACAAGAGCAAGCGATCCAGCCCCTGCGGAAACCGTGCACTCGTGACCTTGCAAAACCGGAGTCGGGGACAGGGACCGGGAGGAGAATCCGAGGCCGGAACAGTGGATCTGTGAATATTAGGTGGTGGTTGACTGCCGACAATTCGCGAGTTGTGGTTGGAGCAGAGGAAGAAAGGAGCCAGAGTGCGGAAGATGCAGTTGTGCAGTGGATGGTGGATGATGGATGAGCAACGCAGGCAGCAAGCAAGCCGTCACCACCTGGGAATGGCCAGCAGAATGCCACGTTGACCATCGAAGGGGAAGTGGCTAGTTCATGTGTCTAGGGGTGTAGGGGCAGCCTCCCTAGCCACCCCTAAGGGGAGAATGTGCCGTTGTGGCAGCGCAGGGGGGAGCAAGCCACCAGGGGAGAAAACAGCCAGAGATGACGCTCTGCATGGCCGTTTCCCCGTGCCCTTTTTACCATTCTTTGCCTACATGCCCATTCGATACCCTACTACTCCGTACTTCCTACTGTTTTATCATGGGATGCTCAAGCCTTTCCCATCATCACCGTCCTGCGCCCTTACTCCCTACGTATTCAATATTCCGTACGACCATCAATCACCACCACCACCAGCAACCTGTTTGCTCACCCCCTGTTGGGCATTTATCTGGCTCATTGTTCTCCATTTTTTCAAACTCTTTTTCCCGATCCGATTACTGATGTGTTGCTCATTCTCCACATCACACGGCTTACCCCGAGTCTCCATGTTTGGATCTGTATAGCCAGCCATCGATCAATTCCTCTCTTCACCACCCGCAGCGCCACAATTCCTGACTTCTCGGACCCAGGCCCTCTCACATCTCCCTTCGCTCGACTTCAAGGACTAGATCCGTACCCGAGGCTTCCGTGGCTACCCGTCATGCCGCAATGATCCTGCAAGGTGCGCTGGGCAAATAGCGTCATACCCGTTGAAGGAAGCAGAAGAAACAAAGAAATCGGAAGGAGGAAGGAGGAATCCCCCATTAGGACATGTCGCAGTCACCGGACAATGTTTCTGCAACAGGAGCAGGCCCTCCGGCTCCGTCACAAGCAGCTCAAGAGGCTTCTCCTGCCCGAAACTCCCGCAGTGTTTCTGCCATCCCACAACTGTCCAGATCTCGCAAAAATAGTCAGGAGTTCAGCCCGACACGAAGCAGTGCTGGCCCACACACTACTGTGCCTTCCGCGGCCGCGGTTCAGCGAGCGCTCTCGGCACAGAGGCCGATATTGCAGCCCTCGAGCGCTGAAGGCATGTTTGAAGGCGCGAGAGCTTCCGACCACAGGCAATTGAGATCAGGCCCAAACTCGCCGTCTTGGCCTACCTCGCCTCGCTTGAAATCTCCTCCCCCTTCCAAAGTAGGAACAAGGTCCTACCCAGCCAAAAGAAATGACGTCGAGCACGCGCAGTCCAATACATCACTGAAAAGACTGGTCACGGTGTCAAATCCCGAACAGGCTGCCGCCTTGCATCTGCCCGATGGCCAAGAACCGACAGTTTCGCTGTCTACAGTACGAGCTTCAGGCAGGGGGCCAAGTGCCGGTGGAGGTGCTCTGGAGACTGTCGCCGAAAGCAGTGTGCCTTCGACACCGTCAATGGGCCCCGTTGTTACCACGCCGTCCGGCCCAAAGATCGACGTGCAGGATCTGGACAAATCGGCCGAGCCGCAGCCTGGTCCCCCCGCGAGCAAAGAGAACGAAACGAGTGGCGGCGACGGGAATCCGAAGGCACCGGCAAACAAGGCAGAAAATGGGCCTAGATCAAGAGCTCCGAGCGGCTCGCGACCTGCCTCCGAGCTAGCAAAGCGATCCTTCACCAGCCTTACTGGTGCCAAACACAAACCGGCCACTGAACCTCCTAGAACTATGACGGTCGAAACCGAGACTGTCACCTCGATGCCTCAACTGTTGGGTCCGGACCGAGGGACCTCCGGCAGGGATGCAAACGGAAGTGTCCGAACAAAACCAAGCAATGAAACGATCCGGCCCAAGAAAGAAAAGAAGAAGTCGACTCGTAAGGCGCCATCGTTACATGCAGGCACTGTCACTTCCAAAGCCGACCTATTCGAGGCTAAGGTTGCAAGCGCCGTTGACGAGGCCGATTCTTCGGATTCAGATGAGACTTTTGTGTACGAGTCCAACCCACCAGACAACCGCCCCAGTCGCCATCATTCACGGACCCCGAGTGCCACCTCGCTAGCGAGTCAAGATCAATACGGCGTCCGCAGTAAGCACGGTGTCCGAAGCGGCAGCCATGCAATAGCCGGCAAGAAGAGCATGAAGTTTTCCAACAGTGCCTACAACAATCATTTGGATGGGGAAGCCAGTGTGGAAGGGCGAGCAACTCAACGCAACTCAAGCACGACGCCTCGCCATCATCATATCAGCAGACATGGACGGCCCCATCATACTTCTCTCTTCGACGCAGACTCGCCTTTCGCTCAAAACAGCAAGGCCAGTTCACCACGGAGCTCGGCCAATAATTTGTCCCGATTCTCCAGGCCGAATAGTCCCAGGCTGTCCAACGGTCGGTTGCCTATGAGTACACGGAAGGGAGAACCGTTCGACCCCTATGACGATGCTGCAGACGACGAACGTGCTCCTCTGATAGGATCAGTACGCATCACTCGTGCCCGACATAGTCGTCGACCCCACAGCGCCACACTGCGGCAGTTTGACTTTCCGGATGACGATGACCCAGGCTACTGTGGACGATATGGGGGTTGCATTTTTCTGGGGTTTGTTGTCGTCCTGGTGTGTGTCGGCGTCACGGCCTTTGTGATGGCGCTAAACCGACCCCTGGCGGATGTGTCTATCAAGCACATTCAGAATGTTCTTGCGTCAGAGCAAGAACTGATGCTGGATCTCCACGTGGAGGCGATCAACACAAATCTTTTTGCCATCACTGTCAACGACCTAGACGTCAATTTGTTCGCGGAAAGTCCGTACGTGGGCACGGCCGCGGACGGAGCGAATGCAAAGGGGTCACTCCGGTGGGGGCAGCGACAAAATTCCAGCAGCTCGACACTTACATGGCCTCCCTGGCATACTCATGACGGGGTGGATGAGGGCACCGACCCTATCGACGACCCAGAATCCGGGACCCAGAAAATGCTGCTGGGAAGAATTCTAGAATTCGATTCTCCATTGGTATTCGAAGCCTCACCTTTACGACGCACCCTCAGCTCGTCTGTCGGGGAAATCCGGCTAGCGAAGCCTGGTAACAAGACGGAAGAGGGAGGGTCCGCTCGCTGGGAGAGGGTCTTGCAGCACCAGTTTGATTTGATCGTCCGGGGAGTTATCAAATATCAGCTCCCTCTGAGTTCCAAACCAAGATCTGCGAAGATTGGAGGCCGAGTTCAAGTCCTGCCAAGTGACGGCGGATCGGACAAGAAACCCTGATACAGTCTCGGCCGGGCAACACAACCGACCAGGAAGTATGGAAGAGAGGAGCAGATTACGATGTGGACGAATTTCGTTTGTGAAATCAACAAAGCCTCCCTCAGACGGAGGTATTAACGACTAGATACCCAAGGGTCTTGAAAGGACAAAAGCGAGGGGCGGGCGAGTATACTTGGTTACCTTTATATAAGGCTGTAGAAGAAGAGCTCCTGGGAAGGCCGAAAAGGGAAGCGGTACTCAGCAGCGGTGGCGCCTCTGTCACAAGGCCGGGCAGCCAGCGGTTGCATGTTGTTTCTCAGCATGTTTATTATAGTGAGTGGTTTTCGTGCCGCAAGCTTCAGAAGAATAGCAGAGCTCGCATACAATTCCCAGCAGCCTCAGCTCATAGGTGGCCCGGAGCGATGCCTCTCCTCACTCTCCTCACCGGTTCTCGATCAGACGTGTTATAGGTTGGCCGTCTGCTGGGTGTGACGGCATCAGCCTGCACTTGGGGCCCAGAAGAATATCCCCCTCGTATCGAGCGATATAGGTATGCAGTGGTTGGCGACATGGTTGTGGGCTGCAATGGTGAGTGCAGGGACTTGGATATGGCCGTAGCCTGGCCATGCACACCGGCTGAGTCTTTCTGTGTGACCATCATCTCATAGTGTTATGCAGCTATGGGGCCACGATTGGAGTCGCTGCTGAACAGGAGTTGAGAGTATTCCTGCTCGCGAACTCTTAATCGGTGCTGTTGGATGCAGGTGATATAGCGATGGTAGGTGGTGTTTTGGTGGAAGGATGATAGGTATTCCTTACGTAGTAGGCATATTGGCTGCCTGCATACCGGGGCGTCAAGTGGGCAGATACCTTGATAACAACGTGATACGTCATTTCCCTTTATTCTATAAAACCCTGTAGGTACAGGTGCTAGTAAGGTTATAGGTACCCAGTAGCTGTTACTATTATTTGCCTATCAGGCACCTAGAGGTCTGTACAGTGGCGGGTATGCGTTGTCCTTCCATGCCCCTCCATGCGCATCCAAGTCCTCTGGTTCCGTCTCTCATCCCTCTTGCGGTCGCAGTCCAGCCACCCAGGTCCTGTGTGATCCAGTAGTCCTGAATCGTCTCCCAGCTCGCACTGCACAGTGCTTTCATCATCTCTCTTTCTCTACAAGTACCGCAATCAAGCTGTTCGACAACACAAGTACGCAGCTTGCTGGACAAGACTGCCTGGACCTACCTCCAGGTAGTATGCTACGACTCGCCCCGGCCCTTTCAGCCCACTAGTACGGACTGTGAGGTAACAAACCTTTAGCCTCCTTAGCCTAGGTACTACTACCTAATAATTAATACCTAAGGTGCTATTTCATACCCAACAGCATTCTAATTCCCGGCCCCAATCCTGGTTAGCTGTTGCAGTGCAGTGTGGCCAGCTCAACCATCCTGCACCCCCATCACTTCTATCAGTCTCAGTCTCTTCTCCCTTTCTAACCATCCGCATATCACACTTGATGCCCCAGGAACCTTTCGCATCTCATCATCAGACTTGTGTTCACAATTGACCGCGGTCAGCTATCGTTCTGTACCGTCCCGCCAGCCAAGCCCGCCGCACGACCCTTCGAGCCGAACCTCCTAGCCCTTCCGCCGCTCAGGCCACACGCTGCCCTCGGCCCTCGCCCACCCTTTCACTCGCGAGCAAGATGGGTTCCGTCTATGGCGGCCGTTTCGACGACGCTCGAACTTCAGTCTCGTCTGCGCGCCGAGATGGCGGTTACACAACCGTGAAGCGCTATGTTGTCAAAGAAGAGGATACCCGCAGTCCTATCGGTCGGGACCGCCGCTTCGTGCCCGACCGAGCCGGAGAGCGAGTGGAAGAGACTCGCATTGTCCGCCGCGAACGCGATGTCGATGAACCTCGTCGCGATGATCCTCGTTACACAGAGCGCGAATTGGTCATCCGACGTGAGCGTGATGAAGAGCCACGTAGAGACTATGTCTACGACGCTTGGCGTGACGAGCCTGCCGCGGAGCGAGAGTTGGTGATCAGACGCACCACCGAGCGCGATGATCCTCGCAGAGACGAGGTGTCAGTTGCAAGGTACGAAGATCGAGGTCGAGATGTGCGGATTGCGGAGACCCGGTATCGAGACGACTATGAAATTGTGGCGCCCAGTCGTTCTTTTGACGATCGTGATCTCCAGCGATACTCTCGGACTGCCGAGTACTTCACTCCGCCTCCACAACCCACAACCATCGTCATCCGTCAAGAACCTATCATCATCCGAGAGAGAGTCCGAGACGATGACTACCAGATAGTTCGCAAGTCAGACGTCGAAGACGAGCGCAGTGTTGTCCGTAGGGACCCACAACCTCGTGGCGAAGAAGACTTCTTTTATGAAAAGAAGGTCCGAGAGCGCCTCGATGACCGTCGCGATGATGACGACTACTACGAGCGGCGAAGCCGACGCCGCTCTGTCAGTCCCCATGACTCAGTGAGCCAGAGAGGGCGTGATTATAGCAGTGACGACAGCATGGTCTACGTGCGCAAAGAGACCCGCGAAGAGAGCCCCAGTCCTGATCGCCGAAAGCGCCTTGCCGCGGGTGTTGTTGCAGGTGTGGGCGCCGCCGAACTTCTTCGAAATCATAAGAAGAAAGAAGGCCGCGAGACCTCTCACGGCATTGGTCGCGTGGGACGGGACATTGGCGCAGGCGCCCTAGGAGCTCTTGCTGCCGAGGGCATTTCGCGTGCAAGATCACGCCACCGAAGCAAGAGTCGACACCATTCCAGGGACTCCAGAGATCGCTATTCTTCGCGATCACGCTCTCGCAGACGCAGCAGATCCCGATCGGGGTCGCCATCGAAATTCAAAACCCTCGGAGCCGTCGGCCTCGGGGCTGCTGCACTCGCCGCTGCCGCGACTATCGCTGCAAAACGCATGAACAAAAACAAAGAGGAGCCACGGCGCAGTCGTTCTCAACATCGTCGGGAATCTCTCTCTAGCCTCGAGAATGATGCATCAGCTCCATCTGATACTGCTCGAAACCCCAAGCATCGCAACAAGAGGATTGCCGAAGCCGGTGCTGCTGGTGCTGTTGTCGCAGGTCTGATTGATAGGGCTAGGAGCAAGTCACGGGCCAGGGATGGAAAAGAACGATCCCGCAGTCGCATCAGACAAGCTCTTCCTATTGTCGCTGCAGGACTGGGCAGTGCAGCACTTGCCGGCTTATATGAGAAGAACAAGGCCAAGAAAGAGGCCGAGGAGATCGCCAAGGAGCAACGCCGTGCTCGCTCCAGGTCAAGGAGTAGAGCTAAGTCGGATGGATACTATGATGGACCCAGAGATGCAGCGCTTAGTGATCCTGGTTTGATCGAGTACGGCACTGGCCCCATGTACGGCAACAACTTTGGTCCGGACTATTATGGTCGACCTCCACCACCAGAGGGCTACTACGGGGCTTCTGACGCAGTGGTTCCCGCTGCCGCCGGTGGTACCGCAGCATATGCCGCTCAGCGAGGCGCCAGAAGTCGCAGTCGAAGTGCGAGCCGTGAACGTGGCGGGAGGTCGTCTCGCAGTTCCAGCTCTTCCCCTGAGCGAAGCAAACACGGGCGCAGACGATCTTCACATGATGCCGTGAAGACAGCTGCAGCGGCTGGAGCCGGCGCAATTGCTGCCTCTGAGTATGAGCGACATAAGCAGGAGAAGCGAGAGCGTAAAGCCCGAAGACGTAAGTGATTTTGTAAATCAGTTTCCAAATGTCGCAGCTAACAGCAGCATCTAGGTCGTGAAGAGGAGGGATATGGCCATGATCCCTATGAGGACAACTATAACCCTGCTCAGCCGTATCCTCCCACGCCGCCACCGCCCGCCAACGACCCGTATGCTTCCCAGCAAGGCTTCTATCCTCAAACAAGCCAATTCCCACCACCGCCTGGTTCTGTACCCCAACAATACCCTCCACAGCAGACAACACCTACAGCCGGGCCTGCTGCTGGGACATCCTATCCTGCTCAGCCTTACCCTCCTCCTCCCCCAGCGAGCGGACCGCCTCCCCCAACCACCACTCCCTATGATGCATATGGTTCCGGTGCGAATCCTTACGCACCACGGGGACCTGAAAATGTGAGTGCTGAGCCAAGTCCTACATTTGGCGATTTGTCTGTACCTGCCACATCCAATGACCAGAACCATGTCGATGGTACGTCGTAGTCATGTACCTCTTTTGACTCATCCGCTGTTGAAAGAAGTCGCAATGGATGGTTCTGACAACCTACATTTAGGTCTAAATACGGCTGTTGGCGCCGCCGCTCCGTCACCTGCTGTCAATGGCCACACGTCCTCAACCTCGACATCAGCAACCTATCCAAGTCCTATACCGAACCCTGAATCTACGAAGAATTCGATGGCATCCACAGCAAGAGGAGTCTCCCCACCTCGCTCACAGTCTCAACCTGCCCCATCTGCTCGACGTAAGAGTGTGCAATTCGCCGACAAACCAGAAATATCACCCGACTTCGATGCCGGTGCTGCGGAATCCGACGCTTCAAGTCCCGAGCGTCATCGCCATAAGCACAAATACCCCAATTCTCGAGGCTACGAATCGGAAGACGACACAGACTCCACCCCTGTAGATGCCCGACATGGACGTCGGGACCGTTCATCTCGGACCAGAAATCTTGATCCAACTGGCGGTGCTCAGGACAAGCGAAGAGACCATCTGCGACGCCCGTCTCATGAGCCGACCACTTCCCACGATGGACTGCGGGTGCCACCGCCTGAACGTGTCACCAGCCCGTATGACTCGGATTCCACGGTAGAGCTGCCGCCAAGGTTCGACGAACAAGGACGAAGGAAGACCGCGCTAGGAGAGGATCCTCTTGCAGATCGTCTGGAGGAGATTCTTGCCGGGAGAGGAGTTGTGGGAAAGGTGTTCGGGAATTTCTTGGATGGGCTATTGGGACCGGAAGGTAGGAAGAGGGGCAGGTGAATCCTCCGCCTCTCTCTGGACAGACAGGCAAAGGAGCCACTTCGAACGAAGATCTGATATATGAGACGAGTTTCATTTGTTTGCTGGAAGATGAGTCCAGAGGCGTTGGTAACATGCGTTCTAACTATATATCCATACGGATAATGACTGGCTTTGACGACGACCATGACAAGAGGACACGATGGACACGATGGGAATTATGAAACTCCACGAGCAAGATCAAACCACGGACTCAGATGAAGGAATGAATTTACAACTGGATATTTCCTCCTCGATTTCTGTTTTATGTAGAGAATCATATTGCATGATAACCCATTGAGTCATTTGAGGCAGTCAGTCCACGGAATAGATCGATCAGCATATTCATCAGCAACACCGAGCGATCGTAGACAGGATGATCATAAGACAACCTTGGTATATGTCTTGCTTGACTACCAATATACTGAACGGACAGAAAAACGCCATGACCTGATTTCCCTGATGATACAAACATCCACCCAAAGAGCCTCAACTCATAAAGACCTATTTGAATACATTCGATGCTTCTTGCCAGAATGGTGACCAGATGAAGACAACCCCAGAAGACAAACTCCCCGTGCTAAATGAGGCTTTGTCATTAGTCAATACCCATCACCAGCCCACTTACCGGCGGCCTTGCAGTCGTCATGCTTGAAAAGTAAAAGAGCAAACCCTGAAATCATGGTATCGTATCTCAATGTCGATGTATTTCAATGTCGACTGTGATGGCAAAAGGAGACATCATCAGGGAAGGGTTGAATGGCCGAAACATGTCTGTCTGCCACGATACATTACCTGTTGAACTAGGCTGATGGTACATAGGAGATATTCTGCAACGATTGACAGAGAAGGAGGAAGAATGCAGCACCACGAGGTATACTGTTATCCATCATTCTTCCTGTGGAATCAATCAATCGTCACCAGCGTTCCTGTTTCTTGGTATAGCCGCACGCAGCGTCGGCCAGCCATTGGCCAATCTTGCCGGCCGTGCTCTTTCTTCTTTTGGGCTGTTTCCCATCCGCAGTTCCCCGGCCCTGCACCGGTTCTTCACTCAGGGACGTCGAGTCCGACTCGACCTCTTCGATGCTCAGAGTCTGCGCGGCGGCGTCGTCGGCAGCGGCGATCTGTTGTCGCCTCTGGACTTCGAGCTGGTGAAGTCTGGTCTTCTGCTCATCCGCGGATAGAGACAGGTATTTGCTCGTAGATGAGGGATGCGTCTGTTGAGGTGAACCCGCCAAGCCAGTCGTTGCCGTGCCGTACGATGGCAACGATTCCGGCTCCGACGGCGGCGCTCTGGAGCTAACCGTGCTCGAAAAAGATTCATCCCCAACTCTGTATCTAGGATCAGAAGTGATGGGCACGGGAGAACCGACATCGTCGGGACGATATGCAGGAGGCCCGCTGGTCGCGCGACTCGTGTATTGCTCGTTGCTGGATGGGCCGTAGGTCGGGTTCAAAGGTCGTACACCCTTGCTGCGCAGGTTGGCTTCTTGGACCCGTTGGTCGCGCAGGCCTTTCTCTTCCTCGCCACGCTCTTTCCAGTACTGGTAGAGTGGGCCTCGTGAGTATTCGTTGCTGAACAGCGATGGACTCATGATGTCGGGGTGAGAAATCCTGGTCTGCTCGACTGGAGAAGAGGACAAAACCGATACTGTCCCTGTCAATGACTTGAGACTGTAGGTAGTAAATGGGTGTAGTTCGAGTCCCAGATGGTGAGGACGTGGCGCAAAGGACGCTGCCTATTGGCATTGAATGCGTCGCGGAGTATTCATGCGGGGGAAGAGTCACACAGTGGGATGAGTTCCAATCATGGGGAAGAAGTGTTTGCTGGGAAGTCCTCAAAGCAAGCATGGAATGGCAATGGACCGTCGGTGGGAATGGAAGGCTGTGGTGGGTGGCCTCAGGACCTACCAATCAGAGCACTAATTGCGGCACGCGGTACGTCGTGATACGAAGCATTTCATCAAATCACTCCAGGTGCCATAAGAGAGGCGGCACGGCGTGGATGTGCTGTGACAGGGAAATCTGAGTAGGGGCGAAATGAGATCCTGACATGTTGATTGCTCATTGCCCACGATGATGCCAGCAACACACCTAGACGTCAATGTCTAAGGCATGTCAAGTGCGGTCCCTGTGGCGCGAAGAGGGGCGCAACGAACCGAGATGGGTGCAGCTGTGCTATTTTCAGGCTCAACGGAACTTCCCTCGCATTCGAGAATACGTCCAGTCAAAGTGAGACAGCGCGTTGGCGCGGTTCTGTCTTTTGTCTTGCAAAGTGGTTCTTCTTGTGGCAGCAGAATGTGCTTCGAATAGTCGCTTCGGCTGTAAACGGAGATCAAACAATTCGAAAAAGAATGACGAAGGTGTCAGAGGACTGTGATCATGGTCAGTATCTCCTGGTAGATGGCACAACCGCTGGAAGCTGCTTTGCCATTGTCACATTGTGCTGGCCAAGCAGAGCACAAGCCATGCGCCTTGACGAAGCACTGCTCGAAGAACGAAGAACGAGGCTGATCGAGTCGCGGCATTGCATATAAAGTCGATGCAGATTGAATGTCATTGGTATCTCGAGCAGTCTGTCACCATGAAACCGGTGATTCTCATCATGATAGCCATGTCCCATCCGCAGTTTGATCTCCACGCACTGCGTCCGCCATCATCCCGAGCGAACTTGCCAGAGCGCATTTAGAACACCAGAGCAGCACCCTTCGTCTTCTTGTCACCACTAGAATTCCCGTTAGTCTCAAATGTCGATGTTTGCCGGGAAGGACCGTAACGTACCCCAGCTCGAAGTGCTTGCAACGCTTCAGCGACAATTGTGCCTTCGTCTTGCAGACCGTGCATTCCAGTCTCAGCACGACCTTCTTGGTTGTCTTGGCCTTCTTGTGGAACACAGGCTTCGTTTGACCACCATAACCGGACTGCTTGCGGTCGTATCGACGCTTTCCCTGGGCGAACAGAGAGGCCTTGGTTCGAGTGTTAGCCGACTCTTCTTCTTGCTCGTTCGAATGGAGGCAAATACTTTTCCGGCCTTGTACTGGGTGACCTTGTGTTGGGTGTGCTTTTTGCAGGTCTTGCCCTTGCAATAGGTGCGACGGGTCTTGGGAACGTTGACCTAACGAGAAAAAGACGTATCAGCGTTCTGTTGCGAGAAATCCATTTCAACATCGCCTCGCAGGTCGACCGCCACTTCAATCCCTCTCTTGTGACTTCTGTCCAGAGCCTCCTCTTCTTGAGCCAAAATCACGCAGTCCTCCTTGATGTCCTGATATCTCGCAGGGTGGTGTTGTGCCCGCAGAAATCGTGCAGTTTGTCTCTTCAAATCTCCTTCAATCGAAGATGGCCCGCCCATTCTTTCCCCTCGTCGCCCTGAATCCCCCAAGCACGACAAAATCCAGAGATCTCATGACTCACCATTTTGACTGATTGATGGTATCGTTCCTCGGAGAGCGGCGGTGTTGTCGTCGGACGTTTGGCGATGAGCAGATCTCGAAGTTGACTGTGATGGTGCCTCGTGAAGCCCGCAGCGGAATGCCAAGACGCACATTGTGAGCGAAAAAGTGCGTGTGTTCAAGAAGGGAAGGTGTGCCGTTTGAGCTCTAGCGCCGTATTATATAATCCTGTTTTCGGGACGGAATTACCATATTCCGACATAGTTACCCTTTCTGTACAGCTCGACCAGCTGGTCAACGTTTCCACACTACCCATCATCCGGATATCGAAGCATTGTCTGGAGGGGCATTTCACTCAGTTTAAGGCCTCCATGTGGGCAGGCTGGTGGTGGATAGAGTTAACAATAGAGACAAAATGGCCAACGTTGGGTTCGAAGACTTATCCGGAACAGCCACTACGGCGAGTCCCAATCCTTACGACGCATTGATCAATGCTTGCCATGGTGATCCAGTCCGCCTTACTGTTCCAGTTTACCCTCATCCGGTCTGATTGTGCTGCCAGAAACTCATTCAAGGGCGATACTCTGCTCACCGAGAGACCAGAAATGCCCAACAGAGAGAGAAGATCCTCGCGGACAACTTCCAGGGCTGGATCCTTGACGAGTATTTGGTTAAACTGGAAGGGCCACGGAAGGACGCGACGTTCTCAGATCCCCGTCATTGTCTTGTCTTCTGGGGCAGGCCTCCTCAGAAAGTCAAGAACCTGATCAAAGTCATCCAGTCGAAGCTTCTGGATGCCGCACCTGGTAAGTGTCGTGCAGATGATACTCCATCCTTTGGGGGGCCAGACCGGCTTACCGTCTAGATCTCTGGGTGATGCCACCGGACAACTTGCACATGACAGTGATGGAAGTGGCTCATTCCAAGACGGAAAGTGAGATCACAGCCCTGGTCGATATGGTCAAGACACATTATAAAGACATTGCCGACTACACCATGTCACACCGCGCAAGATTGGTCAAGCCAATGTTGAGTTACGATACTGCTGCCCTTGCGCTGAGCTTCGTACCTGCCGCGGGGGAGTCGCCGCCATACCATCGCACACCAAAGGACGACGAGTACACTTACCACCATCTTAGACGAGACACGCATGCTGCTCTCACAGAAGCCGGAATTCAGGTCGGCTCCAGATATGTGGTTCCCTCAGCCCATTTGACCATTGCGAGATTCAACTCTCCCAACGTCTTCGGTGGAGATCCATTCGACGCCAGTGCTACCCTAGAAATAAAAAAACGTAAGCATTGGATCAACGAGCTCGAACTGATCAACAAGTGGCTGGAGGTCGAATACTGGCCCACCGAAGGGCAACAACTGATCAAGCCCGGCGGCGAGTGGGTGGTGGGTGAAGAGAAGGGTCTCGACTTCCGCAAGGGCACCCTGTGGTATGGCGGCGGCGAAACTGTTTATATCGGGGAGGGTTTCGTCCACGAGGAGGTTGTCGCCAATTGATGGGAGCCTGCCTGCATTGGAGCCTTTGAGCGAAACAAACGATGAAACTGGGTGAAACAACAGCAACGGGTTGGATTTTATACATTTAATGAGTGGATCAGGTCATCAGATGGGCAGTGGAAATGCCACCGTCCTGAATATTGGATATACTAGAGGAAGGGTTCCAACACTCGGCTACATTTCTGTCGAGTGAATAATTACTTGAATATACACAGACCATATGAATTTACAGATCATCTACAGACTGTCCAGGACTTGTCGAAGACATTGGATCCCATTGGCGGGTGCGTATGTAACTCCAACATCTGGCTGAGTCTCCAATGATACCGTGCGCGTCTCTTCAACACAGCTTCAATATACGACTTCGATGACGCTGCAATGACGCTGGAGTAGGCCCCCTACCCACTTTGATGCCACACAATGCTATACTTGATTAACAATCAGGAACTCCGGTGGTACTGGTAAGATCGGAACGTTGGGATGTCCATGTACACCGGTGTATAAATATTGAAAGCTGGGTCTTGTTACGGTACCAGTATCAAACGCCCCAAATACTCCCTGAATCCGGTCGAGACACTTGTCGCCGCCCACTATGGCTACTGCAAACAGAACAAAATCGCAATCATCCTCCGAGTCTGTCAAATTGTTCAACCGGGCTGCTCATCTACGGGTGGAAGACCCTGAGGTCAGGATCTATTATGTCGAGGCGCAGCCGCCGCCCGACCAGCAGAAGAAGGGCACGATTCTACTAATCCACGGATTCCCCGAGACCTCATATCAATTCCGCCATGTTATGATTCCCCTAGCGCAAGCAGGGTATCATGTCATTGCTCCAGACAAAACGGGCCATGGCTTCAGCAGCAAGCCTATCGGCAACATCCACCAACAGGACCCCTTCACGAAGAAGTCGCTTGCAGCAGACCTGCAAGATCTCGTCACCAAGCATATCGGTGTCAAGGACAAGATCCATCTCGTGGGCCACGATATCGGCGGCATGGTCGCGCACGCGTACGTCTGCCAGTTTCCCGACTCCGTGGCGAGCATCAACTGGGGTGAATGCCCATTGCCCGGCTCGACGATCTACGAGAAAGAAAAGCACTCACGCAGCTTGTGGCATTTCGACTTCCAGAGCCACCACCCCGACCTGGCCGTCGCGTTGGTTCAGGGCAAGGAGAGGATCTACCTCAAGCATTTCTACGACCGGCTCACGCAGAACCAGAGCGCCTTCACACTGGACGTCGTCGACTTCTATGTTTTGCAGTACAGCGCCCCTGACGCTTTGCGCTGCGCGTTCCTCACCTATCGCGCCTTCGAGACCGATGCCGAGCATAACCGGAAATGGAGGGAGGAGTCGGGCAAAGTCAAGGTCAGATGCATGACCTTGTCTGGTGGCAGCAGCTTGTTCGTCGACAAGGCCGAAGACATGGCCAAGGAGTTCTACGAGAACGTCACCGCGGGCGTCGTGCAAGATGCAGGTCATTATCTGGCTGAGGAGAACCCTGGCGGATTTGTGAGCGAGACATTGCGATTCATCGAAGCGTCTTGAGGGTCCCCGGGATAAGATAGTGGTCTCGTCCAGGCCTTGTCTCGGCATCAAGTAAGCCTTCAGTCTGGTAGAGCTTCTAATTAAAGATGCAAGTCGACTTGTCGAGAGAAGCGGAGGATGGAAATCAATGTACGCTGGAGGTCATCGATGGCAATCCTTGCTTCATGGTCAGTGCTCTGGTAGATAGAGCAGTGCCGTCTCTTGCCTCCTCTTGAGATTGTGCGTTCAGGTTTCTCACCTTGTTTGGTATACAGCCGTCGGGTGACTGGTAGATGAAGAAAGGAAACAAAGCAACTGGAAGGAAAGCCAAAAGGCCGCTGTCCAATCAGACCGTCCTGAAGTTGGCTGACCGGGAAGACGGCGCGCGGGCCGGTTGAGAGAGACACAAGAGGAGTGTTTGTCTCTATACTCGATTCGTATGTTGATGCGCCTTCAACCTCGGCATTTGCTGATGGGTTCAACTTCAATTGCCTGAGAGGAAACTGTGCTCGCTGGTCTGGTCGTTTCCATCATCTTATACTAGTATTTCCTAGCTGTCGTCCTTTCGATCTCTCTCCTCTGTTCATAACAGGCATATCATCTTCCCCAGACGCCAGAGACGCAAGTACCATCGGCCACTGTTCCGCTCCCGGACCTCCCTCAACCCACTCACTTCCCCGCCTATTTCTCCTAGCAACTGACCACAGAGAGAACGAAGAGACCAAGGCTCTGTATCGCGTTCGCAACCTCTGCTCCCACCTGCAGAACTCAGGTAGTAACGCCGTGCAGCCTACCATTACATCTCTGGCTGATCAGCGAACCGGCCGTCGGCAGTCAACCCCAGATCTCCAAACGTCCAGCATCAGAACCACCAACGACTGCCGGTAAGACCAGATTCCTGCGGCCAGCGCCTGATAAACCCAACGCTCCCTTCCTCTGCATCTTGTACCTTGCACAATGTCCAAGACATTCACGCCCGCCGAGGTGGCCAAACACACCGCCAAAGCCGACGATGGCATGTATATCATCATCGACGGGTCCGTGTACGACGTGACGAACTTTGTGGACGAGCACCCTGGCGGCGCGAAGATCTTGAAAAGAGTCGCGGGCAAGGATGCCAGCAAACAGTTCTGGAAGGTATGTTGAATAATACGCCGTGCATCAATGGAGGAACCTTTGTCTAGGACGAGAGAGACCGTGGAAGATGAGTCCGAGGCTAATGTGTTTTGGATACAGTACCACAACGAGTCTGTCCTCAAGAAATACGGCCCTAAGCTGAAAATAGGCGAGGTTGCCGAGAAGGCGAAGCTGTGAATATATATCGTGATTTGGGTGATAACAGGTACTGTGGATATAAGTTTGCGACTTGGGTGCCTTATGGACGGGACATTTTTATACACTGATGGCAGAACGACGACTTAGAATATCGAAGAAAGTATCAGGATGGTCTCGAGAGAATTGTCAGCGACACATGAAGAGTCTGTGGTAGGTAGACCCTGTGCTGAAGTGGGAAACCAAAGGCAATGAAGTGCAAGGCGAGCACTTGTAGACAAAGGGGACGATATACCATCATATTGTACAGGAGCGGCTTAATGGAAGCAAGTTCATCAACATCTTTGACAGAGGAAATGTTGATATTGCTCTTGCGATATCTGATTCTACACAAGGCACAGAGCTGACAGAAGTTGAGCATGTACGGGTTTCTCGAGATTTTGTGATGATATATGTTGACGGACCGAGCTATAGTCATACCGCCTACAAAGTATATATTCAGGGGCCAACTGTCTCCAACTGCTGCGTCCATGAGCGCCCTCATGCTTTTGTTTTGGGTGGGAGTGGCTCGATATTGGCCCTCCTCGGCTGCCATTGAATGGGTCCTCGTCGTAAGGCACGGCTGGTCCAGTGACATTGTCAGGTCACAGCTCACCAGTGTTCTTGAATGAGCAGGCCTGATGACAGGGTGTGCACTCGGCAGGCATCCCCGTGATCCGCGACTCCCACTCCCGTAAGAAGAAGGAGCCTAGATCGGCGGCTGGGAGTCGAGCGACGCTTCGGGTCGAGTCGATCAAGGTACAACCACCCGAGGTCCCTTAACGCATTCGACAGTCCACCGACGCAACATTGGAGCGACAGTGCATCGGCTGCTTGACTCCAGTGACATCTCCTGGAGAGGCCGCCGGCTGTGTGCACTGTCCTGAGCCATATGCATCAAACGCCGTTGCTGTGGCCCGGGGTCAACTCTGTCACTCGTAGATCATGATGTCGCGCCATTCACAACGGGCTCAGAAGTCTTCTGGTCGGATGATTTGGATTTCTCGGCTTGAGCTTGTCGGTTCTGCACGATCCGCAACAGATTGCGAAGGAGTACGACAATTGTGACTTTACCAATAGCCGGCACATAGATGGCGGCCTTTTGTTTGACTTCGGGACCGAAGTTCTGCAGGGACATAGCAATGGTCAGAACAGTCTCTCTCACACTCACACACACACATACACACGGATGGGAAACTGGAATAGCGGAGCCACACAGATGAAGTACGTGTAGCCCCCGTCATTCAGACTCACCTTCTCGCTCGAAAAGTTGATGCACACCGCCCCCTCCTTCAACAGGTGGCACGGGAATTTGTATTTGTCGCCCGGCACGCCCGTGATGACCACATCACACAGCGGTGCACAGTCTTCGATGGTCCAGCCCTCCTTCTCCACGACCTCGTGCTTCCGCTTACGGATACCCTCGCCACGGGTGAACTGCTGTACGCCCGTGACGTCGACGCTGTAGACGCACGCTCCGTCGTTGGCCAGCAGCGCGGCGAGCGGACGGCCCACCACCTCCGACCGGTTGACCACACAGATCGTCCGTCCGAACAGGCGGTTCCCGTACGGCAGGATCGTGTTGTAGATGTGGAGGTACTCGAGAATCTTGATCACCGCAAGAGGCGTACACGGCAGGACGGACTTCATCGCTTGTTCTTCGTCCAGGAACCGGATGTTCTGGTACATGTTGAAGATGTATTGATGGCTGAGACCCTCGACGTCCTTGGACACGTCCACAATCTGCTGCAGGTACTGGTCTTGTCGGTTGTTGAAGATTGGGTAGTAGACAATGATACCGTCCACGGCTGGGTCGTTGTTGGCCGCCATGATCGTCTCTTCGACGTCGTCTTTGGCCACATTCTTCAACGAGTACTGGAAGCCACTTCGTAGAGTAATAGATGTTAGGCATTGATTGATGAGGAAAACTCTCAACGCAGTCCATGGCAACGAAGACGCATCTGACCAGGCAGTGTCTTACAACCCGTTTGACGAGCAACAACTCCGTGACTTTGCACTTACTTTTCTTTGCACGTCCTCTCCGTCCAGTCGGCGTACACTTGGGCAGCTGGATCACTATTGGCAAGTATCCCGAGCAGATGTGGTGTGCGACCAAGCGCGCTCAGGCCCGCCTGTACCTCGCTGAGAAGGCTTTTGGCGATGTTGCCGGCCAAAACGACCTTGCAAGGGTGCGTATCTTGAGACATGCTGGAAAGGGACTCCGGTTCACTGCGAGACAATCATGACGGGCCGCCCGGGAAACTGTGTAAAGCTGAGCGAGCCGGATGAAAACTTTTTGATATGGAAAGATTACTGAATCGGGATAAGCGTGGCGGCACGTGGTCAAGGCTTGGCAGGGGCAGCCTTGCGTTGGCAGCCTTGCGACATCTACATGAGGTGCCTCATTCGCTGGCATCAGGAAACGGATCCCAACGTTGGGGAACGGTGTCATGCCGTCTATTCTACACAGATTTCGTGGATCTGAACCATAGTAGATGTTTGTGGAAATGGCCGATTGCCTTTCGTATTATATCTTACTCTGAGGCTTGCCTTCGCCTTTCGGCACTTTCTTTTCCACACCCAGAGAGTCCAAGTCCTTCTTTTTGTAGTAATGAGGAGCAACCTCTATCAGCCACTCCGGCTTCAAGGGCATACAACTTCTCATGTACTCCTTACTCGTCAGCACCAGCTCATGGTAAAGGAGCCACTTGGGTCGGGTCTCGATGAGCACACTCGAAGGATGTATATAGACGACTTGTCCGTTCTTGACGGTACGGTAACTTTGACCGTCACGTTGCAGCCTTGCTGAATGTGGGAAGAAGCCGGACGTGATTGCTTTTTGGATGGGTTCGATATTGGACGAGCCTCCGCAGCTTTTTCCCGCGTCCACTTCCACCCGGTCACACAGCCTTGCCAACTGATCCCGAACGTCTCGTGCCCTTGTTAGGCTCCTCTGTTGCAAGAAGTTTTCTTTCGCCCAGACATAGCTGTAGTCAGAGTCCACCCATTCCTGAAAGATATTCAAAAGAGTGAGATGGTCGCCACCATCTTTGTTGGTAAATCTAGCCCTTGCGCTATCGGCATGGATCTTCTTGTCCTTGGGTCGAAAGAACAATGCAGAGGCTTCACCCAACATCGCAATGATCGAGAGCACCTCATCCACACAACCATACTTGTCAGCAGCAAGGATTGACCGTGCAAGCATGGGATCTGTGGGGAACTCCGCCATTTGACGACCAATCTTGGTCAATTCACCAGCATTGTTGAACGCCCCAAGTGCATATAACTGTTCAATGGCCCTGACAATTGTATCCGTCGGAGGCGGATCCATGAAATCAAAGTCGAGGAGGTCGTTGATCCCGAGGCTTTTGAGCAGAAGAATAACCCCTGTCAGGTTGGTTCTCTGGATTTCTGGTGTAGTGTTCTCCTCCAGTTCGTTTTTGTATGCTTGCGCCGTATAGAGGCGGAAGCATTTTCCAGGCCCGACACGACCAGCTCGACCAGCACGTTGACCAGCCGAGGCCCGACTGCAGGGGACCACCACCAATGACTCCATTCCAGTTCGTGGATTGTACTGATTCTCCTTCACAAATCCTGGGTCAATCACATAGACGATGCCGTCGATTGTGAGCGAAGTCTCTGCGATATTGGTTGCTAGGACCACCTTTCGGGCGCCTGGGGGAGTAGGCTCGAATATCTTTGCCTGGAGATCTGTTGGCAGGTTTGCATAGATGGGGCAAATGATCATTTCCTTGATTTTGTTTCCTAGCTTCCGTGCTGTTTCCTGCAGGTTCGCTTCCATGGCCTCGATCTCCTCTTGACCCGTGAGAAACACAAGGATATCACCGGGGCCCTGTGTAATATGAATCTGAAAAACAGTGGTGATCGCTGCAGCAAGGTAGTTGGCCTCAGGCTGTGCCGTATAATGGATGTCCACTGGGTATCGTCTACCAGGGATATTGAAGATGGGAGCATCATCAAAGTATTTCTGGAACTTCCGAGCATCCATAGTGGCGGAGGAGATCAAGAGTTTCAGATCAGGCCTTGCTCGGGCAATGTCCTTGAGCAAGCCACAGGCGATATCCGTGCTCACAGTCCGTTCATGTGCTTCATCAATCATAAGCGCAGAGTATTGGGAGAGTTCCGGATCAGTCAATAGTTCTCTCAATAGCATACCGTCGGTCATATACTTCAGCACGGTCTTCTCACTAGTGTTGTCCTCAAAACGAATGGCATAGCCCACTTCATTTCCCAATCTCTTTCCCATCTCTTCTGCCACTCTGGCTGCGACAGACATGGCGGCCACTCTTCGTGGCTGGGTACAGCCAATTTTCTTGCCGTCCTTTGTGAAGCCGGCTTCATGGAGATACTGCGGTAATTGAGTCGTCTTTCCACTTCCAGTCTCACCGACAATGATCAGGACCTGATGATCCTTGACCGCCTGGATGATTTGATCCCGAAATTGGTAGACTGGAAGACTCTTTCTCGTTTCCTCGATGCTTTTGGCTTTGGCTTCAGCAGCGCTTAGCCTCTGAGCCAGATCCCTCTGCTCTTTGGTCATCCCTTTGCCCAAATCGCCCCCTACGGTCTCGGCCATGACGAATTTCATTTGTTGACTCTCGTCGAACACGTAACCGTAGTCGCCTTCATCAACAAACTCGGCCTTTTTGATTTGTGCCTCCGCTCGTTTGGTCTGTTCTTTTTCCCATTCATCGTGTTCGGTGACGTATTTTTCTCGACCGCTTTCATCCCTGTCAACATAACGCTGGTACAGAGCCTGCTCCTTCTTCCGCTTGTCAATCTTGCCTTTCTCCGTAATGTAGTCTTCTGGCAGAGTGTAGCCGTCGAGGTGATCGTCGATACTTAATCGCTCTTCGGCGATGCGGAGGACCTCCAGATTGCGGGCAAACTCCTCCCTTTCCCTCCTCGTTAGGTCCGGATTGTCTCTCAGCTCGGCCTGCTCCTCCGCAACCTGCTTTCGCAGGAGAGCCAGTCTCTCTGCCTCTCTTTTCTTCAGGTAGTCTTGTCTTGAACGAAGTCGCAAATCCGGCATGACCGCCTCCCTAGCGGCGGCATCGTCAGCCAATGCCCGTCGCTGCGCTGTGGCACTCCCTTTGCCCGATGTCCTGTCTTCCACAACCTTCTTTGCTCTCTCTTCATCTTTCTTCGCCAGCCTCTTTGCGAACTCATCCCTTTCCCTTAGGTCGTCGTCTCTTGCCCTTCGGGCCCTTTCTTCTGCTGTTTCGGGTGGCGTCTGGTCTCGCGGCCGCTGCGAAGCCGAACCGTTAGATAGTTTTACCCGCTTGGAGGAGGATTCTTCGAATTCTCGGTCGCCGCCTTCCTCTTCATCTTCCGGGACCTCTTCGTCCCCCCAGCGCTCATCGAAGTCTTCGTCATCGCGGCGCCGGCGGTGGGCAGTATGCCTTTTATTGGGTTTGATCCGAGGTTCGCTGGACTTTTGTTCAGACATGTCGAAGACGACACTTTGGGGCTCGTGGAACAGTTCACCTGGCAGTATTTCAAGGGTGGCGGACGACTCAATTGGGTCGGAGCAACACCAACGCAAGTCTGGTTTTCGAGGGAAATCTCATGCGCCAGAAAGGATCATCAGCAAAGCTTGGAGGAGGACATGGATATCGCGCCCTGTATGATGATGCAGTCAGATGATCAGGTCTTTTTCATTCGTCAAGGTCCCTCGTGTCGCAAAGCGGTGGGAAAGTTGAGTGGAAGACCGCCGTCAAGTTCAAGGTTGAAGTTTCTCCGCAGTCTTTGCCAAGCACGTATCCCGCGTTATGTAAGCAAGGCTGCCAATCAACCAGAAAGTCACTGCATTCGAATTAACGATTCTGGGGACTGTGGACGAACTCATTAAACGCGGCTTTGTTTGCACCATGGATTATTTCTGACCACGTCTGAGGAGATCGCGTCTTCTGGCCGAAGGTAAGACAGTATTGAGAACGTGTTCAGGCTCTATCATCTACTCCAGGAGATACATTTTACGATCAGCTCGACGGTGGACTTCGAACGATCTATTCGGCACTTTGTAATAGGTTCCTCTGGACACTAAGTGCCTCGTTGCTCGCCAGTAAGGTCCATGAGTTCAGTGTGATTTCTCTGTTCATCTCCCTTGCTTACTGGCAGGCTGGACGAATCGGAGTTATATAATATCTGTTGCAGATGCAGCCAGAGCCCTTATTCTTCGTCGTGACGCAACCGGAATAGCAGGCTTACACGTCGTCATCGGTGATGTCGTCAACTCCCCTCAACCAGGCTGCTCGCGCGTCGACAGCTTCCTTTCTAACGTCTCTCTTTGGGTCATCCAATACCCCCGTAAGGCCGTGCAACACCTCACGCTTCAAACCCAGTAAAGGGTTTGCCCGCGTACCAGTAGAACTAACGTACTTGGGCAACAAAGCAAGGCAACGTGCGGCGAGTCGGCGAGTCGCTGGAAGGTTAGCTGAGGGAACAGCCTCCACTGTACCCCCGGGTTTGGGTGAATTTGACTTCGCAAACGTTGCCACCCGGATCAGTCTCTTCGCCAGGGCAGGAATGTGTCCACTTTCTTCGAGCGCGGAAGGATTATTTGATATTACCACAGCCAATGTCTCTAGAGTGGCAATCTTCACCACCTGGTCCGTGACGTCCAATGACTGTAAGAGAAGAGGCAGCAAGGTAGGCAGTTCAGGCATCACGATATCAGACGGCACACTTGCCAGGACACCACTGAGTGCTATGAGATAATTCTCTTTCTCACTCGGCGACGTTGAGACTTTGAACTTCTCTGAAATAAGCGGCGTTAGCGTCTGAAATACGCGTTGTGGAGCAAGTAGCCTGATCTGCACCGCATTTTTCTTCGACAACACATCGTCCGAAGAAAGGATGGTAGCAAATCCCATCGCTGCCTTCCGGGAGACCTCCTTGGGATACTGGCGTTCATCAAGTAGGTCCACAAGGCTGGTGAGATATTGATTCGTGTTGGGCGCGAGCCGGAGAATGAGGGCCTTGATCAACAAAAACGTGAGTCGCACGCTGAACTCCAGACACTCGGTTTCGCCCATCGGTTCGTCTTTGAGCGCCAGGAGTCTCTTAGCGAGCAGGGCGTCAATGTAGTCCAGGTCGGCTGTTTCAACATGCTTGTTGACATAGAGAGCTACCTGTAGAAGACAGCACTGGGTGATAGCATGGCTGCTAGATTTAGAAGCAAATGATATCAGGTCCTCGATGATCCGAGGTATTTGAGCCTTGTTTAGAACAGAAGAGTGTGTATTTCGGGGAGTGGCCGCCAGCAGCCACGTTGACAACAGAGCAAGGGTGGGGGGCTCCAATAGAGCCGAAATTTCCGCCGTTCCGCCAGTGGACGTGTCTGTCCTGAAGAGGAGGTAAATATTCTCTGCAGCCATTTGAATCTTGTCGGCCGCAGAGTGGCGAATGATGAGATTCATAATCCGACCAAGCAGATCCAGAACAGGCTCGTTGGTAAGAGCACCCCCTCTGGCCTCTGTTGCTCTTTGGGAAAGTCCAACAACAACTCGGTCATAGTATGCATCCAACGGGAACTGCGAAACAGTTGCAGCTCGGTTCAGCACAAATAGTATCGTACCCAAGATGGAACATGTATAGGGAAAAGCTGTCCCTTGACTTGATTTGAAGAGTAGGTCCACCTTGTTCAAAAGGCGCCGCATTAACGTCCCTTGCAAGTCCTTTTCAACACTTATTTCGGCCAGTCCCTCGAGTACAGGATTGTATTGTTCTGATTGCGCATCTTCTTCCGAATCTGGGAGACGCGCCAAAAATGCCGGAAATGTAATGTCAGAGATAAGGCCCGGTTTAAAGTGGGAGATCTCAGCCAACGCAGCCATGGCTCTCTTTTTGAGTTCGTCACGGCCATACGACTCTTCTTTCAAGACGACGTCGTCAAAATACTGGACGAAGAGGCCGATCTCATCATCTGAGAGCATGGATCTCATTTTCGAGATCAAGAGCAGGCCGTTTGCCGCAGTCAGCCGAAATGACACCTCCTCTTTGACCGTACCCATCAGGGCTTGGCTGTAGATGGCGACAAATTTGTCCTTGAACTCACCCATGAGGTTCTCTCGGCCTCCAGGGTTCTTTGGGCTCAAGGCTGCCCATGATCCATATACCTCAATGGAAGCCTCAAATAGCTGATTGGCAATTTCGAGGACAGCTCTCTGCTGCACCAAACCTTGTGCGGATTGATATATCGTGAATAATGCCGGGCCGATCGCCTTGATCACAATCTCGAATGCTTGTATGGATGCTGACGAAATGGCCTTTAGAATGCTCCCCGAGGCTTTTGCTTGACGTGATGCAGGCTCTTGCAGATGTTCTAGGCATTCCTTGTTGATGGGTTTTAGATACTGGAGTAGAGCGGAATTCGTCAAGCCGTATGCATCGGTTGACAAGCATTTCGCGATACCTCCCAGCACGAGAAGAGCCTCTTCTGCCAAATCTGGTTCTTGAGCTTGCAGAACTTCAAATTTGACAGCATCCCACAGCGTGATAGAGTACTGGCTCATGGTCGCTGGAGCGTAATTAATGGCACAGGCTGCCAGAGTCTGTAAGACGTCTTTCTTGACGGTATTCGACGTCGAGTCAAGGCGGTCCAACATGTTTGGAAAGGTATGAGGAGCGAACAGCGCAGTTGAAGCTAGACAATCGCGTAATCGGTCCTTCAGATCCTGCGCCGTTATGCCATATGGATCGTTTGGGGGAGGGCGAAAAGTGATTGGGAAGTAAGCGTATACCGAGTCGAACATCATTTCAACGTGCCCGCTAATGTCCCATTCCACCATGAGGACTCTCAACATGGAGAAAATGAGCATTAAGTTGCGAGGGTCTTTTTCGCCAGCCACCAGTTGCGTGATGCCGACAAGAGATTCGTCTCCCATGTTCCTCACGGCTGAAACTCGTCAGTAATGCTCCACATCGCATGAGAACCACTGCAAATACCTTTGCGATGGCGATCGAGGAGTTCGTTCACCAGCTGGAGCACCCGGTATCGACCTGCTTGGTTGCGCGTTTGTAGATCCGCAAAGTGTTCAAATATTCTGCTCTTCGTCAGTCATAACCAAGTACATGACTGCTGCCAGAAAACCTTGTGGCCGCTGATTCCTGGACAGCTGTCGCACGGCAGACCGCACTCACGCTCTCACAACCATTTGTGCCATATCATTTGTAAATCTGTCCAAGCTTTGCAGCTTCGCCAGTCCATCAAGTGCTCCTCCATCTTCGATGCGATCACACAGGAATTGACACAAGACCTGGATCTGCTGGCGGGAGAGGAACTTCGCGGGCAGGGAAGAGATGACGGCGACCAGGTAGGAAATAGCTCTTGTGCGGATCTTGTCGTCGCCATCGTTGATATACTCGCCCAGAGATTGGACGACGTCTATCAGGGTGATCTGTCGACTCTCGAGTTCTTTCTGATCAGCGCTGGATTGACATGGCGAGCGGAATCGTGCTTACTTTGAGCGGTGGCCTTTGCGATCTGGGCGGCCTCATGCTTGTTGCTCTCGACGGCAAGCACATAGTCTCGCGCGTCAGAAAGAGCCATGATACATTCTTACTCCGCGGGCGAGGAGGGCGCAGAATATATTTGCAGATTGCCAATTGCATGGGCATCACTGGCCTGCAAACTGCGGCCAATAAAAGTCCCACCTTTTGCTGCGATAACGATAAATTTCACAATCGATTCGCCAGACCTTCTCTGTTTGGCAAAGGCGTCCTCCCCCCAATTACTAGTACGTATTCCCTGTTCCATCTTCCACTACCTGCAAGATACAAGGGATATCAAGATACGCCGTGAGATCCTGATGCTCAAGCTCTCTGACTTAGTTCCTGTAATGGTGCTGGAATGCCATCAAAATGACACCAAAATGACACCAAAATGCCTGCCTAGAACCGCACTATTCTTGGATACAAGCTGAGGTTATATGCATGCTTACTCTGGAGCGGAGAATTTACGCGTCTGGAGTCGAGTCAGTTGTCCTCTACCATCACTCTGCTTTGCCGGCCAGCCACAGCAGAGGGCACCTGTCCTACCCTTTGCGTTGGCCGACTCTGACCGTCCTGTCCCCTGTCATAAGTCGTCCTCGTGAATGATAGCCTTGCGCGTGGTTCACCCTGGACAGAAGTTATCTGTTAAGTCACAACAACAGCTTTCCGCAAGTCGCAGAGAACCTCCTGTATGGGCAGGGAGCTGGGCTGGTGAGTTGTATAGCAAGGGGGAAAGCGACTGAACAGCGATCCGATGCGCAGCTGGTCATGGTGCTCAAATCATTCTGGTGATATTGCCTGACACATACCTGCAAGCAAGAGTGATTGAGATTTGCCTGGTCTATCATATTGCTCGCCGCACGAATTTTTCCTCTTAGCAATCTTTAAACGCAAACTCAGTCCTGATGCACTCAGGACCATCACATCCTCAAAGCTGCCGAGAGAGGTAGCCAAAAGAACAAGCTCCAAAGCAAAGAACCAGGCAAAATTGACGAACAGAGACACACTAGCCTCATGTTTGGCTACCCAGAAAGCTATTATGGATCATCTGAAGAGATATCCAAAAGAGTAAGGCTTTTGGTGTTACGCCTGTAGAGGATGTATCCCCTTGACAATACGGGAACATGCAGAAAGGGTCACAAGCCCGAAGGTGTCACGGGAGATGTATCTTGCAGATTTATGGTCCGCTAAAACATTGTCAGCGACGGCTAAGTCGTCTCCAGGTTGTTTCGTTTCTTTTCTTACCGTATGCAAGACAAAGCATACGAAGCTCACTTTGATTGCCCAGTCCTCTGTCACTATCCGAATACTGACCGTTTGAGCCTACAACCCACAGCACTGCAAAGATGCAGGAGACAACCATGAATAGATTCGCGACTTAGGATATCTGTACCATTTACACGACGATTTCCATGTCAACGCCTGCTGTGTCACGTTTCAGTGAGGCTCCACGAAGCGACAGTACAAAAGCCTCAGTGCATAATGCTATTCAGCGTGTCATATCCATTTCAACTCTTCTGATCAAGCAGAACACGCTCAAGACAAGATCACTCCAAAGAATTCACTCGCACCCACTGGATTACCACTCACTGATACGATGTCTGATAGTCGCTACGGAGGGAACGGGAAGGATGATGACCATTCCGATCTTCCTGACAAGTCCAAATTATACGAAAGGATGCATGAGGGATACAGTACCAAAGCTGTGATGTCAAAGCATATGGGTTCCGACATCTATCCTCAAAAGAGCGCTTCTTTCGACGACCACGGCAACGCTCAGATCACCCGTTCGAACACTCGAGATGATGGTGACGGCAGATGGGAGGCTGCTCTTCCGAGGAGAAATGAAGTCTCAAAAGAGAACTACAACAATTTCAACAAAGTCTTGCCGGACAATAAGATCCAACCGCGCGACCATGCATATGCGTCCACAACCTCGAAGCATTGGAGGCCTGCTGAGCTGGATAGAGACCACTCGGTCACTGGAGGTACCGTGCGGCGGACAATCGAGAAGTATCCGAAGGATAATTCCAGCTCCCACTGAGCGACTCCAAGTGTCAGTAATTTCTGGACTTGGTGAAACAGGGCCGGGATCGCAGAGATGTATTTGGGGCACACGAGGTGCTATACATGTTGGCTAGCCCACATATCTGAAGTTCCCAAGCGTCAAGCTTGCCTTGCTTTCAAGTATCGACTGGCTGCAGGACCGTCACCGGATTTTCATAGTCGAAATGACACCATTGCTAAGATCTGCTTGATCGGACCCGAGCAAGATCAGGTTTCATGTCCGTTCGATTTCCCGAACGTTTCTTAGAGGTATGAACAGTGTCCATAGTTGTCTATGATTGTCAGAATTTTGGATCCCATTTCTCATCTATGTCCTGGGGGAAACGAGCACATACTCGACATCCATGGTCCAATGATCCATGTGATTGTGGTTGTCTGCCCATCACCTCGCTCGCAAACGGGCACACATATCCTGTTTGCAAACTCCAGCCCAGCCATGGTACAGCATGGGTTGTGCTAAACATAGACTCATTCGCAATGCGAGTCACATGGCGAAATGAGTCGAAGTGAGACAACCAATCACACAATGAACAATCAGATTACTTTCTGAACAGCAACCGAGACTTCCCTTAATAAGTCGTGGTTCATTCAGCACTGCTTCTGGAATGGAGAAGAGTGGAAAAGGGAAAAGGGGTAGGATGATTACATAATGACAAGGCTGAAGAACCACTGCGGTGGAGCATTGACTCTATGCACACGACATTCTCTATAGTACACCCGATTGTGGTGAGAAAACAACTCACAGTCGTTCATGACACACTCTTCATGCATGCATGCATTGCGCACCGGCCCAAAGTCTATAACTCATCCTTTAATGGTACAGCTGGAGGTGGCCTGCCACTATCCTTGAGCAAGTCCACCCCTTTCTTCTTGCGCCATTTCTCCCAAACCGACCAGAACTCCTTTTCCATGCTGCTGTCCATCTGGTCCGGCAAGATCACTTTGTATTCGACATACAGATTGCCGAACTCGGGCGCATTGTGATCATGTTCATGCACATGTCCTTCGTGCCAGACTGGCATGCCTTCGCCCTTGATGGTGTCCACTTGGTTTGGCTGGACAACCTCGCCGCGCTTCCGAGAGAGTTGAACGACATGGCCGTCAAGATGGGTCACGTTGCGCGTCCACTCACCCATCCAGGCCTCTCGCAAGCTGAGTACTTCCTTCCAGTACAAGTCGTCGCCCTTGCGGCGAAAGAACGTTCCGTCTGAGCGCAGGCTTTCATCTTCGTTGATCTGGGGTTCCGACTCCATAATGTAGACGTACAAATTGCCCGCAACATGGTCAGGATGCTCGTCAGCTTCACTCTCGAACACCAGACGGTGACCTTTAGGCATGCCTCTCTCAACACTGGCGGTCAGGGTCGTCGGCCCCCTCACCACTCTATTTCCTCCGCAAACCTTGCATTTGTGTTTGATAGATTTGCCTTGGCCGCCGCACTGGTCGCAAGTCATTTGCACTTGTTGGAATATGCCAGGGGCCAACATATGTTTCTGTATGAAGATGCCTCGTCCGCCACATTTGTTGCAAGTCTCGACTTGTCCGTCAGCTGAGCCAGAGCCGTCGCACTCTTCACAGATCTGTTGTTTCTCGATGGTGAACTCCGTATCCTTGCCATTGTAAAAGTCTCGCAGTGGCACATGCAACCTAACCTCCAGATCTGGACCACGTCTCACTCCGCCGCCACCTCCACCACCAAAGTGTCCTGTTCCACCGAAAAATCTTGAGAACAAATCAAAAGGATCATGGCCATGTCCACCTCCGCCACCTCCTCGTTTATGATTTTCCAACCCTTCATGGCCATATTGGTCATAGATCTTCCGCGTCGTCGGATCAGACAAGGCTTCATAGGCTTCGGCTACTTCGAGAAATCTCTCCTCGTCGCCTGTGGATTTGTCTGGGTGGTATTTCTTCGAGAGTGTACGATAGGCTTTCTTGAGGTCGCGCTCCGAGCATGACTTATCCAGCCCCAGGATTTTGTAGAAGTCTTGAGCGGCAAGAGCACATGCAAACAAGGCGAAAAGAGCAAGAAGTTGGGATATTAGCTGCGAGAGCAGCATGTTGAAGATCGAAGACCCTGGAAGAGGGTGTTTCGAAACGGACTCGAAGGCAGGTGTCTGGAGGCGCTGATAGGTCTCATGAGTGGCAGAGCATAGTGGTAATATGAAGACAAGGCCGGCGAGTGCTTTGTATCCGGCAGACTTCTCCAGAACCAAGCAGTCTATCAGAGGAGGATTGGTAGAGCTGATGGCTTGATACTCCAAAATGTCGCTTCGTGACATGTTGTCAACATGCGCAGAGCGCTGTTGGCCGCTTCCCTCACCGTACATAGAATGATGGTTTCTATACGGTGAACCATCGGCTCATTGATGCTTTTCTCTGTTGTCAGGGGATCTGGAAGTACCTGATGGATTGTTTGCTTTCTGTCGTCTCGCCTGGTTCACTTGTTCATGATATTGATCTTTCTGTCTGATGGAACATCACCAACGATATCTAGCATGCTGGTTGCTCTGACTTCCCACACATGCCTTGAGCAAGATCTTGGCAGAAGCGTCTGACAACTACTAGTATACCAGGACAGGTACACTATCTCGCTTCCAGCGGGTGCGTGATCGACAAAAGACACCTGCTCGGCTGGAAACATTTCAGACATCTCTCTCAGATCGAAGAGTTTTGTACCAGCAATTTCAGTAGGTCTCAGAAGGTAAGCTTCCCCCGACAGGGCAGATAAGGGAGGAAAAGACAAGCGTGGTCTCTTCCAATCCTTGTTTGCCAGATTGCGATCTGATCTGTAGTGACGGGAATGTACCGAAGTACTTACACACTCAAGCGTCCGCTTCGTAAGTACCTCCTGGCATCCTCAGCGCGCCCATACTCATGGCATATGTTCGAAAATGCCTTGCCCACATACACGCCCGAAGAAGGGCGATCATCGGCTGGACAGCAGAGCCCGCCGAGACCGACAGGCTACTTGCAGCTACTTTGCTGGAGAGATGCCCGCCTCCGTTGTCACCCTTGCTGGCGAGCGTGGTGTGCACGATGTAGCACAAGATCGCCGCTGAGGAAGACTCAGTCTACTCCGCAGAGGCGGTTACTTCTTTCTAGATGAGAACCTGTCATTTGTGCTGCATTCGAGAATGATGTCCTGTCATAGGGGGTCAAGCGGTGTTGGCACGAAAGATGGTGTGCTCCTGTCAGGCGATTTGAGTATTCTGAATTGGCCGCTCATGGTTGGAATCTTTGACAAGATGGTGCCTGCTGTTCGTGGAATCTCTTCCAATTGGAAGGGAGCACAGAGCTGTCAACGCCTGAGGCCTTGGGATGCTCGAATTCAAGAATTCCTTGCACGACTTCTAAGCAACGCACCCCGAGGCTCATTCATATTCAGCCATCTGGACGAAACTGCTTCTTTCTTTCTTTGCACTGGTCAGGAGACCCGCTTCAATCAACATGCACACTTGCAGAATTTTCACAATATGGTCCATGGCCGCAGCTCTGGGCTGCCGACTTCTTGTCACCGCTCTTCCCCGGCTCGACTATATCCGTGTGATCGACAAAACGATTATCGTTGACAATCCTACCAACGATCATGATACATTCTTTCTCTGGTCGCCGTATGATCCGTCTCCATATGAGGACGACACACCGCTTGACACTGACATCGACACCGAGCCTGATGGACAAGCCAACCCGAACATCCAGGTCCTGGATGACACCGGTCTGGGAGCGGTCAAGGGCCCCGCAACTGTGTATCCACATGATACATCTCCGACAGCCACTCTCAGAGACGATGCTACCAATTCACCAAGCAATACGTTACCGGCGTGTGCGGTGACTGGTTCGAATAAGCTTGCGCATCAGCCTCGTGATGCGCTGCCAAACCCGGAGGAAGACATCGAAGCCATACCATCGAGCCTGAAGGCGCAGGAAGCATCGGCACCACCGGTGGAAACCTCGACACTGCCTCAAGCTTTGCCTTGTGCCGGCCTTAGTTCATGCCCAAGAGGCTACAAAGTCTACCTCTTGATGGGCACGTGTTCGTGTCGTCTTCCTCCGAAAGTCCAAGATTGAGAAGTCGACTGTGGTCAATGCGGAAAGTCAGCCAACCTCTTTCTCAGGTAATGGCCCCTCTCGGTTGACAGAAGTTCTGCTGACATGACTGTTGTTCGCATCAAGACTGTATCCTGGCCTACGGATGATGTCAGTACATGAGCGTTAATGTTAGATGCACACCATCTTCAAGCGATTTTGATCAAGGAGCACAGCGGGGATGTGGAAGCATTGAATCGGGTGATCGCGACTGTCTGGGATGAATATGGACTTGCAATGGTGGACATTCGTTAAGGGGACATTTTCCTTCTACCATAACTTTTCTTGCGGCTTGATCTCATAGCATCAACAACGAAACATCCTTAAGAACATTCCATTGATCCTCCTTGTACGTCAAAAAGGTCGGCCATGATTGAGAGAAGCATCGACGATTTGGGTTGAAACACTGAGATCAGACGCACGCCCTCCTTCGACCAACCCACACCGCTTCGTGACAAATCGTAGTAATACAGGTCGGCTGCCTCGACATTTTCCTACACGACTCCAGTCATTCTTCGAATGGTTCTTGCAGGCCCTTGCTGCGTCTCTGCAGCATCACTTCCGCATCCCTCTGGCCAAGCGCCCAGAGGCCCTTGGGGCCATCCATCCCGCTCATCATATCTGTGACGCGCAAATAGCCCAGTTTACTGATCACCTTACGCATAAAGCCCACCACGAGCGCAACCTTCTCCCAATCCACATCCTCTTGCCCATGGAAAAGATTTCTCCAGACGGCGGCCCCAAGAACGGCATCTCCCTTAACCAGACCCTCGTCATACGCAACGATATTGCCGCGCCATTGCAGAAACAGGTCTCTGAGGTATTTGTTCCGGATGCCACGAGCGGACATATTGTGCTGTATTAGCATCTTGTCCTCCGCGGCTTGCGAGAAATGTTCGATTAGGTAACGATGATAACTTTGAAATGCTGCCGGAGTCTGCAGTGCTCGCAATCGGACAGTCAAGATATACATGTGCAAGAACGTCACCGCGGACCAGGTGGAGAACGTCGGCGGGAGATCGAGGGTGTTAAACCACCATGTCTCGCCAACGGGATGGCCGAGGTCCGCACCGTCGGCGGCTTTGGGAGGACCCTTTCCTGTCACGATTTGCATCCGCTGGTCGTCTGGGATAAAATAATCGGCCTGTTTCGCGCACGCTTTGAACAACACATCAGTCTGGCCGTATGTAATGTAGGTCTGTGTGGTAGATTTGGCCGTCTTGCGCAGGCCCTGCGCCAGGCGACTGGTGAAAGCCGGACGCTGGAGCGACGACTGAATCTGCCGCTGCATCTCCGCGGTGGACATTCCCTGAGGGACATCTGGTTTGGGAGGGAGTTGGGCAGTGGATGGCGATTGATCGGATTTGAGATCACTGGGCGGCGTAGCTGTGATATTGGAGGTGACGGTAGCAACTGTAGTCGGAGGCATGGGGGCTTCGGAAAGTTGCTCTTTTTGAGGCTTCTGGGTCGCTGCTTGGGGCTTGCCTGCAAAGCTCGTGAACTGATGTCGTTGTTCTCGGCCCTTCACTGTGTTCGTCAACTGGGCGCCCTGCTCGCAGAAATTAGCGACCCTTCGAGCTACAACTATGACCGCCAATTCATATGCTTGCCTCTTGCCGGATACCCCTCCGAAGAGCCCGCAAACATTGCGAGCAGACGTTGAGAGAAGACATCTTCTCTAGATATGGACCGGGTGAAGCTCAACGCTGAATGAGGTTCAAGCCTCGTTTGCGAAATTTGGACTTGAGCCTTTCGCGTAAATCCATCGAGCGCGTCATGAATAAATAATGGTAGTGTCTGACTGGACAATCAAATGGATTTCTGCCAGTGTAGAAAATGCGAGAGTGGGAGAGGTTAGATTTTGTCAGACAAAAACATGACCATTTCCAGACTGCGATTGGTTGCTAAACTTCACTCTACCTTTTAGGTAAAGTACGTATATTGCCCCCTTTTATATTGCTACGCCTTGCAGACATTCTACACATTCTCCATCTCTCAAGCTTTTGAACAAGGTGTCGATGCCTTTCATGCTAATTCTTGCGGTTCTTGCCTGAAATCTGGATGTTACTGGAGACAGCTCATCTCCTCCCGAGTCGATCTCTATGAGCGGCCTCAGGCAGTATGTGGTCACGACCGCTGCTATCAAGGACGCTCTTAAATATACGCATGCACTCATTTATACCCATAACTGATTGACTGGCTGTCTTTGAGGCTCCTTCAGAGTAAGCTGCGTACAGGAGTGCTTCCCCTTGTGCGCCGATATGCCAGCCATGGTGCCTCTGGTATCCACGACTTCAAGTGAGAGCGGCAGAATGACTTGCTAGCTACGTCCGAGGCTGTGATAGATCTTACGACTTCAGAAGTCTCCAAGTGGCCTGAACGACTCTCGATCGCCAACTTCCTCCAGAACTTAGAGTCTGCTTTCCGTCAAGAAGGATCCATGAACTATTCATAGTGAGGAACAGGCGTCCAAGCCATTGATGTGGGCAAGCTTGACGTGGTCTCTCACAAAGCTGCGCTAGAAGAGGTATAGGTGGCGTCGATTGCCGAATTTGTTGGAGGCGATTAGCGGTCAAGATGTCGCCGCACGCCAGTACAACTTCCACATTACTGACGAGAAGAGCTTTTTCACCTCGGCAACATAATCACAACCTAATCACAACCTTCGGCATTGGTGCTTTGATCGGTATTCGGCGTGTCATTGCGGCCGCTGATTCGAGCCAAGAACCTATCATTGGCTACATGCTCTCGGTCGAATCCAGTGACGATGCCTTCTTCCGAATGACGGTAAACGAGGTTCCGAGGACCACAACCTCCTTTGAAAGAAGGATCTGCAGCATTTGGGCCAACATCTCGGCGTTAGAGTTCATGATTGCAGACTCATGCTCTAATCTTCCGTCTTCGATCGCCTCTCTCACAGTCTTCCTGATCTCAAGGCAGTCGACTATGGTGCCTCATCGTTGGCCATGCCGAAGGCTCCTGAAAAGTTCATCTTAAATTTGGACAGGAAACCTTGTTAGCTGCAGGTTGGGCTGTGCAACCTGTTTGGATGGCGTGGGTCAACCAAGACAAGCCTTCAGCCTACACTCCAGTCACGATGAAAAGTGACGGTGGACTGCACGCTGGTGTTCATCTTGGAATATTGGGGATCGCAATGCAGCCCTCACCGATCAGAACACAGCAACGATTGTTGACTGACGATCTGACCGGGGCTACTTTGGTTGAACACATTATTATCCCTCTTACTGAAGTTGGAGAGCTGATAGATAAGAGCACAACGACGTTAGAACGTGTTGGCGGTGGTATGGGATGTCAGTTGCTGGTTCTGTAGGTGAATTCCTCTTGTGCAGGTGAATTCCGATGAGACTCCCACCGGCCGTTCACTCTCAAAGCGGCTCTCATGTGCAACACGTCTGGACCAACAGATGGATTGGCTATTTCCAGGTGCTGGATCAGATCTACCGTGCTTGACTGGTTTATCTTACTGGCTGGTCTTTCATTGGAACCGACCTTGCTATAGGACATCTGACGGGATCTATCGCTGGAGACCAGGAAAGATTTGCTGATTGAGAGTTGGAAAAGGCTGGATCTCTTACAGTGTCCAAAAGCGGCGAGGAATAAATACTACTAAAATAATGGTCTTGACCAAATAGTCACGCTGCCCTATCAAGAGGTACGTACCCTCGTTACGATCCGGCGCAGGCAAAATACAACGGAGCTTTACGTCTACCTACCAAGGGATATTAGTACATGTTATACATTGAGCCTCTTCTCAAATACCCATGTTGGCAAGGGCTGGAGCAAAGGTCTCAGCGGTGATGGAGCCTAAGTTAACCGTGATTTGATTGTCGATATACTGACCCAGGTGCTGGGAAAGAACATCTCGGGAAACAGACTGGCCATATCCTTTCAACAGCATGGGGCGATATACATTAGCGTCGCATTGCTCCCATATCAAGAAGAAAAGCCCTCAAGACTGCAACTCCAACACTCACTGCCTATCACACACACACTCTCGACCCTAGCTGGGTGGTACGCAGCATCTCTGTGTCAAGCCACCGATGTCCATCGCTCTCATTTGACCCCAAGCTTTGTGAATGATTGACGACATGTTCCATGTTCCATGTTCTGTCAGATCCGCCTCGCAGTTCAGTTGAAGACGGCCCAGTGGGCAAATCATGCAGAGCATTTGGATCTGTCAACTGCACAGGTGGAGGGGCGACTGCATTTGTGACACAACGTGCGACACAGCAGCTTCCATGCCTGACGCGCCTGTTCGCTGCATCATGTGGCACGCGCCAGGCACGAGGTTGCAGAATCTCGACACTGGTTTATGTTGCCTGACCTCAGTAAGCATCTTCACTCCCTGATGTCCAGATATACTGCTGCGGTTGCCCCGAACTCGGTCTTCTTCCTTTTCCGATTTCGACAATCCAAAGATAAAAGAAAGAACAATATCTACATGGTCTGCCACCCTATGACCTGTTGACTGATTCGTGCAACATGCATGTGGCCAGCTATCCGACGGCTTCTATCCGATGCCAGGGACCGACGCAAGTCCTTCCTAGCCTTCTGCCATCGTCCATGTTGACCTACGATGGCCTACCTCACTCATTCTAGCAATGCCTGAGGCTTAAAGAATTGAATATGATACCAGAGTTCTCCACCTAAACATGGCCTGACTGGCTACTTAATGCAGGACGGCTTACTTCGAGCAATCCGTGTCTGTGAGAATCCCTCGGCCTTGATCTCTCAGTACGCCGTGGAAAAACCACGCATTCTCGGCCAGCTGCATGCGGAGTATCTCTAACATCACGGCTATGATACTCAACGGCTACTCCTTGCGAACTCGTAATGGAGCAGGTTGCTAGTCTGAATATGACAGCTCGATGCGTGCCTTTTTTGAAATCCATCCGCTCCACCCTCGGACAAGGACTCCCACGCGAGATTGCGCACTGCTGTCTCTTCACAATTGATGCAATCGGCGGCGTCGATGTTCAGTTTGCTCAGGGGATGCTGCAGAAAAAAACACTAACGGTTTGCCTGCGTGGCAGAATCGACCTGGATTCGCATTTCATGGCGATATATAACCCCCGGGTTCGAAGTCACCTTTGGGTCGTTGGACAGTTGTCATCTTTGAGCTGAGCATCCTGGAGGTGTGCGATCATGTGCAATCACCTAACATTCATTATAGCAGGTCTTGCAAGCTTTGTGTTGAGCTATGCAGTTGAGCAACCAGGTGTGTACTGAGGAGTCTCATATTGAACCCTCTATCAAACTACTGATGCTTCGACAGTCGTTCCTGATAGAATCGTTCGCCGCTGCGACAATGAAACCCATTCGTTACTCTGGCCATATAGCAACACCTCATTGACACAGTCAGCCTATGGCCCAAGTGTCCCTGGCACGGCGGCCTCGGGTCTCACGGCCGGGCTTCCAGCAGGTCTGCCCTTCTCTTGGCCTTGCGGCTATGGTGGCCTTCCGTGCTTTCCAACTGCAACAAACCCAACTGCCGGGGCCACGAGTGCTGCCAACGCCTCTTGGACGCAAAGCGTTGCGACTGCTTCCAACAGCAGTAGTCAGTCGTTCAATATTGGCCCGGAGATGACTTCGACTCCATCCTCTTCTTTCGATCAATCAGCTGCTTCAACGAGCAGGGAGACCTCAACTGCAGCTGAAAGTTCGCTTTCTGGCAATGTCACGACGAATGCCACGACTTCCTTCTCCCCAGATCATAGTTCTGGGGCAAGTATAACACTCTCCAATGCAACTTTGTCGGGCGGATCCTCCAGTTATGTGGCTATGACCACCCTGACCACCAACGCCACTGCCACTGTGTTTCTCAACCACACGCGTACAGTTGGACCTCCACCACCTATGACTTTTCCCTGTCGAAATAGCCTAGGCTCTACCTGCTTCCCCGCCAATGAGACATATGCGCCGACGGGCTCAGGGACTGGCGGTTGGGCGCCGCGTGGAAGCAATGCATCGACTAACACCTCGCAAGGGCTTTCTTCCGCTGTTGAGACGCCTTCGCGAAACGTGACCGAGCTTGTGGCAACCCTTACGATCGGGTCCACACCGTCACTGGAAGTTGTCACCTTAACGGCCACAGTCGATGTGGGAGGCTTGCAGACCTCTTCCAGAGTATGGGGCAATGGGACTGGGGCTGCCAACGCAACAGGCACAGGCACGGGACCAATATCGTCTGCGAAACCTGACGTTATCACTATGACGATTGTGGTTGCAAGCAATTCAACCGCGATACTCGGTACACAGACGTCCTTGAGCACGGCCAATGCATCTAACACTGTTCCCACGTCCTCTTCAGAATCTGTAACGGCCAGTGCAACCGCAATTACCGGAAACACCACGTCTGTAACCAATATGACACTCTCTCCGGCGACAACAGAAAGCACGTCAAGCCTGTCTGTTTTCGTATCCGCAACGGGAACGGGGAACTCGACATTGTCATTCATTAATGGCACCTTGACGGGAACTGAGACTACATCGGCGCCTTACTGGGGCAATACTACCTCCAGCACCCCTTGTCCATGGGAGGTGTCGGACAGCAGTCGAGTCTGGAGCGACTGGAATCTGACGGCCTTATCCTTAACCTACAAGGGCAACAGCTCAGCCTCTGCCCAGACGACTTTCAATTCCCAGATCGCGACTGCAGCTCCAACCCCTCAACCAACGTTCTCAGCCTCCTTGTCCGTTTCGAGTCCGACCGCCAATTCCACAACCACATCCGAATCTGACAACTCACAAATCCAAGTTACCCCAACCACTCTGCCTGCAAACATATCCAGCAGCTCTGATCTTCAGTTGGGCTCCACCATGCTTTCAGGCCAGGGAGCGCCTACCGGCCTCAGTCCTAACGCTTCTACCATCTGTCTGGCTAATGCAACAGTCGCGAGCTGTCCGAGCACAGCGGCGCCGTGGCTGTCGACGGCAGCCATAACTGGAACTGCTGGAGGAAGCGGGAGAACTACACTGACGACCTCGTTTGTTTCCAATCCCAATAGCAGCGTCTCAAATACCGGCGGGTCTGTCGTGCCGCGATGGCAGGCTAAAGCTCGCTCCGCCAATGATGTTATGCCACTCAAGAACCGGTCTGCTAGAGGCGATAGAGACAAAGCCAATGCGCCTCGACACACTCTGGACGAGACTGCAGAAGAGCGTGTTCTCGATGGTGAGCACGTAGGTTGGGTGGGTGGTGTTGTGCAATGAGCATGTGTTGCACGTGCTTCGGGCTGCACAGAATCCAGTCACCAGGTTACTGGCCTATCGTGCGAAATGTATTGTGTGGGCTGTCTTTGGGTTGATTTTCTTGATTCTTTCGAGGACGAACTGGCCTGTCCTGCTCCCCATGAGGGTGGCGACGATCGGTCGCCTGTTGTTCAAGCTACAAGAAGACATGTGCAAGTAATCACCACGAAGAAGAACTAATATGGACTCTGTCTGGCTCCTCAAGCCGGTTGCTGCTTGTAGACAGCTCTTTCGATTGAAAGCATTCGTGTTTCATAATCTCATTGTCGTTCACGTTGTCTTGTATCTTCCATTCCTCCTGTGTAAGAGGACATGCGGCAGTAGCGGTTTCAGCAATATCTTTTCGAGCGACGGGAGATGGTAGATCGAGGGACGTCGCCTTTCCATAAGGATCGGTTTTGTGTGGAAAATGGGTGGAAGCACGAAGCTGTAGTTCTCATCTTCACTCCATGCAACGTATCAGTGACGACGTTCTGCATGGCTCATATTCAAATGTGCTGGTTTTGCATGCTCTTTCACTGGTGGAAGTATCGCCATGGACAGGCGGGATAGGCGACGTGGAAATGAGGTCGTACCCAGGTGGAACGTCTGGACGAATAGACCTGACGATAGGAACCCAGTTGACCGGTGTTGTTCTAATCATTGATACTCGGGAGGTGTCGATGGGGCGCTGCTGATGCCGGATGTCGCAGGTGAGGTGATTTCGTCGTCGGCTGTCGAGTTTTTCTTCGACGCCGATAGCCAGGATTGCGTCCACTCTGCAAGCGATGCAGACGGCCCTCCTGTAATCACTACAGACTGGACTTCGGTCTCTTTTCCAAGGATGGTGCCTTGGAATCGAGACTCTTCGCCAGTTCTGCTGTGTTTTTTCTTCATGGCTGTTCAGATGTCAGTCATCGCACATCCGTCACTTGAACCTCAATCACAACTAACCGGTGAGATAGTCCTCCTGGTCGTCAAGCCCTGCAGCAATTTCCTCCACATTGGCATCGTCGCCAAATCCTGCCACCCTCCGAATCTCTTTGTTAACCGGCCCTTGAGCCCAGTTTACGAATCCTTCGACCCCTCGCAAGTCCTCGAACGGAACCATCACGCCCTCCACTTCCACGTCATCCCTGAGGTTCTCCTCCACCGTGCTCATCTGCGGAGTCAGCGCTCCAGCCTGACTCATTGCGAGACGCACATCCTGTATCGTTGGCACGGGTGTATTGTGAAGAGTTAACGCATTCTGCGCGGTCGAAGCAGCCAGCAGAATTAGATACCGTGCAGCAAGATCGGTCAGGCAGTCAATGACAGCCGGGCGCGTATAGCCAAACCCTGCCGCTCTCAGGATCTGGATGACTGCTGGCCGCAACAGGGCGGTGTAAAGGTCGTCTGAGGCCATTCTCGACTTCCTTTGGACGCTGCGCACACAACGGTACTTTCAAGGCTGGATTCAGATCTGGAAGAAAGGGCGCATTGTCAAAGCTCGGAAAGAATAGTGACCACAATTATACCATCCCCAGCGCAGGCACGATGGCCGGCGGCCAAAAGACGCAGCGTTCTGCACCGCAAACCCCAACACTTGAAGTTACAGGACTGCCTCCGTTTGTCACACTCAGGATTTCACCTCAAAGACTGCGCGCATCGAATCTACCAGAGACACCTGCGCGATGGATGTGGCCCACGAACAGAGGGATTGAACTTATTGAGGGAGATTCGAGCGTGATGAACGCGCAAGACGCCTGGAATGAGAATTTGGCGATGAATCCGGCCATGGAAGTTGATGGCACCGCCGCCGCTAATCATCCTCCCGCCAACGGATCCCTACAGCCGCCAGATGCTGAGACATCCACCAATCAAAACAAGAAATCTCAGACCAAGGGTCGTAATAAAGCGAAGGGCAGTCCCATGCTCCATCCTCCCGCCCATCATCGCCAAAGACGCGGCAAATCCAGCAAATCCAGCAAATCCAGCATCAAGCACGAAGAATCTTTCTCCACACTCAGCAGACGTCGAACCAAAGGGACAGCAGCCACTGCAGCCAGGACATCCTCCAGAAGGGTGACTCTCACAGCCGAACACGAAGTCCTGCACATCGACTCCTCTCCCCACCAACGTCTGGATGAAGACGATCGAACACTTAGCGACGCCGATGACGTGAATTCCTTCCAGTTTGCCAGCGAAGACGACACGATGTCCGACGCATCAGAGCAGCACGCCTTGCCGCCGCCACAACGTCCTTCGCTCAAACTCAAGCTCAGTAAGCCGGTCATACCACAAGTCGAAGGAAATCAAGGTGCGCAGACACCGGCTGCCACCAGCGCGACGCGGACACCGTCGATCAAGCTCAAGTTCGGAGCCACACCGACTCTAGGCTCCGCGAAGGCAGCTAATAAAGAGGAGGATACCATCACAGTTACGCCGGTTTCCTCTACCAAGAAACGAAAACGACCCTACAATGCGAATGAGTCCGAAGACGAAATCGCGCGGCCTGCCCCGAAGCCTCCCGTCTTTCGCAAGCTCACTCTGAAGACAGATCCCAGTCCGCGGAACCCGCCCCCGGTCCCGAAGCCTGCACCTTCCAAAGTGATCAAGATTAAAGCGAAAGGCAAACCACCCAAAAGACCCCTTGGTGTGGGCTACGACTCGGAACTCGAAGAGCGGGAGGCTGATCCCGTCATACACGAGGGCTTTATCTTGCGCATGCAGCCTGGACCAGATTGTGATTATCTGCGAAAAGCCATTGCAGATGGCACTGTCGGCCTGCCACGTGCACAAGGAGGAGCTGATGTCCGGATGAGAATGCTCGACACCTCGGGTAGAAGAGGCATCATGATTATCAGAGGCAATCAGTACGCCACAACGCTGGTGGATCTCCCCTGCATCATTGAGGGCATGAAGTCTTGGGACAAGAAGGGCTGGATCAAGAGTGTCGACATCAGCCAAATGCTGTTGGTTTTGGGCCGCTGCAATACGGATGAAGAAGCGAGAAACTACCCCCTTCCCGAAGACGTCGATCCGAATAATTACCAATATGCCCACGGAATAACTGCGCCTATGAAGTGGGTTCGGAAGCGCCGCTTTGCTAGGACCAAACGTGCCAGAGTTGATGACATCGAGGCTATCGAGCGAAGGGTCAACGCTCTCCTTGAGGCGGACAAAGCTGCGCTTTCGACGAAATACCAACTCCTAGACCACGACCCCCGTCTTGATGAGGAGCGGTACAGCTCCGGACTCGAGGGCGAGGATGATGACGCCGAGGCTGAGTATGATGATGACCCCGAAGGCTACTTTGACCCTAGAAACGAGCAAAATGGAGGTGACCTTGAGACGCCAATGTTCACTGAGACTCCGGTAGAAGATATTGGTCAGGACGAGGTCGACGAGTTTGAGAGGATGTTTGCCGGCGATGACGACCTGCCGGCGGCAGATCCTGCACCACAGACCCGTGATACCTTGCACGTCCCGGAAGTGGGTGATTCCTCGTTCGGCGTCACTAGCACCTCGGCTTCTCCTTCTGTGACTGTGGCCCACACCCCTGCTTCCGCGGCAGAGGCGTCTTCAGACGAGGACGAAGAGGATGATGGGGGAGATGATGACGAAGACCTGGACGACGCTGAGAAGGAGGGTGACGAGAACCTGCAGCAGATCAAGGACAGGATCCAAGATATGCAACAGAAAATCACGGAGCAGACTGAAGTGCTTAAGCAGACGCAGAACGCAATTCTCAAGAAGAAACTTGCCAGGAAGATTCAGGATCTCAAAGATGACGTGGCCATGATGAAGAAGAATGCCGGCCTGGGTGGTGATGAAGATGAGGACTAACTGCTGCATTGATCTATATCGAATTGCCATTTTTTCTGCGCAACAGATGAGGGCGTTTACGGGATAGAAGTGGCCTTCAAAAACAGTGTGCGCACACCGCACTAGCACGCCGATAATATGGAAGGATGAAGCTTAGAACAGTGGTGGCGGTGTTCTCGCTTGCAGTCTGCTTTCTCTCTCTTTCTTTCTCCGGTCTACCATGGGCTCGCGGTGTGTTTAGAACCGGTTAGGCATACTGTATTCAGGCTTCATCAGTTTAGACCACCAATGCATCATTGATTGTCTACTAAACGTCCTCCATCATTCCGCTCAACAGCATCTGAATCACTGGTTTCCCGCTCACTGTGTATGTTATGATACTGAATCCACGTCAGCACCGACCCGTCAAGACGAGACAAGTCCATCCGCTTGTCCATACAGATTGATCCTCGATAACTAGTACCTGGAAGTTCATGTGCAATGCTTGTGATTACAATGTGATACTATAGATGGTTTGTCCTGTTTTGACGCGGTTGAACCATGGTTGGAACAATTGGGAGACAGAATGAAGGCTCACGTATGGCTTGGATGTCCGTCCCTCGAGGTCGACATCGCATGTCTTTCCGAGGTCTCAGGTGGACGGATCTACAGGATGCGAGATGCGAGACGAGAAGGGAAGCGGTTGTATATCGGGTGTTGGCTGGCGGAGAAAACCGTCCAATTCTTCGCTCAGAAGAAGCATTAAGATGATACATGGAAGGGCTGGAGTATGATTGATCGATCCGATCGACTCAGTCTGCGAAAATGTTACTACCACGGTCATCATGTACTCTGTCGCGGACAGCAGCTACAGCGATATGGAGTGCGAGGCAGTTCAGTCGTGTGCCGCAGAGGTCCATCTCTTTCCACCCCCCTTCCTCCAGCGTGCGTTGTACGAGGGCTGGAGTTCCCACATCCACCACGATGGAGAGTCATTTGGATAAGCTCGAGATCAATTGCGACATGGGCGAGGGGTTCGGAAGATGGAAGATGGTCAGTATGACAAGTCAGGGCACGGCAGGTCTCCGCTGACCGAATCGAATCATCGACGCTTCCTCTAGGGTCCAGACGAGGAGCTCATGCCGTACATCGACGCGGCCAACATCGCATGTGGCTTCCACGCCGGCGACCCCAGCCTGATGCTCAAGACAATACGTCTGGCGAAGAAACATGGAGTCAAGGCCGGCGCCCATCCTGGACTACCCGGTATGTTGGGTTCGTCTGTTTATGTTCTGTGTTCTGTCCACTCGCAATACTGGTTGGTATACATGTATGTACTGATCCTTTGGTGCACTCGTGGTCCTAGACCTCGTTGGCTTCGGACGTCGACGGCTGGAAATCGATCCTCACGACATGTACACGTCGGTTCTCTACCAAGTCGGCGCGCTCAAGGCCATGCTAGACGCCGAGGACGTTCCGCTGAACCATATCAAGCCGCACGGCGAACTGTTCTTCTACATGATGCGCGACGCGCCCGTTCGGAACGCCGTCCTCGACGCCTGTGCTCACTTCCACGTTCCCGTATACGGATGTCGTAACCCGGAGTGGAAAGCGCCCTGCGACGAAAGAGGCCTGTTCTTCCAGGAGGAATTGTATGTCGACATCGACTACGACAGAGAGGGGAGACTGGTCCCTGTGGCCAAGTCGCAGAAGGCCAGTCCCGAACTCATCTCCGGCCGCGTCACATCAGGCGGCTTGGACGACACCACGCTGGACAACGAAGGCAACACGCTTGTCCTCGGATTCGAGGGCAGGCCCTTCAGCATTTGCATTCACTCGGATATGCCCGCGGCCTTGGAAAACGCCAGTGCTGCGAGGAAGGCGGTCGACGAGGTTAATTCGAAGAAGAGATTCTCACGGTGATCACAGATGGAGGTGGACAGGCCCGTTGTATACAGCATCTTACTTTCCGTGGTATCTATCTATACACAAACAACTTCTTGGCTGGAGGATACCTACATGTATGGTATGTCCTTGAGTGTCCTCACCATCAGGCACTGGAGTACCACCTACCAGATCGCTGCCTTAACCAATAACCGTAGAATGCCCTTGGTAGAGCACCATGCTGGCACAGTCTCGCGGCGCTTATCTCGAAACTTGAATACCACAAATACCGGGGTTCGGTTCGCATACCTATATCTCATCCATTATCTATCCGAAACCCAGTCAATCCATACTGCGCTTATCCAGTCAGATCGCAACCAGCCATGGACTTGGACTGATCGAGAAACGGACCTGAGCGCCAATATCCGTCTCATAACACATTCCATTCTTCGCGAGAGCCTCGTCCAGCGGCGGTGCTCATCTGAAAGATCTCTCCTCCCTGTGGTTTCAAGCCATAAAATCGTGACAGCGAATGTCTCCCATGGCCCTCGACGAAGCCGAAGGCCGGTACGACGACTACCGTAGCATCTATACGCCAGGCATTGGCTTCGACGCCCCCAGGCCTACCGTCCCCTGTGGTTCAGCCATCCTGGACCCAGACAATGGCATCACCGAGGACACCATCTCACCGATATTCAAGCCCTTGAACATACGGGGCGTGACGTTCCAGAACCGCATCTTCCTGGCGCCCATGTGCATGTACAGTTGCAAGGATGGGAAGCTATCCGACTTTCACGTCGCTCACTACGGCCAATACGCCATCCGCGGCGTGCCCCTGATTACGATTGAAGCCACCGCCGTAGTTCCTCAGGTATGTCCACGTTTCCTCGAAGTCAGGTTCTTGCGGTCGACATGCATCCTCTGATCCACCATGCAGGGTCTCAATACGCCCCAGGATAACGGCTTGTGGTCGGACGACCAAATCCCTCCTCTGAGACGAGTGGTCGAAATGGTCCACTCCCAGTCGCAGCACATCGCCATCCAGCTTCAACACGCAGGTCGGAAGGCGGGCGTGTGTCCACCGTGGCTGGGGCTGAAGGCTGTCCCAGACAAATTCGGCGGCATCACGACCAAAGTGCAGGGGCCGAGCCCGGAGCCCTGGAACGACAACTATTGCACGCCCTCTGAAATGACGGAACAGGAGATCCTGGAGGTCATTGACGCTTTCGGCGCCGCTGCTGCCAGGGCGGTCAAGGCTGGCGTCGACGTTGTCGCCGTTCATGGAGCTCATGGATATTTGATTCATTCTTTCGCCAGTCCTGCGGTATGTTTCGACCGAGTCCACGCTGAGTGCAGTACTCATGTCCTGCTTCGCCAATTGTGGATTCTGCTTAGCTGACGCTTCCTCGGCCGCCGCCTTAGTCTAACAAGCGCACGGATGGATGGGGAGGCAGCTTCGAGAATCGCATCCGGTTCGGTGTCGAAGTAGTTCGCGCCATCCGTCGCACCGTGCCAGCCTCTACCCTGCTGTTCTGGAAGATTTCGGCCGTTGACTGGCTGCCACCTGGCGAAGGATGGGAGCTTGAAGATACGATCCGCTACGCTTCGATCCTGCGTGACGAAGGCGTCGACTTCCTCGATGTCTCGAGCGGCGGTACCGACAGAAACCAGAAAGTCCAGATCTCTCCTGGCTATCAAGTCAAGTTTGCCGAGGCGGTCAAGAAAACCACGCCAGGACTACTGGTTGGGGCGGTGGGATGGATCAGAGACGGGAAGACGGTTGAAGAGGTGAGTGTTCACCACCTACCTTTCTTGATGCAGCGAGTCTGTCCATTGTAAGGATCACTGACTGAAGGTTGGGCTGCTAGATCATTCGATCCGGAAAAGCCGATGCTGTATCGATTGCGAGAGAATTCCTCAGAGATCCCAACTTTGTTCATCGCGTTGCGAACGAAGTCGGCACCAGGATCGCTTGGATCGACCAGTATCATCGTGCACCGGTTGGTAGTCTGACAATACTGCATGGAAACAAACTGACATTTATACGCTTCCAAGATCTATGGTCGCAATGTTGAAAGTACGACGAACATTTCCACCGACGCCAAAGCAGACGACAAGGTGACACTGTCGGATGACAAGCAACAACGAAATAAGACGATCGTGATTCAGTAGCCCAGATTTTGTTCAGCACGTTCAACAGCAACAGTTCGGCCCGATGAACACTATGGCGGGGAAGAAACATGGCTGTCATACATGAAGTGACGGATTGTATGATCATTCCCCTAGAAGCCTAGAAGGTCAGGTAAGCTGTCTTAGACCTGGCAATTGGAGGTCAACCCTGGGAAGAAAGAGAAGAGACTATTAAGCATCTCTGGCGGGACTGGTGCAAAGTTGACGAAGGTAAGGGAATAGAATAGGTCCTGATAGGAGTCAACAAAGGGGGGGAGGGAAGTTCATCACCCTTCTCAGATTCCCATCTCGATCCAGATTCCAGAACATCTGCTAGTCATGCTAGTTGCTCACCTCGGTAGACTTCGTCGAGGTCATCAATTAGATCCTCGTTAGGCGGGAGAAAGAGCTGTTGGCCCAGTCGTCAACTTCCAAATGTGATCTATTGATCACGTTCGTCCGCGGGAAACCGGTCTGCAGGCCATCATGCCCAGTGGGATCCTGGCAGGATTTGAACCAACGTTGGAAGAGCTTGCAATGGTCACCTGGGGTTAGGAAGTCGACCGGATGAGCCGATAGGTGCGTGGTATTCATTGCTCGTCGATTGCATGGACATCTCATTGCCTCTGGCTGGCCAGTCAAGTCTGCTGGGTGCTATATACTGCCACAGCCAGATAGGAAATGGGACATGGGGACTACCCTTTAGATTTGATGCACACGTTTAGGGGCCTCAACTTACCCAGCAAAGCCTCGGCAAGTGTATCCATCAGGACACGAGCTGAACAGACGCCGGATTGGTCATCTTGGGATCTTTGCCTTGAAATCTGCGCACCATATTCCCCGCCATGTTGTTGCGATCCCCTGACTGATCATTTGGTTATTTTTATCCTCGCCATGCGTGGTTTTAAGCTTTCTTCAACGTTGCGATTCTCTTCCTACCCTTCTGGCTGCCTGTCATTGGACTGGGATCTTGCACCTTGTGTCGTATTCGTAATGCTATTCCCGTCGTCGATGTTGAGTGCAAAAGTTGACCGAGTAAACCACATGGAAATAAGAATCATAAATAGAATGCAGAACCCTCCACATTCCGAGCCAGGAAATATTCTGTATCGTTGCAGGCCTCATATTCGGACCCTGGCTACCGTGTGAGTTGAGAGAGCCAACCCCAACCTCACTGTAAGGACGACCACCGTGTCCTGCTTATCGGCATACCAGAGCAACAATGTGCTTCAGGACTGAAATCAACGACCCAACCCAACAGCCTGTCCGCATATCACAGTCGGAAGTGACGGGCGAAGATGGGAAGCAAGTCAGTAGTGCCTCTGGGCAAACAGAGGACGGGAAGAAGGAGCAATCCAACGTGGCCGGACACAGTAAGGGACATAAGACGCACGAGGCCATGTCAGACACCGAAATCAAACCAGCCACAACATCCGAGACTGCTCGACCAGTACGAACTGACAGAATGAGGCGACGGGGTAATACAAGCAGCATGCTGGCCCTCTCAATGGACTTTGGAGCTTCGCCAGTGTGACATTAACTTCAATCCGAATCGGACAGTTGGAGAGACTCGGACGGTCATGAGCTGCATCTTCTGGACACCTCTGCCTGACAAAACAAGATCGGTAGGGATCGGATCCGGAAGAAGTTCGAGCTGGATGGTATCATAACGCGGAGCAGATAGGCCAAAACACTACCACAACAAAAGGTATCTTCATGCTCCTCGCCAAAGAGACACAGGCGCCCTTAAGCGTTGGGTCGAGTTTTCATCTGTAGAGAGAGGGCTACTCTGGTCGCGATCTTTGTTGTATGGCCAATACAAACTCACGGCGTGCTTTGCTCGATATTCTCCGACTTCGCCAGACGGGACCAAGGAATTGTCTATTGGGGAATCGTCTCTTGGGGAATCGTCTCTTGGGTGATGGGGTTATTAACTTTCACGCTGAATGCTTCAGTTGGCCGCCAGTTCCGCATGCCCGGCAGACACGCACGACGCGCATTGATCCTTTTTCTTGCGTGACATGGTTGACCGACGAGCCAAGGTTTCAAATCGACGATGGGCGGCCCACGCGGGATTGGATTGGATCTGTTCTCCCGACGGCTTGGGCGATGGGGGTAAATTGAGCGGGTCGGTGGCGCTTCTGACGGCGATCGTACGATGGTCGTTTGTCAGAATTCGCGCCTAGAGGGATGGTGAATGTAGCTTCTGCCACTACTGGAGAACATGGGATTTTGGATAGGCGAGGCACTTAGCTGCTCATCGTGCTGTCACCATAAGCCACACATATCCCAAACTGGGACTGAAAACAGCTTCCCAGTGCTCCAATGTTGTGTGGAAATCTTGGGAAGGGCGGAGAACAAGGCGTTGAACGAAATATCCCCTCGATAATAAGGGAAAGGAAAGGAGGTTCTGCAGAGAGTTCTGCGCAGTGGATACAACAACAAGGAGAGCGTTCTCGGTCAATAACAGGCTAGAACAAGTAATTACTACCTAGTAAATAACAATTGCAGGTAAACCTAATATGCGCTGGTCTCCGGAGTGGGAACACTCCCGACTCTATACCTCACGATTGTTCCCGTCAAACCCAAACAACAGGAACCATTCAAATTCTCTTCTCAGCCTGCGCCCGCCGCCGCTGTACTACCTAGTACTATCTCCATGTAGTCGTGAGATCGGTTCTCTTACCTCCAGGTATCATCAATTCTCTCCCTGGAAATCATCATCGCTCCAGTTTTACTTTGCCTGCCTACCTACCTACCTACCTACCTACCTAGGTAGCAGCTACCTGAGGTACCTACTACCTCACTTACGCCACTGGCTCAGCAGGCTGCTCACTGCCCATCATCGACTATCCCTCTATTGCTAACCCGCAATCAACCCTCAACCACCACCTCCGCCTCACATGTTCCTAACCTCGTATCGTCCCATCACCGCCCCGTCGATGTGCTCGCAGCCCTGCAGAAACTACGTGGCGGCTACAGCACTGTTCGACTCGCACTCCCCACGCCGTCTGGCGCATTCATTGTGCCGATAGCCTGCGGTCTGCTTGCGCTCCTCGATTCTCCCTGCCATGGTCGTAGGAGATGTTCAGGCCCCGTCCGATACAGCATCATCCGTTGGCCTTGCTGTTGATGGCCGCTATGATGGCAGCTCTCCAACCACCGATCCGTCGCATACCGACCCTCAGCCTCTCTCAATAGCAACCGAAGTCGCCTTTGCTGCCCTCTCTACCCTTCCGACGCCTTTACTCGTTCTCTCCTCCCGCAAAACCGTTCTGCTTGCCAACTCGGCCGTGGGAAGATTACTTGGAGTTCACCAGGATGAATCTCAAAGGACTGCCACAGACTTGCTCAAGGGCCAAGCCCTCTCGCAAATTGGAATTGACATGATATCCAATGGCGTACCCATTTGGGTCGAATGGGACAAATTCCTTGACAATCTAGCCGATGGCTTGTCGACACGGGATAGTAGGTCTTCGACCGCGGAGCTGGTGCCTGGTATACAAAGTGGCGACACAACCCCAACTGGACCTCCAGATCCTACCAGAGGTCGGTCGTCATTGCGGAATAGAACACAGAAGTGCCCGGACACCGTGCTCGACGTTGTCATCTCAGCCCGGAACGGTGGTTCTACACATCACAACCAGCCTCAAAGACAGAACAAGACGCGGAGTGATCGTCTGGGCGCAAAATGCCGGATGATTGTCAGCATCTGGACGCTGGATGGGCAGCGTTTCTTCACCTTGACTTTCACCAGCCTGCTGACACAGTCCTTGCATAAACAAGGAGCTCGTTCGGAGGCCATACCTCGCAACCCTTCCTCAAATTCCACCAGGTCGTCTCACTCATCGCACTCGGTAATCTTCAGCTCAGCAAACGGAACGTCGCAAGTCACAACGCCAGGCGAACACGCAGCTGGCATGGCTTTCCCTCCAACGAGCGCTCCCGCCTCATGCGCTGTTTCGTCGACCATTACCGACTTCCACAAAGTCCTCAAGATGAAAAACGCGATGCTGAGCGCCATTGAGATCCCTCTAATTGCCATGTGGAAGGACGAGAGCGTGGTCCATCCCAACTCGGCCGCTAGGCGGCTATTGGCTGTGAAAACAAATCCCACCTCTGGGGAAGCCTATGATTTCGTGTCCAGGTTTCGTCCATGGTCGGCTGATTTCTCGCGGCAACTTGAAGAGCATGAAAACCCTATTGTCGCACTTTGCCGCACGCAGAAAGCCTTCACCAGTTGGCAAATCGGACTGGTCAACGATCAGACAGGAGATAAATCAATATTTGACGTCAGCGGTCATCCCGTGTTCGATGAGAAGTCGGGAGAGTTTCTCGCGGGACTGATTGCCTTTAAGGATGTCACTTTGTATGCCGACAAGATCGCCCTACAAATCGCCGAAAAAGAAGAACAATTCCGTCTGATATGCGACATGATGCCCCAGATGTGCTGGACGACAACAGCGGATGGCTATCATGACTACTTTTCAAAGCGCTGGTACGACTACACCGGCTTGACACCGCCCGAATCTTTGGGGTATGGCTGGAAACTACCATTTCATGAGGAAGATATGCCAGACACAATCCGCAGATGGACACACTCTCTAGCAACCGGTGAAGAGTACAGGACTCAGTACCGGTGCAGAAGGTATGATGGCGAATGGAGATGGATGCTTGGCCGTGCTTTGCCATTCCGGGATAGCAAGACCGGGAACATCTTGAAGTGGTTTGGGAGCTGCACAGATATTCAAGATATTGTGGACGCGAAGCTGGCTGGGCAAAGAGACCGCAAGAATCTCATGGCCCTTTTGAAGCACTCACAGATGACTTTGTGGATTATTGATCGACAAGAGAAGGTAACATTCTTCGAGGGCACCTTTCTCACAAATGAACCCCTCAAGGAGAACATGGTTGGACGGTCCATCTATGACTTGTTGGGGGAGTACTTGCACCCAAACTGTATCAGTGGCTTCAAGGCCGCCGTCAAGCGTACCTTGGAGGGAACGTCGGACATGGAAGAGTGCGAAAACGAGGTTCATTCGCGGTGGTTTCGCTCTAAAATGATTCCTTTGAGAGAGAAACGCAGAGTGAACGACGTGGAGGACGAAAATTACATCAGCGGCGTCATCGGAATTGGCACAGAGGTTACGCAAATGCGACAGAAGGAACAAGAGAACATTCAGCTGTTGGCAAATGAACGGGCAGCCAAAGAGGCGAGCAAAATGAAGAGCAATTTTCTGGCCAATATGTCCCATGAAATCCGAACACCTATTGCCGGAGTCCTTGGTATGTCAGACTTGTTGATGGATACGGTGCTGGACGAAGAGCAAAGTGACTTCGCCCAAAACATTCAGCGATCTGCGAACTCTCTCTTGACGGTGATCAATGATATCCTTGACTTCTCTAAGATCGAATCTGGCCGGCTCGACATCGAAGAGGTTCAATTCAGTCTTAGGATCGTGCTTCAAGATGTTGCGAAAATGCTCTCATTCGCGGCTCATCGGAAGGGGCTGGATTTCAGCAGCGACATCCAACTGGGAAACTCGGAGGACCTCATTCTGCTCGGGGACCCCGGTCGCGTTCGGCAAATTCTTACCAATCTCCTGACAAACAGTATCAAGTTCACTTCCGACGGATATGTCAGGATGAGCGCCTGCATCGTCAAGGACACCACCGATTCTGTTACCGTGGACTTTTCCGTCGAAGACAGCGGCATTGGTATTGAAGAGGATGTGAAGAAGAGACTTTTCCGCCCCTTCAGTCAAGCAGACTCCAGCACCGCAAGGCGGTTTGGAGGCACGGGGCTCGGGCTGACCATATGCAAGAACTTGGTCGAGTTGATGCATGGGACAATCAGTCTCGAGTCCAAACTCGACGCTGGGACTTTGGCCACGTTCAGTATTCCTTTCAAAAAGCCCGAATACAAGACAAACTCCTCTCCTGCACTCCTTAATGTGGGGATGATGCCGGACCGGCTGCAGTCAGAATTGTCCCTGTCCATGAGCACTCCATCACAGGAGGGAGGGCGAAAGACTAGGGCAGTTAGTCCAATCAAACCCTCCAGTACTACAAGCAGTGCCGCCCAACTCTCTTCAGCTATTTCACCCAATCCAGAATTAGAGGCGCCTCTTTCGGATGCCCAGCGGGAGGAATACCATATTCTCGTTGTAGAAGGTATGTACGGTCCTGTGCAATTCATTGGCTCATACACTGACCCTCACAGACAATCCCGTCAATCAACAAATCGCTCTCAGGTTCATTAGGGCCCTCGGCTTCTCCGTGAGAGCTGTGTGGAATGGGAAAGAAGCACTAGAGTATCTTCTCAAGGCAACTTCGCCAGAATTGACTCCTGAACAGTCCAAGGCGTATCCGATCCCATCTTTGATTCTCATGGATGTCCAGATGCCCGTTCTTGACGGTTACCGCGCCACCCACATGCTAAGATATCATGCCCCTTTCACGACCATTCCGGCCATACGCAACATCCCAATTGTGGCCATGACTGCATCTGCAATCCATGGGGACCGAGAAAAATGTGAAAGAGCAGGAATGGATGATTACATGGCGAAGCCGGTGAAGAGGTCGCTGCTTGAGCAAACAATTTTGAAATGGATATCCCCAGGGCGCAGCGGCGCCGGGCATACGGCGCCAGTAGCCAATGCACAATCCGCCAAAATTCTTTTCAACCGAGCTTGTACTGACCATTCATCGACGTGTACGGACCATGACGCCATTGTTGCTGAATTCTTTCCTGAGAGCACTCGTCAGCAGCAGGAGGGGTATCTGGAGACTTCGGCCGGCGCAGAAGGCGTGGCTGGGCAAGGGCTTAATCACAGGTCAAACATATCTCGGAGAATCCTGGCGAGGGAAATTCCTGGCGCTGAAACGGAGTCCGACCGGGCAACAAGGCGGGCGCAGGCAGAAGACACGGCAAGGGATCTCCGAGATGCTAAGTTAATGTCTGCTACCACGGGCGGTCAGGCTCGATCTCGCCTTGCCCCCACCATCGTCCTAGGCGACAGCTGTCCCTTCGAATCCCAGGCGCCAACTGCCTCGAACGGCTACTCCGAAGATGTCCAAGAGAGCATGAGTCCTTCCAGACTGGAATTGACCGAGGAGAATGTCTCCCTTCTGAACCATGCCCAGGATCTGGACCTCCGACCGTCAAGGACGTCGTCTCCAAGTGTGGAATACAATGATTTTAATGTCACCGATATTCCAGGACCTCCACCAGAAGGCTTACTCGCTGCGGCGGATCTAGGAGGAGTGGATGCTAATGCCGAAGCGTTGGTACAGGTGCTGTTAGAACGGGCACAGCATCATGATGAGCCCGCTTATACCGTCACTCGGTCAGATGTCAGTGGGCAGAATCTGCCCTTGACAAGTCGACGAGGCCCTGGCGGGCTGGCACCGGGAACACGCCAGAGCAGTGACTGGAGCAACAGCACAGCAAGGCCAGCACATTGATGCAGAGGAGCGTCTCGGCGAAGATTGCCGAATGGATTTTTACTTGCATTGCGTTGAGGGTTACAATCGTTCATATTTAAGAATGGCTGGCTGTATTCTTCCAATGAGTTCGGCGTGAGGAATGGTTGGACCGCGGGGATTACCTGCACGACGCATGGGCGGGCGAGCAAGATGGTTCTGATCCGAGGGTAGGTCCTTTGGGTATCTTGGAAACGAAAGCCTTGCATGGCCAGTTAGATCGTGTTCAACGATACAATGATTGTATGGTATATGATATGACTGGTGCAAGAGAAACACATGAATTGAGTTCCGTGACGATGAGAGTACAATGAACGCAGAGAAGGAGTAGAGGACAAAGACACGGTCAGTCTCGACCCCTGCCTGATTGCCTCATGAGGTGGCTATCGAATAAAATAAGACACCTAGAAATATACGGCAAGGACGGTTGCTGGCATGGGACCACAAGGGAGGTACCTAATCAGCAACCACTATAAAATGATATATGTCGCATCCATATTCCTACCACCATCGTTTGCCGTATTGCAACCTTAAGTCAGGGCAGAAGATATGGTCGTGAGTGACATGAAAATGACTGCGGAGTGAGTGAGGCTGACACATAATTGAGGAAATTGAGTTGTCTGGCATCCATTTAACTGCAGTGGACGTCAGGGATGGCTGCCAGTGCAGGTGTCATCTGAGAGGCGTTTGCGGTCATTTGTTGCTGTCAGACCATTGTTTTCTTTTTCACCCAACTGGAACAACGCGTCAGTGTCTTATCGGCTTATCGACACCTACGTCATCGGCCACATCCCGCTCGGTGTTGGGATTCTGCTGCCTAGAAGCATGCCTGGAAAGCCTGGCTTTTAAAGGTACCCTTCACTTTTCTGCCTTTGCAGTGTGACAACCAAGAAGGTACCTAGTAGGTACTACTACTACAGAGGTAGTGTTGTAAATCCACTAACCCTGAAGGTATCACTTAGACCTACTAGTACCTGCTAGGAGGCGAGATTTGAAAGCCCCCCTCAGCCTTGCTAATGGTTCGTGTCTTTCTCAGCAGATCGACATAAGTCCCAGGCTGCTGTGTCGATTGTCGCCTTATCCCTTCAAATCCAGACCATCGAGCGCCTTGTATCGCACCGCCCTTTGTTTCTATTGCCACAGCCTCGTCTTTCAGGTATCACCACTGGACGTGTCCCAACGACCGACCGGCGTGACTCCTCCTGCGGCATCGCACGTCCCGCTGCAGGCACCTTCGCTACCCACGCTTGTGAAACACAGCCTCACCACCACCAACTGCTTGATGGAGAATCTGCATGCTCCCACCAAACAATGTCTCTTTCTGTCACGACCCTGCTAAATTCAGACTTATTTCCTGCTGTGGTCATCTCTCTTTCCTCTCATGAACGAGCCTACACCGCCCTACCTGCAGGATGTCGAATCAAACCATCTTGAGAATATCGCGAGTGGGAGACAACTTCACCTTCCCAGAAACCCTATATTGACATCTAAATAGGAAATCACTCAGATCCAACAAGGCAGTGACCTGTGTTAGTGCGATGAGTTCCCTTTCTCTTCTCCCCCTCGGTCACTGACACGAGAGACAGCCATCGCCGTCGCATGTCAAGAACAAGATGTCCGCCATGTGAGAGCCCTTATCATCGGTCCCCACGGTACGCCCTACGAGTACGGCTTTTTCGAATTCTCTATCATCTTTGGTTCGGAATATCCAAGCAAGCCGCCCAAGGTTGAAGCAAAAACCACAAATGGAGGTAGGACACGATTCAACCCCAACATCTATGCAGGCGGCAAAGTGTGCCTGTCTATACTAGGAACATGGCATGGTGAGAGACCAGGCGAGGAATGGTCGTCTGCACAAGGTCTTGAGTCCATATTGTGGTCGATACAGAGCCTCATGTCGAACAATCCCTATGAGAACGAGCCTGGGTACGAGAATGCGAAGGGTACGGAGGACAAGAAGATGAACGACTTATACTGTGCAAAGGTAGCTTTCCCGTGGTCTGATGCTGTTCGGCCGGAGTACTAATAGGCGGCAGATACGGCACGAGACTCTTCGCATCGCCGTGATCCAAAAACTGGAAGAAGCCCTTGGTATTCAACCTGATGGTTCGGTGGCTCTGGCCAGCAACAGCGCTTCAAAAGGCGCACCCGGAGATGAGGAGGGGCAACAAAAGGATGAGGACCAGGAGCTACTGGCGCTGAAGCTCAAGTTCGAGCCGTTCAAGGATCTATTCAAACGAAGATTTCTGTGGTACTTCGAACACTACATGACCACCGTGGTCGAACACACCCCGAAGCATAAAGACGGCGCAGATTTCGCCAAGATGCCGTTCGAGGGAGGTGGTAATACCATGGATGGTAAGTTCCGCTATGCCGACCTCGGGAAGCGTCTGGTTCGAATCAAAGAGGTCCTTCGTGAAGAGGCCAATGCCTGGGCAGCCGAAGGCCTGGCTCTGAGCGAGCGTGAGTCGTCCAAGGCAGCCTTCGTTCTGCGGCAGTCCGAACAACTGGGGGATTACTTCAAACAAAAGAAGTGCCACAATATTTCGGTCGAGCTGGAGAACCAGAATCCTTACGTCTGGCTGATGACCTATTTTGGCAAACCCATGACTCATCTCGATGGCGGTATCTTCAAAATCAGAGTGAACATTAGCCCTCGTTTTCCCGATGAACAACCCCGGGTCAAAGTCGAGACACCAATATATCACCACCGTGTTTCGAAAGACGGCATTTTATGCTATTTTCCAAAGAAGCCGGAGGAACTGCGCAACCACATTGAGAGCATTGCCGAAGCACTAGACGAAGACTCGCCCCCGTACGACCCACGCACCATCGTCCATCCTGAGGCCACGAAGCTACTCTGGGGCTCAGAGAGCGACAAAAAGAGATATTATCGTCAGCTTCGAAGATCCGCTCAGCGGACGACCGAAGACCCTTCCTGAAAGCAACTGGTGTGCACAACCTGGCGTACTGCATGTGGACGGCGTTGGAGACATGGGATAGCATTATTGCACGGATCGATTTCAGCAAGGAGTCAGGCGAAATCACAGGCTTCAGGGTCAAGGGCAACGGTCCTGTTCCAGAGGCCGTAGAAGCATATTAGTCGTATCCATTAGAGGCCCTCAACAAAGAGCATCTCGCGACAAGCATACAGGAATAGCTGCGGAGACTTGTCATGCCAACCGCAGCTAGCTGTCTTTCCGTACTTATGTAATTTGGCAGTCGTCGATAGCAGCAACGGGTGAAAAGGGTATTCTTAGGCACTCTGAGCAAAGTTCTGCGGTAGATGGTTATACTATGTGACGAAGAGTGCGTTCGTACGTAGGAGCTACATGTCGAGATGTATCACAGTCCTCTGTACAAGCACGCCACAGGGATCAACCCTTTCCGTGGCGGTTCCACTTTTCCAGGAACGATCTAGGATGCGCATTTACAAGTTTCTCGAATTGTTTGGACCCAGTTGACGACGTTCTTGACTTTTCAATCTTCACATCTCTCTAAAATGGCAAGGAATCGGCCGTCTCCCAAGTCTTACGGCACGGTACTTGTTGTTGGAGGCTGTGGGTTCCTCGGTTCGCGCGTAGTCGATCAGCTGCTCAACTTCCCGTCAGAGGACGCAGGCGTGGGCGAGAGTCAACCCGAATCGCATCTGGGCCCCGGCAAGGCATCCAGCAGGGATGGCGCTGGCAATGGTCAGTCCCTAGAGCGTCACAGTTACGAAGTACACAGTCCTGCAACCTCCGACATCACGACGATCACATATCCGAGTCTGCGTTCACGATATCCTCCCATTTCCTCTTCCGGCACTCGAGTCCATGCCCTCGATCTCCGCTGCACGCAGCACGTCTTCCCCAATTGCACGTACCATGAAGCCGACATCACGAACGCCGATGCCCTTTTGGAAGTGTTTCGCAAGGTGAAGCCGGACGTGGTCATCAACACCGCCTCGCCGTCATGGGAGGCTCCCGCGGAGATCTTGAAGAAGGTGAACATCGATGGGACACAGACTCTGCTCGAAGTCGCGGGTGGAAAACTTGGTGACTGGGGTGGAACGTGTGGCGTCTTTGTACACACAAGCAGCGCGAGCGTCGTGCATGACGGGGAGTCAGACCTCATCAATGCAGACGAGCGATATCCCTACGTCTGTCCGAACCCTCGAGAATACTACTCGGAAACGAAAGTCCACGCCGAAAAGCTGGCTCTCGAAGCCAACGACAAGCCAGATTATGGTCACATGTTGACCTGCGCCGTTCGTCCAGCCGGTATCGTGGGAGAAGGCGACAGAGCAGGGTTCAGTGGTGGGATTCTACGAACAGCCAGCGTTGCGCCGGGATGGCAGCTACACATTCAGATCGGGTCTGGCGATAACCTCTTTGACAACACCTACGTCCACAACGTAGTGTACGGCCTCCTGTGCGCCGCGGACGCCTTGCTCACCACCCGCGCCCGCCGGCAGTCCGGTAAAGCCATTGAGCTCGACCATGAACGCGTGGATGGCGAGGCATTCAATGTGACCAATGATCAGCCTGCCTACTTCTGGGACTCCTCACGGTATCTATACAGCCGGTACGGTCGGGACATCAACACGGACAAGATCTGGGTCCTACCCTCCGGCCTTGCCTACGCGGTGGGCGCTGCAGCGGAAACGTTCAATTGGCTCTCGGGCCGTAAGGGCAAGCTCAACCGCCAGACGGTGAAATATGCCTGTATCCACCGCTACTACTCATGCGAGAAGTTGAGGCGGCGCACGGGATACATGCCCATAGTCCCCATTGATGAAGGCTTTGCCCGTGCCGTGAAAGAGTATAAACTCCACGAGGAGGAGACGCGTCAGACCCAGGGTCAAAAGAAGACGCAATAAGAAGATCAACACGGCTTTTCAAACACGCGAACAGACCGAGCACAGAACGAGCGGATGTTTCGGAGGCTCGGCGTGGATACGTTGCTTTCCATGCACTTGAATGCTATGTGGCCGTCTTGGGCGATTGTGGAACAGCATGGCTGTGCCAGACAGTAGAAGCAAGTTCAACAAGTCTTTTACGGAGTCCCTGTTGAAGTGCCAGGTACTATGTGCTGCGTGATCCTCTATCATGTTCGACTTCGTCCCCGGCCCGAACCAAGAAAATTGGAGGGTATGGTGGGTATTATCAAAAGTTGTCTGAGCCACGAACCGGACAATTAAAAATACTGGCCTCCCGTGGATTAATATTCGATGGTATACCTACTCTGCACGACGAATACTCGAGCTGGGGGCGCCTATATCTTTCACGGGATTTCTGTTCTTATAAAGAGTAGCTCTTCTAGCATCCGCCCCTCTGTCCTGTTGTCTGGCATGACTATTCTGAATAATATCAAGCCTGTGACCATACTGCCTGCTTACAATTCCAAAGTCCGGTCCCCATGTGCAACTTAAAGTACGTAGTAGTGCTCAGGGTCTGAAACCTGGCTCCAGGACGGACATAACGACTGCCGAGCCACGGGATCCTGTGCGGCGTCCCGATTTGTACATTGTTGCCATCTTCTTCTATCACCCATGGCTGGGTAACTGGATGCAAAGCATCTGCATCAGCAAATCGTCTTGGTCAACGTGCAGCTGCTGTGAATCCCGCCACATGCCGGACTGTATAGGTCCCTCCGCCTTGAACCCAGAAGCGAAAGTGTCTGGCCAGCAAGCCAGTCATAGACAGCACCGTAGCCGGTTGGAAATGCCTCCATGGTCTCCGTAGTGGAGCAAGCTGGTGCACGATTCAGACGAGTTCGTCAGCATCTGATATGGCGCGATATGAACTCTGTTAGGCATATGTTCTGAAAGACTAAGCATCTGTAGGTATGGCTTCTAATTTTGTCTACTCTGGAGGCCTTGAGACTGGCTGCCACAACGTGAACTTGAAGTCAAAAAGTAAAAATAATAGCCTGCAGTGGGAGTTTCGTGGCCCCCCGTTTTGGCTGGTGCTGGAGGTGCCGCTGCAGGCCACGAGCTTTGGTGCATAAGGGATGCACCATTGTGGATGCACTGTCACTTCTTCACCTGTATGCAGTAGTGCAGCATTCAGGGATGTCATGATTGGCGCCCTCATTCAAGCCGAGCGGGCGGGTCAGCTGAGACTCGGAGACATTGGATGCCATGCAGTGTTTTGTGGCGCGAGGATGGTCGGCTGTTATGGAGAGTCCTGTAGCCCCGGACGATCGAGAACTCTAAGCAACGACAACAGGACACTGCATGTAAAGGTCAAAGAGGTCTGGAAGACAACCCGTGGCCAGGCGAGGCGACAGCAACCAACCTCGAGGACGCAGACGAGTTTTGACAGATACCTTCAGGTAGCCACTTGCTATGGGCCCAAGCAAGGGCAAGGATTGTGCAGTCATTCTGCTGTGCAAGGCCTTGTATTGTTACGGCAGTCAGAGATTCCAGAGACTTCATTGGACATGGCGCTGTCGTTTGGCTGTTTCAGGAATGTCTGGTGAGCAGGTATTTCCGTTTCGTGGAGCACGGTGCGTCTGATGTCCACGGCGGCTAAGGCTGCTGTACTGCACGACATCCAGGGATATAGCCAGTCAATGTTACACACGTCGAAGCGTACCCAAGCAGCAAGCCCCAGTCTATCAGGACAAAGTCCGCGAAGGCAATGGGAGAACCCGAAAACGCAAGCAATGGTTTCTCCTCTTTCTGCAGCCAGGGATTGCACGGGTTGCCGGGTCGGCGGCGTGCAGGAGATGCTGTAAGCGAACAAACAATCACAATCAGATGTTGGACAATTGCACAGGGAAGCCAGATATGATGTTGTCTGCATGTCCCGCTCGTATCAATACCGCAGTGCTGGTAGCATAGAGATTCCAGCAGTTGAAGGAGAGTGGAGGGCGGGAGAGCATGGCTTTCAAATAGCGAGACATGAGCTGGTATAGCGAGCACATTGGGAAAAAGAAATAGTGTAACGAGTCCAGATGGGACTGTTGACGGTATGCTGTCGGCTTCAGCTTTTGCTCGCTTTTGAGGGACGTCAGGGTAGGTTAATTGTGTGTGTGGTAGGCAGAGGCAAGCAATGGTGATATTAAGGTCAGGTAAGCATGGTAAGGACCGTGGATGGTGTTCGCGGTCAAGGGAAGTTGGTGTGGTGGATCATGTAGAGGAACCTCTATGAACACATTCGATTAGGGAGGGTGAAGAAAAGCACTCTTACTCTTCTGGTTTCAGCAGCGTGTTCTTTTTCTGCCACTCACTGACTGCAGTGCTTCAGAAGCGAGGTCGAGAAAGGTTCATGCCCTGGGTTTATAATTCTAACGAGCAAGTGCCCCACCAACATTGAACTACGGCAGGCGCAGACTGGTCCGCGGCCTATCAGCAGCCATTCTGCCGCTAGAACGGAGTTACACCGTGACGCTCATACCACTGGCTGTTTCTCCCTGCGTTGAGTTATTGCGCGCGGTCACTCACTCGCACGAATTTGTTCATTGACAGCGGCTACCTTTCCATAGGGTCCGTACTCACTCACTACTACCTGACTGCATATCCGCTATACACACCTCCTCCCTCTCCAAACTGTCCACAGTCTCCTGCCATTGACCGATTCACCCGTCCTTCAACCAACGTCTCAGCCCCCATGTAGGCTGGGAGGCCCTTTGTTCGTCCCACGAGAGAACAACAAGGACGGCCCGCACCATTTGTCGCGTTGAACCACCGCTCTCCCTGTTGTCTCCTCTACTACCTCCGACAGCAAACTCCTCGCCGACCTAGCATCCCCTCCTCACCCCAGTCGTGTCCAGCCATGTCAGGGTAGCAGGGAGACTTGGACTCCCCTGGGTGGGTCAACAGTCTCGAGAACGCCGCTACGTTCTTGTTGAAGCCTCGCGCCACTGCCAACAACCAGTCCTTCACGGGTCCCGAGAGACGCAGGAGTAATGGCACAGGATGGCTCTGCTCAACAATTCCTGCAGACGCCTGCAATCGCTGCAATCAAGGGCGACGCGGGCTTCGGGAATGAGGTCACTCGGCACGCCATGGAGAGATCTTTCAGCCAGGACATCCAAGAAGGCACTCAAGAATTGAAGGAGGCGGCAGAACAAACACGCAATATCATCCTTGATCTTGGTCTAGATGGCCACGTCCGGTGGGTCAGTCCGTCATGGACCGATGTGGTGGGAACCGAGCTGGATGCTGTCCGCGGACACAAGATCTCGGAATTCATCAGCGACAATCCTGAGGTGTTTGAAACTGCCATCGAGGCGCTGAAGCGCAATGACTCCAAAAGCCAGATCGTCAAATTTGCCGTTAAGATCGGCACCTCGTCTGACATGGCACCCATGCTGCCGACCGAGGACCGGGAGCCGCCTACGGGAGATGATATCGCAACCGATGAGGCCGAGCAGACCACGCTTGAGCTGGAAGGCCAGGGAATCATGGTTTATGACCGAACCTCAGGTGGAGAGTCACATACCATGTGGATGTTACAACCCGCTACCGAACCGATACGCATCGAAATTGCACTCCCACAGGCCTTGGTCGAAACACTAGGATTCGGTGCCGAGATTCTCGCTAAATATCTCACCGAGCTCGCAGAGGCGGGAGCCAACGACCCTGAGAATCATCCTCCTCCGTTGCCGATCCTCTGCCGTGTCTGCGAACGATCCATAGTGCCTTGGTGGTTTGAAAAACATTCCGATCTATGTGTGCAAGAGCACAAGGCGGAGATGGATGTCCAGATGATCCAGGAAAACCTGGCAGAACACCGTCATGCCATTGTAAAGGTCCTGGATGCCTTTGAGATTCGTCAAGGAAGATCTTCTGGCGCCGAAGCGTCCGCGACGCCTAGCTCCGTGCCAGAATACAAAGGGCTGCCTATTGGACCATCCCCGACGCCCTCATCTGGTGTCTCGTCTGCCTCAGTCTCTCATACTGCAAGCCCTGTCAGGTCCAGAAGTCCATCAACAGCAGGGTTGGGCCACTCTCGCGCCCGCTCGTTTGTGGTTCGGCGACCGCTCGTTCGCATTGTCGAGCTTATCCTTGACCTTTGTGACACCGCCCTCGAGATAAATGTACCCTCATTCAAAGACAGCAAGAATAGTGCCGAAGATGACTTCAAATCTCAGTCGCCAACCTCAGAGTCAAGAATTGCACAAATCAAACAATGGCAACCTCCAAGCAGCTTGGAGAATGAGCCCGGTTTAGCTGCCTTAAGCGCTGACACGGAAAAGTTAGCCCGCGCGAAGGTGGAAGCTATTCACCGACATCAATATATCCTGGAATACTCGGAACGCATTCGTCAAGAATACATGGCCGAAGTGGATGCATGCATCAATGAAGCTTTGATCAAGGCTGAGAGGGCAGCAGCAGGAGAAGCTCTCTCGTCTAGCGAAAGTGACTTCGAGGACGAGACTGGAAGGGGAGAACATTCCGAGGGTCAGGAAGCGGTTGATGAATTCTTTGGGCAAGCTGGCGAGTCTCAAGACACGCGTAGCTTCTCGTACGTTGGCCTGAAGTCCATGGCCTCGGCTCTTAGGAGTCCTCGCGAAATATCCAATCTCGCCATGAGAGAGCAACGACGCTCATCTTCACAAGCAGTCTCAACGGGTTCGAACAGTCCTGTCGAGTGTCCCACGCCCAAGTCTCACAAGAGTAGTGCCATCTCTCAACCACAGCCAATATCCAATAGGCGGTCCAAGTATGTCGAGGATGCCAATGACAGCGACAGCAGCTTGCCCTCATCCGTGCTGTCCAACAACTGGCGTGCAGACTCGCCCTTCTCGGCCTCGGACCACGCCCGGACCACAACTTCAAGGGACAGGAAAAGAAGGAGTATGCACCTTCACAGCCTCAATTCTGCTTCTCCTCACCGCCAACATTCCCCGGGAAGATACCCGCCGCCTCCTCCTTCGCCACTCCGTATGGCAAAGTCGAGGTTCCCTGCCGGTGAACTCGCCCAGTCGCCGGTTGGGTCGCCATTGTTGACGGCCGGAGAGTTCATGCCTCCGGTTGGTCAGACTCTGCATCGGAGACAGTCATCAATGCATTCGTCCGACAAGACCCCTTCCTCTCCGAGGTTGAACTCTATTAGTCACCCACAACAGCGGGCCCAGCCTCCGTCAATCAAAGATTTCGAGGTTATCAAGCCCATCAGCAGAGGCGCGTTTGGCAGTGTTTACTTGGCCAAGAAGAAGATCACGGGGGAGTACTTCGCAATCAAAGTTCTCCGGAAATCTGACATGGTGGCAAAAAACCAAGTTACCAATGTCAAAGCCGAACGTGCAATTATGATGTGGCAAGGGGAGAGTGATTTCGTGGCCAAGCTATACTGGACATTTTCGAGCAAAGACTATCTCTATCTGGTGATGGAATACTTGAACGGAGGTGATTGTGCTTCGCTCGTGAAAATTCTCGGAGGCTTAAGCGAACCCTGGGCAAAGAAATATGTTGCTGAAGTGGTTTTGGGTGTTGAACATCTACACAGTCGCGGCATTGTTCATCGGGACCTGAAGCCGGATAACCTCCTCATCGATTCCAGGGGCCATCTCAAACTCACCGACTTCGGGCTCTCTCGAATGGGTCTCATTGGCCGACAAAAGCGTGCTCTCAAGCAGCCGGATGAGCCCGCACCCGATCTTCTGAAGCAAGGCCCCTTCACCCATTCCGCTTCAGCTATGGGCTCCGGTCCCACTTCAAGATCTGCTTCTTTCGACTATCAAGGGCCCCATTCGCCTGCCCCAACTCCTCTCATGACACCGGCTCTGGCAGGCGGCCTTGATCAACCTTCTTATTTCAGCTTGAACCGTGAAAGCTCCTTGAGCCGAGAGCTCTATTGGAGAAGTCCAGGAGATCGCAGTGATAGTGGCTCAAGCTATGATCTCAATAATCTTTTCAAAAAGCTCGATATTCAGGAGAGCACCGACGCTCACCAACGGACAAACACCCGAGGGAACATTGTTGAAGAAGAATCTCACAGTCAAGGCAGCGCATCACCGGATCTTTTTCCCTTATCGCAATCAATGAGCAACGTCTCACAAGGGCCCCCTCCTCTCGCCTCTTCTCTCGCCTCTTCTCAGGTGCTTCCCCCCCTCTTTGACCCCGAGGCAACTGATCGGCGCTTCGTGGGCACACCTGACTATTTGGCGCCAGAAACCATCAATGGAACGGGCCAGGACGAGATGTGCGATTGGTGGTCCCTGGGATGCATAATGTTTGAGTTCCTCTACGGCTATCCACCTTTCAACGCAGAGTCTACGGAGAAGGTGTTTGACAACATTCTTCACCGGCGTATCGCCTGGCCCGAAGACGACGAGATAGATGTCAGTCCCGAGGCGAGAGATCTGATTGAAAAGCTACTCCAACTCGATCCTCGGGAAAGGCTTGGAGCGAACGTGGACGAGAAATACCCAAGTGGCGGCCGAGAAATTCAAGCCCACCCGTGGTTCGCCGACATCAACTGGGGAACGCTGCTCGAAGATGAGGCCCAATTCATTCCGAACCCTGAACATCCTGAAGACACCGAGTATTTCGATTCGCGCGGCGCCACATTGTCGTCATTTCCTGAGGAGCTTGAGGACATGGCTTCGCCAACCGGTACCACTCCAAACGGAACAGAGTACCCAAATCGTCCCCATGATGCGTTGTTCCGCGCCAAGACGCAAGGAGGCTCGAGCAAACGAGGCCTCATGCCTCTGCATATTCCTCCACACGTCGTCCGTGACTCAAGAAACCGACGACTCAGCGAGCCTGTTCTTGCTGATGATTTTGGGAACTTCACGTTCAAGAACCTGCCCGTACTGGAGAAGGCCAACAAGGATATTGTCGAGAAGATGAGGAAAGAAGCGATGCAAGCGCAGTCACGTGGTTTCTCGCATTCTCAGGTCGCTTCTGCTGCCAACAGTCCGGCTGTCGGTTCCCCCGGACCGTCAGTTGAAGGGAGTCCAATGATGCCAATGCCTGTGAAGCGCGCCTTATCGATCAGCAAGGGACATAGGCCAGTGTCTCCGTCGAACTTGGGGACGTCCAACTCCTCGCCCAGCAGGCCCTCGCAGCCTTCGTCGCCGCTGTTGGTTCAGTTCTCCACGGCCCAGCACCACGAGAGAAGAAAGACTTCCGGGTCATCGCAAGGGAGCACTACGCTCGTGCCTGGAAGCTTCTTTGATATTCCCTACGATGCAGTTAAGCATGGGCCTCCTATTGCTTCATCTCCTGGCAAACCCATGCGAATCCCCACAGCTTCCCCTGCGAAGGCAATGGCTATACCTTCAAGACAGACGAGTATTCACGGCCGCACGCGTTCACAAACTGTTGGATCACAAGAAAGTGACGGTCAAGCTCCTCGAGAGGTGTTTATCCCTGGACACCACAAACGCCGGAGTCAGCTTCTTGTGCGGGACATTTCACCGTCATCCTCAGATAATGAATCCGCACATGCGAAAGCCCTGCTCAAGGTACAACGCCGAAGGCAAAGTTCGAGGAGATTATCACAGATAAGCTTTCTGGATGGTCCGGTTTACCGCCCCTTGGACGTATTGATCTGTGAAGACCATCCTATATCTCGCATGGTTATGGAGAGGCTGTTCGAGAAGCTTCGGTGTCGCACCGTGACAGCCGGCAATGGCCCTGATGCGCTTCGGTTGGCAGTCAGCCAAATCCAATTCGACATCATCTTCATGGAGTTCAAGCTGCCGCTCATCAGTGGCGTAGACGTGGCGCGAATGATTCGGGATACCAAGAGCGCCAACACTCACACGCCTATTGTATGCATCACTGGTTATCTCAAGGATCTGCCGGAGAGCCATCACTTCGACACGCTGATGCAAAAACCACCGACAATGCAGAAACTGACTGAGATGCTCTGCAAATACTGTGCCTGGAAGCCACCTCCCAAAGACCTCAAATTGGCTACGCCACTGACCATTCCACCTATCAGTACCCGATTCGAACCTACACGCAGTCAGGACAGTCCAAGCTCGGTGGCTTCGAGTCTGCCGCCCACCATGCCCGATTCCTCTTATAAGGCTTCGAGTCGCGAAAATTCAATCGGTAGTGGCGGTTTCTTCAGCGACTTGGAATCCTTCAAGAGCGATGATATCCCTGTGATTGTGTCTCGGGCCGCTACAGATGAATGGGCAAAAGGAGGGTTGGGCATTTCTGACGACATCGTAGTCAGCCAGCCGCCTTACGTTCAGAGCGGATTTCCCCATCTTGTTCACACAGAGTCTGCTCCTCCGAGTGTCCACGTAGAGGAATCCAGCGGGTATGGCCTGCGTACGCCACGGCGGCAGAAATCCTCGGAGGCTGTCAAGACGAAACGCGAGCATCTGGAAAAGAGCATACGAAACGCTGCGGGCGCTGCCGAGGAAGGAGATGACGAAGATGAGGAACTCGGCGACGCACACGTCCGTGCTCGATCGCCAATTGGCAAGAGTACTCGCCAGAGCTCGAAACTAGGAACTGAAATGCTCCGAACCAATAGTCGCGGCAGCGTGATCTCCTTGCACGACGAGCGGACGGCAGAGCCAGATAGCCTTCGGAAATCCCTGGAGATTCTAGAAGAGCAGATGGAGAATTTGAGGATTCCGGAAGAGCCTTCGAGTGCGAGCTTGACATCAATGCAACCACGCAAAGAGATGGCGAGGACAGCTTCGCAACATTCGCACCCTGGTCCAGATCTCGAGCGCCCACCCAGTCGAGGTCATATCACACCCCCTATCATCTTTGCGCCCCAGCCGGGGACCAAGGTGGCAGACATCGACATGGACAACGACATCACACCGGTGCCCAGTAAGACCATTGATCTGGAGGAGGAGCCGACTCCCAGACAACAAGGCACTCCATCTGGACCACAAGGAAGGCAACCCCGCCATTGATTTTCTTTTTTTCTTTCTATCACGATTCAAATGAGTTTACGCAATTCGCTTCGACAGCGAGGTCTGGATTTTTTTGTTCCAAGATTTGCGCGGCGCTGGGGGGCGAAATATGGAACTGGCGCTTTCTCCGTTGCTGAGGACATTACCCAAAACCCTCTGATTGTATTTGATAATCGGTTGTCCATGTTTACTTGTTTGCACTGGCGCTGGTCCTGCTGCCGACGGGAAAAGATGCGGACAAAAATGGGAATTTCTCCAGTTGCTCGGTTGCGTGTCTGGGAAGAATGGCCCAAAATGTCTTGAATTTTCTCTGAACGATTCTTGATGGGCTGTTACTTGCTGATGCTTTACACTTGTGTCTCTATTGTTGCTGGGGGGCTAGATTCTTCGTGCAATAGTCTGGCGACTTTGGGGAGCGATGGTGAACATTTTATCAACGACAGCCATCCGTGAAAGCAGTTGGGCGCCATGGGCACCAAAGTGGCTGGCCTTTCAGTTCGCTGCATCCATCGTTATTAGCTGTGTGAAATATCTATCCATCGGGTCTTGTAACCATGGCGGCTTCTGTAGTGGTGCTGACCTATCTCTGGCGTAATAGCACGGCGTTTCCAGTTGATGCCTGCCTACCTGTACCTAGAGGTGGCTCGGTGCGCATCATAAGATACCGCTTTGACCATTTCTTCCGCACGTGGACAGCGGGACAGCACATTGCGCCAGTACGTAGTAGTGGCAAGTCTTCGGCACACACGGCACACTGGCATGCTTAGAAGCAGGACGTTGATGGACGGAAGAAGGATTGCCTCATCATTATTAATGGCAGCGCAACACACATAACAATGGTGGAGTGATTGAAGAACAGTTTCGATTCCTTTGAGCAGAGATGTTGTACTAGTAGGCGATGTGTACAATGCTTCTGATCTATTGAGCGTCTGCAGGTTGGCTGCGGCTAACCGACTAGGAAAACCGTGACAGATTTGGGAGGTTCAGGAAGCTAGGATGCCTGGCTAAGGGGCCTCAACGGGTGGCGGAATCCCAGTTTGCATGACTGTGGAAGACACACCCTGAGAGCAGATAGATTCCAGGATTCTTTTCTAGGTACATGATGTATACACCTACGTACTATGTAGGATATCGTGATATACTACTGATGGACTGGTCGAACATATTCATTCTTACCTACCTATTATGGATGTTGTCGGTCTCTTTTCCTTATCCGTGCAAAGCCGCCTACCTACAGGTAGTAGTAGTATGATGACCGCTTAGAAGTTGGCGCCACTACTAGTACTAGCATCGCCCGTTCCCGGCACTAGTTCATACATCTATGGGGGCGGTTAAGCATTATTAGGTAGAGACCCAGCTCCTCGTGCCTGTCACCTTTGCTTCGGGGTGCCACAGCTGAGAAGGGCCAACCACGATAGACTCCTTAGACCTACTAGGACCTCTACACCACCCAAGCTACCTACGTTTTACCTTAGGTACCTACCTATACACACCGGAGGTACCTCCGTCGCACTTCCCCAAGGCCGCTTTTCCACCCAACCTCTTCCAAGTTCCCACTGCTACCGCCAGTCTTGTGATCTCTTCGTCTCCCCGCGACCGCCTACTGCCTCTCACCTCTCACCTTCGACTCAAACTGCGCCCATCCCGTCTTCCAACACTGCGCTGCACTGCACCGCAGTCCATCTCATCTTCCTCTGTCTTCCGCCCTTCCATCACCTCCGGCCCCTTGTGTCGCCTGTCGCCTCATCATTCCAAATCACAACGCCTTCCTTGGTCCTCGATTCTCAATCCCCGTCCCGTCCTCCAACAGTTCGCCCGAGTTGCAGCATCCTGATTTTACCTAGTGGCGTCAGGCAAGCGAGCCATCTGTTGCGCACGTCTCCCTCCAATCTTCCTCCACCTCCTGGACTTGACTGTGTCAGTCAGTTGAAACATCTGCGCGCCCGCCTATCGTTCAAGAACAGCGCCCACACTTCCATCCAGTGCCAACATTCACCCTATACCTACCCGTACGGCTCCAGGTCAATCACCTCACTTCAGTCCATATCTCCTTACCGTGAGACCGACTTCGGAGCCTGAACCGCGCTCCCACTATACGTCGCTTTCAATGCTTCGGCCATCCTAAACGATCGCTTGCTCTCGACACGACGCCAACCACTGCGTCATCTACATCTTGCCCGAGATGGCTTCGTCCACATCATCGCCTACAATGGCGGCCAGTGCCACTGCAACGAGCAATCCGGGCAGCGGTGGAGGCAATGGTCCTAGTTCGCCACTGCTCTTCTTCGTCGCGCTCGGCTTCGGCGTTGTCTTTACCAATCTATGGTGAGCTTTAGTTACATGTGCCTGCGTTGTGTCATTTCTAATCGATTCTCTTATGCTAGGATCATCGTCGGCGTTAAATATTGCTTCAGATACAATCAACGAAATCGCCAGCGTATGAATGGGGAAGACCCTGATGGAGTCGACCTCGGCGCTATGCCTCGCCAACATCGCCGCCGGCGGGAGAAGAAGTTGATGACGATGGACGAGGTCAACGAAAAATTCCCTCTCATCAAGTACAAAACATGGCGTTCCAATCGTGCCGACGAAGGGCTGCCCACTGCCGGAGGGATCAACTCCTTATCAAGGCCTGCCAGCGTCCGCAGTCAGCCTCGGGACTCTGAAGATGAGGGCAATAGCAGCGACCTGAAAGAACTATCTCGTGCGCATACGACTACGAGTGTCGATGAGAAAACCATCCAACCCGAACATGGAACTCCCGAGATCGTGGGTGAAGAAAGCGACTATGAGCCTCGACCTGCGACGCCGTCAAGGCCCAAGTCCAGTCAGTCGGCAGTGGCTCCGAACACCGCCGTGAACAAGCTCACCACACATGACGACGACGACGACGACGATGATCCAATACAGACGGCTGTGCCCGCTGAGCAGTTACCCGAGGCTGGAGATGCTTGCGCGATCTGCATTGACACAATCGAAGATGATGACGATATTCGTGGTCTCCAATGTGGCCATGCCTTTCATGCCTCCTGTGTTGATCCTTGGTTGACTTCGCGTCGGGCATGCTGCCCTCTTTGTAAGGCTGACTATTACGTTCCAAAACCTCGACCTGAAGGGGTAAATATCGACGGATCTGCCAGAAGTGGCCTACATGTCGATCTGCAACAACCTCCCGGCACCTTCTCCACCATGGGAAATGGACGAGCTGGTAGACGACCGGCTATGATCATTCCCGGCCGTTTCATGAGTATCATCTATCATGATCGTGATCGACATGGATTTCCACTTGTGGTGCACGCGGAGAGACCCGGCCAGGCGGAACGAGAACGACAGCGACAACGACAACGACGAAGAGTAGTGACCTCCACCACCGCTGTGCATGGAGGCCGGTCTGAAAGCGCCCGTGGTGCACCCAGCTGGTGGGCCCGATTTCGTCATCCTATGCCTGGTCGCAATCGAATGGCTCAACCACAAGATCCGAACCAGTCGGCTCCTGTGTTCCAACCCACACCTTCCCAGCTTGAAGCCGGGAGATGAGTACAGAACATTGATTTTTGTTCGTCTTATGCGTTAATGACTTGACACGATTACGAGCGTTCATGAATGGTGGATTCTGCCCTGCGAGCGAGCTTTTGGTTTAATTCCTATGGTTGGCAGGGCCATGTAGGATGAAGTACTTTGCAGTCTACATCATTCCTTGTGAGGGCGAACCGCATCGCCTAATCTGGGTATCAGTACGGGATGGATGAAAAGGTGCCAGCAAAGTCATCGGCGGCTCTGACAGGTCGTGCGGCCAACCCACTGCCAGCACGACACGATACTTTGGCTACGATACCAATATCTGCATTCAGGGCATGGCATGTAACCTTATAGTTTCTATCAGGAGTCCATGGAAAACACCAGTTGGGTTGTGGTTGTCCTATCTCATCAGTCTTGCTATTGACCTGCATTGTCTGAGGCTTGTTTGCTCGAACGGTCATCGCCCTGCAGTTGACCGGCAGTAGGTCTAATGACATTTAGTCTCATCAGCCTGAGTGCTGATCCGTGATGGCACAAATGCGGATGCAGTCTCCTTAGGTTCCAGATCTCCTTGCTAGCGCTTCAATGCCCGTCTCTGACAGGATCGCCCAGGGGTTGACACTGAAATCTGTCAGAATCCAACAAACATACGGGTACCATCGCCGTCGGTGTGCAGATCAGTGTGAGAACCCGTCTAACAACTTAAGACGCATGCTGCTCTTGGGACGACGTGCTGGTCCTAGCAATGACGACAAAAACGCAGTGGTAACAACGCATCATCTCACGTTCAAGTGCTTATACAATGCATAAACGTGCCCGCGCCGAGGACATTGCAAAGCCAACATTGGTGAGTCTCACCTCAACTTGCTGTCTACGAGGCTGCTCTGTTTTGGGGTGAGGGCTAACTTGGGAGGCTCCTTAGGCGAGGGAAGCCCCTACTAGGTTAGGGTAGCTTCTCCAACTATCACTGGCGGACCTCGCCCGCCTGCTCCACTTCTCAAATTGTTAGTATATATCTTTGATGCGCGAAATTTTGTGCACATTCAAGGCGGTGGCATGGTGGTGAGTTTTCCAGATTCCCCAACGTCGCCAACCAAGCGCCTGTGACTAACATGTTGATTGCAGTAATGGTCAGCATGTATCGTTGTGGTTGATGCCTGCACTTAGATCGTCCTGATCTATGTGCGTTAAGGTGTTTCCAGCTCCGATCCGATCCCGGTTCGATTCCGGGTGCCGCCAGTTCTATGGCACGACCTTTTTTTGGCACTTTCGTTCAAGCCAAACTCCGGGGTGTTTGGAGAGCCTGGGGCATAATCTTTTAGGCATGTCAGGGTGGTGGAGGTCGAATTGTTAATGCATGCAATATGATTGAAAGCAGAAATTGATCGGAGTCCCCGGTTCCAGGCAGGCTCCGCTGCAATCACATCTCTATAGCAGGAACCACTTGCCCAACATCATCATTCCCCGTGATCAGTCCTATCAAAAAGGTACTGATTATCCAGAAGAGACCAATAAATGTTTAGGCGCTTCCAATTGCTCTTACTTCATACTTTCGCTTTGCACGGAACCAAATCTTGCGCAAAGGGCAACAATACAACACCTTTGTTGTCAGTCACCACTACGTAGTATGTACTATTTCATGGACAACGCGTCGTCACTCTTGTCGTACAACTATTTCCCGAAATGTGAGGGAATCTGGCCGTCGTGTCCCATAGAACCGGTCCGAGATTCTACCCGGAGATGTGGATTGGGTCGGACCGAGTTACTCTCCTGAGGTACTTATTTACTCATGATTGTTACTTGAAACGATCAGTAATGATTATGAGACCTCCGATTCGCGTCGAAACCACTGCCCACTGTGCCGCATTTCGAATCCCCGAAGCAACCCATAGCCCCAGACGTGACCAAAGGAGACCCCCTATAGGCCGGGGTTGAACTCTCGACACCAGCATCGGTCAACCACGATCTCCGCATTTGATACTCGGCACGCGAAGCCGGATCTGTCGGATCTTGGAGAGCCCAGACTTGTTCCCCAATCTTTGAAAGTCTCGCACGTCGACCTTGTCTACCTTCCTGCACGCATTTTCGCCTCTACCACTGCACTGGATATCATGTCAGAAGCAGCACGTCTCGGTCTAATTGCAGGTCAGCTGGAAGGCTCTCAGAAAAGCGCATCATCCAAAGGAAGCGCCATGGCTCCGACGAAGCCTTTCGAAATTGCCATCGTTGGCGGGGGTATCGCAGGTCTGACGTTGGCGATAGCTCTGTATCACCGACAGGTTCCCGTCACGGTCTACGAGCAGGCGCCGCAGTTTGGCGAAATCGGCGCAGGCGTCTCATTCAGCCCGAACGCCGTCCAGGCCATGAAGATCTGTCACCAAGGGGTGCACGACGCCTTCGAGAAGGTGTGCACGAAGAACGTCTGGGAGTCGAAGCAGAAAGTCTGGTTTGATTATCTCAACGGTATGTCGGATTCTCGCGAGATCGCATTCACCATCTCCAACAGCCTCGGCCAAAATGGTGTCCATCGGGCGCGGTTCCTGGACGAAATCGTCAAGCTGGTCCCCAAAGAGATCGCAAGGTTCGGCAAGAAGTTGAAGGACATCAAGGAAGGCCCCAACGGCAAGCTGGTGATGTCCTTCGAAGATGGCACGACAGCAGAGGCGGATGCCGTTGTCGGCTGTGATGGAATCAAGTCTCGCGTGAGGCAGGTCATCGTGGGGCCCGACCATCCGTCGGCACATCCAGTGTACACACACAAGTACGCATACAGGGGTCTGGTGCCCATGGACAAGGCCATTGGAGCTATCGGTGAGGAATTGGCCTTGAATTCATGCATGCATGTAAGTGGACCTTGGCCTGCAACCCCCACGGCTGCAAGATGCTAAACGCAGCTAGATGGGACCCGATGGCCACGTCTTGACCTTCCCTGTCGACCATGGCAAGACCCTCAACATGGTCGCATTTCGCACGACCACCGACGACTGGCCGGATTTCCAACGCCTCACGAGGCCGGCGAAAAGGGAAGACGCGTTACGCGACTTTGCAGCATATGGGACAAACGTCAAGCAGTTGCTGGCCCTGACGAAGCCGAATCTGGACGTTGTAAGTCATATCGCTCGTTAAGCCGGTCGTGGCCAAGGACTGACAAAGCTGCTTTCGCACCAGTGGGCCATCTTCGACTTGGGCGACCATCCTGTTCCGACCTTCTACAAAGGCCGAATCAGCATCTCCGGCGACGCAGCACATGCCACCTCCCCTCATCATGGCGCCGGTGCCGGGCTCTGCATCGAGGACAGCGCCATATTGGCCGAACTGCTGGCCGATGAACGCGTCCAGACACCCAAGGATATCGAAGCCGTCTTTGCAACCTACAATGCGGAGCGGAAGGAACGGGGCCAGTGGCTGGTCCAGTCTAGCCGGTGGGTCGGCGACTGCTATGAGTGGCGTGCACCGGGCATCGGGAGGGACTTTGCCAAAATTGAACATGAGATCAACACCAGAAATGCCATCATTGCCAACGTGGATCTCGAGGAGATGTGTGTCCAGGCAAAGCAGGCGTTGAGCAAGAGGTTGTAAGAGTGACGAAACATCAGTCTGCTGCCACTTGTCCTTGATCGACCTTACGGGTCAGATGTTGGACTGCCCAGACGCCTCGCGAGGGACTTTGGGCAACATGGTGGAGTGAACTTGATGCAGGCACGAGTATAGGTTGAGGCTGGCAAGTTGAGAAGGTGGGAGATTGGGAGCATCTCTTCCTGGCCTGCTGTTTTCCCCAGGAAACACGTCGGATGGAAGCATGCCTATGCTCTGATGTACGAAAGGTTTATGCCCAATGATTACACATTCCGGGACATGGTATAGCATTCGAACTGCTGCTTGTCAACCACTAGCCAGGATTCCGCAGAGCCTCGATGAAGTTATTTATTGCTTATGACAGCGTGTGACCATTGAATAAGAACTTGAACATGACTTGAACTCCAACTTCAACTTGAAGGTGGCGGCCTTGGCGGCCTTGTATTCAAATGAATCTAATCGACATGAACTGCGTATTGTTTGTTATTATTGTAGGATGTCCGATTCAATTGACCATCAACTTGAACCACAACCTCGCCGCAGGTAATATTCATCATCGGGTGATGCCACGTCGGTCTGGAGTCCTGAGGAGCTTCTAAGACTATGATATCGCGATCCGTGGGAGGGTCAACCCCAGCACCTCCCGCAGCACCTCCCCCAGCTTCCTCTCCTCTATCCCCTCCTCCCCCTTCACAGTCTTTCTCTAAACAAGACTCGGCCTTTACACAAACATCAGGCTTTCGCCAATCGAGGGAGCTCCCTTACGAATTGGCCCAACATGTGCAGACTTACTATGAGGAGAATCTTTTCACCCAGGCTATCAACTTCCTGTTATCCATCACCGGCAACAGCGCATCATCCAATGACCGCCGGGCCCCGGTCATCATACCTCCAGCAGCCCACCTTGCGCTCGCAGCCACACTTGCCGTCCATCCTGTATTCACTTCGGGGACTAATTCGAGCGACAAATGGGAACAAGCAAATGCCGCACGCCGTCTGTTGTGGTTGGTTCACGCAACAGTTGGTCCTCTGAACGGCGACTTTGCAACGGCCTTCAGCTTTCGGAAATATGATATTCGATCTTCTCGGCATAATGGCCTTCGCATCGAAGACGAAGACGGAGAGTTCAGCCAAGATGAACATGCCCCATCCGAGGACCACCTGAACACACCCTTCGCTGTGTCACAAGCCCTTTGGGTTCAGGCGGAGGATTTCTGGCATCTTGTGGGTTGGGCTTTGAACTGTGCGTGTCTTAGCAGCACCTACCGCGCCAGGTGGGACTACTACAGCCTTCTTCTGGCGTTTATGGTTGAGACGCTTGAAACGGACTGGCAGCTGCGTACCACTGGAGCCGAATCATCGCCCGAGGAAAGTCTGTTGTGGCAGTACATCGAACTGGCGGCCGGCGGGCACGCAAGAGCAAGACGGATCGTCCGGGCTATATTTGCCGACGGGAGCACGCGTTCGACGAGCGAATTCCGCGCCATCTTCCCCCATGAGCTGAAGGAGCCGGAGGAGGAGAAAGACGGGAAAATCCAGCGGAGGGAAGTTGATGTCAACATTGAACAGGATATCTACGGCGACTACATGGCCCACGATGACTCCGACTTCTCCGAAGATGGCGAGGTAGCCAGCTCTGGTACAGCGGCGAGCGGTTGGCATGGGAGGCGTATGCGGACGCGGACGCGCACACGGACACCATCGTCGAGGCGCCTCACGCCACAGAGCAGTTCAAGCAGCTTACGGAATGATCCCGAAAATGGTGACGACTGGGCAGCTGCTTCATTGGCATCTAAGATCACAGAACCCACGTCGCTGGACCTCCGACTCCGCCTGATGCGCCTCCTGGTCTACGTGTCCTCACATCCGACACTGACCTCGACATCGCCCACGACCTTCCCCGACATCGAAGAATTGTTGACGCTGTTCGTCGAATTTACCAAGCCGCTTCCTCTCCCTGTCTTCGCGCGAATCCTGCTTCCGTCGACAGCGGCGCAGCGCACATCATGCTTCTCAGATCCTCCTGGTTTCGTTCAATCCCAGATGTTCGATCCGCAGACATTGACTCTATTTTGCGAATCTCTCCTGCAACGGATCCTCGAAAACTCGTCCCCGTCCATCCGCTCTCACATGCTCCTGTCCCAGGCCAAGCTCGAAAACGAGTACCTCCCTTTTGCGGCGGGGCGCATCTCCGTTGATGCCAACGCCCGAGTGTCTATATTGCTTGAGTCGCTCGTGCGTTGTTTGGGCGAGTTGGGCGTCCTGAAGAAGACCGAGGCACTTAGGGATGCAGTCAAGCAGGGTGTGGAGAAGCGAATGAGCCGTGTCGCCGAGCTACGAGATGCAAAGGGATCCAAGAAGGCGCAGGAAGGAGGTCAGCAAGGAGCGTGGGCCTGGTTGGTCGAGAGCGGGGAAAGGATGATCAAGGTTGTTGATGCACTGTGAGATTCAGCTCAGTATTGACATCGGCGTAATGAGCGTCCAGCGTCTAAATCTGAATGTCCTGGGTTTGTGCAAGGAGATCAGCAGGCTAGACAATCTCGGTTTGAGCAAAACTGTGTTCCGTTCCTTCACCAATATAACCTTCTCGCTCGCAACTTCATAATCAACAGCAGAGAGGACGCTGACCCAGGATTTGGATCTCATTTCGACGCATACTCCTCGACTCTTGGGCGTCGACTAGGGAGGCGGTCTTGGGCCGATGATTTGCCTCCTCGCTCCTCCCACACCCAACCCAGGTCCGCCTCTATTCTGACTGTCCCCGCCCATATAGCCATATTGATGTACATCCCACGACTGTCCAGGCCGGCTTCCTTCGTTCTGATCGCGGGCCATCGCCGCTATTTCTCTCTGTTCCTCTTCCCACTCTCGCTGCCGCTCTCGCTCGCGCTCCATCTCGCGTTCCAGAAGGGACTTGGAGGCCCACCCGCCAGCGTTGGTGCGTGCTTGCGACTGGATGCGACGCTGTTGCTCCATGTCGACCTCTGTCGTGGTGGAGTAGTCTTGAGGGCGATGAGACGCCACCTGGGGTTGGGATGGCGCTGGGTTGGAGGCCAGGTATCGATCGGTGCGGTTTGTTCCAGAAGCGTAGGCTGCGGGATCAGGAAGAGGCCGGGAGGAGGCTCCAATTGAAGAAGCATCCGGGCGTGGCGGCTTTGGAGGAGGACGGTCATCAATGCTCTGGGCTTTCTGCCACTCCCGCTCCAGATAAGCCCTCTCTGACGAGCCCCAATCGTCTTCATTGGTCATCTGAGCTGCTTGTGGCCTGCTCGGAAGCGGAGGAGCTGGGGCCTCGGCTTGGAGCTCAGCCTCTGGCAATGTCCTAGATGGCTGTGTATGTTGAGCTTTCATTTCTTCCAACTGACGCTCGAGCTCCGCGATCCGTCTACTTTCTGAGGTCTGTTGCTGCACGAGCAGCTTGGCCGGGGGAGAACTGAGACCGGGGCGAGCCTGTTCTGCCCGATACTGGCTGAGGAACTGGCCATTCAAGCGAGGATCACTTTCTGTGCGTTGGCGGCCGTGTTGTCTTGCCGTTTGAGACTCTCGTCCTGCTTGTGCAGCCGCTTCCTGCTCTCGGTCGCGGTCGTAAGCGCGTTCCTGGCGGCGCTGTTCTTCTTGCCGAAGGTGTTCCTCTTCCTGCAGGCGCTGACGTTCTGCAGCTCGCTGTTCTTCCGCCTCCTGCGCCTTCAGCCGGCGCGTCTCTTCGGCCCATCTACGCTCCTCTTCCAGCCGTGCTTGCTCCTCTTCAGCAGCTTGTTGAGCTTGCTGTTGCCTCTCACGTTCCTCCGCCTCACGTCGTTTTCTTTCAGCTTCCTCTTTCAGACGCTTCTCCTTCTCTGCCAAACTTGGCACATTCGGTGACGGGGAGGTGATCTGTCTGCGCGCGCCAAATGCGACACCTTGATTCCCTTGGCTAGCGCCGCCCATATATCCGTATTGATGTATGTTCCAAGCTGGTGCAGTTTTGCCCTCGTCGTTTCTATTGCTCCAACTGCTCACGGCTCCCCCGGTGGCAAGCCCTCCTCGCGCGAGAATACCTTTGCTTGGACTGATCCGGCCTGAGTAGGTTGCTCTATTCAGGCCGTTGAATGCAAGAGCAGGACTGTCCGCGGCGGTGTTGCTTGTCCCACGGGGTCTGCTGGTGGATGTGGTAGTGTATGCTGGCGACCTCGGCCCACTGGAACCGGTCCCCTGAGGGCTCATGGTGGATCCTTTGCTTTTTGCTCCTAACGTTGTTGGAAAGACGGAGGGATTGATTACATTTGCGGCGCGGCTAAATGCTGCAATGCATTGCAGGACTTGAGCGGGATCTTTGGAGTCGTACAGGTCGACCGTGAGGAAGCGGTCGTGCGAAGGGAGATTCAGCGGTGGCATTTCGCACGCGCGTAAGAACTGGGCGATGTTCTCCATCTGCACAAAGGGCATATTGGACTGCTTGTACTTTACTCCTGGAGGGACAGCCATATTCACAAGCCTACAACATTGGGTCAGTCACCGTAGGGGTCGGATACGAGGTGCGCCATACTTGCAAAGGGCGACGCCATCTTTCAATGCAGCCATCAAATCGCCTTCAGGTAGCTTTTCTCCCAAAATGCCTTCAATCCAGCTTCTTACTTCCTTTGCAGCGCCAGGTGTATAACGATCCAGGCGCAACTTGCGCATATCTTGGTCGAGACTGGTTACGGAAGCCATTGTCAGGGATCCGTGAATGTGCTCAGCGTCACCACCGCCCTGATTGATACAAAGAATACGAGTAAGGATGGAAAGTAAGACGATCAAGGGAAGCCGAACACTGTCACAGACCCGCGTGAACCGTTATGGCGTTATGGCGCAGTCGCAGGCGCAGGGGGAAGGGATCTGACGGAGGAGGATCGCTGTGGCTCGATTAGTGTCTGTCAGCGCCGCAGGGAAATTGAACCCCTGCAGGTTGACGTCGATCCAAACGTCGCAGCCTGCAGCGTCCCGCGAATTGACAACCCACGCGAACTTCGATGACATCCAGGTTGCTTCAACACTGTAACCAATACCTAGCTTGTCATCTATATCGGCGACACAGCCATCACCATGGGAGCAGCTAGGGATCTTTGGTTGCGATGGAAGATGCTGAGGTTGCCGTGGAGGAAGAAGTTCCTAATAGGTACGTGCACATCAAGCAAAGTGAAGGAAACCCATGACCTAACAAAGGGCCAGGTCAAGACCTTCACGGCAACACTTTCTGGGAATTCAAAGACACCCTCAATCCCGGTCGATGGCGGCGTATAGTGAAAGCGGATCGCCGAACACACTTTTCCGACGTCCAAGTATCGCCCCAATGGCATCAATGGCTGCGACAAACTCGTGCAGATGCCCCGACTCTACAGGAACAGGCTGCGGATCTTCAGAGACAAGCTTTGTTGAAGCAGAATGCTCGCCTTGCTGATGCAAGATGGGCCGCAAAAGCAAGATACATCGAGGAACCTAAGCCTGCTTCTACATCTTCATTGCCTGGTGACCCTGTAACAGACAGGCCCAGCGCTGAATCCATTCAAAGGCAAGCTCCCACGTCGCCGAAGTCAAAAAGTACCGTTGAAACTCCTACACCTTTTCCGAAAGAAGCTCCTGCGAAGACGCCGAAAGATGCCGGAGCGAACCCGGGAGCCGCCTGGCAGCCCCAAGCATGGGCCCCCGGGCCTGCGAAACGATGAACAGCCATCTACCTGAGATTCCTCTGTTGTTGCGAATGCCGGCAATTGAGGCATCTTTCCACGGTACTGCCAAAATGACGATTTTCGGGTCTCTCCATTCCATCCGCAAACCAACCTAGCCAAGTTACTGTTACTGGATAAGAACGCTTCGGGATCTAATCATATATGCTTCAGAGCTTGGACTCACTATGCGAAAGCAGCAGGGGCCAGGCACTGACATCTATTGCGAATGTTCCTCCGCCGGCAAAGTCATGGCGTGCTGGGTATGATGGCAGTATTTGCTTACGTACCAGTCTTCAGGGTTGGTCCCAATATCTTCATAGGGCTGTCTCCATCTATTGACTCTGCACGGCAGCGTCTCAACCGCAGCCCGTCCCACGGTCACAAATCAATGGGCGATCCACGAAGCGGCGTTTGTCGAGTCATTTGAGACGAGATCATAAGTTTCGGCAACGATTTTCCTCAAAGAAGCATTGCAACGGGCCTGCGGGGGTCCAACAAGCGTGGCCCGTCATTGAAGGACTGAGCCATTCACGATTTCTGCATCTGTCATTGTGTCCCAGACCCGGCACATTGATCTTGGGGCAAGATCCTTCTTTGGTACAACATTCCCTGCGTTATATGACTTAGTCGTCATGTCGGCTGTGTTGGCAAGATGCAGTTGTCATGCTCCTGCCGCAGCTTCACAATATCATCATTCTGGCGATAGTGACCACAAGGTATTGTGGTCACGGACAAACATCTCAATGGCGGCAGTTCTGACTTGAATGCTTTTTGACAAGCATCGGCGAAAAGGAGTTCGAGGTGCCGGGATCTCATGGTTGTGTAGGAACGGAGTTTCATGCAGATGAAACTTTGCTTTTCATAGCACTTGAAGGGCACAATTCCTTCACTTCCAACATCCTAGGCCTATTGTAGACTTGTCCATACTAATAGATCTTGTCATCAGGTAGATATGATATACGGGGGATCAGGTCATATCCTTTAGCCAACCTTACTATGCTGTGCAGTTATTCAATATATCGCAGTTTGTCCTCACATCCTCCTCAATCTGCCATCAGTTCGTCTTCCATCAACTACCCGCCCTTCACATATGTCAATCACCAAGTATCTCGTCGCTTCCCTTTGCTGTACTAAGGCTTTGTAGTGCAAAAACACCAGCACGATATTCATCTCGCGCAAACACCGTCATTGTTCACTTCTTCAGCTACATCAAGACGCGCACTACAGGATGGCGGGCAAGTCAGACAGGCTCGTCCGCCACCTAACCATGTCTGCAGTCAGCTGCCCGCCGAAAGACTTTAAAGGTGGACCTGATGCAGGAAGTGCTTTGGTAAGTCAAGCTCTTCACTCTGCGAGATGTGCGCAGTTGGGTGATCACCTAGTCACCCTGAGCCAATCCTTTCGATCCGGTGCAAAATATTCTTCTCGTTGCACGGGATTGACTCTGGGATTAGATCTTAACTGACCCATGTATTTAGTACTATTGCAACGTGAAAGGCTGCAACAGTCTATGGGGCGTTTTCTGGACTGAGCCAGAAACATCGCGCAGACTGATGACATTGGGCGAGTACAAGACGCTCGCAACGGGAAAGATCTGCTGGAGCTGCACTAAGCCAGATGATCGTCTTGCCCTGTTTGCGGAGAATTGGTCAGGCATCGTGAACGAAACCCTGCGCAAGCTTGAAAAGAACACCAAAGAAGGCAGAAAGAGAAAGAGAGAGGACCTGAAGAGAGACACTAGTTTGGAAACCAAGCTTGACGACAACGGACATATCGAAGAAGATACCGCATCCAAGACAGAAGAGGACGAGGTCTGGGAATTGGTCGAGCATCATGAAGCAGACGAATCCTGGGTTCTTCTTTGAGCATCAGAGAAACGACTCTGGCCGTTCCAGTCTTCCAGGCAGGCGGAAGAAGGAGAAAATCTGGAACACGGACAAGGCCTGAAGGGATACCCAAGGCCAAGGCAGACATGGTCAAGTCAGCTTGATGTTGGCAGCGGATTTCAATAATCGGTGGTGTAATGTGGCTTCCATCCTAGCTGCTAGCAGACCGACTCAGGTTATGTACACACCTTTGGTCACGAACAACTAGAATGCCTGTTATCATGTTCACACAAATTCTGCGACTCTCAGGGTGTGACAATCTTCCAGTACTAGTATGCTGAAAGTCTCTGAACTATCATACAGTCGCCAGATTCTGTGACCCGAGGTGATGCTGGTAAGTCGTCCTGCCAATAATGCATGGAGTTGAAACTACCTAGAAACAAAATGGAAGGCCAGCGCTCCATGTCACAGCCTTGCCCCTATTTGTCGTCGTACGTTTGATGGGCAGGTTTAGTACCCGGTAGTAATACGTACTACTACCGGTAGCAGCTACATCCGTCTTGGTCAAGGCAACTATGCCGAGCTTGGACATGCTCCGCTCGCTCTTCATCTAGCAGCACGGATACTAGTTTATCGTTCTCGACTTTTCAAACCTCGTCGCTCCTGTCTCAGCTTCCTGCCGAGGACAAGCAGATACCAGCGATCATGGCTATCCAAGGGAGCGAGCAGGTGATCATTCGCGATCCTGCGTTGTTGTGAGTTCTAAATCTGCAGCACAACCCGTCCGTACGACTTGACTAACACGTTGTAAAGCTACTGGATCCTGCTTCCTATCACAATTGTCATGATCCTGACTGGAGTCCTCCGACATTATGCTACTGTGCTCCTTGCAAGCCCTCCGAAACCGCCTCTTTCTTTGGTCGAGTCCCGCGAACGACAGGCTCTGCTTCGTGGGATCAATCTGCGAAACAATGCCGCTGCGGCAATCACCTCGGCGTCGTTCAACGCGCGGAAAGAGTACCTCATTGATGGATACAAGAAGGGCATCTTTCTGAAAGGCGGTGCAGAATCCCGTGGACAGGCGGCGCAAAATCCAATGTCTGATCCGGCCGCCATGGAAGGAATGATGGGGATGATGAAGGGAAATATGGCCATGATGATCCCGCAGACCCTCATTATGTCGTGGATCAATGCATTTTTCGCCGGCTTCGTCATCCTCAAGTTGCCCTTCCCTCTCACGATTCGTTTCAAATCCATGCTACAGTCCGGTGTCATGACTCGAGACCTGGATGTCAGATGGGTCTCAAGCTTGTCATGGTACTTTCTGTGTCTATTCGGCCTCCAGAGCGTCTTCATTTTCATTCTGGGAAATGAGAACTCCGCCAGTCAAATGGCTCAACAGATGGGTCAAATGAATCCTGGGGCTACCGCGAACCCCTTCGGCCCCGGTCAAGACCCTGACAAGATGTTCCTAGCCGAAGCGGAAAATTTGGAAGTCCACGAGCACTGGAGTGTTTTGGACGGTACTGAAGATAGGCTACTGCAGATATATGGATAAAATGGGAGGCCTCACCCCTCGGAATCGGGACTCTATACTGCAGCATGGTGTTGTTGCCTCAGATATCAGTCGCCTCTACCGTGCCTGGTCAAGCAGGGCAAATTTATACCTGCTTCGGCCAGTTTTTCTGCAGTGGGACCTCAGCCGGCACAGACCAGCGAGCCAATTTTCACACAGTGAAGGGCTATTCGTTTCCTCCGTGTCGGGGCAAACGAGTGCTTGGTGCTAAGAAAACGACTGAGGACGGATCGGGCAGGGTAAATGCCCCAGCCGGTGTTAGGTGCCATTCTCTGTACCGCAACTTCACGGGTTGCGCCAGCCAGAACACCTTACGCCTCGGGTCATGGGGTACGCTTGTACAGCTCCAGGGGCCTTTTGCCAAAGGAGCCGTTATCTTAGTCTTCGCGGTTGGGGTCTCCGCCGTCATTACGAAGTAGGCCTTCAGTAACTCAAAGGGATCACGGTGAAGCGGATTCCTCCTCGAATGGCCTTCGACGGCATCTAATTAGGAGGCTTCCTATGAGGATTCAGGAAGTCGCTTCCGACCAAAAGATGGCCACGAAATAAAGAGCCAGATTCCAAGTTCGGTTCACTGCAAGCAAGGTCACTAGGCAGAGTCCTGTCATCGAGTTGTTCAAAGGGGTATCGATTCCGAAATCCAAATATGTGCTGTTGTAATAATTCCATCCAGAAAAAGGATGAGAGTCGTAAAGAGGTCAAAGACTCTTGTCGAGTGTCTCTGCCAACTCGTCCACTTCAGCATCAGACTTCAGGGGAACGTTGATTTCTTCAGCTTCATCGTCTTGCTTCAGGAGCTTCTCCCGCGCTTCTTCTTCCTCTTCCTCCTCCTCAGCCTCTTCCCCTTCCTCTTCTACCTCACTGTCCTCTCCCTCCAGCTCGTCCAGATCATCTAGCCCCCAGTGATCCACGGGGTCATCATGCTTGCCATCCTCGTCCTTTCGGTTGCTCAGAATTTCAGCTAGAGCCTCCACTGATGGGTCGTCCTCCTCGAATCTATTGCCATTCAGTTCCACCCGCCGCAACTTGGGAAGGCTGTCCTGGGCAGCTTGTAGGAGAGCTTTGAGGCCAGCGGGATGGATATCATTGAACTGCAGTCTCAGGATCTCAATGTCTTTGTTCTTTCCCGAAGTAAGAGCCTCGAAAACTCTGATTGCCCCTCTACCACCCAATAAATCATCTCCAACTCCCAGCTCCTTGAGTCCGGACCAGCCCGTGATCGCTCTGGCAAGAGCCTGGGCCCCCTTGAGCGTAAAGGTGTTGTCTTGCATGTCAAGGACCTCTAGATTGCTGCAGATGGATAGCCCGGACGAAATCAAATGAGATATTCCTTCCGGCCGAATGCCGTTTTGTGTCATCTTCACGCTCTTAAGGCCGGCCTTGTGTGCCTCATATGCCTTTGCCCAAGCTGCCATGCTCCCGTTTTCCAGACGGTTCCTCCCACAGACTATGCTCTCAAGGTATGGTACATCCTGGCCTTCTTTTCTGGCGGCCTCTTTCCGCTCGGCGAGGGTTACCAGTGCCTCCGCGATTGAGGTTCCGGCGATGGGACCCATGCCGTTATTGTTCAAGATGAGATGCTTCAGAGGGACATGTTTGGACAGGAAGTCGACCAGAGGTTCTTTGGTATTGAGGCCGAACGCATTGTCGCTAAGATCGATCGTGTGGAGGTTGGGGCATTCTAACAAGGCGTTCAAGAGGGAAGATAGAGCCGGAGGGATTTCCTCGAGTAATCTGGATGTGAAGATATCGTGTAGATCGGCACTCTGCAGAGTCGACTTCGATGCCAAAATGGGAGCGAGGGCGGCGCATGCGGCGACACCAAGCGTGTTTCCCGAAAGATCGATGTGGGTGACATTAGAAGACTGTACAAGAGGTTCGATATACTTTTCGAGGTCTTCTTTAGTGTCGAGTTTTAAGCCTCTACCCGCAAGTGAGAACGTTTCCCCGGCCATATTCGATCGTGTGGACTCTCTCGGAATTTGGTCTCTCTGAATAGAAGTTTTTGCGGCAACGATTGGTGACAAGTAGGAGCAGGCGCAATCTAACATGCAAATGTTTATTATGCCCCCGTTCGAGGATGGAGATCCGTAGAGCCTGTGGCGTCTAGAGTGGAATAACGCATCGCCGCTTTTAGCCAGGCCGAGCTTGGCAGTTGAACGCTTCAAGTTGTTTCTCACCTGCACCCTCTTTCCCACCCCTCGACTCACCCCTGTCTCTTCAACCTTCATGATGCTGCACGGAAAACACCCAAAAAGAAGCAGAACTACTTGAGTGTTCGTGCTATGATGGTGTCCTTGCGAAGTGACCGGTTGTGCATATTCATTTTCGGTCGAGACCCAATACAACAGCCCAGACCTCCCAAAGATCATAATGCTCTCGGACCCTTGTCGCGCTTAAAAAGGGGTACTATGCGCAGATTGTGCCCTGGCGAATGACCCGTTGCGAATCGACAACTTCGACACATGAAACATGAAACGTTACGCCTATCGCGCGGTATCAGCACAGGGGCGATCTACCAGATCCAATACCGCGAATGCGGATGGGAAACACTGACACCCATGAGACCGACTTTGACAACGAGCAGGTCAATTCTCCTGGAGTAGAGCTGCTGGTTCGACTCTTCCATATAAAATGCTCGCCTTCGCATCCTCATGTCATGCACTCCAATGCATCTACAGCCACTTTTCAGTTCTCTCTGTGCACGCAGGCCGTGTCATTTTCATTTATAGCATTGTTTTGCCTTTACGCTCCTTTTTTTTCGTTGATATAGGGACGATTACTGACTAGTTGTTTGACAAATCACTCGACCATCTGGCTAGTCCTCAGTCCAACGTCCGGACTACCGAAGTGAGCAAAGAAGACCAATCACAATCAACAAACGATGCGCACCGCCCTGGTCTGCGTTCTCAGCGCCATGCTCACGGGTTCCTCCGTCTTTGCCCAAAGGAACCACGGTGGAGGCAACGGCGGCGTTGGGTCCTTCAATCATGGAGGCGGAAACTCTCCCAGTACCTTCATCACGAGGGTTTCTACGACCCCGGTCACTACTGCTGGCAGTGGCGATCCTCCAACTTCCAGCCCAGCCCAAGGGTCCTCATCGGCGAACCCTTCTCCCGCAGGAGCCTCTTCTGTGGCCTCCTCCGGCTCGGTGGATACCTCTCTCATTCCCCCCTTTGGTATCACTGCTGGGGTGAAAGCAAATGACGGGACTGCGAATTGCGTAGGCGATGGCGGGAAAGCTATCCCGTAAGTTTTGGTACATGATACAGAACAAGAACTAATGTCAAACAGATGCGATTGTCCACCAGATTCGAACACCTTCGTTAGTGCCCTCGAAGACTCCGTGGCAGCTGGGGCGGCGTTCCCACCTGGTGAGTCTCACACTCTGCTATCATGGTTGTCTATTAATCTCAATGACAGGAACCTCAGCGGCAGACCAGCTCACACGGCTTCAAACGTGTATCGTGACGCTACAGAACTTCAGGGGTGGTGCTGGAAGTGGCGTCGGGTGTCCAATAGTGAGCACGACGTGGAAGGAACTACAGGCTCAGCTGCAGTCCGAAACCAAGTGAACCGAGGAGACCCATCTGTTTGCCACTGTGCAAGCAAGTATCTGCCAAAATCTCGCTGAAATCGGTCTGGTGGTGTAATTCACTATCGAGATATCTTTTATACACGATGAAGGCCAACATAACAACACCGTGAGCCTATGCGAAGGAGCTCGTCCGTAGAGCGGATGACATAATTATGACGAACTTAGCAACAGCCTGGATATTTGAGCAGTCTTTGCCAGAGAAGAAATATATTCGAGAAGCGACCTTTATGCTGAGCCACGGCATCGCTTCAGTGTTCGCATATTATTATTCCGTCTATGAGGTGGTTTACTGCAGTTTTGCACCCGGCACCAAAGGCGACATTGAAGTGCCAGGCTAGGCCAATTAGGTGGTGACATGCCACCAAAGTATCTTGAGGTTATGCGCGGGAGGCATCATGAGCATCTTGAAAGAGGTTTCATCCCTACCTAAGGTATGTACCTACCTTAAGGTAAACCTACCTCTATCCACAGTATCTGAACTGTGGCATTAGGTAATATTCTTTCGTAGGGCGGCGTCATCATCTTCCCCAAAGGGGCCAGTCAAAGCTGGCCTTTTGATCGCTCGGCGCATGTCGCTTCAACCCGGCCGCGTTCGTCTGGCCTCATGGCATGCGACGCCATGTTTATGATCCGACTTCTGTGACATACTCTGGGATACAACTCTCAACACCCACACAGGCAGTATAGAGCCTGGTATCTCCAATACCCGGAATGAGGAGTATCTGGTTGTTCTGCATTGTCCTGGCTCGTGCTTTTTGTCTTGCTAGCGAGGGTACTTTCAGCGTCAATGATGATCTCTTTGCCTTTCCACAGGTGCGATGTTTCCGCTGACCGGGTATCTCCCATTCTCACACGCTGTAGTACGACCTCGAATTCCTGGACTCCTATATCCTAGAGTCAGAAGCCCTTGCCCACCTCCACGAAGGGCAAAATGATCCCTCCCGACAATCGACACCTGAAGAGGTTTGGTCTGGCGACCTGTCCACCCGGTTAGACCACCCCGAGACCGACGACGATGCAACAGGTGCAAGCGCAAATTTCCCGGGGACGTACGAACGCATACTCCTTCACGGCTATCCGCATTTGTGCTTTATCCCTGAAGCCAAGGTCACCAACGGCAATGACACGGCGCCGGAGCCGTCTGCGGCAGATCGAGAAAAGGAACTAGACCGTGCGGTCACGAGAGCGTCACACTTACTCCAGGGAATGGCATCGAACCAGTGTCTCTACTATTCGACCGGCTGGTGGACCTATTCATTCTGCTACAATGCGCAGGTGACGCAATTCCACGCGCTCCCACCGGGAACGAATGGTAGAGTTTGGCCGCCGCAGGAAGACCCAACAACACCGAGCTACATCCTGGGAAGATTCGACAGTCAACGAGACAAGGCCCCAGATTCGCAATCATATAGAGATCATACCCCTTCCACAGAAGTCAGGTCCAAGGCCGAGACGAACTATTTCGTCCAGCGGCTGCAAGGCGGGACCACCTGTGACCTTACTGGAAACGACCGCAAGATTGAGGTGCAATTTCATTGCAATCCACAGTTGACCGATCGGATTGGTTGGATCAAAGAGATTGCTACGTGCTCGTATCTCATGATCATTTATACGCCGCGCCTGTGTCATGATGTTGCCTTCCAGCCACCAAAGGAGAGCCGAGTTCATCCAATTACCTGTAGGGAAATCATCTCGCAAGACGATGCGCCCGTATGGGAAAGTCATCACGACGAGGCCAACTCGCAACAGAATCTCGATCAGGGATCCACCCAGCAGATATTGCTGGGTAACGTGGAAGTGGGCGCAAAGAAATACCTGGGGCACGAAGGAAAACGACTGGAGAGGGGTCGTATCGTGCTGACGCAAGACGAAAAGGCCGAAACTGTGATCATGCAGAAGAACGGCCACATCTCAAGCCTCTCGACGACCGAGCTCAAAAAGCTTGACCTTAGTCCTGAGGACATCGATTCGTTCCGTAAGGAGTTGCAGAAGATGGCCGGCGCCAAAGACTGGAAGATTGAGCGGTTGGACGACGTCAATGGTCATGTTCAACTGCGCGGCGTTGTGAGTGCGGAAGATGAGGTTGAGGATGAAAAGGAGATTGACAAGACTCCTTCGGAAAAGGATGCTGAAGCACCTGGTACCGAGGAAGAATACGTCGAGGTCTGACTGAGCGGCCCTGCAAATCCGCAACTTCTATCACAGAGTGGTAAGAGACTTTTGTTCACAGATATGCCCAAAAGTCGAAGACCATGCATAAAAACGACAAGGGGGCGGTGGATGTGGCCAGGATAACGACTGGTGTCGATTGGGTCTTCAGCCGACTTCGAATCCAAGCTCATGTTGGCCCTGGGGCATGGTGTCACTGAAGCACCACATTCCAGCAGGACGAGGGAGCTGCCAATACAGGTTAAGCACCTGTATGGATCCGACACAAGAAAAGGTCCCAGCATGAAAGCTATGATCTATTGCCTGCCGCGGCAATCTGAGCACGCGGCCCTACTATAAAACAGAAGTACTAGTAGGCAAAATGAGTTATCAACCCAACGAAGGACGGGCATGCAGATGCGTTAGAGTAATAACAGACCGGAATGAGAAACGCGGTCTCTATTGTTTGTGTACAACAGGGCGAGCAGTTGGGCCGATCAATGACACTCGAAGCGCATTTACCATGGGCGGTGTTGTGCGTGCCAGTTCCATGCAGTGCAGGTTACGCACGGCTCTACACCGGCCCTGACCCAACCCTGCCAATGTGGCTAGCACCCATCTACCTGGTAACTTGTTTAGCAACTTGAACCTCGAGTCACCCAACTCCTAAAAGCATTACATGATTCAGCAACGGTTGCTCCAAACCGGACACCTAAAGTACACCTACGAATATCTCATTGCACCTTCCTGCAAGGCGGGTTCGCCCCAACAACTCTCACAGTCGTGCTCATTACCTGCATCATTTCACGGCGTTCGTCCCGAGGGACCTCATCTCCTGCTTCGTCTCGCGTAATCTGCGTAGACCGTCGCCACGAAACGACCGGTTTCCAATCTTCCCGATCCCATCCCGCCTGGTCGCAGTATTTCACCTTCATGGCAATTCTCCCTACGTCCGCCCTCTGATTGCTATCTATTGTCGAGCTCGGCGCTTTCGCTCACATCATGGGCTTCGTGGCAGTATGCACCGCAGTCTACGACTACCATCCGCAAAGCCCAGGCGAGCTAGAGATCCGGGAAGGAGAGCTCTTGTATATCTTGGAGAAGAGTGCGGACGATGACTGGTGGAAGGCGAAAAAGAAGGCCGCCGGAGACGATGAGGACGAACCAGAAGGCTTGATTCCCAACAATTATGTTGAAGAGGCGAAGCCCATCCAAACCGCCAAAGCGCTGTACGACTACACTCGGCAGACCGACGAGGAAGTGTCTTTTGCCGAAGATGCTGTGTTGACCGTGTATGACACCTCCGATCCTGACTGGACTCTGGTGGGTGTAGGAGGCGAGGAATTCGGCTTTGCGCCGGCCAACTACATCGAACTTACTGGTGGCCCTCCTAAATCTCCCTCCATGCTCTCCGGGCGTCAGTCCATCCAGCCAGCAGTCGAAGATGAATACGCTGTCGCTCCGGCTACTCCGACAAGGTCAGCACAGGATCCTGCGGCTAGTCTGGCCAGAGTCCTCGGAGGAGGTGCCCTTCCCTCGCCAACGGGTGCCCGCTCCGTCGCGTCTCCGCCACCGGCAAGACCCCATCGACAGCTTACCCCTGACCCATCAGATGGCGAGGAGCCCGCGCCGGCACTGCCGCAAAGGCCTTCGTCACAAACAACCAACCCCCAATTCGCGCGGTCTATGTCGCGGCGGACTGAAGCATCGCGGGGCGTCCTGCCATCACCTCCATATAATCGAGCAGTACCACAGCCAGAAGATGACGAGGCACCGATTCGATCACCTGGCGGATTCCATTTGTACAACGTCAACGAAATGGTTTCGGCTATGGGCCGAAGGCGAAAGATGCCAACTACCCTGGGCCTCAATATCGCGACAGGTACTATTATGCTCTCCCCGGAGAAGTCAAGAGATGGGCCTTCCCAAGAATGGACTGCAGACAAAATGACGCACTACTCAATCGAAGGCAAGCATGTTTTTATCGAATTGGTTAGGCCAAGCAAGAGTCTCGACCTCCATGCAGGAGCCAAGGATACTGCAGAAGAGATCGTGGCAGCTCTCGGGGAGATTGCCGGAGCGCAACGAGCAGAAGGCATTCGGGAAGTAATCGAGGCAGCTGCTGGTGGCGCGACTCACAAGAAGGGCCAAGTTCTGTATGATTTCATGGCACAAGGCGACGACGAGGTCACAGTTGCTGTGGGTGATGAGGTTATCATCCTGGATGATACAAAGTCGGATGAATGGTGGAATGTGAGACGCTTGAAGAATGGCAAGGAAGGCGTCGTGCCAAGCAGCTATATTGAGGTTACGGGTTTTGTCACCGCCGAGCCTCCTTCACGTTCAGGAATAAATGCTGGTCTCTCGACAGTTGAACAGAATCGCCTCGAAGAGGAGAGGCTTGCAAGGGAAGCTGCACGAGCTGACAAGGCCCTTTATGAATCGGAAGACGCACGATCTCGTAGCGGGCATGGGCACGGAATGCTCCCGCAGCGTGGTAGCAGCCTTGCCGACGACCAATCTCATCGAAAGGACAGGAGAGACAAGGATGACCGGAGAAAGAGCCGGTCGAGGCCCGATCCGACAAAAGTCAGGACATGGACGGACCACTCGGGCACATTCAAAGTCGAAGCCCAGTTTCTGGGAGTGGCCGATGGTAAGATCCATCTTCACAAAGTCAACGGCGTGAAGATTGCCGTTCCCATAACAAAAATGTCGCCAGAAGACCTTGACTATGTTGAGAAGGTAACCAACGAGCCAATCGAAGATAACATTCCTGTGGCTGATCTGATCAAGATGAAACGTCGGAGTCAATCGTCTGAACAAAGCAAGCCCCGAAGCGGTGCCACCGTCGAACCTCGCGTTCCAGAACAACTCAAAGTGCCCGACTATGACTGGTTCGATTTCTTCCTCAAGGCCGGTGTTGGCCCACACCACTGTGAGAGATACGCACAAGCGATGATACGAGACTCAATGGATGAGACTGTTCTCCCGGATATCACACCAGAAACTTTGAGAACACTGGGGCTGAAGGAGGGTGACGTTCTCAAAGTCATGAAATACCTAGATCAGAAATTCGGGCGGACACACAATGCAGCAGCCAATGGTACCAATGGCGATGCTGTATCAGGTGGGATCTTTTCAGGGCCCGGAGGGACGTTGCACAACAACACTCGCAGGACCCGGCCGGAAGCCAATCGACAGACCAACGATGTTGTTGATCCAGATGCCTTTGCCAAAGCTGAAACCGACACAAGTACTGAACGAAGAGCCACCATCCTCACTGAAGCACCTTCAAAGCAATCCAAAACCGGGTTTGATGATGACGCATGGACTGTCAAACTTCCCAACGAACAGGCGGCGGCCTCACGACCTTCTACTGCACCTCCAGCGGCAAATCCTCCTTCAGGAGCTCTGAAGGAGTTATCCTTGCTGGACACCCCTCTTCAGCCAACGCCTGCTCAGCAGACTGTACCATCAGTCGCTCAGCAACCTCAGCCAACGCCTCAACCTCAGCCTCAGCCTCAGGCTCAACAGTACATGGCCTCGGCGCCGGTTCAACAACCCCAACAGACAGGCGCAACTCCGCAATTCTTTTCGCAGGTCAATCAAATTCCCGGCCAGATACATCCTCAAGCGACTGGGGCTTTCAACGCTCCACGTCAAAGGCCGATTGCGCCACAACAGAGTTTCACCGGCACGGGATTGCTGCCACCACCTCCCCGACCAACTTCAGCGCCACAAAACCCGCAGCAAAATCAATTTGGTCCTCAGCCTTTGCAACCTCAGTTGACTGGAGTTCCTCGAACCTCTGCGATGCAGGCGCCCTCCGGTCAAAGCATGAACGATCTGGCACAGCAGCGGCTACAGCAGCAATACCAACAGTTCCAATTGCAACCCCAAGTGACGGGAAACTTTCAGCCGTTGCAGTCTTTTGGGCAGTTCGGACTTGCTCCCCAAGCTACCGGCTTCCAACAACCGCCATCATTTTCTCCGCTTCAACACACCTATTTGAACGGAAATGCAACTGGGAGTCCTTTTGCCGATCCTCGGCCACCTTTTCAGACTCACCCAACCGGGATGTCATTCGTACAAAGCCCACCACCGGGAGGTATCAACTCAGTTCTTCCACCGGCCCTTCAACCACAACGAACAGGCTTTGTTTCACCTTTCCAGCAGCCGCAGACCAACGGATTTAATCCGACACTACAACCTCAGCAAACGGGCTTCTCTCAAGCACTTCCTCTTCAATCTCAGCCCACAGGCTTCCAGCAGCAGCTACTGCCTCAAACCACTGGCTTTGGACCGGCGCCACAACAAAATGGTTTCCCGAGCTTTCAGTCGGCGCCTGTGCCAGCCGTCCCTCAGCTACCCCCCATAGCGCCTTTGCAGCAGCAAAAAACCGGCCCTGCTCCCCCTGTGAAGTTTGGCCTCACAGAAGCAAAGAAGTTGACGCCTCAGCCAACGGGCCGGAGAGCAAACCTGGCGAATGCTAGTAAGTGACACCCATTAGCCAAACCGACCCTAGCGAATCATGTTAACTGACAATACTGCAGCGGCTCAGAATCCATTTGGGTTTTAGCTTTCATTGCAAGAGATAGAAGGACTCAGTTACTCTCACCGTCCATGTCGCGATGTTGGCCTTTTGACACCTACGGACTGTCTCGGTTACATCGGTTGTAGCCGCCAGCTACGTGCATCGTGTTCCGTGGAGGGGGCGATTACACAGGCACAGTACAGCAAGGCCGCTAAGGTCCAAGGCCGTCCCGTTGTTACTTAAACAGCGCGGTTCGATAACTGCTGCCGGAGGAAGATCATATCTCCGCACCTGAAGGCTGAGTGATGCAGGTCTTCTGATCATGTAGGCATACCGCTCCGCGCGACGAATCCCCGTCAGAAGTCAGCGCTATTCCCGGAAAGTTGCCACTGGTTTGACCTCTATATCGGGATGTGGAAGACGAGGGATTCGGTTTCAAGTTCAGTCAGGTGTAGCTGCAACTAGGTATATACTTGTGAAACCTGATGTAATGGCACAAGCCTAAGTGACTGCATGATTCTACTCGACGTCTGAAGTCTGGATTATACCACAACAATTCCGCCGCAACAAACCAGATCCCATCGATTACATGATCCCGTTTACTATCGAACCCGTCTATACAACTTGGAAAAGGTTGATTTTTGGGATATCGTGTAACTTTCAATGATACCTTTCATCTTGAACGGTAGGTACTACGGCACACTACAGTGGAACCGCCGTAAAGAAACTAGACGGCAAACATGCCAAGATCGCGACAAACTCTCGGTTTTGCTCTTACGGACTTTGAACTTACCTATAGGGACTACAGACTTCATTTACCAGTTTACAATTGACGATTCCGCGCCACGACGACAACGGCAGAAGGCTCCATAAGCGACGGCATAGAAAGTTTGAAACATTGTCTCTGATTTCCGACCTCGAAACGCCAATCGGGCGGTGGTTATCTAGTCGCGATGATCTGTACTAGCTGTCGACTCAGACTACTCACCCGCCTTCGATTTCCTCAATCCTCACACTCGTCCAGTCTTCGATATGCTTCCACAATACCTGACACACCGAACGCTGGTCCAATTCAAGCTCCTTCCTCAATTGCGGTAGAGGGTGCGAACCCAACACACTCCTCGAGAACCTCTGGAATATCCCAGCCCTTGTCTGAAGCGCATACTCCGTCAACCTCAACTGCGAAGGCGGCCGCAGCGAAAGAACCGAAGAAACCGGCGAAAGTCAAGAGCTCAGTACCCGGGGGCGAAGTCCTGAAGGGTCTTGGGTACACGAAGGCGCAACCGCAGATACTGGCTAAAGAGGACCACGAGTATCCCGAGTGGCTGTGGACGCTGTTGGACGATAGCAAAATGGCTACTGGAGACACAAAGGTTGATCTATCAGGTATGCTATGGCTCTGGACTGCGGCAATGCAGCCCCAAGTACAACCGTTTGTCACGGAGGCGTACTAACAGTGCCCGCAGCAATGACCAAGAAACAACGAGCTCGATATGAGCGCCAACAAGAAAAGCTACTGAAAGACCTACCCGTCAACATTCCACCCCATGAGCAAAGTAAAGACTTGACGGGACCTGGTGACGATGCTGTCACCAGTCTACAGCGGAGACACGAGATAACGAAAAGCGCACGGGCGGCTAGGAGGAAGAGTATCCGCGAGAGCAATTTCTTGAAATCCATGTAAAGAACATACGTTTGACAGCGGCGAACACACAATACTACCGGGCGATCTTCAATTCATGCTTTGCTGGGAAGTCGAGCATCAGGCCTATTGTGAAATTCGATGGTGGTGCTCGGTCTCTGCAATCGTTGCAATAGTCCTGTTTGGCGGCCTTGGCTTGGAAAAGGCAGATGGAGTAATAATGGTTGGCAGAGATCACCTGAAGAATGGCAGCGACAACAAGATCATCGTGTTAGCAATGCCAACATCAATATCTATGTATGATATGCCCGTATCGTGCCCGGATGTCCCCCGCAAAACAGTACCCCTACGCCCAAAGACACTTCGCTTCATTCATCTTTCGTTGCCATGCGGTCATTTACCCCCATTCAATGTAGTTGCCCCCAAACCCGCACTGCTAAGGTATCATCCCGTCATCTTCACATCCCATTCACGAATAGTTCATGCCCGTGTCTGTCCCGCAATAGGCCTTTCTGACCATACTAATGTGAGCAGATATGTGTTTCACATCGGCATCATGTCCTAATGCTGTTTGTGCCCGAAGTCCATCTCAGTCGCCGGAGCCCGCTTCCGCTTCCACGTAATGCCTCTTGGCCACAGCTACCACCACCAATGCCCACGTCCGCTTCCAGTCTGCCTACTTCACGGCCCCAGGCATAGCCTGCGCTAAAACTGATGGCCGAGAAGACAAGAACGACGCCAGCGGATATCATCCACGACGCCAGAGTCGGGCTAAGCAACTCTTCATTGGTCAATGGCGATTTCGCGGCGCGGGCTTTCTTTGCATGTCGCTCTTTGCTGGATTCTCTGGACTTACGTTTGGCACGTTTGGGCGATGAGCATCTTCGGGGCCGAGTCGTCCCATCGAGTTCCGTTGCCGGCACCAGTCGCAGTGCCGTTGGCTGATTGGCAGGCCGCATCCCCGTCGGCCGGGTTTCAGGACCCTTGGGCCGAACGGCCGCGGCGCATGAAAGTAAAGTTGTCAGTGAGGCGCGCAGAGCTGCATCGTGGTCTGGTTGATACGATGATTTGCCGATCCGTTGTCGTGATTGGGCCTGCCTTTCATAACTTCGTTGAGTCATTGTATGGTTCCCAGTACCTGAAAGGGGCGTGGTGGACGGGGCAGGAGGGAAATATGAATCTGGAACAGGCCGATCTTGCAAGGACGGCGGATGAGAGAAGGCATTTGGTTGAGGTGTGAACATTTGTCCGACCCCCAAAGCCGTGGAAGTATCATCATCGTCAGCGATATCGTGTTGGTCGATCTCCTCATTGGAACTGCCCAAAACTTGGTCACTCTCACTTTCGCTCTCCTCATACTCGTCTTGACTGGAACCTGCTGTGCTTGTCGACCGCTGTTGAGATGTGGAGAGGCCAATTGAGGCTTGGAGTTGACGAGACATTCGCTCTTCATGAGAGTGGACTTCGAGGCCGGTGGTAACAATATCATTACTTGTAGATGAGAGGGAGGACGATGACGGACGAGATGAAATCTCAACCCAGGAGTCTAGGAGATGGTCAGTAACCATGTCTGTTGAACAATTGCCTTGTTGAGTGTTTGAATGGGAACATTACCTTCTGAGCGCAGGGCTCGAACGGTCGAGTTAGACTGCGCGAAGCGAGGATCCGCTGCCCAAGGACTGCGGCTCTCACGTTCATTCCTCTGCGCGCCCAATGCCTCGTTCTGCGGTGGACGCATGATGTTTGATCTGGTCCGCAGATAGGAGGGCAGACGCTCAATGTGTGAGATCAGAGCTGACGGTCGGGGTGATTCTCCTTAGTTGAGCGCCGATGCAATGCACAATACGATGGAGATGGCGAAGCCTCAATGAAACCGTCGCTGCCGTCGCCCGACGAAGGAGTCTTCCACGGTAGTAGGGTCCTTGTCTCCCAGAGGATGTGTACGATGGATTGTTGGGCGATGGGCGGCCGTGGTCGGTGTTCGTCTCACCGCTGACGATGGTGATGGTGGGGGTTGCCTTCGCTGATTGGAACCGCGCGAGTGGCCAGATCCGCCTGAACTGCCCCACGAATCTCTGCCGAGTAGCTAGGGCGCGGGTCGATTCAAGGTTGAACCGCCTCACACACCATCAAGTTGGACGAGGTTGATTGTGATGTTAGAGAAGGAGAATGATCCAACTTCTCAGCGTTGGGGGACTGCAACAATGTACACGGCAAACGGAGCTCCGGCGTACTATTGATGACTCCGGAGAAGTCTTCTAAAGGCTGCAAGGGCAGAGCATAGGACTTGGTGAAAAGTAGGGGGCTAAGGAGGCACTGGCAGGGGTCCTAAGGCATGCGAGCAAGATTCCTGAACATGATGCACTTGGATGGGCGGAAGCTTGTTGTGGTTTGCCGAGCACTGACATGGACGTCCATTGGTCTTATTCCCATCATGTGTCAAACCAAGGAATGAATGACCTGATGTATCACAAGGGCTGCGCTGGCCGACCGCGTCTGATGATGGCGAGGAGTTTCAGATTGTCGCCCTGTCACCAATGCTCCGAAGTACCACGCCGTAGCGGCCGATTATCGCAATTGCACCAACCCATTGGAGGAGCATACTGAAAATTCGCATCCCTGTCCGCTTGGAAGACAGGCTTTTACGTCTGGAATAGGCCTTTACGTCTGCGAGAACCGAGACAATGTGGAAGTTCTAGGAATGCATGATTGAATTCTATCACAAACATTTGCAATTACACCATGATCCCCCGGTAGAAAATGGAAAAAAAGAAACCCGAACTTTTACATACATTACCTTTGTCTTTGCGGCTCCTCCACTCGTAGTTGAGCAGTAAGCAAACACAAAGTCACCTGGAGCAAAGCGTCCTTGAAAACAACCGAGTCCATGTACGCTCACAGCTGAAAGAGCGCCACTGGTCAGGCACCTTCAGCCTAGAATGTGGTCTTCCTTCCGGAGTAGTCGCCAAAGCCGCCACGGTTTGTTGAGGCACCACGACCGCCACGACCACCTCCTCGTCCACCACCACGTGCTCCAAAGCCGCCGCGTCCGCCACCACGTGCTCCAAAGCCGCCGCGTCCGCCACCACGTCCACCAAAGCCGCCGCGTGCTGGAGAATCGCCGTTCTGCGGGCGTGGTTGGCTGTAATCCAGACGAACCGGGCGGTTCTTGATGTATCCACCCTGCATAGCTTCAAGAGCAGCCTTGGCTTCCTCCACAGAGCCAAAGGTCACATAGCCAAAGCCCTTGGGATTGCCTGTCTCTCTATCGGTTGGCAGCCGGACGCCCATGACGGTTCCATGAGGGTTGAAAGCGTCGGAAATGTCTTCCTGGGTGCAGTCGAAGGAAAGGTTGCCGAGGAACAATGTCTCGGTAGGCTCACCAAGTTGATCTCCGTAGGACTTGCGACGATTGTCCGGCTTGTCACCACCGGCGGTGTTGGTACGAGCGTTGGCAAAGTCGACATTCAACGGTCGGCCGTCAAGCTCGGCTCCTTGCTTCGCGGCATGAGCTTTAGCAGCATCGGCGGCATTCACAAATTCAATGTATCCGAAGCTGTGACAGTATGTTAATCATGACCAGGTACGACGAAGTTGCGATCTTACCCTTTCGATCTTCCGGTTTCACGATCAGTCATTAAGCGTACACCACTCAGCTCGCCGAACTCCTCGAACTCTGATCGCAGCCAGTTTTCGTCGATGTTCCATGAAAGGTTGCCCACGAAGAGATTGGCGCCCTTGGACGTGTCGACGTCAGCGACCTTGTTCTTCTTGGCTGCCGGCGCTTCTTCCTGTTCAGCCTTGCGCTTCGCGGATTTCGGCTTGGCCTCGACCTCTTTCTCATCCGACGATTCATCACTGTCTTCGCTGCTGTCGCTGTCGCTGGCCTCATCACTGTCGGCATCAGCGGCGGGTTTGGCACCGTTAGTCTTGGGAGCAGCTTCTTCGTCACTGCCGGACTCGTCAGAGCTGTCGTCATCCTCCTCTGACGACGCGGCCTTGGCATCTTCCATGGTCTCATCCTCAGATTCCGAATCCTCGCTGTCAGATGCGTCGGACGCGACCTTGGCAGCAGCTTTCTTTCCGGCCCCGTTCAGTTTTGGAGCTTCGGCCTCGGAGGCGGATTCATCAGACTCGGATTCATCAGACTCGGATTCGTCGCTGGAATCGTCGCTTGACGCATCCTTGGCCGCAGGTTTGACTGCCTTGACATTCTTCGTCTCGACTTCTTCGCTGTCGCTCTCGGAAGACGAGCCGGACTCCTCCTCGGAGCTGGATTCCGGAGTTGGTTCCTTGACAGGCACCTTCTTCGGTTTCTTCTCTTCCTTTGCAGCGACCTTCTTTGCTACTTCCTTGCTTTTGCTCTTGATGCTCTGCGCAGGCTTTGTCACAGCACTGCCTTTGACCTTGGTCAAAACATCAGATTTGGGTGCCTTGGCGGCAGGCGCGGACTTGGACTTGGATTTGGACATTTTGTATGTGCTAGGCATTCGTTAGCGGATCATGCATAGATTATGGACGAAAGGAAGGTGTCGAACAAACCTGATACCCTCGATTGCTGTCTGTCCCTCGGATCTCTAGAAGTGCGGCAATACCCTCAACCCACAGAGTGAATAAGAGCCCTCGACCTCAAATACCAAATGCAGAAGCAGATGGTAAGCAGAAATGAAAATTTCTGCGAAGCGCGCGATGACCACAGAGGATGGAACTTGGGACTAAACCTTGAATCGACAGGATAGACAAGCAAGACCTGCGATCAGTGTGTGAATACCCTCGATGTCAAAACCACAAAGCCCTCGATAGACGTCAACTGATGCCCTCGATGAAGTGCCGATGGAATATTGAAAGAGAAGGATACAACTCGTGTGAAAAGATCACCTAAGGTATGTAAGAGTAGGATGAAAAGAGGAGGTAAAGTTGAACCAGAAATTTTCCTGGCGGCAATTAAATAAAGGTTCTTATCTTAGCGTACTCTCACAATTTTAAGAAGCGATAAAGGGACCCTGACAGCAACATGCGGGACTGTGATGAAAATGGAGGTTGGGGTCCCGTCCAAGGGTCTTGTCGGAATATTCTTTCTCCGTTCACACTTTCACCAGTCAGCTGGCAGTGCGTACTAATGTCTGTCCTCTGCAGCTGAGCTTCATGCTCTAGCTCAGCCGTACTCCTGCGACAGTACCTCTCGACACCCTCTGCTTCTTACCTGTGACCACTGGGAGCACTGCGTCGTCTGCCGTTATGTCGAGTCCTTCTCATTCTCATAGGCCACGCAAGAAGAGGAAACTGGCTGCGGCGCTGACTCGCAGTCCTACTACCTTGGACCTCGTCAAATTCGACACTGAAGACAACAATGCTGCCACTCCCGAGTTTCCATTGGTCGCCTTCTTATGGCCGGCTCGGGGAACGACCTCTCAATGGATCCTTTTGCCTTTGATCTTGATGACTGCGGCCATTTTTCGCTGGAGCGTGGGGCTTTGGGGATACTCTGGGTTCCAGCAATCTCCCATGCATGGCGATTTCGAAGCACAGAGGCATTGGATGGAGATATCAATCAACCTGCCAATATCCAGGTGGTATTTCTATGATCTCCAGTACTGGGGCCTGGACTATCCTCCATTGACCGCTTATCACAGCTGGCTGTGCGGCAAGGTGTAAGTCATCCTGTCCTGTCATATGACCAGCACTGACCGACCAAGGGGCTCGTTGTTCGCTCGGGGCTGGTTTGCCCTCGATCAGTCCCGCGGGTTGGAAGACCCAGCTCTCAAGGTCTTCATGCGTTCCACTGTCATCATCTCCGAATACCTTGTCTACGTCCCTGCACTGATCATCTTCCTCCGTCACTACAGCCGCGCTGAAGGCACTGGAACGACCTCCTCTTCAATCGCCCTTGTTGCCATCCTAATGCAACCGGCCACCATTCTCATTGACCATGGTCACTTCCAGTATAACGCAGTAATGCTTGGCTTTGTCATTGCTACGTTGTCGAGTATGTACTCTGGGAGACTCTTGTGGTCGTGCGTCTTTTTCGTTGCCGCGCTAGGATTCAAGCAAATGGCATTGTATTACTCGCCGATCGTCTTTGCCTATCTCCTGGGCTCTTGTCTCTCTCCGAGGGTGCGCTTTGGTCGCCTTCTTTCGGTCGCCACCGTTACCGTGCTTGCATTCGCGGTACTGCTCGGCCCGTTGCTGATCGGATCGGTCTTTGATAGTTACACCACACCTCAACTGTCGGATCTACCACCGCCGCCCTTTCTCGCAGAACGGAATATCAGACTGGACCCCAATTCTCCGGCCGAGATGGTTGTGCTCCAGATCAGCCAAGCTGTCCATCGAATGTTTCCTTTTGCGCGTGGGCTCTTTGAGGACAAGGTAGCAAATTTCTGGTGTTTCACCAACACGTTTTACAAACTTCGCAAGCTTCAGGGAATCATTGACCTTCCTCGTCTTTCTGCCGTCCTCACCTTGGCGTCAATTCTCGGCCCCATGCTGATCATTGTTGCCGTCCCGAAGAGAGCTCTGCTTCTTTATGCACTGGCTACGTCAGCATGGGGTTTCTTCTTGTTCTCTTTTCAGGTCCACGAGAAGTCGGTATTGCTGCCACTCCTGCCCATGACGCTACTGCTTGGGAGTAGGCCCGGCCTTAGCAAGGAATATCGAGCATGGATTGGCTGGGCGAATACTGTGGGTGTCTGGACAATGTTTCCTCTTTTGAAACGGGATGGACTGCAAACGCCGTACTTCGTGGTAACGCTCTTGTGGTGCTATCTGTTAGGCCTTCCCCCCACGAGCACAAATGCATACCATGATCCCGAGCATGAGAATATTCCAGGCAGGCCTCTCGCTCCTGACGAATTACGGACACCAACCAAAATCCTACATTTCCAGACCTACGTCGTCATGGCATTCTGGCATTTGCTTGCAGCCTTCGCGGCACCTCCCGAGGACAAGCCCGATCTTTGGGTTCTTTCCAATGCGTGCATAGGAGCTCCTTGCTTCGGTGTATGCTATTTGTGGTGTTTCTGGAAATTGGTTTCTGAGAGCGGTCTCCTTGACGATTATTCCTCGACGTCCAAGGGGGAAGAGGGCTGGCGCATTGCGATGGATCGACCCAGCGATTCGGACAAAGGGGTTATATAGAAAGCAATCGTCCGCTTATGATAGGACTCAAAGATTGACCTTGGTTGCTGTATGGCCAGAATGCGCATTGCCTCATAACCATTTCGTACAGGGCACTGCCGTCGATCATAACATAATCATTAAACCCGCTTCAGATGCAAAAACCAGATGATTATGCATAATTGACAATGCCTTTCACGGCCCAGACTTCTCCGTTTCCTACCCGCCCGACGATCCCATCCACGACCAGGTTGCCCGGCATGATGACCTTTTGGCCATCCTTCTCATCCCACCATAGTTCTTGTCCACCCAGTGTACTGATCTTGCCTTCCGGGCCTCTTTTCCAAGGACTGGTGGGTACAACATGCTCTTCCACGAATCGTTGCAAGTTCTGTGCCGCTTTATCTTCATTCCATGCGGCCGACACCGCCGAATCTTCACCAGGCCTGTCTTCCCACGGCTTGCGTGGAAGAGCTTGCATTGCACTGTTGAGTGGAGCAAGTAGCGTGGTATTATCTTCCGGTTTGGTTGATTCCAGACGCCCGGTCACGGTAGAAACGTCGCGTGTAAGGGAGGCAAAGATGTTGATCTTTCGAGTTTGAGGGAGAACATCGGAGATAGAGAGCGTGTTATCGTCCACCCCACCGCTGTTATCATTTGGCGACTGCTGCCCAGTCCCCGCTGATCCATGATTTTGAATGGGGCCTGGATTCATCGGGCTCTGCTCGCCGTTGCGATAGGAGATCGAATGGCGAAAGATTGCGGCGGGCTCGCGGACGAGATCCAAAGGAGATATAGCAGCTGCTATCGACAGCGACGTGAAGAAAGATGCAAATAGAACTGTATAGTGCATTTTCGGAGGGATTCTTGATGGCGCTGTTGTAAGATGAGGGATGGTGTCGCAGGACCAAGTTGGGTATGTGATAAAGTGGTGTAGATGTGACGTCGGCAAAGTCGGGGCAATCCAATAATCAACCCGGGATGAAGATATTAACCGTCCGAGAAATACTAGTATTGAACAGTAGAGCTAAAACGGCTTCTCTCGTCAATACTCGAAAGCACTGGTGTTTCTTACAATGCCACCACAGTTAGGTAGGTAGTGATGATCTGCATAGTGCGCTGCGTACGGTCTGTTGAATCTCTGGCAAAGGATGCGCAAACTATTGCGTCGCATACGGTAGTAGCTAGGTCCTGTTTAGTTCCGACTACGTACAATGTTATCGCCTTTGATAACGGAAAAGGCCGGGAGCTACATGTGAGTAGTTCCTACCTCCGCTAACGGTGCGGTTGACATCAATTTATCCAATCATGTGGAAGTCAGGACCTCTATGAAGTTCGATCATCGATTCATCTTTGTATAACATTTTACAAAGTCATGTTAGTGATGCGTATTCCTCGGACAAGATTTGCCATAATTATATGAAGGCCCTTTTGATCAGGGTGCCAGAAGAAGCCCGGTTTTACAGGCAAATTGCTCCAGTAGCATTGACAAAAGTCACTACAAGGACCAATTGAACACGAATAACAACAGTCATATGGCGTTGAGCATGTGAGATCTCTACCTGCTAATAGAGAATCCTCCATCCACACGGAGATCAGCCCCGTTGATCATGGCACTTTCATCTCGACACAAAAACTCGATGGCGTGGGCAATTTCAGAGGGCATACTGAACCTCCCGGTTGGTATTTGGGCAAGATGCTTTTCTCGCTTCGTTTCGTCTGCCCATGCCTTTGCTGCTAGCGGAGTCCAAGTCACTGTCGGGCTCACAGTATTTGCAGTGATGCCTTTGGGCCCCCATTCACTAGCCATGGATCTAGTGTGCCCGACGAGTCCAGCTTTCGAGGCGCAGTACGCTCCATGGCCATCGAGGGCTACATGAGCAGCCTGAGATGCGATGCTCACTACTCGTCCTGGAGGTGCTTTCCCTTGAACAACTTGAGAAGCTCGGGCTTGATACAAGCGGAAGAACTCATTACTGGTGATGAAAGGACCCAGCAAGTTGGGAAGAAAGTTCTTCAGCGCTTCTTCGGCCGAAGTCTCTTCTAGAGGCTGTACCGAAACATATCCTGCAGCATTGATCAAGATGGACGGAAAGGCGTTGAGATTGCCAATCTCCCTGAAGACTTGCTTGACCGAACTTTCAGAAGTGATGTCGCACTCGAAACAATGGACTCTGTCTGGGTTCGCGCTGCCAAAGACCTTGTTGAGAGTATCCTCTACTCTGCTTGCATCGAATGGGGCGTAGAGAAGTGCGACATCAGCCCCCAGTTCGCGAAGCCGGTCAGCTATCGCAGAGCCCAGGCCTCCTGGGTTGGTCAGTAGCACACATCCAATCACCTGACAAGGCTCATACCGATACCTCCTGCGATGATCGCAAGTCTTCCAGCATATGCCATTTAGCACCGTGCGTTCTGAAGTGGGACAACGGTGACAAGTGCGGCCACGGTATGATAACAGGAATCAATCATCTCACTTGCATCGGTAGAGATAGGAGGCTTTACGATTACGAGCTTCGGCTTGCCCCGCACTCTTCGGGCCAAGGAACTCACGCTTTACCTTTCCCCATCACTCCATCAGACAGCCCGCTGGCCTGATGATGGAACAATGCTACGCTTATCACTCCGCATTGGTTTTATGAGGACAGATCACAAGTGACGGGAAAGCACTAGTGTTGATTGGGCCACTCCTCTCTGTTTCTGATTCACCAGGTATCGAACGCAATCACATCCCTGATGATACAGGCTGATAAGGCTTTGTTCTAGAACTACCCAGTATACACAATCGAGTGGTGCCGAGACCGGTAATGGGTACTAAAGAGCCACTAATTGACCACCATACTACATGGCAGCCCTTCGCCCAGCCGCCAGCACGCAACGACCTGCATATCACGAATTCAAGGAGAACCCCCGAGGTATTAGGCTATCTCGCTAATAAGGCTTGCACTTCTTGACCGTTCGCACATCTCCTCTTACTCCTGGCCGCTGCCAATTCTCTGTTGACAGCAACGCCCAAGTTGAAATGGTATCGTCGAAGACTACTCTACTGATACCGTCCTAGTGGTGTTTATATTAGTACTGTTCCAATAGCGGATAACAGTCGCTCTGTTATGTGATTGAAAGAGTGACAAGAAAGAGCCGCCCGGACTTCCAGCCACCAGGTAATCTGAGGAAGCCTGAGACCTAAGATATGATCCTAGGCTCTTGCACGAGGCAAATGCTACCTTAGCTAGGCTAGTTCAATACTAGAGTCGAAGCGAGACGCCAGGTGACAAAGATTCACCAGCCACTGGCTCCTTCAGAAGATGGTGTTGATGTTCCTCTGTACCACGATAATCATGTACGCATGGTCGGCATCGACCTACTGCTGAAGCGTGGACTGCGAACGTTCAGATATGCGTGACGGGAGGTGGGCCACCCGCAAAGTAGGCGACGCTTAAATGCTACTCTTATAGCGAAAAGAGCTTAGGAGCATATCCAAGTCTCTATAGTAGTCTTGGCCCTCGCTTGGTGGTCGCCTCATCTTCCAATCTGACGTTCTTCATTGGCAGTCGTAGTGGAGACATTCATGGACCTGGCTTATCTCTTCGTGTGATCGTCAGTCGTCTTGGGTAGCATCGCCTCAAGCATAGTTGTTCGAGAAGCGTCGTAAAGGACACTTATCAGCAATACCCCTATCAATGTAATCTGTCCAGTCTCTTTCGTGACGGCGATTCCGATCAAGTACCAAGAGTACCAAGAATACCAAGAATCATGGTGGGTCATAGTCAAGGTAACCCAAGATATTGCTTCTTTCCCATGAGCACAAGTTAAAAGGATCGTTCGCTCGCCGGCGCGGAGGTTATCCTTCACCATTTCTGCATGTCTCTTGCCCAATCTTGACCCCAAATCCAGTACAAACAGTATGGAAGACTCGAAGAGGCTAGAGACGCCCTCTACTCAGGTGCGATCTGAGAGCGGCGACCTCGTCGTCGGAGACCATGGCGCCGATAGTGAACTTCGACGAATACTGGGCACTCGACACTTGACGATGATAGCGCTCGGGTCGTCCATCGGTATGGGGTTATGGCTTGGTTCTGGCACTTCTTTGACGAGTGGTGGTCCGGCTGGTATCTTTTTGGGCTACTTGCTTGCTGGGTCGATGATTTGGTCCGTCAGTCATTCGATCGGAGAGATGGTGAGCAATAGTCTTTCGACACCCCCTGAGCGGTAATGCTAATTCGGGTTCCACCTTCTCAAGGCGATTATGTATCCATTACCATCAGCCTTCGTCCAATGGACCGGGAAGTTTATATGTCCTTCTGCTGCCTTGGCTCTAGGCTGGGCATATTGGTTCTCCTATTGCATCACAATCGCGAACGAGCTCCAGGTAAGAAGGTATTGGATACACCGGGAATGCCAAAGCTGACTCCAGCAAAGGGTTTGGTTACCGTCTTGAGCTTCTGGACGACGAAGGTCCCGACCGCAGCCTGGATCACAGTCTTCTGGTTCGTCATTATCGCCATCAACATTGGTGCTGTGACTGTCTTTGGAGAGGTGGAAGTTATCGCATCCACCATCAAGTTTGGATGGATCTTCGTTGTCATCATCTCATGTATTGGTCTGTGGTCATTGTTCCTGCAAATTGCCCCAGAGGATTGCTGACCGTCATCCAGTCATCTCCGCTGGAGGAGCTCCAAACCACGAGGCAATCGGTTTTCGGTATTGGAACTCGGAGCCCTTTACACACGGATTCAAAGGGTTTCTATCCGTGCTGCCAACTTGCATCTTTGCCATGTCTGGCTCTGAGAACGCTGGCCTTGTCGCAGCTGAAATGCGGAATCCGCGCAGGTCCGTGCCAACGGCTGTTGGTTCGATCTGGATCCGATTGTCGCTCTTTTACCTCCTAGGCTCCTTGATGGTTACGATTTGTGTATCGCCACACAACCCGAACCTGTTCGGAGGCTCTGGTACCAACGCGTCGCCTTTTGTGATTGCGTACAGAGAGGCCGATATCGAACCGATGGCTCATATAATGAACGCCATCATTTTCATCTCTGTTTTGTCAACTGGTAGTATCTCTGGGTATGCCGGAGCGAGAACAAGCATGGGTCTGGCGCATTTGGGCATGGCTCCTAAGGTAGGCACATGTCATTGATCAGACACTTCTAACGCTCCAGCCGCTGACTTGTCTCGCAGCAATTCGCACATGCCGACAAGACTGGCCGTCCCTGGTGGGGTCTTGCCTGTACACTCATCATTGGTGGAGGGTTGGCCTACCTAAACGTTGACCACAGTGGAGCCCAGGTGTTTGGTTGGTTTAGCAACCTGACTTCTCTCTTTACACTTTTCGGCTGGGGAATGATCTGTTTATCCCATATCCGCTTTCGACGTGCCTGGAAGCTTCAAGGCCGTAGTGCTGCTGAGCTGCCATGGAGAACCTGGACCTATCCATACGCTGCTTGGTGGGGTTTGTTCTGGTGCTGTCTTCTCATCATCGTCGAGTTCTACCTTGCCCTTTGGCCCCTGGGGGGCGATCCAGATGCACAGACATTTTTTGCCAACTATGTGAGCGTGGTTGCAATCCTTGTCGTGTATTTGGGTGCACGGATTTACTACCGCGGGCCATGGTGGGTTGATCTGGCCACGGTTAACCTGGACGCCGGCCGAAGGTTTTATTCCAGCGTGGACATGGAAAAGCCCCCTGTGCATGGTGGCGTGGCGAAAGCCAAGAGGGCTCTTGAAAGTCTGATGGAGTAGGACATTTTGTCGGTGATACACGTGGATGGCTGGCCAGAAACCCATAGAATGCTATCACAAATCGTTAGACCTGAACCCTCCGCGCACTATGCTGGAGTCTTCTCTCCCGCAACGCCGAGAGACAGGGAACACGGGAGAGGTCATGGAAGGTTGATAAAAGAAGTGGTGAATATTGGTCACGCTGGACAGGATCAGACCCCAGCAGCGATTACACTTAGAGCTTTTGTATTTATGTGAATGCTTACATCCGATGTTGTGATTGTGTCCTAGGACTTCGTTGCATGAATAGGAAGCACAAGTGAGTAGATGACGATTAGAACGCCTCTGATCTGGTGATGTTGAAATCTTCATCAATGGGCTCAAAGAGTGATGCACCCGTCCAACCACAGCGGAACAAGCTGACTTTTGAGAAGTCGAAGGTAAGGCTCAGGCATTCTGGTTAGCAGCACTTGGCTCCGAGGCTAAGCCGAAGTTGAGCCGAATCACGTGCACATTAAGTGGAGCGGCAATGGCACTATCCCAACTGGGCAGGTGCTAATTCGCCGCGGATTACCATGTCATCACAGCCTCCCGCGCGCTCACATAAGCGGCTTCGGCGAAGTCATTGCTGCCGAAAAGCCAAACAGTTCAGCCCGCGTCTTTGCTATGCCCACTCGACCTTACCGCCGCCGGTTTACATCATGTGCGGCCCACGATCTCGTCAAGATTGAGGTCGGTTGGCTCAATAAATACACTCATCAACAACCCTGCTAAGGAAAAAGGTGACCTTGATGTCTGTACAATGTTCAGGACAATCAGGGACGCCAGCCTACTGACTCTACCGTTATCTTGGACACCTTCTGCTATCTATCCCTCAGATCAGTCGATTCTCTTGCCAGGGGGCTGGGTCCTTTGGGTGGGACACTCGACGCTTTAGCGGCAATCGGGAGAACCTGCCCGAGCCGCCGAGCCAGGCACAAGCCATGTGCTAAAGAAGCGTTTAGACATGCTTGTCCTGCGCGAGTATATGAAGGTCACTGAACATGGTTTGAAAACTTTCGCCGTATCCTCTGATTCTGTTGTATCAAACCTAAGAGAACTTGAGAGGTGAGAATGCGATCACCGGTGCGGTGTACTATACCAGCACGTGACGTCATCGAATTTCGTATTGAGCACAGAGACTCGATAGAATGATGATCACGAGGAGACATATTGGATGTTAACAGTGTCTTCTACACCCAGAGTGGTAGGAATCTATGAGCGACGAGGCTGACTGCTGCGAATCACGAAAGGCTTGTCTACAAAACTTCATTGAAGAGCGGTGGTAACAAGCAAGGGGTTCTAAGAGCTCTGTGACGCCGGGAGTGGTCGGAAGGGCACGCACCACAATATTTCCGACTAAAAAAGGTTAACGGAACTTCTTAAATTTTGTACAAGTCCCACGTCACCTCTACGGTCCACTTTGGAAGTAACGGTTCTAGAGAGTTAAATATAAAGTGTTCCGCATCATCTCCTTGCAGCCGCTCTACCTCGACCTCGACCTCGAAATTTCGCTACCGCAACCCATATTATACATCCTTGCGCCCTTTCCAATCTCCACCGCCACTGTGTCGATATTGCTTCACGAAGACATCAACCATGCCTTTCCCAACGGCACTGCCGGAACATATGAGTCCGGAATGGCAGAAACACTTTGAGCGAGACATGAAAGATCTTCACCTAATCTACGACTATAACGTCTACCAGGAGGCTACCGGGGTTACCGAAAAGTGGAGGTACGAGATGTGGTTTGTCTCTGAGAATAGAGTCGTGTATGCGATCCACGGCGGTCCTATGGCAGGCCGAAAGAACTTTCAATATGCAACCTTTCAATGGTAAGCTCGGAACCGTCTTTTCTCGCACTATATGGTTGAAGCGGCTTTTGCATGGCGGCTCGACAATCAGTTGATTATTGGTCTAACGTCTTTCCTAGCATCCGACCTGGTGAACTCTGGCAATGCAACTGGCTTGAAGGTTTGTTTGGTCCCGAGCTGTCTTCGATGTTGATAGCCTTTTGTCTCTGGCTGACCGCGTTTTTGGGAGATTATTAGAGACTGGAACGATATGCAGCCTGGTCTACGACATCAAGGAAAAACGAATCACCACTCTGCTAGGCTTCTCCAAAGGCCACTGGGAATATCCCGAAGAAGCTCATGGCGATAAACGAAATCCTGAAGATTTGCAACGTTGGAGAAAATTGGCGGAGATTGGCAAACAGACTGAGTATGATGCTTCTCCTCTTGTTGCTTGGTGTCTTAGTTGAAGTGGCTGACATGGTATCCACCAATAGTCGAATTTTGCTCAGTGAGCAGGCCAATATTGTCGAGGTGTTCCGCGGTAAGGGCGACCTGGTGCCAATCACTGGCGAAGAAGAGACTCTATGAAGAACGGTATACTACTAGGCGAAGGTCTTCAGAAATATTTGACTCTGGTTTGTATCTGATTATAGACATTCCCAATTATTTTCATCTTTCCAATTCCCAGGTCCTTTGAACATATTGTGGTAAGGCCATCGACAATGCCGACGCTTAAAGTCGAATCCGGCATTTTTTGTACCATTTATATAGGCCGTCCCTTGTATCGTATTGGGAGCTATGCCTTCCTCCACCCAACGCACCATTGCTGATAGTACATTTTCATCCGGCTCCAGACTCGCGGTGTTGTGAGCAGTATTCCCGATGAACGTTGCACCCGGACCTCCCCCACAATGAGCCATACCCGAGATGCGGAAGAAACGGTAGAACTCGTCTAGTTCAGGAGGTGACAATCCCATTGTCTGGGATACGTGTTCGTAGTATCTGGGCGAGTTGTCGCTTGAGATGACCCCATCCGCCAGACCGTGGTAGTGCAGCACCTTTCCGCCCCTATCTTTGAATGCCGACAGGTCACCGTCCCATGTCTCGATATTGAACAAGTTCTTGTTGGACGATATCACATAGTCTTCCGGTGTGAGACTAAATGGATCCCACGTAGGATCATTGAATATGGCGTAGCGGAACCAGTCTATGGCCATGAACGGCTGACCTGTGAAGTAGGTTTGCGGTGCGCCAGTCAGCTCTGCTCCAGGTTGTAAGCGAGGATATACAAGACTGCCATCAATGCTGAGCAAAGGCGAATAGATGCTGCGGAGGGTTTGTATCTGTGGTGCCGTGAGGCAACTGTTCGTCGGTGCATTGTGGCAAAGGTGACCGTCAGGGTTGTAATCGCATAGGTCAGGAGACTCGAGTATTCCATCTTTCGCACCATCCAGCGTATCACACTGATCCAGGATATCCTGATGGATCGTAGGCCACATTTCAAAAGGTATGAACGTGTCCGCACCAACGGGCCCGGTCAGCGGGAGAAAGTTACAGCTCCACGCAGTAAGATTGTTGAAAGAAAACGCGGGGGCTCCAGCAACAACTCCGTCAAAATCTTCTGGAAATGACTGAACTTCCTTGAATCCTTGACGACCTCCTGTTGAGCAGCCAAGATAGTAGCTTTTCGTATGCGGCTTGCCGTAGAATATTTTACTGATTCTTTTACCGAGGACGACTCCCGTGTGCAGCGCTCGATACGCAAAGTCCTCAATGACTTCAGGGTTGTTGAGGAACGACCGGCCGCTCATTCCGTCGTGTCCATTATTCGTCCCGACAGCAGCAAATCCCAATGACGCTGCGTATTCAATGTCTTCATATTGAATGCAGCCGCCCAAACCGCCGTTGCCGGTACTAAGGAAGCGACCAGACCAGTCTTCGGGCAACCAAATTTCCATTTTGATTCCCGATCTTGGTGAAGTGGTAACCTGCAAGATGACACGGCAAAGTCTGACTGAGACGAGCTGAGAGGGTGGACCACAGCTAGCATCAACGTTCGGGAAGCTCAACGTAGTGTTAGCTACAACGAACTCAGACGATGTCATGTTTGCCCCTGGAATGTTCAACGAGAATTGCAGAGACGAGCATCGGTGTTGGAAAGCGCCCGTCCTGTTATGTTTGTTGGCAAAAACGCCCAGGACGTATGTTCCTATTGTAAGGAAGATGCTCCAGCGCGCCATCTTTCTCTGATACAGCATGGTTGAGAAAAGGATCCAGCGGAACAGAGCCAAAAGCATAAACAAGCTTTATACTGCTGAACTCTAACCTTCTTGATGGTACTCCATGTTTATATATGTGCAATTGCCCCCAAGTCAATACCTATCTTCAGAGCCTAAGTCTAAGTGCCGTCGACAAATGCCGTCGGCCAGTGGGTGTTTTCTCGGAAAGAGGTTGCTGTTTGTGGGGTATAACAGCTCCGGCAGTACTTTTGAACCCCTTGCAATGCTCCGGCCCGGGACATGGCTTCATGTTCTCCTGTTTGTGTCCAGTTTTCAATGCAGATACCCCAGGCGAGGCTTACCCCGCGTCTCTCCACGCCATGGCCCCGTATAGTTTACCCCTGTATCTCAAATGTGGGGAAGAAGGACTGGATTTGCGAACATGACCACGGGTCATGGGATACAGCTGGACATGCGGGGCAGTGGCTGTTCTACGAGAGTCTCTTTGGCGCTGGGGGTATTGTGGTATGGCTGAGGCGTATCAGATTCTTGACATGCCTGGGAAACCCAGTTCAGGGGACCTTGCGAGGGTAATGAATCGGAGCCAACCATGAGCCATGTCAGCAGGGCCTTCCGGACTTTGCTCGTCTGCATTGACACAGACAAATGAAAGGACAACAATCGAGAACCAATTCAATACGGGAGAGAGTGGTGCTACTTGTGTCTATGATTGTTTGAACTTCGCATGGGAGCATAGTGGGTACATATTGAGAATTGTGCTTCCATTTTGTTTCATCAACTTATCTTCAAGCATATATCGTCTGCTTGGAGGAACAAGAATTGTCGAGAACAGAGTCTTCGCCGCGAGTAACTCTTTGTCCAGATTCACGAGCTGTTCCTGAGCATGTCTGGGCCACTCTTGCACTGGTTGCAGGGACATCTTCAGCCTGGACAGGGGTATGATCTTGTTCAAGGAAGAGAGGGTCTTGACTGATATACCCAAGGAAACATCAGGCGTATACTCGGCTGAATAGGCGAGCATCTGTCCACACGGCTCTTTGTTGACAGGGACTGATTGGTTTGTCGACAAGTTCTCCGAGTGCAAAGAATCATCCGCCTCAATTTCATCCACTTTAGCAGACTGGGGTTCAAGCCAACTTGAAGTGCAGCCGATGATGTGGAGGCAGCGAGAATCAGCAGAAAAGTCAAGCTCACTGGGTCCGAGAGCCATATCTTCTGACTATCCGTCAACTCAATGAGAAAAGCGACTCCGGCACAGTCAGTGAGTGACTGCTCCTATCAGCCTCGCAGCGAACCTCGCCAGACTCCACTAAAGAGCTCCACAATTATTATTCTTACTTTGCAAGTGATAGACTAGAGAGGTCCAAGGCTCCTTAGGCTCCTACTTGCCCCGTACTCGAAGCTTGGGGCCAACGTCTACGTCATCTCACAGCTCGAAACGATGGAGGCACCTTGCCCCAGCAGGCAAACTTCGCAGCGGACCTTTACCCGCCTGTTCTGCGATACCGAGTATTATCAAGAAGAAAGGTAAATTGCTTATGGTGTACAGTAGTGCGGTTGTTTCCAGAGACATCGGCCATAAGACGCCTCCGGTAAGCAGTATCAACTGTATGTCATAGGTCGAGCATCAGAAAGCCACGTTTATTCACAATGCTATCCCGAAGATTTCCCATAGACGCTTTTACCAGCCTTGCATTCGCAAACGACCTTTTCGCCGGTCTGTTCTGAGCCCTCGACTATACAACAGTTGCTGACGGCTACGAGCAGACATCTTACGAGCCAGACACATCCAAGCGCGAACTACCTGCTCAAGCTTTGAATGAAATGAAGAACACTGCCCCACTTCAAGTTTTCCGAACGTCACGGTCAGGATGTACGACGAATTCCTCGATTTCGTGGTGGTCTGATTAATCTGGCAGGCTCTAGGTGGTTTCGGAGCTTGACAGTGAGCAGAAGAGTACATTCGACCGGCTAACAATAGCGAAATATTCATCGGCGACGCTCAGCTTGCCCTGGTAGCCGATGCCATTCAGGATGCTTCGCAGGCCAAGGTAGCTTGGTCAAGGACTTCATTGCAAGACCACACTGCTATCTTCTGGCCATTCCTCTGTATCTACGTAGATTCAGAAGATGAAGAACATAGACCTAAGCTGTTCCGGTTTATCGACGAAACATCCGAGTATGCTCTGACAGTGCCGTCTTCGCCAAAAACTGAGCAGCCTTGATTACCGCAAAGAAGAACTTACATTCTGGCAAACCCAAGTGAACGGTTCGAGAAGCAGTATTGGTCTGGACCTGACGTTTTCTTGGTGACTAATGCACCGGCGCAATGCCCGGTCCGGCTCCCGAGAGAGTGGCACAAATGATATAGTCGTTTTGTCCCGCAATGGACCATAAAAGAGAATTCCAGAACGATTGATGACGTGTACGATCTATTGAATTATATATTCGAATTAGGTCAAAGTGGAGAGGGCAAAAAGATAAGTATTTTTAGTTTTATGAATTATACACCAAATCAGCCGGGCCGGCCGAATCCTCATTTGGCAGAAGTGCGACTAGCTTAGCCGTAGAGGCCGACTTCTAACCTTACTAGGCTAGGGCCTAGAGTCGCCTTAATCGAAGGCATAACGTCTCTTCCGTTTTGACAATGGGCCCCAGGCTTGTTGGAAGCTTCATCTAAGCGTCCCTGACGGTCGTCTGAATAACAGCCACTTATCAGTAATAGCCTGAAAATCCCTCAGCGATAACGTGGGTGCGTCGATGTCCGATGTCGCGATGGCTTCCGCAGGCCTTTAAATATGAGGCCATGGTCTGGGCCGCATGTATCTCACCATTTAGCTGCTCTCGATTCTTACAGTCCAGATCAATCCGAAGATGCTTGCCCAAACCCTCCTTCTCGCTGCCTTCGCGGCACTGGGCTCTGCTTCACCCATCCATGTCGCGCGTGCTGATTCTCCCTATGTCTACACCAACTCCTTTGGGCTGAATTTCACCCAGATGAACGCCAGCCTTCCCAATGTAACTATCTTCGCGACGGGTACAGCGGCCAATTTGTAATAAACCTGTATGTGAGCTGACATCCCTCCCAGGTGGTACTATTGCCGGGTCAGGAAGCAGCAACACAGCTACAACCGGCTACTCCATTGGCTCGGTCGGGGTCCTTAGCCTCGTCGACGCCGTGCCGGAGGTCTTGAACATTTCCAACATCGCTGGTGTACAGATTTCAAACGTCGGCAGCGAGGATGTCACATCTGAAATCCTGCTCAACCTTTCCAAGTACATCAACAAGGTCGTTTGCGGAGACTCTACTATGGCTGGCGCGGTTGTCACCCACGGGACAGACACTCTTGAGGAATCTGCGTTCTTCCTGGACGCAACTGTCAACTGCGGCAAGCCGGTTGTCATTGTGGGCGCCATGCGGCCTTCGACAGCCATCTCCGCAGATGGGCCGTACAACCTGCTCGAAGCAGTGACTGTCGCCGCAAGCAACAAGTCGACAAACCGAGGTGCCCTGGTTGTGTTGAACGATCGGATTGCCTCGGCGTATTATGTTACTAAGAACAACGCGAACACACTCGAAACCTTTAAGCCGATTGAGGAGGGGTTTCTGGGAACCCTCGTCTCAGACGTGCCATACTATTATTATCCACCTGTCACCCCAACGGGGAAGACAGCCATTGATGTCTCGAACATTACCTCGATTCCGCGCGTTGACATTCTCTATGCATACGAAGATATGAGCAATGATACCCTCTATAACGCAATTGATAGTGGGGCGAAAGGCATTGTGGTATGTTCTCCTCTTGTTTCTTTGCCTCTATCAGCATCAGGATACTAAAAGCCTCGTAGATTGCAGGGGCTGGTGCAGGAGGTACCTCGACATCTTTTAACTATGCCATCGAAGATGTTCTGAATCGTCTGAAAGTCCCGGTTGTGCAAAGCACACGGGCCAACAGCGGTGAAGTACCACTGAGTGACATAGGCAGCACAACGGCTAGCCATATTGCAAGTGGGTTCTTGGATCCTCAGAAGTCCCGAATCTTGCTTGGTTTGCTGCTTGCACAGGGGAAGAACCTTACGGAGATTAGTGCGGTATTCCACGGGTCTACCGATGACTAGAAGGCATCAAATCTCCGAACTACCGCTCGCTGACTCTGGACTACTGAGTGGAATATATTGGAGCGTTCACCTATAGCGAGTTCCAAGACGTGATAAAAAACAAAAACAAAAACAAAGGCAGCTTCCAAGTGACAGTATTCTTACTTTACTGTATCTTCCGAAGTGTTTTAACATTGGCCCAATAGAGATCTCACCTGATCATTTCGGCTGTATATTACCAAACCGTTAATCCCTACAGTTTAACATAGAGATATAATGGATCACACGAATATAAAGAGGCTGATATTAGGGGACAGACATCGACGTTGCCTTTATTTTAGAAATACCTATCGCCGCACCAACTATGATTATGCTCGCAGCGTAAGCGAACTGGCCTTTCATATGACCAGTCGAATGAGTTTGTTCGCAGATAGCCCGGACAATGTATGAAGTCCCTTCCCCCGACCAAGCCGTCGATATGGCCAGGACCCTGGAACGTGTGCAGAAAGTGGCAGATGGCGCTTTTGCTCTTGTGGAAACGATGTTGAAGGGTCGTAACCGAACCTGCCATGAGAAGGACAAGGCAGCTTCCCTTATGAAGCATATTAACGTTAATTATCCCTGCGAGGAATTGGTCTCCACCAAAGTGAAGCGCTCGCTAAAGGGGTAAAGCTCGCTGAATGCCATCTATATATTTGCTTCGGTTATCAGGACAACAGAAATTGACTTCTACGATCTTGGAAGTCAGGTGTAACTGGTATTGCGGAGTTCATGATGGAGGTTGTTTATCTGGCGCGTGGATTGGAAAATCCTGGTCTCCCAAGGCAGTTCAATACGACGCAAAGGTAGCTGCAAATTGCGGCCTTAAGTGGCCAGGTGTACTCGAAGGGGCTGGTTTTTGTATCCGCAGAGTTTGAAGAGAAGTTGGAGGCAGATTGGCAGTCATAGATTCGAGACGAATAATCCTCCCTGCTGTTAGAATATCATACGCTTGTCGTTTGTACACAAGTCTTCTTTCATACGGCCAATCTTACAGTGCTCCATCAACTGTGTTCGACAACAACGAAATCAACAGCTCGAAACACAAACTCAAAACTTGAGCGGCAGCGTTGATACAGTGAACAGCTTCTTTTCTCGGCCTCACCGGAGCCGACGTCTACTTGGGGGTCGTCCAACGTCTCTTTAAGAAGTCGAACATCCTCGATACGCCATATAAGGGCTTTGTTTCGCGGTTCTCACTTCGCCATCCTCCATACTGGACTTTTAGACTCCGCTGGCGCATAATCGAAACCCATACCTTCCCTGTTTCTATTGAAGTCTCCTCCCGGATGCTGACATAAATATATGAGCCGTCATATTGTGCGATGACGGGGTATCATAAAGACGATGTACATCTCAGTCTATCAGATCCGAACCAAACCATTCACAAACATGATGCCTTGAGTTGCAGCTGCGAAGTTACAACGATTCATATTCTCTTGCAGCTTATTCATGTCGCCACACCATCTTACTCGTTCAAAATCTGCACCGACCCAGCCTTCGTCTAGAGACACAAGTGTGCGAGTCTCTTCATCAGCGAAATTGGTCTGTTGAGCTTTAGAAGGGAAATTCTAAGCGTCCTAGCTTGAAATTGATATGCTCTAGGTGTATATTGATTTGATCTTCTCCAAAGCCGTTTATGGAGAACAACGAACGTTTTACACGCTCCGGTAAAACCAGGGCACAGTATGTCGCCAGAATGAGTGCCTTATCTCGCCTCGCCTGGCCTGGAGATACATCAGTAGAATACAGGTTCGGAATTAGATATTGTCGAACTTATGGTTACGAATAACTACGATAACTGCTCGGATTAAGTGGTGAAACCCAAGGCAGAACCCAATTGACGCAGATGTTATTTGCTAATGCCATATTCACGGCCTCAACAACCCAATAGAAGACTCTCGTCTCCGTAAGGACCCCCCTTTTCCGCTCCATGGTACAAGCCTGGGAGTGATGGAAGATCAGCTCTTGACGTATCTTTCGCATCCATCTGAACTCCGGAGATTGAGGTGGAGAGTACAACGACTTTCGTAGACTCCTTGTTGTTGCTTCCGAAGATCTCGCGCCCCTGTACATCCACGACATCGACATACACTTCCATTGTTTCGATTCCAGTATTGTAACCCTTCGGGTCCGATATAGACTCCGGCATAAGGGAGTGCGGACATTTGCTCCAGTTATGTGTCGTCTGCTAGACAGGCCGCCATGCCGGAGATGTCTCGATCTTCTGACGGGACGGGACATATAAGACTTCGGCACCATAAAATGCCCAAGGATTGAGCAGGCCGAGCGAGAAGGCAGAATAAGTAAAGAGGAAGAAGATATAGTATGATTAGCTTAGATAGTATTGTTGGGTTCTGGTTATTGGTGATCTGTTGTCCTGAGAATAAGGTTGAGGATTGATAGGCTAGGAAAATACTCCTAATAATATATTGGGCGCTCTTAGTTAACACTTTCGTACATAGAGAGTAGGTCTTGTTTTATGAAGGCATCTACATTTAATGCACTCTCCGTATAAATTGAAGTACTAGGAGCCAGTAAAATCAAATGTATCTAAAATCGGCGTTCCCTGTTCCCTTCTTTTTTATCCATTGAGTTCTTGTAATGCTCTCTCTTTGAAGACCCTTTGATAGTGAACAAGGATGTCTGTACTTCAAGGTCTTAAACTCATAGGTTCGTCATAATGCCCTCTTTGACATGCATCTTCTCATCACTTGTTTTAGCTCCACTGTCAGACTCGTCCTCGACAGCATTACCCTCAATGATAACTCCGCTCTCAGTGTCCTCTTCCGGTCTGATATAGTTCTTTGGCTCATGCCATTCGTTCAGTGGCATCATCATCTCCGGCTTCCACACAAGATTGCACACCCAAAAGACAACGAATGAAATCGCGATCCCGACCGGGTAGGCAAAGTAATAGAACCTCGTAATTCCCAGGGGCATCTTCACTCCCATGTTTCCCAGAAAACCTGGGAAATTTGGCGCTATGGCGACAACGTAAGCAATGTACGCCCGAAAATTCCAGCCGTGCCAGAAATGATAGACACCTGACTTGCGGGACGAGTACAGATCTGGAACGTTGAAGTAACCTCGTGCGATCATGAAGTAGTTGCAAATGAGGACTCCGGTGATGGACGACAAGAAGATTTGGTAGGAGGCGAGGAAATTGATGAACGCCGAAGCTGTGCCTAGTAGATACCACGGATTGATGGCCAGGGAGACGAGCTGACAGATGAACATGCCCGTGCGGACGCTGATGTATTTGGGAAACAAGGCTGCGATGTCATTGCCAGCTGCGGGTCTTGCTGTTAGTCACACAGTCCTTTTGCAAACTTGGGCTGCGTGGTCCGGAGATGATGGGTTGACTTACCAGGTAGACTGTTCTCAAAGACCGAAGAGAACAAAGCCGAGTATGCGAACATCAAGGCGATGAAGAAACACCCGGCTCGATTCTTGGCAGTATAGTTCTCGGTCTGAAGCCGATCCAACAGGTCCAGAGGGTTCCATACCAGTTCGCCAAAGATCAAGGTCGAACTGGACGCCACAAGTTGGCCCACGATGCTGACCAGGAAGGCCGCAAAAGGGAAGCCAAAGATGTTGCCCAAAAGGACATCATTGGGCTTCTTTGCATATCGCTGGAAGTCGGCGGCATTGCTGGCAAAGGTAGCTGACGATCCCATATTAATGAAGATATACTTGGCCATAAGCCATGACTTTTCAGTCCCATGCACTGTGGATGGTTGGGAAATGACCGGGCCCGCGCCGCCTGCTAAAGTCATGGTCCAGCCAAGCATGCAAGCTGCAGAGACAATATAGACGCCAAGTTTGATATCTGAGACGAATCAAAGTCAGAATCGGCAAATTCGTGGTGTTATATCTCAGTACTTACAGACGAAGGGGCGCATTTTGGGGATTGGGATGACGAGAGAGCAGGCGGTTGCAAGCCTTCTCGGTTGTCAGCCAGCATTTCTCGTGAGCACAAAAGAGCTTTTCGTTCCCCACCAGAAAATTATGTATCCGATCATAGAAGCGCTGGTCATGGCGGATCCCGAGCCCATAGTATTGGGGATTCGTGCGATCCCTGGAAAGATGGCGTGGAGCATGGTACTGATGTTTGTTAGTATATCGTTTTGCCGAATCGTGCAGACGGACGGATGGGGCGACTCACTAGACACATTGCCCCCCTTGAACGCCCTGTTTAAGTCATGTCAGCTTTGTTGTACCTTGGTTGTGCGAGGAGAGTCTGGATCTGTACATTGACTCCATTCCACACCGTGGCCATCACGGCTCGATTGAAGGTTGGCCACCATGCGCCGTAGATACCAAAAGATGCTCTGTTGAGGACAGGGTAGCCGACGTGGTACACAGCACCCGCTCGTCCGTTGACGACGAAGACGATGGCAATCAGAAAGTCACCCACAACTGTACAGGCCAGGACTTCCCACATGTTCAATCCGGCACTTTGTGCAGCACTTCCGCCATACCAATTGGCAACTGGGAAGAGTTAGCTATGCGCTCCCAAGACCTTGTTCAAGAATATCTAACCGCTAGCATTAGCAGAAATCCAAAAGACGAAGTAAGTCAATTGTGTCCATGTTCGATCTTTGAGGGCCAATGGCCGAATGTCGTCGTTATCCAGCCATGCATCTTTTTTGTTCACATTTTCTGCGCCCTTGGCCACGATGCGCCTCTTCAGTTCTGCCACGAAGGTCATGGCGACTGATGTCTCGGTATGTGAGACTATTGACTGGAAGTTGAAGGAGAAATTGAGAGCAGGTCAAGGGTCCGAGGTCGAAAACATTCAAGATCAAGACATGGTCCTGTAGGCGAATTAGTCTCTTGATATATTTCTCCAGATTCGTCCTTCGAAACGGTCAGAGATAAGACATGGATTGATATGCGACGGGCCAGATAGGATCTTTGGTCGAGATATTGCCACCTTTCTAGCCAGAAAGAGGCCAAGCGAAGGACGAATGTCGGACTAGGACTCTGAATAACAGATCCGTCTGTCAAAGTCGACCGGAGACGGCCGTGAATGAAGCCCCCAAACCGAGGATGATAACATGCATCTTGGGGATGTGGATCTCGTTGAGGTGGATTCACAGGATGATCGCGATAGCGGTCCCATAAGCTGCAGTCTGCAGGCAACCCCCAAATCTGAGAATGATAGGAGATAGAGAAGACCCCCAACTTTTGGACGGAGGTCCATTGGGGGTTGGGGGTTGGGACGATTGCGCGCTAAGTGTATCGTCCGCGATAGCCAAGTAACAGTGCATAGAATAGTAGCGCTAATCTGCCCGCAGTTTCAATTGAGACTTGAGAATCAATCAATCCTGTAAACCCAAGTTATCGCCATCGAAACTCATTCGGCAGAGTCCGATTGAATGATAACCAGGCGAAGTGGTAAGACCCTAGACCACTGCAAGGACAAGAACGGACGACGATGCGCCCCCAAGCCGTAAACCCCCAAGGACCCCAACTCCCTGAAACCCCCAAGGGCTTAGAAACCCCCAGACTCTAATCGGTCCTCCTCAGACAGCAATACATATATACCTCCAAGAGGTACTTAGGAAGTGTTTGGGTACAGTAGATCTCCTCAGACTTCATCTGCTTACCCAGTCTTCACAGCCTTCAATCCAAAGCCAAAACCATGTCTGCCACCGTCGTCGAGACCGTGCCCGCGTTTGTCCCGCTACAGCTGCGTTCAGGGTTTGGACCGGTTTATCGCCAGGTCTCCACGGCTGCGCCCAGAGAATGTCGTCCCGATGAAATCCCAATCATCGATATCGGAACCATCCGTGACGGTCCAGAGGCACGACAAAAACTGGCGGTCGAGATCAAGAAAGCAGCAGAGGAGGTGGGATTCTTCTACATTTCCAACCATGGAATCGATCAAGGCATTATCGACAATGCACAAAAGGCGGCCTGGAAGTGAGCTATCCACACTCTTTTAGTGGAGAAATCCAGCATCACTGACTCTTGTTAGTTTTTTCCGACAGCCCGTCGAAGAAAAGGCAAAGATTAGTAGGAGCAGGTCCAGATTTTACAACGGTTTCACTGAGCGTGGAACTGTTCACGTCTCTCCAACTGAGACCATCGACAACAAGGAAGGATTTTCCTGGCGTTACGACCCCAAGTACGACCCAGAAGGGAAGGACTTGACAGCCGTTCCGGAGGAAGTTCAGGCCTGGATCCGTGGTGAGGACTTTGTCTGGGAAGGAACCGAGCATATTCCAGACTTCAAAAAGGATACTCTCACCTATTGGGGGGCATGTTTGACTCTGGCAAGGCTTCTGGTCAAAGTGTTTGCTGTTTGCCAGGGCCTTCCCGAAACCCATTTTGACTCAATCACCACATATCCTGGCGCAGACGGGGTGTACAACTACTACCCCGGGCTGACGCCTGAGCAAGCCAGCAAAGATGGACCTATCGACGTCGGCCTCGGCTCCCACACTGATCTTCAGTGCTTCACTTTGCTGTGGCAAGATCACGTCGGAGGCCTCCAAGTCCTGAATACCGAAGGACAATGGATTAAGGCTACGCCGGTTCCAGGGACGTTTGTGGTCAACATTGGTGATTTTTTGATGCGCATGTCAAACGACAAATTTAAGTCGACCGTCCATCGCGTCTACAATCGCTCCACCGAAGAACGGTTGAGTATGCCTTTCTTCTTCGGATTCAACTTCAATGAGAAGTGCTCGGTGTTGCCGACCTGCACGGATGAGAACAATCCACCCAAATACGAACCCATTTCGTGTGGCGAGGTCAGTTCACCTCTCTATCCCTTTTCTTTCCATCGCGTAAGGCAACCGTCATCTAACCGATTATGTAGTGGTGTGCTCGTCGATTCCAACAACAAGGGTACCATGCCGGGGATAAGATAGAGCTGGGACCTGCAAGTGCAACTGTGGAGCTGACTGTGAAAGCGTGAATAGCAGTCAATTTGGGCCTGATGTTAAGATGACAGACTATATTTCCGTCATGTAGATATGCTTTCGTAGATTTCAATGATTATGGATTTCAGAATTGTAAATTTATAATTCCGTAAACCGGGGCTTCGTTATAATCCAGGAAAACTAATTGGCGCATGAACGCTCGGAGACTAAAGAGTGCCGCCGTATAACTGGAAGATGGAACAGCCTAGGCTCGTTGCCCATCAGGCTGATAAGACTAAGCCGTTATAAGTGGTGCCTTATCAGGATGCTACTATCAACACAGACTTCCCAAGTTCTTTATCTCTAGATATCTCGAGGTGCAAACAATCACCATTCTATCAGCCAGCCTAGGTAGGACTCACGGTGACGCGTCTCCTAGACAATGTCTGCCAGAAGTCTCCAGCAAGCATAGTATCTAGCCATCATGGTCACAATCGACAGGTCACCCAAGCAAGCACGCCGCACCCGCAGCAAGAAGATCTTGAACGGTCATAATGCGCCAGTATACGACCGTCCTCATCGTTGTACAATCGGAGCTTGCCAGAGATCCTTCACGCGAGCCGAACATCTGAAACGACACCAACTCAATCGTAAGTCTGATCATTACTCGACATCTAACCAGGATTGACGATGGATGATAGACGATTCGACACATGCGTGGTCCTGCGACAGATGCTCGGTTACATTTGTGAGGAAAGATCTCTGGAATCGACATCTCAGAGTTTCCCATGGCGAGCGGTCTTTTAGTTCTCTGACCGACAGGCAAAGCGCAACCTCGACTGGATCGGAAAGGCTTCGAGACGAGTCCAACAGCCCGAATAGCACCATCGAGGCAGAGGGCTACTTGGGAGACACGAACAGCGAGCCAGATCCAGGAACTTCACGAGGACAGATGGATTCGTCTATGCATCGGGACAATCTTCCCCTGGCACAGAAGAGAAACTCTCAGATGCAATCAATCGATGACCTCGACATGATGCTGGCCCCATTTGAAGCGTCCTGGATACCGGATTTGGAAAACTGGCGATCCGAGATCCATAGCAACAGAGGCTCCCGCCTCACCGACACGGACATGGATTGGTTCTTCCAGAATCAGGACATGTCAGCTCTCGATGGAGATCAGATTTGGAACGAGGACGACTCCGGCCCATCAGACAATATCTCATTTGACTTACCGCAGGAGGCCCCCAGAAACAGCCCAGCAGAAGCTGCAAAAGTCAAAAGGCCGCCACCCGCCTATCTGCAAGACCTACAGACCAAGATTTACGTGGCCAAATCCGGGCAACTGGAAGCCCCAACTTGTGGATTTCGAATCTGCAATGCTCTCACGGATGAGAGACGGATTGAATTGCTTATGCATGTGCGGAATTTGGTAGAGGTCGATCTAAACGATCCTATCTTTTCGTTGAATAGCATGAAGCAAGGGATCCACCTCTTTTGCCGCAACGTGGCAATCGAATACCCATTCGTACATCCCGAGGTTTTGTGTCCTTCTTCAAATCAAAGCCGACATATCATGAAGCAAGTCTTTGGCGAGGAGCCCGGGCCGCAGCTGATATGGGCGGCAATTACCCTTGGGTGGACGTTAATGAGAAGTGACAACAATCATGAGTGGTACATGGCATCCAAGATCCAACGCGTCATCAGAGCTTCCATCATCAATGTATGTTCTGGCTTGACAATTGAACTCCAGTGAATACATGACTAACATGGCCCCTTATGCAGCACCCCGGTCTGGCCAATATTCCACCTCTGTGGCTTGTCCAATCCTTGTTTCTGGTGCTTCTGTTTGCACGCTACCAAGGAACGCGCGAAGAGTACGGGTTTGCATCCACGTTTCACGGAGTTCTACTGGAAGTTTGTCTCTCCTCTGATCCTGTCCCCCACGTCGTGTTGGCCTAGCTGACGAATTCCCTACGCAGGCTACGCGGCGCTTAGATTATCGATCGGATCGGATGGGCATACAGTCTGACGGCGTCAAAGATTCCATTGCGTCCCTGAGAGTGTGGATCATATGGATCAAGGCCGAAACCATCCGAAGGTACTTTTTTGAGCTCCAGATCCCGTAGGCAATGACCGAGAGCGGCAGTGCTGACAAACATGGTGGTATTTAGGCTTATTCTCCAGACGTTCATCCTCGATGTCAAGCACGCCATTCTCTATGGTGCAGAGACATCCATGACTCCATTCGAGTTGAACCTAAAGCTTCCTTTCTGCGAGGATGCCTTTTATGCCACTAACCCCACAGATTGGGCAAACATCATGAGTGTCCAGTCGGACGAGCCTGTGCCCTTCCTTCCCCGGTTGAAACGATTCTGGAGTCTACAATCCTCCAAGATGTTGACCGAGGCTCTTCCCCGTGGCGGGGATGTCATAATGTATGGGCTAATATGGATCGCTCGAGAGTTGGCGCGTCGAGAGGATAACAGCCTTTCTAATCGCTCTAGCAATGCTCTCTTGTCCCTTGGCAATACCGTCCGCCGCTCGTTTGAAATCTGGGAAGTCGCCTGGAAACAGATCCCCATCAGCGATGGCATGAGATCGTGGAACTGGCGCAACTGCAGCTGTGTTATCCGACTCGCCCATACCCTTTATGAGATAGGGCCTGTCGATCTCCAGACCGTGGCTGGTAAAGAAATCATCGAGGGAAAGAGACGAGGCGCTGCAGACTATGCTTGGTCCAAGCGAAAATTACGCCAGTGGGTGAAACATGATCGGGCGGCACTGGGCTTACACTGTGAGTATATTACCTTTACAATCAAGATCACTCAACGGTTGTGGTCGCTGAAGCAAAGTAAAGCTGATCATTTATCTACAGATGCCGCTCTAGTGATACGAGAACATTTAAATGGAGAATCTGGTGGTACACATTGCCATCATTGCCTCTGGTGTCTCTATCTTGCGGCTCTGGTCTGTTGGAACTTTGGGTTCACCCTGACCAAAGCCACCACAGACTCGCAAGATCTGATCAAGGACGGCCAGGTGGTGGAGATGGGGCGGGCCGAGAGGGAATGCCAGGAGTATCTTCATGCAGCGGTCAACATCCACCACGGCCACCGGCCCGAGCGGATGCAGGCCCTGACCAGACCCACCGGTATGATGATCGTGCTTATCGGATTCTTGAGATCACGATGCGAAACGGGGATGATTGAGGAAAGTATCGAGCATCTGACTAGACTTGCCGGCCTGTCGACGCCACTGCCAGTGGTTCAGACTCCAACTCCAACTGCTTGACGTTTAGGTTATATTTAAATACTCTTAAGAAGAAGATTTTATTCGTTATGGCGTTAGGCGCCGAATTGTCACGAATCGTTCCTCGGGGTCACGATATCGATCAGGGTTTCCTAGTAGTTTAGGGTCAGACATGTAGCGTGGATCGGGGCCGAGAATAGGTGGTGGAAAAATTAAGGTTTGGGCTGTAGCGTGAAATCACATTGTAGCGTGAAATATTCTGTAGCGTGAAATCTCAGCCTCGCCGAGCCATACACTCTTACACTCGATGGCCCATCGCGTCCCTCAACTCCCGAGGTATATGAGATCGACAGGATTCGAGCTTCTTGCTCTTCTATTCACACCATGTCCTCTCCACCCTGGCTTCGCAGCCTCAATCTCATCGTCAGCACTCCCGAGAACGCGTTGATTTGTACATTGTGTCGACGAGCGTTACGCGTACATCCGCGCCTCGTCCAGCAACATCTTACCGAAGCCCACTCAATTAGTGCTAGCCGGCAGACTCAAGTGCCTGACCTCGGGACTCTTCTCTTGACTGACATTTCTGAGCTTTCCGCTCGCGCCGATTTCTGCCCCGAGGACCCCAGCCTCACCACAACACCCGGGTTTGCGTGCGGACATTGTTCCAGCCGGACCACCAGCCAACAACTTCTCAGGCGCCATCTTTCTAGCCAGCATAACATCAAGCACCTCGACACCATCGCCGACCGCGACTATCGACCGGTTTCTCTTCAGCAGTGGACCACGTCAGGCTCAGCCGGGCGGCAATACTGGATTGTATTGGCGATTCCTCGCGCCGTTACACTCACTCCGTTACCGACTTATCGTAAGCGAAAGCGTCCTCTCCCTCTGAGCCACCGCAAGTGTCGACCGAGGACGGAGAAGTTAGTCGATACACGAACCTGGCAGGCCCCCATTTCCCCTCCATCCTCGACCCTTCTTTTCTCTATCCACCAGGAGGAAAGAGAGCAGATGGCGTCTATTCCGTCCCTGGATCATGATTCTCACCGCGCTGACCCTGCCATGACTCCTATCTGTATTCGACCGTGTCACCCTATCTGTATTCGACCGTGTCACCCTATCT